GTTCATGAATACCCTTATTAAATCTTATTGTTTTCCCGCCGCTTTTTTTATGTTCAACCTTTTTCCTTCTTAAAGGAATAAGGTTCCAAAATGTGCTTATTCCTTTTCACAACAATGAACAAGCTTCCTTAATGAATACGCTACAATCCTATATCTGTGCTTAAAAAATGATCGAACTGATATCTGATCCCAAGTCGTCTTCTTCCCTCAATGATGAGAATGAATATAGGTTACTAGACAAGCAGCAGCAGCAACAATATCAACATTCACCTTCTCTAGAGATGAACAATAACTCTAGAAGTGAGATTCCTCTTGGGAATGCAGTTCTAGAAAATTATGGAAAAAGACTAAAGAAGAGTGTTCAAGAACTCTGTGTTGTCTCTGTTGTTCTCTGTGCCACAATAACAATTCCAGAAAGGACACTATTGGTATTCTACTAGGATCATTCATCATTTTCTCACTGGTCGTGATTTCTTCTGCTTTTTATTCAACCTCTCTTTCAGTGATCAACAACGCCGATTGTTTCAGTGCAAAGGTCGTTCATTCCATGTGCGAACAAGGACAACTTAATTGTACACAGTATGGCGGTCCTCCTTTGGAAATCAAAGGCAGCACTTTTGGGCCTGACAAGTTTTTGAATCTTGCACCCACGAATGTATTGAACATGACTTTTAATGGAACTCTTTTAAATGTGGTTGAATTCACGTGCCCTCTTTTGTGTTCCAATGACAGCATCCAATGGACAACATTGTGTGAGGAAAAGACTGAAAATGTTACGATTACCGAAAGATTTTGTTTAAACTCCAATTCTGACTATTGTGCTTCTCTGACATCATTATACATTCAAGGTATCAATGAAATATTTCGGCATCATGATGTTAGTGGATCCATTCTTTTCAGCTACTTCTTGAGACCCATTCTACCCTCTCTAATATTCAACGTTTTCAACTTTTTCAGAAAATTCCTATTTAATTTTTCTCATATCAACAGTTTAGGGGCAGCAATGGTCACGGTTGCAATGCTTGCCTTATTTTACGTGACTCTATTTATTGCAGTTGCCATCAAATACTCAATTCTGTTGGGAGCACCAAACCTCGTTTCAGTTCTCGTGTCAAGTATTGTGACAGCCATTTTCGTCCAATGGGTTTTAGAGTTTCTTGTCATGCCACCCATTTTAGCTCTAGTTCCCACTTCAAGATTTGACTCGTATGAAAAATCGCAGACTGGAGAGTTGTGCACTGAAGCTTGTTGTTTTGGTAAATCTTTGTGTGAAATGTGGTTTGTCAGAAAGTTGACCTATCTCAATAATCATAGCAGCACAGACAAAGAAGAAGAAATGACCAAAGAAAAATCAAAACCAACCGAATTCACCTTTGTTGTAGTGATGGTTTCCTTGCAAGTGATTGTTTGGACAATGTATGCATTTTCACTTATGGCTCTTGGAAAGGTCATTACTTGGTCCTATATATTGTTCTATCAAACCTTGTTTAACTACCTGTTGACGAAAATAATGATCTTTTATGAGAGAAGATATCTGAATGCGAAAGGTGACACACCCAAACGTCGTTTGTTGTTTATGTTTAGCATTTTCACTTTCATTGGTGTGTTTGTTGTGTGTGTTTCCATTCACATCTTGACCGTGGTTTTAATTCCATTCGTGAATTACTATTGGTGAGGTTTTTTCACAATCGATCATCTTTTCATCCACAACAATAAAAATCGACCAAAATTTTAAGGCCTTCATACATGCAACAGTGACATTTTCTTTTACGGAAAATTTGAAGGAAGCAACGAGAGATCATTATGGCCATGCCAAAATCAAGCCCATAATCCATGACCAGTTCCTTCAAAAATATGAGAGATCACGTGACAAGAAGTGGGGCGGGATTGCCCTACATTGTAATTTGTTTAACATTCATGGTATTTATAGAAGCTGGTAAAAAGGATTACATCCCCGAGGAGAGACCAGATTTATTATTGATTAATTTTGCAATGAGAAGAAAGTGATTCAACGAATGAGGACTCATCGACAAACCTTGTATGATTTCATTTCAATCACATCCCTACAGAAAACTATCGACTTTGGTAACATGTCAGGGAGTGAAAATCAAAATACAGAAACAATAATAATTTACTGAGCTGTGCTTATAAACAATTCCCACAAGCTTGTTAAATACCGCTCGTGCCTAAAACAGCATAGTCCAGTAACAATTTAGTGCTTACTGGATCTTTTCTAAGTCGAACAACTTCCATGTCTAGAAAGTCACTAGTCACCCGTGTAAGTAAATTTGATGGTTTACAGAATCCAAACACCACTCTCTTCTTTGTACCATGTAACATTTTCAAAGCCTCACGATATTTTGAAGCATACTGTTCATCAGGAATACTAGACACACTAAATACAACTGCATCACAATTCTCGAGAATTTCAGGTGTCACCAACTCATTCTTCTTCTTTTTTGATTTCGTTGACAACAAGTAATGACGATTTTGCAGAAATGGATAGTACTGATCGAAAAGTGTTTTGAATTTCTCCTGTTCCGACTTGGAGTCGTATACCATAATAACTCGATTTGCGTCCAGACAAGCTCGTCTCAATACATCTTGTGAAAAGTCAATTTTGGAAAAGAATTTCTTTCTTGCTTGCAGAATATCGATCACTGAGTCATCATCCTGTACCGTTTGAGGTGTTGATATACAGGTCTCCCCTTTCTCATATATATCTTTCCTTAATATCACATTATTTTGAAGCAACATTGGGCAAAGATTAGCCCTCTCTTCGACGATTTCCACAATATGATTATTAATTAGTTTTTCAGCCACATGTTCCATGTTACAATATTTGCAATAATGCACGAGAAATTGTAAGCGTGAAGCACTTCCCAATATTTCTCTCTCATGAAAGAAAAATTGATGTAATGAATTCTCGTTGACAAATCTGTAGCCACAATGAAGCAGGCGATGCCACACTCTTTCCACACCTGTTTCCTTTTGACAATTTCGTAAAACTCTTTTAAGAAGTGTGTCGTTGATCATGTAACTCTTAATACGGTGTGCATCCTCACAAAATTTTGAAAGGCCCACGATATAGGGATTAAAATCACATACATAATGGTTTCTGGAAGCCCCAACGTTGGGGACAATAAATTCCATAAGGTTGAGAAACAACTCTTCTCCCAAATTGGAAATAACCGTTTTGAGTTGCTCAAAAAACCATTGCTTATCATAAGACATATAATATCCGTGCAAGGTTCTGTAGGGAGAGACCTCCATTGTGTAACTCTCTTGCTTGACTGTACTTTCCATTAGTACTGGGTTATCTTTTGCTGATGCAAAAAATGTAAGATCTTCGCTTTGCCACGACGATCTCCCAACAAAGAACGAAACAATCCTATTTCCATTTTCCATGATAATAACAATTCTCTTCAATGATTTAAACTGAGAATCCGACCATTCATTATTCACATCCTCTACATGAATATTTTTCTTTAATTGTTGTAAGGCTTCATATTGTTCTGGATAGAGATGACTCACACATTCACTCCAATCAAATAAATAGTTCATTGGATCGGAATGAGTGGTGGTGGGATTCAAAAATTCATTCAATCCGCTCGTGGAATGAATGTCGTAATAATTTCTATAAAATGTTTCATTGTTGGTGAGATGATACCATTGCTTACAAACGAGGGAATAATGAAATTGTATAATCGGAAGTAATGAATAGGAAAAAATTTGATACAAGATATCATCAGGAAAAACATCGTGATGATGATAAACCTGCTCCCGAGGACTGGTGTTCTGTTCTTCGTCTTTTCCGTATATCATTTTTTTCAACTTTACATGAGTGTTCATGTTCGCAGGACTGGCAGCTTTAAATTGTTCATATTTGCAGACTTTCACAAATTGTAACAAAGTCAACCAGAATGACAACGAAAGTTTATTTTGTGTTCATAGAATCAAGTGAAACAAGTAAACATGAAATATCGACAAACCCACATAGGGTAAATGGCGTTCGAAAAAAGAATCCAAAAAAACCTGTAAATTTGATCTTAGAAATGCATTATTTCCCAATGATGGAATTACAAGTATTTCCCCAAAATACAAGAATTCCTTCAGCTTGAGTCAAACAGTTAAAAAAAAAAGTGGCGCTCGAAAAATTTGAACCCAACAAAAAAAAATGAGTCTCTTGCTTCTCGTGCTGTTATTCGTGTGCGTCCTGTTATTGGCTACGGCCTACCTCCGATACCGAATGTCGCAGCCATCACGAGCGAATCGAGTGCTTTGGAATAAAAAGGATAAATTTACAGTGGAGCAAATATTACAAAAGGTTGTGGGAAATAGGATTTCTTCATTCATCATCAATACAGCATCATCACCGAGTAATGCATGGTCTCCGATGAATTTTGGAGGAGGGTCCAATTCGACAACAAGTGTCAATCAACAAAGCCCTTTTCAAAACACGAATGGGATGGTGGTAGTGAACAATAATATTAATCTTTCAGGCTCAAGACCAAAGAACCGTTCTTTTTTACAGACTAGTTACTTTACAGCTTCCCCTCCAAAATACTTGGCAATGAATCAACATTCTTTCATCAAGGCAAATTCGACGCCCAAAGTATTGGTTCCTTCGAAATTAAACTTGGAGCCAACTTCACCAAATTCACCATCGAATCAACCAATCACCCTTTCGGAAGAGGAATTCTCAAACACAATGATTTATCGAAAGCCAATTGAGAGATTTGAAAACAAAAAATCGCCAATTTCTAGTATTTCTAAGAGTCCTACCTTAAACGTGCATTCGAAAATTGCAAATGCCACACCAAAACATAATACATCATACAGGACTTTAAATGATACACTCACAAATTTAGAAATCTCACCAATAGCACTTAAAGATAATACTCATTCACTGATTGCCAATACTAGCTGGGTTGTTAACAATGGCTCCATACTGATTGAAGATTCTCCTGAGAAGTTCTCGGAAAAAGTTGACCCTAACAGAGAAACGCAAGCCAATGAAAACAATCAAAAAGAGGAAGAGACAACAGGTATCAACGATTTATCAATGATTTCTGTTGGTGACATGTCCAAAAAGTCACCCAAAGGTATACTTAAGGTACGAGGAACAGCAGGAACCAAACAACATGACCTCTCTGTCAATGTATCGAACCTCAATGACAGTGTTCTCAATTCAAGTGCTCTATTAAGAAAAAAGAAGGTTGATTTTGGATTTAATAATATGGAAGGCAAGGGCATCAAAAGAGATCGACCAAAAGGGTTTGACAGAGTGGTTCCCGCACCATCTGAAACTAGCTTTTCAAGAGATGTACAAAAGAGAACCAAGACCAATGATCTAATCATGACTGAGACGAATCAGCAAAGACAGGATCAAGCTAACATGTCACCACCATCTACTTCTACAACTCCACAAAAAACTGAAGCTTCCTTTGTTACAGAAGCTGATAAGAGTATTTTAAACGACAGTATTATTAATTCCTCGTATGAAGAAAAAGAGGAAAAACCAAAGAGAAAACCAAAATCAAAAGGAAGAATTGGTTTCACTACTCCAAAAACAATTCAAAAACAACGAGTATTGACATGCAAAGAAGATATTTTGCTACGAAAAGAAATAATGCTCCAATTATTGAGAGGAGATCAAAATTTAGTTTCTGAAAAATCAGAGGAAACTAAAAAGACAGACAATAATCTTGGGTCATCATTCAACTTATCCAGCTTAGCCAGAAAGAAGGATGAAAATGAAGACAAACCTTCTAGTGTTTCTGCTGAGACAAGTTCTGCAACGACAACCACCGAGGCTCCAAAAGCTGTTGTCACCACTGCACAGCCAACTACAAGCAGCACGGATGCTGTCACAAATCCCAGTACTGGTGGTGGCTTTAGAGTAACTTTGCGACATTGCCGACATCTTCCAAACCAGCAGAACCACAAGCAGTGAAAATCAGCAATACCGCAGCCACTGTTTCTGAACCATCTGAGGCCTCCACTATCACATCAGCACCAACAACATCAGGTTTTCAATTCAAACCTCAAGTTCCATCAACTCAAAACGAAAGTTCCACAGTATCATCATCTGCCACCACTACTACTGCCAATCTTAACACTTCTCAGTTCAAGATACCTTCTTCGTTGCCAAGTAGTGCTGGAGGCCCTATTAAGTTTGACCTTCCCAAACCTACTCTTCCATCAACAACAACAACATCCAGTAATGTCCAACCTTCACAACCAAAACCCACATTGACAACAGCTCCTAGTAACGTAAGCAACAATACTAGTATGACCACACCTTCTGTGAATCCAATGCCTTCAATCACAGCTCCCAATTTTATGTCCCAACCATCAGCTAGCTCTCAATTAGCTCAACAACCATCATCTAGTTTTCAACTTACAACCAATCCATTTTCCTCAAGCCATACAACCATGTCAACCACAACCAGAAGCAACCCACCAACCCAGAGCACCACAATGACTGCTCCAGAAAAACCAATGTCTTCAAACTTTAATTTCAATGCAGGAAGCACGACCAATGTGACGACAAGCAATCCTTTTTCTATGTCAGTATTAAATCCCTCCACGAGCAGTGCCACAAACAATGTACCTGAAACACGTCCAATCAACACGACTACTACCACAACAACAACGACAATACCCTCAAATCCATTTTCCTCTTCATCCAATGCTACAATTAGTAACACAAGTCATACGACCTTGTCATCTGCCACGAGTACTTCTTTTACGTTAGGCGGTACTAGTAGCACTCCATCTTCAATCTCTCAACCTGCAACTAGTACGAGCAGTAATCCCGTAACGACTTTGAATAATAATCCATTTTCCAGCATGAGATCTAGTACCATTGGTTCATCGAGCGTTGGTGCGAATAATAATTCATTAACCTTGAACCAAACAACTCAAGCACCAAGTAGCTCAATATCTTCGACTGGCGCCACCCCATCCCATACAGTCCCTGTAACGAGCGGCTCCTCCATGCCATCTTCAACCAACGTGTTTGCCTCTAACCCATCAAAACCAAGTTTGTCTCTGCAGAATGCTCCAACAGTTCCTAATCCATTTGCAGCACTCAAAACACAAGCTGCCAGTCAAAGCGCATTCTCAACTAGTTTTGCAAACACCAACAATCCTTTTGCATCAGTGAACACCTCAAAGCCAAGCACTGGAAGCGTCTTTGCCAATGCTCGTTTTTCATTTGGGGAAGAAAGTGACAACACTGCTTTGACCAGCACCACTGTGAACAAGCCAAATACGTTCTCCACTGGTGGCACATTCTCGTTTTTGGGTGGTAGCAACAGCAACAACAATCCATTCGGGTCATCATCAGGTTTTGGAACCTCAGGTTTTAATCAACGAAAATGAGATAACTAGACGATCTGTCAACAATTCTCGGCAATCACAACGAATTAAGGAGTAGTTGCGCTCAATACAATGAATATTTACTCTTTCTTTGATTGAGTTTCAATATCTTTTCTAATGTAAGAAAAATTCTCTTCAAGGTCCTTCTCGAGTTGTTTCTCTTTTTCTTCACTCTTTTTAATTTTCTCATTAAACTTTTTAACTTTTGCTTCCAAATTTTTCTTCTTCACGGCCCAAATCAATAAACACACAGCAACAAACAAGACACCAAAGGCCCTTATTCCTCTATAAATTACTTTTTTCAACATTACTTCTGCATCTTTTCGTGCTTCTAATTCCTTTTGTAATTGTTCTCTCTTTTGTTTTAATGTTTCTGGGGTGTCCAAATTGATTGGGGTGTGCAAATTTGAAGTATCCAATATTGTTGAATTTTGCTCTTGTTGTTCTGTAGCTTGTGTTGAAGGGTGTTCGGGATTTTGTTGATTGGATGGCTCCGATGGAGATGATGGCGATGATGATTGAGAATTGGCAAATGTCTCTGGTGTTGAACTTGTCTTCGAATATAAATTAAAGGAATTCAATGAGTAACATCGGATTTGATGATAAATTAATCGTGATGAATAGTTTCGAGAGGCCAACGAGCTCAAATTCGAAATGAGATGTAATTTAGTCATTTTTTTCAATTACACTTTTGTATTAAAAGGTGGTACATGCTTGCTTGTTAGACCTTTATACGTTTTAATCTATTGATAAATTCAATTCCCTCTTCCAACTGTTTGGTAATTTACATTGAGACATGAGTTGTGTGACAAACTTAATCTTTTCCTTCCTAGTAATGATATTGTGAGAAATGCATGAATCAATAAAGGTCATCAATTTCAAATTAATGAATTGCAGGACAATCTGATTTTTGAGAGCATCGCTGTGTTCAAGGGATGGATACCATTCAATCCAAGGTATCACTGATTTAGATAAAATAGATATGACTAGATGGATTGCTTGAGTGACAAGCTCGTTATTCAGTGTCGCAATTGATGGAAATTTAAATTCATGGATTGTAGTGCTCAATCTCTTTTGAATTGCTTCAGATATTTTTGATTCTTCCTTGGTGTTAGAGCCTTCAAGATATATTTTGTATTCCTTAATCAATTGCATGAGCTTGGGTGACTGTTCAACATCCATTGGATTGTAGATTTTAGAAATGGTATGCAACAGGATGGAAATCATAGATTTTCGAATCACTTCAGGAAGTAAATTTTCTGGTTCCGCCTCCATAGTTACTTCTCCGTAATTAAATAATTCTTTCCAAAATGTGAATTTTGTGAAATCTGTACACTCTAGCGGAGAGACACTCCATGCGGGTAAGTTGATAGTGTCGTTATTAGATGTCTTATACTCTGTTAAACACCCTGAAGTGAAAAGTTCCCATCTCAATAAGATTACAAATACATTGTGCAGGCATAGACTACAATAGGTGTCTCTGTACAAGGAGGGATACTTCTCTTTCCAACCTTCAAAACGTTTCTTTAGCGAGGGTATTGAAATGTACTCCTCATTGACATCGTCAAACACTTGTTTCATCTTCTCAACCAATGTGTTCATTTCGCTTAAAAACCGATCATTGGTCATTTCGGCTTCGCCATCTCCACCAAATGCAACGGCTCTCTCGTATTGTGTTTCTCTGTACGATGGCATATAGGTAACATGGCCATGAAAGGACTTTTCAAACAGTTGTTGGTAATATCGTTCTTGCAACTCAAATATTTGAGATTCAAGCATTTCAATTTCTGGTAATTTAGTGTCCAACAGATCAGCCAATTCATCCACGAATTTGTTCATTTCCTGGAAATAGGTATATTGTTCCTCATATTGTTGGCCGTCTTCATTGAGCTGTGAGAGCATGCGAGCACTCTTTTCAATTTCTGTATTGGTTTCAATGATCACCTGCTGCATTTTGTCATGTGAAATTTCAAGCTCTTTCATTCTCTCGAGTAATTGTTTTTCAACAGTTTCAAAGGATTCAATAACTCTCTTGTCATCCTTCTTGGATGAAAACTTCAAAATTGAGGCCATGAGTTTCTTTTTTTCGATATCCTTCTCACGTTGTTCCTTTTCAATTTCTTCACTAGGTTTGAATAAATTAGATTGTGTAATAATATTTTGCTTATGCTCAGGAACCGATAATCCTGCGTTTCTCATTTGATTGAGTTCGTATTGGCTAAATTCCTTCATTTTCTCGTCGTCCTCTTCGTCAATCATGTCGACGTCTTCAATTTCAATATTACCAATGGATTCCTTAACATCTCCCTTATTTCTATCATCATTTGGTGCTCCAAACTTTATCTTCGCATCTTTCCAAGTTTCAAATACTTCTTCTTCCTTGTTAATAATTTCATCTACTGCGTCTTCTGCTTCATCATCCTCTCGCACTAATCTACTTGTTGGTTGTTGTATTTTATGAAGAACCACGTCTCCGTGTTTTGTCACAATTGCCCTCGTGTATCCTGGTTCTTCTTTAGCAGATTGACCTTTATATCCTAGTCCAGCCTTTTCAGGAATGGATGAATCGAGCGGAATGTAATCTGAGGTGGCCTCAGATGATTCTAGCATTTGAGTAGAACTTGCTTCTCTCAGCTTTTTTCTTTTCATCTTAATTGCCTGTATTGTAATATCGTCAGGAATTACAGTGCCACCTCCAGCATTGACATTCGTAGCATGGTCATCCTGAGGCTGCAAAACTACAGCTGTGTCTTCGGGCTTAATGGCAACAATCTGTCCCATATTTGATGTCACCTCATTGTTATCTTCAAAGCCTGATTTTTCCTCTCCTTCCATAACATCCAAAATATTAGTGTGTCTTTTTCGTTTGCGAAGTTCAGAGGTTGAAAATGTGGATTGTTGTTTTGTAACTCTCATTGATTTTGGCTTGTATGATATGCCATCATCGTCCTCTTCTCCATATTTTCGTTCCACTGATTGTGGTGGCTTATTCACAGTAAATTTAATACCACCTTCCGAAGATGATTTATCTTCCTCCCCATACATTTCCATTAAATTTAAAACATTTGTAACAGATGTAGTTTTTCTTGAAGAAGATTTGGCTCCTCCAAGTTTATACTCTGCACTTTCCTCCAACACTTGTCGAATAACATCTTGTTCCGAAACTTTTTCTTCCATTCCTTGCTTTACAAATGGTTCATGATTTCCTTGATCATTATCATGAGTATGTTGTACCATATCATCATCTTCATGTCCTCTCCGAACATTCCGAGAAGAGATGGATTTTGCAGATCGTTTCTTGATCATTTTTTTTAAAGTTTCAGATTCATCATTCGCTTCGTTGAAGATGAACGTTTTTGAAAATTTTTTCATCCCACAACAACCGGCTTGGATTCAAGATGTTCGGATGCTGCAATGTGTCAATGTGCCAAAACACCTTAACTCACATTAAAACAACGACATTCTCGAAGGTCAGACTCTGAAGACACGCCGTCCTATTAGGGTTCGATTCAAAAGGATGTCCATAGAGACCCTTGAGGTGCTTCTTAAGTGGCAAGTGAGGCACTAAAATGTCGCACCATGTCAATCCAGATTCACACAATGCTTTGAGAGTTTTCATTTCTTTTGACCCAACACTCGAACAAAATATCTTTCTTTTAGAAACACCTCCATGATGCTGATGACATTTTGATTTTGATTGAACCATCAATGCATGACTCAGTAACCTTCTTTTTCAAAGACACGTGTGATCGAAGGAGACTTGTTGAACCTTCTTCAGTTCCTGTTGGGAGACTTAACATCTTTTGAAAAAATGAGTAAACCATCGTCCAAGCCCAAACTCTCCGTTCTTGCCCTCTCTGCTGGCAATGCCCACTTTGGAGATCAAATCGGAAATCAACTGTATGAAGATTACCTCCCATCATTAATGGCTGCACAATTAAATTGTGCCCAGTATTTTGATGTAGAATTGGATAATAAAAGTGGTAGCGCTTCATCTTCCGATGATCGTAAGGTGGTGTCCGAGAGAGAATATGCTGAACAACTTACGTCATGCTTGGCTGAGAGTTTATGCCCAAAAACGTTTGTGAAACAATCACATGGATGTGTCTCTAAACTTATCAAAATGAATGCAGAATGGACACCAAATCTTGATAAGAATACTGAAAATGAATTTAGAAAGGATCTGAAAGAATGTTTCTCGGATGTCAAGGAATGTGTTGCAGAATTCATTCTACATGGATCTGTTAACGAAAAAAAGTAACTTACTTTATTGTTCTTCATTCTGTGTGGAGTATGGAACTTTTGTAGTGTTATCGTCATCAATTCGTCCATTCCTAGTTCAGGATGTGTTTTTGTATATTTTCGATATTTAAGGCCCAGTCATGACGTCAGGTACTGGTATCAGTTGTAAAACTCATTGGAGTTATAATTCTCTCACTTTTGAGGTTGTTAATCACTAAGGATAATGAAACCAATTATTTTTGAAACCTATTGGAACTTGACAACTCAAATATGCGTTTCTTTCAATCCAACAAAATCTGAGTGGTTTATCTTTCCACTCTTCTGCATAATCAATGTTAATTCTGGGGCATGACGCTATTTTGTACCTTGTAGATTGCTTCTTTGAAGAATCGACAGTGATTTCAGCAATGTTCATTTCAGAGCTATCAAGCCGCTGACTCGTACAAGCTCTATCACTTATTGTCAATTCCTCCAAAAAGATCTCCTCAGATTGTTTCATATCTATTCCATCATGCTCCTCCCTTGACAATTTTAATGCATGGCATAATCGAGCTGGTCCAGCACAAACATTATATTTTGAAATGTTTTCTGCCTTCAAAGAGGGATTCATGCCCAATCTGTGTTGTTTCATTAAATCAAAATTTTCGAGAACGGGCTCCAATGCCCGAATGAGAACACCAGCTCCAACTCCTTCCTTTTTTGCACTGGTGATATTGAAACAATCGTTTTGTCCTCGAAATGATTTATAGATATAGACATGACCTGCTGGAAGATACATGCTCTTATTCTTTTGTGACTGTTTTCCAAGATAGGTATGGGATGCTTTATCATCATCACCCAGATACGCCTCTTCGGATCAGCATGAGTATGTTTTCATTCAACAATTTCTACAAACAATTAACTCATCAACTCACCCACTTCAACGATAACACCAGAAACTCGTTTCTGGTTTACCACATGAACCATCACCTTTCCAATGAGCTCTTTGGCTAACGTTTCGCAATCCGTATCGTAAAATTCAGCAGTAACTCTTGCTGCAGTTGCTGGAAGCATTTTTTTGTGATGCAATTTCAGATCTCAATGCTTCGAGATTTTGAATTTTACTCTCCACTTTCGCTATGGTTGATGATCAATCTCATTTAATTAGGGAAGAGCTCGTGCTTGCGTGTAAGAACTTTACAATACACAGCTAACGTCATCTGCAAAAAAATGCCAATAATCATTGACCTTCATTCCGATTTGATTTTTCACGTGTTGAGCTTTTTAGAGGGACGAGAGGTACTAAATATTCGACAATGCTCTCACCTATTTTATGATTGTTATATGGAGTATCGCAAACAAATTTGGAGAAATTTATTGCAACGAGTATTTCCCAACTTTTTTGACAAAATGAAAGACTATTTAGAATTAGACTCCTCTTTGTTAGCTGATGACAATTTCCGATCAAAAGAAAATATCGGATCTTCACTACTATGTGAGTCTACAGAAAGGACAGAACCCACATGGATTGATTATTTTGATTTGTATTTTAAAGCATTGCTGCATTTTGAATTGAAGGGCAATTTCAAGTTGAACGTACTGAACCCGCTGAAGATCGCTGATGGCCTCTCTGAAAAAGGAATACCCAATTCTCCATCCACACGTGGAACTAACCAACCATTGCAATCAAATTCATCTCCAACTCTAGATTTTATGAATCAAATTCTTCCAGTGTCGTATAGCTGTTTCATGAAAAAGTTTAGAAATCTTGAAGGCTATTTGCCCAACAACAATGTTCTTTCAAGGCTCACTGCAGAGGAGAGAAGTGTTCTCGAAGCCATGACCAATAAGAAAAAGTATCTACTGTTCAGTCGATTTAACGACCCAACGTTTTCATTGGTGGATGTGGAGGCAAGGCAAATTGTTAAAAAGTTCACAGGTCACAAAGGCACAGTGCTCGATATCAAATGTCTATTCATGGATCCATTTAATTTAAAGTCAAAGAATGTTGGATCTGGAACTTTCTACCTCAACACTACTTCATCATCATTTAACAACAGAATAATATCAGCGTCCAGCGATCAAACAATCAAGATATGGAACTTCACAACAGGAAACCTTATTGAAAGCCTAACTGAGCATAAGGGAAGCGTAGTGTCTATTGAGAGCATGAGTGAAAATATTGTGGCGAGTGCTTCTCATGATTTGAGCATCAAGTTTTGGGATATTAATGTTGGAAAATGTATTCACACCTTACCTGACGTTCATGAACGACTTCTCTACAAGATACAATACAACAACTGGAATAACCTTCTTTCCTCATGTGGTAAAGATGGAAAGGTTAAGATATTTGACACCCGTACCGCTGCACGTTCCCCAAAGCCTGTTAAGGTTTTGGAACACAAGAAAGATGGAAATGACGAGCTACTATCTGTGTATTCTATCGCCATGAACTCTCACAGTATTTCTTGTGGTGGTAAAGATGGTTTATTTACCATTTATGATCTTCGCAATTTGAACCAACCATTGCTGAAGAAATCATACTCATCTCCAGTGGACAGAATATTTTGTGACGAACTTAAAGTCACTCTTTTTGAGGCTTTCTCCTGTAAGGTCATTGATTTATTGACATTACAAGAGAAGACTATTAACGAGCTCGAAAATAGGCAAGCCACTTACTGTGTTTCCCTGGGCAGTGAGTTGTTTATTGACTATGGCACAATGGTCACACAAATCGACAATCAAGATCTTTGTCTCGTTGACTTTTTCTAACGTGTCTGTGTGGATTTTCACTACTCTTCATAAATTGAATTAGGCCCGTTTCGTTTCTTCCAACACAAACTTTTGAAAGTAATACCCTTGATTCAAAACCAAATTTTGAAATTTGTGTAAACCAAGTGAATGATTCGAGTATAGTATATCTCTGCATTTCCCTTACTGATGGTAGACATTTTGGTTTTTTGAAGGGATTGCAAACCGCGCCAAAAATTTACTGGTTTTTTCTTTCAAAAAAAATCATGACAACCACCTTTCTTGATCTGTCTCCAAGCTTGGTGCTGCAAAGCTTCTTCGAGGCCAGAAGGTAAGACGATACACTGTGCCACTGAGATCGGAATTGATGATTAACAACAATTTTATTGTAGGGCTGCCGAGGCCAATAGAGAAAGAGAAAACAATGCTGCAATTCTTATTCAAAAAACCTATCGGAGATGGATTGTGCGAAGTGCTTTTTTAAAGTATCGACATCAGGTTATAACGATACAACGAGTGTTTAGAGGATATTTGTATGGCAGAAAACTCAAGCGACAATTGTTAGCAGAAAGAAACAAGCAAGAGAGAGAACAATTCTATCATTACTGTGCATCACAAATCCAAAGAATTTATCGAGGATATCATGTTCGTAAATATGTACACAATTTTTACAAGAGAAAAGAGTATTTGGAGTTTGTACAACAACAAAATGCAACAGTGAGCGAATATGTGGAGCAATATCGAAAAATCAGAGAGGAAGAAATCGCTGATGAAAAGGAAAAGACCGATTTCAAACGATTTCAAGAATTATCGAAATCTTTGCACCACCTTGTCAGTACAAAAACCATTCCTGGTGTCTACAAACCTAACCATAGATATATTTCAGAAGAGACAGTGTATGGAATTCCTGTTGAGGATCAACTGAGATATGTGGCCAAAATAGAATACATCAACACACTTTCAAAGAGTAGGGCTGTACCAATCAACAGTACACTGAAATCAACTAGCAACACTGAGCTCAAATCCAATCCCTCCCTCACTTATTTATATCCAGATCAATTAAAGACGAGTACATCTGGTAGTAGTACCATTGAAAAGGAGAATTCCATTCCTGCCATTGACCAACGAGACAAAATGCGACTAAGAGACAAACGATACGGACCCTTTAAATTGCCAGAAGATCTGTCAACCATAAAGAACAAGACCTATGATAGAAGTATTCAGAACGCATGTAAATATGACCTTGATAAGGAAGTCAACAGATTTGACAACATGGTCGAAAAACAAACACGAGGTATGATTTTGATTTTCAATTTTGCAATTCTCTCATCACAATTATTTCAGTATCAACACAAGAATATATTACATACAAAAAACCAACTCAAAAGATCCTTGGAGAAACTGTTACAGGTTCAGGACAGTTCAAACCACCAGTACGAGCCGTAACACGAAAGGACGAAAAAGACAAACATTTAGGCTCTGCATTCAAACCAACAATCACCAAACCTGGTGTATTCGACTCTTCAACAATACCTTTTGTAGCCACAACCGTGCCCTATGCTTATAGTAAAAGGTGATATCATATTTGAATTTACCCAACAGTCAGATGCATTTCAAGTATTTGAAAAAATGATTAAAAAGCTTTCGCTTAACGACGAATATCTCATAAGAAGTGGTGTTCAATGCTCCTCCGTTAAAGATATTGTGATGAGGCTTGTTGAAAATTGTATGTATTATTGGTATTCTTATATGGAGCCATACTTGACAATAACCAAGCAATGGAGGCTAATGCAACTGATATTTCAGTAACAATAAGAACACAACCTGAATTTAGTTTTGAGGTTCGGGATAATGGTTGCGGAATATCATTTGCTGATATGAAACAGGTAGGAGACTCCAGATACTGTAAGTATAGTTTATGAATTTCAAGAGAAATACTTTCCAAATAACAGTAACTTCCAAAAGCAATGCAAAGGGAGAATCGCTTCATTCCATAATTAAGACTTGCAACACATGCATCATTTCAAAGCGTGCGAATTTTCCAAAAGCTTTTAAAAAAGTGTTTGAAGACTCTGTTTCATCAACTGTTCGCGCTTTTCCAACCTGGAATTATGGTGATTCCGGAACAGTTATATCATGCTCCAATTTGTTTTTCCACTTTCCAGTGAGAAAGAAGATGCTTGCCCAGACACTTTCCCAAAGCTTGAACGACGTGGTAGAATTCATAAAACAAACCTCACTAGTGTCATTGGATAAATCCTTTTGTTTGGTGGTGGACGATGGGCTGATAGCAAATGTTAAGACATCCACGTTGGCTCTCTCAAATCCTGGACAAGCGCTTCTGGATAGGTTCGAACAATATCATGGAAGGGGAGAAAATGCAGTGGTGATTTCACGAAGAGAGTTTGACGGGGTTTTTGTTTCAGGATTCTCTGCAACTTCACAATCTCGATGCGTTCAATATGCTTTTGTGAACAACAAGAGTTTGGATGTCGAAAAGTTCACCAAAAAGGATGAGTTTTGTTTTGATTATGTTCTTGTTGCTGAATGCCCTACTCAAGATTGGAGCACAATTTATCAAGCTCTCCGGAATGCGTTGTTTTTTTGCAAAATGGGACCAATCTCTGTCCCAATTACTTCAGAACAACTGTTTAAATTGGAGAATGAAGAGAAAGAATTCAAGCCAACTAGTCTCTCGTTATTTAACAAGCTCTATGGAAACGCCTCACGACAACCGAGCCTCATCCAAACAAAGAAGGGAATCCATGAGCTAATGGAACACGCTATACAACAGAGAGGTCTACCAATGAAGAAGAACAGGAGCCCCTCGTTAAGCAATGGTGTTCGCCTTGAAAAATTAAAATACGAGAGAAACGAAATTTCGTCGTTCAAGTTTAATAAGGAACATCTTGCAAGATTAAGCGTGATCAGACAAATTGCAAACAAATTCATTATTGCGCTCTTGAAAGATCAAAACAATATCTTAATAGTTGCCATTGATCAACACGCTGCAGACGAAAGAATTCGATTGGAAAACTTTGAAAATGCCATTTTGGACATAGTTCACAAGAAGCCTGGACCCAAAGTTTGTCCAGTACAGTATTCCCAAACCATATCCATGAGCTCTGAGAACGGCAATTTGCAGAATCTCCTAACAACCTTTCAAAGAAAATTAGAAGATTGGTTTTGGCGTTTTGAGATTATAACCAAAGAGCACAACAAGGCGTCACTGCACGTCAAAACAGTCCCTTGTCTGTTCATTGAAAATGAGACAGTCACCCTTAATCACGAAGATATGATGTCATTTCTTTCTGAACTCGAGTACGATTCCAGCTCATGGATTCCCAAACGAATTCATGAAATTATGAACTCTAAAGCATGCAGAGGAGCAATCATGTTTGGTGACGCTCTTTCCAACGAACAGTGTCGTGAATTAATTCAAAAATTATCTCAATGCACATTACCATTCCAATGTGCTCATGGTCGACCCAGTAAGTAGCAACAGATTAGAAACTCACCAAATTAATCAATTTACCATGAAGCCATTGGCATCCTTGCAAAGATACCTCAAATATCGGAAAATAGAAGTGTGATTGCCACCCAATTGTGAATGAAGGTTCAATTATCGAAATCTCCACAACGACGCCCTCACATAAAAAATGTCTCAACACGACGTTGCTGCCTCCTCCTCGAGCAATACCAGCACCACCTCCTCAACTAATACTCCGAAATCACAAAACGATGACCTCATCTTTGCCAAAGATCCAGATACTAAAATCATTTGGTTAGATGGTTGTTTTGATATGATGCACTTTGGTCACGCAAATGCCATCAGACAAGCCTACAACTTGTTCCCAAAGGTTAAACTTTTGGTCGGTGTTCACTCCGATGAGGAAATTCTCAGACACAAGGGACCAACAGTGATGAAGGCTCAAGAACGTTATGAACATGTGAGAAGTTGTAAATGGGTTGATGGAGTGATTGAAGATGCTCCTTACGTGACGGAACTTGAAATGCTCAAAAAGTATAATGTCGACTATTGTGTTCATGGTGATGATATTTCCTTTGATGAGAACGGAGAAGATTCATACAAGAGTATCAGACAAGCTGGTTTGATGATGATTGTTCCAAGAACAGAAGGTGTGAGCACCACAGATATTGTCGGAAGAATGTTGAAATTATCCAAGTACAGAGAATTGGTAGAGCAAGGAATTGATCCAAGCACCATGGGTGACGAATTGAAACCACAAAGCGAAATTGATCAAACTTCTGTTTCACCTTATACTCGTACTAGACAACATTATCCATCTGTTCATCAAATTCGTCAATTCTCGGAGAAGATGAATCCACCTCCACCAGGAGCAAAGATTGTCTATGTCGACGGTGCTTTTGATATGTTCCACACTGGTCACGTAGAATTTTTGAAGGAAGCCAGAAAATTTGGAGATTATCTCATTGTAGGATTGCATGAGGATAAGGTCATTGCTCAATTTAAAGGTCCTCATCACCCAATCATGAATATTCATGAAAGATTATTGAGTGTCTTGTCATGCAGATATGTCGATGACGTCATCATTGGAGCTCCATTCATTGTTACTCAAGATTTAATTGATGTTATGAAGATTTCTGTGGTCATCTCGGGAACTGTTAAGGAACCAGAAGTCAAAGTAGATCCATTTGAATTGCCAAAGAAACTAGGAATTTACCGACAAATTGAGTCACCATGTCCAGAACTGACCACCACAAATATCATCAATCGAATTATCGATAACGCAAAAAGATACGAAGAAAGAAACAGAAAGAAGCAAGCTAAAGAAATTCAAGGCATTGCCAACTTGAACACCAACTAAGATCATGCTGGGTTCTCCATATTATAAAAATCATCTTTTGTAATGGAATTCACCATAACTCCGGACAAAAAATGTCAACACACCACTCTCTCATTCGCTTTGGCATTCTTGGTACAGGTCGAATTGCTCATGACTTTTGTCTTGCTTTCAAATCCATGCTCATTCAAAAACCACATCTTGCATGTAAAATACACGGAGTGGCCACACGAAACAATTTAGAAAAATCTCAACAATTTTCACAACTGCATGAAATTCCCCACGCCTTTGACTCGTATGAATCCATGATGAAACATTCAGAAATTGATATTATTTATGTGGCAACACCAACTTCGGAGCATTATGCTCATGTGAAAAAATGTCTCGAACATGACAAGTCGGTCTTGTGTGAAAAAACGTTTACACTCAACTATGAACAAGGACAAGAATTGTTTGAAATGGCTCGTAAACGAAATTTATTTCTCATGGAAGCCAATTGGATGCCATTCTTTCCGCTCTTTCAGAAAATGATTCAGCTCGTTCGAGATGGAACCATTGGTCAAGTCAAGCTCATTGAAGCAAGTTTAGGATTCCAGAACAATCATGAAATGAATAAGGGATTAGTGGATGCTAATTTGGGAGGTGGTGCATTGTTGGCATGTGGCATTTATCCAATTTCATTGTGTTGCTTTGTGTATGATTGTTTTAGGCCACAAACAGTTCAATCGGTAGCTAGCTTTGTGAATCAAGTGGATGAAACAGTCAGTTGTCAATTGGCTTTTTCCAACAATTCTCAATTGGCCAATGTCGTCACTAGTATTGGAGCCAATTTGAAGAGTGATGCAACAATTTATGGCTCCAAGGGAACCATTCATTTGCATCCCATGTGTTGTTGTTCCTTAAAGATGTCCGTTTCATTATCAAATTCACAAGAAGTAATTTATGAGGAACCACTTTATAATCATGTAAATGGATCGAATTTTAACTTTCCAAATTCAGAGGGACTTGGCTATGAAATTGAACATGTGGTGGAGTGCATGAAGAGTGGAAAGATAGAAAGTGAAATCATGACCCATAAAGTGACATTGGAAACTCTCAAAATTTTGGATCTCATTCGGTCTCAAATTGGTTTGAAGTATCCGCAGGAAAATAATCAACCATGAATGCATGGTAAAATGAATTCCAAGTTAATATAACATGAATTTAAAGTCAAAGTAACAGCAGAACAGTAAGGACTTATTTTCATTCAAGAATACAATCATGCACACTCATTTATTGCTTAGTCTGTCTTAATATCGTTCAATCCAAGATCTTCATTTTGTTCAAATGTTCTATCATAGTGCTCAATGGTCAAGAATGGATCGTCATCAGGAGCGAATAAATTTTGAATATAGCTGTTGGAGACAGGATCATCAATAATAAGAGTCCAAGGGAGGAGCTTTCCGTTTTGCATGTCATCGAGTGTAGCCAAGAATCGACTAAACGTTTCCTTTTCTCTGGTGCTGTCACCCACTCTAAATTGATTGACCTCAGTGAGCTTGTCCTTAATGTTCATCAAAAGACCTTCAACAGTTGTAAATTTACCACCTAGAGAACCTTGAGCAACGTGCAATTCAAGTTCTGGAATGTCTAATGAAGCTGTCTCGCTCTTCAAAATGTCTCTACTCAAGTCTTCAGGATTGGAAACTTTGAGAGTGATCTTGGTAGCTTGTGGAGAAATGGCACCTCCTGCTCTAACCTCAGTTGTCTTGTATCCACAATGATCACATTTGAATGCCATTAAAATAATTTCTTTAAAGTATGGAACAACGAGAGGCATCATTCTCAAAATACCCTCAGTACCACAGCCATAACACTTTTCGGTGAATGTGAAAATTTCATCTGGCGTGCTCAACTTTTCTTGAAGCAATTCAGCATCTTTCTCGTTGGTAATGATCGATGAAAAACTAGCAAGTAGTTGCTTCTCATTGCTACTTGTTGCTGTGGGCTTTGTTGCCTCTGGTTGCTGTTGTTGTCCCTCTAAGTAATGTTGAGCTCCAAGAGAAAGACCCATCTTTTCAGTTTGTTCCGTATTTCTAACGTAATGCTTCATTAAGATTTGAGGATCGTGTGGTGTGACTAATTTTTCAATGTTAGAATTTCCAGAATAATCATCGATAATCAGAGTGAATGGGAAAGCTTCTCCAGAAATTAATTTTCTTGCTCTTTCAATAAATTCGTCAATCTTTGCTGCAACAGCTGGCTGTACCACTCTTCTAGCTGGTTGATTTTCCAACAAGTTTTCAATAGCTGTTGAGATTACTCCTTCAACAGTGGTCAATGTGCCCTTTTGAGTGTTTTCTGGAATTTCAAAATCAATTTCTGGTATTCTCAAAGTAGCATAATCAGACTTGACAATTTGTCGATTCAAATCTTCCTTCTTTTCAACGTGCAAGGTGACTGTAACACCATAAGAACCATAAGAGCCTCCGAATTGAACCTCTTGATTTCTCAAACCACAATGAGGACAACTAAAGCTTGAAATAATTACTTCTCTAAAGTGAGGAATTTTGGTAAATAACAAACGTGTAACACCATTCTTCTCACATCCAACGCAAAAACTTTCAATCTCCAAAGGCATATTATCATCAGCACCTAAATTATGGAAAAGAGGCTCTTCCGATGAAGTAAATTGTTGTTCTACGGTTTCTTGTTGTTGTTGAGTAGAGGATGATGAAGATGAGGCTTGATGATCATCCACATCGTTGAGAGTGGTACTTATTGAATCTTCAACAGCATTTTCTGTTTTGTTCTTATCAACATCATTGAGAGAAATCATCTCGTAATTGTTTGATTAATTTCAGCAAAAAAAGAAGAGGATTTAATGGTTAAAAACAACTGATATTCGTTTATAGGAATGAAGGTGCAATATCGGAATGAATGCTCTTTCTCGTGTGATGGTGGCTGAGTATGTAACTGACAACTCTAAAGACAATTTTTTTCATCAAATCTTTTGAAGCCTCCGAACAATTTGGATTTTTACATCTTACATTTCCTATTTGAACATCTCAGTACGAGCACAATAAACATCACATCGATTTCAAATTCACATCATTTTCTTCATCGTGTACTTCTTGTTCCTCTGTGAATGTTTTCAAACGATTTCCTTCTTCATCAAAAACATACTTTCCAACACCATAGAATAGGTCATCCAACACACTTTTTGGAGATTTTCCTTCAATTAAACAACCACACGAAACACAACTTCCCAATACTTCTCGTACCACTCCTTTAAGATTCTTGGCTTTTGATCGAGGTCTCATCAATTGTGCAATTTCCAACACTTCCTCCATTGAAAGACTCTGTTTAGACAAGGCTACATGTTTTCCAAAATATGTTCTCTTTTCATTCAACTTTTTAATGATTAATGCAGAAGCTGTTGGAACTAATTCCAAGGATTGTATGCGTCCACTCTGATTCAATGTTGCTTCAATATTAACTTTTGAATGATAACCTTTCGAGAGACGACCAGCATCTGCACTGACCGTGCGAGCTTGAGCATAGTTTTGAAATTTTGGTACAAGAACTGCAGTATTGGGTCCATCACCGGGAAAGAAACGAACTCTTATTTTCTGCTGTTGAGGAGGAACTGCAATGAAGACTGAGGAATCTTCTACGGAAGAGGATGTTCCTGTTGGTGTAGCTGTGGTCACAGGATTCAACGCTTTGCGAGTTTTAGATTTCAGCTTCAACGACATTTTTTCAAAGAGTTGATCTTGAGCTGTCAAATCCAAAATGCTTTGTGAGGTTCATCAGTGAAGCAAAATTGGAAAGCTGTCAAGACTACTTGATCAGAAAACAATGAACAAGAAAAGTTTTCCAAACTACATAAATGCAACGATGAAACAAGAAACGTTGATCTGTGCAACAAATTGGCCTTGTCTCACTCTTCAATTCATTGTCGTTATCTCCTATCGGGCTCCTTGAAACTGGTTTGAATTTTCAAAAAAAATGATTTCATTCTTAGCCTTGATAGCTATCGTGTATTTTGTAATTTGTTTTGTGTGGGATCAAATTCCGTAAGTACAGAAAATAGTATGAAAGTGGATCATACGAGCAAGAGATTGTTTGTCCTTCATGATGTCATAATTCTATGAATTTTAAAAATTGCAATTATTTTTTGATGATATTTCGGGAATGATCATTCTAGACCTAGGATGAGTGCAAGAAGAAAAATAACCATGTCAGGTTGGGGAGCTCCATCGGAACCTGCTACTGTATGTTTCAAGGTCGTTGTGTTATGATCACTCATTGAAAAACTATTCATTCGTTGAAAAAAATTTATTGATTCTGTAACTCATATATTCAGTACGGAGCTGTCACAGTTAATGTTGATCACATTGAGGCAGTTTTGGAGAAAATTTCAAAGAAAACTGGTCAAAAACTTACACTTACTCATTTTGTTGCTAGAGCTTTGGGCCTTGCGATTGAGGCTTGTCCTGAAATTAATCATCGCATGGTTTTAGGAAAATTGTTACCAAACAAGACAGTAGATATCAGCTTGTTGGTTGCATGTGAAGATCCTGTCACAAAGAAGAATGATTTGGCCAATGTCACTATTAGATCTATCAACAAAAAGACACTTAAAGGAATTAGTGATGAAGTTATTAAAGGAGCAGAGAAATTGAGAGCGGGTAAGAATGAGCATCACAAAAAGACCAATCAACCAATGAGACTCATTCCTAGCGTTCTTGCTGGTCCATTGATTTCACTTTCTTCATGGCTAGCTTGCGCTTTGCAAGTTGATATTCCAGCATTTGGATTGCAAGCACATCCATTTGGAACATGTATCGTTACAAGCGTTGCCGGGTAAGTGTTTATCCTAATATTTATCGCTTGAAGTGAACTCGTTGTTAGCTTCGGTATTGAGGAAGGTATGTAACACCATATCTTGAGAATTTAGTTACATTAATGAACATTTTCCTCACAGGATTTGTCCCATTGGCTCCATTCACAAGATGTCCTTTGTTTGTGTGTATTGGAAAGGCTGTGAAAAGACCTACTGTCGATGAGGATACCAATGAAATTGTTATAAGAAAACAAATTAAGATTTCTGCTACAACTGATCACCGTTATGTTGATGGAAAAGAAGGTAAATTATTTTGTCCAATAGTTGTATTTATGATAACAATTATCAATGATAGTTGGAAAGGTATGTACTTGTTTCATCTTGAGTCACCCATTTTCACACTCTACTTTTCACAATAGCTTGTCATGAAATTCCTCGATGTGTGCAACAATTTGGAAAAGTATATCGACGAAGATCAAGAATGCCTTTAAAATGTTGCCTTTCATGTTGTGAAAATAGATTAGCACTTTCACTGAGAATTGTCATTGTTTATATTTACATATTAAATTATTATGGTAATATTTTCTTCAAAGCATCCTTTTGTTGATTGCTAAGATATCTAGGGAACATAATATTGGGCTTAATAATTAAGTCACCTTTTTGATCTGGATCTTTTGAAAGAGGCATTCCTTCACCAGAGACAATCTTTGTATATCCAGGTTCTACAATATCATTAATAGGTATCCTTAACACCCTATCATCAAGAGTTTTAACCTCTATCACAGAGCCAGAGAGTGCTTCTTTTAGTGATATGCTTGGAGAGTAAATTAAGTTATTTCCATCTCTTTGGAAGGTGCTGTGTGGCAATTCATCAATTTCAAATACGACATCTGCTGGAACAATTCCAGGAGCTTGATCTCCTTCCTTTTCGAATCTAATTTTCGTACCTTTTTTAAAGCCTCTCTTAATTGGGAATGTTAATATCTTGGATTCCTTTCGTACGGTTTGTCCATCTGGATTTAACACTTGTTTTGTAATCTTTATCCTCTTTGTTTTTCCTTTGTATAAGTCTTCGAGTGAGCAGACAACTTTTTGGACAACATCTGGTGCTTTGCGAGGGCCTCGTTGTTGTGTTGACTTGAAGAACGATGATCCTGGACCAAACGAGAATGACGTTCCAAAATCGTCTCCGTCCTCAAAGCCGCCTCCCATATTGAACATTGAATCAAAAGGACTTCGTGCACCAAAGAACTGTCTGAATATATCTTCGGGATTTGAGAAGTGGAATGATGCTCCACCAGTGGTAAATCCTCCTGAGGCTCCACTACTTGGAATACCTCCCTTCAATCCCTCTTCTCCATATTGATCATAAATTGCTCTCTTATTGCTGTCGCTTAAAACTTCATAGGCCTCCGCAATTTCTTTAAACTTTTCTTCGGCCATCGTCTTATTGTCTGGATTTCGATCGGGATGCCATTTAAGCGCAAGCTTACGATAGGCAGATTTAATGTCCTTTTCGTTGGCACTTCGGGCTACTCCCAGAATTGAATAATAGTCTTTTCCCATTTGATCTTGAATGTTTCAACGAATAATAATCTCGGTATGAAGAAAATATTTGAAAATTCGTTATGATGCAACGATTGGCCAATCGTTTTTGTGATGTTTTTAATTTTACGCGCGAAATATGCAATCGTAAATTTTCAATAATGAATGATTCCAAAAGAGAGAGTTGAGTCAAGACAACGATTGGACGCTCGATTATAGTTGAACAAGTAAAAATTCTGCTTGTTTTTTTTGAATGGACAATATTTATCATGATCGGAAAGAGTGAGTGGTGCATTGATACAATTCCGATTGATACAAAAATAATTCCGATTTGGATGAAACCTATTTATGGGTTCCTTATTCATCTTCGTTGGGCCAACCAAAAGGCTTTGAATTAGGTTCTGTTTCTCTGATGCAGCTTGGCTTCCATTGAGGATGAGTACAACTAACAATTACTGCTTGCCTGATATCTTTGCAAGGTTAACCTCGAGTAAAAAGCATGACATTTCCAAAAGCTTGAATATTCTGAAATTACATCATTCTTGGAAACGAGTTTTTGAAAAATTCTCTCAAATTGGAAACGAGTTGAGAATTCAACTCTTCCTCTGGTGGTTGTTCTTGAGGTAATTCCTCTTCTGAATGATTGGCATGAAGAAATAGGAACACAGATGGAGCATTACATTGTTCCACTTTCTCAAAATCGACTGATACAGGTGAATCAAGAACGAGTGGTTGTGTAGAATTCTGCAAAGACAACTCTTCGTTGCTTGAATTTGTCATGGAAAAGGAGAAGGTTATGGACCACACAAATTTACAAACTTCTTCAATACTCGATCCAGCAGCTCTTGGAGTTTGTATTGTGTTGAGGAGATCTTTTGTTCGAGAGTCACTTTGACAAAGTCTTTCAGCTCTTCGATGAATAATTTCTAGACTCGGCGATGAGGAGGAATTGTTGTCACTATTGTTGTGATTGAAATTCACCTCAATCACCCACATTCGTCCATCAAATATACGTGCTCTTCCTCTATATGCAACTTTTAGTTTGGATTTCAACTGAATGACAAACGAGGAAATGGATTCTTGTGTCAAGCAACTCAAGAATTTGAGAGCATTTTGAAATTTCCTTAAATATTTGTCCGTGAGACACAATCTGCACAAATCTTCAAGTAAGAGGACAATTCCTTTCTTTAAAATCTCAGAATTTGACAGAGGTTCTGTGGTTTCAGAGCTGTTAGTGAGTGAGGTCAATAGGTGTCTCCTAGAATCGAATGGATCTGACAAATCGAATGTGTGAAAAACTTGTTCAAAGAACCTTACAGCACCTTCAATCAATAGATCTCTATCGGTAGCTGTTGTTGGAATGGCTTCCGAGTTGTTGATGATTTGAATACCATCCATCTTCATGTGAGAAATCAAACGGGCAATATCTGATCCAATGAGTTGAATAGTATCGCCAAGTTTTGTCAACTCTGATTGTAGAATCGACTCGTCTGCATTGTTATCTGATGATTGCAAGCTCTCAATCATGTTAAATCGGTTGGCCATGATCGTGGTGCTTTCACTGCTGTTGCTTCGAGTGTGTTGTTGTGGCACTGATGATGACAATAGCACTTCTTCTTTGTGTGATTCTCCATTCAACGGTGCAGTTTCTTTGGAATGTGACTGTGTTGATGCTGATTCGGACGAGGACGATTTCAATTCTTCTTCATCGCTGCTATCATCGTTTCGATTGCACAACAAGAACTGCCAAACATATTTCATCATTTTTTATTTGTCTAACGGAAAATCCCCAATCAAACATCAAAGGTCAATGGCTAATTGTGAGTGGTTGTTTTGAGTTAGGTTCTTTGAAAAACCATGATGAGAAAAGTTCAAAGATGGTTGTTTCAATTCTTGGTTTAACAATTAAGTTGCTTTTGGCTTGTACCAAGTCGAAGGCCATTGTAAAGTGTATGAACTGGTTGACTAGAATTTTTTAAAAAATTTGTCGAAAAAAAATATTGTCAAAATGTATGTATGCTCTCGCTTGCAAGTGTTGTTTTTCTAATTTTCTTCTTCTTTTTGTCTTCAATCTTGTTCACCAATCGTAGAAATCAAAATGGGTAAAGTCAGAACCAAGACTGTCAAGAAGGCATCCAAGATCATCGTTGAGAAGTACTATAACTCTCTCACTACCGATTTCGATACCAACAAGAAGGTTTGCCAAGAAATCGCCATCATTCCAACCAAGAGAATGAGAAACAAGATTGCTGGTTTCACCACTCACTTGATGGCTAGAATCAAGAAGGGTACCGTCAGAGGTATCTCCTTGAAGTTGCAAGAAGAGGAAAGAGAAAGACGTATGGACTACGTTCCAGAAGTTTCCTATGTCGAAGAAATCATCAACAAGGGTATTGAAGTCTCTGAAGATGTTTCTGACATGTTGAAGACTATCGGATTCGGCGATTTGAAGCAAGTTACCAGAGTCTCCCATGGTTCAAGTGCTCCTCACTACCAAAAGAGAAGAGGAAACAAGTCCTATTAAATAAACTCATAAAAACAATTCTTTAATTTATCGATGTTCAGGTTATCGCTGATTTTTCTTCCAAATGTCCATGTGTTGACCCATTCGACTGTCATGAAGCATGAAATTATGCATGTGGAATGCTTGTTTGGTGAGTGAGAATTCATTCTCCAGCACCGGTTTCAGAGTTTTGCTCATGGTGTCATACATGACCACATAGTCTGCGCTTTGAATGGTTTTTGATTGATTAATGGTAAAGTTGACAGGATCTCTGTAAAATTGATCTGCTTGAGTGTTGTTGCCATCAAAAGGAGAGCAATCCAAGTGATAAAGCTGGATGCCGTTAGATGGTGAAAATAGATGGTGATGGAGAAAGGCGTAACCTGGGGTATGATGACATGGCATCAATAAGTGTACGGAAAATGGGTTGTGATCGGCACCGCTAACGTTCATGTATTTAGCCTTCTCTTTGTAGTATTCCATCCTTAGATAATCCATGACTTGATGAGGCCCATTCTGATGAACTCTTCCAAGATATATTACTGCCACTGTTTGAATACAGATTGCGAAAACCAACATCATGTTAAATACACTCACACGGTTCTTCTGTTCATGCAACTTTTGGTAACAATATTCAGCTATCGAAATAAAACATAGGGGAAGAATAGGATAAATAAATCTAAATTCTTTGTGGGTCTGAAAGGAATACAATACAATGGGAAAAAGAATGACCAGATTCAACTTGAAATATTTTGCTCGAATTTCCTTGTTGAAATAATTAATCCAAATGTAGAATGGGAAGTAGCTCAATAAAATGACTGGAAATCCTTGTGTGAAATACCAATGCCACGGTTGAGTGCCATATACTTCATTAGTGTAAATATTACGTTAGATTGGAAATACTTATGAGTCAAGCGAATGAACGAAACCTACAATGAGCCAAATTTTTTACAATGTTAAACTCCAAAAAGTTCAAAATGACAATGGTCAACCTTCCATACATGAGAGAGTCAATTCTCACGGATACAGCAATCCAAAATATTCTACATTTTTATCAGTGACGAATTCAGAATTTAAAATCATTCATTCAAACATGTCCTAGTGCTTAAAAAACCTACATGTATGCAAACAAACTTGTAAAATATCGAAGTCTATGTTTCTCACAATATAATTGATATAAAAACAATGGAATGTAAACAATGGCATTTGTAGGACGAATGACACATCCCATGCCAGCAAAAAATATCCATAGATTCCATCGATTATCTATTCTATTGAGGGTTGTTTCTCTTTCTGTGGTTGAGGATGAGATTTCATGTTCTTTTTGATTTTTTGATATTAATGAATAGGGAAAGTAATAGATTGCAATAAGTGTGACATTCATTTCCATGGTATTGGAAAATGTTCTCACTCCACAATAAATATGAAACCAATTTGTACATGCAATTATTAACTTAACATTAATTCCATTGGAAATACGAATGATCATTATTTTCGATAATGAGTATTCAAATCTAAACTCAGTACAACTTGAAAATACACCAACCTACACACCAAATTCCAATTTTCCAATTTTCAAAATATTTTACACAAATTAAATACAAAAAGTAATCGGAGATGGCTGTGAGCACTGCTTGTACCATTCGAGGAAGCCACCATGCTAAAAATCCCATCCATATCATTTGATGTTGTTGCATTTCTTCATCCTTTTCCATTCCCTTTAAATGATTAAATAAATTATTAAATAATAATGATTCATGATTAATTTTCTGAGGAATATAATCCATGAGGTAATATCCCACTGAGAGTATCATGGGATGAAGATAACCTCTCAGTGCATGTTCCGATTGCCATTCCCACGGTATGATATGTGGATGTTGAGGAAAATGAAGAGAATGAGCAATTTCAATTCCTTGATAATATTCATCGGCACTGAAATAGGTGGTAGTGAAAAGGCTAGAAAGTAATCGGAAGAGAATGAGTGATGAGAGAAGAAGGAACCAACTCGGAGCTGATCTTGTGCTCGGAGTATCACTCGTTCGAGTACTGGAACGTTGGAACATTTTTATTGGAAATTAATTCTTTCCATCCGATCGTCAAATGGTGAATTGTTGGAACTGAAACGAAATAAGGATCAATTCGAATCAATTCACAATATATTTACTTTTTCTTCTTCTTGGCAGTCTTATCTGTTGTGAAAATATATCTCGATGGAAAACCATATTCTTGAGTGAGGACTTGTTGAACCATGGCAATATGATTTCCTTGAATGGTAATGTCAGGTTCTCGTAGCCCAACCGTTGGAAGTGTCGAAGTATTGGTTTTGATTGAGGCACTGCATTTGTTTTTCAATTTCTTAATAAGCTCTTCAAATGCAACACAATTCAGATCTGTGTTGTTAATGACCAAACTCACACCATCTACTTTGGTGACAACCTTTGTGCCCATGATTTTATCAGCTTCAACAGTAATACCAGGGCATGTTCCTTTGAAAATTGCAGTTTCCTCTTCGTTGCCATCATAGGTGATTGCATAGTGGTCAATCATTTCATTGAGAAGATGTTCCATTATGTTTTGAACAGGAACCATTTCTTCCATCTTGACATTCATCTTCTTGCCTGATTTAAAGATTTTGGAATAGATTAATTCGTCAATTTTGACTCGACCATTGTTAAATATTTTGGCGTCTTGGCAATATTTTAAAAGACTGTCCTTAACTTCTTTTTCAGTGAACAACTTATCCTTAGATTGTTGTCCACCAAATATTGGAAGAAGAGGGGTTGGTGACTTCTTAAGAGTGACAATCTGTACGCTTTTGGAAGACGACCCGGAAGAGGAGGAAGCAGCAGCTTTTCGTTTTAACTCTTTCGCTGCAACATATTTCGGATGACTTCTATTTACATTTGTGACAAAGAGAGTTCCTTTAACGTCCTTGACCTTAACAATGTTATCTTTTTGCATTTGTTTGAGGAATTTTGTCCACTTTTTGTACGTTGACTTTTTGACGTCCAAAACAATATCGTCACTAAACTCAAACATTTTTGTATAGAAGCCACTTCCTTCCATTGGTAGTTGATCATCCTCAATGCCGCTTTTTAGAGTTGAAATAAAATAACTTTCTAAAAGTTGATCCATCTCTTCAGGTTTGATGTCTGTTGCGGTTGAGGAAGATTCAGGCTCTTCATTTTCTTCAAGTTCATCGTTGTCATTGGTATCTTCTTGTAAGACATTTTCATCTCCAGCTTCTTCTTTCTTGGTAGATTCGTTTGGTGTGTCTATGGTGGTAGCTTCTGTCTCTTGCGAGCCACTGATATTTCCACTATCACTAGTAACAGTTACTTCTATAATTTGAGAGGTAAAACCATATGGCGGAGTGTACGTCGAAGGGGCATGGTTAGTTCCATATTGCCACAAATAATCACCAAAAATGTGTACTACTTCTAAGGTCTTTCCCTTGTCCGTAGATGAAAATTCGGATTGATCCATGGCCATTTCTCCAACAGCGAATGGAACAGGATTACCTCTTACTTGTATACTTCGAATGTCGCCTTTTTTAAATGTTCCAATTCCTCCATGGCTTCCACCATTATTAAGCTTTTCTCCTCCAGCGAGGTGTAGATGTTGATTTTTCTGATTTCTACTCACTCCAGGTTTCATAAGGTCAGCACCTTGTAATAAATAATGAGAAACTGGTTGAGAAATGTAAATTGTATCCACCAAATTCGGTGCCAGTTGGAGTGCAAAAATTGTTGGGAAATAAAATTCATCTTTTTCAATTGAAAAGAACATGGGAATATTCTCAACAGTAATGACATTGAAGGTTTGAATATCTTGAGAGGCTCTTAACTGCTGTTTTTGCATTTGTTGTTGCTTTTTCTTCTTGTTCGGAACGTTTTTTGCCAGTACAATTTCTTCCACTGGTTGTTGCTCCGATGATTGCAAATATGCAACTAATTTACAACTTTGAACATTTTGTGTTTTCAAAGGAAGCAACACCTTCCATGGATTAATATTATTTTCTATCAATGATGAAGAAACATTTTCATTAATATTTTGAGAATCATCATGATCCAATTCCGATGATCCAACTTCACTAGAAGGAGCAGGTATATTCGGGTATTGGTCTTGCAATTGTTTGAGTAACTTTTTCTTATCAGAAGCTTTCAGCAAGTGTGCCTGAGTGCACTTGAGAATTGACTTTTTAAACATTTTTTTTAATTTACAAAATACATTCTCTTTGGCTTACGTTTCAAACATACCAATCAATTCAACAAGCAAGTTGAACTGAGTTCATTCCCGGTGACCTTTCAGTCAACATTTAAAATTCCCTTGATGGATGACATCATGTTGATTTATGAAAGGTCACTTGATCTAGATCGAGTGCGAACTGGTTCCGTTGCCTTAATTTCAAGTGAATCCTATGGTTGAATGACAATTACACGCTTTTTAAAAACCTCACCTTCAGATGAAGGTGAAAATACATGAAATTTGTTCATGATTGTCATTCATATCTTCGGATAATTGAAAAAAACTGATCTTGTTTGTAAAAAAGCACAATGAATTCATTGTCTCTTAAAAGGTTGCATCATCTTTTCTAAATTTCCATTCCACACACATTTCACCAACAAGGAAAATGAGAGAACACCGTTCGAGTTCAGAACAACATCGTCACACACATTCCATCCATGATGACCCAACAACAGTTGCAAGTGGTGATCGTTCTCATCATCCAACAACTGATGTTAATTCTTCAGCTCTTGATGATGTACAATACATGTCATCCTCTCATTCTTCTTCTTCTCATACCATGGAATATAAAAACAATCTCTCCATATTACATGTACCTTCGAAACCGTTTTTTCCTGAAATACATGTCTTTAAAGCATTTGATGTGGTCAAAGAATCGAAAAAGAAAGATTGGAGACAACCCTTACGAAGACGATCTTGAGGGAGATGCTGTGCTCAATTAACTCGGAACGGAGATTTGAGATCGGTCTTCCTTAATGAAATTGAAAGAGGTGGCGGGAATTGGGAGATACCATTTTTTTTTGAACGTTCCAGTGAAACGATGTTGTTTCAAAAGTTTTCTTCCTTAATCCCAAATTTTTATTATGAACATCCCAAAAGTTATTTGGTAGGATTAAACGACTTTTTGATTTCTTTTGTGGTTGTGGTGGAGTATATGGAGCTTTGATAGCACATTTTCTCATTTCTCCTTCCTTGCGAGAGCCTTGGAGAAGTTTTTTGGTGTTCTTGGCTGTTGTTCTTCCTCTTCGTCATTCTCTTCGTCCTCAACCGTAGCTACTAGGTCTACCGTATTTTTGGTGTATGGAGGGCAATTAGGGATTGGCTTCAACTAATGAAACCGATAGGTGTCGGGGAAATTAACTCGTCCCAAATAACCTGAACCATCCCAAATTTTGGCTGGCTGGGATTGGTCCATCCCAAATGTTTTGAAACATTTCTATGAGATTGTGGAGTTTCAAAGGAACATGGTCTGGTCGTTGCCACGGAAACAGCTCTCCTTCACAATTCATATCCATGAATGAAATGCTTTCTGTTCTTCATTTGACTCAACTACAGGCATGTAAAGTGTTAGGATGTAGTGTTTCAACTGTGAAACGGAGATTTAGTGAATTGAAACAACACATTGGGTTGTCACAGTGGCCCAAAGATTATTTTGAACTGGAGAATTCAGAGCTGTTTAAAAAGATTTATCCATTATCTTTGTATTTCATTCTCAATCATGATGAGGAGGAGGAGACTATGGATGCAAGTGAATCGAGTAATGACAAGAACGAACAACAGCGAAAGAAAAAGAAGTTGAACTTATCTTCTACAATGACAGATTTGAACAGGTAAAGAGATTCAACTGGATCTCCTTACAAACTGAAAATTATTCATCCAAACACAAAGAGGTTCATTTCAAGGAGGACTCTTGAAAAAGAATCATGGTTACTGCATCGTACATTCATCCACGTTAAATTATTGTCTAAAATCGTCTTTAACGAAAAAAACAATTGCCACCACGAATCACCTCAGGTATAAAGTGCTCTTGAGATTGTTATTCGTTTTTAAATATTCTTTTTAAAAATTAAATCATGAAATGGAACAGTTGATTTAAATGGACGTGACCTCTTTTTTAACCATCCATTCTTTTGTGGCTGTGAGTAAACGTAATGCATCAAAATTTCCATCCTCCTCACTGTTGAACATATGTGAGTGAAAATGAAAGAAAAGTACAATCAACCTACAAGACCATTGTATCTTTCGGTTCCTTCTAGTTGCATGAGTCAGAGGAATTCGGCCTCCACGAACGACACTCCTCATAGTTGCAGTTTACCAACGATTCACACAAGAAGTTCTTCCAAAACATGTACAACATCAAAGCAGAATTCTTTGGACCAATCCAACACTGAATACAGGCCAGCAATACATGTGTTCAAAGTATTTGAAGTTACCAAATCACCAAAGAAAGATTGGACAAAACCTTTAAGAAAACGATCCTCACAATGTATATCACTTAAAGAGATGATTTCTGTTCTTCATTTGACTCAACCTCAAGCATGTAAAGTGTTAGGATGTAGTGTTTCAACTGTGAAACGGAGATTTAGTGAATTGAAACAACAAATTGGGTTGTCACAGTGGCCAAAGGATTATTTTGAATTGGAAAAGACAGAGTTATTTGAGAAGATCTATCCATTGTCATTAAGTTTCATTCTCAATCATGACGATGAGGGTTGTTCCAGTCTCACCACGTCGAAAAATCAGCAGGAAAGATAAGAACAAGCAAACATAGATACAATAATCTTATTATTATATCTTATTTTGAGTTGCAATTTAAACCAAGTATTTCTCAACAATGCTGAATTCATCCACAACTTGGTCTATTTTCTTCATGTAATCACAGGTTCAGCGTTGACTTTGCATTTAATATTTTGGGTTTAACGCAAGTCAACTGAAAATGTTGTTAAACATCATATAATAAATAAGGTTGAATTTACTCGGCTGGTCACTGTGTCATTCATAATGGAATGATTCATAATAAGATTATTATAATAAGATTATTTCAATACAGCTAAATGTTTCAAAATTGCAAAATTAGGAACACCAAATCCTGAGATTGGATCCCAACCTTTGGAAGCAGGAAATCCTTGAGGGCATGGAGCCACAGTATTAATACCATGTGTAATGTCAAAGAAAGCAAATGGAGTAATTCCAGCATGTTGATAGATCCAAACATTAAGGAAACCTAATGGTTTCTTTCCAGCCTTAAATCTAGCGTCATTCATCAAGGCAACGACACCTGCAAAACAAGGAGTGGATGCTGACGTACCACCAACATTATTCACAAGTCCACCAACAAATACTTGATAGTTCACGCCCAAACTAGCAACATCAGGATAGGCTCTTCCAGAAATGTTGAAAAAGCGAGTAGAAGGAACGCCGTTTTGAACCATGTAAGATTTGACAGCATTTGCTTGATATTTAGGTTGGGAATAGTAATTTGAAAAGCCACCACCGCTCCAAGAAGTGCTTTCTTCCCACCATGATTCTGTTGATGGAGTAGTAGCACCCACACTAGTGACCCAAGGACTAGAGGTAGGCCATCTGAATTGTTTAAGATTGTCATTGTGTTATTCAGAAATGATGAAAATTTGTAAAACTTACTCTGGTTGGAATTGAGTACCTGCATCATTGCACCGAGAACCATTATCACCGCTCGCAATGAGGATCGTTCGTCCAGTGACACCGAATTTAATGAATTCAGCATCAAGTTGTTCAGCCATTGGTCTGGTTGCTTGATATTCAATATCTCCATACGAAACACTGTGTACCCATGGAGATTGGTCACCCATTTCTTGTTGCTTAACAATCCATTCATAGAAAGGTTCTTGCTCTGTAATTGGGTTAATTCCTGGCGTGCTTACGAATGTCGTGTTGATTTTGTATCCGACACCCATCAAGTACTGAATATCTAAACTGGCTTCAACACCAGGATTTGACTCAATGTTTGGTCCAACAAGTTTTGGAAGTTGCTTTTCAAGTCCATAAGTATTTTGGAAAAGAATCAAATCGCTAGTGCTGTAGTATTGTTGTAAAAAGCTGGCAACAGCTTGAGAGCTCTTTGGATCCACAGTTGCAGGGAATGTAATGTTATATCTGTTCCAAATCACTTTTGGTGTAATTGGAAAATTATTGGGTGTACGAGAGTGTTGAGAATCTGAACTGAAAACCATCTTTCTTTCAAGAGTTGGAAAACGAACCAAACCAGAAATCATGGTCACAGCTTGTGCAAGTTTTTCTGGCAAGGAATATCCAATTTCAGATCTGAAAACAACATCTCCTGTTTTTTCATGTCTGTATGCTTGCATATCAGCCTTCAAATACTTGTTTACGGAACTCAATGGAAGCAATGCGCTCACCAAATTTTCATGTTTTGAAATTCTAACAATAATAGATCCAGGAATGCTCTTGATATAATTCAAAACAAGTTCCTTATGTTCGGATAATGGACTCGTCATGGCTGCTACTTGATTCATGGTCAAGTAATTTTCGTGTTGTGGGGAAGAAGGATCCGAAACAGCTAAAAGTAATTGAGTCAATTTATCAATGTTTTGATTCTTCAATGCAAAGGTGAGATGTAACATTTGATTTTCGTTTGTACTTCTCTTTCCATTCTCAACTGAAAGCTTTTTCCATGGCTCGGGGACAAACAGAACTGGTTCAGCTGTTCTTGTGGATGATACTCGAGGAACGGAACCCAATCTTTCGGTTTCCATCTTTACATAATTAGAAGAATTTAATAAATCATCGGCTAGAGAATTCGTCATGGCTGCATTGGATGCTGATGAAAGGGTGATTGTCATCATCAGCAGACCTAGCAAAAGGAATGTCATCGTTATTGACTTGGACATTTTTTTTGGTTGTGCAATTTCTCAGAACCAAACCAGCGAACAGATGAATTTCAGCCATCCGGAGATGATCGGAGTGAAGATGGACTTTTACTCCTCCATGACAATATAATTTCCAAAGAATTTTCATTGAATTGTTCAAACCTCAGTGCCAATGCTCAATACTAGTCATTTATTTAATTTCTAAATTTTTTATTCACTAACAAGATGTTTCCTCGTTGTCATCCCTTAATCAAGTAATTTTTCCTTGTTTTCCTCTGCTGGAACAACGACCACGAATAATGAAAAATATAAGGATTGGAGAAACCAATGCAAGTATCAATACATAAAGAGGATGGACCTTTTCAATGTAAGAAAGCTTCGTGTCCATCGATACAAGATGATCAGCTCCGTAAAGTAAAACTTGACGTATAAGTCCTGCTGCAGCAACAGAAGCAGTGGACAATGTGTGGACATCTTCATACTGAAGAAACTGTTTCAAAAGTTCAGCATCCATTGGAAGTGCTGCCACATCTCTATTTAACTGTTTCGTCTTTCTCATTCTCTGTTTAATTTGATGCGAATTCTCAAGTATGAAAGCAATACTTTCTGAGAGCTCCTCCTTGTCCTCTGGGTTGATCATTCTTGCAATTCCATGGTCTTCCGAACGAATGGCGTTGAGAGGTTGATCTCCAAAGATTGGCATTATTAGAAGAGGTACCTCTGCAGTTATAGATTCAAAGATGGAGTGACTTCCTCCATGAGTGACGAACATGGTGGTTGCAGGATGCTTGAGAACATTCACTTGTGCTACCCAATCCTTAATTAAAATTTTTTGAGTCCATTCTGCAACTCTATGTGAATCCATGACATCTGACACATGAATGTTGGAAGAAGCCAAAAGGACGCTGAGCGACTGTTGTGGATAAGAAAGAATGGATGTAATAACGGCTTTGAGATGAGAGGGCGCAACCTTTGCCTTAGTACCAAACGCAATGAAAACTACTTTTCGATTTTTTCTCAATTGTTCATCGAGCCACAAAATTTCTTCGCTTTGAGATGGTGAGCCAGAAGTCTCTTCGAGAGACATGGAACTAAACTGAGGTTTTGCGCTCATGGATTTTTCAATATAATTAAACCCAACAAACTTGTGAATATTTGGAACGGCAAATGAGTATTCAAATATTCCAGGAAGTGTTAAATGAATGGTCAACTTGTCCAATGGCTCAATAAATGGTGTGCTTCTCGTTGGCATGCCATATCGTTCTCTTGCCTTGTTGTACTCAGACATTACTGATAGAGAGGTCTTGACAACTTTTCCAAATCCAATAACTTGTTCATTAATTTGATTGGCCAAATACGCAAAAATTCCATTCTTTTCAATAATTCTTCTTCCTTTTTCCAAGCTTGTAGATCCAATAGGAAGGTGAGGGAGATACGATGGCATTCCCCTATAAACAAACATGACTGGTGCAATGCCAATAAGCACATAGTTCATTTTGTTTTTTTCGGCCCATTCGACCACTGGGGCAAATATGTTATCAATCACGAGAAGAACATCTGTATCGTTCCGGGATTTCAACAAGCGATGCATGGAAACGTCACACGTTGATGTTTCATTGTACAAATTATTCATCGTTAACATGCCAACGTCATAGGCAGCAGTAAACATTTTCAATTCCAAAGCCAATCGTTCAAGTCTAGGAACGGAAGAATTTGCAAATCCTCCATATGTTTCCATGATCTGAGCAATATTAAATCCATCAGGTACTGGACATTGAATATGTTTCAAGATCTTGCAAGGTTCGGCTTTAATAATATTTGGAGAAATAAATTGAACCTCTGTGTTCGAGGTGGATGGTGAAGCATTCAGCAAAGCAGCCGTGGCTTTTGCAATCATTTGAAAATCTCGAATATGAGAAGAATCAGGAAGAGGAATGAACTGAACAATTCGTTTTCTGTCTTCTTGACCATTCAACGTTTCAACTTGGCAGAACATGACCAAGAGAAAGATTGAAACAATAAGAATGTCTCTCATGCACATTTTTTGTTTACGAATACAAGGTACTGTTTTGCGTCTTTGGATTCACTGATAGTTATTGTGAAATTGTTTCAATCAAAATCCTGAAATGGACTTGGATGCGTCCTTCATTCCGATCCACGCGGCCACAGACCAACGAGGTAAAACAGCGATTCAACGCACTCCTTTCATCTACAGTCTCCCTTTGAATGTTTGTGCCTGCATTCACAAATGAAACGCACCTTTGATTTCGATACGGATTTGAGACGGACTATTTTGGACCAGTCAAAATCTTGCAAGATTTGGAGAATTTTGTTCGTTCCAATTAAAAATAACAATTCTAACAATCCAAATGACTCTCCTCGACGTTGTATTTGCAGTCACACTGGTTCTTGTGGCTATTGTATTATTTTGTGCATTCTCAGTGTACAACAATTATCGACACGCGAAACATATTCCTGGAGTTTGGCAATTGATTTTTGCTCCGTTCAAAATTCCAATCATCTCCGATTATGTCTATTTCGGATCACATGAAACCATTCAAAAATTGATCAGAGAGAAGGGAGATCCAAAAACCCAAACGGTTCGAGTTTCCTTGATGAGTCGAAATGCTGTCATTATTTCTGACAAGAATTTGTTGAAAGAATTATTAATTGTTAAAGGAAATAACTTTATCAAACCCATTGCAACCTATGATGCTTTCAACGTGTTTGGTCCCAACATTCTCTCCATTTTGGATGCCAACAGTGAAGCTTGGAAGAATCATCATCGTGTCGCATCAGGTGCATTTGCATCTAAAAATTTAGAATACATGTCCACTGTGGCTTCTAATAGTGTGGATTTAATTCGAAGCACGAAATGGGATAAGGAAATTGAAGCATCCAAGACAAGAAGTATAATGATTGATTCCAATTCTGATTTTTCAGATATTACATTGGATGTACTTGGTAAGGCTGGATTTGGTAAGTATCAAAATGTTCATTTTCAGTGCATGTCAATATTGAATTTGTTTACAATGAGATAGGATTGGATTTTTCAATCTTTGATCAAGTCAGTAAGGAAGGTCGTAATTTCAGAAATGCTCTCGAAATCATGTTCACCAAAGGTATAATTTTAAGAAGATTCATCTTACCCAATGCTCTCCTTTCATGGACTCTTCCTTACTTGTCCAAGTGGATGGGTGTTACTCAGGCACATCAAGTCGTGAGCAAGAAACTGGATGAAATCATTCATGAACGAAGAAAAGAAATGATTCATAAAGGAGATTCTAACGTTACTTCGGATTCTTCCTCAGACGAACGAAAAGATTTATTGAGTATTCTCGTGGAGGCAAATATCAATGAGAAGGGTCTTTTGAATGATGAAGAATTGAAATCAGATGCATTTATCTTCTCATTGGCAGGACATGAAACTACTTCTACTGCCTTACAATGGACTTGTTATGAATTAGCAAAACGTCCTCACATTCAACAACATGTCAGAGAAGAAATCGATGCATTGCTTGGAAAGGGTCTCAATGCTCGATCCCCTAACTATGACCATTATCCTCACTTGAATTATGTCAATGCTGTCATTATGGAATCTATGAGAATTCATCCTCCTGTGACTCAAGTGGTCCGTGTCACGAAAAAAACGACTCAAGTGGGTGACATTGTCATTCCAAAAGATACAGGAGTGTTAGTGAGTATCTTTTCTGCAAATAGAAGTGAGAGGAATTGGGATCGACCTGAAGAATTCATTCCAGAACGTTTTCCAATGAATTATGAGGAACAAGCGAAAATTCAACATGACTTTGCTTGGCTGCCCTTCAGTGCTGGAAATAGAAAATGCATTGGATTTAAATTTGCACTTATTGAAGCGTGTATCATCTTGTCTCGACTGTTACAATTTTACACTTTGGAATTGGGAAATGATGAATCAAATCCCAATGATCAAGTCACCGATGTAAAGGGAGTGACGGTTCGACCAGGAAATTTGAAACTCATTCTTAAACATCGAACAGATTTGTAAACAAGTGCAACGAGATTGTTGCCTTCAGTTACACTAAATAGTATTTAACAATACAACAAGAATAAACAATCAAAATGAATGTGAAGGACACTTCCTTTCCAACAAGATTCCATTCACAACACGTGTGTCAGATCACAAGTCTCCTGCATTTGCTTATTGAATGAACCACGTGTTTCTCCTTCCATCTCAGCATTGCCTTTTTTAAGCAAATTCATTTTCTTTGATTTCATTCAAAAAAACAATATTACTCCAAATTTTTCTAAAAATCTCACTATCATCAACATGGAAACCACAACAACAACCATCTCTTCACAGGTACCCACAACTGTGATGAAAGCTCATATTGTTGAAAATTATTGTGATACTCCTGATTTCATTCTGAAACAAGATGAACCGATTCCGTCCCTTCTCACCGAAACTCAACTCTTGGTTCGTATTAAAGCCATCGGAATCAATCCAGCCGACTATAAAACACGTAATGGATGTGCCAAACTACTCTATCCCGTCAAGTTTCCAGCAGTGTTGGGCAAAGATGGTTCCGGACAAGTCGTCCGAACCGGTTCCAAAGTTCAGAAATTCAAAGAAGGAGACTTTGTCGTTGGTTGCTATTCAGGCAATAGAAACGGAACCTTTGCTGAATATGCAGTCTTTGAGGAGAGTGAATGTACGTTGAAACCAAAAGAATTGAGTTTCGTTCAAGCGAGTGCCTTTCCAACGGCTGGACTGACCATGATTGAGGCTTTTAAAACTCATCCCATGATTGCACCCATCATTGAGAGGGAATCTCAAAACATAATGCAGAGGGAAGAGTCTTCAAGTTCTTCTTCTCAGCCTGAGTCTGATTCAGAATTGAAACCAAATTTCAACATCTTACTGATTGGAGCGAGTGGAGGCATTGGATGTATGAGTATCATGTTGATCAAGACGTTTCTCGCTCGATTCTTGAATATCAAATTATTTGCAGTGTGTTCTGGAAAGAATGAAAAGACAGTTTCAGAATTGGGTGCCAATGTCGTGCTGGATTATATGAAAACTAGTGCAAAGAATGGACCTCAAACGATTCATGAAAATTCGAGTGAGTTACCAAGTGTTTGTCAAGTATTAAGAAAAGATCATGGAATTGAATTTGTGGATTTTGTGTTGGATTGTTATGGTGGTTATTATTACTATGATGATGTTTGTCGTCATTTGACATGTCATGATGCATCTTTCAATCGTCGAACTATTTTCACAACTGTGAATCCACCAGGCATTGATACATTGAATTTCACAAATCTACTCAAAATGGCTTATTTGATGTTAAGTACAAAAGTGAAAGCATTAATTTCCAATTCTTATCCAGTGTTCAATTTGGCAACGTTTGATGTCACTCAAGAGAGATATTTTAAATTATTATTGGAACAAGTGGCCATATCTAAAATTCAAGAGTCACATGTCATGGCTGAGAAATTACCACTGAGTATTTTCAAGTTTGAACAAATTAAGGAAGCACATCATGTGATTGAGTCACAACATGCAGTAGGAAAGATTGTCATTGATATGGATCTGCAGTGATCAGATACAATTGAAATCGAAAACAATACACCATATTCTCTCTGATATCAAAACGCCATTTATTATATTTGTTATAGAAACTGATAATGAATAGTAAGTGCCAAATTTACCAAGCCGATAATGAACCAAGATCACAATTCTCGTTTTTTGGTTAATCTCTTATGGTCGGCAGGCCATTTTCGTTCTTTGAAGATGTGATGTGACATGTTTGATCTCATAACAAGACAACCTCGCCATTAATGTCGTTCGAGTTGCTGGCATGATTGAAAAAATAGAACATGATCTTCCTGAGACGATTCTCCAAAATAAAGTCAAGCAAAGACAGTAGCAGCGGCACGTCATCGGCCACTCGCTCAAACTCTGTGGACATGCGAGTAAAAAACAATAGTTATGATTCATTGACTTCTAATAAGATTTCTTTGCAATTATTATTGCATTCGTTTCATTATGAAGTGAATGATCCGTCCACTGAGTCATCGCCTAGTCGAGAAAAAATCAAAAAGTATTATTCGATCGAAACATTGTTGGAACTTCAGGATCAACAAGCTCTTGATCTTCTTCGAGATTATCTTCGACAACGACAGAATGAAGAATATTTGACATTTCTTGAATTGAGAAGAGAATTTCAAATGAGGCAACAGGTTTGTCACAAACGAAGCTGTTCTAGGGATCGTTCTATTGAGTATGACGATGATTTTGATTCATTCATGTTGATCGACACCAACTCGATCACTTCAAAAGCTAATGATTGGTTACTCTTTGATGAAATTCAAACCATTTATAACAAATTTTTGAACCTCGAAAGTGCACATTGCATGAACGTTCCTTCTCAAATCAGAGATCAAATTCAGAAAGTTTTGAATGAGATCACTCGACTCGACACTGTACAAAGACCAAGACTCTCCATTACAAGCTCTAGTTCTACTTGTTCTTCTCGATCACTTGCGTCACCACTTTCTCCCACGTCAACTTGTTCGGCAGTTTCACGAACATTTCGAGCGAGTGTTGGTTCTGAATACAATTCTTGCAATGATTGGCATACGAGTGTGGACGTTAAGGATTTGAGAGAGCGAGTCCGAAACTGTTTGAATACATTGAACACGATTGTGATTTTGCAGTACAACAATGAAATTATGCCACATTTTACAAAGACAGAAGAGTTTAAAACGTTAATAATTGGCAAACTCATTGAGTACAGCTCTCAAGAAAGTTGGGATGAGAATACTCTCATTGAACATGTTTTAAAGCAAAACGACTTGTCAGAATATGTTAAAAGTTTTTCGAAAATGAAATTATTTCGAATGGAACAAATAAGGCAATTTTCCACGAGTGACCTTAAAGAAAAGATTGGTGTGAAAAAATTGGGACATTTGAAACGGCTAGAAAGACTAATCAACGATTACAACTCGTCATTAAAATAAATTGATGATTGTATGAGAACAGAAATTATTACATGAATGAACTGTTGTTATTGAATAACCAATTCAACTCCTCTCACAAGCTCATGAAGCTTGATTAAGAGAGGTTCATGTTTAAGAGTGAGTTTTTGATTGTTTTGTACTTTGTCAATAGTGTCAAAAGTGGTCACAGGACTTTGTAGAAAACCTCCAAACACATCATATTTGCCTGCCTTTGAAAATTCCTTCACAGAACTATATTGTGGTATATCCACATATTTTTGTTCGTAGAATGAATATTGTGAAATCTTGAATCCATTCTTGCTGCTTGATCGCAATCCTCGGATGTCTAACATGATTTTCAAATTCTTGTAATCGCTTCTAAAATTGTTTGGGGCTGAAATTGAAATTTTCATGACACTCGAAGAAGCATCTCTTTGATACTTTACATGAATTCCGTGTGAGTAAATAGTTTGCTCATTTTCGCTATTTTCGGAAGGATAGTGAATAGCAAGAGTAAGATAACCACCATGAGTTTTAGAATTTCCAAAAGTATTGACATAATCAGTGGTAATATTAAGAGGAATGATGCTTCCTGCTCTGTAGAAAACTGGAAATTGCTCAAATGTCGAGTAATTAAAAACAGCAGGTCCGCTTGCATCAAATACTACATCATGATTGAAATAATCAATCCATTTACCAGTTGGGAATGTAACCACAACATTTGGAGATGCACTCAGCATTGGTGTGACAAGAATGTCCTTTCCTAATATATATGACCAGGTGTCAGGTGTGAATAGTGTCCACGATCTGAGGAGAAGTTGTTAATATTTTCTCATGATATTTGCAATACTTACGCCAGTGGGTTCATGATACTTTGATGATTGTTATAAGCAGCAATACCAGTAGAGTAAAAGAATGGATTAAGCTCATAGTGAATATGAACATATTTTCTGTAAATACTTGTCACATTTGTTGTGGCATCATCATAGTTCCAAGCTATGGTATCAATGATGATTAGAATATTTTCACTTGAAGAATCGAGTGATGCTACCTACGTTCATGAGGACCATCTCCACCATTTTCCATCAAACTGTTGAAGGCACCCATTTGGAACCATCGAATAAACACAGCCAATTCACGTTTCTGTCCACCTCTATATCCTCCAATATCGCTTCCAAATCCAACATACTTATTCCATGCCGAGTGGAACATGTTTAACAAAGCATCTTGCATACCTTGGAATGTTGGATCTTGGTCTCCTACCCATCCACTAAAAACAACATCTCTTGGAGCAAAGTCTAGAAATACCTTTCCAAAATACGAATCGACTGGTCTAGCCATGATGAGACCATCTCCTCTGACTTGTTTTGTGTAATAGAAAAAGTCTCGATAATACATGTCAGCATATTCACGTTCTGAGATGTGTCCTTTTTTACCATAAATGTAAATAAACTCATAAACATAAGGGTCTGTTCCATCACATTTCTGTGTTGAATGGGATTCAGAGGAATTTGATGAACAATTTGGGTAATGATGATGAATACTGTACAGTAAAACAACCTACCCATCCATCAATACCCTCCTTATCCGTTTGATTCAAAATTAACACATTATCCAATTGCTTGTGCCACCAATTGACAGCATCTGGATTTGAATAATCAATAAAACTTCCTCTTCCATGCCACCATTTCACAGTTTCTCCATCATTCAAATAGTATCCTTTTTGTTTTCCTTCGTTATAGTTGGGTGAGTCGGTGTCGACGACAGAAGTAGTCCAGCAAATGACTTTGACATTCATCGAGTGCAATTGTTTCACGAATTGATAAAAGTTTGGAAACTTGGTTCTGTGCAAGAGCAGGATATATTTTGAAATGGGGCAGTTCGCTCATTGAAATCCAATCTGTTCATGAACAGTTTTAACTTACTTATCGACCACAAAATTATTAATTCCAGTACTCCATTCGGAATCCACGTCCACAGCACCAACTGGAATATCCAATGATAAATATCGATTGACTAAATTAAGGAGAACTTGTTGATTTTCTCTATTGTGGTCAATCCTAGTAAGAAAAACAAGAAATGTCCATTCATCAGCAAGGTGCGTCATGATAAACCATTAAAAAAGGAAATATTTCAAATCATCATCAAACTGAACCTACCACACCCAATGATGATGAGCCCACTCCGCATATGGAGCTTGCTGTACAGGAATTGGAGGAACCACATAATCATCTCTTTCAGAAGCTGTTAATGTCTCAAGCGCAATCAGCATCATCACGAACAGCAACAACAGCGATGTTCTGAAATGGCTAAATTCAAGGCTTTGCATTTTTTGTACAGGAATGGTAGAAGATCATCTCATGAAAGAAGAAGTTGTTTCATCCACACACAAACAAACCCTCTTCAACACAGATTAGAATGATGATAATGTTTGGAGTACTTTAAACTTGTCTAACGACTTCACCAAATTCACAACTTCAAAAAAAATGATCATACCTGTTCGTTGCTTTACTTGTGGAAAAGTTATCGGAAACAAGTGGGACAAGTACCTTCAACTTTTGAACTCGGAATATCCTGAGAAGTAAGTATGGTTAAATTGAAAGAGTGGGGAGTGAAGAGGATGAAATGTTCGGTTCAATTAAATTTTAAATAATTATCAATGTATTTATTTCCCGAATTTAATGATCGGATTATGGTGACCGATGATGATAAAATTATGATGATGAATGATTTAAATAGTGATGCTTTAAACGCTCTAGGATTGAAAAGATATTGTTGCAGAAGAATGTTACTCACTCACGTTGAACTCATTGAAAAATTGTTGTTATATAATACTACCGACAAGGACGAAGAACAAGAAGACGTACACAATGTGTAATTTCATCCCAAAATTTAATCTAATTATTTACGCTAGATTCTTTGAATTTTCCAATAAAATCCACCTTCAATAAACTGGCCTTCTGCTTTTGGATTACAATTCTTGAAAAAATGTACCGCAGTGACAGCAGTGACACCTCGGATGCAGTTTCTCTTTCTTCTCTCTCACACACCGACGATGACGAAGAAGAAAGAAATCAAAACAGTGATGATGACGATGAAAACAGTTATTTTGAAGAAGAAGACGATGACGAAGAAGACGATCTCACTTGGACAAAGAAACGAAAGTTGGAAGATTTACTTGATCCAATCTTTCCACAAATCAAATTCGTCAAACCATCTCATAATGTGTTAGAAAATTTGTCAGATGATGTATTCACACATGATCTTTGTTCCTTCCTCTCATTACATGATTACATAAATCTTAGAGCTGTCTGCCATCGATTTAACAACATCATCATGAACGTGTACATTCAAGACAAGTGCACAATATTTATTAAGCAACCTCGTAATTTCAGCACAACCTTTTCGATCACTTCTGCCTCTTCTGCCTTTGTAAACAAATTACCAGAGTTTCATGTGAAAGAGTATTATTGTAATTTAAAAGATGTCAAACATTTATATTGTGCCAGCTTACACGAAATCCATAATTTGAAACACGTACCTTTCACCATATTGACCAGTCTCTATCTGATCAAATGTAATGTTGACGTGTTAGTGATGGATGTATTAAGCCGTGCTCATTTTCCACACTTGAACACCTTGTGTCTGAATAACAACTATGTTCGAGATGAATGTATGAGTTTAATCACTTCGAATGCCTATCCAAGTCTACAAGTACTCGCATTAGTAGGGAATTACATCACTGATTGTGGTGTTGATGAATTTGTGAAGAGTGATATGGCCTCTCAACTCACTTGTTTGGTATTAGATGAAAATGCAATCACTAGAAAAGGTTTCCTTCTATTACTCTCCTCATTGCCGCAAGTGAAAGTATTGTCAGTTGCTGATAATGAAATTGAATATCATGAAAAGTACAATTCAACAATTGGCAGCCAATTGACCTTGTTGAACATTTCAGGAAATGACATGACATGGAGTAATTCCAAAATTGTGAACAAAACCAAAAACCAAATGTCACACCATCGACAAGGTTTCCTCAACAAGAAGATCTACTCATTGACGAAAATTGAATACTTTTTCGTATGGAGTCATCAACGTCTCAAAGCTCATTTATCTTTCTCAAACGAAGTGAAATACCACTATGCCAAGTTATTAGAGACCAAATATCCAAAACCGGACAAAAACAATCAACATGAGTATTATCCATGTGAGGTGAATCACTACCGAAAAGAAATTAAGAAACTGTATCGTCAAGTTGCTCACAACTCTGAACGTAAAGCACATTACCGATTAGGTATGATTTATTTGGCTGAAAAACAGATCCGAAAAGCAGTTCAACATTTCGAACAGACTGGTTTAAGTTTTGACATGGCAAACTATGAATTGGGTCAAATTTACTTTAAAGGTTACAAAGAGGTCCCTCAAGATTACGACAAGGCCTTAAAGTACTTTGAGCGTTGTGATGACATGTATCTTTGGTTTGAAAAAGGAACAATTTATTATGCCCAATCTCGATACAAATTAGCTTTTGATTGCTTGAACGCGTTGATTTCAGAATATGAGGAGAATGAACTCGAAGAAGAATATGGTTCTGATGCCGCCTTTCAAGTCAAACAAATGTTGGGAGAAATGTTCTATCATGGCCTTGGATGTTCCCGAGATCGTCGCAAGGCTCTACACTATTTGAAAGATCTTTCTCACGAACCTTCCAATCAGTACTTGTGTGCGAAAATTTATGAATACTTGGCATTAAGGGATTTGAATTTAAACGAGAATCAATCAGAAGAAATAGTGGACTCATCCTCTGATACCTTCTCGAAACAAGAATATCTTCAAATGGCTTTTCAATTATTGCAACAACTTTCTGAGAAAGAGAATTTTCCCAAAGCTCTCCATCGACTCGGCAAGTGGTATGCGAAGACAAGAATGATTCATCCAGAACTATTCAATATGATGGCCATTCTGAAGCATGAAGATCAAGAGGATACCTCCTATTCCTTGAAACCATCGTCATCATCCCTGACCTCATTCGAACAAACAGCTATTTACTATTACAAAAAAAGTAGTGCTTGTTCGTATGAGAAGGCAACAGCCTCACTCGGGCTTCTCTATCACTCACTGGGTCTGCTGTCGGAAGCGAGAGAGACTCTTTCTCAATTACGCCCTTCCTTTACAGAATGTTCCAATGCTTGGTATGTGTTGGGTCAATTACTACTCGAAGAAGAAGAGCAGCATCGGTCATCACTTCAAGAAGAACTTCATTCAACCAACCAATATCTGTATGATCAATATTTGGAATGCTTTACACGTGCAGCCTCGTTAGGTCATTTGGCATCCATGAAAATGTGTGGAGATATACTCTTACGAAGAGGGGAAAATCGATCAGTTGATAAAAACTCCAGCTTCCAAACCATAACATCACGAACCAATCAAAGGAAAGGGGCTGAATGGTATGAACTATTCCTATCCTCTCAACCAACACCATCACAGGAAAATACCTTGTCAGAAGGAGTATCATCTGCCATGGACTTATCATCAGCTGCATCCTCAGAAACAACGAGTACCATGAGTACCATAGACGTTCATATTGACATCATGTTCACACTTGCAAAATACTACCAACAAGTTCAGAACATTAACAATGCAATGAAATGGTACAAGAAATGCATTGGAAAACATCCAGACGCTCACAAGGAATATGCGACTCTCTATTTTGCAAACCAATATAAGCAGAATAATCAAGTCAACTCTGAGAATGAAGAGTGTCTGGAGTGGTTGCGCATCGCTTCTCAAGACGCACGATATCCTGAAGCCACATATTATTACGCACTGCAGCGTTTTCCAGAACATCCTCAGGAATGTTTAGAATTGTTAACACTTTCCAAATCTCGAGGTTTTGAAGTCCCTCAATACAAGTTTGGTTTAACCTATTTAGAATTGAATCAGCATGAGTTGGCCAAACCGTATTGTACTATCAGAGATGACTGTGCCTTAATCGTCAGAGAAGAATTTGCAACAGCCATGTTGAAGCACAAATTGTATGAACATTCGATTAAGGTTGTTCAATCCCTTTCTGCTTCAGACCCATACTATATGGCCATACTGGTACGTTTGTATGCGGAAGGTCTAGGAGTGGAGCATGACGAAAACAGGGTATTCGAGCTTCTCGGTACAGGCTTTATCAATAATACTCATGACTACTATGCAACAAGTCACTTTTTGGAAGATTTACCATGCTTGAGCAAACCCATTTCAACAGAAATGAGTTTACTCTTTTCAGAATGTAGTACATTCTCACAGGAGTTCTCATTTTACCACAATGTGGGTGTAATGTACTTGAAGCATGATATGCTGGGGACTGGATTGCAATACTTTTCGCAAGACTCTGCTTCATCTTTCCCTAGTAGGTTGATGGTGATTCTTTTGAACGGAAATCCCTCATACGCAACAGAGGTCGTACTAGAACGATATCAGCTTATAACAACGTTGATTCGAATTTGGCAGCCAATTTCACACAAACTCCCTGCTGCTTTCTGGCAGTTTCTGCAGGTTGCACCTAAGCTTAAACGTAATACATTTGAGATTGCCAAGTTCTTTTGTAAAAACCAGTTTCATGAAGAAGCTCAATATTGGTTATGCAAAGTCAACGAGCATGATACGGATCTGTTTGAACTTGCCTTACTTTGGGGAAATTATGATCCACAACGAGAGTTAGAGCTTTACAAGAAATCCAAAAGTTATGATGCTCTATTCAACGTAGCAACCATTTATTGGGCTGGCAATTCGTCGATACCTCAAAATCTTGACCTTTCTAAAGTTTATTATGAAAAGGCCTTGGCAAAAGCCGGTGATTGTGACGATGAACAAAAGGCAAAATATGAATGCTATTACAATCTCGGAGCTCTGAATTATAGCACTGGCCATTACGAGAGATCGTTGCATTATCTACAACAGGCATATAGCATTGATGCATGCCCATCATGTGCTCTGTACATGGCACTAGTGTATGCAGACACTGGACTCACATTGATTGCCACTACTTTACTGGATTCAAAGATTGGAGTGAGAGTGACTGACGACAAAATTGACAAACATGAGCTTGCTGCTCTTTACTTCAGGTTAAATCGAGAAAAAGAAGCCGCTTTGGTGTTGGAACAAATTGGAGACGAACATTCAAGCAAAAGATTGAAAGAGATCAAATGTAATACGTTCATACCAATGCTGTTCCAGAAATAAATATTAGTTATTGATTTCGACAATTAAAGGCCTTATTTGGGTTCAGTAGTGACAGAAGTCTGCTACCTTCAGGCTCCTCAATGTTAACGCTACTGAGAGAATTGTCATCACTCGCTGTTTTGGTCTCCCATTGTTTAGCTTTCAAGTACCATACATTCGCTTCATTTGAATCTTGAACAACACCACGACCATGATCATAACAATCTCCAACTTTTGTTTGAGCAGTTATATTCCCCAGCTCGGCAGCCATTTTAAACCAATGAAATGCTTTGGCATCATCTTGTTCCACACCATAGCCGTATTCAAACAAGTTGCCCAGTAAAAAGCAACCATCAGCATTCTTTTGATCAGCAGCTTTTTCAAACCAGTGTCGTGCCTGTTCATAATTGACAGGCGTGCCATATCCAAGTTTGTACATGTAACCCAAACAGACCTGAGAAGGACTGTAATTTTTTGCTGCAGCTTTGCTAAAATGTTGAAAAGCAGCTGTATATTTCTGTTCTACTCCAGTTCCATTGAAGTAACAATTCGCTATATTGTGTATTGCTGCAGCAAGTCCTGCCTCAGCTGCTTTGTTAAACCAAGCAACAGCTTTTGGATATTCTTTTTTCAGATTGCAAATATATCCCAATGCATTTTGTGCCTCTGGATAATTTTTGGTTGCGGAAGATTGATAGTTGGCAACAGCTTTTGAGTAGTCTTGTTGTTCAAAATAAATTTCTCCCAATTTGAAACATGCTTCTGAACTTCCTTGATCTGCTGCTTTGGTATACCATTGTAATGCTTGTTGAACATCTTTTGTGACGCCATTGTAATAATCTCCAATGCGAATTTGAGCTTTCAAATTTCCCTGTTCTGCAGCCTTGTGATACCATTTCAATGCTTCTGAATAATTTAACTCGTTGTAATTAATATCACCACATTGCAGTTGAGCTTCAACATGACCATATTTGGCTGCCTTGATAAACCAACTTTTGGCAGTTGTAATGCTTTTGTCAACACCGTTGCCATTGAGGTAAAAATTACCCAGAGCATATTGAGCTTCAATATTTCCTTTTCTGGCAGATTTTGTGTACCAATCGAATGCAGATTGGTAATTTCGGGAAGAAGCATGCCAATGTCCAACATTGCACTCGGCATAAGGGTTACCTTTGCCAGCAGATAAAAGATACCATTCAATCGCTTTCGCGTCGTCTTTTTTCACTCCACGACCATTCCTATACATATTACCAAGGGCATTCTGAAGCTCATCATCAAGATGATATGATGATAAGTCCCTAAATGCCACATATAACATCTTATTCTCATCGGGATTGTTTTTAAAGAATTCAATCATTAGTTTTACAGAGTGATCGTCAGTCAACGAAAATATATAGGGCTCGTGTTTAGTGAAATATTCGATGGTTATTTTGGATTCATCCATATTGACGCATATTGTTCTACATTTAGCTTCAATTTCATCGAAGGCTGGAAATGGTTTAGTGACATCTATTTCAATTACATTGTTGTATTGTATATTTTGATAGAATACTGAAATGTAGAAGCAATCCGACGAAAGTTTTTGGTTTTTTCGATTGCTTTCGTTGACGTGGCCACCCAAAAAGTGATCCAGCAATCGTTTCATTTTTGTGATTTGTTTTTCAAAAGTTCGGTCACCAAGAATGTTAAAAACATTACAACAAGTATGGCAACAAACTAGGATAATAATATCTGAACACAGAGACAACAATATTAGCGACAACACCAATCTGAATTCCAAGAACAAGCCTCTTTGACAATGCCTTTCTCTCTAACAATGCCACAACAGTGATAATCCCAAAGAAAAAGCCAAGCAACACACCTAGAAAGAACGTGTAGACATTTCCAACACGATCATTGCGCTGCTGTTCCTGTAATTGCTGTTGTTGCTCTTGTTGTTGAGGTGTAAGCGAAATTGCTGTTGAACCAGTGGTTGGTGGTGATGTCGGAAAGGATGATGAAGTTGTTGTGCTCGATTCATTCATCCATTCCTGCTCAATTTGATACATGTCATTCTGAGTGAGTTGTCCTCTCCGATGCATGTCTATTAGATTACTTCTTGAGGCATAGAATTGTCTTCGCACTTCATTGACTTCTTCTCGTGCTAATCCTGCATTCAGTAAAACATCAAAACCTTGATAGAAGGCTCCTACAGGTGTGGTATTATGAATATTGCTTTGACTATTTACAGAAGATGAATTACTTTGCTTTTCCGAGAATGCACAATGAATAAAAGAATGATTTTCAATATGAAACACAGAGATGGGCAAAAACTCGGAATTTACATGAGAAGTTGGTTTTGAATTGGTTCCAGTCAATAAACGCCCATTATGAATGAGCCTCATGATTGGCTTTCGAGAGTATTCATTCCGAAGGCTTTCATGTTTCATAATACATTGATCGGTAATAAGCCTGATCAGTTGTTGGATCGTGGTTGCAGCACCTCTCGTTAATAAGACGGAATGCGTTTCACCCGAGTGAGAGAAACGAATTTTGAGAAGAAATTTCTCAGAGTCTTCTTTGTGTTCTGTTGTTGTTGTTGTTGTGGCTTCGTTATGGTGTTGTTGTCGTTGTTGCGAACTTGATGGCTCTTGTTGCGACATTTTTTCAATGTTCAATTTGATAATTAAAACTTAATTTAATTTCCAATATGAAAGGATCATGCAAGTGTGAATAGGATATGGCCATATCTAATTACTCTTTGTCTTTGTCTTGGAATGATAATCGAATGGCTTTTCATAACAAACCATGTTCAATAAAAGTAACAATGGAATAATAAAGTAAACAGAATAAGTTCCCAACAAGAATGCATTGTGATTGAGATATTCCTTATCAAACAAAAATACAGCCATGATTGGAACCAATGTGGTCATGACGTGAGCCGAGTAAATAATTGCAGGAATACGTATCCAATTCTTTCCAGCAACAAACGCATAGAGAGCAATAAAGAAGAATGGAAGTTGAACAAAGACTTCACAAAAACCGAAGGAAGCAAACCAAACTGGAACTCTTTCCATGAGCATGTCTGTATGATCATTTTGATTATTATAATTTTAAAAGAATTGAATGAATGTACAACAACAACATTTTCACACACACATGATGACATGTTACAATGAACAAATTCATAAAAACATTTCAACAACATTTTCATACACACCTTGATATGGTTCAATCCATTGTTGTTTCAATACTTGTTGAAGGAAAGGAGGATATAATTGTGGAAGATAGGGAGAAAGAATTGGCTACACAGTGAGAGAGACAATAGCAATCCATAGAATCTGATCATTCCAGAAATTAAAAATTGAACACTTACTTGAGCATCAATGAAAATAGTGATAGGAATGTGACTCAAGAAATAAAAGAAGAACAACAAATGCAAGGGACGAGAGAAGATGGATGGTACGGAAGACATTTTTTTGAAATATTAAAAATTGTTATTTGGCGCCTTCCAATTTCGATCTCCGATTTCATGAAATTCTTTGCATGTTCAACTGAGAACTAGAATTATAGAAAACTTTTAATGAACACACAAGGTTGCAAGAGAGAGATATAGATTTCGGATGGCTATCTGTTGTGTGAAAAAAGAAAAGGTTCAACCACTAAGAGAAAAGATGAAAACTTTGGCGCCCAACTAAAAATTTCGAATTTAATTTTGAAAAAAAATACTCGACGAGAAATCATGTCCGACATTCAGATCGATGCTGTTACGTTTGAGAGAAGGCTTGCACGGTTGTTTGATCACTACGATAAACACAAGGATACTCTCTATGAGAATTGTTCCGTATTGCAAATTTTTATGGGCGGAGTCAATGAAGATGAGAAGAGCGAATATGTTTTACATAAATTATTATTGTTGTGGTTGATTGGATATGAATTCACCGAAACGATTGTATCCTTTGAACCAAAGACAAGAACCGTACACTTTTTCACAAGGTATGTACAATATGAATCCGATAACTTTTTTCCTAAATCGTTCAAACTTGATGATGATTGTCATTACAGCCCAAAGAAAGTTAAAATTTTGCAAGGACTTCCAAATCCATCAGATAAGATTAAAATTATGGAAAAAGACAAGAAGCGAACAAGCTCAGACTTTTTTGCTTCTCTTTCGCTAGGTGCACACACTTTGATTGGTGTGATTGAAGGAGAAAAGCATACAGGCGCATTATCCAAAGATTATGCTGATACATTGAAGAAACACAAAACAGTAGACATCAAAGTTGCTTTCTTAGATTTACTTGCTAGCAAAGAAGCAGAAGAAGTCCAAATCGTCAAGTCATCATGCCAATATACTTCTAAACTTTTTAAGAAAATTGTCACAGATATGGAAGGTATTATTGATGAAGGAAAAGAAATTACACATATTGACTTTGCTAAGAAGATCGAAGGTGTAGTAACCAAAGCTGCTGGAGACATGGACTTATCTTTGGCTTTCAATCCAATTATTCAATCAGGTGGTGGATATAACCTCAAGCTTGACTTTAATGATGGGACTGTGAAATCTGATGACCATATTCTCAAGTTTGACAATATTATTTTAATGTTTGGATTGCGATACAAATCATATTGCTCTTTCGTTGCAAGAACGTATTTCATTGATGCAAGTAGAGAAAAAGAATTGGACTATGAAATTTTATACTCTATTTATGATTTCCTCGTCAAGAAGAAGATTAGAGTTGGCGCAACTTTGGACAGTATTTACATTTCTGCTAGAGAATTTTTGAGAAAGAAGAAACCTGAATTGGTTCCTTACTTCTCCTCAAAAGTTGGTTTTGGTATTGGATTGCAACCTTGCTCTTCTACATTGGAAATAGCTGAAGGTAATAACACAGAGATTACAAATAACATGACTTTTGTCCTTCAACTAGGTTTAGAAAATGTGCCAGAACCTAACCATCCTCCCTACACCATGTACATTGCTGATACTATCGTTGTTTCCACCGATGATTATGTCAATGAAAAGAATGCTGTCAAGGACGTTGAATTTCATGAAGAGTGCCAAATCCTTACACGTGTTAAAATTGAATATAGTCAAGTCTCATATTCTATTCAAGATGAAGATGAAGTTGAAGAAGTGGAACCAGAAGATATTGACGAAAAGTTTGGACAACGTCAAAAACGTGGTGCTGCTATTGCCAGCGGTTTAGTAAGAGGCAGCAATGAAGCCACTGACTCCTCAGTAGTGACTGAAGAAGAGAGAAGAAAGAGACAATTGGCATTACTTCAAAAGAAGAGAGACGAATATGCTGGTAATGAAGGTTCATCAAGTATGAGTGCCCGAAAAAAGAAACAATCCATTGATGAAAAGTTTGCCAATGGAGATCTTTACAGCTACAAGGGTGTTGTACCAAAGAATATTGCTTTACCTAACAATCAAATCGTAGTGGACAAGAGAAATCACACAGTCTTGTTACCAATTAATGGTTCTCACGTTCCATTCCATATTGCCTCTATTAAGAATGTCAGCAAGACCGATGAAGGAGAATATGTTCATCTCAGAATTAACTTTAACAACACCAAACAAAACTTTGGAAAAGTCTATGAACCAGCCAAAAAGTTTAAAGATCACGTATTCATCAAAGAAGTTTCCTATCGTGCCAAGGACTCGAAGAGATTGGAGAGCGCCATGAGAGAAATTTTAGAATTAAGAAAACAAATTGGGCAAGAAGAACGAGATCGAGAATTCAATGAAAAGAATAAGGAAGTTGAACAACCCAAACTAAAATTAGTGAGTAAGGGACAAAAAGCTCCAAGACTTGCTGATATTTTCATGAGACCACCAGGTAAAAAGCAAGTGGGTGTGATTGAAGCTCATGAAAATGGTTTGAGATTCTCAAGCAATAAGGGTGCCAAGATTGATATCATGTATTCCAATATCAAGCATGCCTTCTTCCAAGAAGCAAAGAATGATATTATTGTTCTCATTCACTTCCATCTCAAGCATCCTGTCATGATTGGTAAAAAGTCATATCAAGATGTTCAATTTTTCACAGAAGTTATTGAAGAGTTTGATCATTTAGTTGGTAGACACAGACGACAAGCTGTCTCGGAAAGAGAGGCCATTGAAGAGGAAGAAAGGGAACGTTTGTTGAAGATCAAATTGAATAAGGAGTTTGCAAGTTTTGTTAAAAAAGTTGAAGAAAAATCAGGACTTGAATTTGAAATTCCATTCCGTAATTTGGAATTCTCAGGTGTGCCTTCTACTGGTCGATCTAATGTGAACCTTGTACCAACTGTGAATTGCTTGGTCTCACTCTCAGAAAGTCCATTCTTTGTGTTGACAATGGATGAAGTTGAAATTGCTCACTTTGAAAGAATCAAATTTGGTTTAAAGAACTTTGATCTTGTATTTATTATGAAAGATCTCACGACCTATTACACCATTACATCAATACCAATTGAGAGATTGGAATCTATCAAGGATTGGCTCACTGACAGCAATGTTCTCTACTTTGAAGGTGCTCAATCGTTGAAATGGGGTCCCATCCTTAAAACGATTCGTGAGGAACCCAATTGGGATCCATACGGTGAAGCTGGTTGGAATTCATTCTTGATGATGAGTGGAGAAGAAGCTGACACAGATGACGAGGAGGGTGAACATGAAGATGAATATGAACCCTCATCTGGAGAAGAAGAACAAGAAGATGATGAAGAAGATGAAGAAATGTATATTGACTCTGACGATGATGAAGATGAAGACTTTAGTGCTGAAGAAGAGGAAGATGCTCCAACATGGGAAGAATTAGAAAATGAAGCCATGGAAGAAGACGCTCAAAAACGAGCACGAGATGCTGAGATTAGTGACGATGAACAAGAGTATCATAAACCAAAGAAAAATAAGAAGAAGAAATAAGCATGTATAAACTCAATATTATTCAATTTTATTCAATTGCATGATTTGGTTCATTGGAGGTGTTCGACAATCATGATTTCGTTCATTAAGGTCAATACTCATTCTTACACGTTGGTATTCTTTTCTTCGAGTTCCGTTTGAGGAAGTACAACCTCTGCCGTGGCCACATGCTGTTCTTTTTGAGATGTTTCTTCTTTCTTCTTTATATTTGCAAAAGTAAACATTCGCTTCTTGTACAACACAAAGATTACTGTCACAACAGCTGCAATTCCAATTCCACACAGTATCAGCGGCAAAAACAAACCAAAGGTTAGTCCAAGCGCAAGAGCCACTGCATTCGAATCGTAAATATAAACTCCTACACCAACATTGTTACTGCTGTCGGTCGACTGGGAAATAGATAAAATTGAAAATAGTCCATCCTTAATTAAGGTCATGGAATTGCTCCTTGTGGCAGCTGCATTATTCAATTTGTTCAAATTACATGAACAATTAGCCATTGAAACATTACCCATCTCTGCCAATGTGACTTGTGACACTCCCTCAAATTTGCACACACTATTACCTGAGCCCCATGATGATGAAAGCTTACCCTCCAACATGGTATTGGTGAATACTACAGAGCACTCAATGACTTTCTCATTTCTTAATGTGGAATAATTCGTGGATGTAATTGGAATGGAAATAAACACCACTGGTCCATCACTCGTCATTGGAGCAGAGGATGAGGTCGACGTGACATCAGACAGACTCACCTGCGCCACAAAACCATTCTTTTCCTTTTCTTCTGGTAGTACTTGATTTGAAATGTTCATCACTTGATAATGCAACACCATGGATTTTTCAAGTAAGAGATCTAAAGATTTGAAATTCTCCGAGCTAAATCTCACCAATTCCGAATTAGTTCGTTGAGAACGCAACACAAATTGATCCAAAGCATCACTTCTCACTACAGAACCGTACGCAAGAGGAGTTTGTCCAACACCACTCAAATTTCCATCCCACATTTCACTAGTGGTCAGTACTTCCATCGAAGAACGAGACAATACCAACTCGAGAAACGATTTTGTGAGAGAATGTGATTCTTCTGTACCTTCGAGAATGTTACTAAACCTTTTAACGATGGTTCCTAACATTTTGATATTCTTTGGAGTGAGAATATGAATGCATGATTTTGGAGAAGTTTGCATGAAAGAGAATAAGGATTTCAAAACATCTCTAACAGCAATGACACCATTGGGTAACATGAATTCTCTTCTCTGAGTTAATACATAGACTTGTTGCAAGTGATAATTAAAATTCTGAACGGAAATGATACCAGGTTGGTTGAACATTTCATCAAAAATTAATTTCAATGCAGTGGACATGATTTCTAATGAGGTGCTGACCAATGGACCTAAATCCGAGCCACTTGAGTATTTCAAATTAATGACAAACGCTGAGACAATTGAATTCTCTCTCATAAATTCTTTTGCAGCCCATGGAGAGGAAATTTGATTCTTGTATCTGGACAGCGTGTTCACTGCCTGTTGTTGATAACGGGAAAAACTCATTGAATAATAAACATAGAACAATGACCCTAAATTATGCATGTTCACACTTCCATGTGGAGAAGAGATTTGTAAATACACATTGCCAGCAGAAAGTACAGTAAAGCTGATTGGAAAAGAGTTGAAACTTGGTGTGACTTGATAAGATCCAATAAATACCGCAAAGGAACTACCTGTAAACAATGTCGCTGAAGCCATAGAGCAAGAGAGAGTCACTGATTGACCCAATTCCGGATAATAGGTTGAAACTTTACATGAAAAGCTAGCAGAGTCCATGGGCTTTGGTTCTGTTTGTAATGAAACCTTTTTGGAAGAACTTGTTGTGCCACTCGCGGAAGAAATTATCTCGAAAACATTTTCAGGACCAAGAGCGAATGAACCAGTTCTAGAATTAGATAATTGAATGGAATTAGATTTGATTCGGATAGGAATGTAATTAAATAAATATGGAAGTATCAAATCTTGAGCGAGAAGGATTGAATCAGAGGAAGGTTGCGTTTTGGTCACTGTCAGAGAACTTAATTTACAATTTTGAGAGGACATGACAACTTCTAAATTATAGGTTAATTCGTCTTCTGTGTAAGGTATCTTGGAAAGTTGATTTTTAAAACCTGCAGAAATAATTTGACAATTGTCATTTGTGGATATCATTCCTTCTGAAGGGACAAATACCACTGGAGTCACAACTCCAGTAAAGTAAGATTCATCAAAAGTAGAGTATGAACATTTGATAGAAAGTAAATGGCTTCCAACTAAAGTGCCTAACTGAGATAAACTAATGAGACCGTATGAGGATGTTTTAGAATTCTTTGGCAGTTGTTGAGAAATCCGCATCTTGTTGCTACAATCTAAACACGTGACATGGACAACATGTTTTGGATTTGCATTGTAATAATCTAGACATGTCACTTGAATCGAAGAGGTAAGTGAGCTTACCAAATTGGATGCCAATACAATACTTGGTTCTCTAATTTTCAAAGTTAAATCAATCAAAATGTACAGTGAAGAGGAATAACTTGAATAATCAAGCCGAGTTCTTCCCGTTAAAGTTCGAGTATAACTTGATGCAGAGACCTGGAGTGAAGTACCAAAGGGGAAAGCGAGCAATGAGGGTTCTGTACTGGATGAAAGTCTTAAACCACTTGGAGGTTGGCTCTGGAAACAGTTTGGATTTTTAGAGAATTGAGAAAATGGAATGTATAGATATTCTTTGTCAACAGCCTCGAGAGTGACCTGGAATGTAGCTCCACTTTCAAATGTTTCATAGGGATTCTCATTAAGAGAAATGTTAAAGACTTTTGTTTTTCCAAAAGCGGTCGTAAGGGTAACAGAAAGTTGCAGTAAACGATTGACCGTCATTTCATATGGAATGGTCACCATGGTCTTGTCTCGAGCATTTTGAAATAGTGTTTTCACTAAACTGGAGGCACCAGGAGTGATCACTTGCCATACCAATGATTTAAAAGAGGGTCTCTCTTCATACTGAGAAGGGGAGACAATTAACACACTCTCAAAACACTTGTTCAGGAGATCACCTTGTCCGTTGGGGATTTTCCATGAGAGTGTGGGTTCTGTGTATGGTAATAATTTATCACTGACTGGCATGGAGATGTAAATGGGTATGGAATTCATCATCATGACATGATCGTACAAGCACAAGACATTAATTTCCATTACTGTGTTTGGAATGAATGTGGCATTGAGGTCACCTGAGAGGGTAATGGTGTAGTTATATCCTGTGTTATTCACAACGGTTGAGTTGAACTGTTCCAAATAAGTATAGGAGGAATCTCGAGTGAAACTACATTGGACTATATCAAAGAATTTCAAAGTGTTACTCGACATGACCTTATCACAAGCAATGCTACCAGATTTTGATGGCGTCATGGTTTGACTCGACATTTTGAATTGTAAAGTATTTCCTTTTTGAATCATGTTTAAATTTCCAAGAATGGTGTTGGAACAGTCCTCTCCATAGTGTTTGTCAATACACTTGTCACAGTAAGGACCTGTTGCGAATGAGGTGCAATTGCTGCAATCTTTTCCAGTAGTTTTTGGTTTGCATGTACATTGATCATAGGATGAGCAAATACCATTTCCTGAACAGACAAGGTTGGATTGATTTTTTGGAATTCCAAAACATGTCCAGTCGTCACACATTGCCCCTGAATATCCCTTATTGCATGTACAATTGTTATAGGACATGCAAGTTCCATTTCCTGAACACACAGTAGAGTCATTCTTGAAAACATCAAAACAATTGAAATTTTCACATCGACTTCCAAAATAATTGTCATTGCATTTGCATGAATTAGGTTTCTCACAAGTACCTCGTGAAGAACAAACAGCACTTTTCAAAGCATCAATTCCATAACAAACAGGTATGGAGCATTGCTTGCCAGTGTATACGGTATTGTCGTCACATTTACAAGTGTCAGGTCCTATGCATTTACCATGTCCAGAACAAACTGTAGAATCATTGCTCATAATTCCAAAGCAGAAACTATATTGGCAATTCTCTCCAAAATACCCAATATTACAATTGCATTGATCTGGTGAATTGGGACTTACGACTCGACAAATACCGTGTCCATTGCAAACGTTGGCAGCATTCAATGAGGAGTGATTATTACAAAAAGCATACGATTGACAATTGTGGAAATCTGCAGAGACATAATTAGGACAGGAACATTGGTTTGGACCAACACACTGACCAATTCCATTACAGGCATTGGTATCGGATTTTGACCTTCCATAACAAGTAGGAACTGAACAAATGGCTCCGGTGAAACCTGAATTACAGTCACAATACCTTGGAAGACCATCTCTCACATCTCCAGTGATGTAACCAATGGCGTCAATATAGGTACCATGTCTCACGATCCATCCTATAACATTTTCTATCAAATTCGAATTTCATTGTGACACAACGATCATGAAAATGTGTTCATCCTGGTAAGATTGGAAAGAAAACTGGTTAACAACTCACCTGAAGATGGAATGTTGGTCGTTACCATCCTTTTATAATCTTTTGATCGTCCATGTTCAAAGGTTTGTTTGTCAGTGACAATTTTCATATAACCAAGAGTAGTAAGCTCGCCAAAAAGTCCATGATTGTAGGTTTCGATGACTAATTGAAGGATAATTTCGTCAGGATCGAAGGTAATCGTTTGAGAAGGATAAGAGACCGAATTTCCAACCCTAATTGAAGAAGATCCATCAAAGAATCCAAATTCGACGGAATCGACACCATATCCTTGAAAGGTAATGTATTTGACTTTGTTGGTGATGGTCTGTTCATATTATAATAGTTAATAACAATGAATGTATTCATTCATACCATAACAAATGAAACACTTACCAATGTGGTCCCTCCAGATCCTCCAAAGGGTCCTAACCGACTCACTTCTCGAACGAGTCCACTACATGAAGCATACGACTTGAACGAGAAGGAGGCTTGATTCGAGTTGACAATTTCATTAAAAACGATTGGAACATTGGATGGTGCAATTTGGGAACTATCTTGAATGTTAAATGTTGTTGGCCGAACAAGAACATTCCAAGCGCTTGGGCCCAGTGAAACATCCTGAACCCAATAAATAGTTCCATCTGTTGAGGAAATCTTGCATAGGAGAATGGTGTTTGCTGCTCCATGGAAGGTCTTGGTTCGTGAAGCAGAGTCTACAATTTTGAAAGAACCTTTCATTTCAATGGTCAAATAAATATTTCTTGAAACATCCATAGAGAGAGAAGAAGCGCGTCCAATCGACCCATATTCGAAGGTAATTAAGGTTTTGGTCCATTTCACATTGATCGCAAAAACATCCAAGTAGGACATAGAAATTCCATTCGCAATTCTCTGTCCATTCAAATAACAATCTGTATCACAGGTAGTGGCCAGAACCACTTGTCCAGCAGCATGACCGGAAGATACTTCCATTCGGAGTGGCTCTGTACTCACATAAGAAGTGCTCTTCAACATGTTTCTCACATACCGTACCACTCCGTACTTGCTCAGCACAACGATAAAGAGATTGGGTCTAGATCCTTCGGAAGTGACTTGTGTGTTACCACCAATAGTGACAGTTCCAGATACTGAAAGAATTACAACAATCATGTGATCAATACTCGATGAAGAATGCATCGATACAATCGTGCAAGAGCTTCCTTCTGAATGTTCACAGACTTTGGTGGACCACAACAATTTGGGAGGGTTGGTGTCGTTGGAAATTTTTGACACAAGGGCATTAAAATTATGAGTCAATAAAATGTTCTTGCCGTCGACTGTCAATGTTGTTGGATTTTCTTCAGAAAGAGCACCATCCAACACGAGAGAATGACCAACCGTAATGTGATCTTGATCATCGATCACCAACGCATTCTGTGCAAGTTTGCTTCCCTTGAATTGGTCCAAGGAATACAAACGTTTCAAATTTCCATCCTTATCCAACGTAGCAATATATGAGACTTCTCTTGGAGTGGTAGTGTCATTCCAAAGTTCGACAAGTGCTCCTCCCAAGACACACCTGAGTTGAGCATCTTCATTGATATATTCTACAGATCCACCAATGACAGGAGCGGCGTTGGAGCTGAGAAGACCAATCGAGTACACAGAGCCTCTATGACCACAATCATTCAAATTCTTACTCCACACAACATTGCCAGCACTATTCACTTTTGACAACACTCCTTTTTTCAAGCCATTGAAAGAAAAGGAACCGTATTGGTCAAAAGCGTTCGCTACCACGTAAGTCATGGATTGATAGTCGGTGGTTGCTGATACAATCTGTGATTGGTTCGAGGAGGAAACCACGAATTTGGAGTTGACCTGAAGCGATGACTGTGAAGTACATGCTCCATGAATGAAGGTCATATCAGAGCAAGGAACCGTAAGAGAAGAGACAAAATGTGTCGCTAGCACCAACGTGATAAGCAAACTAATGAGAATGGTGCTGACTGCCCTTGTCGGATTCATCGTTGTTGTTGAAATTTTTTTTGAAGATGTGTCACAAAATTTGACAATGTGGCGTGATTACAACAATATTTCTCGTGCCAGTTGAAATGTCGGGGTCAACACTTTAAGCGCCAATTTCCAGTTAACTTGCTTTAACAGGTGTTTGTCTCATTTAGCACCTGTTAGGCAAGACTAAATTTTGTATGTCATACTGTAGACAGAAACCAGTTTCTAAATCAAAGAATTCCAACAAATATATTAAATAATTGCAAATAACGACAAACTATGCATCTTGTTCTTACGCAAGCGCCTCGGATTTGACCAAAATTTCATCGGGATGAGCTACAAACTGTAAAACGAGAATTGTAACAATTTAGTTATTAAAAATTAGAGTTTTTAAAAAGAGAAATATCAATCTCGGGTTGGTTTGTATCATCACAACACAATTTAAATAAGATGATGAAAATGGGTATTTTGTTCACAGCTGCAAAAAATGACTTTACAACAACACTCTGACGAGGACTCAACCACATCATCGCCCAACAACAAAGCGGTTGAATTGAAAGAGACCACAACCACCACAGGTACCGTCGACGATAGGTACCATCAACAAGAAAAAGGTGAATTGCAATCAGCGACTCACAGTGAAGTAGATTTAGAGTCTCAAGTGTTTGAAGACGATGAGACCTATGCATCAAGTAATCAACCATTGATTGAAAAAAACAATCATTCATCATCGGAACAAAGTACGACAAGTAACAGAGAATCGTCGGAGGAAAATTATTTTGAACAATCAATTTTTAAAACTGTATATAAGAGAGGCATTTGGCTGATTTTGTTATTGATTTTACAGTCATTTTCTAGTTTCATTTTGGCGTCTTTTGAGGCTTTACTTCAAAAGCACATTATAATTTCATTATTTCTCACAATGCTCATTGGTACAGGAGGAAATTCTGGGTCTCAATCGACTATTGAAATTGTTCGCCGCATTACAACGGGTGAAATCAAAAAATCAAATGTGTTGTCGGTCATATGGCGTGAATTCAGGGTAGGAATATTATTGAGCTTATTTGTGGGCATTGTTGCTTTTATCAGAGTGTATTTTTATAGAGTATTTAACATGACCAACGAAGAATTGCAAGGCATGTCACCAATTATTGCTGTTTTCTATCATGTCACTTTTTTGAAGGAATTAATTGCTCTTACTTTAAGTGTTATACTTATTGTTGTCATCAGCGTTTTGGTTTGTGCAGCTATTCCATTGTTTGTGCATTTTGCTCTTAATTTTGACGCAGCGATATCGTCGGGGCCCATGGCCTCTGTGATTATGGATCTTCTTGGAGTATCCATAACTGTGCTGGTGTGTTCAATAACTCTCTAAGGTACTTTCTGACGTCAAACGTAGCCCCATTTAATAAATACAAATATTGTACCATCTGATGACGAGCATTAAGGAACATGCAATTAATTCAGTTTCTACAAACAACATGTAATGTGCAGTAGGTACTAATGGAACAGTCTGGCAGGAATCTTTCATCATCGAGATCTGTGCCTGCAAAAATAAATCTTATCGAAGGTGGCTCCTTTTCTAAAAAAGGTGCAACAATTTTTTTCAAATCTCCTACTCGATACCTGTGGCATGCTTTCACTGTATGTACTAGTTGTTTTGCTAAATATGACAGAAATACTTCATATCCACCCTCTACTTCAATTGTAATTACTCTATTAATTTGTTGTGAATATTGTTGCCTTGTTAATTCAATTCTTAAATCTAATTGGAAAGCATGAATTCTAAAATGTGAAATCTTTGCATGTTTAGAAACATTGAAATGTTTCACATTATTGCAGTGTAATAAAGATAAATGAGTGAGATTTGGAAGCATGTCACATAATTGCTCTAATTGTGCTTCTTGTAGCCTGTACATGTTATCCAGAACTAACTTGCTAATTGATGAAAAGCCATTACCAACACCTCGTACAAGATATTTACAAACTTCATCTTGTCGTTTAAATATTTTGTTAACTGATTCTTCTTTTTCTAATTGATCATCAGTGATAAAGCTCCATGTAAACCCTTGCTTTTTACTGGGCATAAAAGGATTCATTTCATCAGATACTTTGGCTATGGTGATGATCTCAGTACTAAATAACGGACTCAAATCCAAAACAGAGAAAGAAGATTTAACGACATTATAAAAGATACTGCTCGTTGAGCGTGCAGCATTCCATTCTCTCAATTTCCTAGTATAGGTTTGAATAAATGTAATACTTTTTGAATTTTCTTTCGAATGTAATTGATATTGGAATTTTTGTATGATGTGGGTGAGAAAACTTACCTTTGGATGCATCAAAGACAGGCTCCATAAAACTGAATACAATGTCCCAAATTTCAACTGGCAATTGATTGAAAGAACATGATCTGTTCAGCGACAACATTTTCTAAATATTTTTTTTGTAGGGCTTAAAATTAAATCGATGTTCCCAGAATTTAACAAAATGAAAAGAAAGTTACACACTCAATCCCTCTCATAGAAATCAATTAGAACAAAATACAGTTGCAACACTCTACATGTTACTCTTGGGATTGATCCAAAGAAATTGTTATGGTGTTGGGAAAAATTGACGCGAATACAGGGCTGGTTGAAAAAAAATGAAAAGACGTGTTACTTGGCCATCATCGAGTGCTTTGTTCTCATCATGCTCGGAGCGTCATTTCCATCAGACCATCGTAATGACAAAAAGCAACATGATGAGAAGTAATATAAAAAGGGCGGAAAACATTGGGAAGAGACATTCTTCTCTTTCTCTGTCAAATCTTGATTTACAGAAGAAGATTTTTAGTGATGTAACGAAAAAGAATTATTCTACCACCATTCCCGTAAAAAAGAAAGCAAGCAATGTAGATGATGGATATTTAGCGGAAATTAAAAAAACAAAAATTATGCAACAAAAGAGTCAATATGTGAGACAAATTTATGACTCCTTTAGTGATGACCCGCTTGTTGTACCTTTCTTGACAAATATTATTTCTAGCAAGAACTATGCGTACACAACCGATCGTACTCTTAAAAACACATTCCTTTATTTCATGAGTCGAAAAAATCAAAGACTCTTAAAGTCTGAATCATTTGACAACATGCCAGAAGATAAGCAATTCGCATTGTTGTGTAAAACTTTTAGTGAAGACCTTCTTCCATTTATTCAAGATCAATTAGAAAATAATGATAATCCAAAGGACGTACTCAAGCCAGAATTAATGTATCAAGCATTATTCCTACCCACAAAGACGATGAGAAATATTTCTAAAGACATTGCCCTATACCTGCTTGAAAATAATCGTTATCAACTATTAGGAATCAACAAAACCGTGGTGGAAGACGCAGTTTTAACCTACTATAGAATTAATGAAGATTTGAAAGGCTTCTCGGCATTTGTTACTGAAAATAATTTGAAAATGACAGTACTTCGTTATTTGATGACCATTGAACTTTTATATACCAAAGGTATGCTCGCAGACATCATTCCAGTTTTTGAAAACTTTTTGGAATATCTGCTCAAGATTGAGAGTTCTATCAAAGGAGAAAAGCAATGGGAAAACATTTCCAAAGCTTTCGGACATGCTATTCAAAGCTATGCCACTACTGGAGAAATTGAAAAAGTTGAAGAGTTATTCAGCTTGTGTATTCACTCAAACGCTTTTACATTTAATGGTGAACATTCCCACTTCAATACCTCAAACCCAATATCACTGTTAAAACCACACATTCATTCGTCTCTCCAAATATTCAACATTTTGATCAAGACATATATACGACAAAACATGTTGGATCAGGCATTCAAGATAGTGGAAGTTGCCTTCAGTGAGCTCACATATTTAGCACAAAACAAAGTGAAAATTTCTCCACTAGCTAAACAAGCTAAGCAGTTTGTGACAATCATCAACCCTCTTTTAAATATGTTAGTATCACGATCCAACCTTAAAGATGCTGATAGACTGATCAAGTCATTACTTGACAAGGAATCATCTCTTCAAAAATCGTACAATACTGCTATGAATCAGCTTTATCCTCCCTCAGAATATACTATTAGTCCTGATAGAATTACATTCTTAATCATTATTAGAAGATATTGCATTGATGGACAAGTTGATCAGATTTTGTACTATCTCAAAAATATGTTTACTTATGGCTGTAGTGTATCAACAGATATGTACGACGATGCAGTTGTTAACCTAGCATTCAATGGCCATACCTCTGCTATCGAAAAGCTCCTCAAAACTTTGGTCACTGATTTTGATTACAAATTGACGGCATATCCCGCATATGCTATTATGAAGTCTTATGTACAAACTGGTGACATTGAACAAGCTGAGAAAATGTTGAACGACTACCAAAATTTTGGATCACCAATTATTGGAATGTATAATTTGGTCATTGGCTCAAACTTGACAAACCTCCACAACTATGAAAAGGCTATTCACTATTTACACACAGCAACTGTGTTATCAAATTTAACATTTGCTGTTAACCAACACACTTTAGCTCCTTTTATTCATTTCTTTGCCATAGCCAGTGAAGAGAACATCGAAAAATGTTTCAACAACATGAATTCATACTTGGAGAAATTCCCCAACGATTACATCTTTCCTGCCTATGTCAATGTCTTGAGGGAACTCTGTTCAAACATCCAACAAGCAAGAAAAGGAGAAATTGCAGGCATGCAAATTGACAACTATGTTGAAAAATGTTTAGAAGACATGAAGGGAATGCTGTCAAAAGCAAAACAATTTATCAACGACGAGGACAAGAAACGAAGACAACAAAAGCAATAAAGGGGATTTTTGGGATTCAATTTTCAAATTGGAAACAAACGCACAGACGTGTTCGGATTACAAAAAAAATGAGTGCAACCAACTCGCCATCAATTCCAACAAAAAATCATCCATTGGTTTCTTCATCATCGGCACCTCGGAACAGTTCGGGTACTACTATCACTAGCACTGCCAACAACGCATCAACATTCAGAGAAAAATACGTTGTTCTCATTGAAACAATATTTAATTACAAAGATGATACAAACAAGCCTTTTGAACGAGAGGATGTGTTTTGGGATGAACTGTTTCTATTAAAAATCAACAGCGGATTTTTAGAGAATAGTATTGTGTTGCAAAGTGAGGAAGAACTGATCCAAATGGAGCAGACAATTTTAAATCCTCTCTGTTTGAAGTGTTTGTTTTATATGAATGACGATTCTCCAATTCGAAGAGCTAATGCTATACATACTTTATGTATTATATTTAAAGGATTGTTTTCAAAAAGATGGAATAACTTTAGTGTTCGAATTATGAGTTTAGTTTGCGGTTTTCAAAATGCAGATGAGTTTTTCAAAATTCTCTTAACAAAAAGCTGTCAATTATTGTCAAAAGATGTGAAAAAGGTCAAACAAATGGTCCTTGCCCTATTTATAATTTTATTGACAGGAGCAGATAATGCTAACCAAAATGCCATCATTGATTACTTTACATTGGTTGACGTATTTGATCCTCTATTGAATGTGATTGAAGATAGTACATTTTCTCTAAAGATGAAAAAGAATGCCATCATTTGCATCTCTCTTCTCTGCAATTATAGAAAGTATGAAATTTCTGACAACAAATATATCAGTCATATTACTTCGATTCAGAAACCTTCTGCTATGATAGCGTTAGCAGACATGATTACAAGCGTTCTCTTTGTTTGGAATGAGGCATTTGAGCAGACCATTCAACAACAAAGCTTGGTGTCCTATGTGTGGTCATCCATATTTGGTTCTTCATCTAATGACACCACTAAGAAAGCTCGAGGTGTTAATGAAACCTCTGGATCACTTTTACTTTTTTACGAACTTGCAAACCATAACAACGACTTTGTTGGTTCCATGACCAGATCTCTTGCTCAAATGTCCCATGAACCCCAAGACGTACTATCAAAAAATATTAAGGAACAACTTGATCAAATGCAAAAAACCAAAGTTGTGAAATCATGTCCTCTCATCTTTCAAGAGTTTCTCAAATTTTGTTCAGTGCTTTTCCAAGAGCCCTTCTATACTACCAAATACGTTGCAGTTGGATCTAACTCAAAATCCTCTGAAGACATTACTAGTCAATACTATACTCACTTTTGTCTGTTAATTATTTTATGTTTGATTGAGAAAAAGGTTTTTAAAAAGTATATTTTCGATATTAATACCAAGTTAGACTTTTTCCTGTTCAAAAAGGAGAATGGAGTTTTCGTTAAGAATCAATATCATGGATTTGGAACAGTAGCGAAAATTTTAATGGAGCTATTGATTGACTTTGTTTTTCACCATTTACAACGAAAACATTTTCCAGTGGATTTGACAATAAGGGCTCTTTCTGCCATTCATCTCTTGATTTGTCAAAGTAGAAAGTATCGAGTTCGTTTTGCAGTGGATTGGGATACTTTGTGGAATGCTCTGACAAATATTTGTGACATTGTAGCAAAAGATGAATGCAGTAAGGACTTGGAGAAGGCTTCACTGGTTTTAGAGAAAGTGTTAAAGCTTTTCAACTTGGGAATTTTAAAGGGAGAAGCGTTCTTGCCTACAAGAAAGCATCACGAACAAATGATTTATCAATTTATTAGACACAGCTCTGTTTTTGATCAGTTAACTGATTGGATTGAACGAAACCTTAAAAAGGTTAATCCCAATAGACAATTAATGACAAATATTTCAACAATTATCAGTCAAATTGGAGAAGAAATCGATATGAAGCATGGCTCCTATCCATCAGAAGATCAAGTTTATTTAATAATCAAACAAACTTATCCCAATCTTAAATTAACAGATTTTCAAACATTAGAAGATGTCGATGAATACGTGGAAACTAACGAAACCAATTTCTTTACTCAGTTGATGAGGGTTTTCATTTTTGACTGTAAAACACTAGTGAACAATTCATTTCTGAGCCAAAAGAACAACTAGGGTCGAAGACGGAATAAACTCAGCTTGACGGAAGCGCAAAAACTCCCTCTAGAAAACATAAATCTCGATCTTGAGAAAAAGTTGGAATATGTCTGGGGTCTTGCACCAACGCAAACTAATTACCTTTTTGCCGCCAAAACGAACCGTTGCATATGTTTGTATATTTAGCCTGCCGCAGCAAAAAAATGATAATAATAGACCTCACCAAGAATCGTGAGGTAGAACCGGCAAACACGATCACAGACATCACATGTTGGCAGGTGAAAGGTGGTAGCATAGATGAGAGTGATGATTCCATTGCTATTGTTTCCTACGAGGTTGATAAAGGAGCTAGATTACTTGGCCTGTATTTCAAAAAGCAGAGAGGGTTGGACGGTGAACCTTGCCTTTTGATCCTCTACTATTTCCCGAGTGGACGTCACGACGGCCCATACAACAAACACGTGAACGTGATGAATTCAAGGCTAAAACAAATCAATAGTTCGGTTAAAAACGCGACAGAATATGCAGAATACAATAATTACAACGAAAATGATATGAGATCTCGTGTGTTGTCGTTTACACACATCTCCAACGAACCAAGTGATGCACAAAGTATTGATAAATCCGTAGAAAAAACGCTCGATGAAAACAATTATCCACGACAGTCGAGTCACCACACAAACGAAGTTGAAGACAATTCAACAGCTGATATTGATGAGATAACGGGAGCAAATCCAAAAGTCTTGAATTATCCTAAAATAAAGAAGAGGAAAAAATAGCTACTTTTGCAGCTTTTGTTTAATCCTGGATACGAAATATTCAGCCTGCTCTTTGTCTTCAGCTGATAACGAATCGTCGTCTATTATTTCTTGATACATCTCCAACAAAACTTCTGATAAACTCTTCCCGTTCTCGCATACGAGTGTGGCTGATGTTTTTGTTGGTGCGTCTGTGTTGGTGGTTTCCTTTTGCGTTGGATTGTCGTTCGCGCACTGCTCGAATCCTCTCTTGTATGATTTGCTGGTAGGTTTTGATGGAGATGATTTTTCGGTATGATGCTTTGGTGATTTTTTGGCACGCTTTATGCGCCTTTTGTGGTTGAATGATGCTTTGTCATTCCTGCGAAGGGAGTCTGATGGCGATCCAGTAAGTGGTGCTGTTGTGCTCATTTTTGGGGTTGGTTGTGGGCTGAATTTTTTTTTTGTAAAATTTGCTGGAACGCCAATTGCTTTAAAGTTGTTGGACGCTAAAAATAGTTTGACGACATACTCTGAATTGAGGAAATTTACTGTCATTTCACGATGAAATCATACAAGGGTTCATTTACATTGAGACAAAGAATACAAGCATGACAGTTTAGTTAAACGATATACAACACAAGGTAATTTTAGACGAATTGTTTTGTGCATGCTTGATGGTTACCCTTTATTTTTAAAGGTATAGAATGGTACAGAGGGAAAAGGGATGAAATGGAGGCAACATCGATCAAATATCCTCTGCTCATGGGAGAACAAGAATCCATGAGAAGGATATTTCAGAAGAGGCAACCCATAATGAGAATTGTCATGGACATTGGTAATTGAGACCTCAGCCTACCTCGAAAAAGAGGGTTTTTCGCCTTGATTTTCTTTAAATATCAGTGCAATAGAAATATCATAGAACGTTCTATGATATTTCTATTGCACTGAAGTGGTTGAAAAGGCGTTGCCAAAGTCTGTTTTTGTGTTTGAAGCTGTTGGTGATAAATGGAAAAAGGACAAAGAATTGGTTTTGAAGATACTACAGCACTGCTTTTGCCACCTATCCCAAGAATTAAGACGAGACAGGGATATTGTCATGCAAGCTATAAGAGGAGACCCACGCAATTTCATTGCTATGGAATATGAATTTCTCCAAGATCGCGAAATTGTGCTAGCTGTTTCTTCTGGAACTCTCCGTGCGTTTTCCTTTTGTTTTTGATTGTTGTCCGCAAGAATATCTTACAGACAATGAATTCGTCTGTAATACAATCCGACGCGACACAAGAACCATGATTCGGCTTAGCTTCAAGAACAATCCTACTCTTCTTCTTAGTTATAACGACCTCATAATTGAAGCATTTGTGAGCGACCCAATGTTAATACCTGAGTTTTACGACACTTGCTTATATTTACTCGGAGGCAGAAATGAAAACACTCAGAGCGCTAATGACAAATATCGTTTCTTTGAGCAGTTGATAGGGATGTGGTATTTGAGGTTGCTGTTCAAACGGGTTATTCATGTAGATTTACAAAGAAGCTTTATGAAGCAAGAATGGGGCGCTGTTACGGTTGCGCCCCATATTTTAACAACGATATTCATTGTTGCTTCGAGTCAGAAACAAACATTGAGCTTTCAGAAGATTTTATCTTTGACCATTTCAATGGAGTAACAGTCAAGCTCTTCAGATGTGTTCCTTATGGTTGATTCGTTTAAGTTGTAGAGGGGTGGTACGACTAAAAATAAAAACTGAAACACCTCCACAATTAGACACGTATCCTCTGACGAAGAAATCGATCAACAGAACATCGCCCAGCTTATGGATGACATTTTAACGAAAAACAAAGGGAAGCAACCCAAAACGAAGAAGATGAAGAAGAATTATCACTCACCAGAGCAACTGAAGCGTTTGGAAACCCTTGGGTATTGATTTCATCTCTTAAAATTTTTCTCTTCTTTGAAGTTTGTTGACATTTTGTTGTTCTTCTCCTGATTTTGAAATGGCAAGATAAAGAAATGAGAGTATTCCACAAATTCTTGACTGTTATCGATCTCTTCCTTGGGTTCCATCACAGCTTGGTCCAATTTTACGTAAGTATCGGATGTGAACATCATGTATTCTGATTGAGGAATTAGCATGCGAGGATACTGTAGGTCCACTGCCACTTTGACGTTGCCACGGAAGTATATAAGCTTGGACCAGTTAGGTGGTGGATCGGTCCTATTGTGCTTCCTGTCTGAGTCGTCTCTAGTAGTGCAAAGAAATACTAAATAATTTTCACCACATAGGCCGGATTTAATACAAGGACGATACTTGCAATTTAGGATATGCTTGGGTTGTGGAAGAAGCTTGAAAGTGTCGATAAAGGTCATAAAACAACTGTCTTTCTCTTCTTGTCCTTGTATCTTTTGAAGGTAAAGTTAGTTTTGAACAGCTCTTCCACCAACTTAAGGCTTTGATGGGAGAATAGAGGGAACAACTAAAGGGAGAGCATGTTAGCGCACACCAGACATTCTTGGTTTTGGAGGAATAACTGTACAACTCTGCTGGATTGTCAAAGCAATACCAAACACGAATATCCTTAGCATGTTCAGACTCGTATATAAATGAAGAATTCAAGATGTCCGTAGTCAACTCTTCATATACGAGCTCCATGCAACCCTTAGTGGATTAATTCCTCCTTCAGATGAGTTCCTTATGGAAACTGATTATCTGAATGAACTGATTAACCAAGAAAATCTTTGAGATTGAAACTTGTTTATTGGATACCATTTACACAATCTCTACTGAATCAAATCCAAATAGCATATCAATTCTTTTACTGAATTGAAACGTTTGGATTGCAAATAAATATGATTTTGCTTGAGGTGAATTTTGAAGATGTTGTTTTGCATACGAATATCGTAGATCGATGTTTCGGGATACTTGAAGAGAACTAGATTCAACTCAGGAGAAATCGAGAAAGAATCAATTTCATCTCTAAGACATGCTTCGATTCGAGCACAGAGTAATTTGTGCCTCAGATATTTAAATACATGTTCGAAAATGGTTGTCGCTTTTCTGAACACATGTCAGCTACCTAAGAAAACAAAATGAATACTTACTCTAATGTCAGAGAATTGTTTCGGACAAGGTTATGAATTTGAATGAGAGCATCTTGAAGAAGTGTGTCAACAACTTCATGTGACACATAGTGTGAAGCTGTTGGTGCAATATTTGCCATCCTTGTTTGAATTTCCCAGAAAGGCTATCCATGTTTAGTCCCAAATTCGTAAACTAAAATTTAACGTACCGATGTTTGAGATTCTACTAGAGTAACAACCAATACCGCATTTCCTGATATTTGTATCTTAATCTCTTGATCTGTAAGCTCCATGACAGGAAACTCAACATTCTTGCTTTTTGATGCTACACAATTTACAAGCTTATATAACATGTTTAGAAAGCCTGTTCATCGAATGAACACTTACCATATCAAAGAGCTCTAAATAGAATATAGATTGTTGTGCTCTATCAAGGACATGGTCAATAGTCTTTAGGGTTTCAGGGTAATGCTTTAGAATAACAGACGACAACAAAACTCGTCTCCCATAGGTAGCAATTGCAGGTATGATGGCGTCAATCTGATTAGTATTCTTCTTTCTAATAATCTTTACAGGAATATATTCATATAGTTTTACGGCTGGAAAATTAAAGGCAAGATCTAAAATAATGTTATTAGCGTTTTGAGCATCAAAACTCTTCAATTTCCATTTTTTTTGTAATTGGAAAAGCTGTTGATAAAAAGATGCTGTTTGTGTCACTCTCTTGCTTAGTTGATCTTTTCCTGTTTTCAAAATACTATGAGTATTTACGAGCTGTTCTATTCTACTTGGAAATAACTCTCCAGCCTTTTCGCTTGTTTTTAAATCCTCGTTAAAAGATCTATGAGCATGCACTGTTTCAATTAATTGGGCTCTAGATTCATTTTTATCTTGCTCTTCGGAAGCCTCTTTCATCATCCTAGAAATATCTGTAATATATTGTATTTCATGTATTGCTCCTCTGAGTTTATATACTGTTTTTTCCCATTCCATGTCTTGAATAACTCTAATCTGAGGAGGAGGTAATGTTTGAGTATCATCCACATGAATAGACTCCAATTGTCGTTGTTTCAAGGTAGGCAGAAAATCAAATTTACTATGAATGATCTGAGCAAAGTTTTCCTCTGCTCCCAAGTTTGGAACACGAGTTTCATTTCCATTGATATCGTAAGATTGAATCCGATACTCCTCGTAGGCATCTAAATTAATTTCCAATGATGATGATCCACCTTCGTTGAGCGATGATGTTTCTTCAGTGGTAGATGTGATCATTTTTGTTTGTGAAAGAAAAAGAGCATAGCCTGTGCAACGAAAGATTGTTGAAAGATCATAAAACCTGCATATTGAGCAATGGAATGACAGCAATGATAATAACTAAAGTAGACACACACGTTTCAACACTGTTAACACTTAAAAAATAGTTTGACGTTGTAAAGTTCAAAAGTGGGTTGACTAATATTTTTTTAAAAAATCGTTTGAAAAAAAATACGCCAAAATCACTCTCTTTTCCTACAGGTTTGTCATCACATTCTTGAAAAATTGTTCATCTCATTATTGTTTGTTCTTTCTTTTAACCCTCCGCGTTAATATTAGTAGAATGCCATCACATCTTTTCGATAAACTCTTGATCCAAATCGGTAGAGCTTGCACACCACTCTACGGAGCCAACAAGGGAAAGTTGCTCGTTGTCGTCGATGTTCTTGATGCCAACAGAGTTTTGGTTCAAGGTCAAGATGTCCCAAGACAAGTCATTTCTACTGGTGATATCCAATTGGTCAATGCTGTTGCTCAGATCACAAACAAGTCAACCACAGAGGAAGTTGTCAAGGCTATCTCTTCCTCCGATTTGCAAAATGCTTTGTTGAGCACATCAAGTGTTAAGAAGGCATTGAAACAACAAAAGAGACAAAGCTTGAACGATTTCGATAGAGTCAAGGTTCAAATCTTGAAGAAGAAGAAGAATGCCCTCTTGAGAGAGAAATTAAACGCTTTGGTCCAAAAGAGCGGAAGTGAAGTTGTGAAGAAGCTTGCTGCCAAGAATGCTCCATTGAAGCAATAAATTCCTATAAAACTTAATTTCAAAATTTGATGTTGGATTTTATTCTCGTTTTTCTTCAATCTCGTTGAATCGTTTTTGAAGAGCCTTCATACCTTCTTTTTGGTAGCTCTCTTTTCGCTTCTTGGTAGATGGAGCCGTGTTGGATTTGGCAAAGCCTAGCCCAGAATGCTTTTCCACTGATTTGACGCTGATGGGAGCAGTAATACCAGTTTTGTTTCTTCCAAGACCTTCTCCTTTTGTCCATCCAAGTTTCTCTAACAGCTTCTTACCAACATTTCCGTCGTCAATTTCCTTCTTTTCAACTTCCTCAATGCTTTCTTTTTGTTTAACATCTCTTTTACGCTTAATTCCTTGCTTTGTTGAGGATGAAGATGAAGGTTCTGCTTCAAGTTGGGCAATCTCAATTTCTTTTTCCAAAATTTTAAGCTGTTCATTGAATTTAGGATTAGGCACAAACCCTCCAGAACTAATGACTTCTACAACTTCTTCTTGTTCTTCAGAAGCTTGTGGAAGTAAGGGTCCAATCACTTTACTTCCAGCAATGTCTGATTGAGTTGGCTCAGATGTAGATGCTTCAGTAGCAGCTTCCTCTTTAGGAAAGGGAATATATGTCTTCTTCTCCTCATCATAATACATCCAAACACCAGCTGTACAATCGTAATAATATCCAGTTTTTGTATCATAGTAATAATTCAATTGGCTGTTGTAATAATATCCTGTTTCTTGGTCAAAAACAAATCCACATTGTGTCAATGATTTGTTAGATATTTCATCCTTTGTTTCAATCTTTTTTTGTTTTTCTTCTAGTCTTTCGTCCGTTCCAGTATAATTGTAAAGGGCGTTCCACTGAGCCACATTAACGTCTTCAGTAACGGTCACCTCGGTCTCTGGTACGTGTTGCCGTTTCGCATAGGCGACATTCACTCTCACGCCATCAATAAACAATTCCGAGCATAGTGACAGTACTCGAGTTGCATCTTCTACAGAGTAAAACTCTACAAAGCCGAATTGTCTGGAAATCTGAGTTGCCTTGTCTTTGATAACCCTGCAAGCTTTCACTGGAGCAAACTGACCAAATACGTTCAATAACTAAAATATGGTAAGATTTTCAAATGAATTATTTCAATCATACCGTTGCTTCTGTTGTAAGGATATTAAGACTTCGTACAATTAATTCCACTGTTGGAGGTAATCCATCATTTTGAGAAATGTGTTCAGATTGTTTGGTGATTACCTCTTGTGCTTTTTCGTCTCTTGGAAGAGAGCATCCAAAACAAGAATCTCTGTGCATAAAATTCTGTGTATTGCACTATTAAAGTGTTCAAGATATCGTTTGCTGTTTTTAAAGAGCAATACTTACGTGACCACAAATCCAGTCTTGATAGATTTGCTCCTTGATAGAAAATTGCTCTTCTGGCCCTTGCTCAGATGGCTTGTTGGTATTCGGTGCAGCTTTGTGACTATATTCCAGTTCAACATAATCATTTCCAATAAACATTCCTCCGGCAGTTGAATCCATTAACATTTGACTTTCTTCTACTGTCGAAAAATCAACAAATCCAAAGCCTCTACTTTGGCCAGTTTCTTTGTCTCTCACAATTCTAACACGAGTAGGCACTAGTCCGTGAATGTTATAAATAATATTACCAATTTCTTCTTCATTAGCAGAGTTAGAGAGTCCTTTCAGAATAACAGAAAGAGTTGGTTGTATTTGTACAAATCTTCGCTCTTCCCATTGTTTTCGCTTCTTCTCTCTAAATTTTTGTTTGATCTCCTCAGGATTCTTAAACTTTTCTTGTAATTGTTCATACGCTTGTGTATGCTTTGGCTTCAACGATTCTTGAGATTTTGTATGATATGACGATCTTTGTGCATTCCGATTATTATTGTTGTTATGCTGTGTTTGTTGTGATACATTTCTAATAATTAGTTTGCAACAGAGTTTTGGTGTCGTGTGTTATCAACAACCAAGGATCAAAATAAATTTGTTTTACAAAATCAGTCATCATCAAAGAGAAAATTTATATATTGACCAAACCGAACCTGTTACAACCGGTATTATTGTTGTTGGGTTGTTGGGGCATTTTTTGATGTAATCCCTGCACAACAAAAAATGAAGCGAAAATTTAACGCTGTTGCTTCCAGTTCTTCTCTTGGGAGCATTTCGGAGGGATATAAAAGTGATGATGAAAAGAGTGATAATGCAGGAGGAGCATCAGAAGTAATCAATGTAGATCATACGGAAGAAAACAACCAGAACAGTGATTTTATTAATAATGATACATCATCGTACAGTAATACTGCTCCTTCCGATGGAAATGACGAAGAATTTGACATTGAACAAATTACTGGATTTTCGGCATGCTCTAGTGTTGAAAATTACGAGTTTTTGAATAATATCGGAAGTGGAACATTTGGAGTGGTCAGCAGAGGAAAATGTAAAACTACAGGAGAAATTGTTGCACTAAAACGTATTAAATTGATGAAGGATTTTACTTCTAAGGAGGGATTTCCTTTGACTGCTCTTCGTGAAATGAACACTTTACTTCAGATGAGACATGAAAATTTAGTGTGTGCACGAGAGGTAGTTTGTGGATCAGATCTCAACAAAATATTTATTGTGATGGATTATATGGATCACACTCTAAAGGATGTTATGGAAAGATATCGTTTTAGCGTCAGTGAAGGAAAAAGATTAATGATTCAACTCCTTTCTGGGTTGCAATATATGCATGAAGATTGTTGGCTAATTCATAGAGACTTAAAATCTTCCAATATTTTGCTAGGTACATATTTATTATATTATATTATTTAAAATTATTAATTATTATTAATTATCAATTTAATTTCAACTCTGGAAATACTAACGAGCTAGATAATCAAGGATGCTTAAAAATTTGCGATTATGGCTTGACAAGAAAATATGGATCGCCTATTAGAGATAATTACACACCAGTTGTGGTCACCCTTTGGTATAGAGGTGAGTGCTTACATTAGGTACTAATGTTTTGATTTGAAATGTTGAAACTGTTACATTAATTATTAAGCACCTGAGCTATTACTTGGAGCAAAGAAATATTCCACTCCAATTGACATGTGGAGCGTTGGGTATGTTCAGTTAAAATGGAGCGTTGTAGCTTTTTACACATGACTATTAGATGTATATTTTATGAAATTATCACAGGAGAGATTTTATTTACAGGAAAGGATGAAATTGATCAAGTCAAAAAGATTTTTGAGATACTAGGAAAGCCAACTGAACAAGAATATCCTGGATTTACACAATTGCCAGCTATTAAAAAATTTAAGTGGCAAATAGATAACATTAAGGGAAGGCCCTCATTAATTAAGCGTCTCAAGACTCAATTTCAATTATCAGACTCTGGATGTGATCTGTTAAACAGGTTACTATGCTTTGATCCAGATAAGAGAATTACAGCAAAGGAGGCGTTGTCACATTCCTTTTTCAAAGAAGCTCCTCTTCCTCAAACAAAAGAGAATATGCCATCGTTCCCATCATTGCAAACTATTGACAGTTCCAAACGAAAGCACTCTTCTTCGTCAGGAAGTTTTGATCATCCTCAACAGGTGTTTAGATCTGATGCTATCGATGTAAGTAATTTTCATTGTTGTAACAAAGTAATTTCCAATTTTTAATATTTTAACCTTACAACATTTCCATCATCATTCAACACCAGATGGAAAACGAATTCAAGCGGTTCATGCAGGAATAAATTTTGAGGAGCGTTGCGCCTTTGACTTATCCGTTAGAAATTTGAATTTTATTGAAAAAAATTTAACACTAACATGGCACAAACACGAGGAGCTTTTATTGTCTTTGAAGGACTAGACCGATGTGGAAAGACCACACAAACAAATTTACTTTTAAATTTTTTGAAAAGTAAATATTCTCAAGTTCATGAAACAGCCTTTCCCGATCGTTCCACCGATATTGGAAAATTATGTGATGCATACTTGCGAAACAAAAACAACATGAATGACAACGCCATCCATTTGCTATTCTCTGCCAATAGATGGGACAAGATGGCATGGGTTGAGAAAACATTGCTCGCAGGAGAGCATATTGTGTGTGGTCGATATGCTTACAGCGGTGTGGCCTATAGCGCTGCGAAAGGAATGGACAGAAATTGGTGTAAAGCTCCTGACGTTGGTCTCATAGAACCAGATCTAGTCATTTATCTTCAAGTGGATGCCAGTGTAGCTTCATCGCGAAAAGAATATGGTATGGAAAGATATGAGAAGGAAAAATTCCAACAATTAGTGAAAGACCAATTCGAAGCACTTTTTGAAAACGATAAAAAAGTCAAGATCATTGACGCTTCCAAGAGCATTGAAGAAATTTCCAAAGAAATTGCGCTACTTTCCGAACAAGTTATTGAGCGAGTGAAACATGAACCATTAGATAAGTTATGGACAAGTAATTCTCTTTAACTAATATATATACATGCTGTATTTTAATTCGAAATTAGGTTATTTTCGTGGGCCCATTTTGCAATGATTTGGAGAATGATATTCTTTTCTTCTCTATTTGAGTTCTTGAGCATGTGTACAATATCGCGCAGAGTTTCACTTGGTTCCTTACCAATAACAATTTGTTGGAACACACCAATGCATGCTCCTCGCTTACCTTCCCAAAATTCAGAATTTGAGTCCAACCTCTCCAAAACATCAAACGCTTTTGCAGCGTAATAGAAAGATCCAATCTTATAACAATCATTGGCGATGAGTTGAAGCAAATTCATTGCATCAATGGAGGTTTCCATTTTAAGGTATAACTCCCAAGCAAGCTCTGGTTTTCCGTTCATAATGTAGCACCTAGCTAGCCAACTATTGTACACATAGTCTCTTCTGTAGCTTTCATCTTGGACGGCCAATAATATTTTTTCAGCATCCTTATAGTTTCCAACATATGCATGAGCAATACCATAATTCCAATTGAAGTCATCATCATTTTGGAAGAAATTTTCTATGGATTGGAGATATACAATAACGTCACTGAATCTTTTGGTAAGGAAAAAGCATGATGCCATACATTGTCTACCAGGAATCGTGTCACATTCAGTATCAGATGTTCCTACCAGTTGGAAGTAATGTTCTGCATTTTTCAAATGCTCCCTGGTATCATGAAGCTGTCCTTTACAAGCATTTACCACCCCTTTGAGGATATATTCGCTTGCTTTGACTGGTTCTAGATCCTTAATGAGTTCATATGCTTCGTCAACATCTCCATTTTTCAAGTGATAAATAACTAGGTTGAGTCTCGCTTCTGGAAGCACTTCAAGCAGAGGCGGAAGAACTTGTAATGCATTTTCTCCATTCCTAAACACGACCATATTATGTTTGATTAGGTAGTTCTCTGCTGTGTGTGATGTTTGTTGAAGTTCCACAATTGGCTGAAGAACCGCTTCTGCTTTTTTCCCTGAGTAAGTTTTAAATATGTTGCATGCTTTCAAGTTTAGAGCTGTTGGGCTATTCGGATGTTTTTGAAGATAACTGTTGAGCACTTCTAATGAAATATCAAAGAAATCCAATTTAAAATAACAAAGAGCGACATATATATGAAGCGCTTCAAAGGAACTATCTTCTAACAGCAAGTTTTTGTAAATATTGACTGCAGGCTGAATTTGATTTCTGGAGAAATGCATTGCAGCCAAACTCAGCTGATCTTCAATGTTGTTATCACTTAACTTTTTGTGACATTGGTTTACAATATCCTCCTTTTGTAGCTTGTCGGCAATGTGGAAAAGAATTCGATTTTGGAATGGGCAATCGGGTCCTTTCATCACATGCTCATAAGCAACTTCATATTCTCCTAAGAAGTAATAGCAACATGCAAGTTGTAGGAATATATAAGAGTCTTTGGATTTAGAATAGAGCTCCTCAAGATACTCAATTGCTTTTGTATATTCACCTAAATGATAACAGCAATACGCCAACCATGGAAGTGTTGGCCTCAATCTTGGATGTTCCTTTCCGAGTCCCTTAAAAAACTATGAAGTAGAAATGATAATCGGTACGTTAGTGTAATATGCGATCCGAGACTCAAAATACAAACCTCTAACACAGCGATGGCTCCCGCAAAATCCCGTTCTTGAATCATACTAATAATGTCAATTTCCGCTTGTTCCGTCTTCTTTGATCCAGATCCAGAAGAAGACGATGATTTGCTTTTGGTTTGTGCCGAAGCACCTCGAACTTTGCCTGTGAGAGGTCTCTTGAACATGATGACAATTTTTTCGAACTGTGCCAAAAATTGTATCAAAGTGGCGCCAAACCAGAAAAAATTTTGAAGATTTCTTGCGAGCATCCTGTCTTGGAACACGATTGTTAGATCCATGATGATGACAAGAGAAAGAGTATCTATTCGCTCTGCTGGAGCAAATTTGCAGCAGAAATCGTCAGTTATGGCCCGTCCTCGTTCCGATAGTTTAAGAGGTATCTCAAAGAAAACTTCAGAACTTGGTACCCTTTCAAACATTCCATTTACAAGAGGTCTAAATACAGCCATGATGAAGTCTCATTTCTGTAGTCAGACCGAATCTCAAAAAGAATTATTGGAAAAGTACAAGGATGATAGCAAGGCTCTCAAAGAAAAATGTTCTCTACTTAATCATAAGGTTTCTTCAAAACGAAAACAGATAAAGACTCAAACACAAAACATAGAATGGGCTAATGAGTGGAAGCGCCTTAGAAAAATTCAACTAGATCTAGAGAAAGATCTTGAGGAAGATAGAGAGTGTCAAATCGAACGAAGCGAATATAGGAACAACTTGTTTCGACAATTACAGGAATGCATCAATAGTCCTCTAAAAAGTGTTAAAGACTGTACTTACCATTTCTTGAAAGAAAGAATTTTGGAAACGTCACAATCAATAACATCAGTAGAACATGAAATAATGGATCTGTACAAAGATTTTGAAAAACTAAATCCTCTTACCGTTGATGAAACTATTGATAACAATACATTTTCTATGGAAGATGTGATACAGAATTATTTAACGCGAGCAAGTGGTAATTCTAAATATAATCATATTGATCCAGTGTTAGATCAACTGTTGAAAGAGCTAAAGCTTAAATTACAGCTTATTATTGAAGAATATCGAAAAGGAAAATTAATCCCAAGCAGTCATAAATGGAACAAGGACGATCATCAAAGATTTAAAACGGTGTTCAAACAATACAACACTCCTGGTATGACTATTGAAAAAGCACGCTCATATTACGAAGCTTTAAAGTTGGTTCTTCCATATAAAACCGAATCAGAGTTGAAAGAACATGATAAGTGGTACAAAACTATTCATTTGATCGAGATTCAAAAGATGAAAGAAAATAAGGCGAAATTATTGAATGAGCTGAAGAAATTAGAAAATTTTGCAGTAGAAGCAATATCCATCCACCTTTCTATCATGCAAGCCAAAAGTCGTGAAGAAGAGGAGAAGCAGCAATTTTCGCAATTAGCAGAGAAAACGCGGAAGCTGTTGCAGGAGCAAACAGCTATCAACGAAGAGAAAATGAAGCAAGATATTGAAAGGCTTGCACAGGAAGAGAAACAACGAAAGAGAGAAGAAGAGCTGGATAGGCAAAAAGAAACAAAAAGAAGAGACCTTTTAAGACAACAATTATCACAGTATTTTGCTGAAAAAGAAGAGGCGGTACGCAAACAAGAAGAAGAAAGAAAAAGAGAAGAAGATGCACTACAAGAACAGTATCGCATTATGCAGAAACGAAACAAGGACAGAGTGGACTTTAGAAAAAACAAAGATATTGAAAAGATTGAACAACGAAAGGCAATGATTATACAACGACAAGAAGAAGAAAAAAAGAGAGAACAATATCTGAATAACCTTATTCAGGGCGTTTATGAGGAGTTAAGATTGCTTGATATCGAAACAGACGCAAAGAGACTGACTCAACCTACTCAAAGCTTACTCAACAAACAAAAAGACGAAGAAGAAACGGAGCAATTTTCTAGTGCCAAGATCTATGGATACACCAATGAGGATTTAATGAGAGACAAAAAGTTTAAGCTCCAACTACTGTTGCAAGAAGCTGGTCTTTTACACACAGGCTATGCAAAAGAAGTTTTCTCCACAATGAAACCATCGAGGCAAACCAGAATTGACAATTTAACAAGTGAGCAAAGTCATTTATTGGGAGCATTTCGAAATGCCAGAGATCAATAGCTTTGACTTCCAATTCTTGAGTGTTTAAAAAATGTTGTATGGTCGGGATCGTGCTGTAGTTGAGCTGGTTAACTTTTGCACAAACACTTCATCCGATAGTGACGATCAACATACAGAATCTAGAAACATGCAACAATTATTACGAAGAAAATTCCGAACACAAACGGTGGGATTTCTAAAATGGTTGGAAGCACGAGATTCATTCATCAAACAGGTGGCATCTCGAAAATTTATGCCGATCGAGTTCATGAAAGATAGAACAACCTTTTTGAGTTCCTCAAAGGCAGATTTTGTGTGTAGGTTATTGATCCACGATCTGAAGCTGATCATGGAAGCTGTTACACAACATGAAAAGGCTGTATTGTTTGCATCATCAGAATTGAAAAAAAGTCATGAATTTTGGAGAGAAGCTATTCATCGGAATGGACTGGTACTACGTCATGCACCAGAAGAATTCACACAAAACAAAGAATTCGTTATGGAAGCAGTGAAACAAAATCCACAGGCGTTTAAATTTGCCTCAAATCACTTACACCATGACATGGACATGATTTCAATTGTCATTGAGAACAAGGGGTTTAAATATATCCCTTCTAAGTATATAACAAATCGAGATTTAGTGTTAAAAGCTGTAATGATTGATGGAAGTGCATTAGAGTTTGCCTATGAGCAGTTCTTTAACGACTATGAGATTGTGTTAGCCGCTGTGAAAACAAATGGTCTTGCTTTAGAATTTGCATACAGTGAGATGAAACAGCTAAAACCTATTGTGTTAGAAGCCGTTTCGAACAATGGCCTAGCACTTCAATTCGCTTCAGAAGAGTTAAAAAAGGACGAACAAGTAGTATTGACAGCCATTGAACAAAATCCAGAAGCAATCGATTATGCCTCGCATTCACTTAGATTTAACAGCAGTATTTGTTTTAAAGCCTTGTACAAACTTTGCGAAAAGTACCCTTTGCAACTTGGACCCAGACAAATTTATAAGCATATCAAACAATATTCTTCTACTCTTGGAATTGAATCAAACAAGTTGCCCAATATTAGACATATTCTCACACAAATGATACACATTGATCGATATGTGCTCGATCATGCTCCTCCAATATTGAAAAATGACCGAGAGTTTGTATTACTAGCATTAAATCGATATGGTAATGCCTTAGAGTATGCGAGCGAGGATTTGAGAAATTGCAAAGAAATTGTAATGAAAGCTGTCACGCAAAATGGAGTTGCTCTATGCTTTGCCTCTGAACAACTACAAGATGATGAAGAAGTGGTGAGGACAGCCATTACACAACATGGCCATGCTCTAAAATTTGCATCGGACAGACTCAAGAACGATCGAACAATAGTGCTGCAAGCCATCCAACAGCGAGCGAATGCCTTGGAGTTTGCAAGTGAAGAATTGAGAGATGATAAGGAAATTGTCATGGTTGCTGTGAGCGCGTTTGGAGATGTACTTAAATATGCTTCTCAAAGATTGAGACAAGATCGAGAGGTTGTACTGAAAGCTGTCTCAACTTTTGGAGGAGCCATTGAATATGCCTCTAAAGATTTAACAGATGATAAGGAAGTGGTCATGACAGCCGTATCCACAAACGGTTGCGCCCTTAAATATGCTTCTAAAAAGCTTGGAAGAGATAAGGATGTTGTCTTGAAGGCAATTTCTGTTGATGGAAATGCCATCGAATACGCCTCCAACAGCTTACAGAATAACCAGGAATTCGCCATGATAGCTGTCAAAAACAATGGATCTGCTCTCAAACACTTACCAGCACTTTTCAAAAAATCATATGACATGGTGTTGGAAGCTGTTAAAAACGACGGCAATAGTTTGCAATTTGCTTCACCAAAATTACGAGATACCATATCTATTGTCATGGAAGCAGTGAAACAAAACGGTAAGGCATTTGAACATGCTGGTAAAGCATGTAAGTATAATGTCGATATTGCTTTGGAAGCCATGCAACAAGATAGAACTGTTTATGACTCTTTGAATTGGCAGATTCGGCATGACGAGAAAATACTCATGAAAGCTGTCGAGTCCAATCCTGCTGTTATTAGAAAGCTGTTTCATCCGAGTCGAGCATTAGTGTTAGAGGCTGTGAAACGTCAAGGTCTTCTACTGTCAGATTCGTGTTTTAATCACGATAGAGAAGTGGTGTTAGCAGCTATCCAGCAAGATGGCTCAGCTTTGCAATTTGCTACTGAACATTTAACTCATGATCCTGAATTGGTGATGGAGGCCTGCCGAGTGAATGGATTTGTTTTCATTTCCAACAAGCTCGATTTTGAACAGTTGTATCGAGTAAGATTTGACGAATGCTATGAAGGATGTTACGTACCTCCAACTATTTTGGAGTAATTATGGTCCTATCTGTAACAGGATGGCTTAAAACATAAAAGCATTTTAATAATCAAGTCAAGCATAAACCCTAGTTCAATGAAACTAGACATTCTTATTTCAAGGAATCGTTCGAAGAAGCGGCATTCACATTTTCCATCAGTACTCGACTTGACGAAAATCCTCGTTTCTCTTTGGTACTGTCATCACTCTTTGAATCTTCCTCAGTCACGTTATCTTCATCGACAAATCGTTCTGTTAAGGCATGAGACACAAATTCAAACACTGAGAACATAATAGCAGTAGAAAATGTCACCCACATCACTCTCGGTGTCACACCTTTGAAAAATCCTCTCCATCCTTCTTGTTGCATGACATGTCGGAACATACTTAAAAATCCACCCCGGAATGACATTGAAGTTTGAAGTCGAGTTTTGACGACATCAATAGGATTGCTTAAACATGCAGCAACACCGCCTGCTGTTCCTCCAACAAGTATGGATTCCATCACGCTTAATTTAACTTTTGTAGGAATTGTTTTTAACAAATATTCTCCTCCATTTTGGGTTTGTATTATTTCTGATTGTTTCATGGCTTGTTTTTTCCGTTTCAGAACTGCCTTTTTTAACAATTCATAGAGTAAAAATTGTGTCATGCTGTACGGAATATCTCTCACCATCGTTGCAGAGTAACCTCGAAATAATCCTGTCACTCCTTCCACTTTTGCAACTTGATAAAAAGTTTTCCAAGTTGCTTGTTCTAATTGAGATTGAGGTAAAGTATTGGTTTGGAAACGACATTTAATCAATTCTGATGGAACAAAGACTAAACTTCCCATAAATTCTGCAATACTGCCACTAAGCATGTATGCAAAGTGTTTGTGTTCTCTCAAATATTCAGAATGTTGCATTGAGAAACGTTTCATGGATTCATAAGTTCCAAAGTAGATGGCACCAGCTGGTAAACTTCCAAACATGGTAGGTACCTAATGGTGTGAACATAATTTTTGTAACAATCACCGAGTGTGATATGTTGTGAAACAATAATTGTAACAATCATGCAATAATGAATTAAAAATGAATTAAAAATGAATTATACTACAACATACCCATCCTCTAAATAATCCTCTCACTCCTTCTTGTCTTGCAATTGTCCAAAATGCATCAAAAACATTTTTATACACAAATCGATGAGATGTTTGACCTGCTACTACCTCTCCCACAAATTGCTGTCTTGTTTTCACTGTATCCAAAGGTTGTAATAATGTATCTGAAACAATGGCAGCCAAAGATCCACTAATGAAATCAATCCATCTCAATCTTTTCACTTGTTTTTTTTCAAGTAAGGTTTTATCTTTGAGTGAGGTTGGTTCTTGTTGTTGGATCATGTAGGAATGAGGAGGAAGGAAGGTATGATGATGGGTATGAGGATGATGAGATTTGTGAGGTGTTTGTGATTTCGGACCAGTTGATGAATGAATGGAATGATTCATTGTTGGTTGTGAAGAAGACGAAGAAACATTTGGATGAGAAGGATGATTCGTTGGTACAATGGTAGTAGGAGAAGAATTCGGGTTGTTGTTGTTGTTGTTACTTGTCGTCATTTTGAAATAATTTGGAGTGAATGGTTATTATTGAATTCGAAATGAATTTCCGAATGTTGAGAATGTTTACATTCCAAGAAAAAAAGCACAAAAAGAGAGCCACTATTACTACTGATAGTGTTTGTAATGTGGCCTTTTCGAAATTCCTTGTATTTTGAAAACTCTTTCACTCGCGAGTCGTCTCTCACTTGACGGAATTTTTTTGTTGCTTTTTTTTCTTTCAAAAATGTTAAACATTTTGATTGAATTGTTCCGAAAATGGAAACCAGGTGAAAAGTGTATGGAAAGAAGAAAAAGGGATGTCCTTGTAGAACTGTTGTTGCCACAATACAAGTATCTCTTAATTTAAACATTCACTGGGTGTAACGGTAACATACGTTGACAGAGTTCGAGTCAACAACTGAAAACTCATAAAAACCAACGGGGCCAATACTTGCGTCTTAAAAAGTTGCTTAACAACTTGAATGATAAGGTTTATTGACAACACTGAAACAGACAGAGAATCAACCACTTTGATTCATTTACAAATACAAGGAAATATCTTGCTACAAGCTTCTACGATAGTACTATCCCAATCATTAGTGAGTTTTCTTTTCCTTTCTTCTTAAATCCCTTGCAAATATGTGGCCATAGGAAGCTGTGGATGTCATTCCAGAGACCATGGAATGCTCAACCGACGTTAAGGATCCATGATGCGCAATAAGAGTGGACGAATGCATGGGATGATGAGAAGTCTTTGCAGAGTTGTTGTGTTGATGGAAAGGTCCATTCTTTGTTGTTGTAACAGAAGACGAAGAAGAATGACTACCATGGGTGGTCGTGGATGATCGTTTCTTGAGATCTCTTGAGAAAATGGTTGAATACCAGCGTGAGGACGAGTATCGTGAATGTTGCACCATCAGTTCAAAGTGAATCAACGGTTGGTGCTTGAGAACATTGCGAGATAATGGGAATAATGAATTGGAATACATCTTGGAGGTTATGAAAAGATTAATACAAATAAGAGGAGGAGGTGAATAGAAGAGGAGTGGTGAGAGAGATTTAGCCTATGAGGTTGGTTTTTTTTTGTAGGATTAAAACTGAAAAAGTTTCCAATGGCAGTTTTGCATTTTCGCGAATTTATGAGGAATGGAATTTAGGAAATTTGTCAATCTTGCCATGGATTGGAGCCGGTTGATATAAGATGGGCATGTCGTGTTGGACCAAGGTTTGTTTAATGGTAAAACCTCCTCATTCACAGGTCTATAAATGGAGAATGAATATGTATGAACGTCTCTCAGTTTGATAGGTTCACTTTTGGGTAAAGGTTGGAGAAAAATCTCATTTCCAACAAGTTGCTTCATACAACCAAGTTTAAATTTCACAAAAAGGTCAATTATTGATGAAAATTGTCGATTATCATTTGCTCAAAGATGTACGTTCTTCTTCGAGCCATTTTGAACGCCTTCTTGAATTTGGCTCTTTCTTCCTCATCATCAACTCTAAATTTTTCAAAAACAATTTCTTCATCTGTAGAGGCGGAAGAGGTCGATCCTTGGCTACCAGAAGAGCATGCAGACAGTGAGTCTTTCTTTTCAATATTTACAAACCCTGTTGGACCATCCTCATTGAAGGATGGGACATTATCCCAAAATTCCAAAGCACAATACGTGTTTGTTAATAAAAAGCCAAATATCTCATTTCCTTCGTGTTCATAAATACCATCTAAACAAAAAGTAACGAGAAACCACATATCACTATGCAAATTATGAGGACAGGCCTTCAATATTAAATAAATAGTACAGCTCAGAAGGTGATCAGAAGAGAATGCCTTGTCAATCTTCGAGCACACTTCTGAAATTCCCCTAAAAATTCGCTCAATAATAATCTTTTTTCCATATGGTGTTTTATATTGACCAATTTTTCTCAATAAATGTACACATTCATTCCATGCTTCAGAGTTTTTGTAAAAATCATCTGGCAGTCCCAAATTTTTAGGTTCTAGTATATTTTGAAATAGTTTCAACTTTTTGTACAATTGTCGATCCTTGTACTGATGAATGTTAAACGTTCCATCTACCGCAATAATCTCAAATAGCCATTTTTGTATACATTTATCAATGTCGTTAGCATACTTCTTGTTCTTGTTTGTTTGAGAATTTTCTTTCGTTATTAGAATACACATATCATACAATTCGAGCAACTTTTTAGAGTTGATGCCGATGTTGTCCTGTATTTTGAAATAATTCGTCATGAAATTATTCAACCTTTTGGAATAGTCCAATAAAAACTCTTGATATGCATCAAAGGAAACGAATTCATCATTATAAAACAAAGGAGAGAGTGTGTCTACATTGTCAATCAGGTTAGTTAATGATATTTGAATTTGAAATGACTGTTGATCATGATCTCGGTGAGGTGCAGTTGTTGATTCGTTTCTTGCAGGTGAAGAATGTCTGCTGTTTGTTCCCACCTGCACAAAATCTTCCAAAACTCGGCGAATATTAACGCTCTCTTTTACATTGTTCGTGATTGACATGACTCCTTTCCAAGAAGAAGATACAAATGACTTGGCTGTTTTAATGTTATCAGTGATCGGAGTCGTTAAATTATGGTTGAACCAATCATAGAATGTTGTTGCTCCGCTTTTACTCAAAAGTGTTGTTATGGTACTATTTGAAGGAAGAGAAGGGTTTTTGGGTGAAGTTGCTACCGGTGAGTTTGTTGCAGAAAGTGAAGAGGATGATGATGTTGATTTTAGTGATGAAGCAGAGCCTTGATGCGTGAGCTGATGAACGTTCGTGCTACTGCTGCCCTTATCATTGGATGGATCACTGCCTGATGAGGTGTTCGTGGCCATCATGTTATTATTTTTTAATTGGCTTTGTGGAATGTAAATAGAAGGAAATAGTAGAAAACTCTTTCTAACGTCATGTAATCACCTCAATTGTATCAAGTCCACTTGTGAATCACTAGATATCAGTTCTTGATAATCAAGATGCAACAATTATTAAGTTCGAGGATTGAACATCAACAACAAAAAATGTTCTCAACGAATACTTCGGGACCAACGAAGCGATCTACGAATCCCTTCATTACCAGCTTTGCGGAGAGTGCTTTGGAAGATATTGCTTCTTTCAAAAGTGAGTTTATTATTGTTGTGATGTGTTTTAATATCGATGATGGATTTTGATGATTTTGGTGTTCAGCAATGGTGAAGGGTTCCTCTCGGTTCGAATTACAAGAGGAGGACAGTTTACCGGAGAAGGAGAGAGTAATTCAGAATGAAGTAAGTTTATTGGTGGTGTGATGGACAGAGGATTAACAAGTGTTTTGGATGATCCGTTAATTATTTCAATGCGATGATCATTTGAATTTTAATATATTCCAAATAGCTATCTTCTGGAGAATATCACATCTCCATCGAATCAGCAGGAAACGCCAAATTTCAATTCACATTCAAAGTCACAAGCAAGGGCTCGGAAATATTCTCTGCTGAAGGAACTTTGTACGGTAGAGGACAAAAAGGAGCATTTGATAGTACTTTTAACATCACTGAGGAACAATCACCAGCCAATGTAGAGCTTAGACTTGTCAATAGGGCAAGATTTTGGCAAAAACCTTCTTACAAATTTCATCTCATAAAAAGTGGAGATGATCAAGTACAGGCAGCACAAGAAAATCTCATGAAGAGTTTTGATAACCCATCAAGTTCTCCTATTGGCAAACAGCCCAATTCTGCAAGAAAGTCTAATTCAACAACAACAATTCCAAAATCATCATCACTACCAAGCATTTCTCCTAACAAGAAACTCAAAGTGAAACTTTCATACAAGCAAGAGACAACGATTATCTCTATATTTTTATCAATGACTATGGATGATCTTTATGAAATAATTTCAAGTCATTACAATAATTTTCCACCAAAAAATAATTTTAACGAGAAAATCAGCATCAAATATGTGGATGATGAAGATAAAGAACTTATATCTATAAGAACTCAGACGGATTTAGATCATTTTGTAGAAAGTAGTTTAGAGAGATTTCAAAGTTTTCAAAATTCTAGTGGAGCTAGCGTATACAAAAAACCCAAATTAATCATTGAGGATGTTGTTCCTTCGAGAGCAAGCACTGATGGGTTACCTTCAAGCCCTCTTACTACTACAAAGGTTTTCCCAACAAAACGAACAAAAATCAAAACTTGGATCAAGGGAAATATGATTGGAGCAGGCGCCAATGGCAAAGTATTTCTCGGCATCAACTCTGAAACTGGACAAATGATGGCTATTAAAGAAATTGAAATCAAAGGCAAGACGAACAGAGAAGAGGTTAAAAAGATCATGGAAGAGGTCGAGCTTATGTCACAATTTGATCATCCTCATATTGTACGATATTTAGGAAGTTTTGTGTCAAACAAACATCTAAACATATTTTTAGACTACATACCTGGTGGATCCATGGAAACATTATTGCTAGAATTTTCTCTCCCAGAAAATTTAATAAGAAAGTATTGCAAACAAATTTTAGAGGGATTGAGCTATTTACATGAAAATGGAATTGTACATTGTGATATTAAGAGTGGAAATATTCTTGTAGATGAGAGAAGTAACGTCTATTTGACAGATTTTGGATGTTCTAAGAAGCTTAGCTCTTTGGCGATGGCCGATGATTCCTCCGCTCCATCTAACAGTGGAAACTTTGTGATCGCTGGAACCCCTAATTATATTGCACCTGAAGTAATACGTGACAGGACCTATACTCAAGCAGCAGACATTTGGTCTTTTGGATGTACTGTTTGTGAAATGTTTTCTCAAAATCCTCCGTGGTATCATGTACTTTCAAAATTTGAACAACCCGTACATCCTATTCAATTAATGCATTATATAATGACCACTGAGAATGATTCTGTAGAAATACCTGCAAACTCTTCTCAAGTTGCAAAGGACTTTATTCGATACTGTTTACAAAGAGATCCTTCAAAACGAGCCACTGCCAAACAGCTTTTAGAACATCCATTTATTGTAAATGATAACGCTGAGGAACTAGAATCAGTTTCTCAAATGTCCATTGGAATAACACCCAGAACTCCACACGAGTATAGCAGAAAAAAGGGAGAAGACGAAGAGGAAGACGTTTATGAAGATGATGGATTTACATTTGACGACTTTCCAACCAAAGACTTTTCAGACGACTCTGATGATGAAGATCTCTACAGTAATAATCCAATTTACCGTAGCATGAGTCACAAGAAGCTTCTAAAATCTAGACCTGGATCCTCCACGACCACTTATTCAGTCAAAAGCTCTTTCAAAGAAAAGCCAGTTCCATATGAAAACAACAATCACTTGGCTCCTCCTGGCATAACTGCCATACAAATATCACCTCCAGAAGAAAATGAAACGACACTAAGTCACACCCTTGAAGTTTTGAATTTGAAATCAGAGTCTTCACAATTAGACACAAAAATACCAAAGAGTAGAATTCGATCTGCTGAACTTAGAAAGCACTCGAGTGCTAATTCGAACTCCTTCGTGAGTATGACTCAAGACAACTGTAAATTTGAATCCATATCGATCAGGGCCAATGAGAATGATATTAAGAATTTCCTTAGAAACAATGCTCACATCCAACAATCGTCACTGTCATCCGCTAGAAAAGTGGAACCTTCACCCGCAAGTACACCATCCTTACCCGAAACTGTCATTGCCATCCCAGAGAGCAACAATGAACAACAGCAGTAAATGATGTCGTTGTTGTAGGCGAACACATCTCTCTGTAAAGTTATTAAAAATGAAAAATACGAAAACGCAAAACTCGAGTGTGCACATATCGGATCATCACGACCATGACGATCTAGTGAATATTACTGAAGATGATGCCATAGATCATCAACACATTTCGGCATCAACCATCAAAGATGACCATCCATCTAGTTTGGCTGATTCCATCGACAGTCAACTTTCCTGCTATTTTGTTCCTCTGATAGAGAAATTACAGAATGAAATCGTAGAGTCAAAGGCTAAAATTTGTACAATTATTGATGGATATGAAAACAAGATTGCTCAACTGAAATCGAGTATTACTACTACTACCTCATTTCCATCTCCTTCATTATCGGAACCACACAACACAACATCAACACCACATTCGGAAGGGTCATCCTACTTTCTAACTTTACGAAAGTCTATGGAATTTCATCAAGAACAACTAACGAGATCTAGATTGGAAAAAGAAAAACAAGCACTTCAAACCCAATTGAAAGACATGGAAAAGAGCATGGACAAAATTCAATTTTCAAATACGCAATATCAGCGAAATTTGAAAAATATTGAAAGGGAAAAAGCAGAATTAGAAAAACAAATTATCTCGTTAGAGAAAATCATTCACCAAAACAATGAAAAGTATCAAAAGCTGTTAGTACAAACAAGAAAAGAGAAAGAAAAGTTATTAGCTGATAACAGAGAGGAAATACAAACTCTTGAAAATAATTATCAAGAAGAAATTCGGCAACTAAGACAAGCCATCAAAAAAGAACAAGAAAAAACATTATCCTTTAAGATTAAATTTGAAGATGCAGAAAAACAGCTTTCTTTCCTTCAGCATGAAACCAAATTGAAAATTCAAGGATTGGAATCTGAGAATAGAAGACTTCAATCAGATCTTAAAACTGCAAAGCAAATGGATGATACCAATAAGCCATCGTTATCAACAGCCAAGTCTTCAAGCTATTCGAATCTTTACTCGAGTGTAGATAGACTGGAAAGCCCAAGATATTATGGTCGATATAACTCGAATGTATATTATTAACAGAATCAATTAAATTCATTTTAAAAAATGCTTTCACATCACATCAAGAGAAGTATTGCTTCACTCCGCCAACCATTCATCAACTCAGTTCACCAGAGAGGCAGCACAATTTTCCAATTTGGAGGATCTGTGGCAACCTCGTTCATCAGGAGAGAATATTCAACATCGACCATTGTTGACAAGTTACAATTAGGAAAATTAAATCATGTTGCAATTGCTGTTCCCGATCTTGAGAAAGCTGCAGCGTTCTATAGAGACGTTCTTCAAGCAAAGAAAGTGAGTGAACCTCAAACTCTTCCAGAGCATGGAGTTACGGTAGTTTTTGTGGAGTTGGACAACACAAAATTCGAATTGTTGTATCCGTTCGGAGAAAAGTCGCCCATTGCCGGTTTTCTTGCCAAAAACCCATCCGGTGGCATGCACCACGTTTGCATCGAAGTTGCTGACATTAAGAAAGCTCTAGCTGATGTTGTTGGAAAGGGAATCCGTAGTTTAGATAAGGAACCAAAGATTGGAGCGCACGGCAAGCCTGTCGTTTTTCTTCATCCAAAAGATTGTGGAGGTGTCTTGATCGAGTTGGAACAAGAATAATCATCAAACAAAATAAATGTTAATCTCTTGTTTATTGTTCGACTCAAAGCTTGTTCGAATAATTTTAGTTTTTGCAATCCATTTTTTCATCCTCAACCTTAATCTCTGGCTTCTTAAGGGGCGATGAGAGATCTCTGACAATTTCTGATTCGGTTCTCTTGAGTTTTCTTGGAGGATTGGTTTCTCTTTCTCTCTTGTATTGGAGTGGCATCTTTTCATTGACCTCGTCAAGTTTTCTAGCCGTCTCAAAGTCAATGATGGCATTTCGGATGGCGTTTGGTCCTTGTGAAAGCAAACCTCTTGGCAAAACACCTCCAGCTAAGCCTTTGAGCATGACTATGGATTCATGTTCCTCTCTCAGTGTGGTGTACATTCTACAAAGACGACCAACACTTCTAATCTTAGTTTTGATAAGATCAGCTCTTTCGGGAGTGATGCTTGATTGTCCAGACAATGGCTCTTCATCATCACTAGCAGCATCCTCTTGTTCATCACATAAATTCAAAATTACGTTGAACATGTCCATAACCTTCTCAACAACGAATGGTAAAGACCAATTGAATGTGTTCATAAAGTTTGGTAAGAAGTATGGGTGAGCAGAACAATTGAATTGTCTAATATTCATCAAGTTATTTTGGAATCTAATGATGGCTCCCTTGTTGTTATAAACATCGCAATAGTTTGGAGCAGAGAAGATGCAGATGACTGTTGGAAAACCAGTAGAAGGACCCTTCTTATAAAGACGATAACCTTCATCTTGAGCTTCGTGAGCTCTAATCACGGAGAGCAAGTTATTGTCTTTCAAGAACGAGTTGACAGCTTCAAAGCTGAAAACATAGGAGCAACCTCTCAATTCGTTATTCACAAATTCGCTATCGGGGTTGATTTCTTCTTCCTCATCATCCATTGGGTCGGACCACAAAAGGTCACACATTGGGCCGTTGCTTGGAGGTTCTCGGAATCTATCAATATCATTAATATCATCCAATGTCTTGATATCAGGAGAAAGACCTCCATGAACACACAAAAATCTTCCGTTCAACAAAGCTCCCAAAGGCAAGCAATCAAAACATTGCATAAAGCAGTCATATACCTCTTCGTTGTACTTGAATAAGCACTCTTGTTTAAAGTTGAAATATGCAGATAAATGGCGACACTCTATTAATTTTGAAGCAATTCAGTGAGGGTAAAATGATTCATAGAAGAATTGAGGAAGCAATAATAATAAATCGTGATGAGTTTGAATCCTTTCAAATACGTACCGTGATTACCTCTGAGCATAAAGAACGAATTTGGATATCTGATCTTGTAGGACAGCAACAAGAAGCAAACCTCAGTTCCAAAATATCCTCTGTCGACGTAGTCTCCCAAGAACAAGTACTTTACATCGCTGGAAGGATCTCCACCAATTTCGAATAATTTTACCAAGTCATAGTACTGTCCATGAACATCTCCGCACACTGTGGTAGAGTAATGAAAAATAACCATGATGATCACTAACGCAATAAATAACAAAAACTAACCTGTGATTGGATCTTGTAGCTGAAGCAAGTTAGGCTCATCTCTCAAAATTTCAGCGGCCTTGTTGATGAGTCTCATACCATCCTTTGGATTTACTCTTCCTTCTCTCAATAAGTGCTTCTTGAGATTTTGTATGTTTGGAAGTCCGTCTGTATCAAACAGTTCATTTGCTGGAATATAGTTCCACACGGGTGCAGGAACATCTTTCATCACTCTTTCATTAAAATTGATGCCTTTAATATCATCATCCAAAAACACTTTCCTAGAATGAAGGTTTGAGTTACTTTCCGCGCTCATTCTGTGATGTTCTTGTTATACAATTGGTTTGATTGGCTGGATAGGATAATACAATATTTGAAAGTAATGGTACGTGTAGAAGTAGCCACTAATATTTGGTTAGAACAGTGATGATGACCCAGGTAGAAGAAGCAGTGTCTGGTTACTGGTGTGTGCAACAAACGACTGCCGAAGAAGCAGAAGAATTAGAAGAGAATATTTTTTTGGTTTGTATGCCCAAGCCATGACTCACGGATGACGACCCTTTTGTGATCCATCTCAATTGAGAATCTGCAGCATCTGAGCAGCACCAGGACGTTGTCCCAAGGGATGTTGGTAAACGCTATTGTTCAATTAATAAAAGCAATTGGTAAGATGAGGCGAGGTGTAGGTTGGAGTCTTTTCGAGTAAAACGAAATTCAATGAGAACGCGAATTGGCTCTCTCGGCAACTCATTTCATTACAACATCTAAACTATATACTCGAGGAATATGAATTAAAAGCCCGTTTTTGAATGATTTAACAGAACTGTAACTTCTGGAAATAATTAAGTGTTTCATTCTTGGGGAAGATTGTTTCAAAAGAATGCCTTAATTTATCTTTGAAAGGAGCATCAAATGTGAGGGTGCTTCCCCCACAACATTATTTAAAGAAAACAGAAAAGCCACTCTTGGGAACGAGTAATTAGTTTGGAGGGAGATAATAGCGTTCTACCAATGCATTTTTGTTATTAGCCTTTTATGTACCATAATTACAACAATTGTAACTCTCCCGCCTTGGTTTCTGCAGCTATCAAGTCGTACATGTTGCGTTCACTGTATCTCTACCGGCAATCTCTTTCTTGATTACCCCTTGGGTTTTCTTTCGTATGCCGAACAAACCAGTTTCCTTGTTTGATTTCGGGTACAGTTAGTTGTGGCAATGACAGTGTCATCTCTCTGTTTTAATTGGTTCATCAGCGAAGAGAAAATTACATTGTGTCCACCAGTTTGAAAGACACAACAAAAAAACCATCTAAACCATCAACAATACAGAATGACTAAAATCCATCCCCATATTCAAGCAAAGCAAGAGGACCATTCCAATAGATCTGAGATGCAAGAGATGAATTCAATTCTCATGCCAGAACAAGCCAATGACCAACAACTGCACGTCAATGCATTCCAAAAGAGAAAGTTGGATGGATGCATCTCTCTAAGAGTATTTGTGATCATTGCCTTCATTTCCCTTATACTTGTATGCTCTATTTCTGTGTACATGTCAGTGTTCATTGGGTTGTACACCTCGAATGATGAGCTCCTTTCCAAAGTCATTAACAATGTTGAGGACAAAATTATCATCTTCATCACTCAACTGTTAGAGAAACTTAGGCTAGCAAGTAATGTTGGAGCAGATGTGTACAATTACGGTTTGATTGACAAGCCTCAAATGAGAGATTACATCTTTCGTCAATACAACAACTCTGCTATCCAAACTGGTTACTTTTTCGCTACTCCTTCCGAAAGATATTCTGTGATTGAAGTGTTGGGTTCTCTATTCTATACGTATCAGCCTCCTAAATTTCCTGGTATCATTAGAGACAAAGTGAGCGGAGATGGTACTGTCTTAGCTTATAATTACACGGTAGATACAACACCAGCTCAGGTCATTCAGCAAGGCTTTTATAACTCGACGATCAAGGCAGCCAACTTGGCAAAAACTAAGGGAGCCTTTGGAAGCATCTATTATATTATCAATGGAAGCCTAGCTCTTCCCTATGGATCCATGTTGTATGATCCCGTGAAATTCAAACAATCACCACAACAGCCTGGTCCAGTACAGGGATTGTGTCGTTGTGCAGTTCCACTGTATCTGTTGTCTAATTTTTTATCTCAAATTCAAGTGTTTCAGAGAGGTTATGTTCTATTGACCGAATATAATAGTACAGTGACTATTGCAGGAAGTATTAACACCACCACTGCTGATTTAAAGAATACATTGAGTATTTTTGATCTTACGGATCGAAATGCAGGTGCGCTCATGAAACAAATCTATTCCCAATATCCAAATACAGACCAATTACCAGAGAAAGTGAGAATGTCAAGCATGGGAGTTTCGTACGTGGTCAAAACTAGGAAATTTCAAATGGATAACCTTAATTGGAAGTTGTATATTGTGGTCTATGAAGAAGATGTGACTCTCACGACCACCATCAGTGTTGTTGTTTCTGTTTGTGCAGTTTTCATCATTACCTTGTTGAGTGTTGGTTTTGGTCTCTTTTTGAGTCATATCATTACAACACCCATCTCGTTTTTGAAACAGCAATTTGAATTAATTAAGGTCATGGATTTGGAGAAGGTCAAATTCACTCATTCCATATTCTCTGAGATTAGTCAAATCTACAATAATTTAGAAAACACTGTCGAATGGTTGAAAGAAATCAAATCCTTTGTTCCAGAGAATGTCTTTTTACAATTACAAAGTTTAAATTCAAGTTCGAGTGATTCACCAAGAGAGGATTCCCCATTGACAGAGAAAAAACAAGACCATGATCACAACCATTCTTCTTCTGCTCATAGAATAAGTATGGGATCATCTTCAGATGCCAAACATTCCTCGAAAATGAGTGATGATCTTGCCAAAGGTGTTTTCAAAATGGGTCTCACTCAAAAGGAATGCAGTCTCATCTACATTACCTTACCTGACTATTTACTACAATATTCTCAAGATGATATCAGTCATACTTTTCCAAAAATTATCACTGCTATCAGTTCCATCTCTAAAATCTATCAAGGTAATCTCCAAATCATAACCAATGCAGAATTTAAGATTGTCCTTGAGAGTAAAAAGAGACATGGCAAACGAGTGAGTCTTTTAGCTCAAGAATGTGCCTTAAAAATTGCTAAAGGACTTGAAATTGCCAACTCTTCCATACTACAACAAAAGATACAACCCATTGTGTTTTGTATTGGAGTATCCACGAGCTCCTCGTTTGTTGGAAATTTAGGAAGTAATAGCTTGAGATTTTTTTCATGTATTTCTCAGGTTTGTGAAATTGCCAAGCAATTGTGTTTCATGGCAAATCATTTGAAAGTGAGCATTTTGATGGATGAGAATACACAGAAAGAGGGCGAACAGAGTTTTGTTACTAGACCTGTGGATCGAATGCTTTTAGAAAAGTACATCCATCACGCCGCTCATTCCAATCAAATTCCAATTATCACAAATGTGTATCACCTAGTGAAAGAAAACAAGGTAGAGAATGATGAATGGCTCTATGAGTTACAGGTATGTTATTATTCGACTGTCGGTTCACGTTGTACTATCAAGTCACGATTTCTTGTCACCATGATGAAGGCACAAAATGAAAATAATAATTACAAGGACTTTCATACCATGTTTGAAATTTTCAAATCTCATGCCACCACTCCAGCTGTATTTGAGAATATTTGGTCAAATAGTGTGGTTCAATTAGAGAGATTTATCGAAAAGAACCCCAATGATGTTGTATCTCAATATTTGAAAAATCTTTTCAATAGATTAACCACTCAAGACAAAGCAGAAAAGTATTATTCAAAAGTGGATCAATCTGTGGTTCAAGTATTAGAATAGAGAATAATCATCATCACACAACAAAATCATTTTCGCCTTATGACAAAATATTGTCAGTTAAATATTGTATTTGTGATATGTAATTAATTATGTAAATATGGCATGTAAATTATGGTTGAGCAGTGTTGGTTCCACATTTTTTTAAATCGTTTGGTAAAAACGCATGTACAACGTGCCAATTTATTTCTTGGTTGGAGGTTGAGAAGCAGAAGTTGATATCACAGTGTTTTGAGAAGTGGCTTCCACTTGTTCAATGCTTCTCTTTCTTGAAAGTTGTTCAATTTCCTCAGGACCCAACAACTGATTCGTAGCTGAGTAGGGTTGAGCCATTTCTTTTAGATATTTTCTTGCAATTCCAATTATGGCGTCTGTGGATAGATTGAGATAGGAATCTTTGATTTGTTTTGCAATCCATCTTGGTAATTTGTTTCGTTTGTCAGGTTGGTTATATCTCTTATCTGCAAGAATCATGATACCATAGTCCGCTTTGTTTCTAATAACACGACCAATACATTGTGAAGCATGCCTCAAAGCATCGAATGTGAGAAAGTTTTCTTCCTTAATTGAGAAGTTTTGTCGCAAGTAATTCAATCTCGCTTTGAGAATCTTACTTTCAGTATTTTGGAATGGTACTCCAATCATAACAACACATCTTCCATAGTGTCCATCAAAGTCAATTCCTTCAGCAACTTTTCCTCTTGCGATACTGAAGAAAATAGCTCCTCTTCCACAATCACATGCTTTTCTATAATTGTCCAAAGCAATGGCAGTCTCTGCAGTGTTTGGCGTTTCAATAAATACAAGTTTGTGATTTGTTATAGAGTTAAGAATTCCTACAGAGTTCCAAAAAGAAACAATGTCTTCCATATATTGGTACGAAGTGAAAAAGCATACGATACCATCTGGTACATATTTTGACAGTTCCAAAATTAAATTTCCATAGTTTCTCTGAACAGATGCGTCGTTTCTGAACCTGTATTTTGTTGTTACAGCCACTTGATCGCTTCCTCTTGTCATTACCAGAGGGCATATACACTCTCTTGTAAGAGTCATCTCTAACGACTTGGAAATAACTGGTTTAAATTTGAGAAGCTTAGGATACATTTCAAGTGGAGAAAGTGTTCCACTTGTAAGTACCACAGTTTGGAATCTATTGAAGACAGGTTTGCTTATAGCCAAAGAGGCGTCCATACAACTGAACTGCAGAATTGGATCAGGATTAGTGGGGGTTCTTGGATCATAAGGCTCAATGATAATAATAAAACCTTCTTGATAAGTTCCAATTAATGTCGCAAAATCCATAATAATTCGAATGCCATTAAATTCAAACACATTCTTAATCTCAAGTGTGTTCATAAGTGAAAGCAAACGTTCTGAGCAAAATCTTAAAGATCTTGAGTCAATTTCCATACTTTCGGTCAGATTGTTTAAGAATTGTTCAGGAGTCTCATTGATAGACTTTTGAGCTTGAAGCCTTTTGTTCACATGAGTAGTAAATCGTTTCATAAATTTAACAAAATGGTTTGCCTTTCTGATGTTTCCTGGAACAGCTTCCTTCATAATATCGCTCGGTAAAACGGGATTCGACAAAAATTCATCATCACTTGAGAGACTAGACAAGTTAGAAACTCTTCCTACGCCTGTGGCACCTAATCCGTCAACCAATCTTCTATATTCCTCTTGAAGTCGTTGACTATTAACTTTTTCCATTTGCGAAATATTTTCTTCAAGCTTGGTCAAGTTATTACGAGCAATTCCAATAACGTCTCTATCAATATTAATAGAAAGAGCTTCAATGCAAACATTGTCAATGTTGTGAGCTTCGTCGAACACAACAATAGAATTACTAGGAATGTTTTTCGAAATAATGGAGGAAATTTTAGGGTCCAATAAATACGAGTAACTGTATACCACAACATTGGCATATTCAATTGCTCTTCTGGATAAAAAGTAAGGACACCATCCCTTCTTTTTACCGAAAATCTTCAAGTCTCTCATTGTATATACACCATTGGGTAGAATTGTATCAGTGGGAGCTGATTCAATAAATCTCTCATAATAATTGCATAATTCAATATCATCAACAAGTACTGTGGTACCATGGTTGACTACGCTAGGAGTGACTGCCCCGTTACTAGAGTCCACTTTCTCTTTTGCCTCAGATCTTAACCAACCAGCAGTAAGACTTCTGCAAACGCTGTCTACTTGAGATCCGTCATGAAGCACTGATTGGCTTTTAGGATGAATGCACAAGTTCTTTCTACTACTTAATCCAATTCCGATGATTGGTGCGTTAATGTGTTTGGATCTGTATTCAATCAAAGAATTTAACTCTTCCAAAACTTTCTCCATTTCAGGGACTGTTCTTGTACAATAAATTAATTTTCTAGTTTTTCCTTCTTCAGTAAGTTGATATGAAGTGATCAGCGAGAGCAAAGAAATGGTCTTTCCTGTTCCCGAAGGCATCTCGAGTAAACAATGCCCGCCTTTGCGGAGGGAGCTGTACAATTCTCTCATGTATTCATATTGCTCGGGATAAATTTTGTCGTATGGAAAATACACCTCCAAACCATCCAACTTGAATCTGGATTAATGATGATGATTCAAGACAATCAACAACAATTTGATCGAAATGATGACAACAGAAAAAGATGGCTATCACTTACTTCATTTTTTTCACTTCTACGGACGTTTGGAACAAAAGCGAAATTGTTTTTCGGAACGAAAAACTTGGGGTTTATTGATGTCTGACTTCAGCATGAAGGAAATAACAGCTTTACCAGATCGAAATATTCGAACAGCAAATTTGGAAGTATTTGAGGTTGCAAGAGATATATAAATCAGCGGCATGAATTACTGGTAGTAAAAAAATGCCTATTCAGTTGTCGATTGAGGTGAAACAACCAAAGAGATTAAGCTCACCTAAAAGACTGTACCATCATCATTCATTGCCTGAGGGTACTACTAACAGTATACCAATGTCAGAGACTCAAATGAATGCTCGGAATGTAAATTATTCAAATCAACCACATAAAATTGTCGAGTCCATGGTTTGGCGTCCCATAACCGAACAACAAGCAACACCCTCTCCGAGACATAAGGACAATGGTCCCAAGAGATATCACAAATACAACAAAACCAATGACCCCAACACCACAACAATAACATCAACAAGTATTGCAACAAGAAATTCGCTCCGATCATCGATTGTAAATATTAGTTCGGATGACCTCAGCGAGCCAAAAAAAACTAAGCGAAAAAAGTATGCCATTCAAGCCTTTCTACCCAAACAAAAACTTAATCCAAAGTATGAAAATAATATGAATAGATATAGAGCTGAATATCAATTTGTTAAGGATCAGATGAGGCAAATGGAGGAAAGAATGAGATACTTGAATGAGGACAGCTTTGGTGAGGATGGTGATGCTATTGCATTTTCCGAAGGTGTGTTGGAGGAATACAAGATTGTAGATGATTCTGAAGAACCAACTGTACCTCCTCTTCCTTCAGTTTCTTCACCGTCACAGATTGGTCTGAGAAGAGCACAGTCTGCTTCATCTATCAACAGACCAAAAAGTGTTTTACAGGCAAAAAGTCCCACACGTGTGAGGCCCCAACAACGGTTTGATCCTGCTGTTCATTCGTCAGAAATATTTCACGGTGACTCATCTTCTTTTGGAAGCATGACAAGATCTGTAACCATTTCAAGGCCTAAGTATCTTTTTGCAAGAACTAAGCGTACCACAAGTCAAAAAACAACAAACGAAGTACCATCTCCAACCCATAGTGACAGTGGTAGACATTCCGTTTCTGGTGAATTTTTGCGGAAATCACTTCCTCAATATCCGAACCAATCCCTTAAATCATCCCTTAGACAATCACATACGACGTCCACTAAGAGTATCCTAAGGAGCTGCAAAGACTTCGATACAATCGTTGAACAAAGGAGGCCTGTATCACAAGGAAGTAATAGAACTAGGTAGCTCTGTTATTGCTCAATAACAACATGCTCACAGATAACAACCTCTCCTTCGTAGCGAGAGCTCTCGTAAAGTCATCCAAATGAAACGTGACAATGATCAACGAATAAACAAGCGCCAATCGCTTGAACATGCTAAAGATTGTAATGTTCCTATGTTGTGTAAGTGTTTGTGTAATGATGTGATGTGTGTATTTCTCTTATTGATTAAAATGTGTCGTCAGATCTTTCATGTTATGAAACGCTCATTGCTGACGTTTCGTAACAACAGGGACTAACCCTTCATATCTTTCCATAAAGAAAGATACGTACACAACAAAACGTCAACAATTTACGTTTCAAAACATCACACAGCATACGAGAGCAAATTGTCAAGACCGTAAAGCAGAACCTTGAGAGGAAGGGACAATACATACTCCAAGACAGAAAGGTTCTGCACAATCTGGCAAGGAGTATGTTGTGTGCGTCTTACGTGCCACGTAACATAATCAGCTACAACAACGAAAGCGTTATTGTGCCAAAAACACCTTAGGGTTGGGTGGTAGCATGATAACTACCAAACTTGGGACAGTCTCGACACTCTGCAATCACATGTTGTATGTGTATTCATTCCGACGAATACAGAAAGAAAAAGAATTTTCTCATCATCACATGATGGAAGAGAAAACCGTTTGGCTTCTGACGAACAACGAGCAATCATTTTTTTGAGCGCCACTTGTTTTTAAACAGCGATGTGCACAAAAACTTGTCGACTAATTTACTCTACAGATCTACGATCATCGATTTTCTACATGAGAATACTCATTTTCTGTGATGGATAATATTTACAATAAATAGAATTCAAATGTGCACATTGTGTTCGGAAATGCTCGGCCATCATTATCAGAGTTTGACTCATTTCATGATTAACATTACTCCGTAGTACTTCCGTGCACTGTAATGGCATAAACGCCTTCTACTTTGTCTTGTAAGTTTTGATATCTAGCAACCCAACTCTTACTTGGATTCATTAAACAAATTAATCCTTCAAATGATGTACTAGTATTATTTAGTGGATCATCATCCTTGTTAGAGCAATTTTCGCAGCCATTGGTTTTAAATTGATCTGTTGTTTTGACCAAGCCACAAGTCAGGCAAGCTCTCAGTTGTCTCATGTTAGTTGGAATCACATCGGATTCATCAGCAAATTGTTGAACATTTTGTTGATCCTCTTCCTCTTCATACTGAGGTTGAACCTGTCCGAGAGGTGGAGGCATCATGGCATGAGCCTGTTGGTAATAGTGTTGATAGGGAGCATTGTAGAAATTATGATTACTCATTTTTTTTTGTTGTGTTTTAGAAAAAAAATATTATAATATTATCTATCAGATTGAATCAACTCTTTTAATATCAATTTATTATATTATTTGTGATTTGTAAATGATAAAGCCAATCAAACGCTACCAGAATATTAACCATCTTCTTCTTTGTAAACAAACTCTTTTCGGAACACATTCCAGTGGTTTTCAGAAAAAAGAAAATGAAATTGCTAAATACTTATGGAATCAACATTCCGCAACACACAACATTCGAAATTTTCATTTAAAAAAGGATTTACCAACTCCCAAACGCGTAGTTGTCACAGGAGTTGGTGTCGTGTCTCCTCTTGGTCTCTCTGTTGAAACCTTTTGGCAAAACATGTTAAATGGAAAATGTGGAATCAAAAATTTACCTTTCGATACATTCACTGAAAGAGAACAAGCTATTTGGACAAAAATTGGAAACAAAATTGGAGGATATATAGATCCTGTGGAACTGGATTCGAAATTGGATCAATGTTTGGCATTTACCGAGTCATCAAATAGAGAAAAGAGTATTACTAAATCGAGATTGTCAAAATTTATTCAATTTGGAATGGTTGCTGCCTATGAATCCATTATTGATTCTGGATTGGATATTAAATCTTTGGACAAGACACAAATTGGAGTCTCAATGGGTTCTTCACTGGGGGCAGGTGAGGAAATGGGAGAAGCATACATGCTCGTAGAAAATGAGGTAAGCTTTTTCACACATGGAACTAATGTGAATCTTGTGATGAAATAATTCAAACATCTTTTTATTTTTTTTTTGAAAATGACACACACACTACTGAATGGAACATGTCTCTTTCATCATGTGTTTCATATTTTTGTGAATATATTCATATATTTCACATTTCACTGTTCAAACAGCAACACAAAAAAGTCAGTCCTGTATTTTATCCTAGAATTTTGAATAATATGGCAGCAGGTTATATTGCCATGCAACATGATTTACAAGGTCCCATGATGAGTTGTTCAACAGCATGTGCAACAGGAGCTCACAGTATTGGAGAAGCATTTCAATTCATCCGACAAGGACATGGTAAAGTCATGTTAGCTGGTGGATGTGAAAATTCATTCTATCCTGTGTTTTATGTTGGATTTAATAGAGCAAGAGCACTTTCATCAGGAAATGATCCAGAAACAGCGAGTAGACCATTTGATAAGAACAGAGATGGGTTTGTCATGTCTGAAGGAGCAGGATGTTTAGTTTTAGAAGAATTGGAACATGCTCAATCTCGAGGTGCTAAAATATATGCCGAGCTTGTTGGATATGGAACATCAGGAGATGCCTATCATCCTACCGCTCCATCCCCAGATGGAAGAGCAGCCATGACAGCCATGAGAAATGCCATTCGTGACTCCATTGTGGATGTCAAATTGTCAGACATTAATCATGTGAATTGTCATGCTACAAGCACACCTGCTGGTGATAAGGTAGAATTATTTGCCATTCAAAAATTATTTGAGAATGATCATCCAATTTATGTCAATAGTATGAAGGGATCACTTGGGCACATGTTGGGAGCTGCAGGTGCCAGTGAATCTGTTGGAACGGTTCTCTCCATTTATCACAACAAAATTCCACACACCCTTAATTTTGAACGTGTCGATGATGATTCCAACCTCGATTCAAATAAGGTGAGAATTGTTGCCAAGGATCCATTGGAGATTGAAGTGAAAGCAGCACTTTGTAATTCGTTTGGTTTTGGAGGTACCAATGCAAGTCTCCTTTTTGCTAAATACATTCCTTAAAACCTTGAATTTGATTCAACAAAAGTCGTTGTAGTTATGTTACTCTAGTTCACATTGGTTTCTTGATTAAAACAAAGAAATCAAGTGTACACTCAACATGTTTGTACATCAATACTATTCGCGAATAGTAGTTTAATATTATCAAAATTGTATTTGTGGAATTTTACACTAATCCAATCTAACTGGATAGTTTGGTCGATAGGTTCCTAATTCGAAATCTTTACCAATGATGGAGTTGACAATTTCTTCATTTTCAACATTGGCAGCTGACTTGTTAAACGGACACATGCAAGCTCCTGTGTTTGGATTTGTCCAATAGTGTGACGAATCATTTCCGCTTCCCTTAGATTGGCTTCTCAACCAGAACGCTCTATCATAGGCTTTGAGAAGTACATAGTCAAATGGTTCTCGATCAAAATAAAGAGGATCCTCCTCTTGTAAAATATGAACAAATTGATCTAAAATTTTGTGTGAATGGAATGTTAAAGCATTTCCTGAAGTGTTCAAAAATTCTTTCAATTCATCTGGAGCATTATCAGATTGTAAAATGGTTTCTTTCACGTCTTGTGAAATTCTATAGGACATGTCACAAGCACCAGTTGTCTTGAGTCTTGTGAGATATTCCTTCAGAGGTCCTTGTCCAGCAATCTTTTCAAATGCATCTGACAGTCCGAGCTTTTCAATAGCTTCAGTACAAAAATGTTGACAATTTGCTGTCTTGTTGTCATATTGACGCGTTCTATTCCAATCACAGATCAGTTCTGACAACTTGAAGAAGGCATCATTCACTTTTTCTTGTCCACTAATGGTTCCAATATCAGTGGCAAATACAGCTTTGCTACTACTCTTTTTACGCACAGTGACAAGAGAGCTGTCAACCCATTCAATATAATAAACTCCTACAATGAGAGCCGTGTGAAACATTCCGTAATCCATCGCTTTGATGGTTTTGTGAATTCTGGAACCAATCGATCTCAATAATCGATGAGCCATACCAGTATCCATTTCTTTTGAAATTTTGTAACAAGTGTTCCAGTGTGCCAATTTGTCAATTTACAATATACACACAATATACACACAAAACACCATACACACAACAATATACACACAATATACACACAATATACACACAATATACACACATTATACCATACACACAACAATATACACAATACACACACAATATACACATAATAAATGAACAATAGTTCCGAATATTACATTTAGAGAGACAGACAATCATTCACTTACCTGTAATGACCAATTTCACTTTGATAAATGGTTCTACCATTTTGTTCACCACTCGATCCTTGTCAGTCAATCTCAGAGGATTAAAATATCGATATTGGAATCGATCCACAAAAATACAATCTTGACAAATCGTTGCTTGTACTGATGGAGGATAATCTTGACAAGCCAATTGAACCTTTTTCATACATTTATCATAATCTTTCTTGTCTTGTTCTGTAAAAGTAGAAGGTTGAAAAGGAGGACACGCCACATATCGTTCCTCAGTGGGCATTGCTGTCGATTCAGATGCTGATGAAGTGTTAAAGATTCCTCGACTTGGATTGTTTTGTCTCGTTGGTGTTTTTTTCTCTTCTTGTTCTTCTTCTTCTTCTTCTGTCGCATCGAGTAATTGTACGACTTGAACTGTTGTGGAGTTGTCACCTCCATTCATATTGTCACTTGAATCACTGGATGTCGTTGTTGTTGTATTGTCATTAGTTCCCGAATCTGAAGTTCGAAGAGTTGTTGTGGTGAGCTTACTCGATGAAAGATTGCTATTCAATATTCCTGCTTTGATTTGTTCTTGTTTGATGACATTAATGGAATTGGTAATTCCTTTGGCAGAGCCACTGTTGTTGTTGTTGTTTACATGGTTGTTGTTGAAAGTGTGTCCATGTTGAAAGTTGTCCATGATGATGTGATTGAATTTGATATCAATGATGAGAATGTTGTCAAGTAGTAAATGTGGTGTTGTTGTTGTTGATTATCATGATAATGTCACGGTATCGGTGGATGTTATTATCAAATCAATGAGAATGAGGGAAAGTGATCGTGAGGCACACGAGACCATTATGAAATAATTTTGACAGTTGATTGACGGGAAAACACATTCCATATTGTGTCGAATCAACAATTGTTATCATTTCGATTCAATATCAATTCATCATGAACAGAGAGCATATACAACGACCGATTGAAAGTATAAATTACATCACCAAATGATTCAACATTCAAATATTCACATACCTTGGAATTCCAATTTTTTTCAAATCTTCTTCTGTGAAATCAACGAGACATTTTCCATTCCATTCTTCCTTTTTCAATACTGTATGTATTGGTGAGAATGATGTTGTTGTGAGTGATTCCAAATTTGTATATTTAATTCATCATCACGTAATCAAAGATGTGATTATTGACAGCATCATTTGTGAATAAAATCATCATCGTCATTATATCGCGATATCACGCGAATGAGAATATCATCATCATGGCATCATCATCATTCGAATGATCACTATTTTTCCATTGTTCAACACTTACTTTGTAAAACTTTCTTTTGATAATCGTGTTCCTTCAACCAATCTTGAAAGTCTTTCGTGCTCCACTCCTCGAGAGGTTTTGATTCGAGATCGGTTTGTTCTCGTGTTGATTTGAATAGGGATTTCAAGCGCTCCATTTTTTTGTTGGCCTCGAGTAAAAATAAAGGAGATTTATTTTTGACAAGTGACGTTAGGGATGGGGCATGAACATTGGTGGATCTTCGTTTGTTCTTCCATATTCTGTTGGCATTGTAAAATGTAAGTTTCGAACATTGAAAGTTAGTGCAATTTATTTGTTGAATGGTGTTCTTCAAATCGCGCTGCTATTCATAGTTCATAATGAACAATAACTCAGATTGAATTCACCTCATGAGAAACCATTTTGATTTGATGATCATGTGAGAATTGATTGCGAATATTTTACAAAATACCTTAATGGATTGATCACTCACAATCATTTATTGCTGTCTCTTTTCATACGAAATGGATACTGTAGTACTTGGATGAGGGACTCCAATCAGACGATGCAAAGCAGGTGATGGCATGGGTCCATTGAGTTTGATATTTCTAAACTTGTAGAAGAAGAGTGCAATAAAAGAGATTAATTCCACAACACTAAATGCTTTTCCAGGACATTCTGCACCATTATTCGTTCACATCATACACACATTATTTTGAACATTTTCCATCATATGATAATTGTTTATGATCATGACGGATCCAATCGTATGGTGTGACACACACACATGATTCATTTTGATTTCACATTCAGAATAAAAACATTTTCAAAATGAATCTTCACATGAAAGCACACATAAAAGCTCAACTTACCATGTGGACCTCTTCCCCAAGCAATAAATTGTTTGCTTCTATCACTGAGACTATCTTCACCACTTTGAAGCCATCTCTCTGGATTGAATGTGTGTGGATCATGATAATACTTTTCATCAAAGTGTGCAATGAATGGAGAAATACAGAGATTATGACCCTCTGGAATGATATAGTCATAGTTTGGAATTTTAATAGGTTGCATGACCTTTCTAATAAGCATTCCTGGAGGTATGATTCTAATTGCTATTGATAGGTTATTATCATGATGTGTTACATAGGTTATCATGATTGCATGAGTTTGGAAAATCGTCAGTGGAAGTTGAACACAATCATTATTAAAAGTTGAATGGAATCATTAAAAGTATAAAATGGAATCATTAAAAGTATAAAATCACATGTGAACACATAATTGATTTTACACATGTCAAATAAACCAAATTTCAAACATACCTTCATACACACATGCCTTCACATATGGGAATAAATGTAAATTTTCAAAAGATAAATCACGTGGATTCTTAATATGATTAGTAAACACATCATCTACTTCTTGTTGAAGTTTAGAATAAATTTCTGGATTCGATACTACAAAACAAATCGTCCACAATGAGGATGGTAAACTATTGGCTTGAGATGCCCACAACATGGCCAATCCAAAGTGTAAAATTGTTTTCTGATCTTCAACATTATCTTTAAGAGCATCACTCAATGATTGAAACATGCGTTTTTGATCTTCAGGTTTGGTTGCATCTAATTTTGATGCAATATCTGAAATGTTTCTCAATAAAAATTGTTTGGCTTTGGAAAATGTAGACATGAAAGATTCAGGTACCATTCCACTCGCTCTAATCTCAAATTGTTCATCAAGGATTTGGAAAGCTTTGCAAGCATCAAACTCATCCGTGAGAAAGGCATCCTTTTCATAGAGAGATTTCACTGTACTCCAAAATAACGTTTCAACAATTCCCTTAAACAAATCATTGGTACCATTTTCATTCCAAGTAAAACCTCTCACACTCGATGGATGAGAGAGAGAGGCTTGATCACTCCAACTACTAGTACCCTTTTCAAATACATCTAATAAATTACTAGCAATTTCTTTCGTATAGAATGGAAGAGTTGTGTTAGGGCTCAATTTCGCTCTCATCGTATTCACCATGGTAATGTGTTGAGACATGAAATCATTCACTGGAATTCCAAACACTCGACTAATAAATTCCAAAACAGCATGATCAAAGGAAATGGCATGTTTGGATTCTTCATGAACTGTCTTTTTAGTCTTGACACGACATGAATTTCCTTTTGCAGGATTGAAAAAGTATTGAAATAATTCTGGATCAGTGAGAAATGTGAAACATTTTCCAGCAATATTAAGCGTAAAGATCTATACGGAGTAGTGGATGTTGTTGTTGGTTGTTTCATGTGTGCAGTGTATATATTTGTGTGTAATGATGATGAGGAGTGGGGTCAATTGTATCAGTTTAAATTTTCAATAATAACCATAACAACAACAACAACACAATGATGTGAATATTGATCAATTCCACACACAACTTGTTACTCACCTCTCCATGTTTCTCTTTACACTCCTCTAATAATTTTATAGGTTCCGTTCCGAATCTCTTTGCAACTCCAATGAAGGGAATGTACCTGCCAATCATTGGAGGACTCTTGGATGGCTTCTTTGGCATGAGTCTAAAGTACATGATTGTGAATAGAACAATCAGGATTGCAAAGCCGATAGACCAATAACTCACAGACTGTGTTGCTGTGAGAAGAGTCAGTTCTGCCATTTTTTGTGCTTTGGTTGCCAATCGCAGTGCGAGAAGAGGACGGTTTCTCCATTTGTTCAATCTTGGGGGTCAATCTGGAAATTATGTAATTGTTTTTATTAGGAGATGTTTGATTTCATACCTGCTACGGGCTGGAAACGTATTCAAAAAGTGACATTGAGATGATTAATAATTTTCTTCCAATTTAATCCAAAATGTGATATTTGCAATGTTGAAGAGCTCTATACAATAATTGGCTCTCCTGTGACCTTGGCTTTCTTGTCCTTAATGTCTTTTTCGAGTTTTTCTTGATAAATTCTATCTTCGTCATATTCTTTAGCTACTAGGTCTGAGAATACTCTTGACAAGTGTTGCGTTAAACGAGATACTTCAGTATTTCCTTGATATGATATGTCGGCTTCAGGTGGGAAATCAATTTCAAATGGAAGTTTAGTAACTTCAGCTTTCTTTTTACCAAACTCTGAAGCGAAATCTTTACGGGCCTGTACTGACAATGCCACAATTGAACGGAACGTAAGAGGTTCAGTTTGGGCTAACTCTGCAAGCATTTTACGATTAATTTGTGTTCCGCTCATTACCAATCCATACATAAATTGAGAATATTTGACGCCATGAACTTCAGTGGCTGCTTTGATATTTTGTATCCAAATACTACCAAGTGTTCTCTTCTTTTCCTTTCTTCCACGATAAGCATGTTCAAGGCCGTGCTCTACTCTATTTCTTGCAATCCGAAAGCAATTTTTGTTTCTGTTGTAGAAGCCTTTGGCTAATTTGAAGATGAGGTCTCGTCTATTGGTCATTTTTTTTATGAACGATGATGAAATTATTCGTGATGATGATGAATTGTTTTTTGATTGGAAAGAAATATTTGTTAAATGTTATTGAATATATTAGTCAATGAAATATTATTACAAGTTTTCATGGAAATTGTTGGTGGTCATCATACCTTTCTTCCCCTCCGACCCATACTGCACGAGCGAAAGAAAAAAAATGAGTGAAAAGAACACATCCGCTTCGGACGATGCTTTGATTGTGGACCCTCTTCAACTTAAAATTAAAAACTTTTTGGAAAAGGCTAAAACAGTAAATTTATTGGAGAATTTAAAATCCCAACGACAATTTCACAATCCCGAAATTTTAAACAAGATTATGAAAGAATTCTCATTGAGCGATGAATATGGGACAAATACCCCAAAACATTTATACACTCCTGTGGGTAGGTGAAACATACTTTTTAAATATTATTTACGTATCATTGATATGTTTGGATAGATGTAAATAATTACAAAGAATTGTGTAAAAAGAGACAACAAGATCAAGAAAAACAAAATTTCATTCAAATGCAAAAAGCAAAATACAGAAAGTAGAGGAGTGATCCAACCAGAATTGCTGAAAATCGAGTTGTTTGTGACATGAACATCCTGGTACTCTATGAAAGGGAGCAAAGACAGATTACAAAAAGATTAAAAAAAATTGAACCGTCGCTCCTCTTCTACAGGATAGCTCATCGGACCACTCTCGTTACATGTTTGAAAACAAAACCACACGTTTCCAAGATGGGTCAATCAACGATGAATAAACATGAGTACCAAGCAACCACCACACCATCGATCAAAAAAATGCAAATTCTCAAACCAATTCCTGAACGCTCCTCTTCCACAAATGAACCAACATTCATGCATGGAGGTGGCACTTATCTATTGATGTCATCGAATTGGTCTTCTTGGGTGTATAGTGGGTACGAAGGAAGTATTTCCTCCGATAAAGATCCAAACAAGACGCAATCGTCACACAAATCACAATTCCGACATGTTAAATTTTATTCCAAACAAATATTTGATGAAGTGAATAGGATTGGTATTTCAAAAATTGCTGGCGGAGATAATCACATGTTTTTGCTTCTCAACAATGGTAGGTTTAAACTCTTCTCAAAAAACCATACATGTCTAATATTGAAAAAGGTGATGCTTTTGGATATGGATGGAACGAGTACACACAATTGCTAACATCCACCGTTAAAAACATTGACACTGACAGTTGTGATCAATTCATGAAATGTCATTTACATCAAATTCAAGACATTTATTGTGGAGCTAACTTTTCCTATGCACTCGTTAAAGAAAATTCTCAAGAATTTCAAATGTACTCTGCTGGTTGGAATAATGATCGTTGTTTATGTCATGGAGTGAATGGTGATGGTTCTTCAAGACCACTCGGAAAAGTATATTGCAGTGATGAAAATAATCAAGTCATGCTCTTTCCACCATCTCATGAACATGTCCTTAGTGTTTCATGTGCTGGATGTTCTGTAGCTGCATTGACTGTTCATCGATTGAATCCAAAAAAGAAGAAAGTGTATCGTTGTGGAGCATTTACTGGATTTCCACGACCAAATACTGAACATTCTACTTATGGTTGTTTGAATTTTACAACTGTTAAGAATGTTGAAATATTATCTGGAGCAGTTTCAATAGCACTTTGTAGTGGATCAATCGTTGTACTGTGTGAAGATTTGTCAGCATTTATTCTTGGAAAAGAAATCAAATTGTCAATACCTATTAGAAAAGCATTTCAATTAGAAACAAGTTGTGTGTACATGACAGAAGATTACAAAATTTATAATTGTGTAAATGTTAACTCCATCGATACTTCCAAAGATGTGAAATGGTCAGAACCCAACTCAAACTCTGAACTGAATGGCTCACAATTTGAAACTCTGCATGCAAGAGGATCTAGAGCCATAGGTGTTCTTTCAGACACATTCGATGCCATTATTTATGACCAGATGGATCAATCACAATTTGAGAGAGTGAGTCTCTTGGAAATGCTTTCAGCAGATGATCAATTTCGGTTGTTAAGGAGCAAATCTTTGGAAATGCAGGTCGTTTGTTGTCGATCTTGTTCCTTTGTGTTCATCAAACCAATCAAGAAGAGCGATCCAATGAGAAGAAAACTCTTGTTGCAAACACAAACGTTGGACAATCCATTTGTGGATGTCGTTATTGTGTGGAATTGACATTCCGTCAGACCAACATGTTCCTATAATAAATTGTAATATTGGAATTTGCTCAACCAATTTTTTTAGTCAAATTACAAAAAAAATTTGAAAGTTGAAAGTTTGATTGACCAATAATCGGTCAAATTACAAAAAAAAATGCCTCGAGCAACAGCGTTGAGAAAGAAAAGAAAAGAAGGTTCTTCGTCTTTGAAATCAGTAGTGCCTGCTGGCTCGACTCATTTCGATGGTAGGTCAATTGATCCATGTGTGTGTGCGTTCGTATAATCAAGAATATGTTCTAATATCGACCCGAAAATCTTCAGCCGATATTGTTCAAGTCATTTGTTCTTTCATGAACATGGAAGAGTATTTGCGATTGCAATTGGTGAATACCTTCTTTTTGAAAGGAGTTAGACAATTTTGTGCTACTATTCCATATTTTCGGTAAGTATACTTACAGTTGAATTCCACAATGATATATAAAAACACAACGATGGATGACTGGAAATTCAAATTCGACAAATTCATAACCTTCAATCTTTAGATTTACCAAACACTTCTTCTTCTTGATTCAAACAGCAGGACAACAAAAGGAATCTAATTTGATTCAATTTGCTAGCCAACCTCCTATAATTCGTTCACGATACTCTAACTCTTGTGACATACCTAAATGGACAAATTCACAACTGGATCCTCTCTTCACAGCCAGTAAGGCACTCATTAACAAGCAGTTGAGAGGATTACTTTCTACTCTTTATGTACACGCTAAGAGTGTCTATTTTTCTGATGTTCCAATTACAAAATCACTCATGAATGATCTCATGTTTGATACAAGACATCCAAGCGTGATTGAGAAAAATAAGGACAATCGATTGGATTTTAAATTTACTGAAACCAATGTGTTTGAAACCATTGAACACATTTCATTTGTTGGATGCTCGTTTGAGAGAGGTGTATTGGCCTTTTTGGCAAGCAAATTGATCAATCTAAAGAGTTTATTAATTTTCAACTCTCATGAGTTGCCATTTCATGAAGTTTATCACTTATTTAATAAGAAATCAAAATGCAAGTCCTTGCGATTGTTTTATCATGATTTAATTCCAATAGCTGAAATTATTCATCAAGATCAGTTGAATGCACATGAATTGGAGGTGTTGACAAACAAAGGCCATACACTCGGTCCTACGAACAAGCAACGCCATCACCCATCCATGAGCAAACAGTTTTCTACATCAGACCAAGATGTCCAAGACATGATTGAATCAATTCCTGATCATGTTGTTGCAATACCCATTGTTCATACATGTGCCTATCATGCCGTTGGATCCAAAGTCGACAATTATGAAAGTGCTATCAAGGAATATATGGATTTATTTGGAATATTTAGTAATTCATTTTCAGATCGTGAACTTTGTGTTCAATTATGTGGAGGAAAAGTTCATAAGCGAAAAGGGCCTGTTTCTTTGTTGGCTATGATGTACGGGTCAGCATCTGAAAAAGACGAAGAAGAAACACCACCTCAATTACCAATCAATATTGACAGGATGTTGAGTAATGTCGAATTTTTACTTAGTAACGGATTACATCTTTTCGACCTTCCATTTGATGGATATGATTTTCTGAGATATTCTATTTATCTCCATCAAAACGAACCAAGATTATGGAATCTCTATGAAAAATATCACTTTCGTAAATTGCCTGATTTCAACAAGTTGATCATCCAACCTCAATTACATGAACATGTCATCACACTTTTGCAGGGCATTATTGATTTATCTGAGCAAACCCTCTATCCAGTTCAGGAGGCCAATTTAATTGATTTTATGGAAGAAGTTAAGGAAAAGAAGTGTTACCCTCGTGATCTTAATGATGTCATGACTAATATACTTGAAGATCTTCCTGATTTAATCAAACCTTGCGTTGAAAAAGGTCTATTCAACCTTAGGGCACCTCTCCCTATGGCGAGGTATTATCATCCTGGAGCTGACAGCGAGAAGGCGTATGAATATCTCAAAGAACAACACGAACTTGAAAACAAAAAGAAGAAGAGAAAACAATAAATTATAAAACATTCTCGACTCATATTTGAAGCTATTGTGTGACATTTTCAGTATTGCTGTTTTGTGTCGAAGAGCCTCCTCCAGACACCAAAGACAGAGCAAAAGGTAAAACGTTTGCTTGAGCACTTGCCCACAAACTCAAACCAACATCTTTTCCTCCCTCAAAGTATTTGAACACATGGCTGTACAATTTTGTTCTTGCAAATGCCAGAACCTTATCAATGTCTTGCTCCAAATTTTCCCATTTCATTAATCGGTAGACACAGTTATCATAGAACCACACACAAAGTCCTTTGGTTGTAATGACAAAGAACAAGAACACTAGTTTGAGTACATAATAGAATGGAATACGGTTATAGAAAAAGTCCTCAAAGAGAAATTCGAACACATAGATCACTGTATATATCATCCAATAAGCAAGCCATTTCTTATGATGGCTTTCAAGTATTTCAAGCTGTTCTTCTTTCCATAATTGTTCCTGTCTTTCTGGGGTATTAAAACCGAGTGCAACTGAGCTACTAGGTAAGCCTTCTTTCCTCTTCTTTTCTTGCAATTTTTGAAATTTAATGACAATGTCATATTCCTCTTGTTTTTGAATGAATTGCCTAGCAGTATGGTATGACGCAATGAGAGGATATACCAGTCCCAAAAGCACACAAAGCAAGTTGGAAATATAAACCAAAAACGCTCCGATCATTGTGTCCAAATTTTAAATAAGTAATATATACCAATAAAAATCTTGTACTAATATATTTTGCTATGTACAATACATTCAATGATTCCAACAATTTGTTTTTAAAATCGGAATGACTTCTGTTTGAATCAAACCGATTGTGCGTGCTTTAATACCAACACTTAAAATTTTTTCTTCTTCAAAAAATATGATTGCAAAACTGTAGCTCGTGCTTTTTTTTAATCTGATTCCTCCCATCAGTCGTTCAAACAACAACACCTCATCAAAAAATGGGACTCAAAAAGTCAAAACACTCCAACTCGGAACTACAAAACGTGCTCCCACCCAGTCAATCTCCAAATCACATCAATATTCCAATTGCTGTCAATACTGATGATTGTACATTCATGTTTATTGGCAACCACACATTTTTAATTCCTACAGTCAAGTTGAATGATGTGATGAGAAAAATGGAATACAGAGATGATTGGATTCCGATACAATTCATGATTGGAGGAAAAGATGCATCACAAAATGTAATGGCATTTGGACATTCTGACAGTTTAGTCATTATTGTAACGGGTATGTTTTTTGTTCACACAAAGAGAGATTGATCGAAACATGAATTATGATAATTCGAAATTACCATCGCTATGTGAAACTGTCAAATCAGCTGATTTTAAAATTTATTGTGCTGGTAAATCAAGTGAACTCAATTCTGTCTTTATGAATACGACATGGAGAGATTTTAAAATCATTCATAACACATTGGATGATTTTGTGGATGAAATTTATTGCATCAAAGAGAGTGCATTGTTTGTGACAAAAACTGAACGATCTGTTTTTGCATTTAGTAACTCAAAATTTGCTAAATTAGGACTTGGAGACGAAATGACCACTGTGGATCCAGTGAAATTGAAAGTTGCTCATCAAATTACAAAAGGACTAGTTGAAGAGATGGAATTTCCAAAAATTAAATCCATTTCATTCAGTGAGAATATTACTGCATTTCTCACAGAAGAAGGTAAGAATTTTTTGATATACTACTTTGTACTGATTCAGTGAACATCAACTCTCTATTTAGGCAAAGTTCTGGTTTGTGGAAATGGTAAAGAATTAAGGTTACCAATTAAGGATGAATCTGAACAACCTTATAGAAGATTGGATACTCCCACTCTCATTAAAAGTTTATTGAAAAACAAAGTAATTACTCAAGTTGCATGTGGTGATCATCACATGTTGTTTTTAACCAATAATGGTGAGCTGTACGTTTGTGGAGAAGGTACAAAAGGTCAATTAGGAAATGGAAAACAAGAAAATGTAGAAGGTGCTGTGAAACGAGTGAAATTTGGACTCAATGTGAAATTTATTGCAGCTCAACGCGATTTTTCAGTCATTGTCACAGAGAATGATCAAGTTTGGAGATTTGGGGATTTGGAATGGCAAGTGAAGAGCAAACCTTTTATTTATCCATTACCTCAATTATTGACAGAATATAACGATTTAGGAAATCCTCCAGTTAAGAAAATTATGGCCATTCACTCTGCTACTATCATTCAAACTGTGAGTGATCAGATTTATATTGTAGGTCCATTAGATTACAAATTGGGATACGAAGGCTTTAGAAGAATTGAAATTCCCAAACCAAGCTTAAATACCAATGTAAAATTGCATTTGGCAATTAATTCCATGGTTTGTGAATTTTTAGAAGAGGAGCAATGAGAAGGGAATAATAGCGAGCAGTAAATGTGTACACAATGTCCAAGCGTTTGACTCTGAACAATTAAATAACACCATATGGATCTACATTGTTTTGAGCGAGGAATGCATTGAGAATGCACTCCAATCAAATATATTATAAAAATATGTACAAGAGAGGGCATAGTGGTCAACTATGCTCTGTGAAGGCAAGTCAAGAACACGACTATCAATAGCTCATTAAATAACGTTAAATTAACATCCACATCCACCACCACTGCTACTGTTTGATGTCTTCCCTGATGAACTTGCGCCAGGATGATTAACAGGTGCGTTCAAATTGACAGTTCCAGAGCTAGATCCTGCTGTATTCTTTCTTCTATTAAATTCACTCTCTGCATAATTTCCAGCTTGATATAAACGATCAAGCATATTGTCGAAAGGTTCTTTTACACCAGTGCCATCTTTGGCCGAGGCTTCAAAGTATGGAATATTTAACTTTTTAGCAAATTCTTCTGCTCGACTACGGTCAACTACTCTTCTGTGAACCATATCACTCTTATTTCCTACCAATGCAATGAGTGTATTTTCTTGAGCATTGGATTTAATTTGTTGAACCCATTTGGTGGTGTTTTGGAAACTGGTTTCGTTGGTCAAATCAAAAACAACGAGTATACCATTCACTCCTCTGTAGTAGGAGACAACAATGCTGTTGAATCGTTCCTATTTCCATAATATTTCCAATTCGTGCGGGTGATGAAGTACATTCCGAGTGACAAAAATTATTTTTCAACATGTTCTTTATATTAGAGAACAACAACTCTGTTACTTCAAAGGGTCTACTCACCTGACCAGCTATATGAAAGATAAATATTCAAGAAAGTGAGTGTTACAGTAACAAAATAGAGAAGGCTACTCACCTGTATCCCATAATTGCATTTTGGCCACTTTAGAATTTGACATTACTTTGGTTTTGATTTTAAAGTCAACACCAATGGTGCTTTGATAAGTGTCATTATATTCATCATCAGTGTATCGTAAAATCAAACAAGTCTATTGAATGAGAGAGGATAATGATCCGATTCATCATCATCACCACTAATTAGTACCTACTTTACCAGCACCAGAATCACCTGTTTACATGGTTGATTTGCAGATACGATTTCATTATTAGTAATATCATATGAATTAAATTTCAGCAAGTGATGAAAAAACCGTTACGGTTGAAAATTAGAACGAGATCACGTAAAAGAATAATTCAAACAATGTTTAGCAGATAATTGTTTAGAGATTGTTTCCGTGAGAGGCAACAGCTCCGTACATACCCACTAACAATATCTTCACGAACAAGTCATAATTCTCTTCTTTCATTTTTTATTAGGTTGCGTGATGAGTTGAGAATTTGGATTGAAAAGGACAAGAATCGTCATTCCAACAACAACAACACAATTATTGCTAATGGCAACTGGAGAAACATATGTTTCAACAACAATTTGAATCTGTGAGAGTATGTCGCTGTGATTTGCAGTCAAGGTCGCTATTTGAAAAAATGTCGAATTTGTTTGGGTAGGTATTTTCTGTCATCATCGAATATGTTCACTCTTTGAAAGCCAATCGGCTCATGAGTTTAGCAACTTTCTTTCAAATTTCACTCCTACCAACACAAGCACCACCACAACAACAAACAACACTCAGGATAATTCCGCTCCTGTATTGTTATTGGGTGATTCTCTTCCACAACCAAAGATTGATTTTGGTGCCTTGCTTGCCAAGCGGAAAGAAGAATCCGATGATTTTGTTCCTCCTCCAGAGGAAGGAGATGTAGAAGAAAGTGGTAAAAAGGCTTCATCATCAACAAACCAGCCTTTTGGATTCGGGTTTAGCTTTGGAGGAAATAAGCCTTCATCATCATCGAGCAGTGGTAATAACGAAATGACAAACGTAAAAGAAACAAAAGGAGGATTTGCTTTTTCCTTTGGCTCAACTCCTTCATCATCATCATCGACCAATACCACCCCCTCTTTTTCGTCCTTCCAACCATCATCATCAGGAAGAATTCCATTTTCATTTGGTGCTCCAAACTCTGCATCTTCAACGACTTCAACATCATCAACAAAATTATTACCAGAAGAAAAGCATCCAGAAACCTCTGTAGTTGAAGTGCAAACACCCAAGATGGTACGAAGCCAAAAACCTCCAAACACAATTTCATTTGCGAAACCATCTCTTGTGGCACCAAGTGGTCTTTCTCAATTTAATCTACCATCAAGAAAAGACCAAGAAGATCTTTTGGATAACAATTCTTTACGAGTATTAGATGCAGATTTGTCAACAAATAATAATCAACAAGGAAAGAATACCAACAAGCCATCTCTATATTTCCCATCCTCCCAACAATCAAACAACACAGTGGATTTAAACAAAACAGCCCCAATTCAAAGTAATTTATCATTCAATGTTGGAAAGAGTGGAAGCACCTTCAATTCTAATAAGGACTCGCAACAAGTATTATTTGGCGACAATTTATCTGTCTCGTCATCTTCTTCATCTACAAAACCCACTAAGTCAAGGTCTATATTTGATGATAACTCCAGTATTCGCTCTAGCAACTCATCCAACAGCTTTAAATCACCACTCACAAACGCTGACGACATGGAGGATGATACCACTACGACGATCGAAAAGATTGAGTATAAACCACAACAACCGAGCAATTATGAACAGGAAGAGCTATGGTGGAAAATTTTACATGAATCTTGTGAAATGTTTCTCTTCATGCAAGATAGATACAGCGATGACAAGCTCGATAAAAATACTTTAGAAAAATCAATTGCACAGTTCAAAACCATGCTGTATGAGGGACTTTCTAAAATAAGCTCCTTTGAAGCTTATTACGACATTTTCAACGCAATTGAGATTTTTTATTTCTATCGGTTTAGTAGAGGTTCACTATTGCAAAAACTGGTGAAGTGGTATTTGAAAAGTTGTATTTATGTCTCAAACCAAGATACCTCAGATAGCGCCATTTATAGACAACTGATTTTAGGAGAAGCCCCAGAAAAAATTATTGATACAATTCGTGATTTCAAGAGCGATGATCTTGACCACATGAAAGTGAACATGAAAGAATTGTACAGGTATTATGAGAGCTTTTTCAAACTATTGAGCAAGAAGCCAAATATTCTGAAGTTCAAAGCCATATCTGCAACATTGGAAGAATATTTGGATGAAACACAGCATTGGAAGGTTGAGGCTTTGAGGTTGAAGCGAGAACTGAAGGCATTAAAAGATGCTACTAGAGAATATCAATTTTTGAGCGAATGCTTTGACATTGTCACTGGAGATGAAGACAAAATTGTCGAGCAATCAAACAATTGGCTTGAGGTAATGATAGGATTAATATTGCACAAATATCAGCGATTTTCTGATATTAATGAAATAATTGATCTGGCGGTTCATGCCAAAGATATGAAAGAAGATAATGAAACTCACTCTACACTCGAGGCCATCTGCTTGCTTGTCATTGGAAATGAGTTAGATACAACCGTCAAAAGTATTCAGGAAAGTCTATCAAACGTCAATGACGACAGATCATTGTTCCAAAATTACTGGTTCATTGCTCATATTACTAATTTCTTATTCCACATCAATACTCTCTATCAAAAGTTATACATTTCTACCAATTCTGAAAGTTTCATACATGATCTTTCTATTTTAAGAAGCCAATATTTACGTGATCTTGTGACAAAAGAAATTTTACCATACTACAACGAGATTGATCGATATAGCTCTTTGGAAAACGATTTATGGAAAGTAGCTATTGATTATTTATCATACTGCAACGCTGAACCTCAAGACGAGATTCATGATATCATCAAGGGTGTGCTTCTGAACATTTCTGTGTCCAATGAATATCAGCTTGACAAAATTTATAGATACATCAAAGATACACCTTTTGCAAAATCTGTTGTTGGCCATTTACATTTGAATTTAGGCGAAAAGTGCATTTCAGAAAAGAACTATGCCACAGGAATTTATCATATTTACAAGTCAAATGATAGAGACAAGCTTGAGTCAGTGATTAGAGAAATATCTACAACTAATAACCTTAGAATTGTTTATTATGGATTGGAGGAGTACGGATGTTTGATAGACATGCAAGAAATTCAATGGATATCATCATTCTTCAAGATTTTAGAAAGCAGCGACACCAATATTCATTTGCTTCCTTCTACTTTAGCATGTATTCCAAATGATGAGCTAAAGCTCGAACTTTTGACAAGTATTGACTTGAGCGTTTTGAAATATGCACAAATAGTTTCTGTAATGTCACATCTCGAAGAAATGGAATTCCATTTTATGGATTTGCATGAAAAACAACAACAACCTCTGGATACTCTAAGCGAATTGAGACTCATTCTTGCTCGAACTCTTCAAATAAAGATTCTAGAATAATCTGAATTGACAATGATAAATAACGAATTCGTTGATTGTCAACAGCAAAAAATTGTAAAAAAATGAAACTCGTTGGCATTACTGGTGGGTGCGTTTTTGTGATGAAATGATCAAGATGACTAATCCTATCGGAAACAGTATTGCGTGTGGTAGGTATCATGAAACAAAAAGCAATGTTTCAATTTTTTCATCAACCTGTAGGAAAAGTATGTGAAAAATTCGATGAACTTTTTTGATCACAATTTCTTCTATTACCGCAAGACAACTCTCACAAATTATTTAAAAGAATATGGAAACACACATAGCTCACAACTTAATCTTGTTATTATTGACAGTGATGAAATAGCGCATACAATTTATTCACCAGGATCTTCTTGTTACAACAAGGTGAAGAAATTTTTTGAAACCTATATTGATCCTCAAACAGGTGAACATGTAAATATATTTTCTGAAGATGGAATTGGAATTGATAGGCCAAAATTAAGTGCTGCGGTATTCAAAGGTAATTATTTTGAAATGATGACAAAGAATTTCATGATGGTTATTTTTCAAAACAGATGTCAAAGTTAGAAAAATGATTAATGCAGCAACTCATATGGAAATATTTAAAGAAATCATGAAGAGAATTTTTATTGCATTTGCAAAATCTATACTTGTGACACCTCAAAAAACAACCATTTGCTTTGTGGAACTTCCACTTCTCTTCGAAACTAAAATATTTCAATATATTGTCTCTACCATTGTATGTATTAAAACAACACCTGAACGTCAGTTGCAATGGTTAATGCACCGAAATCATTATACTGAAGAAGAAGCTCAACAACGAATTTCATCACAAATACCAGTAGAAGAAAAAGCACAAAGATCAGATTTTGTCATTGACAACTCTAGAGACCGGGAGTATTTAAAAATTCAAACGTTTGACATGGTGGACTATTGTGGCAAGCACACGTCAACATTTGGATTGAAAACATTTGTTGCATTGGTGGCATTGATTTTCATCATTGTCATTGTCGGCATGATTTTCTAGTTCTTTATAGAGTTTTTCGTAAATGACCATTTTCATAATGCTGAGGATTAATAAAATCATATCGAATACTCTTTCGACTTCCTTGAATTTTCTTTTCATTGTCAAGTTTAAATTGTATGGTTGGAGGAGATGAAATCATTGACGGTGAGGGTGTAGAACCTATTTGACTGGACATGTCCATGGCCTCTTTGCTCTTTTGTGTTGCCAAAAAGAGGCATGCCAATATTAACAATGCAACCACACAGGTCATTATGATCATTCTAATAGTTCCATCATGGCTGCCAGTGTGGTGCGACTGTAAGAGTAATTCAAACATCTCATTGGTTTCCAAATCGATCATTGTTGTTTCATTAGTTTTTGAATTGTAAATGTATAAAGTTTTTCCATCCACAATTTTGATAGCATATGGCAGACCTCCATATTCACTACTCATTCCAGTATCAATACATATTAAACTCTTTTTTCTTTTCTTATCATGACAAAGAATGGTTACTTCGTCTTTAATAGTATGTCCTACCACCATGTGATTAGCATTTAAAAGATCCAAAATTGCATAAAGAGCTTCACAATCCTCATTGTCAGATAAATCTCGAGTCCAAAAAGGTCCTTTTGGTCCTAACTATTCATTTTCACAATTTCTTGTTGAAGAGTAGAATATACATACCAATGACTTTGGTGATCTCGTATGAAATCCTCGTGTTCCATGTTTCAACAAATGAACTGCTTTCTCATTTAACAATTTCACAACCATACTTGGATTTTGAATATTTTGCATGAGTGTTGGATCATTTTCAATAAAGAATGAAACAAGTCCAGCATGAGTGTAAATAACTCCATCGACAAGACGAACAATATTTCTCTCTAATAGAAATTTTCTAATCGGAGATTGATCATCCAGTAACAAATTTTTATATTCACTCGAGTATTCATCCTGGTGAACATAATAAAAATTTCCATATAAATTCATGAGTTCATGGTTGCCTGTATGATGATTAAAACACGAAAATATTTTCAAAATTCTCAAGAATGAACACCCACCTAATAGAAAATCAACTCTTTCATGATACTTGTCCATAGCTTTCATTAGAATTTTTAATATTTTTAATCCATCAGGTCCTCGATCTAATACATCTCCTGTTTGAATAAATAATAAATCATTTTTCAATTCTATTTCTCCTCCAATTTCGGTGGTTAAATTTAAATGATGCAATAATTGCGAAAATACTCGATAATCACCATGTACATCACCCATGGATATGACTTGTGTTGAATGAACACAATCGGAAAGAACATGTAGCAGTATGATGGAGGAAAGGGTCAGGAAAAAAAACATTCGAAAAGCAAGCAACTGCGACATTTTTTGAAAATTGTTTATTGTGTGCGAGTGTTGTTGAGGATGATCGTTCACTGTTGCCGATCATGGTCATCATGATGGACTAAATCTTTTAGATTTCTTTTTGATGAGGGGAGGGGAGTGGATGTAGTGGTGGTCGTAGTAGAGTTGGTTGTACTTGGTCATGTTGGTCCAAAATTAAAATTTCAATGATCGAGATTCGAAAGAGCACTCGGAGTCGTGGTAGACTCTATAATGCGATAAGGGCTGTTCGATTCTTGCAGAGCATGTCTATTCGCTCGAGCAAGAGCCATATATATTGATCTTGTATATGTTGGAGCATAAATTCGCTTATTGGTCCTATTCATTGGAGTTTCTTTTTTCAACAAATCCATTCCAACAGTTTGAGCGCCAAATTTTCACTAACGATTGTTGCCTGAACAGTAGATACTCTGAACCAGTTGATGAAAAACAACGCTGCCATCTCTCTTGAATGCTGTTATTCTTTCAATTCCAAGTGGTTATAATATTGGAAATTGTCAAAACGACTATTGATCTTTCAACCTCACACTCAATACAAAACCGCCAAAAAATTGCACCAACGAACTACAAAAAAATGTATTCACCCTCACAAAGCGGAAATGACTTGTTAGTGGATCAACACTGCATCACATGGATCAAAGGTGTGATTCAAGACAAGTTAGCAAAATCAAAAGAAATGTCTCTGAAATGGACATCGGATAATCAAAAAACAGCATCAGACTTTCTGTTGCATGAGGAAAATCAAATTTTGTTTGCGTTTGTAAATAACAATCAATATATAACAACAATGAATTATGAGCAAGCAAAGAAGGGATCATGGGAGTTACTATTATTCTTTTTGAAAGATTCTTCGGAAGGAGAAAAGATAACGCTTGACAACATTTCCAGTGTCATGTCCTTTGGAATTTTGACCCAAGAACTACTCGGTGATTTTCTGAGCCTAATGAAGAACTACTTTTCACCAGATTTGATTGAATGTAAAACTAATTGGCCTGAAAGTAAGTAACATGAGTTCACCTGACTCGGGACTTACACTCGTATACTAACACTCGTCGTATTTATATGCACTTGACTAACACTCGTCGTCGTATAGGTCTTCAAAAGGATTTTCTCTCTCAACTTCATAAATTCATGGCCTATCTTACTGAAACGTATCACAGATCGAAAGGCTCCACTGTCCTCTACGTTCCTATTGAGGAAATTGATATTGAAAATGCAAAGAATCAAAAAGACCTCGTTCAAAGATTAGAGGCTGCCTTGATGCATTGGACCACTCAAATTAAAGAAGTGGTTAGCGAAAAAGATTCGTATGGAGAGCATGGAGACAATGCTCGACCTCTCTCGGAAATTGAATATTGGCGATCAAGAGCAGACGATTTGATAAATATCAAAAAACAAATCCAAAGAGAAGACGTTCAAAAAATAGTAACCGTGCTTTCGGGATCTTCATATCTCAACACCTTTGAAAAGCTTTCAACAGAAATTCAAAAAGGGTCTGATGAAGCATTGGATAACTTGAAATTTCTGAGAGCACTTCAGGAACCTTGTGAACGGTTAGCCTCTTGCGAGCCATCTCAAATTATAGATATTGTTCCAGAAATTTTGTGGACTGTCCAATTAATCAACGCAAATTCTAATAGCTATAACACATCCGAAAGAATTTCTGGATTATTGAAGAAGATTAGCAATGAAATAATACACATCTGTACAGGTAAAATATCGCTGACCAATATTTTTAATGGAAATGTCGAGAAGTGTATGGAGACATTGAATCAAAGCATTAGAGCCGGAGAGTTTTGGAAGAGATTGTGTCTCGATGAGAGTGATGTAGAAGGGTTTAATTATGACAAGAGCAGCGTTTTCTCGGAAATTGACGCTTTTGTTGTAAGATGTGGCGAATTATTGGAAGTTTGTGAAGCTCAATTACAATTTGGTTGTTTTTCTGTGTCAACAGACAACAGCACTAACGGACTCCCTAACTTTGGCGGAACTAGAGGACCTGAAATAACAAAAAGTCTCGTAGATATTAGAATCTCTTTCCAAAAGCTAATTAATGACTTGAGCAATCTCAAATATCCAATACTTGATGTAAAATCTACAAATTGGCACGATGATTACAAGAAATTTAAGAATGGTATCAAGGATTTGGAAACTATGATGCACACAATAATTACCAATGCATTCGAAACTGTTACAGATATACAAAACGGTATTGAATTGCTAGAGGCATTTTCGTATTTAGCTAAGAGAGAATCTATTAGACGAAGTATTGATTCTAAAACTCAACTTATTTGTCTCAAATTCATCAAAGAATTAGAAGATGTACAAAAGATTTTTGAGCTCAACAGAAAAAATCCACCAATACCATTTATTTATCCTTCATACTCTGGATCAGCACTTTGGGCAAAGAGATTACAAGATAGAATTAAGAGAGACAAGGCAATCTTGGATCGTGCTCACTTTTTGACGAGAACAAAAGAACACTTGGAGGTAGACAAGAAATACCAACAAGTTTATTCAAACCTAGAAAAGCATATACTTTCCATGTTTGAGGCATGGAGTCATTCATTTCAAGGTTCTGAATTACATTTGAAACTAGAAATACCTCTGTTAACCAAAAGAGACGGACTTTTATCGGTGAATTTTGATCCTAGTCTCTTAAACATTTTTGAGGAGGTTAAATATTGGCAAAGATTTTCCAATTTTGACATCAATGCCCAAGCATTGGAACTCTACTGCTATGCAGATAAGATGCGTCTGTACAGAGAGAACGTAATGCTCGTAGCTAGGGATTATAATACCATTGTATCTTGTCTTTCAGAACAAGAAGCCAGGTTGTTTGTGAGATATATTAAGGAAATTGACAAACAAATACTTCCTGGATTGCATACGCTAGGATGGACATTAAAAATGCACAACGAACATTTCATTTCAGAATCAAGAAAGAAATGTAAAGAGGTGAAGGATATCATTACTGACTTTAAAACGAATGTTACTCAAATTTACCTCAATTGCAAGAAAATGGCAGACACTCTGCTGATCAAGATTGAAAATAAGAAAGTCTATGATGGTGAATCAAACGAATTTGAGAGAGAACAAGAGACTTACCGAAAAATTGTTAAGGAAGAGCTGGTTCGATGCCATGAAAATATCGTTTCTAGAATGGTCAAGTTATACAGCTATTTTAATACTGCAGGAAATGATATTTTTGAAGAATGGTGGTCATTTGTGGATCATGTTGAAAGAAAAATTGATCAATCGCTTCGATTAACGGTTAAAAGATCGTTACAAAGACTTCTCAACTCCATCAACGGAATTGATTCAGATAAAACTACTGAAGGAAATGGAGGATTAAATAGAAATCCTCTCTTCCTGGTGAGAGTTGATTTGAAAGAGGAAAATGAAGATGAAGTGAATCCAGGTTTAACTCCGAATATTAAGGAATTAATGACCATGGTAACAGGTGTCAACGGTGAAACAACCAAAGTCGTTACCATTGTTCCGAGATTGAAGAATGTACTCAAGGGAATGTTGCTGGAACAAGTTCGTAAGGAACGACCAGAGTTAGAAGATGACAAGATTGATCCTCATTTATTCGTTCCTGAAGAAGGATCCACTAATTACTATGATAAGAACATTGAAATTGATCCAGACATTATCAAATCGATTGTCTCTATTATGGAAGGAATGGATGCAATTACTTCCAGAGTTACAGATAATCTCAACGAATGGAAAGACGCTTTCAAAATTATTTGGAGTGTTGATAAGGACAACTTTATCAGAAGATTTGGTATCCCTCATAACCGTACTGCCAAATCTTTTGAACAGGAAATTGAAAAGTATAAGCAATATCATCAAGATATTCAAAACAAAGATCCTACCATGTACATTGGATATTTACAACTCGATTTTATGCCACTCAAACAGACCTTATTTATGGAATGTAATTTATGGCAATCCAAGCTGCTAGATCTTCTTCATACCAACTCCAAGAAGGAATTAGATAAGAATTATGAGTTATTCGAAAAGAATGGAAAGTTGTTAAGAGAAGAACCAAAAAATTTGGAGACTTTGGAAAAGAAAATGGAGTTGGTTTCAAGAATGGAAACCGAATATCCAAAGAAGAAGGCTGGTTTCTCTCCCTTGTACGACCAATATGAACTACTTCGTAATTATGATGTGAAAATTGATGAAAGCGAACAGGAGAACCTAGATATGCTCACAGAAAACAGTAATAGATTCGAAGAGTTGATTGAAAAAGCTAAAGGAGAGCTAGAAAACCAAAAAGAAACGTTCCGTATGAAACTGAGAGCAAATGTAGATATCTTTGCAAACACACTCTTGCAGCTTAAGGCTGAATTTGAGAACTCGGCACCATTTTCATCTCAGTACACTTTTAAAGATGCCAAGGCAGTTCTAGACGCATTTAGAGAAAAAGTGGAAATGAAAAAGAAAGAAGAGGAGAAACTTAAGAACGGCCTTAGAATATTTAATATGCAACCTCAACAATATAAGGAAATTAAGGATGTTTCCAAGAATATTGAGTCTCTAGAAAAAGTCTGGATCATCAAAAATGAATGGGACAAAACCTATGACGAATGGAAAGTTATGCCTTTCACAAAATTGAACATTGAAGAAATGGAAAATGTTGCCTCTGGATTAACTTCAAAATTAACAGCCATGGGTCGAGAAGTGAAAGACTGGGGAGTTTACAATACACTTGTTGACAAGTTAAAGCTAATCTCCAAGGTATTACCATTGGTACAAGAACTTAAGAATCCAGCAATGCGAAGACGTCATTGGAATGAACTAAAAGATATTATCAAACAAGATTTTGAAGAAAACTCCAAAGACTTTAACTTTGAGAAAATTTTCAAACTTAGTTTGGAAAATTATGTGGACGACATTTCTACCATTTCTCATAGAGCTAGCCAAGAACTACTTATTGAGAAAGAAATTAAGAAGATTAGTGATATTTGGTCCAACACCACTCTTGACATTGTACCATATAAGGAGATTTATTTCAAGCTTCAATCAGTTGAAAATATTTATATGAATTTAGATGACAATGTTGCATCATTGGGAAGTATGAAACTTAATCCATTTATTACTTCATTCCAAAGCGACGTAAAATTCTGGGAGGAAACGCTTGCTAAAATTAATGAAGTGATTGATCTACTCATATTGGTACAAAGACAATGGATATATTTGCTCAACATTTTCGACGTGGAAGATATTCAAAAACAATTACACAATGAGTTTGGAGTATTCAAATCTGTCAACTCAAGTTGGAAGAATTTAATGAAATCTCTCAGTGATAACAAGGGAATTGTTGCAATTGCCAAGAGGGATGGTATTAATATTTTACTCACAGAAATGAATGCAAAATTAGAACAAATTCAAAAGCAGCTTGATGGATATTTGGAGTTGAAACGTCAAGAATTTCCAAGGTTTTATTTCTTGTCTGACGATGATCTACTTCAAATCTTGGGTCAAAGCAAAGATCCAAACGCCATGCAAAGACATTTATCTAACCTATTTGAAGGTATCAAATATCTTAAAATTGAAAAGTCAAGTGATTCTAGACAATTTGGGTTTTTCGCTAAAAGCTTCATGAGCAAGGAAGGTGAACAAATTGAATTTAATCATCCTGTTCCATTAGAGGGCAATGTTGAGAAGTGGCTTTCTCAAGTAGAGTCTTCCATGAAAGCAACTATTAAGAGAGGAATATTGAAGTGTTTCTCTGCCTTGAAAAACTATTCACAAGAATCATCAAGAGAGTCTTGGATTAAGGAATGGCCTGGTCAATTGACTCATGTTGCCTCTCAATTATTTTGGACTAAAAAGATTTACAATGTACTTTCTAAACAAAAAGAACCAGCCAAGATTCTTAAAGAAATGAAAGTAAGAATTAGAGCAGAATGGTTAGAGTACTTGAATAGTTATAGCTCTCTAAGTAAGGATATGAAAGGTCTCGATCGAATGAAGATCATTTCATTGATTACACTTGAAATTCATTCAAGAGATGTAATTGATCGATTGATCAAGGCAAAAGTAACCTCATCGGATGATTTTGAATGGTTGAAACAAATTCGATATGAATGGGATGAAGAGAAAGATGGGTGTATCATCAAACAAAACACTACTGAAATTGATTATGGATATGAATACATTGGAAACTGCAGTAGATTGGTCATTACACCTTTGACTGAACGATGCTTCCTTGCTCTCACTACTGCACTTCAGTTAAAGAAGGGTGGATGTACCTCTGGTCCAGCAGGTACAGGTAAAACAGAGTCTGTGAAGGATTTGGCAAAATCGATCGGAAAACATACACTCATTCTGAACTGTTCCGATCGATTCGATTATCAATCCATTGGAAAAACATTCTCAGGAATTGTACAAAGTGGTTCATGGTCTTGTTTCGATGAGTTCAATCGATTGGAATTGGATGTACTATCCATTGTGGCTCAACAAATTCTTCAAATTTTAAATGCAGTGTCTATGGGAGTGGATAGTTTCATTTTTGAAGGCAATGACATTCGAATCAATCCAACCTGTGGTATTTTTGTGACCATGAATCCAAACTATTTGGGTCGGTCTCAACTTCCTGATAATTTGAAGGTACTCCTTAGACCAGTATCCATGATGGTACCTGATGCTTTACAAATTTGTGAAATCAAACTTTATTCACAGGGATTTAAAGAAACTCAATCTCTTTCTAAAAAGATTATTACCGTTTACAATCTACTTGGAGAGCAATTATCGAAACAACCACACTACGACTTTGGTTTGAGAAGTATTTCATCCTTATTGAATGCAGCAGGAGAGCTACGAAGAAATCAAATGAGTGAAGATGAGGAAATTATAATCATGATGGCATGTCGAAGTATGAATCTTCCAAAACTCAAGCCCGAAGATATTCCAATATTTGATTCAATTTTAAGAGATTTATTCTCCAATAAGGAATATCTTGAATCATCCAATCAACTCTTATCCGACACGATCACTCAATGCTTGTTAGAGCAAAATTATCAAGTTTCAAACTATATCATTAATAAGTGTATCCAACTAGAGGAAACACTTGCTGAAAGACATGGCGTCATGCTCATTGGTGATACATGCTCGGGCAAGTCCACCACTTGGAAGACTTTACAAACATCCATTTCAAAGGCATTTAAGAGTGAAATCAAAGAGTATGTGATCAACCCCAAGTCTCTCAGCCATGATGAACTTTATGGAAATTATGACAAGAGCCGAGATTGGAGAGATGGAGTATTCTCAACCATACTTCGAGAAGCTGTTAAAGATCAGACCAAAGAAAACAAACACCATTGGATTATTTTTGATGGTCCTGTCGATACGCTTTGGGTCGAGTCCATGAACACTCTGCTGGACAATACGAAATTGTTGACCTTAATTAGTGGTGATCGAATTGCACTCACTCCGAATGTGAATCTCATTTTTGAGGTTTCGGAGGTTACCTTTGCTTCACCTGCTACGATTAGTCGATGCGGAATGGTCTTCTTTAATGCCAATGAACTTGGTTGGCAACCCATCGTGAAAAGTTGGTTACTTTCACGAAGAAGATATGAAGAAAAGATTGGTTATCCTTCTCCCGATATGATTACAGAATTTTTGAATGGACTGTTGTTTGAAAAGAATTACATTCAAAGAACATTGGATGAGAAAAATCGTCAAACCGAACTCATTCATTTATCAGATATTCATGCAGTCAAGTCCTTTTGTTCCATGTTTGATGCTCTTGCTACTGTAGAAAATGGGCTTGATCCCAATGATCAAGAGTTGTATCTCGATCTCATTAAGAAGTATCTTGTGTTTTGTTTAATTTGGACCATTGGTGCTTCTGTAGATGATGAAGGAAGAAAGAAGATGGATATTATTTTCAGAGAATACGATCCTCAATTCCCAAGTTCTGATACTGTCTATGAATACTTTATTGATCCAAAGAGCAAATTATGGAAACCATGGAATGAACGTGTGAATACTTCATGGAAAATGCATGCCAATACTCCTTTCCACAAATTAATTGTTCCAACCATTGACACTGTGAGAAATTCATTCATTATTCAATCCTTGTTGAAAGTGAATCAACAAGTACTCGTTACTGGAATGCCAGGTGTTGGAAAAACTCTTCAAATTCAAAACACACTCTCACAATTTGATGAACGACAATATACCACATGTGCCATTTCATTCTGTGCTCGAACCGAGTCATCCACACTTCAAAAACTTGTTGAATCAAAGGTTGAAAAATCATTAGATACCTATACACCGTATGCAGGAAAGAACATGATTCTTTTTGCAGATGATTTCAACATGCCTGCCAAAGATGACTATGGTTCTCAAGCGCCATTAGAATTGATTCGTCAATATCTTGATTATGGATTTTGGTATGATCGTACCAAGAATACAGTGAAAAAATTGAAAAAAGTTCAAGTGTTGGCTGCCATGGGACCTGTGGGTGGAGGAAGATCCGAAATTTCCAATCGATTATTATCAAGATTTCATGTACTCAACATTACGGCTCCAAGTGATGTCCAATTGAATCGAATTTATAGCACTCTTCTGAGTCAGAGATTAGAAAAATTGGAAGAAGTGAAAACACTCAGTGAAGAATTGACTCATGCTACGATTGGACTCTATAAGGCAGTTTCTTCCGTTCTATTACCAACTCCAAAGAAAATTCATTACTCGTTCAATCTTCGCGATTTATCAAAAGTATTCCAAGGTCTCCTTGTTGCTGATCATGAATCATTGGATAGCAAAGAACAAACACTTCGACTTTGGGTTCACGAATGTTATCGTGTATTCCATGATCGTCTTTGTGTGGATGAAGATCGCAAATGGTTCAGAGATAAGGTTGGAGAACAACTTGGTGATGTGTTTGGATACAAATGGAAACGTTTGTATAGTGGAGTCTATGATGAAATTGCATCCTCTTGTGCTCCATCTTCAACTTTACCCAACAATGGAGAATATTCAGCACCACCAACAGTCATTTCCACTCAAGACTTCCAAGACAGTGATGGTGTCTATAAACCAACATTGTTCGGAGAGCTGTTCAGAGAAAGTTATGTTGAAATGGCCTCTATGGATGCTTTGAGAATGGAAATTGAAGCAACTCTTGCTGAATACAATGAAAAGTCCAATGAAGCACCAATGAAGATGGTATTATTTAATGATGCTATTGAACATTTGTGCAGACTTTATAGAATTCTAAAACAACATCGAGGAAATGCCTTATTGATTGGCATTGGTGGTAGTGGAAGACAAAGTCTAACTAAATTAGTATGCTTTACTTTGGGTTACAAATTAGTAGAATTTACATCTTCAACAACCTTTGGTGTAAAAGAATTCCAAGATCGTTTGAAAGATATTTATTGGGAAGCAGGTCTAAAGGGTAAAGATATTGTCTTGTTATTCTCAGACTCGGGAATGACTGACCATGTCATGCTTGAACATTTGAATAGTATTTTAAGCACTGGAGAAGTTCCAAATCTCTTCACTGGAGAAGAAATTCAAAACATTTATGAAACTTGTAAGAAGGAAGCTATTATTAGTGGATGTAATGATTTAGTAGAAGAGGTGTATCAATATTTCATTGAAAAGGTTAGAAATCACATTCATGTTGTAACATGTATGAGTCCTGTTGGTAAATTATTCAAACAAAGAATTAGAATGTATCCAGCCTTTACCAAATACTCGACCTTTGATTGGTACAGCGATTGGCCAGAATCTGCTCTCCGAGAAGTTGCCAATTCATTCCTTTCAGAAATGATTCCTTCACTCGATCAATGGATTCAAAAAGAATCTTCTGAATCATCATCAGTGAGCAAATCAAGACCATCCTCTCCATCTTTGAACAAACCACACGAGCAACAGAAAGCTCTATTAGATTCCATTTCTGAAGTATTTTTCAAAGTACATACACATGTCAAGACGACCTCCGAAAAGATGAAAATTGAAACACAAAGACTTTATTATGTAACTCCATCTCATTATTTAAGTTTTGTTACTGAATTTTGTATTCTATTAGAAGAAAAGAGAAGAGAATTTGCCAAAGCTGTTGAAGACAATGAGAGAGGAGTTCGAACACTTGAAAATACCAATCAAGCCATCAAGAAGATGACCATTCAACTCGATAAACAACACAAAGAAGTTGATGAAAAGAAGAAGAAGTGTGATAACTTGATGGATCATATTGTTGGAAGGCAAACCGAGTGTAATAACATTCGAGGTCAAATTAGTGTTGAAAAATCTCAAATTGAAAGTGAAACAGAAAAAGCCAACAAGCTCTCAGAACAAAGTAGAAAACAATTGAGTGAAGTTGAACCTCTTCTTGAAAGTGCTGAAGAAGCTCTCAAATCCATTCAAGCCAATGATATTTATGAAATTAAGAAGTATACCAATCCTGCTCCTGAAGTATTGAATGTATTCAATGTCATTATGATCATCTTGAAGAAATCAGAATCCAATTGGGAAGCCATCAAAAATCAAATGTCGAATCCACTCAAATTTTTGAATTCTCTTGTGGAATATCCAAAGACTGAAATGACTGAACGATTGTTGAACAGTATTCATAATGCTATTGAAAAGTATGATTTGACCAATCTTGAGAAGATTGAAGCTGCCTCTGGAGCTGTCGTAGGACTTGCAAAGTGGGCCATTGCTATTGAAAGATATGGTCGTGTCTATTTAAATGTAAAACCAAAACGAGAAGCCCTCGAAAAGGCAGAAAAAGCAGCACAAGAATATCAATTGAAATTGGAAAAGACAACACTTGCTTTGAAAGAATTTGAAAAGGAACTTCAAGAACTTGGTAAACAATACGAAGTCACCAATACTGAAAAGAAACTCATTGAAAAGCAACTCTATGAAACGGAGCGCAAGTTAACACGTGCAAAAGAAATGACCAGTGCTTTGGAAAGAGAGAAGGGAAGATGGCTCATGACCATTCAAAGATATAAGAATGCTCTTAAAAACTTGATTGGAGATGTTTTATTAACTTGTGCATTTACAAGTTATGCTGGTCCGTTCACACCCTTGTATCGAAATGAACTCGTCTCTTATTGGACGAGAGAAATTGTGGATCATGGTTTTTCTGTGAGTTTAGATTTTGCCATTGAAAAAGTACTTTCCAAATCAACAACGGTTCGTGATTGGACCACGCATGGATTACCAGTCGACACTTTCTCAATTCAAAATGGTGTTCTCGTGATGAATGGAAGAAAACACTCGTTAATGATTGATCCTCAAGGACAAGCAAAGAATTGGCTTAAAAAATTATATGACTATGATAAGAATAAGAACAACAACAATTTGGACTATGATAAGAATAAGAACACAACAACAATTTGGAACATGATAAGAATAAGAACAACAACAATTTGGAACATGTTGCAAAACTCTTTGTAACCACTCTCAAGGATCCAAAAATGATGAAATTGCTTGAAGTTGCATTGAAAACTGGTACACCCATGTTGATTGAAGATATTTTAGAAGATATTGATCCTGCTCTGAATGACGTTATTCATCAATCCATTGAAATTCGATCGGGAAGATCATTGATCAGACTCGGAGACAAGCTCGTCGATTACCATCCAAACTTTAAATTATTCTTGACTACAAAATTGTCCAATCCAAAATATTCTCCAGAAATTGCCTCTTCATTGTCCATTATTAACTTCTCAGTCACGACACATGGCTTGGAAGAACAATTACTTGCCATTTTAGTGCGAAAGGAAAAACCAGAACTTGAAGAACAAAAAACGTCCACCATGATCTCTGTGGCTAGTGCCAATAAGCAACTTGAAATTTTACAAAATGAAATTCTACAAGCACTCACAAGTGATCAAAGTGAAGAACTCTTAGAAAATGAAACCTTAATTTCCAATCTTCAACAATCTAAAAAGACAAGTGAAGAAGTGACTGGTCGACTTGAAATTTCACAAGAAAATGAAAAGAAAATTGATCATGCTCGTAATCAATACCGAGATGCAGCGACCAGAGCATCAATTCTCTATTTTGCTCTCTATGATTTGAGTAATATTAATGTCATGTATCAACATTCCTTAGAATCCTATATTGAATTATTTAAAAAGAGTATTGAAAATAGTCCAAAACCAAAAGGAAGATCCGATCAACAAATTCAACAACGTATTGAAATGTTGAATGAATTTCATACCTATGAATTTTACAAAAAGACTTGTCAAGGACTGTTTGAGAAACACAAATTACTATTCATTTTCCATTTATGTGTCAAGTTATTGCAAAGTGAAGGAAAGTTGAACTCGGAAGAATATGACTTTTTCTTGAAGGGTTATGTTATGGATTCTTTGAGTCATCATGGAGTAGTTTTCATGGGAGGTAGTAGTAATAGTAGTTCCAATAGTAGTACTACCAATAGTAGTGGTAGTAGTGGTAGTAGTGGTAGTGGTAGTAACAACAACAACAATACGACCACTACAGTACTGGCTAGCAGTAGTAATAGTTCCAATAGTAGTGGTAATGGTACTACTATGAACCACAACAACAACAACAACAACACGGATACAAGTCTCTACTACTCTTCCAACAACAACAACAATCCATGTAAACATTGGTTACCTCAACATGCATGGCAAGCCATTTCCGATCTCGATCAAAGAGTTCCCTTCTTCCATGGTATTGCAAGATCCTTTGAAGAAGAAAGTGAAGATTGGAGAGTGTGGTATCTTTCCGATCATCCCGAGAATGAACATGTTCCATCCGAATGGCAAACCAAGATTGATGATTGGACTAAAATGCTCATTGTGCGATGTGTCAGACCTGATCGTCTCATTCACATGATCAAATCATTTATTGTTTTGAGAATGGGTTCAGACAAGTACATCAAACCACCTCCACTCGATATTTCATCCGTGTATGAAAATGATTCAGATCCTTACACTCCTATTGTATTCCTATTGGCATCGAATGTGAATCCACAAGAACAAATTACAAAACTAGCCAATGAAAAATCCATCAAAATGAATGTCTTTTCATTGGGAAGAGGTCAAGAACATTGTGTTCAAGATGCAATTTCAAAGGCAGTGAGAAATGGAGAATGGATCTTTTTAGCAAATTGTCATTTGATTGTGAATTGGCTTTCGAAATTGGATGAACGTTTAGAGAGTTTACTTCGGAGAGATCATCAACAAATGGATGATTCAGTTGGTAGTGGTAATAATAGTAATAATAATAGTGGTAGTACTAGTGGTAATACCAATAATACTAGTAATAGTAGTGGTAATAATACCAATAATACTAATTATGGTATTATGACCAGTTCAAGAATTCATGTTCATCCAAACTTTAGACTTTGGTTATCAAGTAAGCCTCACTCTCAATTCCCAATTAGTCTTCTTCATCGATCGACCAAGGTTGTGAGTGAATCTCCAAGTGGACTTGTTGGAAATATGACAAGATTATTTAAATTAACATCTCCTCAACAATTTGCACAAGATGCTACCATGTTGAGTATTGAGTATCGTAAAGTATTCTTTGCACTCACTTATTTCCATAGTATATTAATAGAGAGAGAAAAGTTTGGAAATTTGGGTTGGAATCATCATTATGATTTTAATGATTCTGATTTTGAAGCTGCTCTTAAAGTATTGAAGAATATGTGTAGTAATAGTAGTAATGGCAATAGTAGTAATGGCAATAGTAACACACCAAACAAATCATCATTCTCTTTTGAAGCCTTCAGATACATGATTGTCAATGTTTGTTATGGTGGACATGTGACCGATGAAGTAGATCGAAAATTATTAGACATTTATGCACGACAATGTTTCAATGAATTACTGATCGATATGAATGATTATCCATTATCAATCACAGATGATCGATATTTAGTTCCTGGAAAGAATATTCTCTCGAAATATTCAATCATGATGAATTCTTCAGGTCAAAACAAATCCAATGCCAATACCAATACCAATATTACTGCTTTGAATAATTTAGATCCAACTCTTGATCATTCTGCCTACTTGAAATATATTCGTGAGGGTTTACCTCAAAGTGATTCTCATGGAGCATTTGGTCAAAACCCTAATGCATTTATTACAAGTCAAATTGAAAGAGCAAAATCTCTACTTGATGGATTATTAGCCATGACTTGGAATACAATGCATACAAGTTTACACTTTGCAAAGGAACAACAAGTGATTCAAGGCATTCATGACATTCTCTCTCAACTTCCTGAATGTATTGACACTTCAAAGGTGATCAATACGGATCAACCATTAGTGATTGTGTTATTACAAGAATGTGAACGATACAATTCATTACTTTGTACCGTGACAAGTCATTTATCTCGTTTATTGGTTGCACTCAAAGGAAGTTCTATCATGGACAAGGAATTGGAAAATACCTTCTCATATATTAAGAAAGGAAAAGTACCTGTGGAATGGCTTTCAGTGTATCCAACAACAAAACCACTTTCTTCTTGGATTCATGATTTGTGTAAGAGAGTTGAATTCTTTTCAAAATGGGCACTCTCCAATAAGGAACCTCACATCTTTTGGTTATCTGCGTTTACTCATCCTGTTGGTTTCTTGACAGCTGTGAAACAAATAGCTGCTCGAAGATTCAATGATGTAGACAAATCGATTGACAAACTGGACTTTGAATATCAATTTGTTTCTAAGGATGTTCATAGCATCCATGAGAGTGCCAAAGATGGTGTTTATGTGTATGGACTTTGGTTGGAAGGTGCTGGATGGGAACTTTCTTCGAATAGTCTGGTCGAGCAAAAACCTCATCAACTACGATGTGAATTACCAGTGTTGCAATTAAGAGCTGTACCTCAGGACGAACTCAAAAAGTACTCGAATCCGAATGCTTACTTTAAAGCCCCACTCTACTATTGTCCAGTGAGAGCAGGCAATCCAAGAATTCCTCACAGTGGACTCGTTACATTTATTGATTTGAAGATCAAACAGCAAAGTGTACCACTCACTTCTCCCGTGTTCATTAACGCCCAACTTGCCGACGAGAAGCAATACGACAAGTCCAACCCACTCGGCAATGTACTGACCCTGTCGGATCATTTCACAAAGAGAGGAACTGCACTCATTCTGCAAGATTAATAAATCATTGTGATTGCTTTTTTATTTACAATACAGCAAAGTCTTGCAACTCTAACGTCTAGGTGATTGTCTTACAAATTCAATGTTCCGACCTTGAGCAGGTGAGGCCGATCCAAGTCGTGGTGAAGTACTGTACATGGCTCTGTTCGTTTGATAAGGATCAATTTGGCTTAATCTCTCAGCAAAGCTTGATCCCATCAGGTAATTATGCGTTGGTAGTGATGAAGAAAGTCCACTCAATTGATGATCAGTCGACTGACCTGGAATAGGTATTCCATGAACAGTTTTTGAAGGAGAAAAACTTGGTTTTCTTGGTGAAATATATGGCTCAATGTTACTGACACTGTTTCCTCTTGGAGTAAGACTTGATCCTCTCAATGGACTGGTCACATGTGGTAATTGTTGTTGAGAGAGATTAATACCAAGTTGTGAAGCAATCTCTGGAGGTTGACTGGAAGGTGGAAGAGAATGCGATCTTCTACTTCTCTCAACATCATTGACCAATGGTAATGATTTGTTTTTGATGGTTTGGTTGAATTCTCTTTCTGATGAAATTTCCAAATCAAATTCATCTTTCAACTTTTGAGATTCAATTTCTTTTCTCTTCTCTTTTTCTCTAAGGATCTTTTGTTCTAGAATAAAGTTTTCACTTTCCAATCTTGAATATTCTTTCAACAAGGCAAGATTCTTTTGTCTATACTTTTCAGAGTCATGAGCCAATCTTTGTTGTTCTCTATTCAATATTTCTACTTGTTCTATTAATTTCTGAACAACATCCTGGTTGGATTGATCGGTTTTGATATTTTGTAAAATAGTTTGAACTCCACTCAAAACTTCACTTCTTTCCTTTTCAATTTGTTTTTCAATTTGACTATGACAAGTTCAATGAGGTAAAATGGCATCATGGTTCGCTTCTACTACTTACTATTTCTCAGATAATACATCTTCTAATTGCTTTCGTAATTTTGTTACAATATATTCCTTATCTTGTTTCAATTGATTTTCAATCGATGTTTTTTCTTGTAATAGTTTCTCTAATTGTTTTTGGAGAGTGTTCGTGAGTAGCTCTTCTTCCTCTTCAACTTGTTGAGCCAAAGTTTCCTTTTCTTTTTTCAATCGATTCAATTTTTTCATTAATTTGTTTGTTATCAATTCTTCCTCTTCTTCCACTTGTAATTGCTATATATGGAAAAAAAGATACAAATTTGAAACACAAAGAACCAAATGGCATTGCACCGAACAAAATATTATTGATGATCATCATGTTATTCCGCAAGTCATCACCAAAATATAAAATTTTCAAATGATGAAATTGATACGTACAATGTTCGCATTGGCATTTTGTAATTTCTCAATTTTAGCTTTAAGCTTTATATTTTCATTTTCTAAATCTTTAACTTTTTGTTTCAAAACATCAACCTCGGAAGGAGATGAGGATGTTGTTGGGTTGTTGCTGCTCATTGGTGATGATGAATATCTTCTTGGTACAGAGTGTTAGGTTGTATGGCTACCACTACTAGTGCGATCAGGGTCTTGTTTGGATCAATCTCTCTCGGAGATTGTTCTAGTGTTAAAGGCTTTGCGGTTGATTGCAACTTAGTGCGTGCAGAAAGAGAATAGCGGTTCAAAGCTTTTATTTTTGCGTAATGGAGAGAGTTGAAATGAAAATTACAATGAGGGATTGTTTCCTTTTGCAAAAGCATGACCTTCACGACGTGAAATTATTATTGAATAGTAATCGAATCGTTTCACTCAACGTTGCAGAGAGATGTTCTTCAAAAGATCTATCGAGCCTGAGGTCATATTGATCATTCTCAACAAAATCTTGTTCGGGATGCAATGCACAAAAAATGGCCAAAGAACACACTTCTCCCACGCCAACTACAACCTCTTCATCAACCAACAATGCATCCGATCACCATGGATCAAGTGCACAACCTAATCAAGACAAGATCAACAGCACCACCTCTTCTCCTAACAACATGAGCAATAACACCACCACCACCACAACTCGTAGTAGCCTAACAAGTACTCTGCAACAACAACAGAATAATTCCATCATGATGGTCCAATCTTCCGATAAGAGTATAATACTGAACACAGATTCTCAATTCTCTCATCATCCACTCCATACTGATGATCAATCTCTCAAATATATTTCATGTGTTATTGCAAGTGTATTACTCTTATTCATGATCATTTACATTCCATCCTATTATCGATTAGATATTATTTTTATTATTTTACCAATTTTGACACTCACTCTTCCCATTATATTTTATGAAATTTACAGAAAATTAAAATCCATGTATTTGGAGCATGTACATGAACACTATTCCTCTCTCTCAATTATTTATTTATTTTTATTTACCTTTACTTGTGTAGTCATGATTAGTAGTTTACTATTTTTCACGTTTGAAACTTTGGAACATTCATATTATGATCAAAGAGAAGAATTTAATACCAATACTGTTCTCATACAAGATTTACAAAATGAAATTTTAATGAGTTGCAGTAGTGTCTCTGTAAATTGTTGTGAAAATGAAATCATTTCATACATTACCGATCATATTCAATCCATTAATGGAATGGGCAAATCAATAGATACCAAGACACATCTTGGAAAGAAATTTGTCATTGAACAAGTATTATCAGTATTGAGAAGACATAAAGGTTTTGAGAGATTTCAGAAATTATTTAATTCTACCGTGACGAGTAGTACGAGTTTAAATAGTTCTAATCAGAATTCCAAAGGTAACTCTCAAAATAACAGTCACAATGATGACACTACCATGAATCGTGATGATTCATCCAATCATCAGGTCATGATCACCATGACAGTAGATGGAAATATTCATCCAACTCAAGACCATCACCACCACGTGGCCAAGGGTTATAATGATGATACGAAACCAACAACGACAATGAAAACGACAACAACAAGCACACTCTCACCTGATCCATCCTCTTTACCAACTGTGAATATTCAATCAACAGCAAGAACACCAGTATATTGTTACAAATACAAGTACACCAATTTCAAACCAATGAACATTCAAAAGTATATCAAATCTTACGATTGGCATGATCGAGTACAGACTTTCTTTAAAAGAGTGAGTAAGGGATTTGGATTGACACATGATTAAGAATGTATCTTGAGGGATTATTGTACATTTACCAAAAACGATAGTAGTACTACTGCACCAAACAATTGTTGAATGACATTCGTAATTATAACATATTATACAACACCATTTTCCAAGGAGGTTGTTCCACCTCCAAGTACTTTTTCCTTTTGATTGAGAATTTTTACTTCCAAATAAAGATCATTAGAAAAAATGTGTAAGTAACAACTTTTTGAGTGTTGATATGGTTCATTAACCGAATGTCAATATCTCTTCGATGTTTGCGTACCCTACTCTCATCATCACTCTATGACTTGACTGGAACATGCTCTTGCGATCAAATGTTCATCCATGGACATTCCTTTAATTCATTCCGTATGATGATCACGACAATACCTCCATCATTCATTATCATTCATGGATCAATCCACACACAACAGCATCCTTTCTCTCAACTCTCATATTCGGTAGTGGATCTCAATCATCACAACCACAAAACATTCCTCAGCATCAACAACTCTCTCGAAACCGAAGTCAAAGTGGAGCGTCTTCTCCACTCTCATCCACTCCTCCCTCCTTCACGACCATCATGCTAGCCTCATCACCTGTAAAATCCGCCATGATGATGAATATTCATTTCCCTCCAAATCCATCCAACACAACTGTTAGCAGTAGTAGTAGTAGTGGTAGTACTGGTGGTATTGGTACTGGTAGTAGTATTCAAAATTCAAACACAGCATTAGCCTCTTCTACCACCACCCCTTCAACCACCACTTCTACCACCACTACACCCTCTTCTCCTGTAAGAAGCTCCACTCTCATTCTAACCTTCTCTCCACCACTCTCTAATAAACAATGGATTGGTCGAGAAGTTGAACTCTCTCAATACATTTTCAAACTCTCTCATAATCCTCTCTCATTCCGAATGGATGATCATTTCATTCAAGAAATGGAAATGCAACGACATGAACGAAGTGGACTCATTCATCCACAACATCCCTATCATTTTGATCAATATTATTCATTATCACAAGTGAATACATTGAGAATGTATGATTCTCATCTCAATTCCATGTATTCCATTCTTGTTCCAAAATATGTAGATGATATTACTTTTTGGAAGAGTTACTTTTATTGTGTTCATCGAATTCTCTACACGGATTGTATTGAAGAGTTAGATGAAGAGATTTGTGAATTATATAATAAGAGAAGAAGACAACAAATAGAGAGAGAACTTGAATTACAAGAATATTGTAATGCTATTGAAAGTGATTGTAAATTTATTTTAAATTTAATTGAAATTGAAAATGTAAATGTAAATAGAATGTTGAAAAAGGAACAAGAATTGGCTAATCGAGTCATTGAAGAAATTGAAGAAGGAAGAAAAGATGGTAATGAACATGTTGTGAATGATGATATTTCGACTCGTAGTGTGTCATTGAATATTCAACAAGAAGAATCCAATACGAGTTCTTTTCAACAAGAAGAATCCAATGGCCATGTGGTAGAAGAATCAAGTCATCAGCCTTCTCAAGTTGAAAGTACAGAGAGTAGTAATAGTTCAACGAATACTAATACTACTACTACTGAGGGTAATCATTCTACTATGAATACTACTATTGTTGACACTAGTGCTACTACTACTGCTATTATTGACACCAATACTACTACTACTACTGCTATTGACACCAATACTACTACTACTACTATTAACACTAGTACTACCACTCATTCACAATCTTCACCTTCCACAGAAGAAAAAACAAATCATCAAAAAATTGAAGAGAAAATTCGAGAAGTCATTGAAATCAAAAAGAAACTATCTCTTTTATCCAGTGAAATCATTACCAATGAAACATTGATTGAAAGAATTGCACAATGTAATCATTGTTTCATGACTGCATTTACAGAATATACAAAATATAAGGATTTGTTAAAAGAATTACCAGATTCACATCCATTGTATGGAACAAGTGTTGGAGGAAAATTGAATTCTTGTTCTCATTCTTCATTCTCACCTTTATTGTTAAATACAAATAGAACTCATCCAATTACAACTGAATTTCAGAGAAAAAAGATGGTATCCATATTACCTGCTAGATTTCATTTGAGTAATTGGATGTTATTGTATAGCACTTTGGAGCATGGAACTTCATTAAGAACTTTATATAGAAATACTCGACATGCTGAAGAATCGATTTTAATTATCAAGACTATGGATGGACAAGTATTGGGTGCTTTTAATCCAGTAGCATTGAATGAATTTGGAAATAAGTATTATGGAAGGTATGTAGAGAGAGTGTGTGTGTGTGTGACTATGGAATGTTTCAATAATATGTGTTACGATTTTTTCACCAAATATTTCCCTCACGAAAAATTTGTGCGTGTCCATGTTTCAAAGTGGTGAGATTTTACTCTTTTCTTTCAAAAATAATACCACTTTGAAAGTGTTTCGATGGTCGAAATTGAATGAATTCTTTTTGAGATCAAATGATTACATGATTTGTTATGGTGGTGATGAAGTTGGAAGATCAGCTCTCATGATTCATGAAGATTTGACTTCAGGAAGCACAAATATTTGTTTGACTTTTGATAACATGGAAGAGGGAGGGTTGTTGGAAAAGGTGGACAAGGATACGAATCATAACACCACAGCTGGTACCATCTCAGAATCAAAACCACCAGGTATGGTTCGATCACAATCCATTACAACATTTAGCACTGAAGTTGAGTTTGAAATTTATGCTTTGGAAGTTTGGGGTTTTGAAGATCATACCAAGAAACCACTACCAAAAAAAGTCACCTCAGCTGCCAAATCCTCATTCATTGACTATGCTCAATATTAAAAAGTTGGTTTGTGAAAAACTGTGGTTCATTTATTAATAAGTGTATCTAGATGTTGTAATGAGCTTGGATGTTTTACATAATTTGCAACTGTCTGATAGCAGCAAAACTTTCGCTTCCTGTTTTTTCTGTAGCATTGATAATCTTCTTGGCATTTTCCTTGTGCTCTGCTGCTTTCTGTAAGGCAAACACAGATAAATTGAAAAGAGTATTTCGTTGCTCAATTTGCTCTTGTTCTTCTCGTTGCATTTCTTCTTCCAATTGAGCAATTAATAATTCAGTATTTTCAAATTCTTGTTTCCATCGATTCTTCTCAGCATGTATGTGTACAGATTGTTCTTCAATGGTCTTAATCCTTCGATCATATTCAAATAATTCTTCTTGATGTTGCTGTTTGATTTGAGCATGGAGAGATTCCAAATTATTAAAAGATATAGTCTCTTGTGTTAAATTTTCTTTCACATCCAGTAAGTGTTCATTCAAAACTTGAATCATTTCATCTTTCTGTGTCAATGTTTCATTCAATTGTTGAATTTGAGATTGAAGAGTCGTGAATTGTTGTTTCAGAATAGCCTTCTTTTGTTTTGAATCATCAATTCTCCATTTTGCATTATTAGATGCCAATGAAATGAGTCTCAAATTTGGATCAATCTTGAGTACAATGGAATTGTATTGAGAAGTGAGTGTTGTAATTTGCTCATTGCATTGAGACAAGTGTCGTTGTGCACTCTCGACTTGATTTCTTGTATATTCGGTTCGTTTCAGAATTCGTTCTTCTTCTTCTTCATAGGTACTCTTCTCCCTGTAGAGTGCTTGTGCTTCCAATGGAGTAATTTCTTGATGTTCGAGTTGTCTTGTACAAACTTCATTATCTCTCTTTTTTGAATCAATTTGTTGATTGGTGGATACAAGTTTAGCCTTTGTAATTTCTCGATCGTGTAACAATTGATTCAATTTCTCTTCATTGTGTTGACTAGATTCATTCAAATTTAAAAATTGAGATTCTAATACCATTCTCTTTTCTTCTAATTCATGAAATGGATCTTGTCGTGTATTGAAATAATTCAATCGATTCTTAATGCTTTCATGAAGATTCTTCAATTGAGTTAAATTCTCTCGTGATCTTGCACAATCCATATTGAATTTGTTTCTCCATTCTTGTAACAGTCTTTCCATTTCTCGATTATTACCTTCAAGAAATGGTGCATACATATCACTCAAGAAAGAAAAGAAGATTGAAACTTGTTGTAATTCTAAATCTCTCTCAATCATTTCTCGTTCTCGACTATACTTGACAAGTCCAGTCAAATAAAAGAGTACTTGAATCATGGTTTGCCAATTTCGACTCGATTGAGGTGTAATGGTAAAATGTCTCTTATTCAAGGATATTGGAAGTTTAAAGAAATCCACAAGTTCAATAATTAAATCTTCATCGAGTCCAGAAATGGAAGGAGCCTTGTTGAAATAGGATGAAGTAGTAAATGCACTGATTGTCATCATACTCAAGGATGAATGATTCATCATGGTCTTTCTTCTATTCAGTGCATCCATATTGGAAGAGTTAGAACCACTAGTAGTAGTAGTATTAGAACCACCACCACCACTAGCACCACTAGCACCACTACTACTCGTATTCTTCTTTTCCAATTCTCTCACTTCACTTGGTGTTGGAACGAGTACACAAATATTTCGATCCAAATGGGTGAATAAATAATTCAAAAAATATCGAAGTTTAAAAGTATCACCTTCACGAAAGGTTTTTGGAGTAATTTCCATTGAAATATTTTCTTGAGAGAAGAATTCATAAAGTGCATTCAACATGTATTGAATATTGGATGTGTTGGATGTGTTGGATGATGATGCATTGAGAGTGGTGGAACCTAAAGTCATATTATTCGAGAGTAGACTTGTCTTGTTCTTTGCATGATGAGAAGATGTGTGTTGTTGTTTCATAATCATGGATTCTCGAGGAGGTTTCATGGTATGATGATTCATAATAGGGAGGAGAGATTGATTCAATTGAGAACTATGACTTGTATTCAACAAGTTGTTGGATTTGAGAGGAGCTTGTTGAGAGGATCCATTCATCATCATCATCATACTCGAGTTATGGATCGAGCCTGTGGAAGTATTGGTAATATCACGAAGAGCACGTCGTTGGTTGTTGAAAGACATTTTTTTTAAAAATGTTTGAAGTTTGTAACGAAAATATTTGGCGCGAAATTTCTTTTATAAACTTTGGCGGTTCAACACCAAGTAAGCTGGAATGACAGAAATGAGTTCATCCAAACTAGTAGTAGTAGTATTACTAGTGGTGGTGTTGAAATTATCATCCTGTTTATCATGTTTCTTGGTTGTTGTTGTTGTGGGATGAATATTCACACCACTATTGATCACTTGAGAATTCCACAAGAGAGTTCCATTCTTTGGATCCATCTTTTTAAAAGGAGCATATCGATGAGATTTCAAATATTCCACACAACATAATTCTTTTTTTGCAATAGAATTTGTTAAGAAATCTTCGAGTTGATTCAATTCTTGTTCTAATTGATCTAAAATATTCAAAGAATGATATTTGAGATGATGGGAAGAACTATTTTCATCATTATTTGTTAAGGGAGTGTTTGAGAGTGAGGTTGAAGTAGTAGTATTAGTAGTAGTATTAGTGGTTGTAGTCGTTGACGTTTTAGTAGTCGTTGCATTCGTGGTAGTCATGGAATGGATTGGATCATGTTTCATTAACTTGTTGAATCGATGTTGTAATTGATGAATGGTATTATTATTGTTGTGATTGTTATGATGATTATTGTGATGATTGTTATTGTTGTGATGATTATTATTGTGATTGATGAAATGATCATTCTTCCATTCCTTCTTTCTATTCAAATAACTTTCACAATATAATCTTATTTTAGCACCAATGACCATCAATTCATTCGATTTATCTTTTAATACATCACTCACTTGTCTATATTCATGATTGGATGTTTTAATAATTAAACATGTTAAATGAAATAATAAATCTAATAAATAGACATTTTGATGAGCATGTTCAATTAAATGACTCAATTTCATGAGAGTATGATAATCAATTTGAAACGATTGAAAAAGAGAATGTAATGTGTGTTGAGATTTGTAAGGATTGGATTCTAAAAGATCATGTTTGTGAAAGTGTTGAGGGTGTGTCTTGTTATTTTGTAATGAGTGAGAATGTTGTGGATGATGAATGGTTGAGTTGTTGTGGATGATGAATGGTTGAGTTGTTGAATGATGAGGATAATGAATTGTTGTTGAATGATGAGGATGATGAATAATTGTTGTTGAATGATCCTTTCGTTTTTTCAAACCATTCATCATGGATTTAAATTGTAATCTTTTTTGAGATAATTGTTGAGTACATGTTTCAAAAAAGTTCGATACAATCATTTCATCTAATTCTTGTTTGAGAGATTGTTGAAGATGAGTTTGATTGAATGTAAAGAATAATGTTAAATATTGTTCTTGATAGATTTCTTTCCAATTCATTTCAATAATAATTTGTAATAGATTTTGATAAAGTGTTGAAAGTGTAGGATTGATTGTAGTAGTGTTGTTGTTGTTATCATTGTTATTATTATTGTTATTATAATTATTGTGGTTGTGGATATTGTTGTTCATGGTATGATTGAAATGTGAATGATCGTTCCTAGTATTAATAGTACTAAAACTATCCATACTATCATTCTCTACATTTAATGTATGTAATAATACATTTAATAATTCTATTTGATTTTCAATATGTGCATTCCTTTTTCCATGAAAATATAATATTTGTAAATATTTAACATTTCCAAATATGAAATTCAATAATACAAGACTCTCAACGAAATGAGAATCAAGTAGAATTTCATTATTGTTGATATTCTTCTCTTGTAAATTGTATGGATCATCTATATTATCATCTAAATTCTCATCATCTAAATAACATGATGAATGATAATAATTTTCATAAATTAATTTCATCAATTGAATAATTCGATTCAAACATTGAATATATTTCAAAACACCACCAAATTCATCACCATGTTGAATATTATTTACAATGAATTGTTTGACATAGAGAGTTGGTACAATTAAATATCGATTCATGAATGATTTGAGAGATTGATAAATGATATTCATGTCGTCATGACGACAAGTTGTTGTGATATTCTTGGTCGTGCTGTTTGGATTGTTCCATGTTCTAACTGGTTGTTCTGGAGATTCATGGTGGTTGGTGGATGGAGGAGTTGTTGCATCATTCATACCATGAGCATGGTAGGAGTCATGTGATCGTGTTACGTTTCGATTCGGAGCCATTTGGTGTACTAGATCTGATGATGAGAGAAGGTTTTGGAATCAGTGTTGTTGTTGCTTTAGAATTTTTTTGTTTGAAATTTTTGTGTTTTTTTAAATAACGACGAAGGAAAGGAATTGTGAGGAATCGAACCAAGATCCAATTCACATTCCTTTTCGTTTTAGTGAGCGACTTGACTTGCTTGGGTTATATGGCATTGAATTGAACAATTACTTTTGATACCAAGTATTCTTTAAATATCTATTTATCATTAAATTCTCTATATATACGAGCGATTCGTTCGGAATGTGTTACACCAATACATTCCCAGTGATCCTTGAATCATGTCAGTCATGGTCATCATGATGGAGTTCACTCTCCATCATTACAATAATACCATGTATCATAGATTGACATTTATTATGACATACATAAAATTATATTACATACAAATAATACACACAAACACATATTCAAAAGACTACCAAATACACACAAACACATATTCAAAAGACTACCAGAGAGAAAGATTATTGTTTATTACACTTTCCACCTTTATCCTTCTTCTTTTTAATGGCTTCATTTTGTTTCTTCCATTCTTCATCCACGACAGCCTTCACTGCAGCTTCAAAGACTTCACCCAAACCTGTTTGTGTTTTTGCAGAACACTCCATATATTGTAAAGCTCCAACTTTCTTTGCTAATTCTTCACCTTCCTTTTTAGTGACAGGATTAGTGACTCCTAATTGTTTCAATAATTGTGAATCATCTCTCAAATCAACCTTATTACCAACAATAATATATGGTAAATCAATATGATTGGTTTCTTCTAATTCTTTCACCCATTTCTCTCGAACTCTTTCAAAACTCTTTCGATCCACCAATGAAAAGAAAATGAGAAAGATGTGAGCACCATTGTATGAGATGGGTCTCATGGAATCATTGTCTTGTCCACTTGTATCCCATAATTGTACATTGTATCGATTGTTTTTATATTCAACAATCGATGTAAAGTTATCAAAGGCAGTTGGAACGTGTTCTTCAGGGAATTCATTTTCAGTGTACGAGACGAGAACACACGTTTTACCAACACCTGTATCTCCAATATTGACACATTTAATTGTAGAGTCTTGCATCTTGTTGTTGTTGTTGGTGATGGGTGGTGTGGGTGTGGGTGATGGGTGGGTGGTGGTGAGTTATTTATGGGTGATGGGTGGGTGAGGCTTTATATTTGTTTGGTGGATGGTTTCAATAGAGTTTGTTATTATTATAATATAATAGTACGAGTTATTGTTGTTGTTATTATTGTTGTTGTAGTATCAATGGTGGTACACACAAGACGATGATGAAAATTGGGTGGTGTCCGTTGTTGTTGTTGTTGATGATGATAATAATATGAAGAGACTAAAAGGACAAGCGGGAATGACGAAAAGCAAACAACAATATTTTTTTTGTGAGTGGTGGATTTTTTGATGGATGACAGGACGAATGGTTGCTCTCTCGCATCACTCTGGGATTGGACATTCTCTTTGATGGCCATCAATTGTATTTATTAAGGAAATGCGTTTATTATTAAAGAATGCATTTTGAACACCGTTGCTTCGTTAGGATTGCAAAGGACTTAAAAAAATTGGTACAAACATTGGAATAAATCAAAATTAAACATCATTGCTGCGCACTGTGTTGTTGTTTGGAGACCAGTTGACGAAAGAGATCACTGGAAATAGAAGATTCTATTCACAACATTTTGGAAGGTCAGGATCAGAGATGTTGTAATGAAACATTTAAGATAAGATGAAGAGAAGGAGAAGGAGCGTGCTTTTATATTGAATGTACTTTGACAAGAACAGAAGTGCGGTATAAAGATTGAATGAAATTCCCACAACAAAAACAGCTCTCTAAAGAGCAAACTAATACCACAACTGCAGCTTCTCAACAGTCTGGAACAACAAATGACCTCCAGCCAAATTCAAACGAGTATTCCATTCAAAGACCTTTTCTTCCCATATTATGTTTAGAATTCAACAACACTTTGCATTAATTTGGCTTTTACCATATTGTTTTCTTGTTTACAATTTTATTGAGCTAACCCCTTTTAAAAACAATTATGGTGTTGTAGATACAAATAACTATTCATCAACAAGTTAACGAATCCGATATTTATGGCATTTATATCAGTCGTTGATTGCTCCAATATTGTTTGTAACTTTTGGTCTTAACGAAAAATGATAAATTTCGTAATAACTTCCCGAGACTAAAGGAAGTTATCTAGGGATCATTATCATTTACGATCATTATGAACACAATTGATTAAATCAAGTTAACCTAACTTCATTGTTATTGATAACAACAACCGCTCTATATTTATAAGCCAACTCTTTGACGACGACTGAATATGTCGTTATCGTTCTGCACTAGTATAGTTCGATAGATAGGGTTGTACAAACATTCGCAACAATAATATCTCAAATAATATATCCACTCTGTTCTATGGATAGATACCATTTGTGACAATGTTATGATTTATTTTCATGTTGTTTACCTTGTAATTTACAGTACAAAGATTCGAGTGAGAAACATGTTATACATGATTATACGTAGAGCAATATTTTGAATGAATTTGTAAATCGGAAGTGTAACTTGCATTGTATTTATAACGACTTGATTTTCATAGTGATTTGTTTAACATTTTATTATTAAACCTGAAATATTGTGTGAGAATGCATTGTGTGATGTAATGGTTACCAAATGGAAGGTCGGTTCTATACGAATAAAGTTTGATTGTTGTGATTGGACTTTGCTTTGCTCGGTTGTTAAACAATTTAGCCTAGGGAGTGAGAACACAGGAAATGCGGATGATTGGATACAAACTTGGGAACAAACAAAATAACCCTCCTAAACTTTTAATATTTGTAATTTCTGTCCAAACACAATAGATATCCAATCCATTTGTAACGAACTCCATCCTAATTGATTCACTTCACAATCAGCCTTATACTCTAAAATAGGTTCAATGGTAGAGCTACCATTTCCAACATGGTTAACACTACTCGTACCACTCATACCACCATGAATATCCCATATCAATGCTTGTCCATCATCTCCAACACTACACAAATGATGAGCACTGTGAGGTGCCCATGCAATTCCATTCACTGGCATTTTATGACCACACAATTCCATGAGTGGCATTCCTGGATATCTAACATCCAATACTACAATTCGATTACTATCCATTCCAATACATGCGACATAATTTAAATCTTGTTTGTTCCATGCCAATCTCAATAAAGGAGTAAATTGAGGTGTTTCATAAAGAATACTACAATGTTCCAATGATCTTAAATCAAACATTCGAAGAGATCCATCTGCTCCAACAGTACAAAATACATCTTGATTTCTAAATGCAATGTCATAAACTTCTTTGTCATGTGCAATGAGTTGTGTCAATGATTTACCACTTGGAATATCCCAAATGGTACATGTCGTATCAATACTACAAGTTCCAATGATATTTGGATTATATTCACACCAATCAAAACTTGTTAATGGAGCACAATATTCACTTGAATTATCATTATTAAAAGTAAAATATTTAGAGACTGAGAATTTGGTGGAAGTGGAGGAAGTGGAGGAGGGTTCAGAAGTGTGTATATGACTGCTACTACCTATATTGCCTGTCATGGTGCTGCTGCTTGTATTCGTACCTGTCGTCAAATTCCCATTCGTCGTCGTCGTCGTCATGGTGGTCGTTGTTGATGCATCTCTCAATTGCCATAATCTTAAATAATCTCCACTCGTAGCAATTAAATCTAAATTGGAAGTGTTGGCAGATGGATGAAATTGTATTCTTGTTGCTGGATAGGGATGTTCAAATTGTGCTACTCTTTCCAATACTAATTGATCTGTATTTAATTGAATAATATCTACCTTGTTTCTATATTCTTCCATGAAGGATCCAATGGCAAGACGAAAGGGATAATCTCTTCGGACAGACCAACTTGTGGAGTAAATCATCCAATCGGCATGATAGGTGTAGATTTCTTTTTGATGAGGAGAGGGAAGGAGTGAATGTTGTGGTTGTGGTGGTTGTTGTGGTCGTAGTAGTTGTTGTGGTTGTACTTGGTGTGAAGAAGAAGGGAGGGGTGGCCCGTTGAGTTGTTGTTGTTGTGAAGTGAACGACATTTTTTGTGTGTGTTTTATTGGTGATGATGATGAAAGGCTTGAGAGGCTTGGCAGTCGTGCTTGATGATAATGATAGGCATGACTTTTTGATATTCATGTACCCTGTATCAGGGAATTGTTTTATCAATCGATTCGTAATCCTTATCTCGTTAATGAATGATTCGTTGTCATTCAGCACAGTTTCTTTCCATGTCTCATTACCTGTCAGTACAATGGTCTCGGAGAATGTCATCATCGCCACGACTCGGCTGTCGACATCAACAACAGTAGCAAAAAATGTCTGACCATGATGCTCTCTTTAAAATTTTGATTATTGGTAGGTGGTGTGAGATGATGTGAAAATAATTTTGGAAATAACACACACATAATACAATCAATACCCTATGGTGTGTCATTATCTTGATGTCACTACAAATCTCGTTCAAATAATATTCTTGAAATTCCACATGTATATTGTGAAATGATGATCAAAACAACAACAACACCAATTCGACTCGGGTCATTGATCATTCGAAACATTCATCATGTAATAACAAAGGTGATATGGGTGTTGGTAAAGTATGTTTCATTTGTTGTGATATTGTTGAATTTATATATTTTGACACCATCCATTCCATGAATATATATATACATGTGTGAATGTCATGTGAATGTTTATATTGTAAATGATATTACGGACTCGGTGCGCAACAACTACTGAATCATTATACACACACACACGAATTCGACTCGGGTTCATCAAATTCTCCTTGACCATTACCTCAACTATTTGAAATCCAACTTGACGCATCCATACTATGGATGATTCAAATGCGACGTTTCGGTATCATCATCATCATCTCTTGGCGAATCACAAACCACATCTCTCCCACACAACGACGATTTTATGTGTCCACCACAACAACCACAACCACATTTTTCAACCATGACACCATGATGTTGTTGTTGTTGTCATGATGATTCTCTCAACTCTCACCCTGAACACACACTCATTTTCAACTCTCATCCAAATACACACTCACCTCAACCTAACATACCACACATACACGCACATACACACGCACATATACACACGCACACACACATACATACACACACACACGCACACACACACATATACACATTCTCAATAGAGTTGTATTCTACTTCGTTTCTCTGAGAATCAATTCAATGTGAGTCATGTCAGTACCATTGGTGTGGATTTCAAAATTAAAAATATGGAAAAAAAAGGTAAAAAAGTGAAATTACAAATATGGGATACAGCAGGACAAGAACGATTCAGAACCATTACGACTTCATACTATAAAGGTGCACAAGGAGTAATTATGGTCTATGATATTACTCAACGAAAATCATTTGAAAATTTAAATTTATGGTTAAATGATGTAAAACAATATGCAGATCCAAATGTATCATTAATTCTTGTTGGTAATAAGGTTGATTTAGAAGATCAAAGACAAGTGACAGAAAGTGAAGCCAATGAATGGGCACAACGAGTTGGAATTCATACGTGTTTACAAACAAGTGCAAAAGATTCTGTGAATGTTGATCAAGCTTTTGAAAAGGTATGTGTGTGTGCGAGTGTGAGAATGTTGTGTTTTTATATTTTGATGAATATGTGTGAATCATTGAAATGTGTGTCATTTATGGAAAATGAATGGAAAATATTCATGAATATATCATGAAAAATACATTTTCAAATCATGAAAAATACATATTCAAATCATGATATGGAATTGAACTACAACACATTTAAATTATAATATGGAATTCAATTCATGAAACACACATTTAAAAAAATTCATTGAACATTCAAATCTTCACAAAATAGATGGTGGATGGTATTTTTGAACATTCTTTTGAGAATTCACTCACAAACAAGACCAATTCTACTGTTAAAATTAATGATCAACAACAAGTGGTCAAGAAACCATCTAAAAGATGTCTCATACTCTAATGATTCATCATCATAAATATCAAAATTTTATTAACATGTCACTGTTCGTTCACAACCATGCATTCATGTCTTTTTTCTCAACAACAAAAAAATGATCACATCCTCCTCGACCGATCAAGACAGTAGTAACTTGTCTGAATCATCCTTCCTGCACACAAGTCCCAAGTCATCATCAATGCATCATGATCACTCGAACATCTTGTCTGAATACCATTCGATCATACCCACTACAAGAACAACACCCATTCCTAAACTCATTCTCTCTTTTTCTCTTGTAGTTCTCATTTCATTCTTTGTGTGTTACATGTTATTGAGTTACATCTTACCTCCACTCTCTCACTCCGAATATGAATTATTATTAAATAATATTCCACCCAAACAATTGAATCAAATCAAAATATTTATTGATGTTCTATCCAAATATACTCTATTGTATTATTATCAAGTCTTGTCTTGTATTTGTATTTTATATTTATTGATTTTGAGTTTATCTATACCTGGAACATTAATGCTCAATGTTTTATTTGGTGCATTATATTCTTCAAGTCAGCATGTTGTTCAAAATGATGATTCCATCATGAATCCAATTTTGGGAGTTTTATTTCCATTTATAATTTCTTTATGGTGTGGTACGATAGGTGCTAGTTTAGCCTACATGTATAGTCATTTATATTTTGGAAGATTATTAATTCAAATACCTTCCATTCACAAATTCTTTAAGAAATTTCAAAATTTATTATTGAACTATGAACATCGATTATTCTTTTTATTACTCTTTTTAAGAATATCACCTATATTACCAAATTGGAGTGTTAATTTATTATCACCACTTGTTGGAATATCATTTCCATTATTCTTTATCACTACATTGATTGGAATTGCACCACAAACATTTATTTCTGTTCAGAGTGGAATGTTGATACGAGAAATGTTCAATGAATGGAATCAACAAGATGAACAGCGAGGTATTTCCAATACTGAATATTCAATTTCTCAATTGGTGATGAAACCTCAAACACTCATGATCCTGTTTAGCATTTCATTATTGACCTTGTTACCTCTGATGGTGGATTTTATATTCAAACCAAAAGTCTTACCAATCGATCGTAGTCTGACAAGGCCTATTTCTGACCATCATCATGATGAAAAGATGGAATGAGGTTACTTGAGGCTCTTCTTGCTTCTCGGATTCTGAAATTTCGTTCATTGATCATTTTTTGGTGAATGGAACGATTCAAAACAATAATAATTAATAAAAAATGTCATCCAACAACCAAACGAGTTTCAATCCGTCATTGTCAAAGATGGATCTTACACCACCTCTCACTCCATCAAATGTAAAAGGAAGAATAGACACGTCTTCTCCGAGTACTCCATCCCAACCCTATTCCATTTCTTCTTCGACTAGTACAAGTAAAAAAGTAAATCAATTCATTCAATTATCACATCAACAACACGATGATGAATCACTTTCAACATGTCTTCAATATTTAGATCAATTATTTAAACAACACAATGAGAGTGCCACCACTCAACCCTTTTCTTCAATTGTATCATCCTTTTCATCCATGAATCAACATTCTCAAACACAACTCAAGAGTTATTTATTACTTCAAAATTTACATTCTCATAAAAAGTATATTTTAGAATCATTTGAACAAATTCAAAATCAATTAAATGAAATTGATTCACAAATACAAGTCATTCAGACTCATACAAAGAATATTGAGAATTATTTATCGAATGGTCCTACGTTGATCATGTTGGATTCAATGATGAATGATAGGACTTTTATTAGTACTTCTACCAACACGACTACTCCTACTACTATGACTACTACCATCAATACGACCCTTACCAACACGACTACTCCTCCTACTATGACTCCAACGATTACTACTCCTATGACTACTCCTACTACTATGACTACTACCATCAATATGACCCATACGACCCATACCAACACAACTCCTTGTTCATCTACATGTCAAATTTCTGACTATACCAAACAAATGAATTCATTCTATCATGAATACATTTCCAATCTCTATAGACAATATCAATTAAATGTATTCATTTCTAAATTTATATTTCCAGAAGAAGAAAAACAATTATTATTACATGGTAAAATTAGAGGACAAGAATATTTTACTACTCTCAAGAAATTAGATGACATGCATTCCACATGTTCGAATCATTTTGTGAAATCATCCAATTATCAACGAATTATTTTTGAAATTATGGAAGAATTACAAATGATTCGAACCAGTGCATTGGAGAGAATTACAAGATGGATTGAAGATGAATGTAAAGCATTATCAAATGATTCTGAAATTGATTCTGAATATGAATTGAAACAAGCGATTAATATTTTATTTGACAAGACTATATTCTTACCTTTGTGTTTGAAACAATTAATTGTATCGAGAAGTGAATTTGTAAAGAATCAATTTTTTAGTGCCTTGACCATGAAAAAGATGTCGAGTAGTAGTAGTATTGGTATTACTAGTACTGGTACTGGAACTGGTATTACTAAGGGACAACTGTCAAGTCGTATTTCTAGTACTACTGGTACTACTACCACCACTGGTACTACTGGTACTGTTACCACTGGTACTATTGGTAGTAGTAATAATACATATTCACCTGTAACAATTTCACTCTCATCCAATCCAATTGAAATGTTAGCTCATGATCCATTGAGATATATTGCTGATATCTTGGCATGGATTCACAAATCAGCAGTCATGGAAAAGGAATTGATTCAAAATTTATTATCAGTGTATGATCATACCTCTCATAATGGTCAGACTACTACTAGTAGTAGTGATTCTTCTGTCAATACTATTCCATCTCATCATACTTCAAATTATGCTACTATTGCCAATAATAATAATACTACTGCTACTACTAGCACTACTACTACTTTAAATACTTCCACTCCTCTCAATACTCTTTCCAATCCAACATCATATCAAGTATATCCACGTGAACCATTGTTATTCAAAATATTGAATGATATTTTTGATGATTTGAAAGGACAATTACAAATGAGAGTAGAACAAATTATTAACAAGAATCCAACAGATTCTCTCATACATACTTCATCTTTAAAACAAGATATTGATGAAGAATATACAATTGTATATTTCAAATTAGCTCATTTGTTAGAATTATATTCATGTCTATTTGTTAAAGTGATGGGTGATCATTGTAAACTATCAGTGTGTTTGAATGATTTGAAAGAAAAGTGTATGGATAAATTCTTTATTAATATTAAGAGAGATTTAAATCGATTGATTCAAAAACCTCCTGAAATTACTTTGAATTTAAATCCTCCTGAAGAAGTGAAAGAAGTTTTAAATAATTTGGTAAGTATTTTCATGTTTTTAATTTCATGTATTCTTCTATAATGGTTTGAAATATATTTCCAAATGATTTTATTATTTCATTCAACATTTAAAAATGATTCAACATGTTTTAAACTATTTTGGGTTATCCTGTGATTCAATCCACACTTGAAGACTGAAATTATGAATACCTATTCCGAGTCAGTAATGGTTCCAGAGAATCGACGCGAAGAAGATTTTCAAAATGTTATCTCTGCATTTATTGATCCACTCTTAGAATTATATAATAATTATTATGTAAATGTTAAATTGAAAGAAACTGATCCAATATTGAAATCTGATTATTACGTATTTATCATTAATGGATACTATGCTATATTACAAGCATTGGGTGGAGTTGAGAGTACAAGTCTGTCTAAAATTGGTACCACGAATGTTGATGTTTCTACAACAAGTGTGACTCGCTCAAAAACTGAATTAATCTCAACTGAAATGGAGAAACAATTAGAGATATTTACTCACTATCAATCAAAATTAATTCTTGAAAATAGTGGACTTCAACACAAATTGAACATTCTTCACAGTGATGAACATTCAAAACCATTCATTCCACTCTCCAAGTGCCAAGATATGGACGAGCAATCTCTCAAAGCATTCTTTCAAAATTTCTACACTCAATTATTTTCTTTAGGAAGTTTGGCATTGACTCAGAAACAATCCTGTGAGAGATTATTGAGTCCAAGATTAAAGACGTACACCAAGGGTAGAATTGCATTAGATGTTTGTAATGGATACAAACAATTGTATCATGCCATCATGGATGAAAAGAATTTGTATGAAAATCCAAAAGAGATTGTCTATCATGATCCAGAACAAGTGAAAGTATTACTTGATTTTTAAAATCATGAATGTTCAATCCACATCATCCTCAACAATAAAATCATCTAAATTTGATCCTTGTTGTGCTTCATTATGTTCACCTTCTTCTTCATTATGTTCACCTTCTTCTTCATTGTCGTGATCATCACTGGAATGACTCATGAGATCTTCACCTTCTTCAAGTGTTGTTGCTGATGTTGTTGAATGGTCAATCATGATTCCCAGATCATTCGTGGCACTCAATTTAACAAACTTTCCTCTCCGAACTATTGTGTCATTGGATGGATATTCTTGAATCACGACCGAATCATAAATGACAAGAGGACGACTGCTGCTACTACTACTGTGAGGAGTGGTGGTCATGGGAGTGGTGGTACAAAAAGAAAGATCATTCCCATCCACACTACTACTCTTCATTGCTAAATTCCAACAATTTTCACACACATACGAATAATCCTCAATGAAAACATGTTCACTGTCATAGTCGCGATTAAAAATACAACTTCCATGAAACCAATCATAACAATTGTAACATTGATACATGGGATTAGCTTCTTCTCTTCCACAATAACACCATTCATTCTTAAAATTATGATTATATGGATTACGTTCATTCATTGGTGGTTTTGCAGTCGTCGATGAACACAAACATTCTGAATTTCCACATTGTGAATTTCCACAATCACATTTGAAATTTCTCTTTTCTCCAATATTATACAATTCATGTCCTCGATGACAATGTTTTGAGCATTCTTCACATACTCCATGATAAATCTCATCACTATAATTATATCTATTTCTATTTCTATAACAAGTTAAACAAACATATACAATTTGAGTGACATATCCAAGAGAGAATGAACACACTTTGGTTTCACTTTGTATGGAATTGTGTTGCCAATCTTCAATGGGATGATCTTGAACCATTTCAGCCTCATCAATACTTGGTGCAAATTTTTCACAGTGTTCTTCTTGTAATTGTTCTTCTTCTTCTTGTCGTCGATTCGACATTCCAAATAAATACATGGAAGGTTCTTCATAGGTAATTAATAGATTATGAATTTCACTTTGATCATACATGTTGGGTACAATGAGTGAATTTAACACAGTAGAATGATGATTATTCGATGGTGGTGAAGGAATGATTTTCATGGGATATATGAGTGGAGGAAGAAATGAGGATTGGTGTGAATCCATGATGAATAATCTATTCTTGAAATGATCATTCTTTGAGAGAGATGTATCGAATATAAAACTAGATCCATCATCATTTCCACAAATCATATAATTTCCATGGATCGAATACGAGGCATTCTTGAATCCAATTTGATTATTGTTTTTCATGGAAGGACAAGAATACCAATTGTAAATACTCTTTTTAAATGGAGAACATGTTGGATCATTACCAACAATATTACCATTACCATTACCATTACCATCATCATCATTCATAGTACTACTACTACCACTACCACCACTAACAAGATTACCATGACTACTACCACTACCACCACCACTAACAAGATCACCACAACTACTCTTATCAAACCTTCTTTCATTATAATTTTCAAATAATTCATAAACAATTCCATCTTCACAATACGTTAAAATATAATCATAATATGGATGAATTTCTAAACTTGTAAATTCACATCCATGATCATGATATAATGAATATTTACAATCTTGAAATCTCAAATCTCTAAACTCTAATACACCACCACCTCTACTTGCTATGAATTGATGTGGCGAATCTGTATTCTTTAATTTGACATGAATATAATCATTAGATATTCTACTTTTAGAATTCACATTCTTATTAGAATTAGGTTTAACAAGAATGGAATGTTTCTTTTCTCTTGTATCCCACATGAGAATACTATTATTACAACAGATATAGAGAATGGGTGGAGATTCTTGTGGACTCAAAGTAATTCCATTTAGTATGGAATGACTCGTTACACATAATCGTTTCACTAATTTGGAACTTGGAACATCATATTGACAGAGTGTACAATCGAGAGAAGATGAAAAGATAAAATCATGATGATACCATTCCAAGGATTGAATGTCATGAGTATGATATTCAAAATAGGATGAAATTAATTGACATGAATCACTCCATTCTCGTTTCTTTGAATTGTTTGTTTTTTCCATATTTGTATCATCATCCATGAATAGCAATTGTGGTTGGAATTGAAGAAGATGAAGAGAATTTGAAGAGGAACTTGCCAATGCAAGTAATAATGAAGAAGAATTGGATCTTAATGGTGCAAATCTAATTTTACCACTCAAATCATTGGTATATAAAAGTGGAGTATAATTGTGTTGTTGTAAGAGTTGATGTGAGAGTTGTCTGCTGCTGCTGCTGTGATTACTGTGATGGTGCATGATACGATGGTGCAACAGTGGGTGTAATGGTGGTGATCGTAGAGTGTTGTTGTTGTTGTAGTTGTGAAAACATTCATTTGGATGAGTACTACGTATGATGGTGTTTGATTCCGATGCATCGTGTGAGGGTGATGCATCGAATTTTGATCGCACGTCTGATGAGGACTCGGATCCTAACATTTTTTGTTTCTAAAAAATTGATTTAAAAAAAAAACGAGCCATCATCATGAAGTCCTACGTTCCTCATTCGCAACGACCCGAATTCGCAGATCTCACTCCCATCCCTCAAGATGAAGGAACCCATCCAGTGGTACAGATCGCTTACACGGATGAATTTAAAGAAACAATGAATTATTTTCGAGCCATTGTCCAACGAAATGAAATTAGCGAACGAGCCTTGTTGATCACTGCAGAGGCAATTGAATTAAATCCTGCTAATTATACTGCTTGGCACTTTAGAAGAATTGTTCTTGATGGACTGAATTATGATCTCTCAAAAGAAATTGAATATTTAAATAGAGTTTCCGAAGATAATCCAAAAAATTATCAAATTTGGTATCATCGTCAAGCCTTGATTGAAAAGTTAAGAGTGACAGAAGGCGAGAAGGAATTTGTTGAGAAAATGTTTGATGATGATTCAAAGAATTATCACGTTTGGACTTTTAGACAATGGTTAGTGAAGGAGTTTTCATTGTGGGATGGTGAATTGGATTTTGTTGTAAGATTATTGGCAAAGGATTTGAGAAACAACAGTGCATGGAATTATCGTTTCTTTGTCATTCAAAATACAACATGTGATTTTGAAAAGAATATTCAAATCAGAAAAGATGAAATTGACTTTGCGTTTAAATACATTCTCATGGCTCCCAACAATGAAAGTCCATGGAATTATGCAAAGGGTATGACAACTTTTAAATTAGATGAAAGTTCTGAAGGATACAAGGAACTATTGCAGTACGTGGAGGAAAAGACTCGATCTGTTTTGAACAAGGTGTCTGTCAATCCTCATGCCAATTATTTATTATTCTGCTGTTTATTAAGATTGGGTAATTTGCAAGAAGCCCTATCTGTTTGTCACACGTTGCAGAAAGTGGATGGCATTAGAAAGAAATATTGGGCATTCAGAGCTGAACAAATTCAGAATTTGATCCAATCATTGTAAATGGTGGTTTTCTCCGTCCACAAAACATGTTCAACATCTTGATAAAAGTAGTATTTACTAAATTTAATTAGCAACAGTGTATTTCCAAACCACACCATCTTCACCACCACTGTAAAGTTTCTTCATATCTGGAGTGATATAGAGATAGGTCACAGAGGATTTGTGATCCTTGAGTGCATGAATCTTGGTCAAAGTGAGTTCCTTTCTCTGTGTTTCAAAAGACAAGACATATTCCATATCCAAAATATCAATCTCTCCATTACTGTGACCCACAAACAGCAACTCTCTACCGTCATGGGGATTTGTTAATTTAGTGACAGTCGTAATTGGAGCACGTCCAATATTCTTTGTTGCTAAAATATCTCCATTGATGGCATAGACTGTGATCCTCGTCCATTGACAAACAATAATTTGACCAGTGGTTGGACATATAGAAATGCATGAAATTGGCTTATTTTCAACATCATCAGATGGCATTGCCAATTCTCGAACATATTTGAGTCGACTCAAATCCCAAACAATACATGTCGAGTCATAACTTCCACTCACAATAATATTAAATTCTGCACTTGCTGCAATGTATGAAATCTTATCGGTATGGCCACACAATCTCTTTTGAATTTCCAAAGTTTCTGACTTTTTGTGTTTCTTAATCTTGAAAACACTCACCACACTATCTTCACCTCCACTCACAAGCACTTGATAATCTTTGGTAATGGTTGCATAACTGATTTGTGAAGTATGTAATCGTTCATGAACTGCCATTGGTGTTTCACTATTACTGTCTTTAAATAATCGCAATGAAAAATCAGAATGACCATACGAATAGTACTTGGAGCACTTGGAATCTGCAAAGAAACAATTCTTATTGACAGCCACAATACCATTCACTAATTGTTTTTGAGTGAGTGAAATTTGTCCAATGGCTAAACTTCCCCATGATTGTGGAGTTGCCAATTCCAATAATTGTCCTGAGAATGGACTTGTCATGGATAATGAATGATTCATAGTAGTTTCTGATGGAATGGTCAAAGACAATGAATCTTTCAATGTTAATGCCTTATTAAATCTTCCTGTTAATTTGCCAAGAGTAGCACTCAATGAGGGTGTAACAATACCAGTTTGTAATTCTGATACAATACTACTACTTCCATAATCATTGACATAGGTTACATCATCAGCAACAATACCCTTCAATTTGAGGAATGAAATGGTCACAAGATTGGTATCTATTGATTTCTTGTAACTTGCAAGTTGTTGTAAACTAGTAGTAGTAGTCGTAGTAGTCGTAGTAACTACTGGATTCCATACCAAATTACTAATGACATTGGCTCCAGAAACAAGAGTCGAATTACTCATTTGAACATCTGTTGAAATGGTTTCATTACCATTGGAAGGATTTTCATTGCTACTAGTAGTAGTGGACATGATGGTTGTTGGATCAATGGTAGTAGTACTATTTGAACCTCCTGCTACACCTGAACCTCCTGCTACTGCTACAACTGAACCTGCTACACCTGAACCTGCTACTGCTGAACCTCCTGCTGAACCTGAACCTCCTGCTACAACTGAACCTGAACCTGCTACTCCAACACCCAAAAATGAATCTTGAACTGCTTCCAAAGTAGGAGATAATGTTAATTGCCGTTCTAATAATTGATTCGTATTTCTTCTAGGATGAGGTTTCGTAAAGAGTTGTTGAGGTGTATTACCAAAGTTACTAATTTGTGCAATGATGGCTCTCTTTTCAACCTCATTCGAAATGTTATCAATATCTACAGATCCTTCATACGTTAAATAAAAGAATACATTGAGTGCCTTTTCAGCATCAGGACCTCGTTGTTTGTATCCAAATATTAAATCAATCCATTCATTCAAATGTTCTGAAACATAATCACTTTCTAATGCTCTTCTCATCATTCGTACAAAATATTGAGGATTATTATGAGCCCATGGTGGTAATTCTACTTGATTCACTGGATTTCCATTTTGTTTGAGTCCAAATTGAACATTATTCTTATTCATTAAAAATTCTGGTAAAAAGTAAAATTCAGGAATGAGTTCTTTCACATCCGAGAGTGAGAAATCCGTGCTGGCAGATTCCCATGTCTCTTTAATCGAATGAAACATTCGATCTGCAATATCAAATTTACCACCTTGCAACTCGACACATTGAGAAGTATAAGGTTCAATTCTCAACATGTAATACAATACAATACCAGCACTACTGTAATGTGAACCATAATGGAATTTAGGAATATAGGGATCACACCAACTCTGATATCTCTCACGGAACATTTTGGCACGAGTTTCATCAATGGCACCCATGGGTTTGGATAAATCTCTATAAATTTTTGGATCATTGAAATTCAATTCTTCACTATTGTAATCAGAGAGTACCCATGGGAAGATGGGATATTGAGTGAGATCATTGAATGATCTTCCAGCCAATGTGTTCAAATACATTAAATATTCAAAATTATCAACTTCTCCTTTTTGCCATTTCATTTGCATGACTTTGAGAGATGGGAATGACTTCTTATTGTGTTTGATATGATCTGAAAGTTTCAATTTTTCATGAACCTTGTACATGTCTGCCTTTTCAAAGACTAGGAAGAAATTACGACCATCACTACAGAAAATTTCAACAGCAGTCTCTCTCAATAGATATCTTCGTTTTAGCACGTCATTGATTTCAGCGAGTGGAATTTTGATAGTTTCATGAGAAATGTCTGGTGTAGAATTTTCTAGAGTTGTTGTTGTTGTGGTTGTATTGGTAGTAGTATTGGTAGTAGTATTTGTTGTTGTTGTAGTATTGGTATTGGTATTGGTATTGGTAGTACTTGGTGGACTTGTTTCAATCAATGTTGAATGATCTCCTTTCACTTCTATTAACTTGTCATCATCCGTCATGACATAATTATCAATAATGTAGGCATTGTTTTTACAAATCACAAATAATGATTTTTGACCATCCAATCCATTAATTCTCAATGAATTATAAATGAATAAAATACCATCTCCTGGTTCAATTAATTTTCTAATCTTAAAGTCTTCTCCCATTTCATCTTCATATAATAAATCATCATCAATATCATCAGCTGTAACAGCATCAAGATTGGTATCTGCAGTTCCTTCATGAGTCGTATCACTTAAACTTTCATCCAAAGTAGTGTCTTGATCAAAGGGTTGTTTCGAAGAAGATCGATTAAGAGGTGTTGGAGTGAGTTCTAAAGAGACATCATTAGCATCCAAAGTAATGATATTGGATGGAAGAGTGAGATCCAATTCATCCTCTCTCTTTGATGATGTAATAGGACGAGGTTTAGCAGGAGAGAGATAACTCCATTCTTGGAATTTTTCAAATTGATCCAAAAGTGCATCCTTTTTCTTTTCTGTTGTGGTCAAGTTTGTGGTCAGGTTTGTGGTTGTGGTTGTGGTTGTGGTCGTGGTCATTTCCATACCACTCATATCCATCAATAGAGTATTGACCGATCCACCACCACTACCACCACTGGTACTACTACTACTACTATTCGTACCACTTGTACCACCACTACCACCCACAGAAGGACTAGTCCTTGCAGATTTTCTTCCAACCACAGAATATTGTTCTCTCAAAGGATTGGATTGAATAGCAACTTCATAGGCCTTTTCTAAATGGAATTGTTCAAGCTTAATTCTCATTCTCTTTGGTCCTTCTGTAGAGTCCAATCTCCAAGCAAGTAACGATTGATTTGATTTTTGATTGGCTCTATGAGACCATGTGCCACGTTCCATAAATAACAAGTCATACAAATTCATCCAAGTATCCATTGCAAATTTGATTCGAATAATACTCTCTTCAATGAGCATTTGATTTCGTTCTTCTTCCATTTCAATGACTGTTCGAAGTTGAGATTTTGCAGCTCCAATCAAATACGTTGCACCTTCCCCAAGTTTTCTTTCACTCTTTGAAGAGGATCGAGATCTCAAATCATTTTGCAATAATGTTAATACGGATTGAGTATGCTTATTCTCACTTTCGATATAGGAAGTGAGAGTATTGGCAAGATTGTTATTGAAAAATTCAGAAATACGATCAAAATTCTCAGTGAACCATTTCATAAAGTTATTCACATCAGAATCTAATAACTTTCTAAAACCTTCGACAAATTCATTAGAGACTAGTTGTTGTGAATCGACATTATTACCACTTGTACTACTACTACTAGTATTACCATTACCACTAGAATTACCACCACCACTAGAACTACTACCACCACTAGAACTACTACCACCCGTAGTTTTCGAGTCTTTTGGTATTAGGAATATCGTTGGAAGTAAATTCGTATCATGTTGTGCTGCAACAATTAATTTCCATAACTTGACTGCAGTATCTTTGATTTTAGGAGATCCATCATTCATCAAATTGAATAATACGGCAAAGATGGATGAAAAATATTCATAATCCAAATTGCAAGTATCCAATGTTGAGAGGAATGCACGTGTTTCTAACATGGTACCAAGTACTTTTTCAGTAAATTCTTCAGATGATACTTGTAAGAAGGTATATAAAATCATTCGATTCAATGATCTCAGAGAGAATGGTAATGTTCCTTCCTTCTTCATGGCAGCATTGGAACTAAAAAAACTCGATAATGAAATCGTCTTGGATGGTTCTTCAATGACTTTGACGATGGAAACTACTTGAACAATAAAATTCAAAGTTTCAACATAACTTGTCAATGGAAGTACGGAAGCGTAATGCATGTCCACAACAAACGATGCCAACAATGATAAATTTCCTGCAAGTTTGCTATCTTTCGCTTGAGCCCATGACATGACCTTATCACTGGAATAAACCTTGATGAGTGAAGATAGAATGGAACGTCGATACCATGTGATGGATTGCTCACTCACAATATTCAGTGGAACTGCTCTCAAAATATCTTCAACGACTTGAACAGCTTTGGAAGCGGTTGAAAATTCAAATCTTGCAATGGCTCGAATCATGGACAATACCGAAATGGCAATGGGATGATTCAGAAAATTATCAATATCTGTTTTAGGTTTTCTATTAATTTCTAAAGAAAACACAATTTGACTCAATGCTTGAATACTTTCATACTTTCTGAAATGAGTTTTGAGATCATTCGAAGAACTCCACATTCTCTTCAATAACGAAAGAATTTCTTCGGTAATCTTATTCTCTCGTGGTCTCTCTTCTAATTTCAATGGAGGTGGTTCAACCGATACTACAGATACAGATGGTGGAGTATTGTCATTTTCTAATGTATTATTGCTTGATGAAGGTTGTGAATCGTTAGTACTACTACTATTATTAGTACTACTATTATTATTAGTACTACTATTATTATTAGTACTATTGAATGTTGTTGTTGTTGATGAAGATGAAGATGATGATGACTTGATCACAACATTTCTCAATAAGGTCCATCGACGAGAGGCTTCCAATGTCTTTTCTTCATTCTTGAATTTGGCAAAATAATGAACAGCAGAAACTTCTCCATACAGTGCACTCTCTGCAGTTGGAGCATAATTATGATTCAATAACTCCAATAGTATTGGAATGACATCCTTATAGAAAATAATATCTGTCAGTGCACTCTTTTCAAGGAACATTTTTGAAATTTGATCCAGAGAATCCTTTAAATCTTGTTCCGATGAGAATGTTCCTTCTGGATAGGTGAAAATAGTTCTTGTCATGAGTAGTAACAAGGTATAATAAACATCTGGTTGATTACAATATGGAATTAATCCTCTTCTCAAACTTGGTAAAATATTATCTGGTTTGATCTTTCCTTGTAATAAAAGTAATGATAAAAGTTGTAAGGATAATATCAATGATATTGGATGAGTTTTTTCATTCACAAATTGATAAAACCATACATCATCCACATGTTTCGAGAATAATTCAAGATACTTTTCATCTCGACTTGCCAAATCATAAATGACTCGCAATAGTAAATTTCGAGAGGCAACATTGGTCAAGGTCATGGTCGTGATACTTTGTCGTTTCAATTTTCGAGAATTACTACTATTCATACTAGTAGAAGTAGTACCAGTACCAGTAGTAGTAGTACCAGTAGTAGTAGTAGTGGTCATAGCACTCACAGAACTCATCTCAGAGAGTGATGAAACTTGTGGTAGACAAGTGCTCGAATTTCTTGGACTAATCATGACCCAACTTGAACTTCGTTTTTTAGAAATTAATGCTGAATCATCTAACGAGTTCATAATAAAGTTTGAAACTGAAATCATATCATTGTCGGACATTCGATGTTTGAATAACAAATGTAAAGCATCGACAATGAGTTCTACAATTTGGACCGAAGGAGACTCATTCAAAATGTGTAACAATTTGTTAACGATACCAGTGGTTTTGAGTCTAATGACATTCCAATGTGAATAATAACTATCTGCAATTAAACTCTTAATTTTCTTGAAGAGTTCAATTTGAATGGAAAGATCTGTCTTTCTCCAAATATCATAATCAATGATTAAACAAATAAATGCTTTCAAATTCGTAACAATTTCCTTTTGATCTCCACTTCCCATCAAGACAAACTCGAAGAGTAATTGCAAAATTTTAGTATCCAAAAGATTGGTCTTTTTTCTAATAAAACCAGCAATAATATCATAACCTGAAATTCGTTCCACTTCATCAATTTGTAAGGGTGAGTCCATCATGGTATTGTACAGTAAAAGTAATGAATCATAGAGAGCTTGAGAGGATTCACTTCGTTCAATCAATGCCAAAATGACTACAATTCCATCTGAATTGAGAATATTATCCGAAAGTGAAGTTGGACAACACACATAAGCACGTGATAAATTGGAGAGAAGAACTTTGGGTGTCTTCTTTTCATTGTGTACACTTTCCATGACGACGAGAGCGTTATTTCTCGTGTCGTGAGGATCCAATGATCGCAATGAATGATTGAGAGCATTGAATGCAAACACAATCTTATCTGGAGATAATTTAAAAGATGATACTGTAATGCTATTTTCTTTAGCTTCACTTTCAGTGGAAATATTTCTCTTAGTTTCTACTCTCTGCAAAAGACGAATATAATTAGGATAGAGATGATAAGTGAGTAGATCCATATGTGGTGTGTAATTTCCTTGGAAATAACCTGTATAGGTATTATTTGCAACATAGATCGAAGCTACTGCTTCAGGATATAAAACATCTTCATAGAGGAATGAAGGCCCAATTCTCCAATTATCAATACTATCGGTAAAATTCTTTCCTAACAGTCCATTCACTTTGGAACCTGCAGCATATGGATTAATAAATCCAACTTTTTGAGATTCTTCCATTTTACCATCCACATAGACAGTCATGACACTACTCGACAATCGATTTCTCTGATGAGAGATGACCAAATGATACCATCGATCTGCTTCAAATTTACATTTTGAAAAGAGTATTCTCTTTGATTTTGGGCCATTTTGGAATTCAAGATATCCATCAGGTCGTAAATGAAATTGTAAAAATGATTTTCCATCGTCCGAATGAATATTCAATAAAATGAACACATTCACATCGGAAAAATTAGTCGATGAAAGTCTCTTGGTGGCATTGGAGGAAGTTCTCTGATGAGAATGAAAGAGTCTCTTCTTTGGAGTTGATGCAATATCATTGGATCGATAGAACCAACATGAAAATGTATAACCTGCAGTCATTGAACTGTTCCATGTCTTGTCTGTGAGTTGTTGAATGGGACATTCTGAACCTGGTCGAAGTTCAATGAATGGAGTGCTCAGACCTTTCTTTGCAGCATTCATTACAAGTTTCAACATGCATGGAGGATGATCCTTATCAGCAAAAATAGAAAGTAATTTTCTCCATTCCAATTGTGATAATCTGTAACATGCTACTTTTTCACAAATATTGAGAAGAGTAGAACTAAATTTGTGATTGGTATCTACCATTTGTGAATACAAGTGATCTAAAATAAAATCAACAATCTTAATGTTGGATAAACCTTCGAGATTGAGTGGTCCAATCTTTAACATGAGTTCAATCACTTTGAGTACTGCAAGTTGTAAATCTTCATTGGCATGATGAAGAAGTTTTAAACAAAATATTAAACCAAATGGATTGTGTAGAACTGGACATCTAGTAACGAGTAATCCACCAATGTTCATATAGAGTTCATTCGTATTCACAATATGGGTGGATTTGGATGGTGTTGAATTGTTGTTGTTGGTTGTTGTTGAGGTTGTTGTGGTTGACATTGTTGTTGAGGATGTTGTTGTGGATGTGGTTGTGGCTATTGTTGTTGAGGATGAAGAACTCAAACTCGTCAAACTTCCTGAAGAAATACTATTGAAAGAAGTCGCTGTGGTTTGATTGGCTGCATCAAATTCTTCAATACATCTCTCAGTAGCAAAATCAATTAAACATTGAAATACTTCCTTTCTATGATCAGTATTCATAATTCCATTGACATTGAGAGCATCAATCATACCATTCTCTCCGACTGTTGGTAAAAACGATAACTTGTTTCTTGGATGATTTTGTAGGGAAGTGGCAAGAGCTGTAAACATGGATTGCATCAATTTCACAATATCGGATTGTTCATACATTTCTTCATCTTCAACTTTGGGAGTATCCTCAGCTGAGGATGATGAATCTTCTAGCAACTTGTTCAATTGTTTTGAGAGTATGGAAAGGGTAGGACATGGAGTATTAATGAGAATAGATACACTTGCTACAAAACCAGCATCTCTAAAGGAATCTTTTGCTCTCTCATTGCTCTTGAACATTTTGGTAAGAGCATTAAAAATTGCAATTTTGAGAGGAATGTTGGATCGTTTGGATGTTTGTAAAATTTCAACCAAAACTGAAACATCAATACTTTGTTGAGAAGTGTCTTGAACAATGATGGTATGAAAGACCTTCAATGCAGCACTTCGAATAACATCATTCAATAACATCTTTTGTAATACAGCTACACCCCTGCCTCTCTAAAAGCCTTAATGTTATCGTTTGATTTTTGAAGCATGGAAATTAATACTTGAATTGTTAAATCGAGAAGTTTTAAAAGAACATTGGTTCTTTCCTCCTTATCCTTATATTCTCCCAAAGTTAACACTCCTTCAAACTCATCACGTAATAAGAATATAATCTTATCAAAGAGTCCTGCTTCTTTAAATCTCGTACTGAATCTCGAATCAAAATTGAGTAACTTGTTAATCAATACAAGTACATTCAATACTAATTTAGGTGCTGCTTCTCTACTACTCATCAATTCACCAAGCATTTTTAATTCTTCTAATGGAGCAAAGTTGAGTCCAGCAAAAATGAATTCGATGAGTTTCAATACCGCTTGTTGAATCTTTTCAGAGAAATCGGGTAAACTTCGAGTGAGTAAGGCTACATTATGTAAATGATGTACTGATGGATAATTCATACTATTATCAGCAAACGTAACAAGTAATATTTCAACAATTTCTTGTTTCAAACTATCAGTATTACATTTTAGGAAAATATTAATCATGGACTGATAGATGGTCATGTTCTTAATTCTTCTTTCATTGTTGGCATTGATACTCGTAGTAACATTCAATTGTTGCAAATAATCGAGAGGTGGTTCTATGGCTCTTTCACCAACACATAACAAATCACTAAAGTTGTGAAGTGCGACTTTCATGGTTGAAGTATCTTGTTCAAATTTTGATTCGCATTCAATAAGAGCTTCTTGCATGATTAAATGACCATTGGCATCATTGAAATCTCTGTATAGCAATGGAGAGATGGAAACTGTTTGTTTTAAAAGTGATACCAATGTTTCAATAATTGAGCAAATATTGAGATAATTTTTAGACTTGATCATACTTAATGAATCTAAGAGAAGATGTATAATCTTCTTCTTATGGAAGCTATCCACCAATGCCAAATCAGTTTTGATGAGAAGTGCAAATAAAAGGTCAAGTGCTAACTTTTGTGCAAAGTTAAAACCTTCTTCACTTCGACAACTTGTTAATATTCTTATCAATGTCAATACATCATCGCTGAGTTTTAGAGTGTCAAACAACTCTCTATTGTTGAGACAGTGATGAACAAACGAAACAAGTTGTTGACATGACACTTCGAGACACTCTTTGGTTGTTAATTGTTTCTTGACATTTTGTTTGTTATCATCTTCTAAAGTGTCTAGTAATAGATTTTGATGAGAGTCAACATGAGAAAACTTGTTATCATAATCTTCAATGTCGTTCGAGTTGATTTGAGCAACAATTTCTAAAATGTTGATAACAAGTGAAATTATTTTGAAATCAATAACAAATGGTGCTACAACTTCTTCATGGTTTGAAATCAACATGATTAAAGTGTTGACAATATCGGATGAGTGTTTTTCTCGTGAAATCAAGTAGTGCATAAGAGAGAGTTTGACATTGCGATTTCCAATGTCTTGAACGTTATTTGGATCAAAATCTTGTTGTGATATATTAAATGGAGATGGTGGAGGGATTGAAGGAGTTTCCTTTAAAGCATTCTCGATATCTTTTTTCAATCGATAGGTGACTGTTGATGTGAATGTTTGTGTGTTTTTAAAACTGTGTGTCAATTTTTGTTCGAGGGGAGAGTGTGTCAATGTTCGAGTGTCATGATGATAACGAGCAGAGAAAAGTGTTATGGATCGTTGTCGAACAAGTGTCAACAACAAATAAAATTTGACAACATGTAATTCATGTTGTAATTCCATCGATACAAGATGATCATATATAATTACTGCTGCTACAACCACTACTACCACTTCCACTACTACTTACATTTGATGAAAGTGATGTTGAAACATGTTCTGATTGTAGAATACTTTATGGAATAGGGTAATGATGGAATAAATAGCTGTATCAGTTTCGGAATATAATGAAGAATCTTTCAAAAAGGTTTCCCATTGTTCTTTCAACTGCAAAAATAGTTGATATTGTTCATCGCTATGGAAATCCTCTCTTGTTATTGGTTTTTCTTCGACTTTTGGAGGTGTGGTCGTTGTGTCATTAGATTTCAGTCCAAACACACTTCCAAAATAACCAAGCACTGATTTACGAGGCTTCATGATGATGGTGATGATGATCCAATAATATTCAGTGTTTTTTTAAAATAAGAGAGAAATGATGATGAAGGTCCTCAAGAGCACACACAGTACACGAATTGAGTGTCTCTGAATGGCTCCACGTGAAATTGTCGATCCAACGACGATTTGAGAGAGTTTAATATTTTTTAAAAGAAAAATGACTGGCAGACGTCCCATCACCTTTTTCAACCATTCCTAAAAGCTTGCATTATCATTCGGAATGAGAAGAGGTTATCAGCTTTCCTGACTTTTGCAACAAGTCACAGGTCCTCACCATATTATTCTGATTTCTTCTTTTGCACACGAACGTTGAGCATGGCAGTAACCATCGTTGATAAGAAGCTTCTTCGATCATGAAGGGTTCATGCTGTCTGCCCTCAAAAAAAAGTTTGACGCTCTTTGTGCCGCCAACTCGTGTGGTGGGTACATCAAAAAAAAATACGACCAATGTTCTCTGTTACACCTCGCTGAGAAAGTGCTCTTTGGATTTTGATCTCAAGATTTGCTGAGCCTTTGTATGACAATCTCATGATTGCACCATACCACTCGTACATCACACACGATTCAAACACACGAACAAAAATCATGCGGGATTGAATGACATTATGAAATGTTCACGTACGACAACAAGAAAATTGAAACACAACAATAATCAACATTTTCTGTGGTGTGTCTCTCTGAGCATACCGTTTGTGTTCTTCTTTTGTGAGCTGGTGTGATTCACTATGGGTGGTTTGATACTCTCAATTCTTCCCATACGTAAATTCACACGTCCTCACACACTATCGTGCCTTTGCATTGGAGCAATGGGTGATGTGTCCCTGTCGGAATTGTGAGAATTTGGTGAAGGCAGCTTCCAAATATTTTACAAAAATGCGACAACCATCCTGCGATTTACTTCAAAAACATTTTTGAAGTGGTGCTGGATGCAATAAATTTACCCTGTCGGTTTCATCCAACTTGCTCTCTCTCGTTTTTAAAAAATTAATCCTAACCGTCAAAGCCAAACAAGCACTACCATGAAGAAAGACGCGCAAGAGGAAGAAACACTGATGGTTGATCAAGAGGATGAGGTGATGATGGAGTCGTCCACTCTTCTGAGCGATGATTCTCTAGCCTCTGAATCTACTACGAATCATCAACCCATCACAACAGGTAGTAGTGCTTCAAGACAATGGCAAAAAGACTCTTCAGCACAACCACTCATCGCAGGCTACTCGATTTGTGTCGGAATCACTACTCGTGATGAATCATTACCAGTCTATGACACACCCAGTAAGATGTACAGCAGCTTGCGATATAAACTCCATTACAAGTGCACAGTGAATGCCGAGCAAGTCTCTCCATTCCCCAAATTACTCATGTGCAGAATTACTGTCATTGATGATGAAAGTGGTAAGGAAATTAAGAAGGACAATAAGCCTATTGTAGACGACTCTCTCATCTCTCTCAAGAACACATCCAGTGGAAATGTTGGAATTTATGAAGCAAACCACAAGATCAAATTCAAGAGTGTCAGTTTCCATCATAATAAGAGCAAATGGAGACTCTTGTTGCAATTGTTCAGTGATAGCAATCACAGCATTAACACACCAGTATATACCATGAAAAGTGGATGTTTTCATGTATATGCTCGTAGACCTAAAGTATCTGAAAGAGATGCTTCGAATGGTTTACTCTCATCTGGCAGTGAGGTTGCTACTAATACGACGACAACGAACACGACGACAACCACCACGAAAGAAGAAAAGAGAAGGAAAAATACCGAAGTCAAGAAACGAAAGAGATCATCTCGTGTGAAACGTGAAGAAGAAGAAGAAGAAGACGATGAAGAAGAAAAGTCGAATTCGTGTCCTCTGAACGTGAGTCATGATGCTCCATCATGCACAGAAGAGACTTCTTCTTTACACAAAAAAGTCAAGCTTATGGAAAACTTTAAAAAGACTCTTGACTTGTTACTCAAGTATCACTCTGAAATGGATGATGAAGATAAGGTTACTGGATTTGGATTAATTCAACAAAAGATGTATCACCACTTTTATGGTCCAATTCCTTCAGACTTAATGTCCTCAATGATTCCTGTTCAATCTATTATGCCATCCTCCTCTGAAGAGAATTCTACAGAATCCACCACATTGCAATGTGGTTCCGCTGATGATCTATTCAACTCGTCTGCACTATTCTCAGAGAGTCATGCAACAACGACGTTCCTAGAGAGCAACACGACAGACATTCCAGAGACAAGCAATGAAGTGAATCACTGCTCGTCGTCCTTTGAAATGGATTATTTTGCTCCCTCAATGAGCGAAGATTTCACAGCATTTATCTAAAAACATTTCTAACCTAGATTCCAATTTTGAGAGAAGATGGAATTGTGAAGAACTTTTCCATCTTTAATGACACATCTTGCGGCATCCAACCCTTGCTAGGAGGCACGTTTGTGCTTATGACCTTTCTGTGAAGTTCTTTTGCACATTGTGTACCCATTTTGAGCAACTCGACAATAAATTCTCGAACACTTTTAAGTTCGCTTCCTTGATAACCTCCAGTTCATTGGAAAGTGACGTGAACAGACGCTGTGAGTGTGTGGCTATCGAACTTCTCTTGTCGAACGTTGGATTTTCCAAGAAGAAAAAATGAAACGCACCACCAACAGCACAAACAACTTCCGAGCACAAGACTCTGCGGAGGATAATGACAGGATGCATGCTTCGTGTCACCATGGAGAGCATCACGATGAAGAGGAGAGTAATCGATTACTTCCAACACACACCAAGACTACACAAAAACTGCACTCTCCATCCACATCCTCTGCTTCATCCATTTTTCATCACGCTTTCACCACTTCTACTATACCTGCAGGAATGACAGGAAGGACCTTGTCAACAACAACAAGTGCTACTGCTAGCACTACTAGTCATATATCTGCTCATTCATCATCCAACACTACTAGTAGTTGTCTTGATGTTGTTACCGCTGATGAAACATCACGACGACAACATCACGACAATATTGTCCTCTCACTCGAACAGGCCATTGTCAACAACAATGACGATGATGACGGCAACGACGAAGAACCTCTCCTCTCTCCAACTTCCTCTACTTCTTCCATTTCTGGTGTAGATTTAGTTTTGGATGCTTGTTTGCAATGTTGTAGTGGTTGTTGTGATCATCCTTCTTCATTATCAACTACTACCACCTCCAACTCTACCACTTGTTCTTCTTTCCTTCTCTCTTATATATTCCTCATCATTCCTAAACAATTTGTTTATTTGAAATATCTTTTCGGAAATACAAGTGGTGCCAGCACATCTCCAATGATAACAGGACATCAACAACGTTGTCAGTCCATGTCCTCTTCCTCTTCCTCCTACTTTAAAGACAAACCACTGGCATGGTGTATGGTAGGCTCTCTCCTATGCTTGCTTGTTTGGAGCGTTTATCTCCTCAAAGTCATGCGTGAATTCCATACTGAGGCACCACCCGGAGTGGCCTCCCTTAAAAATGCAGCAACGAGAAAGCCTCAAAAACAACCCTTCACTAATTATGATCAATATTATTTACAGGATGATGGAATGGAATATGAAAAAACATCATTACAGTCTCATAGCGGATTATTTTGTACTCATCACGTCAAGTCCGCCCATTTCCGAAGTTGTCTTGTCTATAATCTATGCTACCGAAATGGAACCTATTTATATTTTAATAGTAAGGATGTTACCACTCATTATCCTGTCGAGTTTGATTTACAAGGTCTTGAAACTAAAAGACTGAATGGCTTATTTGATTTGGTTTCACTCGAGGGAAGAACAAAATCTGAAGATGCGCAACGAGGTAAATTAATTGTTCATGCTCTCTCTCAATCCATTCAAGAATATCAACAAGAACATTCCATATCGAATATTCATTGGGTTACAAAGAGATCTGTCTTGTTGAAAAGACATCGATGTTCAAATGCAGCTCATTGTCTTTTTGAAACCATTTATCCTACTTTTGCATTGTTGAAAGAATTTTTTGATATTCATCCCTTAAAGAATATTAAGAAATTTGTGAATAATTATTTAATATTTGCTGAGCAAGAGGATGAAGAATGTGATTGTGAAAAAGACATGCTCACTTGTGGTACTGAGGAGGGTGAGTCAAAAAAGAAACAAAAATTGTGCAAAAAATTTGTAACTCAGTATGGCAAGATTATTTCAAAACATTCAAACAAATTAATTCGAGAATTTACAAAAGAACATGATTTGGTCTGTTGGAAAAGTGTTGTCATGGGAGGTTCTTCCTATGGATTATTCAATGATCACGGATGGCACAATGTTGGTGGAATGGTTAAAGAATTTAGAGATTTCACATATGCCAGATTTAGAACAGCAATGAGAACTCCCAAACAAATTCTCTTCCAAGAGAAAGTATTGAATGTTAGAATTAATGTCAAAACTGGTATGAGAACCTATTTGAGAAATATTTTGCATGCAGACAAATTGGTCGAGTTGGCTAAACGAGACTTTAAAACATTTTATCACAAAAAATCGAATACTGTCTTTAAAGTAGATTTCCAAACGTTTGTATTTGATAACATGACGATAGAAGAGAAGGTTCAGTACATGCAAGATACAGATGTATTTATTGCTCCTTTTGGATCTGCAAGCTATGAATCAGTATTTCTTTCTAGTGGTGCTGTGTTGTTTACTTTCCCTGATGGATTTCCACCAAACAGAATCCAAAACCGAATTACAGATCACACACTATTCCATTCCTACATGCACTACCAGAACATTATTTACCCTATTGAAGCGTCAGAATTGGAGTACGAGAAAGGAATTGATATTGGGCATTATAGTTGGAGTTGGCATAAGACTAGACTACTTATTGCTCGTTCTTTAAATATGAGACTGGATTATTTATTTGCAGTATTGCCTTCGTACGCTATGAAAGGCCAATCCCGCAGCACAGTACCTCCATTAAGTAGCGGTCGGTAATGATTATCAGGATTGATGTTACTTAAACCACTTAAACATTTATCTGATGTCACAAGTGATAATTCTCTCCTTTTACTAGAGTCATAAATTGATCTTTGAAATGCAACACGAAAACCTACAAGCTATGGGTATCAAGTAGGTATACAGATCATATTCGAAATGCCAATAAAATCGATCCAACATACTTTGTCTCACCTATATTTCTCTTCAAAAAAGGCGATCAAAAGAATAGTCTTGTGAGTAGCTTGGGTCTCACTTTGGCTTTGCAAGTAGGGCACTCGAGTTTGTAGTTGAGCCACTGCTGCCAACAACTGAAACAACAAATGTGTCCGCATTTCGCTGCTGTTGGTTCCTTGCAGGCTTCTTTACAAATAGTGCACACAGTACCGGCTGGCTTTGGTTCTTCTTTGTCACTTTGCATGCTTGATGGAGATGCGCCTTGGTTGTGTGGTTGATGAATATTGTTGTTGGAATTTGTTGTCATGCTAATTTGGGCACTCAAAGTGCTACTGGTAAGATCTGAGCAAGCTTCAAGCGTGAGTGGAATGTCATGATCCATTGGTGTGTTCGTTTGGTCGGTATTATCATCTTCAATGACAATTGGTTTTGAACTAGTGTTGCTCAATGGTACGGTTTTTGTTTTCTTTGTAATTGCTCCGCTCACTAAATCCAATTGCACGTGCTCCTGTTTTCTTTTCTTTAAATTTGTATCTTCATCAGCATGGAGTAATATTTGCTTTTTGACAATTTCATCAAAGGAATTGTGCAATTTAGGTGAAATAAAGTTTTTGAATTTTTCAATAATTTCAATATTCGAGACTCCAAAAAGTCCAACTAACTTTTTTACCAGGTGAAGGAAGGTATTATTAGTATTCTTTGAATCCTTGGAGTTGTGTTCTCTAAATTGAATGAGTAGGTTTTTAAACTCTTTGTACTGATCAGCGGTGAGGGTTGCTTTCACTTGTTGTAAATATTCAGCTGAATTTTTAGAAGAAGTGGATCCTTGCTGGGATTCTTTTGTAGAAGTAGTAATTGGACTAGTGGTATTTCTTGATGCTGTAATTGGTGATGCGTTTCTTAATTGTGGATTCAAAAATTCAGAGTTTGGATTCACAAAACTGTTGAGCACAACATTTCGCTTAAGGGGTGGTTGATCTATTGTTGATGGCAATGTAATAGATGGAGTATTGTTGTTGTTGTTGTTACTAGCACTTGAGGATGTCGAGGAAGAAATGGATGAAGAAGATGCATTGAATGGTATAGAGCTGCTAGACCTCGCTGGTACAATATTGGGTTGTTTGGTAATACTTCTCTTTGGATCATTTACAGATGATGTCTTGTAATGTTGTAACAAGGATGACGAAGTAATACCTTGAGGTTCAATTCCTTCCTCAGTGAGCGGAACGTCTTGAATATTTCCCATTTCATTTCGATACTCTTCGTAATCTTCATGATAAATATTTCGTTGTTGAGGCCTTAACAATTCTGCACCATTGCTTGATCTGTACAACTCTGTTAAATTTAAAGAAAAACGTGGAAGTTTCTTGACAGCAGGTGCAGTGGGTGGTTTGACTTTTTCACTTTCAAGTCCAAATTTTTGAAATGCATTCTTAAAGAACATGGATATTCCATTAGAGATTTCACCAAATTGATTTGCCACTTTCACGTGAGGTTGAAGCCATTTTGAGAGTTGTTTTCTTTGATTTTGATACATGAATCTTTCATCACACAACACTACAGCACCATAATCGTAACGATGTCTAATGATTCTACCAATGGCTTGATTCACTGCTCTCGATGATTCTTGGGCATACCAATCGGATCCTGTCATTGGTTTTGCATTTGGGTTTTCCTTAATAATTCTTTGAGCTGTTTCATCCAGATAATCTCTTTTGAGTTTCACTTTGAGATCATGGAGTGGAGGAAATGGTAAACCAACAATCATGCAACAACGACCGTTTCGATTTTTAAAGTCTAAACCTTCACTCACTCTTCCTCTACAGACTGCAAAGAAACATGCACCTGTTGTTTTTTCTTTTCTACTTGTAATACTCTCTTCATATTCTCGAATGGATTGATTGAGTTTTGTCGATTCTTTTGGTTCCAACTATTTTGAAGAGTTGAGTTTACAGGGCGACATTTGGGTTCAGATTCATACAAGTAGTTTCGTTGGGTTCAGGTTCGTACAAGTCATTCGAGAGGATTTTGGTATGAATACAAGGTTTGGTTCAGATTCAGATTCGTACAAGTCGTTTGAGAGGAGTTTGATATGAATACTCAAAAGAACTTACAATTATGGTTTTGTTTTGATTTACACTCTCCCAAATAGATTTTGCACCACCATTTGATCGTTTCCACAATTCCACACATTGGTCCATCAATGTATACGAAGGGAAGAAAACCAATAGTCCATCAGGAACAATTTTAGATAAATTTAGCAATGTTCCTCCAACCTCTTTCAAGTAAGTTTCAGATGCTCTATTTGTGTACGAAGAGTTGAGTTTTGTGCCAGTGGGTCCTGCCTGTGCGACCATGACACAAATTTGATCCTTAGATACCACATGTGGATTTTCTAGTCGAATGGGAAAGTTAAGTCCTAGCTCATACGCAAACGATTCCATTGGGGATAATGTTCCCGAAGTGAGAATGAATGCTAATGGGTTCTCGCTTGCCAGTTTTTGCATTGAAATACCTGGATTGAAACACCAAAATGAAAGTGTTTTTGTTTTTCTAAAATCTTTCTTTCGATCTCTTGTACTCAAAACATCTGAATAGAGTTGCAAATGTTCAGAAGATAGGTTCGTGTTCATAACTCCAGGTTGTTTCTTTGAGTAATAAATAAATACTTTGAAATAATTCTTAAATATTTCTGAGGATGCGTTAAAATCTGAGAAAATTCTTTCAATTGCTTCTCTCACTCGTTCAAGCCCAGAACAATTTTGTTTCTTGAGTTGAAGAAAACCACAAATACTCTTGATCTTTTCATTGAATGATTCCCATGTTGAAGGATGAACAGATGCATAAGAAAAAATGTCAAAAATAGTATCACCTGTTGCTGTATAACCGTCTTCAGATATTTCCATGTCATCCAAATGAATATCTAAATCCAACAATGCTGAAGAAATGTCGAGACAATCAGATTTCAATTCTATAGATTTTGCATTTTCCAATGGATCTATACTGATCTTGTCAAGCTCTGATCTACACTTTTCAATTTCTGCAATTGCTTTACAAATATTAATACCGGAAAAATCAAACGAGGAAGCTTCGGCACATAGTTTCTGTACATTGTGAGCCTCATCAAATATTATAATAGAATTTGTAATGTCTACGTTCACTTTCTTTCGTAAAAGTGGATCAATTAAATAATTATATGGCATAAATATAATTTCGGCACATTTTTGCTTTTCACGAGCATAGAAAAATGGGCAAAAATTGTGCTTCAATCCTTTTGTTAACAAATCCTCAATATCCTCAATTTCATCTTCAGTTTCATGATGAAATAAGTCTCCTGATTTTTTCATCTCATTAAATTTTGCATGAAATTTACAACCTCCAGATCTCACTAGAGAAGAACATTTCGAAATTTGTTGAAATCCTTTGAGAGAAACAACGTCGGGGTTGACACACATTTGTTCTCTGGAGCCCATTACAACAATTTCAGGAACATAGGCTGATCTTTTCAATTCTTGAATCGCATGAGTTAATTGAGAGTGAGTTCTTGAAGTGAAAATAATTTTAGGTATAGGTCCTGTTCCGTATGATTCTTTTTAACGATAAATATCAATGCTGATATCAACAGTATACTTACTCTTCTTGTAATCAATGAGCCAAGCATACGACGAACATAGTAAACACACTTTCGGAATTATAATTTAAATCATCAAAATGTTGTGATTGACTTACTTGTTTTACCGGTGCCCGTAGGAGATTCCAAGAGTGCATTCCGAGACTTTGAATGGTTATTATTATAATAAAAATCATCATGATGAAAATTTACTTACACAAATTGCAGTCGTATTTTCTTGTTTCTCCTGAACGGATTCTTGTAGACATTGAATTACCCGCTCCATATATAATTCTTGGCACGGATAAGCTTGATAGGGAAAGTTTACAGTAACTCCTGTGGAATATTTAATTATTGATCGATTAGGGAGTGATGACAGTAGGAGTGCTTGACATACCTCTGATGTTATACTCCGGCATTTTTTCCTTTGTTTTTTGGAACTTTTTGATCAGTTCAAAGAAAACACTCGACAAGCAAGGAGCTACTCTGCTCGCTGGACATTGTCTGGCAAGATAACTTTGTTTATTATTTTATCGTTAGCAGAAGCATTCCAAATTCATCATCATCATAAAACGTCATCACACGATTGTTATCCAGAACAAAAAAATTTACGCTTCTCATCATGCCCGTTTCCCAACCGGTTTCCGCATCCAACGGCAATAACAAGCCATTGAGCGAGCCTCTCTCCAACCCTCCTGGAACACAAGTTGTCTTCGGACCAAAAAGTCTCAAAGTAACCAATACTCCAGGCAAGAACCTCGTTACTACTAACTATGCCTACGTCAATGAAAAGGAATTTCCCGAGTTTCCAATTTATATCAAAGTGAGAGATATTGTATTGATTGCACAATCACATTCAGCAATCGAGCTCGGATCAATTGCTTTAAACAAGATTCAAAGACAAAGTGCCCATTTACCAAACAATGCCGATGCTGATTGCGATATATTCCGTGTCCCAAAACAAAGCTTTGAGCTCTCTCTTGTTACCATGGGTATGTTTTTGAAATGTTGATTCATTGATGACATGAAATTTTTGTTTTTACTGAAGAAATTGATTTTATTAGTCCAAATACTGTAACTGATCCAGAAGTAGACGGAAAAAGGCTAATTCAGACTCTTAAAGAGTGTTATAATAGACATATATTTGTTGATAGACAAAAGTTTGTGATTGATTTTGAAGGAAATATGATTCTTGTTGTCATCAAAGATTTAGAAGTTTTTGACACCAAAACATTAGAGACAAACTCTGGTGAATTGAAGGAAATGGCCAACATGGGAATGCTGACTAAAAACACAACAATCCGTGTTATGAAGACTAAATCGTCAAGCATAAGATTAACAAATATACCATCGGAATCTACTACAACCACAGACATTTTCAACACTGCTGTCACATTTGAAAAATTAGGTATTGGTGGTTTGGATAAGCAACTCAACAATATTTTCAGAAGAGCTTTTGCTTCTCGAATTTATCCTCCAGATGTTATCAAAAAACTTGGTGTGAAGCACGTCAAAGGTATAATTCTATATGGCCCACCAGGTACAGGAAAGGTATGTTATTCTGTCACATACAGTTTTACAATAATTGGTTGCTAACAATTCATTAGACTTTGGTCGCACGACAAATTGGTAAAATTTTGAACTGCAAAGAACCAAAAATTATCAACGGGCCTGAGATTCTAAACAAATATGTCGGTCAATCAGAAGAAAATATCAGAAAGCTTTTTGCTGATGCAGAAAGCGAATACAACGAAAAGGGAGATGACAGCCAACTTCACTTGCTTATTTTCGACGAATTGGACGCAATTTGCAAACAACGTGGTACTGTAAGAGACGGTACAGGAGTACAAGATTCCATTGTCAACCAATTGTTGAGTAAGATTGACGGTGTTAACTCTTTAAACAATATTTTAATTATTGGTATGACGAACAGATTGGACATGTTAGATGAAGCATTGTTACGTCCTGGAAGATTTGAAGTACAAATGGAGATTGGTTTACCCGATGAAACCGGACGTTTGCAAATTTTAAAAATTCACACTCGTGAAATGTCAAAGAATCAATATCTTTCTGAGGACATTAACTTTGAATATTTAGCTAAAACAACCAAGAACTTTTCAGGAGCTGAAATTGAAGGTTTAGTCAAATCAGCTGCCTCATTTGCACTGAATCGACAAATTGATATCAATGGAAAGAAAAAGTTTGACGAAAAGAACATCAAAGTAACTGCAGGAGATTTTGAAATGGCTTTAACAGAGGTGAAACCAGCGTTTGGTGTTTCAACTGACGAACTCGAAGCTTACTTGAACCAAGGTCTTATTAATTATGGAGAGCCTTTCAGCAAGTTGATGAACACTTGCAAATCCTTTATCAAGCAAGTTGAGACTAGTAACAGAACTAACTTGTTGAGCATGTTGTTAAGCGGAGCAACAGGAAGCGGAAAGGTATGTACTTTTTTTTACTTGATGTTCCTTTTGACCCTTGAGTAGACAACAATTGCTGCACACCTAGCTGTTGAAAGTGGATTCCCATATGTCAAAATTATTTCTGCTGATCGAATGGTTGGTTATTCAGAACAAACCATTTGTACACAAATCAACAAGATTTTCCACGATGCCTACAAATCTCCATTCAGCATTATTGTACTTGATAGCATTGAAAGACTCATCCAACTAGTTCACATTGGACCCAGATTCTCTAACCTAATCTTACAAGCATTGCTTGTATTGATTAAGAAACCTCCACCATCAGGCAGAAAATTGCTTGTCATTGGTACTACAAGTATGGCTGATATTTTAGAAAATTTAGAAATTACTAAAATATTCAATGTGACCTTGGAAGTTCCATCTTTATCAGCCAAATCAGACATTATGAACATTTTCCTCTCATCCGGATGCTTTAGTATTGACTCTACCATTGACAAAGAAACCATGAAGACAATTATTGAACTTGTTCCAAAGAACATTCCAATCAAAAAGCTCTTGTTGGTCACAGAAATGGCATACACAAGAACAGACATGGATGATAGTGATTCAAATGATGAGTCTCAAAGAAGAGTTACTTTTGACAAGTTCTATCAATCTCTCAAAGATTGTGGTGTGTTTCCGAGCATCAAAAAAGCCTCATCCGGTGCAGGATTTATCATGAAAGAAGAGGAAGAGGAGGAAGAAGAAATGTAATAAACAACAACAACAAGCGTCTGTTATCAGACATTTAATGTGATACTTCATAATGTTGTTATTATTTGTACAAATTTCCATGTTTTAGACTCCGCCTATCTCCCAAAACTTGTAAAGTCCAACAAATTAGTTTACCTCACCTAATTCAATGGCGTTGGGTAAAATACACATTGTTAGAAAGGCTTGCTTCAAAAAATGAACAAACGACAACACGGCCGTGAACCGAACAGAGCTGGTTCAATGCTGGCTCTTGGCATGTTGAGTCTATGGATGATGATGATTGTTGTTGTCTCCGCTCAATCATCAGCACCAAAATATCAACTCAACAATCTCGTTAGAACTAGTAACGGATACAGCGGTTATCTTCATTTAGTACAGGGATAGTAAGTGGTCCATGGATCGTAAATTGAATACTAATTCAATTTCACCAAAAACAACCATTGAAAATCACTGTTTTTTAAAAAACGTCATTTTCTTTGAAATCATCATGATGTTTGTGATTCATCGGTGAATCAAATATCAATATAGTGGCCCTTATGGATCTGATTATTTGGATCTAAAATTCGATCTCTACTTTGAGACATCCTCAAGAATTCACATCAAAATCACTGATTTGCAACAACAAAGATGGCAAGTTCCAAGTTGGATCATCAAATCAAAAACTCCAAGTGTTGAACCATCTCAAAAAGATTATACCGTGAATTTGAAGACTTATCCTTTCGGATTTGAAGTTGTAAGAACAGCAACCATGGAAACTCTGTTCAACACTAGTAACATTCCATTAGTGGTAAGTGTGATTACATGAAACACAATTTTAAATTTTTGTGATCATAATGTGTGAATTTTTTTCTCAACTCTTGTCCACATGGGTAACTCTTGTCACACCCTCAACACAGTTTGAAGACCAATTCATTTCATTTGGTACAGTTTTTGATGCTGTTCAAAAAGCCAAAGATACTCAAGTGAACATTTACGGATTTGGTGAACGAGCTCGTCCTCTCAGATACACTCCTGGAACATACACCATGTGGAATTTAGATAATTTAAATACTCCAAATGAAAATCTCTATGGTACACATCCATTTTATATGCAATACTTTTCAAACAGTGGACATGCTCATGGAGTATTTTTATTCAACTCCAATGCACAAGATGTTACCATTACCAATGATAATTTAGTTTGGAAAACGATTGGTGGTGTTATTGATTTGTATATTTTCACAGGTCCAACTCCAGATGATGTCACAAAACAATATCATGAATTAATTGGTCGTCCATACATGCCACCATTCTGGTCATTGGGTTGGCATCAATGTCGTTATGGCTATAAGAACATTGATGAAGTTAAAACTGTTTATGACAAATATACTCAATATGGAATTCCATTAGATACCATGTGGAACGATATTGATTATATGGATGGTTATAGAGATTTCACAACCGATCCACAAAGATATCCAAAGAATCAAGTGAGACAGTTTGTGGAAACGTTGAAATCTAATAATCAACATTATGTGGTCATTGTTGATCCAGGTATCAAATATGAAAGCGGCTATACACCTTATGATATTGGAAAACAACTCAATATTTTCATGAAGAAGAGCGATGGAGTCAATGATATTATCAACACTGTATGGCCTGGATTGTGTGTATTCCCCGACTTTACAAATCCAAAGACACTTCCATATTGGGAAAGTTTGGTTGAAAAGTTCCATTCGGAGATTCCAGTTTCTGGTTTATGGTATGTTTATGTATTGGAAAATTTTTATAGAACGTTAATATTCTTTTTTACACACATGACAACAGGTTGGACATGAATGAAGTGAGCTGTTTCTGTAATGGTACTTGTGATCAATCAAGATCTAATCAACCATTCCAAATGAGAGGACAACTTGCTCAATTTAATCCAAACAATCCACCCTATGTTCCAGGCGGAAGACAACTCGATATGAAAACACTCTCTATGGATGCCATTCAACACATTAGCATTAATTACAATACGCACTCTCTGTATGGCCTTTATGAAGTCAATGCCACTACAGCTATTCTTCAAAAAGTCACTGGAAATAAGAGACCATTTATTTTGACTAGAAGCTCATATCCTGGATTAGGAGCTATTTCTGCTAAATGGTTGGGAGATAATGAAGCAACATGGCAATCAATGAAATCTTCTATTAGCGGAATGTTAGCCATGCAAATGTATGGTGTTGCATTAATTGGAGCTGATATTTGTGGATTTATTGGTAACACTACAAAGGAACTGTGTGCTCGATGGACTCAATTAGGAGCTTATTATCCATTCTCTAGAAGTATGTACATTGATGTGTTTTTCTCTCTAACCATTCATTTACATGATATCTCATTCTTGATTTTATAATGTGTATTTTATAACTCACACAGATCACAATGATATTAAGGCAATTCCACAAGAGCCTTATGTCTTTGGTCAAGAATTTATTGACATGACCAAGAGAATTCTTGCTAATCGTTATTCACTCTTGAACTATTACTACACTCAATTCTATCGTGTTCATTCGAATGGTGGAGGAGTTGTTAAACCATTATTCTATGTATTTGGTTCATCAGATTCGAATCCATTGTTGGCCTCCATTGATACTCAATTCATGGTTGGTGACCATTTGATGGTTGTACCCGTATTGGATGAAGGCGTATTGAGCGTAAGAGCCTACATTCCACAACATAGATCAGGCTGGTTTGATTACTATTCAGGATCATTGGTATCATTGAAGGGAGGAGAATTCCAAAGATTTGATGCTCCTCTCTATGGCTATTCGAATGCTTTGATGGTTGGTGGCTCAATTATTCAACGTCAAACCCCAGGTCTCACTACTTTTGAGACAAGAAAGAATCCATTCCAGCTTTTGGTCGCTCTTTGTCAGCATGAGTTCAAGGCTGGTGGTATGGTCTATCTCGACGACGGTGAAAGTGCAAACACAATTGAGAATGGCATTTATTCTTTGGTTGAATTGCAAGCAAATCCACTCTCTGCCAACACCATTGTGCTCACCACTAAGGTCCTCCAACACAATTACGCTCAAGCATCTCTGTCCAAGCTCACTGCAGTTACTTTCTATGGCTTCCCAATGCAAAGCAGCCAATGTAAGGCAACTGTGAACGGTCAAAACACGCAAATTACCAGCAATGGAGACAGGAGAACGGTCACCTTGAGCAGCATTGTTCTCAACCTTGTAGATAGCAACGTCATTGTCGTGTCCTGTTAATAAAAATCTGATTTTTGTTCTTTAAGATTGGGTTCAAAGGGGTTTTTTATTTTCTTTCTGTTCTTGTTAGGGAAAAGGGGAGTAAATAATGATGAGAGGAGAAATAATGAAGGGTGGTGAACAAAAATGGGTTGATCAACAATGTCACCTCATTGTCATTAAAATAATTAAAATCAAATTGGATGAAATCCGATTAGATGAGTTCATGGATATTTTGAGGACATTCTTCGATGGAGGTACTGTAAAACTTTTCAATTTCTCTCATGCTACGAATGTCATCCTTAGTGATGAAGTTGATGGCAACTCCTTTACGACCATATCTTCCGGATCTACCAATTCTGTGGAGGTAGTTTTCCTTGTGACGTGGCAAATCATAGTTAATGACAAGGGAAACATGGTGAACGTCAATACCACGAGCCAACAAGTCAGTGGTAATGAGAACACGAGAGGCACTAGTTCTGAATTCGTGCATAATCAATTCACGATCCTTAGGTTCCATGTCACCGTGCATGGATGAGACAGTAAAATCTCTCTTATTGAGCTGTTCAGCCAAAAATTCGACCTTCTTACGAGAGTTACAGAAAATGACACATTGCGAAATGGTCAAAATCTTGTACAAGTCACACAATGTGTCCAACTTGTAATCTTCCTTTTCGCACATAATATAGAATTGCTTGATACCTTCCAAAGTCAATTCTTCCTTCTTGACCAAGATTCTGATTGGATCTCTCATAAACTTGTCAGTAATTTCCAGAACATCAGCAGGCATTGTAGCGCTGAACAAACAAACTTGCATATCTTGAGGGAGATTCTTGAAAATAGCATAGATTTGGTCCTTGAAACCACGACTCAACATTTCGTCGGCTTCATCAATGACCAACATTTTAATACCGCTAACATCCAAGTGTCCGCTTTGAATCATGTGGAAGACACGTCCAGGAGTACCAACAATAATATGTACTCCTTCCTCAAGAATAGCAATATCATGTTGTACTTTAGTACCACCGACACAAGCGTGAACCTTAACTTTCATATATTCACCCAAGGACATGATAACCTTGTGGATTTGTTGTGCCAACTCACGGGTTGGAGCCAAAACAAGTCCTTGTGGTTGTGTTGCCTCAGGAGAAATATTCAATCTTTGAAGCATGGAAATGGTGAAGGTGGCAGTCTTACCGGTACCTGATTGGGCTTGACCGATAACATCTGCTGGTGGTTCAGAGGTAGTGATTGGCAAAATAGCACGTTGTTGGATGATGGAAGGCTTTTCAAAACCGTAAGAGTAAATTCCTCTCAACAAGTCTTCCTTGAGATTCATATCATCAAATTCCTTGACTTCCTTTTGTTCATATCTTGCCTTTCCGTGCTTTTGCTTGTAGTCATCGTCGACAGTAACAGTGATATCGTTATTAACCATATTGAATTAAAGATAGCGAATGAGTGGGTGTAATGATGTTGTTTTTTTGAAAACGAAAATAAAAAATTAGCTTGCCGTGATTGGCTTTTAAATTGTTTACAACGACGCGTTGCTTCAACGAGAAGGGTGAAGCCATGACCCAAAAGTAATTCTGAGAGAATACATTTTATTGATAGCACAGCGACAGCATTTCGAAATGAACTTTTTCAAATGTCGTCATAGTACCCAATCTTGTCGCGGAATGCATGGTTCAACTTAACTGTCATTGACCAACTGGTCCTGAAATTTCGCTAACGATTTTAAACAAAGTTTCATCCAATATCCATTCCAGAGCTTTTTGAAACTTTGGATCTTGAACAATGTGTTCTTGGACGAGTTTCTCTTCTTCTCGTATTTCTTTGGTACTCTTAACGGAGCATTCAGAGGTAGGTGGAGTAAGATCATGGAAATTCACTGAAGCTTCCGTGAAGGATGACAGAGTAGCAGGTTGACTTGCAAGCTTTGATTCTGTCTTTGGTAAGGCTGATGATGGTCTACTACTTGTGGATCTTGGTGTTTCAGCAATTTCACAATAAAATACACTTGAGGCTTCCCAATTATTGGTTTCAACCAGTGATTGTTCAAGATCATTGTCATGCATAATTTCTTGAAGCATTCCTGAAAGAATATCAGAGAACATATTTCTGTCAATGCTAGAAGTGACTGATAATGAAGATGTAGGTCTATGATCCGGAGTGAATTCATAAAGTTGAGGAATAAATTCTTCTTGCCATTTCTCTCTTGTTCTTGTTCCATACTTGAACTCTTCAAGAGGAATTACTTTGCATTTGATGGTTAAATAATGCTTTGTTGGTAACACTGGTTGCAATCCAAACTTGTCCACTGATGCGGATGAAGGTCTTTCAAGTACGGGTTGTTTAGTAATTGTCTTGGAGACTGGTAAATATCTTGGAATTGCAGTTGAATAGGCCGAGAGTGTTAACGCATTGTCTCTAGCAATTGTACTCTTACTAATAACTGATTCTCTCTTGGTAGTGTTTTTTGTAACAGCTTTTGGAACAATTCTTCCTTTGTTGAGTCTATTTTTTGGATTCGCAAAATGTTCCTTAATGGATAAAATACTTTTTTCACTGACTTGATCTGAAATGTCGTCATCCTTAGCATAATGAACCAATGTTTCTTCATACTTCTTTTTCCTTTGTTCTTTTCTTTCTTTTTTGCTGATATTGCTCACCTCACAATAAATATCACAATTCAAAAGTTGTGAAACAGAACCTGCAGAGAGAGTAATTTTACAACATTTCGTTTCCTGTGGTTGTAGTGTAGAGGTTAAAGGTTCAATCTTAACAGTAGAGGAGAGCTGGTTGTCATCCAGAGGTAATACAGTATTCCAAGAAAAAGAAAGAATATCTGAAGAAAGGTTAGAAATACTAACAATTCTTGTGTGAACAGAGAGGAAAGGAATGGATTCAAAATCAATAACGTCCATGGAGAAAGCAACAGTTTGTGTTGGAGTTTTTTGCTGTTGAACTTTTTGAACTTCTGTTGGGACATGCTTTACGATCTGTGCTTCTTCATCATATTCCAATGGTTCGCATATTTTTTCAACACCTTTTCCTTTCAAAGTGAGATTGTAAACAAGGTCAGAATTCATCATCTGAATAGGAAGGCACATTTCATAGGTTTTAAGTTCAATTGGTCGGAAAACGAGTCTCAGATAAATATAGTGATTGGCAGGAACTATGCTCTTCTTATTTTCTAAAGATATAATTTCAAAATCATAATTTTCAAGAGCTAGCTGTTTAAATGGTTGCTCATCCACACAAATCTCAATGTCTTGATTCGTTGGATTGATTACCTTCAAATATTGTATTGGTTGATTCTCTGTTCCAATTTCTTGGTCTTCAAGTGTATGTTCCATGCTTCCGAATTGTAAATGTTTTTGTTGATACGAAAGAGTTCTTCCTGTCAGATATATTGTAAAGCATCGTCCATTTCGTATCTGAAATAGTATTGGTATTTCATGAGTGTCAACAACCTTGTGTCTATATATTAGGGCTACAACAATACTTTCCCCAGGCTCAAGAGATGCTTGGTTAGGATAAATTTCAAAAAGCTTATTTACAAAAATACTCAAAGTACGTAGCTCGTCCTCGTCTTTGGCGACTTGATCATGAGCCCACTTATCAACATCAACCATTGAGTCGAACGGAGTGCTAATCGAAAATTGTGCCCTTATGTTACCAATATTTTCAATAGTGACATAAACAATAGTGTCTTCTGATTCAATAGGTTTGGCTCCAAAATCACAGAAATATTTTTCCAAGTATTGGATAGAGGAGTTAAAATTTGTGATGCTTGATTCAATTTGATAGCAGTTGGTATTTTTTCTGAGCTCCTTGTTAATAGAATTTACAGAAAATTGGCTCCAAAGATCAACTTTTGATCCCGATGCAGACCTAATGTCAGTTATACCAAGTTGAGGATATGATCCTATTCCAAAAACATCACATCTTTGAAGAGATAAAATTTGCTCCTCTGTCATAGCACTAGCTTCTCTATTCAGGTTCAAGGAGCAAAATATTGTGAATTGGTCTAGCTTTCTTTGATTGGGTCTATAAAACACTTGTACGTGCTTGTGGGATCTGGAAGCAACTATTCCTTTCATCGTTTCACATTCTAACACTCCAGAATTACTTGGTAATTGCTCGCCATTGATATTTTCTCTTATTATTAATTCAAAAGGTAAATCGCAATCGCTCGAGTTGAGAAGTGTCAATGTCTGAGTCGCTTTTTCATTAACCAACACATTTCCAAAATCAATATTTGACGGCTCTACTGTTATTCCAGCATTGTTTCCTTCTCCTAACAGAATTAGATAGGATCTAGTCTTGACACTTTCTCTGTTAATTTCTGCCACGCTAGAAACAATGCAAGGAATCTTGATGGAGTATACTTTTTTAAGGCTTGGAGTAAATGTCCAAATAATTTTTTGAGTTTCATTCCCATTCAATATTCCAGTTTTCTTAGAGACGCTAAATACTGATGAAAAATCTTTTGGAATGTCCCATTCATAGGTAATTGGAATTCTTGAAGGATTGTGTAGGGTTAACTCTTTCACTGAAGAAGCTCCAATGAGAGTTGGCTTGAAAAACAATTTACCATCCTTTCCAAAGCTAATTGATGGTAAGAAGCTCATTCCAAATATTGGTATTGTTACCGTGTGGTTAGGGGAATCATTAAAAATACATTTGATACTATCTTGATATGATCCTGGCTCCGTGGGAGAGAATTTAAAAACAATAATTTGGAATGAATTACTTGGTACCAATCCATTTTCAGGATAACACGTGAAATATCTTCGCTGTTCTGTAGTGATGAGAAACTCAAAAGGCATAGGAATGTCGTTTTCATTATAAATAGTATAAGATCTATAGGTAGAGTCATTGGTAAGGCAAGGAGGAAATGAAGTTACGTGTGATGGTTGTAAAGTAAATCGTGGAATGAAGGCTGCTGTGTTGTTGAAGGTGTTACCAAATACTTTCAGAGGCAGAATCCATGGAGGAACAAATGTCTGTGAATTTACCAGTCTAAAACTTCTGTTTGATTTGAAATAGCATATAAATTCAATTTCGTTGCTGAAAAATTGGTTATCGTAGCTTGGCCTAAACCCAATTTTGAAGGTAAACGTGCTCATGGGCTTAATATCGACAGTTTCTGGAAATATAACAAACGGAGAAGGAGATCCTTCATAACTTGGAATTTGTACATCACAGGTTATTTTACCATTTGTTCTATTTGAAATTGTCACTGTCTTATATTCTGCAAGCTTAAACCGTGAACAACTTCCAAAAGAAATGCTGCTGTAGTTAATTGAAATTGGATTGTCGTAATCTGTAACTAAATTAAAAAACTCATTAAGAGTATTTTCAATATTGTCTCTAATGAGATCTGTGGTAGAGGTTGTATTACTCAAAACTTGGGTCAAATTTGAGATGTTTTCTCTTTCTTCTGCAGACAAGGTATCTAACCTTCCGCTTTCTGACAATTCTAAATAATTTTCAATTTCACTGGGAGAGAATGCTGGCAGTCCTTTGTACATTCTTTCTTTAAATAAATACACCTCCTTAATTGAAAATGGGGGAGGCCTTCTTGAATCATTATATCCTGTTCCAAGCAAGTCAATAAACTAGCACAGTCATCCATATCATAAAGAATTTGATGTAAATACTTACTGTCACTCCTTGATTTTTCACAACAATAAAAATCCTTCTGTAGTAATTAATTGGTAAGTGCGGGATAAATGTCACAGTTATTTGTCTAGTCTGAAATGCAGGTACTACCCCAGAATTTCTCTCAAATTTAAATGTACCTTCAGTATCCACTTTAAAATTATATTCTGCAGACATATTCGACTTGTTTTCAAGAGTTATTAATCGCTTTACCTCTTTTCCTTCAAAAACGTCTCCAAAGTTAATAGACATTGGTGAAATAATTAATTCTGGCCCAACCCCATAACCAGAGCATGTTAATCGAATAGTGTTTCCTCCAGGAGTTGATATGGTGTAGTTGTTGCAATCAAAGCAATCAATAGTTGAGGGAATGTACGTGATGGTAATATTTGATGTTGAGCCTGGGGGTAAAATTTGACTTTTTGGATCAAAAGAAAATACATCCTCAACATAATCATTCTCAACTTTGTTAATAGAGAACGATGCAGGAACGAGTGAAGTATTTTTGAGACTGATAACTCTTTTCGATGGGCTTTCTATTGGTGATTTTCCGAATGAAATATTTGTCTCATTTGCAATGATGTGAGTAATCTTTCCTACTCCTTGTAATTGCATTGAAACTGCATCTCCAGAAGAAAGTTTACAAATTGCTGTTGAAACAAATGATGAAGCGTCTTTAGGAGAAAAGAATACATGAACGGTTAGTGCTTCACCAACGTTTAACCTTCCATACGAAGGTTTAAACGCAAAAGGAGTCTTGACAGACCAGCTGAACTCAAATGAAGCCTCTCCAACGTTTACCATCTCAAATTCTTTTCGTGTTGTTTCCATCGTTGGACAAAATCCCATATCAACACAATTTGGAACGTCCAATAGTGCCTTTGGTAGTAACGCTGAAATATTCACAGTCAACTCTCCTTTCTTCAAAACTGTTAATTTAACAGTGTCACAGTAATTTTTCTAAATCAGAAATATTTAGAGATATTAAATAATTAACAAGTGATTTTGATACATACTCGCTCCGTAGGTCGGAATCGAATCTCAAAAGCTACAGACACACCAGGGCTAATTTTTGATGGCTCGGGAAATCCCATGAAGAAGTTTTTTGATTTTGGCAGTTCATATTTGACCTCCACCACTTCTGTGCTCACATTTTTTACAATAATCTTTTTGGCATGATCACCTCCAACGTCCCTGAAGTGGTCATTTGTAATTAAGAAGGCTATCAACTCACGCTGCTGAAAAATATGTGTGCTCAAACCTACCAATGCTTCCAAACAAGATCGCTGGTTACCTCAACTCCGAACCCTCTTTGAGTTTTGTTTGAGTTGGAAGTTGAAGTCATCAAGCTATTCATCTTTGAAGTCGACTGACTACTCGCAACATTTTGAGAGAGACTTCGCGACATTTTTTATCAAATGATTTTTGTAGTTATTAAATGAATTCTTTGGCGGGGTTTTATGAAGTCAAATTCAAAAGAAATTCTGGTAGTGGTGTTGGGCTGAATGGCGCCAAACCTTATTCACGGCCAAAAGGATTGAAAGATGGTGGTGTTGTGGGCAATATATAAGCACCACCTTGAAATGACTACGCACCTTGACAGCATATTTAAGGAGTTGAAGAGAAGGTGATTTGTGCGTTCTCTTTCAAGAAAGTTTCTTGTCAAAAAAACAAAATGACAGCTGACACCGACTCTACGCTACCCCAAGAGACCAAGCCAACAACAGCAACAACCGAAGACACATCCAACCTCTCTCAAGCTTCATCATCCTCTAATAACCATCATCATAGCAACACAACATCCATTCAAGTCACACCTCCTCCGTCATCATCTTCCGAAAACAAATTAAAATTATTCTTTTTGAAATTATTTCACAAAAGCCATGATGAAAATAATTTAAAAAGAAGTACTTCATTCTTTGATCGATTTAAAAAGAATAACAAATCCAATACTACTGTGTCTTCTTCAAAATCAGATCTTTCAAAGAAATCTCTCCATGAGCAAGAACCACAAGACAACAACAAGAACACTCATGAATCGAGCATGTCATTATTCAATGATTTATGTGATGTTGTTGTGGTTGAGGAGAAGATTTCTCACACCAACAGTGAAACAACAACATCTTCTAACACAAAGAATGTGATCATTGAAACACCACCTTCGACAACACCTCTCCTTCATGAATTTTTATGCCTTTTTAATGCAAATTCCAATACATTGGTAATCTATGATGAAAATGAATTGAAGAAAATGATTCCATTATTGGATCAAACCAATGACATACCCTCTCTACAAAATCAAATTCGATTGCATGATCATGGTGATGATATCAGTTGTGTCTTGAGCGTTCAACAAAAGTCACGAACTTGTATTTTCACAGGTTCACACGATAACACTATTTTACAATATGAATATCAAAAGAATAGCAAAGATCAACCATTTAAATTGATTCATACATTTCAAGATGAAAAGAATACTGTAGAGTGTCTTTCTCACTATAAGAATCATTTTCTATTGTCAGGCTCGAGGGATAAAATTGTAAGATTGAGAAAAATTCAACGCTCTTCAAATAGTAGTGATGAAGAATTAACTTGTGTATTGGCAAGATTAGAAGGTCACACCAGTTGGATTCAATCTGTGTATGGTGGCGGTAGTGAAGAGGAAACTTTTGTGGATTCTTGTATATTCTCTTCACAAAGAAGTGCCTCTGTCAAGGAATCTGAAATTTATATGTGGAATTTGGAAAAACAAACAATTGTTCAGAAATTAAGTGGCCATGAAGGTACTGTTTACAAGATGGCACATTTAAAGTCAACATTGTTAAGCGCTTCTCAAGATAGCACAATCAAAATGTGGGACGTTAGGACGAGCGGTGGTGACCAGGTAGGAGAGCTAAAAGGCCATACCGACTGGGTTAAAGATGTTTCAACAAGAGGAGACAATCATGTTATTTCCTGCTCGTTAGATGGTACTCTTAGATTATGGGACATTAGAAATGTATCCACTTGCGTCAAAGTGCTATTTGATTTTAACAGTAATGAAAGATTGAAAGATCAAAAGTATGGATTTACGTCAATGTCTCTTTCTCAAGACAAATTATACCTTGGCTCCAATCACGGCAAATACGTCTACACCTATGACCTAAAACATTCGCAAATGAAATGCTGTGAAATTGATCAGGACTTTGCAGTTGATGGTATTTGCATTGCAACAACTTTTTAAATATATTTTAAGTGATACTGTATTGCTGTCAATTTACATGAGTGTTGAATCTGCACGTGATGAAGTATCTGATAAACGAATAGACCTAGCACCGCCTGGAGTAGTGAGGTAATCAGGCGTTTTCAAAAAACTAACAGGAGATGTGGATCTTCCACTGTTCTCGCTTAAAACACTACGTCCCATTGATGAGGAAGACCTGTCACTTGAAACTGAGATTCTACCAGACAACGAAGAAGGAGTGTTTCTTCGTATTTCCTCACCTCTTAAAATGTTCGTCCTAGTATTGTTTATCCTTCCTCTAACTTTCTTGTTGTTTTTCTTTTCTCTCATACTGTTCATGATCTCTTCTTTTGTTGGATTGTACTCCAAGGTTTGGGGCCATTGGATCCCTTTAACGTTCTCGTAAGAGCTCCTAAACGACTTGCTTTTAATTGTCTCGAAACCGTAGTGATTCATAAACTCATTTAGGGAAATATATCCTTTCTTTTTAGCTCCCATGTTTTCCAGTATTTGATCCACATCCACATCCAAAATATATCTGTCAAATCGTTTTAAGGCATCCCTGAATAAAGGTATTGGAATTTTATCATTTTCAACGCCAAAGGTGTTCCGTAATGATTCCATTCTAGTAAAATACACTGATTTGGAGGTATCCGTGTTTTTAACAAGGTCGTCAGCTACACCATACGGTGCCCTGTCTTTTTTAGGATCCATCATTTTCTCAATATAAAGCTCAGTTTTTTCTCTTCTTCTTTTCAATGCGTCGTCCGTCATTGAGCCACAGTATCGGGACTCTCGTTGAGCAGTTGTAGAGTTGGTGCCCAATTTTCTGTCTAGCTCTTCCATTGCACGAATAAAGTCAGAATATCCGAACGACCCCTCACCTTTAGGGTCTGCCATTTTGATGAATTCGTCTAGCTTTTTGATTTGCTCAGTTTGAAAGTGTTTAACTGCTTTAAAATTTGGAGTTTCCTCTGAAATGTCGTCCAGCAAGTGAAAATCCTTTACAAGGGCTCGTTTAAAATCTTCTGCACGAACCTTGTTACCAGTGTATCCAGTTGCTTGTTTAATTCTCCTGAATGCTTCTGATAAATTTGGGGAAAGGCTATGAATTTTGTTTTTCACAACCTCTAACACATCGTTTGTTTGGGTAAAGTCTACATTTCTTAAATGAACGGGTACATGTTTCTCGTTTTCAGCGTGGCTTTGGTTCGATGAATTATGTTTGGCAAAGTAACTATTGATCAACTCTCGATTAATAGAGCTCTTGTTGCTGTTAGAAGAAAAATTAGAGAAATTTGTTGGTGATGTAGATCGATTTGGATTGGTGTTGACAACATAATGAGTGTTATAGGTAGTGTTATGGAAATTTTCTGACTCGTTTGCCTGGCTGGTGCCAGACGAATTCTTCTTTGAGTATCCCGCCACCGAGGAAGGCCTCTTCGGGTATCTTGGAGCATCAAAGGAAGTATGAGAATATTCCCTTATTGCTTGTGGGCTGTCAAAATCAATTCTGTTGCTGATCGGATTCAGTTTCTTGTCTATTGTATTGGGTGATGAGCTTCTACTGCTAGCTGCAACGCTAGAAGGCCTTTTTGGTGCTTGATACCTTTCTACTCTGTTGCTTGTTGAATTTGTTGATTCATTGAAGTTATCTCTTGTTTGTTTTGAGGAGTCATTTCTGTTTAATGGTGATGGTGCTCGGTATTGAATGGGTGAAGACGATCTATGAGCAAGATGGGATGATGAAGATCTATTTGCAATAGGAGAGGCTGCTCGTAACTCCTCCATAGATGGCGGGGGTAGTGGAGCCTCAATTCTAGAGCGGTTCCTAATACCACTGGTTGATTGAGGTCGCTGAAATTTCCTCGCTCCTCCATCATCATACTGTAAAATTGGTGATGAAACTCTTTCATAGTTGGAATCAACACTTTGAAGAGTAGAGCCCGATTGGTTATGGCCGAGCTCTTTACGAATAAAACTACTTGCGCTCCTGCTCATTGTTGTGTTGGGTGGTGTATAGATTGTTGGGTAAGCCTAGCAATGGTTGTTGAGCAGATGGATGTTGGATGTGGTTGTTGAACAGATGGAGTAATGACGAGCGATCAAAACTAAAAGAGGAGCCTTTCCTCAATACTATGCCATAACACTAACCCCGTACGGCTGGTAGCGACACAACTGGTGATTTCAATATTTTTTAACTGTTTGCTTGATTCACGAATGGCTCTATCATCATCAATCGGCACGCACAAAAGGGAGATGTGGTATCCCTAAAAGACGATGTGCTGCTTCGTTTAGGAATGGACATTTTGAAAGTAAAATTATTGCAGAATATTTACTTTTCCTTGAACAACAAAGCAACCTCTTGGATGAGCGAAGTGCTCAATGTGTCGTCTGTAGTTTTGAGTTCGACAGATACTGTTGTTGCCGATTTAGCTTTAACAAGGACAGCCAAATGATGTCCTTGGCAAGAACAACCATACATTTGATAAACTTGATCAGGAACAGAGTCTACAACTGTCAAGCGGAGTTGTCTTGCAATCTCTTTAGCTGCTGTATTTACATCACCAATCTTTTCATTGAGGGTACAATTGGTTGATGAAAGATATGGTAACTGATTGGTCTTCATCAAGTTTGCAAATTCATCAACTGCAATTCGTTTTTGAATAAAGAACATTGATGAAGGAATCTTCATAGTGAAATCCAATCTGTGCTTATCTTCAGTTCCAAGAACGTATTCAATATAACCAGTAATTTGCTGTTGCCTTACAAATGATTGACAAGTGAATGATGGGTTCAAAGTATTAGTAGATTCTGGAGAGAGAGAAAATCCACATCTAACAGCTCCTGTTTGTTGAATACCGGGTCTAACAAACTTGAGATTCATGGTGCTGTCTATGTTGTACGCAATAGCATTGACATCTTCATCAGAGATATTTTCAAGTGAAATAGGAATAGATAAACTGTTTGCGTCAAGAGGGAAAGCTTTGGTGTTGTAGTAAACTTTGAGGTGATCATCACGACATAAAAGCTTCAATCCCTTCTTTCCAGTTGATGTCTTCTTTTCAGGTGCTTTCTTTGTTGTTGTTGCCTTCTTCTTTGTAGCCTTCTTTTCTTCAGCAGGTTGAGTTGGTTCGTCTAACAAATCCAAAAGTTGTTTACCAGAACTCTGTTTCACAGTCTTGGTTTTTTTCTTTGTGGAGGAAGTTGCAGCTTCTTTGGTAGTGGCCTTTTTCTTGGTTTTAGTAGTCTCAGCCTTTGCTTCTTTAACAACCTTTTTCTTTGCTGGTTCTTCCTTCTTCTTTGGGATAATTGGAGAGCTACCAATTGGATAGGCCTTAATAGTAGGTAATTGTTCATCAGCACCAATTGGCTGAGTAAGATCAATCTTACTTAAAGCATCCTCAACCTCAACAATTTTGGTGGCTTTAGTTGGGATATATCCTTCAACCTGTTCAAACTCTGTGCTAACTTGCATTGGTTCTTCATCTTCTTCTTCTTGAGGTTTTTTAACCTTCTTTTTAACTGTCTTCTTCACAGTCTTCTTCTTTGGAACTGCCTCAGGAGTAGTTGGTTGAACCTTCTTCTTGGAAGACTTAATAGTGAATACCTCCTTGTATTGTTGATAATTACTAATTGGAGCGTTTGGATCGCTGATTTCGTGACCTTCATGAACATTTTCAGACTCGAATGGATTTGAAGAAGTGTACTCAGATGATGGAAGGCCAGGTACTTGGTTAAAAACTGATTCATCCACAAGAAGCTCCCATGATCTGCCAATCCAGTTATCTAAATCTAATCCTTCTGGGATTGGAACTTTCTCTTGTGAGCCAGGAAGCACAGGATTCAAAGGGTCTTCGAAAATTGATTCAATTTCAGGTCCAACATCTGTACCTTCCTTTGTCAATTGCTCATGAATATCCAATAAAGCCAAACAAGTTGAACATCTTTCTTGAATTTCAACGTCAGGTGAGGTAAAATACTTATTGAAACCATCTCTAATGATGGTACGTAATTGAGAGAGCAATTCGGAATCAACTTTAGTGTTGTTTTGCTTTGGAAGATTTTCCAATTGCTCGTTTTCTCCTTCTTGATGTTGAGATTCTAACGTGGAGCTATCAAAGCCAAGAAGGTCTTGAACTTGTTGTTCAGTAGATTTTGTTTGGCCCTTAGCAGCAGCTGCAGCATAAATCTTGGTAATTGCTTGAACATAACATGCTTTGATTCTATCTGGTAATGATGCAGTTTGTGGTTGGAGAAGTTTTTCTAAAACGTCTTTGTAATCAACATCTGCCTGTGTAATGAATTCACCAATTGTCCAAGAGGCAGCATACAATACATCGAAAACACTTGAAGTCTCAGAACTTTCAGTAAGTAGATGTGGAGAAGTCAACAGATTGATCATCTCATTAACTCCATGTTGTCTCAAGCTCTTAACTCTAATCAAGACATCCATGATATGTTGAGCAATCAATTTACCATGTTGGGCAGACTTAACATTTGTCAAGTGGATCAAAATGTCCAAATACCATTTGAAGTTTGCAATACTGCTGTAGTTATCCTTTGAACAAGAGGTAATGATTCTTTCAATGAGGAAATCTCTATAATCCCCTTCAGCCTTTTCTAATTGTTTCATCAATCTGGACATTATACCCTTGATGTTCTTTTGATTAACAACACCACAAAGTAAATCCAATGCTCGGAATCGGATGGTGATATCCTGATCTTCAAGACACTCCATAATTGTGTCTTTCATATCAGAAATGACCTTTGGATATTTGGACAACAAGTTGTTCAAACCAGCAAGGCCCAAATATTTAAGATTTTGATCCTTGTCTTCAACAAATTGTTTCAATTTGTCCACAGCTAATTTGACAACAGTCATATGCTCTTTCATTCCGACAGTAACAGTCACTAAACATTCATAGAGCAAGCTCTTAGCTGGTGTGGTACTGATCATATTGGCAATTGGTTCAACGAGCTTTTTTGCCAATCTAGGCTCATGAGGTGCCAAAGCGCCCATCAATTTAACGATTTTGATCAGTGTCCAATTGTTATTTACATTTGTCAACAACTTGTAAAAGATTGGGGCCATTCCGAGATAATTGTGTGGATTTCTTCTGGCCAACTCACAAATAACATTGACAGCAGCAGATACGACAGCTAACCAAGCCCATTAGATTTGTACATCACGATCATCAAATTGATTCTTAGTACTACTTACAAGGATGAGAATCACTAAGTTTTTCCTTGAGTCTGGGGAATGATGGTCTCAAAGCGTCAGGATATTGAATGAAAATTTTGTACATGCACAAAACAGCCTTCTTTCTGATGTATTGTCTTGAAGAGTTGAGAAGAGCAAGAATTTCGGAAGCCAAGTCCTTTGCTAGATCTGGAGTGGCAATGTTAGCAATTGCGGAAACAGCCAATCCTGTGTCATATTGATTCAAACTCTTCAACTCTTTTCTAAACAATTGATGAGTCAAGAGAATAACATCCGTCTGAGGAGTGAAGCCGAGAGAAGCAGCCAAATAACCAATTCTCTTATATGTAAAGATAGGACTACTCATCACTTCCAAAATATGAAAAGCAGCCCAATTCATATCATATCCTAACATGTGAAGCTATTGATAATCGTCAAGTTTTTGATACAAAGATTTGATGATGAATAATTGTTTGATGATTGGTTTGCGGGTGATGATAATTAAAGGAGATTTGATAATTGTTTGATGAAACGGTTATTGTCATAGCAATACTTACATAAGTTACTTTCTGAACACCGACAGCTTTCTTCTTGATATCATTCGATCTGAGTTCTTCCTTTATCTCAGCAATACATGAACGAATGTAGGCGTCTTCATTGTTCTTGTTGGCACGAATGCCTTTCACCATGTCCTGAAGACTCTTTTCGAACATTTTTTGTGTTTGAAAAAAATCTTTGCTGTGTGAAGTTGGTTATGACGACAGCATTTGAGTGAGAATCAAACTGTAATATATTGGGTTCACATTGTTGATAATTCCTTCTTGTATTTCTTCGTCTGTACATGTGAAAATGTATCGACAATTTCATCCGTTCTTAGACACCGACCCTCAATTTCAACCTGATAAAATTCTATTAAAAAAATCTTTCCATTGATCCCTCTTCGAAAAGGAATTGATAACGCCTGTTGTTCAGCTTGGACCGGTCTTCTTTGAACTCTGTACTCTGTGGTAACACATAATAATTGGCTTTACTGATTCTGTCGTGTCAACCAGTATCGATTATTCTCAACTTTCATCATTTAAAAAATGTCAAATCTCAGGGAGAAAATCGCTGCCTTTGAGAGCCGCAGTCTAATTTCGACTCAGCCTCCACCTCTTCATCACAAAGACAAGGATCAACAGCAGCTTCATTCACCTCAACAGCCACCACAAACGAATAGTAGTAGCAGTAGCAGTGGTGTCGGTGGTGGTGGTGGTGGATTGAATGTTCCTCCTTCCGTAGGCCACAGCACTCCTTCTACCCCAACTGTTGTTGCAACGAACATTAGTCACCAAACTACATCATCGGCTAAAACTCCAACTTCATCTCATCATTCAAACGGTACGTCCTTATCACAATCGGAATTATCAGAGCCTTTACCCTCTTTTATTAATAATTTATCATCAATAATGGATAATCATTATGTTATAGGAAAACAACTTCCACCAACACCAACCGATAGGAGCTCTCTCAATATTGGACTCACAAGAAACACAAATAATAATCCTCCAACGAACACTACTCCCCGATCAGCAACGATCATGACTCCACAACAACATCATAATCTTCCATCAATAGAGTCATCACCTCCACAGAATGGAAAATCTGAGCAAAACGATCAATATGATTCTACATCCTCTACCGAAGATGAAGATATCACAAATGGAGCTATGAATGGAGGAAGTGGTGAAGAAGAAGAATCCATTGATAATAATCAACAACAACAACAACAACAACAAAACACAACAACACCATCACAACAAAGAGTACAATCTACTGACCTTCATCAATTACCAAAAAACAAACCTGCTGTTCCAAATAGATTTAGAAACAACGGAGGAGGTACTATTGCAAGCACTGGCTCTAGCTCAGCTCAATTTAGACCTAAACCAAATCCAAAATTACCTCCAAATCTTCCTCAACCAAGACGTGCTCAAGCATCTGTTGACTTTGGAAGCAATCCTCGTGTTAACATTATTGGAACGACAGGATCACCTCTTTCTGATAGTTCCAGCAATAATCTTTCTGGTAATAATTTGTCAAGCGGTAACCTTGTAACAAATTTAGATCCCAACTCATCCATTTCGTACTCTGACTCTGCATCAGCATCAAGAATCTCAATGAGAGCAGGAACCAGCGGAATGGTTTACGCATCTGGATTGTCTGCACTACCTGGTGACAAGGGACCACAAGGCAAGTTTATTCCTTATATTCCAGCAGAAGTTGAGGCTGTTATGAGCGTAACTACTGGTACGGCTGGTGTACACGCTCACACAGTCAGCAGAACAAGCATGAGTATCAGCTCTCTTGATTTAGATTCCGAAACTCAGCAATTTGTTGGTATTTACAAACATCCTACCAAACAGCAAATGGATGCAGCGATAGTTTTACAAAAATATATCCGAAGATGGGAGGCTCGTAAAACGTATAAAAAGATTCAAAAAGCCAGAGTGAATCGAGAAAATTGTGCCAAAGAAATTCTTTCTACAGAGAAGAGTTATGTGGAATCTCTCAACATTCTTCAAGAAGTGTACTTAAAACCATTCAAAGCAATGGCTGCCAAAGAAAAACCTATTATCACCAAAGAAGAGGTTCAAGCTATTTTTTCTGACATTGATGTTATTTTGAATGTCAACACAACCTTTTTGAACGACTTGGAGGAGAGACTTAAAACATATGAACACAACGTTCAGATTAGTGACATTTTCCTTACCATTGCTCCATTCTTTAAAACATACTCTCGATATTGTAACAACTTTGATAAGGCAAACGAAGTATTGAAAGAATGCAAAAAACGAGAAGATTTCAAAGAAGTGGTGGTAAAGATGGACAAGGACAGTAGAACATCCAAATTGGGTCTTCAAAGTTATCTTATCTTGCCTATCCAACGTATTCCAAGATATAGACTTCTTTTACAAGATTTGATCAAACACTCTGGACCTGATCATCCTGACCACAAAGGATTAAAAAATGCTCTTGATAAGATTTGTGAAGTTGCTGATCACCTTAACAACACAATGAAAATCATTGAAGCTACAAATGACATTATTAAGATTCAATCACAATTCTATGGTGACATTAACCTTGTAGAACCTCACAGAAGATTTTTGAAGGAAGGACCACTGCAAGAAATTATTTCCTCTGATTTCACAAAAACAAGAGAAACCTATATTCATTTATTTAATGATATAGTACTATTCTCTCAAAAAGGAGGAAAATTTACACTCAAAGTTCAATTTCCCCTCAATGACTTGGTTATATTTAATTATGTTAACCAAGACGATCAGATTGATGATTTAATCTTCAAAGTCCAATCTCCAAGCAAAGCAATCATTTTGAAAGCAGCCTCCAAATCTGAAAAAGACAACTGGGCTATTACCTTACACAATCTTATCAAGGAATGTAAAAATTCAAAGCGAAACAAGACACTTAACGTGGACGAACACACCATTGCTGACGACTCTTCAACAACGTTTGCTCTTGCCATGAGCGATAATGATGAAATTTCAATTCCTCCTGAGGAATGTGTTCGACGAATGAAAGAAGGATCTACAATGCTCAAATATTGTAGAAATGCCAAACCTCACTTTAGAAGATTCGTCCTCAGTAGTGACGGAACAGAATTAATGTGGGGATCTCCAAACAAACAATCTCACGAGTCTATTGTTTCATTAACAGATGTGAAGAAGATTTGTTATGGACAAAACACGGCTATTTTCCAAAAGTATAAGAATCCTGATCTTGAAGGTCTTTCATTCTCACTTCTCTACAGAGATAGAACTTTAGATATCGTATGCAAAGATAAACAAGAATATCATATCTGGGTTCAGGGTGTAACTTACTTACTCTCACACATGGAAGACATTCTGAACAAGAAACGAGTTGCTCCACCCACTACTTCTAACGAACCAAAATTTGCACCACCTGCCCTTGTACATGACATGGAAAATGAAAAACAAAAATTCAAAGAACAATTCGAACGAATTGGAGATGGCTATACATGGGGTCAAGGAGCTTGTGGTGGTCTTGGTCATGGAAATCAAGAAGATAAGAAAGAACCTCTTGTTATGAAAGACTTTTTGTATTTGGATGTATCTTTGGTTGCATGTGAAAACTCTGCAGGAGCTGGTGTCATGTTTACTGGTGAGTTATTCACGTGGGGAAAAGGTGAGAAAGGAAGATTGGGTCATGGTGATACCAACGATAGAATTAAGCCCACCTATGTTAAAGCATTACAAGGAAGGAACATCAAATATGTCAGCATGGGTAATTTACATACATTATGCCTTGATGATACTGGCACCGTGTTTGCTTTTGGTGACTACCAATATGGCCAATGTGGTCTTGAAAAAGTGGACGGTTTTACTTCAACACCAACACCTCTACCTATTTGTACCAATGGCTTCAAAGTTACTACGATAGCTTGCGGTCATTGGCATTCAGCCATTGTTTCCAACGATGGACAATTATTAACTTTTGGAAGAGGAGAAGATGGTCAACTTGGATTTGGAGATAAAAGTAATAGAGCAACTCCAACTAGAGTTAAAGGAGTTTTGGATGACTATAAGATTGTAGATGTTGCTTGTGGTCTCTGGCACACCATGGCCCTTACTGAAGAGGGATATCTTTTCACTTGGGGAAACAATACCTATGGACAATGTGGTCACAATAATACTGACGAGTATTTATTACCAGCATTTGTTGAGACCTTTAGAAACATGCCTGTAAAACAAATTGCTGCTGGTAGTGCTCACAGTGGTTGTATAACAGAAGGAGATGGAGCTGTATATATGTGGGGTAATGGTATTTATGGACAAATTGGAAATAATTCAAATACTCATGCTTTGAGCCCTATGAGAGTCAAGTTTGGCAAACTTAAGGCCAAGCAACTTGTTTGTGGTGTGAACCATGCAATGACTTTGATGGAGGATGGATCAGTGTATGCTTGGGGTGCTGGTACCTATGGTAGACTTGGAATCAACAGTGAAGGTGATCAACGAGTTCCTGTTAGAATCACATTTTTCGACGATAAGAGTGTTCGTACACTTGGTGCAGGAGGTTCTCAAAGTGCAGCTGTTTGTGCTCACCAATGGGTTCCAGATAAAGATGCTACAAATTGCATGAATGAAAGTTGCAAAGCCAAATTCACCTTCCTTAAAAGAAGACACCACTGCAGATACTGTGGAGGCATTTTCTGTGGAAATTGTACTACAAAGAGAATCACACTACTTCGTTTTGGTTTTGATGAACCAGTCAGAGTTTGTGACAATTGTTATCAAATTTTAACAAACGCTGCTCAAACCTATAAGAGATAATCGAACATGTAAAATTAAACAAATTATTTATTTGTAAAATGAAGTTGTTTTGGAATTCAAGATTAAGCTCCAAATTCAAATTGAATTACTTAATTTCATCTTCACTCACTTCCACAATACTGTGAATCGTAATGTCTTCCAAAGGTGTTGTACCTTCTTCTTCCACGTTTCCTCCCATAATCGTATTTTGCTTGTTGCCAGTTGGAATCTTACTGATTGCTTTAATTACGTTCATTCCTTTTTTAACACGACCAAATACACCATATTTACCATCATTCCAAGGAGTTGGTGCTAGCGTAATATAAAATTGTGAATTTTCACACATTCCGATTATTCCTGCTCCTGTATGTTTGAGTCTACTTGTAGCAAGTTCATTTAAATATCCATCAAAAGGAGTGCCACCTTTCGCTGTGTTGGTTGGATCTCCTCCGATGACTACATGATTAGGTTGTATCGTATGAATGAGAGTATCATTATAATATCCATCGAGAGCAAGCTGTTGAAAATGTTGGCAAGTGATCGGAGCATGTGAAGTGTAGAGCTCAATGATGAATGATCCGACGCTGGTATCAAATTTTAAAAATCGGGAATGTACAGAATTGAACGTGTTCTCGAGAGTTGTTGGTCCCGACGACACTGTGTTCAACATTTTTTTAATTTGAAATTGTGATGAAGGTCTAACGTTAGAGGCTCAGACTAGGGTGTTGTAATTTCATTGGTTTCTTATCCTCTGTGCAATAGCAGGACAAAATGAAAAAATTGTAATTTTTTGTGAGCTCACACGCGTGCAGATAAATTGTGTGAGATGGGATGTCGCAAATCAACATTTTTGCTTTCATTGCCCGATTTGAGACCACGTTCTTGAAATCACGTTAGCCATCACTCAACAAATTACACTCTCTCATAAAAATGTCGAAACCACTCAAACCATCACTGCGACACCAACAACGCTCACAACCATCACTCTTCGCCATGACCACCAACCACATCCGTTGTGCTCTCCTTCTCTTGCTCGTTGCTCTTTATGTTACACATGTGTCTGCTCAAACTTTGAACGCTTTCACAGCTGCTGATAAAACTAAAATTGTGGAACGACACAATTTAGTGAGATTTAGTCCCTCTCTTTCACCATCGGCAGCCAATATGAAAATAATGAGTTGGGATGACCAATTGGCTCAGATAGCTGCGAATTATGTTAATAATTGTCAATTTTCACACAATCCAAATTTAAAGACAATTTATTCGGGAGGAGCGTTGGGAGAGAATATATACATGTCCACTGGATCATCTACTAACATTGGCAATGCCAGTGTCGACTCATGGGCCAGCGAGAAAGCATTTTATACCTATCCTTCAACTTGTCAATCGGTAGGTTTATGAATTGAGGGTTCATATGAATTGAATAACATCATTTAAAACATGATAACCATGATCAACAACAACAAATTTAGGGTAAAGTATGTGGACACTACACTCAATTGATTTGGGCCAATAGTGTTAAAGTTGGATGTGCAAGGAAAACTTGTGCTACGGTTCCCAATTATCCAAATTTTAATGGTGCCACTATTGGTAAGTACATGCTTCAAGAATATTGATGGTAACAAAATATCCCAACAGTGGTGTGTGATTATTTTCCTGCTGGAAATTATATCGGTCAAAGTCCATACATTGCTGGAACTCCTCCACAACCATCACCCAAGATCTCTCCTAAACCCTCCCCAAAGCCCATTGCAAGCACTACCAATCCAAAAACCAATTCTTCCACAGTACAACCTCAACCTGGTGGTAGAAATAACCGAACTGCTGAAATTAGTGGAGTCAATCCTTTGAATTCGAGAGGTGTTTCTTTTGAAATGTTATTCATTCTTGCTCTTGTTTATGGATTCTTGATTTGCATTGTCATGCATCACGAATATTGAAATGAATAGTAAGGGTTTATGTATTTCATGAGCATATTGTTATATTTACATATCGTTTCAAGGAGTGATCTCAGTTATTGATATTGTTGTTGTTCAAAGTATTGCCTTACTTCACGTCTTAATACTTTGGCCAATACACTTCTTGGCAATTCATTCATGAGTGCAAACTCATCTGGCATATCTTCGGGAGAAACTTTTGAAGAAAGGAAAGTTTTCAATTCTTGTATCAATTCGTTAGAGTCTTCCTTCAATCGATGTTTAAAAGCATTCCTTAATGAGACAGCCATCACTGCCCGATCACTACTCACTTGAACATAGGTCGTTTCCTTCACGGCAGGATGGTCATGAAGAACCTCTTCGACTCGTCTCGGATAGATGATATGTTTCGTATCGGAATTGGAAATGGATTTTTGAATCATGTCTGGTTTACGACCCAACACATGAAGTAAACCTTCTTCATCCAAATAACCGACATCTCCAATATGAAGCCATCCACCCCTTAATGTTTTTTCGCTTAATTCTGGATTATTCAAATAGCCTTTAAATTGTGTTGGAGATTGTATGAGAATGTTACCAATAGAGCCTTGAGGTAATGGTTCATCGTTCTCATCCGATGCAATACGAACTTGTACTTGAGGGACCACTCTTCCAACCGATGACAAGACATTTCGAGGTGCAATGGTTATTCCATCTTCCAACACGTGATGTTTCGTGGAAAGCATGGATACTGGAGGCAACACTTCAGCACTTCCATATCCTTGTTGAAGAATGGGTCCAAAATGTTTGAGAGCTTCTTCTAATTTGGGTGTTGGCATTAATTCAGTACCGTAGATGATGTTTCTCAAACTGGTCAAATCTGTTTCTTTTAATTTGGGATGATCCAACAAATCAATCAATAGACTTGGTGTTGTGAAAATTCTAGTCGCTTGATGAAGTGGAATGAGTCTTAAAAATTCATCAGCTGTGAATTCTTTGGGAATGAGAAGAGTGGCACCACTCAAGAGCGTTGGCATGATCATTCCACTACCAGCTCCTTGAATTGGAATTCCTACGAGTGAGACTTCTTGAGAAAGTCTTGGCCCTAATTCGACGTTTTTCACAGTCAGAGTTAAACTAGTTAAAAAGATGCCATGAGTTGCAGTGAGTGCTTTTGGTTGACCTGTAGTTCCACTTGTAAATCCAATACTTGCCAAATCAGTGGGTTCAATAGTATTGGTACAAAATTCGAGACATGTTGTTGACAATTTCAATTCTTGAGTGAAAATATTCTCCAATTCATCAAAACGTATGGATTCTACTTGAGGTACTAATTCTTTAAGAGCAGTTGCTACATGTTCACATTGTTCGTGATCATAGAGTAATACATTGGGTGTGACAATTCCAACCATTTTCTTTAAATATTCAGAATCTGCAGTCTTTGGAACCGACACCAAAATGATTCCAGTTTCCATAGTTGCCAAATAACCTTGTAGATATTCTTCTCCCTTTGGAAGACAAACGAATAACTTGTCTCCTTGTTTGAGTCCTTTCTTGGTGAGTATGGTTGCAATCATCAAGGTTCTTTGTTTTAACTCTTCAAATGAAAAGGAAACAGTTGGTGAAGACAATGCAGGAGCATTTCCATAACGTTTCCAAGCAAAACGGAAGGCATCTCTTGGCACTTGGAATTGCCATAATATGAAAAGCAAGATACTCTTGCGAAACCATGAAGCAACGGATTGAAACATTTTTTTGGAGATTCGAAAACCATTCGCTCTTGATCAATTCCAGTTCGCTAAAAAGAAACGTTTTCAATTTCCATCTTGGTACCAATCAGTAATTTACACTGATCTGATTTGAAGTCAAATACTTTGTAGGCTGAGAAGTGATCCTACTTGACCTCTATTGCAACTATGAGATGCGATTTGGATGAAATATGAATGAAGGTAGATTTGAATTTTAAAACAACAAAAAACGCGTTCACAAACTTTTCCCCAACGACATGACGTTCCGTGCAAGAACGAGAAGCATTCATGACACCAGTTATGAACTCGCTATCAACGATTGGGAATATAACAAAACCATTACAAAGAAAGGTCTCTTCGGCTTTCAAATGAGAAAGTTCCAAAGTAATTACATTAAAACTACAAAGGTAAGCACATCATCATCTAGATTACCACTTGAGAATATATATACTCTCACTATTTTTTTTTTGACATCTAGTACACATGGTGGAATTTCATCTTTCTCAATTTATTCCATCAATTTAAGAAAATTAGTAACTTGTATTTCATATTGGTGTTGATATTTGCATTCATTCCTGGAGTGAGTCCAACCACTCCCATTGCAACTTTGCAAGTGTTTCTCATCATGATTGTCAACATGATTAGAGAAGGAGGTAAGTATTTAATGATTTTCTAAACGCAAACACCAAGACATATATGGTTTTTAAATGATCCTCACCACACAAATTTTGAATACCACCCACGCATATGGTTAGGTGAGGATTTCTTTAGATATTTGAATGATCGAAAAGTGAATCACATGCCCACTCAGGTCTTGAGAAATGGTTCTTTGGTTAAGGTAAAAGCTTGTGAACTTCATGTTGGAGATGTTGTTAAGGTCGAACAGGATCAATCCTTTCCTGCAGATTTGATTCTCATGGCATCCAGTGCTGAAGATGCGAGTTGTAAGATTGAGACGGCAAATTTGGATGGAGAAACCAACCTTAAAACACGTTATGCACCAAACATTCCCATCTCGTACAATTCTCTTGACAAGTTAGCGTTAACGAGAGGTAAAATTAATTGTGAATTACCAAATCAGGATATTCACAAATTTAAAGGATCACTCTCACTGGAGGGTCATGCTCATGGCATTCCACTCTCTCATCTGAATTTACTGTTGAAAGGATCCATTCTCAAATCGACTGAATACGCCATGGGAATTGTCATTTACACTGGAAAGGATACCAAAATTATGAAAAATATGAATAAGGGACGAGTGAAATTCAGTTCTGTGAATTACATGTTGAACATTTTCATTGCAATGGTGGCTGTGATTTTGGTTGCATTGTGTTTACTGTTTGCAGGCTTGTCCTCATATCACGAATTCACATTGGCTAGAATATCCAAATATACTGGTGTTCCTAAATTAAGGGTCAATGATGCTACCAGTGTGGTCCTTTCCTTTCTCACGTTTTTCATTCTATTCAACTTATTGATCCCCATTTCCTTATTTGTTACATTTGAATTTGTGAAAATGATTCAAGCTTGGTTCATTACTCGAGATAACAAATTGGCAGTCTTTGGAGCAGATCCTCATAATCCAGAGAGAAACATTTTAGTAAGATCCACTGCTCTCTCCAGCGATTTGAATGCAGATTTAGCCAAAATAGATATCATCTTTTCTGACAAGACAGGAACCCTGACAGAAAATTCCATGATTTTCAACAAGTGTTGTGTGGGTAGTTCTTGGATTCATGATGACATTACACAAAAAGGAGCTCTTGGAAATGAGTTGGCAAGAATGTACCAGGAATTGAAAGACAAGTCTCTAGACAGTGTAGATGTCCTTACGTGCGAAGAAGAGCTTCTCTTTTCATCATTGAATACTCTCTTGTTGCTCGCATTATGTCATGATGTGAGTCCAAGAGATCTTTCTACTTCAAAGGAAGAGAAAGCAAGCGTTCCAACTTATGAGGGAGCGAGTGTGGATGAAATTGCACTCGTTCAAGGCGCTTTTAATAATGGATTTCAAGTCAAATTTTGTTCAGACAAGACCACCATTGTGTCCCTTCTTGGAAAGGATTACACTTTTGAGAGAGTGAGTGAAATTCCATTCACACCAGAGAGAAAACGAATGAGTGTCGTGTTTGAAATTTCTGAAGAGTTTCTCACTGATTTTCCAGTCTATCGAAAAATGTACCACAAGATGTCAAAGGCGACAAACCAATCGTCAAGCTCTTCAACTACTTTGAATGGAGGAGAATGTGAAAAAGTTCTTGTATGTTTCACAAAGGGAGCAGACAGTTTTCTCTTCCCATGTATTGAGGCATTGAATTCTGAACAACACAAAACAAAACTCGATGAACACATTCTCAACTTTGCAAAACAAGGGCTTAGAACTTTATTGTTGGCTTTCAAATTTGTGGATTCCAAACACGTTCAAGATTGGGTACTTCGATACAATTCTGTCAAATCAGTGACCAGTGTGAATCATGATACTGAATTGGCATTAGAAACACTCGAGAAAGAAATGGAACAGAATTTGAACATTGTTGGTGCCACTGCTATTGAAGATATGCTTCAACCACAAGTTCCTGAAACCATTAAATTCTTCCTCGATGCAGGATTACAGCTCTGGATGCTAACAGGAGATAAACGTGAGACAGCTCTCAATGCAGCCTTTATGGCAAACTTTATTGATGAGAATTCTCAGATTATTTCACTCAACGGTGAAGATATTCAAAAATCTCAGGAAAGTGTCAATAAGGCAATTGAGGAATTATTAGTGAACATTACATCCAAGAAGGTGGATCATATTTCTTCAGCGGTGGCATTAATTATCGATGGACATGCATTTTCACACTGTATGGAACATGAAACCAGTACGAAATTATTTGTTGAACTCATCAAGAAGTGTAAAACTGTGATTTGTTGTAGAGCGACCCCAAAGCAAAAAGCGCAGTTAGTTGAGATTACCATGAGAAGACTTCGAAAAACAGGTTTAGCTATTGGAGATGGTGCCAATGATGGTAAGTACAAGTCGTGTCGACCTTTTTGTATTATGTAACGAATTGTGTGTAAGTTCCAATGATCCTAAAAGCCAAAGTAGGGATTGGCATTATGGGTAAAGAAGGAACTCAAGCAAAGCTTGCTTCTGATTACTCTATTCCAAGATTTTACATGTTGAAACGTTTATTAACAGTTCATGGAAGATACTCTTTCAAGCGATCTGGTACGTTGGTTCATTCATTAACATTTATATTGTTCTTTTTAACACTTTCTGTTGTTACAACCCAACTAGCCAAACACATTCAATACTCCTTCTACAAGAATATTACTCTCACATTTATTCAAATCTACTTTACTTTTTACACCATGTACTCAGGTCAAACCTCGTTGACAGTAGTATCTTGTCATGGTACAATTTAATTTTCACTATTTTAAACCCATTTGTGTTTGGACTGTTCGATAAAGATATTCACGAAAAGCATTTAGAAGATCCAGAGATTGGACCTAAACTCTACTCGAGTTTGAAAACTGAGAATATCTTCAATGTTTATACCTTTACAAAATGGATTGGAAGTGGAATTCTTCACAGCGCTATTATATTCTTCTTTGTCATGTACGCTTCACATCCTTTTGGATTAGCCACAGGTGGAATGGAAGATGGCTTGTGGTTGAGATCTATTTTAGTGTGTTCCTGTGTGTATTGTGTGGTGAATTTCAAATGTTACTTTGAAATGGAGAGTTTTACCATTTTACATCATTTAGCAATGGCTATATCATTCATCTTGTACTATGGATTCAATGCCATTCAAGCAAATACTCTTTCGAGAAGTTTTGTTATTACCGACACAAATATGTACCGAGTGTGGAACGTTGGTATTGTTTCTCCAGCTTTTTGGTTGACTCATATCTTGTGTATTGTGACTCCACTTTCGATTGAATTAGCTTTGCATGGATTGAAGTGGATGTTGTGGCCAGATGTCTATCAAGTCGTGAGAATGAACACTAATTCTAGAAAGAAAAAGAATCAGACATCTCAACAAGCAACGAAAGATCAAATGCTCGAACTTTCTTATTATAGAAATGCAGAATTGAAACAGTTGAGCTCAACAATGCGTTTGAACGAGAGTGAGACATCGTTTACTTCATCACAACCTTCACAAATTTAACCATCCATAAAGCTCTGAATTCGGTAGTAAAAGGGAGTTTTACTGAGGTTTGTTGTAATCAATAAAAGTGGTTGACTAATTTTTGAATTTTCACATTACCACTGACAGGGAACAATTATTATTATTCCACAACTCCCTCACCATTTGGTGGGATGCCTCATGACTCAACATGGGATGCCTTATTGCATTGCGATAAGATGAATTCAGTCCAAAGGATCACTCTCGGTTTACCATGGGATGTTTAATCAGCAACGCTTAATGGTGTCATCCTATTTGAGACTGATGCATATGTTTGTAGCATCTAGTTGTGTTTCACTCTTGCTGTATTACAGGATAGAAGGTAATGTGAATCTTATTTATTCAACTATTAGACATGCGTATGTGCACGGCGAAGAATAAATAATCCGTTTTACCAACCATCTTTCTGTTGATTTACAACAAACATTAATTCTCTTTTTTAAGATCAAAGTAAGATGATTAAACTTTTCACGTGAGGCGACAATGCGTTAAGGCTTTGGAGTGTTGCATCGAAGAAATTCTGATGCTTTTCTTGTATCGTGAATGTTCAAAGTAAGGATGGTAAAAAAGGCTACAACACTGCAGGTTCCCAAGTTGTCTCCAACCTCAGTACTGATGCAGCTCGACGATGCTTAACTTCTCAAATCGGACGGGATGAGGTGCATTCATCGTGATATGGCCGTAGCCGTTCAATACCCAAGCGCAATGTTGTTGATCCATTTAACAAGTACCAAAATTCTGTGTTCTTACTTAGATGTTTGAAATAAGCGCTGAAATTGGTATTATATTAAAAGTAACGAATGAAGTACTACTTTTTGATTTGGTGGTTTTTCAGCTTTTCCTTATTCTTCTCTAAAATTATTCTTTTCACATCTTCATCATTCAGCAAGTCCAAATGTACAAAGGTTTTGGCCTCCACATTTTGTTTGAGTGCTTCCAATACAATTTCCTTGTCTTTACGAAATTCAAAGAGAGCAAATTGCAATGCAAGCCCGTGTGCTTTCACAGCCTTCAAAACATACTCTCGTTCATGTTGAAGTCGATAAGAGGCATGTAATAGAGCAAATTCATTCTTTTCAACAAGTTCGTTCATCAATTCATCGTCATCCGAAAGATTCAACATTGAATAAGACAAGGCTTGTGGATTTTGCTTGACAGCAGTCGTCACAATTTCTACATCTTTTCCAAATTCTACTCTCACATATTGCAAAGCTTTACCTTCGCTTTTGACTGCTTCTAGAACAATTTCACGGTCCTTCAATAGTGATGGGTTGGTTATATTTGCTAATATCTCACCATTGTGCTTAACTGCAGTCAGGATCAATTCTCTGTCATTCTTGAAATGAGATGGAATGGGAGTCAAACCGTTTTGAAGTGCCATTTTGACAATTTCTCGATCTTGCATGAATTTAACATCGGCATAATTGAGAGCATTTCCATTCTTCATAACTGCATTCAACACAAACTCTCTGTCAGACTTCAATGCGTCAGAAGCATATAAAAGAGCTACTTCGGTTTTTTCTATCATTTCTTTCATGAATTCTCGATCCTCCCTTAAATTGAAATGGTGATCATATGCAAGAACGGATGGACAATTTTTGATGGCTTCTGTCAAAATTTCTTTATCCTCCCAAAAGATGTCATGTATCTGACTGAATAAGTACCCACTCTTTTTAACGAGTGCTAATATTATCTCTCTATCTTTAAGGTCCAAGCATTGGCGTAAATAAGGATGATCACAGTTATCAATGGCTTGCAAAATCAATTGCTTATCATATTTCAATTCAGGGCAACTGATGTAGCTCAGTACCTCTCCATTGTTTTGAATGGCCTGTGAGACAATTTCTCGATCATTTCGAAGTCTATAACTTGCACTCATGATCGCCATGCCATAGTTTTGAACAGCTGCCAACACCATTTCTCGATCGTCTCTGAATGATTCGTCTGCATACAATAACACGCTTCCAGAGTGTTGTGCCACGCCAAGTATAAAATCTCTGTCAAGTCGTACCTCATCAGGAGCGAAACGCAATACATCAGGACGTAATGGCACAATGGATTTCAAGAGATCCCAATCTTGAAAAATATTCAGTTTTGAAAAATAGATGAATTTGGGCTTCATGATGGCGTGAAGTACAATTTCGTTATCTTTCCGTAACTCTTCAGAAGCTTGAATGAAAACTTCTGAACATCCATTCTTAACAGCAGTTAAGACAATTTCTCGATCACTGAACATGACCGGATCAGCATATAGCACGGAATGAGCATTCTGTAACACTGCTGCTAGTACAATTTCTCGGTCTTTCTTGAAGGAGGCATCAAGATATCGTATAGCTGGTCCATTCAGTTTGACTAAATCCAAAACAAACGCTCTGTCCTTCTTGTATTCTTCACAACAATATAAGAGAGTATGTTCGTCCTTCAAAGCAGCATGTAGAATGAATTCCTTATCACGCTTCATCTCGGGGGATGTGTAGTAAATGGAATCACCACGGATTTTGATAGCAGTGAGTGCAATGGTTCTATGGTAGCGTACTTTTTGTCCCATTATTCTAAATTTATATGGATTGCATTGTAGCATTTCTAAGGCGACGTCTTCATCGTTTAGCATGTCATGATCGATCGATTCCGAAAGGTTATCATATGTTTTAGCTGCAAGAACGATCAAGGATTTGTCAACTTTTGTACTAACATAATCCAGTGCTTTTCCATTTTGCCGTATTGCTTCTCTGATAATTTCAGGATCCTTTCGTAAATCTTCAGAAGCAAACTCTAAAGCCTCACCATTCTGTTTTACAGCAGCCAACACAATCTCTCTTTCGCATTGCAATGAAGGAGATGCATATTGCAGTGATAAACCATGTTTTTTCACAGCATAAATCACAATTTCCTTATCGTTTTTCAAACTAGCGCTGACATGGCTAAATGCTTCGTAGTTTGATTCAGGTCCGTATTTGAATGCTTTCAAAACAAGATCGCGGTCACTTCGAAGTCTCTCACTTGCATACTCTAAGGCATCTGCACGTCGTTTGATTGCCATATCTACCAGTTCATAATCGTCTTGGAGTTCATTCGAGGCATACTCCAAAGCCAGTGGGTCGTTTCTCAGAGCGGCCATAACAATCTCTCGATCTTTCCTTAAAGTTGGGTCTGCATATCGAAGCAATGATCCAACTTGTGTAACAGCAAGCATGGCAAGCTCCTTATCCTTTCTTAGTGTAGAGTGCGTACATTGATAATCGAGGGCGTCCGCCTCAATGGCTATCTTGGCAATTTCTCGATCATGATTCATATGTAATGGCATTTGCAAAAGACCAATACCAGATTGATAATTGTTTTCAATCAACTTATTAACAAGCTTAAGATCTGTTCTAAATCTATCATGAACGTGTTCAATGCAGGATGGAGAAATTCGAAGGGCTCTCATCACAAATTGTTCATCTTGTTTCAGTCTATTGCTGGCATATTTCATGCTGTCACTGCTATCAACAAGAGCTCGCTCAATAACTTCTGGATCATCTCTGAATTCACTTTTCACAAAAGGCAATACTGAGAAGCCACCAAAAGTCACGGCAAGAAGTGTAAGCTCCTTGTCTCGCTTCAACTCAGTGCTTGAATACCGAAACATGTATGGATTGTGTAAGAACTTTCCTGAGAATGCCTTTGTCATTTTTAAAGTCCTCATCGACGTGCTCATATAAGGACAAACCACCTTGCTCTATCAACTGAAGAATAAATTCTTTATCCCTTTTCAAAGATGAGTCTGCATATCTGATATAATAGGGGCTGATCAAGGTCGCTATTGACACAAGTTGTTTGTCTCTCTTGAACATATCATCAAGCTTTTGTAAAGCAGAGGGATCTCTCCTCAAAGCCTCCATAATAATTTCGCGATTTTGTTTGAGGGCATCTGAAGCATATACAAGGGAATAGCCACCTCTCTTAACACACTCCATAACAATTTCCTCATCGTTATTCCATTCTACTGCATATTGAATTATTGAATTACCACAGGCCGCTTTTAGAATAAATTCTCGATCTGAAGCATATTCTTGTGGTAAATATTGATAATTGGATGGTTGAGAATGTAATGCTTGCAAACAAATATTCTTATCTTTTCTAAATTTTAGAGGAATGGATGACAAAGGCACACCTGAGTGGAGTGCTGCTTTGATTATTTCAGGGTTGCTTTTCAACTCATCATTTAAGGATGGATAGAAATGCAAGGATCTTCTCTTGGCATACAATTTCAAAATTTCCATGTCTTGTTTAAATTCTAATGGAAGGTAAGTATAATAGAGGCCAGCGTTCACTGCTTGTTTGATGAGTGCTCGATCTTTCTTAAATGCCATTGGTACGTATTGCAGAGTATTTCCATCACGGTGTACAGCATGTGTAATAAATTCAATGTCGCTTTTAAAAGGTTTCCATAAATACTCGAATTGGCTAGGATGCTTCTTAATTAACTCGAGCATGATATTCCTATCATGCTGGAATTTTTCGTCATAATCAGTAATGTTCAAGCCATAACCGTCATAAGAAGTCACAGCCTTCCAAGCTAGTTCTTCATCTTGTTTTAAGCTATCATCAATATATGCGTAGTTGCATCCATAGATATCGATGGCTTGGATTGCTAAATCTCTATTTTTCTGCATCAAAGGTCCAACATGTCTATAATTTTCTGAAGAGTGAGAGAGAGCTTCTTGACATATTTCAAAATTATCTCGCAAATCGGCGCTAGCATATTCAAGCGATGCTCCATGTTTCACAGCCTCCATTACAATTTCAAAGTCGTTTTTCAGTTCAGTTGCAGCATGTTGCAAGCAATGGCCGTAAATTGTTACAGCTTCCTTAATTACATCTCTGTTACCTTTAAGCTCCGGGCTTGCATACATGAGTTCATGTGGATTTGATCCATTTAATACAATAAAGAGCAATTCCTTATCAGCTTTCATCTCGTCAGAAAGTTCTTTAAATAAGTAGCCATTTTCTTGTAAAATATTAGAAACAAGTTCCTTATTAGATCTGAATTGGTCACCAACAAAACTAAAAGCAAAGCCTTGGCTTCGTATGGCAGCCATTGCGCACTCATGATCGTTTTTTAACTCATCAGAGGCATATCTAATACTCTCGCCTCCGTTATAATTGATGGCTAACAATACAATCTCCTTATCATGTGTAAATTCGTTATTCATGTATGATAATGAACAGCCATATCTTATTGCTTCCATGACAAACGTTCTATCCTTCTGCAAATCTTCACCTACACTGACAAACGACCAATCATTTTGTTTAATACAAAGTGTAGCAATTTCTCTGTCATTGGCAAACTGTGAAGGGAGGTTACTCAAATCACATCCCAGTGTCACAGCTTTCAACACCATATTTCGGTCATACCGTATGTCATCTCCTGCATTAGCAATACTAGAGTTGTGTCAATCAGTATTCAAATAATGTGAAACTTTCTACCAAAATGTGTACATACCATTGTGGTGCATTTCTGACGGCCTTCAGAAATATCTCTCTATCATTTCTAATATCGTCAGAGAATCTTCTGAATGTATTACCATCCATAGAAACAGCAGCGAGAGCTACTTCTCTATCATTGAGCAAGTCATCCCCAAGATGATTAACATAGGCATTTCCAGAACAATTTTGGATGACTTTCAATATGAAATCCTTGTCATTTCGCAAACTTTCATCAGCATAACACAGTGCTGATGTATTTGAACAACAACAAGCCAAAAAGACTAGCTCATAATCTTTTGCAAGCTCTGTATTTTCGACCAAAGATAAATATTCTCCATCGCTTTGAATTGCCATCTTGATGATTTCTCGATCAGACAAAATATTTTTCGGGCAATATTTGATGCATTGCATATTGGCTCCCAGTGCTTGAAGAACGATCTCTCGGTCGCTTCGTAAATCTTCTTGTGCCTGTTCAAATAGTTCCAATATTCCTTCATGATCTTGTTCTTTGAACTTTGAAAGAATTTCATATTTTCTCTCAAAAAAGTCCACCGTGGACGTGGTTTTGGTTTGCATGGCTTCTCTCAGCAAGCCATACAGTGAATTATTCATCAAACTATTGTTCGGAAGTATCGTGAGAATTGTTCTCATGATGTTATTTTTTACTTAAAATAAGAACGAAGCGATTGACAAATTTTGTGTTGAGATTTGAAAAAATATGGGTTAACCGCTGAAGTCGTCTCTATTCTGTTTCACATTTTTAGTTGCTACAATCTGGAGAGAAGTTCAGAAATATTTCCACGTACGATTCGAAGCAACAAAATCTTTACTACGGAACCATTTAAAGATTCTTGGTGAAAGGACTGTTGAGTCTATTGATTTGTTCAATCAAATTACCATTGACTTCATCGAATCCTCTCTTGTTATCTTGCAAGTTCAAACATGGGCTTGGCAAGTTGAAAACTGCTGGGCTTGAAACATAGTTAGTGAAATCAACCCATTCTTCAAAGATGGCATTACCCAAATGACCTCCCTTTGTCAAAATATTGATTGGAATATAAGTATTGGCAGCCAAAATCAAACGAGTATTCCATCCAAAGACCTTTTCTTCCCACACATCAGCCTTCAATGATCCACCAATAGTAATTTGATCAACTTTGGTAGCATTGTTGGCAAGACAGAAAGCTGGCAATTTACCTTGGAGAGGATGAGAGGTACATGTTCTAGTGGATTCATCATAGACATACATTTTACCAATGTTGTGCTTCAAGAAGACTTGAACGTGCTTATCTTGAGGATCCATTTCGTGAATGTCAATTCTTTGTTGTTGGAGAGCAGCATCATAGTAGACTTTATGGAAGTCATCATAGTGCTATCATTCGTGTGCGTGTGTGTGCGTACGAGAGAGTGTGTGAGTAATGATGATGTTTTATAGAAATGTTTGATATTGTAATTCATTCCATGGTATCATATTGTTCGAAAGAGTGTGAAGAATGATTTGGTTGATAAAAAGAGTGATGTTGTGGGATGGAATATGTGATTTGTGTGAGTATACACAACGTTGTGTGAACACCGACCGATATGATGATGATTATGGACAACACACAATATAAATTCATCAGGATCATTTCAATTGGGTGAAACCAAACATACCTTCTTTGGATCCATCAACAAGATGGAAGCAGTGAATTGCTTGTCGAGGCAATGTTGGTCAGCACTGACAAAGCACACAGCTGCGATCAATAAAAGAGCAAAGCAAATGATTGATTTCATTTTTTTGAGCGTAAAGCATTTTGACAGTTGGCAGAGAGACAAAAGAGGTGCTATTGGAGTTGTTGTGCGTTTACAATCCGCTCACAATGCTCTCATTGGTTGAAGCCGGACCACAGCGGAGAGTGGAAAACTCAGATCGTTTTTGATGTTTCAGAATGTGAGAGAATGGTGAATACTGAAATTTTTATGAGAGATCGTTAACAAGACTCTATTGACCAAAAACTTGGCAAACAATCGCAAATTGCTGCTTATCTTGTTTGAATTGCTTTTTCATGATGGGATCTTTGGAAGAATAGCCAATGACTTGGGTCCGCTCAGCGTTGGCCAATGTGTTGACAGCATTTTTCACATGAGCAAAGATCTTGAATGCCTTATCATCACCTTTTGCAAGTGTATATAACTTTCCAATGAGGTCTAACAGTTTGTTGTTCAGAGAAGATAGAAATACAATGCTATTTAGCAGTTCAGCAGCACAAAGGGCTTGTTTTTTCTTGGATGAGAAATCTTCATCTGTGCCCAGAGCAAGTATTTCTTCTACAGCTTTTTCAATGATGGTATTTCCAATTGCAATTAATTGTTCTTTGTAATCATCGTCTTCCATAAACAATTCGTCATTGCTACTGACACCAGTGTATCGATATGGAAGCGTTTGTTGTGAAAGAGCGCTCAAAGTAGAGAGTGTATAAATAAAAAGTCTTATCTTTGCATCAGATCCAGTACCCCAATTATATTCTTGAATAAGATTTAACAGACCTCTCATGAGGTAGAATGGTCCTTGTTCTGGATGTCCTGGTACGGAGACAAAGCAGCTTGAAATCCAACAAATCATGGAGACTAATTCTTCTGTGTTATCTACAACTGTATTATCGGGAAGAGTCTCAATTCTTGGAATGTTGGTGATTGTTTCGATTGCAATCTTGAAGAGAGCATTTGCTTGTGGAAGTAAATTGTTCATAACAGCATATTGGCCACTAAGAACAAAAAGTTTGGTTCTCTTGAATAAGTTTGAAAGCGATGGAATAGTAATATGACAGAAGGACACACATGCTTTGACAAAAGAGCTGGTTTTGGATGTGTGTTGAGCCTTAACAAACTTGTAGGTCTTTGCAATCATGTTTAAAGTTTTGATGACTAGAGCTTCGTTAATTCTGTCAAACATGGAAAAAGATCGTCTACAATCGGTGAAAAAGTTAAGTTGTTTCTCGAGAGCCATACCAAAATCAATGCCATTAACAAATCCAACCAATGCCTCACAAACTTCCTCTTTCTCAAACTCTTCGGAAAGAGCATTCACAGAATCATGAACGGTAATGGCAAGATCGAACAATGAGCTAATAACAACTGGATCTGCAGCGGTTGCGCTCTTTCTTTTTGCAAACGCCTTGAGCATTCCCTTGCTGACTTGAACCTTTCTAGTTGTTGAAAGCATGTCAAAGAGAGGTAAAAATTGTTGAAGGTTGAATACCTTAATAAAATCGCCAGTGTTCTCTAAAACCGTAAGAAGAATGTTTTGAATCTCTTCTTCTACCGTTTCAAATGTTGTCAAACCGCTAGATTTGAGGTGGTTCAACAAGTCTTTCATCAAAATGTTAACCTCTTTCAAAGTGAATGACTTGCAAACAAATTCTATGAAAACTTCCACAACTGAAATGTAATCTTTGATATCCTTCATAGCGGTCACAAATTTCCAGATCTCGTTCAAAAGTTCCAACTTGTGGCTGTCCTCAGGAGGGCAAACACAAAATTGTTCTCCAAGAGATTTAAAAAGTTGATGCTTTGGTAATGAATCATCACATTGCTTAATTTCATATATTAATATTGATGCTGCCTGAGAAACTAAGTGGGCTTCAAACGAGCTGATAATACTATTCAAGAAAATAGCGCTTGATTTTCCTTCTTTTTGATATCTATCTAGAACTTTGTGGAATAATGGCTCACCAGCATCTTTTCCCAAAACCTCAAGAATCCAATCCAAAGGAGGCGCTAACAGATCCATATATTGGCCTCTGTTAATACCAGTTTTGTTGAGGAACTTTTGGAAATGTTCTTCTTCAAATTGTTGTTGGGTATAAACAAAATCGTCGAATAAAATCATTAAATAATCCTTCTCATCAGGCAATAATTCAAACCCTTTTCTTGCTAAATAGCAGCGAGCATAATTAGCAATTAGAGGATCTCCAATACCTCTTATTTCTTTAGCAAGTCTGACCAAGTCTTTCTTGAGCCTTTGATCTCCTTCATATAAGAATTTGTAACTTGAAAGGATGGTCATTTCAAGATATACTCTTCCGAGCAACTCACGAATAGATGCGACTTTGTAGTGCCAATTTCTACAAACTTCTTTGGCATCTTCGGTGACATCATGAACAGTAAAATTCTTGGGCAACTTTGAAATTACTTTTCCTGTAATCGGGTCTGTCTTTGAGTTTTTCTCTGCAATTCTTTTATAAATCAATTTACCAAAAGTATCTAAAACCTCGCTCACCAACACGAACATGCTTGGATAGAATTGAGGAACAGTGTTTCTTCCCAAAATTTTTGAGCACTTAATCACGATTTTGAGAGATTTCACACGGTCATTTTGAACGTTCCATGCATCTTTTAACTCTTCATTGAGCTTTTCTAAATGCCTAAGATAGTCTTTTTGAGCCATGTATTGTGTGTCTTGTTCTTTTTCTTCTCTGTCTAATTCATCCAATCTCATTTTCAATCTGTCTTCGAGTTTGATAACTTTTCCTTCCTCCTCTTCCATAATATTCTAAGTATTAGGATGTTTGAAATTAAATTAGTAAAAGAAATGTGTCTATAACAAACATACAGAAATAATCGGAATGTTCTTATCTGTGGTGTACTTTTTAAGATACTTTTGTTTCTTATAGGCCCAGTTAAGATAACCAGCTTTTTGTCTGGATCCAATTTGTCTATTTAGTTGGCCAGTAATAATCAAAGATGGCTGATGATCCATTCTTGCTGATAAAGGGTCAACATATGGAGATGAAGACCCTCCTCTCAAAGGATCCGATCCTGAAAGAGGGTCTGATGAAGTATTACTATTGGAAGTCATCACCACTTTGACAGCATTGTTCTTTTTCTTGTTCGACAGTGGATGATCGGCTGTTTGCACATTTCCCAATTTTACCGTCCCACTGGCATCATTATTATTGATATCTATTTCTTCGGTTTTGTAATTACGGATTTTAGGCTTCCTATATGCCCATCATGATTAAAAATTATTATCATGATTTTCATAGATAGACCAACAACGGAGTTTATAAAAAATCTTTTGCAAAGCAGAGGAACATTGCCATGTTACCTACCACTCGAATTTACTCATTTTTTTGCTGTTGAGATTGTGGTCCAACCATTCATGGCCCCAATCTCAACAACACATTCTTTACCAATGTTCAAAACATTTTGATGAGATACCAACCAGTTGCTGCATGTGCAATAATAATTCGAAACAACAAACAGAGCACGGAATTCTCAGCGCTAAAAATTCCAATTCACGCCAGAAAAAAATGAAACGAAGTTTTGGTAATTTTTCTGCTGAGACTTCGCTGCTTCCAACCATGCGAATCAAAAAGAAGAAATTAGCATCCTTGACATCATGCACCACGGAACATCACATACACCACCAACAACAAACAAACATTGTACCAATATATCCACACATTCATCATGATGCAGGATCATCAATCGGTTGGATAAATCAACAACATCAAACAGGCATTTTGCAAATATCAACAACAACGCAAGATCAATTTCTCGAGTCCATTTGTGGCTTTTATCACTTCATCAAACCCAAACTATGTGAATGTGATAGCTCTACCGATTCAAGCAATATGTGCTGTTGCACTGCACAATGTCAATGGCATCAGAAATTCGGAAAGAAGAAATATACTCTTTCTATTTATAAGAATGAAACTCTACGAAATTATTCGTTTGAAATCATTGAATCGAATACGGTAAAGGAAGGAAATACTGAACAAATAACTGTAATTGATGGATTTGTGGAGAGTGAATCTTCCAACAATTCAAGAAAAATTATTCTGCAAATTGATCGCCAAACAAATTATAGAGCTCTTCATAATCAATGTGCTCTGATGAAGTTTTCCGAGCAAAAAATAGACTATAGATGTGAAGCTAAATTCTTTCCCAATTGTAATATATCAAACATTTCACGTAGAATGATTACTTTTGAAATTATGAATTGTAGGCTTTACTTTGGAATGGTGTAACACTTTAATTTCATATTGTTCATTTGCAATTATCGATTACTGAGTTTGGGAATTAGGTATCTTTTTGAAAATTGACACGAGTTGCACTTGTACTCTGTATATAATTGTTTGTTATTTTCATTTTCCACCTCTCTTACTGTACATGTTTTTCCTGGAATAAAAACCATTCCACACTTTTTGCAAACGGTTCGTTTGATGTTGGAATGCCTTTTCAAAATTAGTTGAATTGCAAAATCAATTAAAATTCACAAAATAACCTTTCAAGGTCCGACATTCTCACAATTGTACATACAATCTCAGAACATTTTTCTTTGCTATTTTCTTCATTGTATTAGAGTAATGTTTGCTTACTTGCAAATCCAAAGTGGTATTGTTTAGTGCTGACGTGTCATCATGTTTCAAGTCATAACAATTTGCTCCCCGATGAGCCATAAAAATTGCAGCTTGGTATAAAAAATTCATGGTGTGTTGGTGAAAAGAAGCAACATTACTGTTGTCCTTTTTAGTAGTAGTTTGTTGTTGACTGGATGCTCCGTCTTTGTTTTGTGGAGGTTTCTTGCTTTCGGAAGAAGGTGGTTTTTCAGGTTTGATTGTCATCATTTTTTATTGTTAATAATTTAAATAGTGCAAATTAGAGGGTTGGGATGGTGAGGTGTAGAAATTAGGAGTAGGTTGATAGTGATTGGGCGATTTTTGAACAAGCAAATCCAAAGATTGATCTAAACTTCTATCTGTCAACAATAATGCTTCTCTTATATCTAAATCCTTAAAATTCATCTCTGACAGCTGTTTATGTTTGTCCAGAAAATCCAGTATCTTAATTTTATCGCCTTTATAAGCTTCAGTTGCAAAGAAGGAAATATCAGGAGAAAATCCAATTTCAATAGCATGATTATAACTATCTCGCTCTGCTTCTGTCGGAAAAGTAGGTTCATTAAATGATGATGAATATAAATTAGGCGAGGTAAATCCTGATGAACTTTGAACAGTTTGGGTTGAGCTTTGTGGAACGGTTGTTGTTGAAGAATTTGGGGGTCTTGATGGATTTGTGAGCGACGGAAGAGGAATAATATTTTCATTGATGTTAATTAATGTTGGTGACATTAGATTTCGCTCTGTGTTTGATTTGGCGTTCAGAGTTTGTAACAGTAAATTAAATTGGATCTTTTGTCTCTTTTCTTCCTCTTCTTCCATTTTCACTTCATGTTCTACTCGTTTGATGTACTCCAACTCAAAATCGGGTTTGAAGTCATAAATGACATATGCTTTTCTGTGGTTATGTAATTGAGAATTGTCTAGATTTGAAACATTGGATGATATTACAGTATTGTTCATTGAAACAGATGGTGGCCTATTGATTTGTCCTTTCGGGCTCATTAATTGACCAATATTGTTCATACTATTCCGAGGACGGCCAACTGCTTCAATTCCGTTGCTTGGCTGCGGATAAATATTCTTTTTAGACTCTCTTCTTTTTAACACATCTTGATATGTTTCTATTATTTCAAAATCACTATCGGAAGAGGATGATTCACGAGCCTGATTTATTTTCTTTTGATACGTTTCAATAATTTCAAAATCGTCTTCCTCTCTCTCACGATAGGCAAACGGCTTCATTTTTTTGTGTTTGGATAGACAAAAATAATTCGAATTGGAAGTCGCTTGGAAGATCTTAATTTTGGTGTCGAGTGTTGAATTTGATCCATGAAGCATATTCTTCTTTTAATTCTTTGGTTCCTTCTTGTTAATAAGGAACTGGATCAGTTGTTTCAGCTTCATTTTCTTTAAATACAATCGGTGGTTATCGTTAAACGAATAACAACAATATACAAGCGATTCATCTCCTGCTATGGTTGGACGAGGGTAAAGTGTGTCATAGAGAAATGGAACAGTCACAACGTCATTCCAATATTGAGCAAGAAATTGATCTTTTAACATTTCTTTCAAAGTGTCAACTCCGCTCAATAACACAAAATCACAAATTGGATTCATGTGACATATAACATCACAGTCCATATCTTTAAACTCAATTTCTTTTGATGACTTTTTCTTCTTATTATCTATTTCAGGAAAGTTTTTTGACGATTCCAAAAGCTCTTCTTTTGTGAAATATGAAGAAAAGGTGGTCCATTCATATGTGACCCTAACTGGGGAGATGTTAAATTCAGAAACAAAGAACTTGGTCCATTCAATGCATGTTTCTAAATTTCCATTTCGCCATGCTCTTAAATATAATTTCTTTGCCTCTGAAGCAATGTTTGATTTTGTTAAGAGGCCAACATTTTTCAAAGAAGCAAACAATTCCTTAATGATGAACTGTGACTTTGATATTTCAATGTCCATACTACAGAGACAACGTAAGCTATTTTTGACATCTTTCCAAAATTGCTTCTCGTCCTTTCCATGCTTTAAATACACGTTTCGACATTTCAATAGGCATTGACGTAAAAAATCTTCATCCCCAGGGTCTTCTACATAGAGAAGTGTGGGTTCTGCACTCAAACTGCAATAATAGGGCAGAGCAATATCAGAAAGTGTGTTGTGATTATACACCAAAGAGCTGAACAAAGGTCTTGAAAGTCGTATCGTGTTGAGCATGTATTCCAATAAAAAGATGCTTCTCTCATCGTTAGCTTTGATAGACAGTCTTCGTATTTTAGTGTAGTGTACATCTAAAGTTTGTTCAAATACTTGTTTGTAAGAAATTGCCTGAAAATAGTTTTTAAAGCTTTCGAAACAACTTGCTGCAATGAATAGATCTTGGTGTGAAAAACAGTCAATCATGAATGTGAGTACCAGATATTTGAACGTTCTCATTCTCTCTTCTTTTTCCAAGTAGCTCAATTGATGGACAATAGAATCAAATATACAATTCAGAGCAACTTGTTGGGACACTGTTTGTGTTTTTTCAAGAACCACACTGTCATGATAGGAGCGAGAAGTTTCTCTCAGAACACAAACCATGTCCTTAATAAGACCTTGATTCTTACGAGTGCACTTGATAAGAAAACGTTTTTGTAATTGAATGACCTTGTGTGCATCAGTTTCTTGTAAATTTAACAAGAGCCTCCAATAACGGTCAATGTTTTGAGCTGCTATTGTTGAGGTCAAAGAATCACTTCCAACAATGTTCGAGTGATACTCAAAATCATTGTAACTGTCAAAATAATCACAATTGAAAATACCTGTCCTTCTCCAATTAAAATCGTGTTGTGTCACCAATTGCAATTCTTCCTTTAGACGTTGGGCGTTTTTCTTTGCCTTAATACTGTTGTAACAATACAGGAAGATGGATTTGATAAGTTCGATTCTTGTTTCAGGATCATGTAACCGTGTCGATGATTCACGTGAATGAGTGTCATCCATTTGGAAAGAGTTCTCTATGGTACAAGACAAGTGTTGTGAAGATAGATCCATTATGGGAACCTCAGTTACAACATGTTCATCATTGTTAAATTGAACATGCATCATGATTGATTTCGTTCGAATGAAATCCAATAGTTTTGAATGCATTTCTTTGAACAACGATCGAAATATGGAATGCTGATTCAATAAAATGTTCATTTCTGTCCTATTGAAAAAGTATTTCTTGTAGAATTGAATGTGATCGATGTGAGCGATCTCGTTTCCGTATGGATTGTTGTGTTTTGATTTTAGAGATGGATCGTTGTGGTTATTGTTGTTGTTGCGTTGATGATCATTCCGAACGAACATGTACAACAATCCACACAATTGCCTTTCCCAAAACACTTCATTATGTTCAGTGAATTCTCTCCAATGATGATTTAACGAAAAAATGTTCACAAATTCTCTGGGTTGTACAATCAGCATATCAAAGATGTACAAAATTAAATCTGGATGTAGGTGAGTAAAGTGTGAGTTTTTGGTTGACATTTTTGTTTTTGGAGGTTCATTTTGATCTGCACTTTCATTGTCGAGATTGTGTGTCTTTGATGAGTTCAACATTTTGCACAATTGTGTGAGGTGTGAATTCCATCTTTGTTTTGTTCAAATTTTGTGCATGTAAATCAGTTGAAACGAGTCTTAATACTACCTGGGACAGAGATCTCTTTCAAATTGCGTCGAACGATTCCAAGAGACTTCTTCATCTAACGCGTCAAAGATTTTAAAAAATGTCATTCAATCGACCCAATTTTTCCTCTCGAAACCGTTCCATGGTGCCATCATCATACGACACTGGCATGGCTCCTTCCTATCTATACAATGATGCACCATATGGTGGAGGTGGTTATGGTCCCACAACTCCACCCTATAATTATTCCGACCCATACTATAACAGCATGCAAAATCGGAGAGGTTATTATGATAATTACATGATCGGAAATGAACCTCTCTATCATGAAGATAAATTATTCGATGAAGATTTGCTCATGTATGATCGACCAACCTATCGACCAAGCAGAATGATTGCGAATCCAGATTTTGGAAATTTTAATTATAAAAAGGGATTCACAGCTGAGGTTTGGCTGAATGATGGTGAAACCGTGGTACTAAATGGAGATTCTAGAAAGAAGACATATCGTACACATTACAGCCCAGAATATTTACGAAGTTTTTTCTTTGGATGGGTTGGACGGCTGATTCGATATTTATGGTTGGATCGATTGTTTGGATTGCATGTCGATACAGTGAAAGAAGTGAAAACTAGAAATTACATTTTTGTGACAGCTCAAATCATACCAGAATGATCAACAAGTCTTGCCAAAGCTCAAGTGTAAAGGTAGATATTTCTCAACCAAAGTGGAAGTTTATACGGAGAAAAGTTTGACTTGCCACTGGATATCCACCCTAATTCATAGATGGGCTTATGGCAATCACAAAAGATGGAAAGACTTGAGAGCTGACATAGATATTTCACATGACCTTAAAAGTATTGGAAGTGGCGCCTACTTGACAGCCTTGAGTGTTTCAATTTCTTTCAAAAGCTCATTAACTTGATTTCTAAAAGTCTCCTTCACATATTTGAACTCTTCTTGAAGGCTCTGAAGGGTTTCTTCCTTTTCTCCAATCAAATCTAAAGCTGCCTCATAGCGATAGGTCAGATCATTGGCTTGCTTGACCAATACTTCCTTTTCCTTAATTTCATTTGCAAGAGTTTGATTAGTTTGTTTGTACATGGACAACCGTTCTGTCAGATCGTCCTTAATTTCTTCCAACTCTCTAATTTTCTCATAAAGCGTTTTGATTTTTAAATCCTTTTGCCGTATTTCTTCTTCTAATTCGCTTGGAGCAACCAAACTGGAGGTAGTATTTAACGATGGCATTAATCCTGTATCTTGGTTGTCATTAGGTTTTTCAATCAGCAAAGACTCAGGACTGTTCGTTTCAGGGGTTGGCGTTTTTGGAGATGCATTTGTTGAAGATCGAAGATTTTGAGGTTTTTCGTGAAGGTATGGGTGGGTGTTCTGTGATAGTACCTCAATCTCATAGTTAAGCTTGGATATTGTCGTGTTTAGTTCAGTCATTTGTTGATCCAAATATCTATTTTCTTCTTGTACTCTCGCTAAAGAGTTCTGTAACGAGCTCACAGTCATTTCCAGTTGCAGTCGTTTTGTTCGTTCCTGATCTGCTTTATGTTTTTCGGCTATAAATGACTCCTTCAACTCCGAAGCCTCCTTTTCTAATTCCATATTTGTTTGCTTTAGCCTATCATTAAGCTTGTTTAATCTGGTAACTTCTTGTTCTGACATTTTGAGACTATTTTCTGCTATTTGAAGTTTGGCTTGATACTTCTTCTCACGCTCCGTGAACGAAGATGTCTTGGCCGCTGTAGTTTTTTCGAGGGAATTGATTTGCTCCAAAAGTGGCTTTGTGGCATCTGGTACAAGTGTGAAAAGTTCTTGAGACCTCTCTTCAAGTTCTCGATACTTTTTCATCCAAGACTCGGCTTCTTTTTTGAGTACATCTAATTTTTCTTCGCTTGTCTTATTTACAGATGAAACCATTTCTCGCAATTGTTCTATTGTTTTCTGCAGATCGCTCAATTCAATTTCATGCTTCTTGACTACTTCTGCCAACTTCATTTCAATCTCAAGGTCATACTCCTTTCGTAGATCCTTAATTATTTTCTTATTTTGTTCATTTTCATTTGTTAATTCAGAGACTGATTTTTCAAGGGACTCTATTTGTTTCAAATGGGATGTGATTTGCGAGTTTTGTAACTCAATTTTTTCTTCCGTTTTCTTTTGTTCTTGTTCCTTTAATTGTTGTTCCAATTTTTCTTTTTGCTGCTTAAAATTTTCTTTTTCTTGAATTTCTTTTTCAAGCTGTGACGTTAGGTCCGATATAGTTTTTTCTTTTGCTTGAACCTCTTTCTTTAACTGTTCTTTGTCTCTTCTCAAAACCGCAGTTTTGTTTTCTTCTTTTCCAAGTCTGGTACTGAACTCTTCTTTGAGAGTTTCGAATTGTTTTTCTTTTTCCTTGGTTTCCATGGTTAAATCATCAAAGCTTGTTTGAATTTTTTGTTTTTCCTTTTCTAAAATCTTAATCTTATTCGAATAATCATTAATTGTTTTAGATGACTCCTCGTTTTGTTCCTGATGATATACAGAAGCTTTGGTTAATCTAAAATAATTATTTCAATAATTATTACTTGAGTGTTACTGAATTGTCAAAACATACGCTTCTATTTGCTCTTTTAATTCCTTCACTTCTGGATCTTCCTGCGAAGCATCACTCAATTTGACTCTAATACACCTGTTCGGGTTAAACGCAACATTTGTGGTAGTACTGGTCGTTTGTGTTGTAGTGGGTGTTTTCAGTTGTTTATTGACTTGATCGGACGAGGGCGTTTTGGTCAATGATGAGCTTTTGACAGGAGTAGATACGTTCTTGCTGGGAGTTTTTACGTTTTCATTTTGTTGTTGTGTTGTTGTTGCTTCGGAAGAAGCATCTGTTGAAGTGGAGAGAGCCTTGTCGATGGTGGTCTCAATTCGAGACAGAAAGGAAGCAAAATTCATTTTTTCTTTTGCTTTCGTAATCACGATAACGTCATCATCATGGCAAAGTTAAATTAAGTTGTTTAAACATCACACCTCTAGCAATCCAAATGATATCATGTTGATGTTTATTACAAGTGCCCAGAGCACAATCAAAAATTAAACACGCTGCTACCATAAATAATTCCACAATTATAAATTCATGATTTTGTTGTTTTAAAATTTACCAATCTTCTTCCTCTTTTCTGTACTTAAATTTAGCAGCATAAGATTTTCCTTCCGGTTCGACACTCTTTTTAGATTCTGGGTCCTCAATTTCGTATTCAAAACCGTGTCTCTTGCAGTAGTCAGTGGCGTCCTCCAAAGAATTGAAATACATGTAGGTTGTCATTAGCGGATCATTGGTAGCGTTCCAACCCATCATCGGATCATGCCATACTTCTCCGTGTGCTGAGTGCTTCTTCCATTCGACTCTCCACTTGAGTGTTTTAGAAATGCCTTGTTGTGTGGCTGATTTACTTGGTCTATAAATTCTCACAGTTCTCGAAAGTTGATCCTTAGGAACTCCAGAAATTAAACTTCCATGTCCGGTATTGCTCTCTGTTGAATAAAAACTATATTGAACACAAGAAAGTTTGTTGAGTGAGGATTTGTTGTTGTTCATCACAAACTTGTTCGACAAGGAAAGCAAAGATTTCATGTTGCTTCTCATTTTTTCTTGTTTTTTAAAAGAAAAAATTGCCAAAAGAACTTCAAATAACAATTGGGTTGCGAATTTACTTGTTCAGATTGTTGGATGAACAATTAAATTGAATATTTCTTCTTAGTCAATTGTTATATTTTCTTGAGGAAAGAGACTCCATCGGAAGATGGCACTGAAGGTTTTTTAAAAAAGCAGCAATCTTGACTTGAACATTTTCTGCTTCTTGAAGCAGTTGATTTTGATCTTCTGAACATGAATCAATCTCAGTTTGGATAAATCGTTTCAATGCTTGATATTCTTCTTCCATTTCTCTTAAAATCGGATTATGAATTTCAAATAATTCTCATTAAACCACTTACTGGAGTTCTTTTGTGGTTGTTTCAATATGATTCAAAATTTCATGCTTGAAATCTTTCAAAAAAGATGAATCAACTTTGATACAGGAATATATCAACAAATACCAACCATGTAAGCATGAGAGAGGGGTAGCTACTGCTTCTTCAGTTTGATCCATTTTTTGTAAGGCTCATTTCCCTTGGCGCCACTCATTTCATTTCCTTGCCCCGCCTTAAGAAAAGAAAAACAGTTATAAAAATGCATCAAACAGGAGCATGGAGTTTAAGAAAGAGTGTAAGCACTCCGATAGGGACAAAATCTATGAAATCACAATCTGTAGTTCGTGTCGAACCTCAAACATCCGACATGGAAAACGAGGTTCAAGGAAATTCGAATTTAAACCACAGTACCAAATTTCAGCAGTCGGAAAAGACCCCTCAAAAGACTCCCAATTTTAAAAGGGTGTCCTTCAGTTTAAAGAAAAATAATTCGCCCAGCCAAACATCCACAGACAACCTTTCGGAAGGAACAGATCCACAACTCTCATCCAACATCTCAACAGAAAATAACAAGTTCTCCTTCACCGTCTATTGCACGTCTACACAAAAGAATTACAAAATTCTCATCAAACACAAAGATGTCAGCAAGTTGAAAGTTTCGAAAATTAAATCGAATTTATTCCGAGTGGTAAACATTCCCGTGGAAGAGCAGGCGCTCTATGCATCGCGTGATGTACTGCCCGTAAAGCCTCTTGATGACACTATGACAGGACGAATGTTGGACCTTAACGAAAACACTGTTCTTTTTCTTGTACACGTATCCCAAATGGAGTTTTTCGAGAAGCAGGTTACAGCAAAGATTGAAGCACAAATGGAAAAACCAATGTCACAGAGAGAATCCTCACGGGCCACTTCTCCAACATCAATCGAGAATGAGGCATTACTTCAACGCTCGCCACAGATGCAATTTGATGTACAACCACCACAAGAACTAGAGGTTCATCAGAACGAGTTAATTAAGGAGTCACCTACAGTTAGTACGTCATCCAACTTGCCACCAAATAATAATTTATCCAATGCTTCTGAGAAATTGCCCATAGACACTTCGAATATATCCTCAACTAACGTGATACAAGACTCAGCATTCGAAAATGCTGTTAAACACTTAAAAAATCAATTTTTGGAAGAAAAGATGCAGCTGGCCAGAAAGTTTGCAATAGAAAAGAAAGAAATTCTTCAGAAAGCAAACGAAGACAGACAAGAGTTAATGACGGAAAACACTAGGCTTCGAAAAGAGTTACTCCAAGTGGCAAATGTGTCAACGACTAATCCTTCGAGCAGAAATTTGGTAACATCTATTCAACAAGAAGAAATTTTGAGATTACAAACCACACTGTCAGAGAATCAACAAATCTTAATTGAAAAAGACAAAATTATCTCAAAATTAGAAACAGAGATTTCCACCCTTAAAAAAACAGCGGAGACAGAATCTCAATTTTGGAAGAACAGGCTGGAGCTAGAAAAACAAGTGAGTTGGAATCGTGAAAAAGAAATGATTTTGAAAAATTGGGCTGAAGAGATTGAAATTCTAAAGCTTTCTCAACAGCAAGAGAGAATTGAAGCTCAAAATGTTATTGATCAAGTAGAGACTGAACTCCAAGTTGCCAATAACAAAATTGAGTGTGACAGAAAGTTTGTTGAGTCTGCAGATTTGGCTTTAGAAACATTGAAAAATCAAATTGCCAAACTCACTCGGGGCGACTACGATACAGCTACATTAATGATGGAGGCTGCCAAAGAAAAAGCTCTAATTGAGAAAAAGTTCAACGACTTGCTGATTAGTTATACTTCTCTCAGAGATTTAATGGATGAAGAAGTTAAAAAACGAAAACAATTACACAACCTTGTGGAAGACATGAAGGGAAATATTCGAGTAATTGTACGCCTTAGACCATTACTTGAAGATGAACAACCTACCGACCTAATGCAAGGGCGTTTAGAAATTAAGGATGACAACACAATTACAGTTGCCACTCAAAATTTTGGATCGAAAAATCATGAGTTTTACAAAGTATTAGATGAAAATGCCAATCAAGAAGATGTGTTTGAACACGTTAAGCCCTTAATTCAAAGTGCTCTTGATGGATATAATTTGTGTATTTTTGCATATGGCCAAACAGGGTCAGGAAAGGTAAGAATATGTTTGTTATTTTTGACACTTTCGTTGCTCACAAATGTTCAACTCACCATGCTTACGTTAGACGTTTACAATTCATGGAGACAAGACACAACATGGATTGATACAACGCGCTGCAGAGTTCTTGTACAACACTCTGGAAAAGCAAACAGGGGCAAGAAGAGAAACATTCTCAATTTCTTGTAGCATGGTGGAATTGTACTTGGATAACTTGTACGATCTGTTTGATGAATCTATTTCTGGAATTGAGCCTCAACATCGCTTTACTCATGTGATCTCAACTCAAAAGAAGAAACCTCAATTACGACAATCAAAGAACGGGAAAATGTCTGTGACAAACTGCACAGAAATAATAGCCCATACACCTAAAGATTTGCTTGATCTCATCGACGCAGGAAATGAGGCAAAACAGGTATATAAAACAGAAATGAATGACCACTCCTCACGTTCACACACAATATTTACCATAAAGCTCATTATTGAAGGAAGCACTCAGCCAAATTCATTGAATCCAAATGGAAAGCATTACCGAAAAGAAAGTAAGATTGCATTTGTAGATTTGGCTGGCTCAGAAAGAGTTTCAAAATCCAACTCTACAGGAGAACGTTTTAAGGAAGCTCAACATATTAACAAGAGTCTTTCATCACTGGGAGATGTCATTGCAGCACTTTCGGTTCATCAAAAACATGTGCCGTACAGAAATTCAAAATTGACTCTCATGCTGCAGGAAATGATTGGAGGAAATTCCAAGACACTCATGTTTGCAAACATTTCACCTGATCGAAAGAGCATTTCTGAAACCATTTCAACCTTGTCATTTGCCTCTCGAGTGAAGTGTGTTCAGAATCATCCTATTCTTTCAAGACAAGTTGTGACTGCAATAAGTAATAACGAAGAGACTTCTTCCACAACGACAGAATTGTAGACACGCTTGTGTAGTTGTGTAATTCCGACTCTTAATTCAAATCTCTGCATGACTCAGGAATAAATAAACAAACGATGATCGTCACATAGAAGGAACCAATTCCGATGCTGTAATCGGAATTTCAAATACAGACCTTTTGAGTACAGCAACAATACAGCCATGTGTTTCCATTCCTGGTAAAATTTGTTTCAGGAACAAAAAAAGCCATCTCGGAATGTAGAGTTTGAAAGATATAAATATTGAGCTGGGCAGCGTCTTCTCCTCAGAACAACAAATTCAAAACAAAAATCAAAATATTAATACTTGAACAAGTATGTCTCACCACCATAACAGACAATTGACCAAGGCTCACCCAAGAAGCAACAACACTTGGTTGAACACCTTCTTTGATGATCCATTCTTTACTGCCTTCGATAGAACTGACGATCGATTGGTATCTGTTTTCAGACCTACCACTGACGTTTCCGAGACTGACCGTGAAGTGAAAATCGTTTGTAATGTACCTGGAATGACCAAGGAAAACATTAAGATTGATGTCGACGAGGAACATAGAACTCTAACAGTCTCTGGTGAAATGAAGAAAGAATCAAGAGAAGAAAACGAGACTTATCACTGTGTTGAGAGATCACACGGTTCATTCTCAAGAACTGTTTACTTGCCATCCAATGCTGATCTTGACGCAATTAAGGCCAATCTTGAACATGGAGTCTTGAGAGTGAGCGTTCCAAAAATTGTTGAAGAGCCAAAAAAGAAGACCAGATCTGTAAATATTGAATAAACGTAAAATCGGTAGCGTTATTGCTTTCAATTTAATTAATTAACAAATTAATGTCTTTAAGAAAAAAGAATGCATCAATTTACAGAAACATAAAATCGGGGTCATGATCGCTATCATCGGAATCATAATTCGATTGGTAATAATAATACCTTTCCGTGTGATACAGCAGCTTAAAGCTATTCACGCGGTGCTTTCCTAAAGTTGCCAGCTGATCGTAGTGATAGTACAAGGGGTTTTTAGACTCCTTCATCAGTTCCATCAGCTGCCAGCATAAATCAGCCATAAATTTGTGTGATTCCTCGTAAAAGTGTACTAGATGTCTGGCCATGTCATCACTACATTGTGGTGTGGTTAGTTCATGGATTGAGAGGGAGTTTGAAGAGCAAAATTCATTCAAATCGTGATACCACAGCTGATAATATTCCATCAGATGAGATATCGTCTCGGAAAATGGCACATACACCTCTTCGTTCATCTTATTGTTGACAGCTGTATAGAATTTGGTGTTGGTGTAACGCATCATTACAAGAAGGATATATTTACAAATAGTATTTAAAGTCTGATCAGGAATTGATCTGAGTAGATGTTGTCTCACTTTTTTTCAAAAGTGAAATCATTTGCGTTTGTTTTCACGGTTTTGGATGCAGGGTTGGCAAGACAGTTGCATTTTTTTTTGCAATTGCAAAAGTGGGGTGCGACTGGCTTTACAGTTAATGATGAAGAATTTTTCCAAGGTAAGCATTCAGATAATTCCTTGATCTGCTCTATTAAGACCGAGTTCTTAATATTGATATTTCACGTTGCTTCTGGAATTCAACAACCCATTCAACTCCAAAACAATCAAAATTCTATAAAAAGACTGTTGTTTGTACGCCACCAAAAAAATAGAAAATTCTCATCATTCCGCACGTCGCACAAATTGAGTGTTGAAGGCTCTTCACCGGAATCAAACACTTTCCAATCAAATATTCAAACTAACAAAAAGCAGCGCTTTGATCTTACACAAGCACCAGATTGAATTTGGGTGATCAATATCCGTCATCATCAAGCATCATCAATTATTTTCAATATCAATAACAACAACAATCATCAACGTTTCTAACAAAATCATGAATATTGTTTACCAAACATCGTCGGTAGCCTCAACATCCAGGCCGTCTTTCATTCATCCATCGAGAAGCAGTGCTGTTGGAAGTGATCTTCCTGATGATTTGGGGTCGAGTGGCGACTTAGAGCCTCCAAACCCGTCCAATCATGTTCATCAAACCCCAAATGCTACAAATAACAACCATCCTCGTGGAGCAAGCCAAAAATCTTCAAATCATCACAGTAAAACTCATAGAAACGCCAATCATGAAAAGAAGAAGAAAAGAGCACTCAATTTTCTAAACAACATTCCTACAACACACATTCCCGCAAGTAACAACAACAACAACAACAACAAGCAGCATGTTACAAGTGCATCTCCAACTAATAGTATACAAAGCAACAACAATAGCGAAGGGGAAAGCAAAGCCAGCGTTGGTTCTTTGACGTCAACACCAACAAACAACACTCTACCAACCACTGGTGCTCCAACAGTCTCTTCTTTTGACCAAAATATTTCTGAAAAATCAAATCTTGTAGAACAACCAACGGATGAACACTCATCACACGGTAATCACAACAATGGATCAAACAAACTCACTGTAAATATTCCTAAAAGTAATCCCACAGTCGTTGCTAACCCGATCATTGGACATGGATCTAAAATCACTAATAATTCCAATGTCACCACTACTGCTGGTTCAAAGGCAAACAATCATCAACCTCAAGAACCTGGAAGAGAACATCAAAAACAACATCATCACCACAGATATCACCAGCAACACCTTAATCATCCCAAACATCATCATCATTCTAACAAATCTAAAACTAAAGAAAAGGCTCTCGATTTTTTGAGCAACATTCCAATGAAAAAGGCAGAAGAGATTCCAAAGCCAGAAATAACGTCACAACCACAGCATCATGTAACATCATCTCCAACAAAACGTCCACCTACTCACCCAAAGTATACTCTTCCAAAACAAATCAAGAAGATTACCTCTTTAGAAGAAGTATTTAACTCTACTCATATTGAGGATCATGACAGTAACAGTGACAATCAAAAAGAAAGTGAAGAGTCAAATGATGACGAGTATATACGTCGCTTACACTTCATGGAAAAGTCGGCTCCAGTACCATTTTTAGTTTGTTCATTTATCAAACCAAAGAAATCTATTCCTACCAATACAATTCAACACATACCATTACCTGGAAACGCTCCTATACCAAGCACAAACGTTGGCACTTCTAACTCCCCTCTGGATCATGCTAACCTGGAACCTCCAACGCTTTCAATGGAAGAGTTAGTCAATAAGCAAATGGAGTTAGAGGCAATTACTTATAGCAAGAAACCAACGAGCTACAGAAGCTATATTTTAGAACCTTCCCAATCGATATATGATCCATTGTTTTTAGATGATCCAAATATCAGAACAGCGAGCAAAAGAAAGGTGATGACATTCCCTGGTTTAATGACTTCAACAATTCCCTTTTTAAAATCAAAAGCTTTAAAGAAGGATTTGAATGAACAGTTCAGACAACAGCATGAAAATTGTTTATTAACTCTATCCAAGATTAGAAATCTAAAAAGAAAAATTGTGAAAGTTGTTCTGAGGGAGAGACCAGACGAATTAGCAATCGCGGCTGTTGCTTTTGTTTATCTTGAGAAAATGATTTTGAAGAATCTTGTTCATAAGGCCAACAGGAAACGAATAGCTGCTGCTTGCTTATTCTTGGCCTTTAAGGTTAACCTTGAAAGTACGCACGAACAACGAAAACAAGTAACAGCTGAATTTTTAGATGAAATAGAGAATGTTTTTGACGTAAGTCGGAAGAAAGTTGTACCAACTGAATTTTTTGTTATGGCAGAAGGTCTTCATTTTAAAATGATTGTTGATCCAAAGGAAATACAACCACACTTGCAAAGACTAATGAGCAATGAGGAAGATCAAATCATTCAACAACCTGATTTTTAATCTATCAGGATTGAGTTCTTGAATGCATTTTCAGACAAAATTAAAAAACAAATTATTTATGATAACTATGCTTAATCCAACAACTTTAAAATTGCTTGAATCTGAATTAGGGACTTGGAATCAATGAAATCGTAGACCAGCCGCAAATAAACAGCATACAAGGTCTCGATGATAATTGGCCTTACATCCTTGACCGTGTTATTTGAACTGTCAGCAAAAACGTCTTTGAAAAGTGTTACTGCTGTAAATTTTTCCATGTTGAGGGAACAATATTTGAGAATTGCCACAGCATCGTTGATAAAAGACTCTTGGAGAAATATTCTGTGAGATCCAATGGTACCAGCTGTGAAGGTGTTTGTTGGACTTTCAACAAGGTAATCTCCATAATGTTCTGAATACAAAGTTATCAGGTCGAGCTGAGTCAAATACTCGTGATAGTACAGTTTCTTTTTCTTAGCTTTTTGAGAATTGCTATTCTCAACATCTACTTGAATGTCTAGCTCGCTGATGACATCTGTTTTTTCAGACTTCCCATTACTAATGGTAGTAGTAGGCTCGTTATGTGAGTGGCCAGTGATATCCTCCTTAATAACCTTCAAGCTCTCCTCCATAATATTCTTAGCTTGAGCATTTCTGTCTTTGATAATACTCACTTGTTCCAATGTTGGAATTCTATACGGCACTTGCTGAGATACTAATTGATAGAAAACTCTCAAGAAGGTGAAAATTGAACTTTTAGGCAAAACCTCTAATCTATTGGCAAATACCTGACAAACCACACTCAACACGCGTTCACTGATCTCATTTAAAAGTGGAGAATAAGTTTCATAATCTCTAAAATAAAGAGGTGATAATGACTCGTTATTTGTTGCCATCTCGTTTCTTAAATAGAGTTGCCTATGGGCAACACCTGTGAAAAAGTCTTCATTGGCATGTGATGATCCAAGAATTAAACTATTGTATGATGATTGTAATTCTTTTGAACTTGATGATGATGTCAATGAAAGCAACTTTTCTCCATTGTTATATTTGGTTTTCACACCTTCAATGGAGCTTGCCAAAAAACTCAAAGTCTTCTCCTTCTCAGGCATCTCTCTTCTTTTTATATTTTCAGTATTAAAGATTAACAGTAAAATGGATTCTATTTTCGAGAGAAATACTAATTGAATTTCAGATAATTTAGAAACATTCTTTGTTTCCAAATAAATATAAAGGCAAACCGGAACATGTTGTAATAAAACCAAATCCAAATTAGAATTTTTGGAATCAGTCTTTGTGTTCAACAAAAACACATGATAAGCAACTCTAAGATAATTCTGATACATTTGGTTTTCGCTGTCGGAAGAAGTCTTCTCGTGAAGGAACAAATCAACCAAGAAAGAATTGACCAAAAAGGCTACCTGATCATTGGCCAATACCTTGCTGGCAATATCGCTAAAATTCTTCTCTAACTCCTCTCGGGTGATCTTGTTATAGGAAGTGTTGATCATATCAATTTCATTGGTACTACTTGATGATGGCAAATTCAGCACTGCAATCTTGGACGAGAAATATCCAATAATACTTTCTGGAGTTGATAATTGTTGTTGAACTGAATCAAAAGTAGTGCTGTTGCTGTTGTTGGATAATGATGAAGGGACATTCTCTCCGAGCGATGGTGCAGAGGGTGTTGCGATGGACATTTTTTGTTGTTGTTGTTGTTTCACAAGCTCAATTGGCAGCCAGTCAGACATGGGCACAGACCTCGATGATGTGGGTTACTGAAATCTCGGTTTATTGTTGTGAGTTGGCTTGTCTTTGAGATTCATGACTTGACGTACTTTTCGTTTGCTTGTGATTTTCACACCGCTCAAATGGTGGGCTTTTCCTGGAACGAATTTTTCATGTGTAGTGTCGAATTGCGTGGGCAATCCGAGCGCTTTCATTAATTGCAGATTTTCATCATCTTCTACGGTGGGGATTATGAGATCTTCTTCGTCAGCATTTGTAGCTTTTCCATATTTACTTGTATTTCGTTCTCTTTGTATTTGGTACATATTTTCCGAAGAAGAATTTGGCTTGCTGTTGATATTTAAATTTGAATTGGTGGGTGTAGGTTTTGGGTGTGGTTGTTTTGAATCATTAGGTGTTATAATTTTAGTTGTTTTAGGAATGTTATCAGAAATTTTTCCATAAGATGCATTCGTTCCATCACTAGTTCGGAAAGCACCTTTCTTCTCTCCATAGTGCTGATCTTTTGATGTTTTAAAATTTTCTGAATCGGTATTTCTTTTATTTGGATATGGTTGATATCGGGATGAAGTTGAGGTGGCACCTTGTTGATGTTTAGATTGTTGATTTTGTTGAGGGTTAGTGCGGTTTTGTTCTCGTGGCATTTTTTTTAATTGAATGCTGATCCTTGCTGTTGAAGGCTGTTCCATGATCAAACCGTGGTATCTGAGCGAGGTGTAAAACCGTTATTATCATGGTCACTTTCATAATATTCATCGTCAGTCCCTTCGTGTAATTCTAGAGTGAGTTTTTGTTGTCGTTGCTGAAGTTTGTAAAATAACAAAAAGTACATGATGAACAAAATCCAATCTACAAAATTAATAAGGAATGAAATTTTCAGATTGGTGGCATGTGAAAACTCAGGTGTAATGCTTGAAATGAAAATTGAAATATTTAAATAGGATAGTAAAATATTGGATATAATATAGCCAGTTAAAACGCAACAAGTCAGTCCTACAAGACAGCAGATGGGATTTCCTGTTAAATTTTCTTGAAAACATTGAAAGAATTTGTGGTTTTTCTTAATTCCTCCTGTTAATTGGCTATCTAAAGTATAGACCTGAGGAGATTAAGCAGCAAATAATTATTATTTTCATAATACTTACTTTAACACCAAAGGCAAACGCTGCCGAAACAATAAATACCACCAAAAATTTGATAAACTCAATTGTGGTTATAAGAGCATTAACAGAGAGCAAATGAGGATGCAGAAAATTGTCGAGATTCTTTTCTAATTTTACAGAGTTGCCCCCACTAATGGAATTAATTTGAAAATAAATACTAGTACATGTTGTCATGAATATCGTTGTTGGTATCAAACAAAGCAATGTGATAAGAAATTCAAAAATGTGCTTTGAGTGTCGTTGATGATCTTCTGAGCGGCTATAAACAACAGCATTTCTGAAAGGCAACAGAATATCGTCTTCGTCCTCTTGTTCGGAATTGTCATTGTCGTTTCCGAACAAATAGTTATTTACAAATGAAGAAGGCCTTCCTCCCTCAACTATTCGCTGATTAATCACATTGGTTGCTGTTACAGAGGGAGAAAATTCCGACGAGCTAATGTTGCAATTGTTTTAAATAATTAATAATATTGAGAATTTAACGTTGGATTCAAGAATGTATTACTTACTACAATCCCGACGTATTTAAATATGAATAACTATCGTTTCTTGACGAAGCAGGAAAGCCTCCAGATCCAATGTTTAAACTTGTGCTGTTTACAGAAGATGGTAAGTGATTATTGTTGTTGAAATTGTAAATATTCATTCCTACGTGTTGGTTGGAATATAATTACTACTAGTGTGTAACGATGAAAGAGTGTTCTTCAGAAGTGCTCCGATGTTGCCACTGCGTCTCTGTGGTTGCCTTCATGAAAGGCCTTGAATTTGTTCTTTGCTCAATTTTTTGTTGGAGGCAAAAAACGAAACGAAAATTGGAGGCAATGACGTGTTTGTATTGAACTAGCGGACAGCTTTCTGTGTTCTTTAAGAGAAACAGGAAACTCGTATCATGCTCTTTCCTGCGAACGTTTTGAAGCAAACGATTGATTTTCATCATTGTAAATTTGCATGGACCAAAAGAAAAAATGAAACGAGTGTTGGCTTTGGAGAACGCGCAACCTATCGCCCTTCTCTCCTCTATGCTTGGTACTGCTACCAAATCATCATCATTGCGTCGGGGAGTGTTAACCTCTGCTTTTCAAACTCATCAGTTCCATACCCAATCAATTTTGGGTGGAACCAATGCTAAAACAAGGGTTACACCAACTTCTATTACCACTGTTACTTATGAAAAACCAGAGGAAAAAAGAGTAAAGATTGAAAAGAAGTACCTCCGTAAAGCTCAAAGCGCAGTGGATAAGAGAAATCCCGAGTCCGTTGAACAAGCCATCGAAAATATATTTGAAGATTTGAAAATTCATGGTATTAGTAGACCAAACATTGAAACATACACCAACTCTATAAATGCTTTGGTTAAAGGAGAAAAGCCTGAGAAGGCTCATAAATACTACGACAAGATGCTTGAACAATACTCTTTGAAGGAAATTCCATTTAGTTTGCTTCTTTTTATGATTGACTCATGCAAACACAAACGAGAAGAGGTTAGAGCTGCCGACTATTTCGCACAATTCAAAGAAAAGTTGAAAATTCACGACGACGCAGGAGATTCAATTCCAAAACGTGAAGCAATCATCCTAAAGGCCTACACAAATTTACTAAACAACATGAGCAATGTTTTGGATAAGGAAAAGTGTGACTTATATTTTGAGGAGTTTAAATCCACGTATGGAGAAGATAAGGCTGACTACACAATGTATGCATGTATGATGAAAGTGAATTCATTTCTTCAAAACTATGATGAATGCGCTCGAATTTTGGATACTGTCAAGGAGAGAGTTTACACAATCATTCCCTCAGGCTCTGATATAAGCCAATCAAACCCCTCACAGGTTTTGACACTCTTCTACACAATGATGATTACAGCTTGTTCATCTGTTGAGCAAGTGGAAATCGTTAGAAAGCAAATGGAAGATGAGCAAATTAGTTACAACGACAGAACATATGTCAACATACTCAAGAAATACCTCCAATTTGACGAGTACAAAAAGATGTATGATCTCTATGAGAATCATTTAAAGCCAAACACATCCATCAGAGCTAAGGAGCCTGTTTTCTTTTTGTTGTTGGAAGCATGTTATCGCGAAGGATTCAAGAGAGGTGAAGAATCTAGATTAGCTACAGGAAATGAAATTTACAGGCAAGCCATTTTCGATATGCAACAAATCAGGAGATATTGGTCAGAGATGAGAAATAGATATGGACACAAGAGACAAAGCGAAACAATAATTGAGGCTCTTCGCAAAATTGTTGCAACAAACAAACAAGTCAAGAAAGAGTACAGCGACCAACTCAAGTCCTTGTTCAAACAACAAAAACAAACAAAACTGGAGCATCTCAAGAAACTTCATTCAGCATCGGAAAAGAAACACTAGATTGGGACATGCTTTTGCAAGTTTTCATAAAAATGGATCACTTCATACCTGGTTGCTAATTAGTTCTTCATCAGTCGATCCAGATTTAAGGGAACCGATTGTTTCGGCCTTTCTGTCGTTCTTCAAATGAGAGACCTCAAGAATGTCTACGTCAAATGTCAATCACAGCAGCGTGGGTACGTCAAATTGTTTCCTCAAGAACTTAAAAAAATATCGATTCACTTTGTCTCACCCAGAATCTTCATCAAAATAGCCCTTGCCTGGACTGCGACTGTTCACTTTGTTGATTCATAGCTCTCTTCCATCATCACCATCCTCGCAACGTTTTCAGGACTTGCAAATTTTGTTGTGGTGTGTGAGAATTATACAGACATCGATCGGACTATCACTCGCTCAACTCGGTGTGGAATCATACACTCGACCACTACTGAACGTAGTACCACTTTCACGATAGAATTTGATATCTTCCTCATCATCATCTTATTCATTATATATTTTACATCTCAATTTGAGAACACAAACAACATTGTCATACATCATCATCATCACTAACAAATGTCTGTCAGAAGAAGATTTGAAAAGGTCTGGGGAGGTCCCAAAGAAGGAAAAGGAAGTGAAATACAAGAAGATGTTCTCTCAAAACAAACTCCAAGAATATCTTTTGAAATTGTGAAAATCAATCGAAGAGGAGCAAGACAAAAGAGAGAACTTGTCTTTTCAGACGATGGTATTTCAAATATGAAAGGTAAACAAAGACAATGGTTCTTCCACATTACTGACTTGTTTGGTATTGAACCAGGAAGACCCATCACCAAAGATGCTAAACCAGTACTCAATTTGAAAGTGATTAAGCGATATCAATTTGAATGTGAAAGTGATGACCAATTAGACAAAATAGCTAAAGTATTCTATCAATTGTATAGTGATCGATTGCCCATTAATAATGCATCTCAATATAATGGATATGGAGCTTATATCGGAGATTATGTGAATTCACAACAAATCACTCCTTCTTCAGTGAATTCTTCTTCAACAACAGCACTGTCGACTTCAACCAACAATCATTTGGTCATGACCATTCCATCATCTACCGGAACAACAACAACAACAGCCACCACTGGAGAGATGAATCATTCTTCAGGATCACCTACATCGAATCAACCATCATCGACAGGTTCACAAAACAACAACAACACTCAATCCTCTTCTTCCAACAATCCACAATATGAATCTCCAAGTATTTTCCAACAACAACAATTGGCTGCATTTATGGGAAAGAAAATTGGTATTCATAGTTTTGAACTTCTCAAAGTGATTGGTGAAGGAAGTTTTTCAAAGGTTTGTCTCGTGAGGAAGAAGGACACTCGTCAAATCTATGCATTGAAAGTTTTGGATAAAGGAGAAATTAAACGAAGAAATCAAGTTGAACATACCATCACAGAGAAGAGAGTGTTGAGTAATCATAGACATCCATTCATTATCAAAATGTATCATTCATTCCAGGCCGAAGACAAGTTGTACATGTGTTTACAATTTATTCCTGGTGGTGAATTGTTTGGACATTTGAGACGAGTGCATCGTTTCCCATTGGAATTGGCAAAATTCTATTTGTGTGAAGTGGTATTGGCCATTGAATATTTACATAACAATAATATTATTTATAGGTATGTTTGTTGATAATGTGAGAGAGTGAATTGTGACACATGATTCATGTGGAATTTCATGTTGTTGATCGTTTGTCCAATTCTGGAAAATCAATAATTGTGATTCATTGAACGGTGTGAATTCATTGAACGACGTGATCATTTTATAACATTGATCCATTCATGTGATCGATTCGTACGAATATGATCAGAGATTTAAAACCTGAGAATATTTTGTTACACTCCGATGGACACATCAAATTGACAGATTTTGGTCTCGCCAAAGAAGGAATTACAAGTGCTGGAGGAAATGCTTCAGGAACTAAAACTAGAACGTTCTGTGGTACTCCTGACTATCTCAGTGTAAGTTTCATTGTGTGAATGTGCGAGATATAATGTATGAATACCATGAATACTACTACTATAATTTTGAAAAATCAATGATTCTTCCAACAACAACTTCCAACATTTCACACAACATTCTATTTCACACAACCATATCAATACCAATACCCCATAACATTCTATTTCACACAACCATAACAATACCAATACCCCACAACCTAAAATTTCACAACAACAACAACTCGAATTCTTTCAGCCTGAAATCATCAAAGGTTTACCACATGGAAAAGCAGTCGATTATTGGTCCATGGGTGTCTTGTTATTTGAATTCCTCACAGGTAGATCTCCATTCCGTGGATCCAATCGTAAAGAATTGTATGAACAAATTATTCACACTCATCCCATCTATCCAAAGGAAATTACCGAGTCTACCACTAAAACCATTCTCGTCTATGATGATCCCATCAAGGGTGTGAAATACTCTCAACCCGTCGAGAGGAGTGTTGTGGTGGATCTCTTGGATCGATTACTTGTGAAAAAACCTGAAGAACGATTGGGAGCGAATGGAATTCATGAAATCAAAAGTCATGCCTTCTTTGAAGATGTGGATTGGGATTTAATGTTGCAAAAACAAATTCCACCTCCATTCAAACCTCCTCTTTCTGATAATCCCAATGAAAATCTTCAAAAGATTTTGGGAAGTAACATCAATGAGAATGGAACTCTAGCTTCAGATAATTTATTGAATGCCAAAGAACAAGGAATGATCATGCCCAAAGCACCTTTTAAAGCTTCTCAATCTCCATCATTTACTGGATTTTCATATGACGAGGAAGGTTACTTGGCAAGTACTTTGGAGAATTCTCAAACTCAAAATACCAATTTAGATATATAAGAATATGATGATGTGAATGGTATTATTATAATTATTATTGTTGATTGTGAAATAGACTGAAACTAGTTGGAGAATTATGTGTATCATCATCATCATCTATATGTGTGTCTGCTCTCAGCTGATATTTGTTTTCATAATTATTCTGTAGCCACACATTATTAATTTCATTAACATGTCCCTTGTGGAGTGTATATTAAAACGTTTCTTACAACAACACAAGTTGTTGCTTTTCAATATCATGTGTATTCTCTCTTGTCAAGAGCTCTTGATTTCAAATTGAAATTGTTGAAAAAAAGAATTTCAAAAAAATGAAAAAAAAGAATTTACAACAATACTCGATCAAACATTTCCGAAAAGAACATAATCATTTGAGAGTTGAGGAAATATCCACTCCATTCTTGTTACAGGAATATGAGAAAATTTCACAACATTTTGCAGAGGATGATCGAGAATGTTTAACACTCATGGGACGATTGAATTATTTGGCTCATCAAATTCCATTACAATGCGAAAATTTATTTCAATTTTATGGAAAATGTTTTGAGAGAATGAATCTTCATAACCATGCTTTTCGATGTTACATGATTCAATCACATTTATTTCCGAAAAGTGTGAATGCCATTCAATCATTACAACATTGTTTGATTGAAGGAACGATTCAGTCGATGGAAAATCCACGACGGATGATGAATAATCATGGTAGTAAAACGACTCTTCGGCATCAAGATTCTTCAAGTGCCAATGCATCCTCTTCTGTGGGTACTATGAGAAAAATTAACTTGGAAGAAAACAAAGCCATCAAAGAATTGCAATTAAGACAATTGATGATTCAGCCTTTAGATTTTGAATTGAGATTGTTTTTTGTGAAGAAACTCATTGATTCCTATTTATTGAATCGCAACCATCAAAAGAGAAACAAAATGGCGCATGAAATTTATTTATTTGTTCTCGATTACTTTGATAAAAAGTACATTTCAAAGATTATTGAATTGAAAGTGAATCATTCAGTGCTGAGCATGGAACAAGTACAAGAATTTAAAATAATGATCGAGTTGTTTCAACAAAACAAATTGGAGAAATATGCCATTGAATTGAATCGACTCGTTCTCAAACTTTGTCCAACCTCAGATCCACAACTTTATCTCAGCCTCTTTGATTTATATATCAAGACAGGGAAAGAGTATTTGAAAGCTTTTAAAATGTATAGTCATTACATGTATCTCACTGGAAATAATTCGATTGAAAATTATGCAATTTGTGGAGAATGCTTAGAAAAGGCAGAACACTATCATTTGGCGTTGTTAGCATTTTGGCAATGTCATTCACAACAACAGCAAGAGTTAATGTCCTATCATCAGGCACAACAGCAGCAACATCGAGAACAGCAACAACAAACAAATGAAGAGAGCTCGATCGTTGAGGAGATAAAAATCGCCGAGTTCACTAACGGTACCAACAGCCAAATAGCTCAATATGATCATCAGTCTCTGAAATATTTGAGGCACATCCTTATGGAAATTATTCCGAAACTCAATGACAGTTCCATTGTTCTCACAAAGGAACAGCAAGATCTCGTCTTGCACATCCAACAACATGCAAATAAGATTGATTTTAATGGCAGTCGATTATTTAGTAATAAATAACAAGCCAACACATGTCAATTGCTTGTTAGTTTCCGAAATACTTGAAATTGACATTAATTGGCCTTACTATAATTTCTGTACATGAATTACACAACAATTGAGCGAATTACAAGTCACTATTTCTAATGAATCTGTTTCCTTCGCTATGTTTTCCAGTATAGACGTGTCTAGTGTATCCAAAGTAAGAATGGGTTTTTTCCTTGTCATAGTAATCCTTGGCAGCGAGCAAATCCATTTTTGGTTCAGCAGAATCATTTTCTTCTTGTACATCACTAGTAGGTTGCTGTGGCTGTTGTGTGTAATCAGGTGTGACCACTTTACAGAATTTACCTCTTCTGGCGGCTTCTTTTCTTTCCTCATCAGTGACTTGTCTAGAGTCCAAAAACTTTAAGTTGTTCATTCTATAAAGTACATAGAGGCGATAGTGTTGGTAATCATCCGTATCATTTCCTGTAAATTCATTCGGGCATGCTGGATTCTTCAGTAAACTCAAATAAATTAGTTTAGGAAACTTTTGAAGACAAGCCTCGATGGTAGCATCTAAATCATAAATGTTGTTGTTATTTAGCCAAAGAGTTTCAAGATTTGGAAAGCTAGGAAAGTGTCTGATGTCTTCAATTTGGTTATTGTCAAGAACAAGCGATTTCAAATTTGTGAATCTATTCAAATTCTCAGCTCTCTTTAAATTATTAAAACTAAAATCAAGTGATTCAATTCCAACTCCGAATCTACTAAATATTGATGATGGAATGATAGATAGATCCTTTGAAACAACCGACAAGTGTTTTCCATGGTTTGTTAATTGGCACCCATCTAAAACATCATCGGAAGTACTAGTGTTATCAGTTGCAGACATTATTGAGAGAAGTTTTACAAATTGTCTATTGTGTTGTTGGATGATGATGGTGAAGGTACGAAAGCCCACAATTAAAAAATTTTTTAGTTTGAAACAAACTCCGAAGGGCGCAACATTTGGCAAAGAAAATCTTCACGCGTGCAACTTGGTCATGGGTGTGTTTATTCAGTTCTTTAATAAAATAGTGAAAGAATGATAGACAACGATCATCAAAAAGCTACTGTAAAGCAACGCCGTTGACTCGGGTGAAGGACCTTTCAAGAGGTCTTCTCATTGAAAGCTGTCAATAACACTTCCAACAAACGCTCGACCTAGCGCAATCATTGTAAAAAATTTAATAGTTTCCGTTACGTATTTAAAGCTTTAAATTGAAAAAAACGCGGCAACAAATCTGTGTGAATTCAAAGAGGTAAACTCTTCCGTGTGAGCAACATGTTCAAATCTCTCTCCTTTGAGAACAACAACAACAATGAAGATACTCTTATTACACCCACTCCAAGCAAAGGAGTGAATATGGATTTATTCTGGGATGATGCTCTTGATGAACGAAGCGGTGATGATGAAGAATTAGGAAGAAGAAATCATGATGGTCCGAGATTGAAGCCTGTTTCATCTCACATGAATGAACCACAACAATCGTTCAACAACACATCTGGCTCATTATGGCCAAAACCAAATTCTTCTACTCATCCATACAGCGTGATGAATCAAATCCAACTCAACAATTCCTCTTTGAATGATTCAACTTTTGGGATTACCAGTGAATTGAAAAGCAAATGTTCATTGGACAGTGAGAATAATGGTGCCACTGCCTCAGACTTTGAAATAGCCTCTAATCTACACAAGAGAAAGAGAGCTAGTGCCGGAGCTGCAGTAGTATCAGATTCTTTAAATGATTCGCTGCTCGAGGAATGTGAGGAGGACGATGATCCAAATTCTTTGGGGCTTATGCGAGATGATGAGAGAGAGCCTTTGAAGAATATTTCCAATACAGTAGCAGCCATGATGATGAGCAAATCAAGACAGTCCTTGGGTGGAGTTTCTAGTCCAATCAAAAAGAAGAAGAAGATCAATCTTATTGACTTTGAAAAGAAGAGAAGAGAAACCCGAGTGCTTAATGTCGTTCCTCAAATCACATGTAGTGGCCAAGATCATCACCACGTTGTAGGAAGCTCACCAGGCTTATACTTTTCATCGATTGAAACTGCTCTTCATGAAGCACAACCATTTGATACCATCCTTCTCCATGAAGGAACTTATCATGTACAACGAACCCTGTCTATCAAAGTAGAAGGCATCCACCTGAAAGGAATCTCAAATAAGGTACATTTGATTGGAATGTGTCCTTCCAATGTATTGAGTATTGAACACAAATCAATAACCATATCTCATTTGAACATTTCTCATGACACTCAACAATGTACCTCCACGAGTACTGCCGTTTCCTCTTCTTGTTCTACTAGTGGTACTAATTGTGCCCTCATATCCATAGACATGCAATCACCACTAAGTGATGAAATTTTCCAAATTCACATTAAGAGATGTGAATTATTTAATAGTTTTGAACATGGAATTCTTGTTTCTGGCGCAGCAGAGGCCGTAATCATTGATTGTTCTATCCACAACTGTAAAAAGATTGGAATTCTTTACACTCACAATGCTAGAGGCCTTGTTCAAAATAATCTCATCTATGAAAATCTGTATGAGGGAATCACATTCAGAGGTAGATCTCATCCAACTGTAAAAAACAACAAAATTTTCGACGGGCATTCAGGAGGAGTATATATGCGAGAAAATTCTCATCCTTATATTTTCGAAAACGAAATTTATGCCAACAGGCGCTCTGGTATTTTCATTACCAACAAATCCAAGCCATATATTAAGAAAAATTCCATTCATTCCTGTAAAGAGAATGGAATTGTACTAAAGAATAATTGCTCTGGCAAGATTGAGGGCAATGATATTTATCAAAATGCCTATCCCAACCTGTACATTGATGACGAATGCGAGACTGAAATAAGAGGTAATAAGATTAGATTAGGAAAATCCTATGGAATTTGGGCTAAAGGAAAGTGTAAACCAAAGATTTGTGAGAATGAAATTGTTGACAATGTCGGCAAGAATGTTTTAATTACAGAGTCAGCCAAACCATACTTTAGTGAAAACAAAATTTATTATTCTCGAAGCGTCTTGCAAACAGAAGAACTTAGAGGAATTGTTTTAAAAGATTTATGCAAGCCAACTTTTGAACTCGAAGAGATTTATGGTCATTCGTCCTCAGGAGTAGACATTGGAGGAAGGGCTCAGCCTCTATTCTTCGCTTGCAAAGTGACCGATAACTCAAAGAATGGATTTTTGATAAGAGATTATTCCAGTCCAACAATCAATGAGTGTATTGTGTCCAACAATGTTTATCCAAACATTTTAGCTATAGACAGGGCTGAGTCAGTGATAACCAAGTGCAAAATACATTCTGGTAGCCAAACCGGTATTTCTATTAAGGGCACACCAATCACAACCATTAGGGAAAGTGAAATTTATGGAAACTCTTTTTCAAACATCAAGATTGGTGGCAGTTCATCTACAGATATCATTGAGTCTAAAATTTACAATGGAAGACAAAGCGGAATTTGGGTCAAAGAGGATGCATCTGGTAAAATTTTCAGGTGTAGCTTGTTTAACAACCGAAGAGATAACATTTTAATGGAAATGCGAGGCAAAATGATCATTTCCGAAAATGAACAGGATAAATAGTTGTTGCAGTTTATGGCTTTTTTCGTTTCTTGTTGTGTTGATTTCTTTCATCAACAACTTTAAGGTTATTTCTGAGAAAATCCAATTGTGGGCATTCCATGATGCTTTGCATGACATGAAAAGGAACAAGAACTTTTCCTTCTGACTCTTTGAATGTTTCGTTCATGGCTTGAGCTTTGTACATGGCCATCGAGTGCGTGATTAGTGAGGAGGCAAATTTACGAAAAAGTACGTTGAACATGAGTGCCGCCTTATCATCAAGTTTAAAGTCACATTCATCCATGATGTCATCAATACCCACATCGCTGCAGTCACAATTGACTTGCATACTACTGCTTGTAAAGAATTTTGTGCAATGAGGGCATTCATTCAAAGGTAGAGAGAAGTCATCGTCGAGTGATGTTGTACAGGATTCAATATGATAAGTCAAAGAAGGAATCTTCATTCTCTTTCTACATCTATCCTGGATACGATTAAAATCTGATTGGGGCTGATGAGGACATCCACAGTATTTACAGAATTGTGGATTCTCTTCAGCTGTTTCTAGGTTTTTCTTATTTTCTTCTTCTTCTATCATATCTAACACTGACTCCTTATGAAAAACAATTGGTGTTAGGCCAATTTTTCTTAATAATCGCGCAATGTAAGAAGTAGATAAATTAAAATCAGGCTGTTTGGTTTGTAAATATCTTTTAATTTCCAAAGCTCTCTTGCGTTCGGCACATTTTCTTTTACCTATCGTCCAATTAATAAAAACTTCATCAGACGTTGCAAATAAATATGGAAGATTGATATTGCTGTCAGCTATCATTGGAAATCTCTCTGATGCCAGCTTAACAGCTCTTTCTTCTTTGTTTAGAGAGTCCAATCGTGTGACCATGTAATCTTTTTTGAAGAAGGTGATTGGTTATAACATAGTGATAATAATACCTACTCATCTTTGAAGGTTGGCAACTGAACGGTGGAAAAGGCATGTCAGAAATAAAAGATAAGTCTTCATCAATGAGCTCACTTTCAATTTTAAGCTAATTCTATTTCTTTGCGGTTAGACCACAGTTCGAAATACTTACTGCTGTTTCATCCTTTGTGTCATTTGGTGACTTTTTCTTTTTCTTTGACGGAGAGGCAGATCCAAGATGAATAACTTCTTCAGATGAAAATTCTTCATCTGAATCTAGTGTGAGTTTTTTCTTAATTTTTTTCTGATGTGTATCAACGAAGGTGTCCGACTCGGCAAGAGCTTGCTTGTCTAACTCAATATCAGCAATTGTTTCCGCTGAATTAACAATTTTCCCAGTGTTTTTTCTATCTAGTGACAAATGATGTACAATATCAAGTGGTTTGTTGATGTCTGTATTTCCTTTGAAATGAAGTTGAACAATAACTTGAAATTCACCATATCCTCTTCTAGATACATGAAAAGGAGGATGATAAATGTCAACAATATCATTAGGGGCAAATGATCTATGCAGAAATACTCGAACTTTCTTCACATAAGTGCTAATATCAGGTTCTTCGCTCGAGCCTCTCACATAGATGGTCCATTTATGAGTGTAGGAGTCATGGACTTCCCGATGTTTCTCGGAAATATAGTGAGAAGTATTTCCAACTACAATTCTCTTACGGATTGTATCTGTTTTCTTTTGATTTTCAAGAAAGCTTGCCAATTTCATAGCTTGATCCGCATTGACTAAATTTCGTCATCATGATTATTTAATAAAATTATTAATAACATTTTTTAAAAAACGAACACTGCAGTCCGTGATCACTTACGTTCGCTCCATAGCTTTTTCAGCAATTCTTGCTTGTGAGCAACTTCTTTCAAGCGTTCTTCAATCAATTTCTGTTCCAAATGCTTTTCCCGCAAATTTTCTTCATAATCAATCGTTTCGTCTTCTTCGTCCATTTTTTTTGTTGTGTGGTGTGAGTACCCCGAGAAGAGGCGAGATCATGGTTTTGTTAACCATCGAATGGAATAATCTCTATCTCTCCAATTAGTTGCCAAAACAAAAGAAAGCACCACCAACTGTAAATTCAATATGAAAAAATGAATACAACACCCACCATGTCCTTAGAGAGAAGTTTTACGAGCCTGACAAACACCCTTCTCTCTTCACCGACGACGTCGCCAGTAAAAAAGACCAACATTAATATCTCTAGTTCAACATTTGTAACAAATGATCTACAACAAAGACCAAAACCCGGACTCTCGAGCAAGGAGAAGGAAATTGTACAAAAGATAAAATTGCAAAAGAATATTCCATCGGGATTGCTTTTGGCAGCAAGTTTTACTTCAGCGGAAGAAGTCATTGAGAAAAATCTTCTACAAGTAGATGAAGAGCAGAAAGTATCTCTCTCCTTGGAAGATATTCAAGCATTGTTCAAAGCAAAATGCGTAGATCAAAATCTGCAATACATTCCAGAACGAGAGGATAGATTTATTGATTTAATACAAAAAAATTGTAGTGGACTACTTTTTTCTTTAAGAGAGCATGGTCTTGCAGACGAAGCAGCTAAAGCGTTAAGGAAAATTCTCGCAAATAATAGAAGTTATACTATTCTGGATCTTTGTGGAAACAGGTTGAGAGACACTGGTACTATCGAACTAGCGCCTCTGCTTGAAGACAATCAAACAATTGTTAGATTGGACTTAAGATCCAATGATATTGGAGGAAAGGGTGCAAAAGCATTGTTCAACTCTTTACTATATAATCAGACGTTGACGAGCTTAGACCTATCGGGGTTGAGTGGTATCAATAGAAATCACATTAGCACGAAAGGAGCCAAGCACTTGAGCGAATTGCTACAACAAAATCAAACTCTTTGTCAACTCAATTTGGCAAGTAATGGAATGGGAGCAGATGGTGTCAAAATACTTTGTAAGGGGTTAGTGGATAACTTTTCCTTAACAGAGTTAGATATTAGCTCCAACAACATTGGTACGGCAGGTTGTGAATCTCTTGCACGAGTGTTAGACAGAACTAATCTTCAAAAACTGTCAATGGAGCGAAATCAAATTGGTAATAAGGGAGTTTTTGTGATGTGCGAGAAAATGAAAACGATGCTAACGCCAACGTTGACTTATTGGGATCTATCTGAGAACAGAATTACAAGCGAAGGTGTGGAGGTATTGGTAGATATGCTGAAAATAGACAAAAGTTTGAAAACATTAAGAATTGAATGTAACGAATTTGGTGATAAGGGAGCTGAAGATTTTGCACAACTACTTGAGGTGAACAAGACCCTTAAAAAGCTGATGCTTGGAGAAAACGCAATTGGAGATGAGGGAGCTAAGGAGATTGGAAAAGGTTTATCACTGAACAGAACTTTAAAAACTCTGCTACTGAACAACAATCTTATCAAAGACACAGGCGCAAAGAAAATTATACGAGGTTTAAGCACTGGAACTAAATTGAAACATTTAGATTTATCCCACAACCGTATTGGCGATAGAGCAGGAGTTGAAATTGCTCGCATGTTGACAACGAATGAAACCTTACGAACTCTCAATTTAAAACAAAATGAGCTGAAAACATCAGGAGATCAAATTTCAGATGCCATGAGAAAGAACTTCACCTTGATTAACTTTGATTTTTCGTTCAATGATTTTAGCTACAAAAGCTTTAGTTATATTTCAGAAGCGTTGAAACGAAATGAAAAGTTGCTGAAATCAAACGAAGTCGAAAGGTTGAAAAAGAAAATAGAGCTTCTTCAGGATACAGAACTTCGATTAGCTGAAGTGAGTGATAACTTGGAAAAAGAAAAAGAAGAAGAAGTTATGTTGTACAGAGAATTAGAAGATTCTGAATATGAACTTCAACGAGTGAGGCAACAAAGCCAGCAACAGTTAGATAGACTTCAAGAAGAGCTTGAAGCCAAGAAAACTCTAACGTTTGAGAAAGAAAAGGAATACAGAACCTTAGTTGAAGGTATACAAGAAGAAAAGGATTTATTCGAAGATAGATGCAGGGAAATTATTGATAAAACCGATTCTGAACGGAGACGAGTAGAAGAATTGAAAAAGACCAAGCAAGCAATGGACAGAGAGATTGCAGAGCAGCTCAAGCTTTTGGCAAATGAAACAGTACCTCTTCTTGAGAGTTTAAAAACGGAAGAAAATAATTTTAACAAGGAGAAGCAAAAAACAGCTGTCGCAGAGAAAGAGCTATATTCACTGGCACGAAGAGTTCAAAAACTAAGTGACGAATTGTATCCTCAAGAAGTAGTTAAGGAAGAGATTGACTCAAGGCCATCAACATCCTCAGGAAGAAGACCTTCGGTGAAAGACAGTTCGCGAACCTCCACAAAACAATCATCCGCCTCAAGGTCACGCAGATAACTGTACTTGAGCAATCATGATTGCAAGCTCGGCATGTCTCATCAAATCAACTTGAATCAAATTCATTCTCCGTCTCTAATTCCATTCGACAACAGGTGGATTTAAAGTGCGTGTTGTTCAATAATTAAAAGTGCGTCATCAAGTTGTTTGGTGCGCACTTTTTCAAACACAGCAAAAATGCATAAGTGCGTCTCATTAATGTTGTCGTCTCGAGAGGTATTTCAGCGCCCAACTTTAAAAAAAGCACAAATTCATACCTCATTTTCTCCAAATTTTCATTGATAAACGATTCTATCTCTAATGGCTCCCGACAAAACAGAAACTCAGGCATTCATACCGACTAAAGTTGTAGATTGTTCGTTTCAGGATATGTGTGCCATCACGTCTATAATCACCATCATCACCCTCTTCACAATAGCAGGTATAATTGTCGGAGCTTTTTCTGCAACGAATAACGATAGATGTGCAAAAGTTCTACCCTTTCAGGACACTCAAACATTTGTATTTCAATTTAATGCATCTACCATTAATAACATGTACATCGGAGGCGATGTAAAAACAACTATTTATTTTGATGCATCTCTCACAAATAGGATTGAAGTGTTTGTAAATAGATCTTCTTTACTAGAACAAACCTATGCGAATATCAATACCACAATATACAGTGCAGTAGAAAATGGAACCAATGTACTGCGAATTAACACAACAATTCCGACTACAGATTTTACAAATTGTTACTATGCCTCAAGAATCATCAGATTGCCTGCAATTCTTGCCACAATCAGCGCTCAAGTCAGAAATTATGGAAACGATTTAATTTTAATGCCAGATCCAAATACAAATCCCTCAACAAATCTTAGACTCAAAGCTTTGACCATTATGTCAGGAACTAACCTTGTGAATATTACCCAAGTTCAATCAGGTCAAATATATTTGAGCGGAAGAAAAGGGCAGGTATATCTTTCGAAATTATTTGGAGCTGCTTTAATTGTGTCGACATCTGGTGATATTACTTATTCAGATCTCACTTCTGCTGTAGCATTGAGTTTGTACACCACAAAAGGTACTCTTCAAGGCAGTGGTATTGCTAGCGTGGCAAATGGAACTGTCACTCTCATTGCTATCAAGAAGAAACAAACTCACCAAGGAATTAAGGGAGCTAAAGTTGTTGAAATTGGTACTGAGGATGGAGAAATAGAAGCTTCATTCAACAATAATGACTTCCAAGGTGAACTTCAAATTCAAGCATCAAATCTTGACGAGTCAACAATTCGCTCCACCTATTATCCTGTTGTTAAATACTCATCTGTAGACTCAAGGAAACAATATCCAGCAGATTTTGGAGGTAATGCAGCTGAGACTTTCACTCCCAACTATGCTGGAACAATTGGTGACCCATCTTTTTCCTCGACACGTCTTATGAAAATTAGAGTGAAGAAATCTGGAAGGTTATTGAGATTGAATGTCTAAACCTTTCAGCTCGTGCTGCCAAAATTAAACCCCAAAATTTTGCAAATTTTTGACTTGAACGGAATATTTTATTGGGTATTATGTTTACTCAAGGGTCCTCACCTCTTGGTGAGTTGGCTGGCGAGCACACATATTCAGCACCCTCGTCATCTGAAGGCTTTCGTTTAAGGTTGGACTCAGAAGGAGGGAGTTGCAACAACGAACTGAAAGTATACTCGTGCCTCATGTTGTCATCTTGGTTGAACATGTTGTCATGAAAGATATTCCTGAACAAATGGCAGTGCTGAAACAGAGTCAAGCATATTGCAAGAGAAGAAAAGCTTGCATTTGACAAATTCAATGCATTATGTTTTGTGGGTAAATCATTGTGGTAGTAATCACAAATCGATACAGGATTTCCAATTCCAAAGAAACTTTCAACCAGACTGGCATTCCTTAGTAGTTCCCTCTCAATACCATAGCCATCGGAAATAGCTTTAAATTTTACAAAGCTTTTAACTGTTTTTCCATGCCAAACATATACTGAAAACCCATACTTTTCATCAACGCTGCTTTGTAAGCTTTTCCTGAATCCGAAATTTGATGATTTGGAGTAGTATTGCTGCAGATCTCCAGTTGATAATTTCGCTTCAAGCCCTTCCAGAGAAATATTGGAAGTTGATGCAACAAGTTGAAGTAAGGAATGACTAGACAATTTGATACGTCTATTTTCTATTGCTTGATTGTTTGATGGGGAAGCTTGACTCCGAAAGGTATGAACGAGCAAATACGAGTGGTTGGGGCTGAACGACGAAAAATCCTTCGTGAAATCAAGGCTTGAAATACTTAATGATGAATGATCTTCATAGATCCAGCCTTTGATATTGTGATGAAAAGAATGGTTTGATGTTGGTTCTGTCCCAACAATTTTGCTTGTCCTTAGCTCTCTCAGCAAATCCTCAATACATTCAAACGGAGAAGAATCCACAGAAACTGTAGTTCCCATTTTATTCGAGCACCAAGTGTACCCTTTGAATGTGGTGAAAAAGTGTTCCCTTTGAATAAAAAATGTATTTGAAATTGAAAACGTTCAGCCATGTCATTTGCATTCGACGATGACCCAACATACATAAACAGCCATTCAATTATCACATGTCTCGACAAATGTGATCCGTTGAGTTTAATATTTTTGTTTTAAAAAAATGAAAGGAACTATGCAAGGACATTTATCCTCTCTGGTTAGCAAGACCAAACAAGCGGTGAACGCGGGTCTCACCAAGATGGAGGAAACAGTTGAGAAGGTTCGCCATCATGCTGCAAACGTTAATATTCCAACTTCAGGACTGTCAGGTAGTTTAGATATTTTGGATGATGCTTCGGGAAATTTGCCTGTTGATATGCCACCAAAAATTGATATCAACGGAGAAACCTATAAAATTACTAAATTATTGGGAGAGGGAGGTTTTTCATTCGTGTTTGTAGTGAAGAATCTAAACACCGGAGAAGACTTTGCTCTCAAGCGTTTATTAATTCAAGACTCATCTCAAGGTATTCAAGCTCGAAAGGAGATTGAGGTCATGAAGAAATTAAATAATCACGAAAATGTGGTAAAATTGATAGGTGTCAAGGAATTGCAAAACGGAAGAGCTAATGAAATTTATATTCTTATGGAACTTGCAGAAACCGAAGTAGTGAGTATGATGGAAGAGAGAATTAATTCCGGTGAGAAGAAGTTTTCCGAACAAGAAATATTGAAAATATTCTTTGATGTTTGTAAAGGAGTTGCTCATATGCACTCCCAAAACCCTCCGATGATTCACAGAGATTTGGTAAGTGGTTGTTACATTTGGCATGTGACGCAGTAACAAAGGAGTTTCACGTCTCTATTGTCATACTTACAAATTGTATGTGGATAATGGTTTTATTTGCCATGTCGTCGTTGCGTGAATGATCGCTAAAAATACAGAAAGTGGAAAACATTCTCTACAAAGACGGTGTGTACAAGATATGTGACTTTGGTTCAACAACAACAAGAGTATACACACTTACTTCAAGATCTGAAAAACAAGAAGCGGAAGAAGATATCCAAAAAAATACAACACTTGCTTATAGATCTCCCGAAATGGCAGACCTTTACAGTGGAGATCCTATCAACGAAAAATCTGATGTTTGGGCTTTAGGATGCGTTTTGTACAAATTATGTTTTTTCAAAGGCCCATTCGAAGATGCTGAAAGCTCTATTGCAGTAATTAATGCCAAGTACAAAATTCCGCCATCGTCATACTCACCAGCATTGATTGATTTAATTAAGAGTATGCTTGTTGTGTCTGTTAAAGACAGACCATCTGTATTTGATATTACAGAAAGAGTTGGAAAACTTTTAGGAAAAGAAATTGCTCTTCAAAGACCTGTGCAACAATCGAGACCAACTGTTCAACCATCATCTCAACAAGTTTCCAAGTTCAGCCCATCAGTTAGCCAGGCAACACCAAATAATTCTGGAGGTGGTGACTTATTTTCTCAGCTTGATTGGTTCGAAAATGGCGGTCAACAAGTTTCTCCTCAACCTCAACAACAAACATTTAGCGTTCAAAGAAAGGCTCCACCATCCTCGTCTGTTGTTGTGAAGAAGCCACAACCAGCTCAAACGAATTCATTTGAAGATAATGGTGACTGGGCTGATTTTTCCGATTTAGAAAGCACTACCCCATCTTCTGCATCCACACCAAAACCTCTTCCAAAAGTTGAAAGTACTCAACCAAAATCAACTCCAAAACCATTGCCCCCAATAGAAACAAAGCAAAAGAACGGTGGTGACCTTTTCTCCCAACTTGACTGGCAAGACTCCAATGACTCTTTTAGTAACCAACCGCAAACAAACGTGAGCAGCCCTCAAAAACCCCCGGTTCTCAGACAACCATCTACTCCAGTTATTCAACCAACAGTGCAAAACCTTCAAGTTCAAACTCAACACAAACGCAGCTTGAGCGAAAGCCTACAAGGAATGACTCTTAGTACGCCATCACCTCAACCATCTTCGTCATCATCACCATTTCCAATCATGACATTTACCAGTGAAAGCCGTAGACTTACAGTTTCCAGAGCTACTACTGTTGCTCCTAGACAACCTAGACCAAGTCAAATTTCGTTGGCATGTTTTGATTTGTATTCGAATGGTGATGAAAATCTTTTTATTGAATATTTGGTTTATATCAGAGAACGGCCTGTATTCCTTGATCAACATGCTTGCGTGAAGGCCTTGATTCTAATTCATCATATTCTTCAGTCAGCGCTCACGGACAAGTGCGATCCAATTGATGCCAAGTCATTAATTCAAGATATCAAAGAAGTATGGAAGCCAAGAGCAAATCAATTAATCGCCAAGTTTATTGTAGAATATGCTTCATGGCTTGAAAGAAGGTGTGAAATTTTGTCAGCTCTTAAAGACTCTGTTTCTGCCAATTTCTCTATGAAAGGTGAAATTCAAATTGCAGAAATTTCAGACTTACTTGATCTTTTAGATAGCTTGATGCAAGTTCAAAAATCAATTTTGGGAGACAAGACCCCTTCACCAAAGATGGGAAGCGCCATTCCAATAGCAAGCGATGCCTATGACTTATACTTGTGCGTAACCAACACTCTCCAAAAATGTAGTGAGGCCAACAAATTCTCTGAAGATGTGAAGAAGGTTACCTTAAAGTACAACCAAGTGTACACAAATCTTACCAGATTTATTTCTCAACTTGGCCAATTCAAGCTTCAAGCAGGAAATGTGAGATCAATACCTACATTGCCACCAACTCCACCATCGTTCTTTGGATTACAAAAGACCTTGGTACAACCTCCTTCTACTTTGTCTGCTCCATCTGTTCTTAATCCAAACTTTGAATATAACGAACCAGACGAGCCATACACGTACAAAATTTTGTCTATCACCAATGAACCTCTCACCAATGCAGACATTCTTAAAAAGGAGGGTAATAACGCATGTGCGGACTGTACCTCCAACCAGGTACAATGGGCACACTTGGGCTACGGTATTGTTTTGTGTACTCAATGCAGATTGGCTCACTTCAATTTGAAGACAGGAAGACTTGAAAGCTTGACACTCAACAATGTTAAATTATCAAGAGAACAGCTTTCCTTCCTCAACGCTATTGGTAACAAGACTGCAAACGAATATTTCGAAATTGGGTTGCCACCAAACACTAAACCAAGCAACAATATCAACCAGCCTAGTTTACAAACCTATGTTAGAAACAAGTATATTAATAAGATGTACGCTCGTGTTGGTAATGGAGCAAGTTCTCCAAATCATATCAGATCGCCAAGCGGTGGAATTGACCAACTTAATCCTTCTCAGTTCTACATGTAAATTTGCTTCTCGTGTGTGCAATAAAGATTAGCTTGTTTTAATAATGGTCAACCATTTAAGGGAGATATTTTAAGGGTGTTTTGTTGACAACTTCACAAAACTCGGCAACGGTAACTACCCAAAATAATTGTGAGAACGATCGTTTTACAATAAAAAAGCACGCACAATTAACAGGTTAGCACCTCCACTGCATTTCAGGAATGGAATCCTGGATTGCAATTTTTTCTAAATTAATTTGTTGAATAAAAAATGTCCTCTCGTTCTGACAGCTTGGATACGAATGAAGAAGACGAGAGAGAGCTCATTGCGAGCTCCGTACAAGAGGAGTCGCATGCTCTTGAAGAAACACCACCTGTCGATGAAACAACCACTCATTCCGTTGATAATGAATCAATTCAAACTTCATTAAATCACCATGAGCCAGTTTCACCTCAAGAGCAACAACATGAAGAAAAACCAATAACTCCACTTCCTAAACTACCCATTATCATGATCTCAATATTAATTATTGCTGAAGCAGTTGGTTTTAGTATTTTATATCCCGTAGTTCCTTTTATGGTGAGAGACTTTTTATTGCTGGAACAATACAATTCTACATCAACAATGTCTGCCATCAACCATAGCAGAAATATTGATATTCATCATGCATTTTCCTCATCCCATGGTCATCACCATCCAAATTATTTATTCCTTCCAAGGAAGAGTTCATTATTTTTCATTTCCGAGTATCGCAACAACAATTTTGAAAGTTTGAAGATTCTTGGTGAAGATTTCTCTCATCAGGACAACAATTTTGTAGGCACCCCAGTTTTAAACAATAATACCAATCAAACCAATCATGAAATTACAATTTCAGAAGAAAGAGTTGGTTTATTGGTTGGAATTTTGGCATCAGCATTTTCATTGGCACAACTTTTTTCGAATTGGTTCATTTCCAGAGCGAGTGACCATATTGGACGAAAACCGTTTTTAATGTTTGGATTAATTACAAATGTTGTGTTCCTTTCCTTATTTTCAATATCTAGGAATTTTTGGTATGCTCTTGTTATAAGAATAGTTCATGGTTTGTTAAACGCGAACATTCCTATTTACAAATCATTTCTTGTGGATATTACAGATGACAGTAATCAACAGAAAGCGTTTGTGATTGTATCAATCTTATGGGCTATTTCCAATGTAGTGAGCCCAGGAATTGGAGGTTGGTTATCAAGACCGAGTGACAAATGGTCTTCTCTTTTGGGAGGAGAAGGCAGCTGGCTTTACAATTTTTTTGCTTACTACCCATACGTTTTGGCATTGTCTGTTCCCATCATTATGAATGTTGCATCTCTAATTTTGAACATGATATTTATGAGAGAGACCCTTGTTAAGAAATCAAAATTTGCACAAAAATTGGATGATTTTTACAATAGCGTGCTTGTGAAACTTCGAATTAGAAAACCTTTCAAGAAATATCAATCTGAAGACGAAGAAAATGCATCAAACACGCTCGACGGGGAAACAAGCATGGAAACGGATGAAGTTGACATGGAATCCAGAGTCAATATTTTGGACGTAGGAACATCTGATCTAGCTCTTAAATCTTCAATAGATAATCACTCAAAAGAAGGCTCACCCAACAAACTCTCATCAATTGACAAGGTTGAAGAAGTTTCTAACGATGAAAACAGCATGCTCCTGCTGTTGAAAGACAAAACTGTACTGAAAGTCGTGTTTTTGTACATGTTTCTTGCTGTTGCCACAAGTATGATGGACGAAATGCTGCCTGTTTACATGAGTAACTCAGTTCAGAAACGAGGACTTGCATTTGACTCATCAGTTATTGGTATTATTCTTTCAATAGGCGGATTTACTTCTCTAATTATGTTAGTGATTTACCCCAAGATGGCTAACATGGTGGGATTCTTGTGGATGTTTAGAATTGGTTTGGTTATTTATGCAGTGGTTGCCGCAAGTATTACATTTAGCTCAGAGTTGGTTCGATTTGAATTTTCCTATTGGCTTGTCTGGATATTTGTGACTGTGTGTGTTTTTATTAAGGCATGTGCTCAAGAAGTTTCCTATACAGCTCAATTCATGCTGGTAAATAATGCTGCACCGTCACCACGACACATTGGTAGTATCAATGGACTCGCTCACATAGTGGCTTCTTTAGGTTGGAGCAGTGGACCAATGTTCGCTGGTCTCCTGTTCAAATGGGGTCTGGATTGGGCGGATCAAATCCATGAAGCAAATCCCACAAGCTTTTTTGGAAAAGTGCCTCTTGTTGACAAGCTCAGCTTTTTTGTTTGCGGTGTGGTTTGTTTACTCAATTTTGGCCTTTCTCTCACAGTTCCTCGGTGGATTGTGTCTGGAAGAAGATATGAAAAGAGTGTGAAATAAACTTGGCTTGCATTAAGGTTAATCTGACCTTGAGTTAGTTATTAATAAGAGTTCACACACTAAATGAATATTAAATTTGTTTTTTAATTTAGAGCTTCTTCAATTTGAGGGCTTGGGCAATTCTGTCCATATCCTTTCTACCTTGGGATGTGACTCTTCTTCCAGAGTGTGGGTTCTTTGATTGTTCCTCGGATTCCAAAACACCAATTCTTTCCAATTCTTGCATACACTTTCTTTGGACAGTTCTGGAGGCTCTTCCATGGTGATATGGAGCATAACCACCGTTCTTTGATGAACCGTATCTCTTTCTCAAACCTTGGACACCGGTTCCTGGTCTAATGTAAATGTTTCTAGCAACAGCAGCACAGTGAATGTAGAACCAATCTGGGTTTGCTGGTGGCAATTCCTTGTGGACAGCAGTCTTGGCAATATCAACCCACTTTGGCAAAACAATCTTTCCTTGCTTCTTCAAGTGTTCAGCATAGGCAACGACCCATTGTTGTGGGTTTACGTCCTTCAATGTTGCTTGACGATTGACCATATTGTCTGTTGATGTTGATGATAATTGTTGAGTACAATAGCAAGTGAAGTGTCGATTGTTGCGAAATGTCAGCTATGAGCGAGGGACGAAAAACTTACATACTTTTGGCGTATTTTTTTCAAACGATTTTTAAAAAATTTTAGTCAACTTGGAAATATATTTTACAACGAAAGAAAAAAAGCTGAACACAGTAACAACATCCCTCATCACCACCAAAACGAACTTGCTGGCTTGCGTCAATGGTAAAGAAGTGTTCAATGCTCAATGATACATGTTTCCATAAATCTTCAGACTGAAAGAATTTCCGATTCAACATCAAAAAATGTCTCAACTCCGAAGACCTACTCATCTTTTTCACCGCCTCTCATCTTTGAAGAAGGCCAATTTGCTCGGAATAAACATGGTAACATCTACACGACAATTTTCAACGATAAACAACAGCATTAGAGAAGAGAATGATATGACGAACAAAACTAAGGAACCATCACAACAAGAACAAAAGTTATCATATCAAGAAATCAAGCAAATGAAAAGAATGAAAGAATTGGAAGAACGACTAACCAAAAGTAAAGGGGTTGGAAAACTTTTTACAAATCCAAGAGAGAAACAATTAGTCTTTACAGGTCTTGTTTTAACCCTTGTTTTTTGTATAGGTTCATTGCTTTTTTCAATTTATAGAATTTACGACACATGGCTTCAAAAGCAAATTAGATGTATGTACACATACGAATTATTTATCGAAATTATTGAACTATAATTTTGCAACTTCATTTCTTTCAGATTTTCCATCTCCGTTTGTCAGGTTGACCGAGAATAGAATAACCTGTGTAGATTTCTTTGGAACTTTCTCGATTAATGTGCCAAAGCAACATCTTCCTGATGAGGTTGTTGAAGAATTTGAAAAAAAGGCATACAAATAGAGGGATAATAACAATTTGAAGGTACGATCAGTAGTTTTAAACACCCTACTAATATTGCTTGTCAGCCAAGATCAGTAACAACAGGGAACGTGAATACTCTCAACAATGCTGTAAATCGATCACGCCAATAAATTAGAATTTAACAGTACGTATTAAGAAGCAAATCGTGAACGTGAATGCTCAACCATGATTATAAATAGTGTTCAGCGAAGTCGAATTCAAATCAAAAAAATGTCTGTTCAGCGAGCTCTCACACTTGCACAAAACGAAGAACCACGAAGCGCTTACCAATGTAATCACGTTGTGAATTATGCGTTGAATGGCGACAAAAATGTTGGTGGATTGGCCAGCTCATATTTGAATTGGGGCTCTCAAGTGACTGCATCTCCACAAGGCGGGGATGTAGTTGTTGGCAATGACGGCAAACATGTCGGTATTTTTGTTTCCTCGACAGAGTTTGTACACTCAAGCTCTAGTAAAGGCAAGGTTATCAAAGTTGGCTTAGATCAGCTAAAATACGTTTTTCCCAGCGGATATCAAATCAGAAGAAAGTAAGGTTAATTCTGAGAGACAGATCTAGCATAGCTTGGAGAATAAACTCAATGACATCATTGTAGCTGGTATGTGATCTGGCTAGACATGTTTTTCAATCTTGTTTGAGAACTTGTGGTTGAGACAAATCTTTGATATTTAGAGAGGAGAAGCGGAATTGCTTTGAATACATCCTCTTCAAGTTTTTGATTTTCAATAGACTTCTTCTTAACGGATGCCCATTCCAGGTCATTCAAAGATTGATGAATAATATCCATCGTTCTTGCAATATTTTTCAAGAGCTTTACAAACTTGTCTTGATATTGTCGATTCATGGCTAAAAGCTTTTGAGAATGATCCAGAGATGGTGCTTGAATTTTGGAGAGAATTTTAGATTTGTTCAACGCAAAATGTTGCAAACTATCACACAACTCGTTCAAAATTTGCAATCGTTCTGACAAACTTGCATCATTCAATAAATCAAAACTCCGACTGTATTCACTCATCAATTCATACTTTTCATGTAAATGAAATATGCGATCTTGGATATTCATTGACTCGGCTAGCAGATGTGGTAAATCAACACTGCTGCTTTCATTGACCTGATCAAGCAGCGCAGGCTCATCTTCTCTGTTCTTGTCAGTATTGTCATGATAACAACCACAATGTTCGGCTAACCGCAATAACAAAGCCATTGTTTTGTCAATTTTTTAATTTTAAAAAATAACAAATATTGCAGCATTTAAAATCATTTTACAAACGGTTTAGGTTGGCGGGAGAAAATTTTGCGCCTAACACTCAAAAAATGTCTCTTCATGCCGAACGAGTAAAAACTCCACTTCCAGAGCAATTGAAGAATTCGTTTTCGTTTGGAAATACATCACATAATGAAGAGGATGGTATTGAGGAGGAATCTATGATGGACGATCATCAATTTGAAATGAAGCGGACGGATGAGGGAGATAAACTAGAAGATTTTCATCGTTCCGAGAATGTAGAAGAGGAGCCTACAAATCACAATACAACAGTCAATAATTCTAGAAGAAATCGTTTCAATCAAGACGTGGGTGATCAATCTACAACTGACGTTGGAGATGAGTCAAGCTCCAAGAAAAAGAAAAAAAGGGTCAAAAAGAAAAAACTAAAGACACGAGTTGAAGAAGAGCAAACTGAGGAGACCAACCTTACACCAAACGAAAATATTTCAGCAACTAACGAAACAACGGTCAATTCAACAATTAAGAATGACCTCTTTGCAGATATGAAACGAAATCATTACCTAACTATATCTCCAAACGATATTATTACAAAAGAAGTTGAGGAAGGTGACGACGGTAAAGCAGAAGAACAAGCAACAATGGAGACAGCCAGAAATGTTAAAACTCAGGGACCCACCTCACAAAGACAAAAAATAATATTTATCGAAAGTAAGTTGATTGATTATTTAAGCCATTTAGTGATCATGACGTGTTGTTTAGATCCTGTCAGTGGCCAATTCAGAAAAATTAAAGAGACGGATTTGAATGATCATAAGGAAGTGAACGAGGAGTTGGTCGAGGATGAACAACAGATTATCGAACGTGAAATTAATTCTTATAGCTCAACAGTTTTGGTTACAAACAACAATCTATTCGTAATTTTGAACTTTACTCAAGGCCTTTTAGTTGGGTTTTGTCTTTTTCACCTGCTTATTAACATTCCTCTTTACAACCAATTAGTAGCTTTTGCCGAATGGTATTCTTCAGTGGCAACAATTTTACAAAAGATTTACATGTTCCTCTGTAGTATTTGCTCAGTCCTCTCTTTATATATACTTTCCATAGAACTTCGACCACCTATTCAAAAGAGTACAATATTCACAGAGTTGGTTGTGGAAAACTCATCACCCTTAAAACGATCTACACGAACTGTGTCATTTGTGGTGAAAACATTATTATGTGTTGAGGCTGCTTCCTACTTGCTAGCCTTTTTAAGCAGTGTCATTATTGCCTATGCTGACGAATTCTTTGCTTTTACCTACTACAAGGTTGGAGCAAATTGGACAACACCAATTTCTGTATCAGATCCTGAAATAATTCCCAGATATGTTATTCTTTGGCATATCCTTAATGGAGTGAGAGCTTTGAGTGCAATCGTTGGATGGGTGTCAGCCACAATATTGTTCAGAGGATTAAGGAGACAAGCAGAGACAACGTTTCAACATCTCTTGAAGCAGCAAAGAACAATCAACCAATGATGAATACAAATGATTACTACAACAAGAGAAATAAGCAAAGTAGTAAGGTCAAGGGAAATCTAAAATCCCTCAGACAATGATGGCCGAATGAAAGAGTGATCGATGTAAACACACTTCAAAACACTTGTAATGATGCTTGGTTTTTACTTGTCAGGTGACATCAATAATTATCCAGGATCTTATCCAGTGACAAATTCCCCAATACAACATTATAATATAATAATGGAAAGTCTCCTTTGTGGTTTTGGTATGGGAGGCGACTGGTCTGCAGTGGTTGAAAGGGAAACATCAGGCATTAAGTCAGTCGACTTGTTTTCACAAGGTTGTTGTTCTTCACACGAATTGGTCTGCGAAGATGATTGTGAATCCACACCAACCGAGTCAGGACAGGTCGAAGTGACAGTAGCGTTGGCAGCAGTTGCGGCCGCAGTGGTGAGTAACGTGTTGTCTGCAGCTGAAGAAGTGACAAACACTGAAGGATTGGACAAGACTAGAATATTCTGTGGAGATTCGACATTTGTAGCAGTGATGAGAGAAGAAGGTTCCGAAGACGGTGATAGAACAATCTTTGGTGCTGCTGTGCATTCTTGACTTGTTGAGGTCGTGGCCGCCGTAGAGGAAAACAATTGCACGATTTGCTCCTTCATTGAAACTTTAGCTTTTAACTCCAAGTTTTCCTTTTGCAATTCATCAATTTCCTTTTGTTTTCGATCCACTTCTTTTAACGCCTCTCTAATCATGAAGTATACAAAGCGAAACTTTTCAAAATCTTGTGTGGCTAAAAACCGAACCGTATTGAACAGTGTATCCGTGTTGCTTAGTTTGCTGAGGCAATAATTGTCCCAATCTTGCATCTCTTCTATTGAGAGGTTTTCCCTCTGTTCACAATATTGATTATTGATGATGGCATGTAGTCGTCTGAAGGTGTTTAATTGGTCCTCTGTTACTTCTACTTGATCCCAAAACAATTCCATAGTGTTGGTTGTTGTGGAAAGGGTGACAGAGTCGTGTAAACGAGTGTTGGATATTGGTCAATGCAATTTATTATCTCTTAGATACACAACAATTTGGACGGCGTGCTGTACACCTCTCGGTGCCACATGGATGCATCTCTTTTTGATATTCGTTGTTCAATTTCAGAGTTTTTCCCCAATTTCCTGAATAGTCAAATGACCAATATTGATGAGACAAGGTCAAGCTCATTGCTAAATATCGCATGCATTAATAGGAATGTTAATACATATATCTATTTGTCTTTACGGGTAACTTTCCCTTAAACGCATTGTATTGTCCTAGAAAAAAGTACTTGCAAAGCAAAACTTGCTCTCCTTGGATGGAGTGGTGGGAAAATTCTCTCCTTGTGTTTCGAAAGAATTTTAAGTTACAAAAAGATTTTAAATATATTGTTAATAACAGAGTTTGAATGCGTTTTCTTTCAAATCTCTGTGTTTGCACAAAAGTGCTCTCAAAAAATGTTGCCAAATCAATTGACCTCATCTTCTTCCTCCTTGGATGAATCACAGACTCTGCAGTCCGATTCAAACACAATCATCTCACTACCACAACAATCTCACAAGGCTTGTATTGCGTGTAGGAAATCTCATAAACGTTGCTCTCGGAATTTGCCATCGTGTTCTCGATGTCAAAGCAAAGGCTTGGAATGTGTCTATGAAGGATTGGTTTCAAACGCAAGTCAGCAACAACAACACAATATTCATCATCATCATCAAAAACCACCCTATTCATCAAGTACATTGGTACAGCATTCAAGAATGAATCCAATCGGAACTCAAACCAATTCAAATCCGTATCATAACGTTCGTTCTGGAAATGATAAGAATACAATTCAGGATAACATTAAAACAGTGAAATTAAATACACTGCAGACCTATTCGGAAATTATTTGTATGGGAAATCCATTATTTGAAATGAAACAGCTGGAAGAGATGATGTTCTTGAGTTTAGATGAATTATGTACCAATCGTAAAGATATTCTTTCGTTTTTACTTTCCATTCAAGCGTTGTGTGAGCAGAGATTTGGTTATACGGATTTCTCTGAAAAATCAATTGCTAGGGCCAAACAAATTCTTTCTCATGTCTATGAAGATTGTGACAATCAATATGTGGCATGTACTTGTGTAAATTTCGCACTCTATTTTGCTGGAGAAGGCAACAAACAAAAAGCAAGGTATTATCTTTCACGTGTTGATAATTTTATATCCGAATTGAAAATTTATGCGAATGGTAGAATTCCGAATTTACAAGAGGCACTGAAAGTGAGACAACAACATTGCATGGGATCTGACGTTGTTTTAATTTTAAAGAATTTTCTCATTTACAAATATGTGACAGATCTTGTGGCCAGTCAAATGAATCCACTGCCTGATGCCAAAACAGTTGAAGAAACATTTTCACTTCTTGTAGGTTTGTCATTACCTCAAGAATTTAAAAAAACAGTGGAGTACAATAATTTAGAGGATCCCAATGTACTTGAAGATCGAATTAAGGGAATGGAAGCCATATATAATTTAATTCACATTTCATGTAAACAAGGAGTGGCTTCGGATTTTATTCAATCCATTTACGATTTTGTACGAATAGTAGTGGTTTCTGGGTTGAGAATTGCTTTCATCGCTCTTGCCAAACCTGAAGTCTCTTCTTTGAATGTTGATGCAACAAACAACAAGTGGTCGATTCTCCTTGAACAATCAGCACTTCATTTGAGTGAACTGACACAAAGTGAGCTTTTTCATTTTGTTTCTCCACTGTTGACACCGTTTTTCTTGTTGGCATTCAATGCAAATCTTGAAATTGCAAAATCCATAGAAAGAGGTGAAAGAAACAATCATGGACCATTTCCAAGCTTTGATGAAGTGACAAGAATCAAAGGCCTCAACGAGTTGTATCCCATACAGAAAGTCTTGTCGCCAAGTGTGGATTATTTTCAAGTTGTGGAACGAGATTTGAGGGCTCTTCGACTTCTCTCTACGAGATACAAATACGTCTACGAGTTTGCTGACATTATTGAAAAGTTTTTGAAAGAGAGGAAACCAGCCAGTGCCACAACTGAATATTTCTCATCCGAGTCGTCCTTGTTGGGCGACTCTTCTTCAGCAGCTGGTGCGCTTGAGAGCTATTTAGGATTTTCTATGGATCTCCTCTCAACACAACAGCCCTCAATGAATAATACCATGCGACGAACAGCCACCTACTACTCTCAAATGAGAAAATTCATTTCGAAACTGAATTCATCGTTTGATAAGGTAGTTTGCCCGAGTGGTAGTAGTAGTAGCCATTCCAACAACAACAAAAACAGCAGCAAAACAGATGAAGATATGATTGAGGAATGTTTGCAATTCCTGCAAGATGACGACATTGAGTTGGACCCTCTACTATCTCAAATGCTCAACGGACAAGAATTCATTGATTACTTTTGTGAACAAGATGGCAAAGTGGTTGAAAAGATCTAGTGAAAATTCGTTCACATACACTGTGAATGAACAAAATGCCGATATTTGTAAATAAAACTCATCCTCTCGATCGAACCTCTTAACACTATGTTCCTTCATCATGACGGAAGTTTTTGAATTTATTATAATTTAGTGATGTCAAAAATAAGAGATGATGAGCATCCGAGAGAGAGTCTTCAAAATTTACAACTTTTCTTCAGGTTGTTGAGTTGGAAGAAGTCCGTATTTTCTCTTCAATTCAATTCTATATTGTGAGTAAGTATCAGCAGGAGAGAATCGAGCAGGGTGTGCAGGACGGGTGGCCACTGGATTCTTCTCGCAGGCTGTATTCTTGTTGTCGCACACGTATTTGATGGTGTAACTCTCGCAGGCTTCGCAATATCTCAGTCTCATTTTTTTTTTGAAGAACAAATTTTATTTGAACTTGTTGAGGAAGACAGCGTTCTTGCAGTTTAAAAACAGTGATTTTAAAACTTGATCAAAACATTTATTTTTCGAAAACAACAAAACTGTTTGGCTCATAGGGTAATAAGTTATCATTGATGGTATGCTTATTCGTTTGAAGCTCTTGAAAAAGTGGCAATAATCTTACAACCTTCTGGAAGCTTCTTGTGTTTGGTATCTCGATACAATTTATCCAATTCAGACTTCTCAAGAGTGACACTGTAGAGATCACTGTCTGAATTTTGTTCTACAAAGAGAGTATTGACCCAAAAGTGGAAGAATTTCACAAACTTTCCTCTCTTCTTCTTTTTTACCACTATTTTAAAGTCTCCATTCACTGGTACGTTGCATTTGAATTGAACCGATGAATCGGTAGTTTTATAGGTGATGCCATTTCTTTCTGTGCTCTTATGGTCATACCTGTGATCACAATGTGTTAAATTCAATCCTTTCACTATAACAATACTTACAATACACTAAAATTGGAATCCAAAACCTCCATGTTAATATAGCCAGCCACAACTGGAGCAGGTGAGAGAGTCAGCGACTGTAATATTAAGGAAGGATTGGAATTAGGGAATAAAATGTCAGAGTCACCAAGTTGATCAAATATCGATATAAACGAGAGAGATGTGGGAATAGGAGGTTCTTTCTTTTCAGTCATTGCCAATTCTGTAATAGTGCTTGTACTCTCATTGGTGCGTGATAAACCGCCTGAATGAGTTTTTTTAAGACTACTTGCAGCAACACTGTCTTCATTGTTACTCTGTATGCTGTCACTACTGGTTGTCTCAACAATACCAATTGATCTCTTTGCTCTACTTGCATTTTCTAGACATGCTTTTTCTAAATAGTACACATATCTATCAAATATTGTTAATATTTTCCAATAAATTTGATCGTCGCTTACCTTCTCTGACTTGGAATGGTGACACCTTTGTGATTCTTGGTTCTAGCTCTTGCATAATAATCAAGACATTCTTTGGCAGTGGGCAAAAATTGAGAATAATACAAGTAGCATGAAATACAAACGCCTGTTCTTCCCTTTCCAGCTTTGCAATGGATAACTGCAACATTTCCAGGATCTTGACTCAACCACTCATGAACGCTTTTACAGAATGGAATTAAAATTTCAAATTTTGGAGCTTCATGATCGTAAAATTGAAATCTATCTTCAACTCTTCCATGAAAGCATGTCTTGTCATAGGATCTCTCTGCACACAAATTCCACAACTTGTATTTATCTTTGTGTCGAGTTTCTAAAAATCGTTGAACTTCTGACATTGGGTTGCGGTAAATCTTCTCAAAATCAGGTGAAGGATAACCCATAGCAATAATGTTGGGCGTTATATCTGTGTTGTGTTCATGAATTGTTGTAAAAAACAATAGTCGCAAATAAAATTTCCGAAAATAGTAATCAAGTGTTGTCATTAAATCATCATCAAACATGTTTTCATAGTATGAACATCAACATGATCATCACCAATGATTTACACGTGTGATGTTATTAACTACTTTCACTATTCATCATCCTTGCAAGTACTTACACGCTAAATCAAGATCAAATCCATTCTCTGGATCTTCATATCTCTTTTTCTTTTTGGAAACAAGTCTTCGTAGTATTTTCATCTTGTTCTTCTTTCAGTAATAGTTGATGGTTGATGTGGTAGTAAAAGATACGTTATTGTTGTGGTACAGTACAAACGGAATAAAGAGGTTTAATTACAAAACAAGTTCAATTCACGCGTGATGAATATATGGAGAGAGCAATAAATTAATGATGAATATGGAGAAGTAAAGGTATTCTCTTTCCTAGTGTTATGTTATGAATTTGTATAATTGGAGGAAGCCGATGCGGAAATTGATGAAGGAGTGGGGTGGTTGGTGTGAGAATAATCTCCCGAGAGAGGGTTGGAGAGAGTCGACTCAGAACAACAGAAGCAAAAACAACAACAACCGAATCTCTCTCAGTGTGGGCACTCTCAATGTTGGTGAAGAGCTATGGTGAGAAACAGTGGAGTGATGAATCAATGCAACAATCACACAATACTTGATAGCGATCGTTTCAAAGAAGAAGAACAACAACAACTCGTGTCGGTTTCGTTCGAACTTTTTTTCGGTGATTGAGTCGATCTCTCCGCAAAATGTCATCACTCGAGTTTTGATGGTTGAAAAAGACTGAATTTGCGACGCTTTTGCTTTTAAAAGAATAAGGAAATAGTTTACCGAGTTGCGTTGGTTCAGGGCCAAAAACGTTGCATGAATATTCACACACTGCACACACATGTCACTGCTTTATTGTTTCATGGATTCATAAATTGCTTTCTGCAATTCCCATTCCTCATCAGTCATGCTCATGTCACGAAAAAGTTGCTCTTGTTTTTCAATCTCTTTTTTGTGTCGCAATTTCTTTTCTTCAAGTTCGATAATTTGACTAAGCATACTCTGTCCTGATTTAATGGAGCTGCACTTTGCTGCTACTGTTGACTTTGGGCGAGGGCATCCAAATTCTCCAGATATCATTAAATCGTCTCTTACTACTGAGAACACAGATTGAAGTCTATTGTCGCATAATACACTTGTTCCAATAATATCTTGCTTGATGTTCTCCTCAAAGAATTGTTTCACTGGCTTTTCCAAATAATTTGATAATTTCTCGGTGGCATTTTCTAGCTGCTCGATATTGTCCTCCAGTACGTTCTTTGCACTTGTTCTAATTTTGTCAGTTACCAAAGGTTTACATCCTTGCAATATCTCTGCGTTGGAATTAGCAGTAGGGTCAAATAAGTAATAACTGAACACATAAGAAAATTGCAGGCCTTTTCTACAGTTGAATAGAGTTAACATGGCCTGTTCTACCCATTGCACTTCAATCCAAGCTGAGTTTGGTCTCAATGAAAACATTTCTCTCTGTATATATATATTGTAAAATTTAAGAAAGTGCCACCAAAACATGAGTGCTGGCAATAATATCATAAAAGTCCTTACCATTTTTTCTTTAATGGTATCTCTTGTTTTAGCCTCTCTATTTCTAGAGTCTTCATGTGCTTTAAATCTGTTGTAGTAGTGAAGATATCTTTCAAGAGATTGTCTCGCATGTTCTTTGTTTGAATCTTCCTCAAACTTCCCGCAAGAGTGGCTATATGTTGTGTGATCAAATGCTTTCCGACAGACCCAGCACCAATGGTGTTGACATTTCTAAAGTAGTTAGTAATAAGATTCATGTTAATAAGGAAATTTTCGAGTCTTCAACATACCTGACAGTGCATGTGGTTACATCCTTTGTTTTTTGTAAAAAATCAAATTCAATGACGGGGTGTAATAGGTTATATTTTAACATACCTCCATTCTTCTCAATAGGTGTACCACATTTAGGGCAGTCTTTGGTGTTACAGTTTAGCCAATTGAAGGTCTCACTGTCATCCTTACACTTCTTTTGCCAAGCTGTAAGCATATTGCAAGTTGCTGGCAAGTGAGGATATTTCGTGCATGCAAAACAAAACATTTGGCCGCAAGTACATTCAATTTCAAGCGGAGTGGTATGCGGTACATTAACTCTCGCGCACCTGCCGCAACAAGGAGTAGATGGGCACCACTATTACAGTGATTAAGTCAACAATGGTTATTTTTGATGTATCACATACCTTCACAGACTTGTTATCTTCGACATATGATTCAATAAACTTTCTTTCAAATTTTTGCTTTTGTTCACCAGAAACAAATTTAGAAATAATATCATCATCAATAATGCTGTCACATCCAACTTCTGGACAAAGAATTTGTTGCTTGCCTAATTAATTCAAATGATTAAATATGTCATATTATTCAGGTGTGGCAAATTCACGTACGTACCTTCATTGATCTTGCTTTCGATATGATTTTTCCAACAGTTATTACAAAAAGCGTGAGAGCATGCAGGTAGCTTGGTACAGTCAGCTGCAGGAACATCATCATAACAAAGTGGACATTCAAACTCGTCTCCCTCCACAGTCATACATGCAGCATCTTGAATGTCGTTTTCACTCAAACCTGCATATTTCAGCACTCCTTCTTTTCCTCTTTCGAAAAATGTGTTTAAAAGCTACTCCTGTTGGTATTATTCATTTCTTTCATGTCACAACTCACCTTCTCAGAATTCCCTTTTGAAATTGCACAATAAACAAATTAGATCAAAAACAAATGAAATACATACATTCGAATTTTCTTAATAAAACCTTTGCAGAAGCATCAGTCACTCCCATAATACCGACAATATTCTCAATTTCGGTTTTTTGCTCTTTAATGATCTCATCCAAAGTGAGTATTTGATATTCGGCTTCCTTGTGCTCTTCTTCTCTAAGTCTTGCAGTGTTCTCAAATCCATCATCACCATCAGCATCGTCGTCCTCGATCATGAATGTTTCATCCTCGGTATACCCAAAAGATTCAGCAGTACCTAAACAATTGCATAAATCCAAATAGATGATCAAGGCCATCAAAAAGGTGTGATGATAATTAAAACCAAGTTGATTTACATTGGTTCATGGTTGATCAACCCATATGCATTGTGTTGTTACATTTCCATTGACTGAGATCATCATGATGATATGCAATGACCTACCTGGTGTAAACTCTTCTTCCGACATGGCTAAGAGAAAGGCTTTTATATTTTTTTGAAGTTACAAGTTCTCATTTGCACAGGAACGCTTTTTATCCACCCTCATTGAAATCAGTGGTGATGAATAGAGTACATACATAATATCAAAAGCATTGTCTTTGGTTACAATAGCATACTCATCATCATCCCAATTCTCCACTACAACTTACCACGGTCGCTTGGGCCAGCTCGCGGCCAAGAAAATGATGATTTGGCTCACAGCAAATTACAACAAAAAAAAATATAAAATGTCTCTGGTGCCGCATTTTTGTGTGGCCCTTTTTCATCATCGAAACAAAACAACACACGTAGGTTTGACAATACAATCAACATTGAACTCTTGACGTAAACATCAATATACGTATCAATTTTATGTTAGAAGATTACAGCACACAATAACGTAAGTTTTACAATAGCAACATTTTGGCTGAATCATTATGACGATTCTAATCAAACAACTCCAATCTACAGCAACAACCAATATGTACGAGATTGTCATAGATGAAGGCGATGCAATGATGTTCGATGCTCCAAACAACAACAACAACAACAATGAAGCCGATCCCATCACAACACAAATCCAACAACAACGCAGAGAAGAAACTAGCTCTTACGATTTCAAAGATATCATCATTGAGCATGGTTTACCACGAATTGAACCTCTGAACTACAGTTACTTTGACCTTTGTGAAGAAGAACAAGATTACGTCGCAAGATCTTTCCAACTTTTTGCCAAGTGTGCCCGAGTCAAGATTAACAGAATGCTGAAGTTGGGAGGTATTCATCGAAGAACCTCCATTAGTTGTGGCTGTATTGAAACAGAAACCTTTCAACTGATGTTTCAAAATATGAAGGGAGCAACGTTTTTCCACTCTGACAGAATGATCTATAGGCATGGAATTAAGTACAAAGTTCCCTGTGTTGGATATCGTTTTAAAGATACCTTACCAGTTCTGGATTTATTTGAGAATTGGGGAAGACAAGTTGTCAAGAGTTGCATTTCACAGGAAGACAATTCTGTGGTCACAACTGAATACCTATTGCAAGTTAAGAATATTTCTTTTATACTTGAAACAGAGTCAAGTGAAGTGTTCATGCATATGTCATACGATACCAAGATCAAATACGACGATGATGATGAATTTAGTTTCTTCTAAAATTGAAATAAATTATTAATTTTATTAAAAACAAAAATGTCTCAATTTTATCCCTACCAAACAAATTCTCAATATTCACAACCTGAGCTACCAATCAACAGTAATCAATCCTTGTACTGGCCAACATATCAACTCATTCCGAACTTTCAATCTCCACAATACGAGTTGTCTCAAATTAACACCAATCAATCCCATGATTGGCCCAATTCACAACAACAATTGTCGCAAGATTACATTGATCAACCCATATTCTGGCCTTCATACTCATGGCCTTCGACATTCATTCCTACACCATCACCATTATTGATGACCAACAACATTACAACATCCGAATCTCAAAGACAACAATCACCAACAATCACCAACAATCATGCATCATCATCATCATTAAACGAATCAGTGAGCGAACCAGTTTCAAATTTTCCAACACATTCTTCTTCATCAAAGGAGTTCAAATGGAAGCAACGATTAATAAATCAGTACAATTCTTCTCCCCCAATAACGTCTATTGTTGGGAAAGTTTGTTCCAACGACCGAATATGCTTAGAAGAGACCTCTTCTCAGCTAAAAGCAAGATATTTCCTTGATGTCAAACAACATCTTGGCTTAACTCATATCACTGATGATATTGTTACCAATTCTTTCAATTACAAATGCACTGACTATTTTGGTGATGCAAATTATGGAACCAAGACGAAGCGAAAAGAAAAGCTGTTACAACGATTAGGAGGTCACGATATTATTTGCAAAATGGATCAATTTAAAGATATTTATGAATTTCTTGGGATGTTATGGAGGGAAGGATTGCTGAACGAAGATCGTATGAAAGAGGAAGGTTTGTTGGATAGTATGGATTATAGTATGTCAAAACAACAAGAATCATGCAACGAACAAACCTTCTTCTCAAAAGAAAGTAATACGATGTCTCAAATTAAGAACCACCAAACAGAGAACCATAAAAAGCGTAACAGAAATGACAACGATAACCAAAACAAGAAAAAAACTAGTGCAAGACATTTCAAATTGAAAGAAAATACTTTAAAGCAAGTTCTTGTTAAAAACCGAAAAGTGATTTCTAATAAGGCCGTGGACGAACTTCGAACAGAAGGACATGTCAAAAATTTAACACCCTCACCTACCTTATTGCATGCACAATCAACGACAGACTTAATCTGCACTGACATATTTAATGTAAAGGTTAAAGAATTAGATGGAGATCGAAAAATCATTTATCACTCAATTCTCCCCACTGTATGTTGTTATGTGTTGCAGCACAAGAAGTGGATTGGTTTTATGAAGAAAAAGCAGATACAACTTTGTAAAGAGGATCAAATCGATAACAAGGATTTAATTGTTGCATTGAACCTTGATTATGCTGCCAATTCAAAACTGACTACTTTGACCATTACTGTGATCAATAGCAAATGCTTCGGAACAGGTCAATCTCGAGCTATATGCGTTCCACTTGCAATTTGGTCTGGAGATGAGAGTGAATTCATTCATGTGGCAGATCATTCCCGAAAGGAAATTGAGATTATTCGGAAGCACGGAATAACAATCGAATCGAATCATTGCTCCATTGATGTGTTTTTAACGATGGATTTGAAAGCGTTAGGTGTGGTCTGTCCTGGAGTGAAACAAGGATCGTGGTGCCCATACTGCGACACATGTAGTCCAATATGTTGCAAAAACCACAAACCCAGAACAGAGGATTCATTGGGCTGTATTCTTGGACTACCTGCATGCAATATTATTATTTGCGTCCTTCATGCAAAGGAACGACTGTGTGAAAATGTTTTGAGAATAACATTGAGTGGTGTTAAGGAGAAAGACAAGTTTTGGGATGCTGTTATTAAAATCAAGGGACTTGAAGGCTTACAGAAAGTTGAAGACGAAGAATGGAATGATGTTCGTATGTTTCTTCATGGAAACACATGCAACATTCTTCTGAACAATGTTGGAGTGATGTCTCCGTTTTTCGAGAAGGAACAAACACAAATGTTGTGGGACGCATTGAAATGCTTGTTGAATAATATTGACAAGAATGCATCGGATCAAGTCATTTCGGAATCATTATCGTTGTTTTGGAATATTTATGTTGCTGCTGCTCAAGGATTCCAAGGTAAATGTTGGTATGCTCATATCTTAGCGAAACATTTTTTAGCTCTCAAGCGAAGAGTCAGAAATGTAAAGCAATTTGAAACTCAAGCATTCGAAAGCAATCATCTTGAAGAGAAGGAATCAATAGAAGGAGCATCAAGCAAAGGTGGTGGCACTCCCTATTCCTATTATGATTATATTTTGTCCAATACTAGAGACTATCTTGAACATTTTTCATCAAACGGAATCAAAGTTCGGTCAGCTCTCGGAGACAATGTTGATGATAACAAGGATTTATTGATGGAGACATTTTGTAAGAAACCAATACCTACCGGTGTTCGTTCTACCATTAAACTTGGCCAAAAAGGAAAGCTATTGGCTCAGGTTTTGTTCCGAAAGTTGAGAATACTTTTTCTTTCCACTGTTCTTCCAAACACGTTCATGCTTTGCCAGCCAAAGAGATTCAAGGAAAAGAGAAAGCAGGAAATTGCTTCCGATTACACTGTGAAGGTGAACGATGATGAATCTATTCTTCAACAACTTTGTTATCGAGAGGAAGACACAACTGTATTTGAAAATCATAGCTGTTCGGACCAATGTGTGACCGTACCTAAAGACTACCAACACTACACCATTTCAACCTTGAATCGGGTTGTGCCTGAAGGAAGTAATTTGAATCAATATTTGGAAGACGAAACAGCGAGAACAGAAGGCATGTTGATACCTGTTGCAAAGGCCAAGAGAGTTGAACCTGCACATGCTCTGGCTCGACGAAGAAAGCAAAGAAATAAATGAAGAACGATGTGTGGGATCGAAAAATTGGTCGTGTGCTGTTGTTCACAGAAAAAATAAGCTCTCAAATTTTTTTCGATCCGGCAGTGTTTTCTGATTGGTTGGAGAGCGTAGCCATCATTTTCTTTGGCGTAAGTTGTAGTGTTTGGCTACACGTGGCCCTTGAATTTCTTCCGAGTGAGAAAAAAATATTTGCTTCTTCTCTCTTTGCACCAATGGAACAATACATTGATTTGAGCGACAAGAATTTGCATTACGTGGCTGGAGTAACTATCCTTGCTCCAATCATTTGGAATGTTTTGGCCCGTATTGAATATCATACTCGTTTACTCACCAAACTCGCTTGTGGTAACGCACAACTAGGATGTTACATGTTGGCTGTTTATATTTTCAGCTTTTCCTTGTTTAGAGATTATTTGTTTGATAGAGCACTTGCTTCTCAGCCTGTTGTGTTGAAGGAACAATACGGAACTGAGCTCATGTATGTGGGTTATGCTTTGCAAGGAATTGCTTCCTTGTTGGTTTTAGGAGCCTATTATCAATTGGGAATTACTGGAACTTATCTTGGTGGTATGTGTTTTATATTTAATTGATTGAAAACGAGCGTTGTTGGATAATTGATGATGAAAATCATTGCATCATATTTTGATTGAATATTTACTTTAAAAACTCTGATGATATCGATGAATGAAATAATATTTTCATGATGATGACACTTCAATGATTTTGTTGCAATGATTGTATTTGGACAATATATTCATACACATCATCACACATTGGATTCGCATCAACCATTGATCCATATTTCTCAACAACATTCAACTTTCGGAAAATTCTCATTTCCTTCAATTTTAACACCATCTTGTTTCATCATGTTTGCTGATATTTCACTCATTCACAACAGACTACTTTGGTATCCTCATGGAAGACAGAATTACCTCTTTCCCATTCAACGTTACTGACAATCCAATGTACAATGGTTCTACTTTGTGGTTCATTGGTCACTCTCTTGTCAAATGCTCACCAGCTGGTTTGTTGTTGAGTTTGGAAATTTTCATCATGTACAAGATTGCTTTAATGTTTGAGGAACCTTTCACTGCTATGATTTATGCTAAGAGAGATGAAGAGAGAAAGTCTGGTAAATCATCATCTCCAACTACACCATCAAAGAGAAAGAGCAAGAAGTTGGATTAATTATCTAATCAACACACTCTCTCATGAATAAATTATTGACCATTCTTCCATGTTCATTTTGTTGTTTTTTCTATGATTATCATGGGTTGCCCATATACTAAGGAACAAACTTTATTTCATTAGGGAGTGTTTTCATCGTCATCGTCGTCTTCTGGATGTACATTAGCGAGTTGTTTTGAGCATTGTTCTGCTGTCAATCTTGATTGGCCAATGTTGAGCATGTCAATAACGAGGTTTGTCAAATTTCGGTTGTGATAAATTCTGCTCACTTTGGTTCGTATGTATTCCTTCCAATAAGAAAGTTCCTCATCCGAAAACTGTTGCTGTTGTTGGAGAGTTTTAATCAGTTGGTAGGTATGTGAAAATTGAAGAGCATTCTTTTCAGTCTCTTGCGATAGATCCTCAGAATTCATATCCATGGTTAGAGACATGATTTGAAACATGGCAACACCTAGTGCATAAATATCTAAAAGTTTCCATCCATTCATCTCATTATTGCCAGTAGCACTCACATTTGTGTTGTTGCTGTTACTTGTTGATCGAGTGTTTCCAAAAAGTGACTTGATTCCATCATCCACATTATTGTAATTGAATGGATCATCTGCATCTTCTTCTTCCTTTGTTTTTGGAATAAGGTTAGCAAATTCCAACACGGAGGAAGTTGCTTGTTTGAAAAATGCATTAAGATAGAGATTCATGGTGTGAATATGAATTCCAACATATCCCAAAAAAACATTTTCCAAAGTTTCATCAAGAAAAATATTTTCTAAAGAAATACATCCATACATCTAATAATGAAATTCATTCGAATTAGAAAAAAGAGATGATTTAAAAACAGCTCAAACATACAGTGGTGTTCAAAGTGTTATGAAGGTAAGAAAGTGCATCCAATAATTGCGAGAAGTATTTTAAAATAGTTTGACCTTTAAGGAATTTTTGTTTTTCCAATCTTGTTTTGACCAATCTTAATAAATTTCCTTGTGGATAAAATGGTGTCACAAAACAACAAGATGTCTTGGTCATGTAAGTATCTAAAATGGGAATTAAATTTTTGTGAGAATACATGTTAAATTGTGACATAAAATACATGAGAAAAGAGGATGGCTGTTGGTAGTAGTTGTAATATAAATTTGGAATACATTATGTGTTCGTACACGCAAGTCTATAGAATTTTTTTCATCGTCAACATACATTTTCTGCTTTTTTACAATCAATTTCAATGACTATTTTAAACGATCATGGTTTTTATAATTATTTTGAAAAAACTAGTAAAATTCCAACGCAACTCGAATGATGACACTTACTGGTTTTATATTCACCCATTTTAAAATCTCGAGCTTGAAAAACTGTGTAAATAATGCACGCATAGAATCATGAACAGCCAAGTTCGTTGTTCATTGTAGTCACAATGGCATATTCACGATGAATTTAAATTATTGTATTCGTCATTATTATTTCAAACAACAAGTCACACAATAAGAATAACAACACTTTCCACCTACATTTGACACATGATGGCCATAAATAAATTCCGACTCCTGAAGAATTAAAATTTTGAATTTCTGCAATTTTTTGATAACGATCTCTTCGATAGGAAGCCTCTTGGAAACTTGTCATCATCATCACGGAAGGATTATTTTCAAAATTTGTTGTGTTTGCTTTGAATGAGGAGTCATTAGTGGGGTGTTCCATCTTTTCGGGATTGAGTTGACCCTTTTCTGTTCTTCGCTTGGAGAGATCAAAGGATGGCACATAGAAGGATGAGAGTGTGGGTGTGTTGATAGGGACTTGCATTTTTTTGGTGTTTTGATGGCGTTTGATGCTCTCTCTACATTAATTACATCAAATTAATTTAACAAAAGCTTTGAAACATGAAGAAGGTGCCTCACCCACTTTTCAATGTTTGAGTTCAGCCATGGTGTGACACTCTTTTGTAAAGTCGCAAATGTATACAGTTATTAATGTTTTATTTCAAAATTTTAAATTATCCTCCTTTTGGTTTCACAAGGAATCTCATTGACAAGTAGGCAACAACCTTATACACAAATGTTAATGCAAAACAAAAACCAACATTGATCCACACATGTGAAAGTGGGCCATTCATTTCCAAATTCTCAATCACTGCTGCACCGGTTGGGAAAGGACAAGCTCCACTGGGTGGGCAAATAAATGTCGCTCCTTGGAATTCATTAAGGACCAACGCTTCAAATCCAAAGTGGAAGAGAGAGGTCCAATAAATCCATGTCAACCAGACTGGAAGATTGTTCACATTTCTGTAGAAACCACCGAAAAGCATGAGTACAGTATTTACGAGAGGAATGATAGCCATTGCAACTCCAAAGTTAGGAAGAAGGGATCCAATAGCTTGACCTAAAGATTGACCTGTAATGGTGATGACTGCTAATATAAACATAAACATGAAAAATCGTTCCACAGTTGGATTAAGGCCACACATCCAATAGGTTATACATCCAAACAGCAGAGGGAAGAAAAATAGAGTTGGGAGTTCAGCAACGTTTCTTGCCATAAAGTAACTTGAAACCTTATACATTTTCGCACCTCGTTCTCTAAGGAAGATTGGTTTTTCATCATACATTAAGGTAATTGAAGACATGGCAGAGTTCAAAAATTGGTTAGTACAAATAAAGAACAGTACACCTATTCTGTCTTGTACGTTAGTTTGGGAATATCCAAGTTGAAGGAAAATGAGACCAATTAAAAGAGACATGGTTAAGTTTTGGAATAGCTTTGCCATGGTTACCTTTCGATCTCTGATAATGTTAATAAGAGCTCGCATGGTTAGAACTGCAAATTGAGCAAACCAACTTGAGTTGTACGAAGAGAATCGTTTCAAATCTTGATCCAGCTTGGCTGATGGAGGAATTTCAATAGTAGGATTAGTTTTGGAATAATAATTCAAAACTCCCTCAATTCTTTCGTTTTGTCTCTTTTTCTTTTCCATGTTTTCACCTGTAATTGCTGCATTCTCAGTTACGACGTCCATAAGATAATCGGCTGGGTTGTAGCCCGTTGGACAAGTATGTCCGATTCTGTCAAAATACTCAACAGCTTTGTTGGCATCTCCAAAATAAGCGACTCTACCTCGAGAGAGAAGCAAGAGTTTGTCAAAAGTGTTAAAGATGTTTGAGGAAGGTTGGTGGATGGTAAGAATCACAGTTCTGCCATGCTTTGCCAATTTTGAAATAGTTTTCATGACGTTATAGCTTGTCTTGCTGTCCAATCCAGTTGTTGGTTCGTCAAGAAACAAAACAGATGGCTCAGTAAGTAATTCAATACCAATACACAATCTCTTTCTTTCTCCTCCAGAAATACCTTTCACGATACCACTAATTCCGACTTTAGTATCGGCTGACTTTGACAAACCCAGCTCTTCAATAATGGTGTCGACTCTTCTCATTCTTTCTGACATTGGAATTTTACTGTCAAGACGTAACATGGCTGCATATCTCAATGTTTCTCTGACGGTCAAGTTGCCCATGAGCACGTCGTCTTGTTGCACAAATGCTGAAAGAGCTCGAAATGCTTTACCGGCTTTGCTACCGTTGGCAATAATGTCTCCTCCAGATGGCTTAACTCTTTGTGACAAAATATTCACTACGAAAATGATATAATTCCCAAAACGAAAAAACAACAAATCAGTACTTACATAACGACTAGACGAGAATAAGCATTCAACACAAACAATCAAAATACTTACTGTTTTACCAGCACCGCTAGGTCCCATGATAGCCAACACTTGACCAGGAGCAACATAACCAGTCATTGGATGCAAAATCTGCTTATCCACTTTCTTGAAAAAATTCTTTAACGAAAATCCAATTCTTTCTTTTGGTTTCATGATTTGTGATGGTGGTGATGGCTTCACTTTCACCTTATATTCTAAATTGTGCCACTCTAATTGAATAGGAGGAGACCTCCGAACAAATTTTGTATCATCGGAATGATCATTTACAGGTACTGCAACAACACCGGAACCATTCGAAGGAGTGTCTACATCCAAATTAAATTCAGATGGAACTGATGGTACCTCAGGTACATGAGGTATTAAATTTGGTAATTCAACTTCCGTCATAGTTTAAGGGAAGAAAGTCGTTGATAAGGATAGTATTGTGTTTGATTCGGATGAATATATGATGGTAGTAGAATCTCTTTGCACTACTCGAGATGATAATGAAGGTATGAGAGAGAGTTCAAGAGATACTTTGGGAAGGGATGGAGATTGGACGTTGTTGTTTGTTTTTGATTTTCTTTTTGTGAGTAAAAAGCGCACAGTTTTAAAAAAATGTGCTTCGCTGCTGTTTTGGCTGCACAACAATTTTTAGAAGCCGTTATTTGTGCGACTGCGTGGCATTGATGTTGAATCAATAAGAGCTTCAAGCGGTAAAATTAAAAGCGTGGATTTCTTTTGATGCAACATGCACGAGTCGTTGTTCATTTCGTACATGGAAATGATGCGCTTCTCAAAGAATCCGTTGTTGGGTCTTTAGGGATGAGAATGTGTGAGCCGGTTCGTGAAATAGATTGGCATATTGATGTGCGTGGATGATGAAAATACAATGAGCAGGAGGACGGACTTTATGCATTCGGATTGAACTTGGCAGTTTCAAATCGACATGCATGGAATTGAAACGTTTGAAAACGGCACACATGAATGTCTTTTCATGAACAAGTTGAAAATTTACAAATAATTTTTACAATTTAATCAAAAAAAGAGAAAGTTTGGTCTGGATTCGAACTAGATTCCTCGCTCCAAGATTGCAAAAAAACTTCGAAAGTGGCATTGTCTTGTGGTTCGTCATTAGTGGAGTTCTGTGGAGCTACGACCGAGCTGCTAGTATACATGGTCGAAATTGGTTGGTTGAGAGAAACAGCAGTATTATTCAAAAAATTAGAACTGGCTTCACCATATAATGCATGGAATAGAACATCATTCTCCAATCCCAAATTAGCAGGATTTGTCCAAGTATTCGAAAGCTCAACATTTCCCAAGACCACAGTCGAGGAAGAAGAGCCAGACAAGTGCAATTGAGTACTGCTCGAAGGAGATGATGGAGAGAATGATAAGATTGGCTGTTGTCTACTTTGCAAAGTATCCAACTTTTGCTTCTTTTCTAAGGATGGATGGAAGTAGTCATCTTCCTCGTTGGCATGGGATGATGACATGCTTGGTGAACATTCAGCTCCATGATTGGTTGATGAATCATGTTGAGATGCGACATCACTGTTAGAACTGGTGTCTTCATCATCATGGTCGCTACCATCATCTTCCTGTGTAAAGTCGATTCCATAGTTGCAAAGGTACTTTTTGAAATAACGTTTCAAACGATTACGGTCAAAGTCAAAGACTGGCATCTTCAAGCCAAGTTCTTCGAGAAGTGGTAGAATCTTCTTCTTCACAGCAATTGGAGTGGTTCTAAACATGCATGCAATATAAGGATATGAGAGAATGGTAAACACACCACCTTCAGATTTCAACAATAGTTTTAGGAAATCATTATTATCGAGCAAACTCTTATCAAAGGAAGGAACCAAGTCACTTTCTTTTTCAATGGTGAGAGCATGTTGATGATTCAGAATTCCCATACGGTTGAAGTGATGTCTCAATACTTGATCGTTTGTCAATTCGAAATTGAATGCTTTTTCAATGAAGGAAATGAAAGCTTTTTGATCACAATGAGTTTGGTGAACATGATCATGAACAAATTGTGCAACAGCCTGCCAATTGGGAAAGTGTCTTTTTAGAGGAGCCGACGCTGTTGGTTTGTTGGATCTTGGACGAACAGTGGTATTGGAAGTATTATTGTTGACAAAGGTGTGTTGCTGAAGGTTCATGTTGGATGGAGAGGATGAATTATTATTAGTTTTAGAATTCTTCTTTTGCTTTTTAGAGGATGAGCTTGTTCTGGTACGCTTCTTCGAGGTAGTGGAGTCCACAACACATGTATTGGTCGAGTAGCTATTCGACGAAGAGGAACATGAGGAGGAGCATGTGCTGAACATACTACAACTGTCATTGTCTGAAACTAACATGGAAGAGTCACTCCTATTATTGTGTGTGGTCAAGTTAGTAGTAATATTGTTATTATTATTATTATAGGAATGAGAGAAAGGATTAGGGATTGGAGATTGGAGAGGTTGATGATGACTACCAACCGAGGGATCAACCATGTGGAAAGTACTAGGAAAGCGAATCCCTTGTTGTAGCTCTTGTTGGGAAGAAGAAGCTTCTCGGGTTTGCTTTTTGGTCTTTTGGTTGACGGGTTTTCTGGTACGAGGCATGGTGTTGGCAGGAATGAGTCCAAGAGTGTCTTCTCGCTCGCGTTTAGCTTGTTTCGATTATTGTGTTGAGTGGTTTTTTTGTGTGGAAGATTTTGTTCGAACGAGAGGCTGTGAGATGGGAAGTCTGTTTTGCTTAGCTGCAGGTGTACACAACAAATTTCTTTGAAGATGTCAACGTCCTCTTGTTACTTTTCACATTCAAGCATACCAAATACAAGGAAAGGAAAGTTGGCAAGCACACTTTTCCTCGATTTGATCGTTAAAAAATTTTTGCCTTTCCTTTCGATGGAGAGGCTTTACTTTTTGAATGAGTGAAAACGCAGAAATGGGTTCTCGGAAATTAAATGGTTACAACGTTTCACACAAGATTGTTTACTTGTTTTGCTTTTGCTCACTAAACATGTGTTTTTTATTCCGTAATGATACTTGACTTTATTGGATGCAATGATTCATGATATTCTTTGAAGATTGGGAAACTGCTTGGGATTGTGTAAGGCAATGTAAGCCACGGGAGAGTTGTTAGTATTAAAAAATGCAAAAGGCTCAACATGATGAACAAGGCTTTGATGAGCTATTCCAAGAGGAGGGTGACAAGGCTTGGAGGATACAGAATCATCGTGCAGCGAGAATGGTTGCTTCTCTGGACCTATCGTAAATTTGGAATTTAATTATTTGAATATTACTTCGTCGGTTCCGTTGGATGGAGAGTGTTGCTCGTTTTTGTGCGAGCAATTGTTGCATCATGTGTTATTCATAAGACAACAAATTCCTTGGTATGTCGGCATTGTATACGGTCATCATATGGAACCAGTTGATATGATACGATCTCATATTTAAATAACGATGATTGAATTTGAATTAATTGGTTTTAGCCTATTTCCGATGTTAGAATCTAAAGTAAATAGTATTTATCAAAACAAAGAGGATAGAAAAAGAATTTCTTCCAAAGATAAGAAGCTAGTTAAAATTTATGAAAGGATAACAGGAATAATTGATAATATAATTTCAATACTGCAAGAACAACCAGAAAATAATATATTTGCCTTTGTACTAGGAAATTCCATTACAAACCCAAAAGAAGTGTACATTTTCAAATTCAATAACTCATCAACGTGTCACATGAATTGCGCAGACCCTAAAAAGCATGTACATATGGTGAATCTCTCAAAGAAAGTAATTAGGAATATTATTGGAGGTTGTTTTGACATTTTCATGACTGAGTGTAGTAAGTACAATTTGTCATGAAAATTTATAGCAGATCACCTCACATAAATCCCTCTTAGAACCATTGCCTTTATACTTTCTTGCTAGATTGAATTCACAATTTTCTAGTAAGGAACAAACCAGCAGTGAGGATGATGAAAACAATTCTCATGCCATCTATATATCAAAACCAAATTTTAAATTTAGACTGAAGGCACCTTCTACGTTCAGAAAATCGTTGAGACAACATAAAAAAGAAGGAACCAAAATTATCGACATGAAAGTCCCCAAGCTTTTCATTATTGAGCTTAGTGATCATGAAATGACCAACACAGAAACGTCGCAGTCCAAACAAGAAATTGAAAGTTTCCTCAAATTTAACATTGCTTTCCAAACCAATACTATTGGATCGACGTCTTCTCAAACAAAAGACACAGAAGAGGATTGTTGGTTTCTTTTCAAATAATGATCTGGGCTTCAAATAAATGGAATTATTCTGGCGCCCAAAAAATTGCTTTAACATCAAAAAATATTCACAAAAGGCGCGCGTTGATCATATTGACTCTCGGAAAAGCCTCATCGTCGTTGAATTAATCTTACACAATCCGAAATAAATTTTGAAATAATTCAATCATCATATGCACACAAATGAGAACATTTAAAAAGAAGAATCCTGTTCTTGTAAAAGTGGAGAGCTCTCCCAATTCAAAAAAAGTTTCTCTTTTCAAAGATATCAACAGTGATGATGAGAAAAAAGGTAAAAGTCGGAGGAAGCCAAACTCAAACGATTTATTTTCGGAAGATGTTTTTGATGAAACCTTAGAAGCATCCACAAAACGAAAACGACATAGTTTAGATTCTGCTGCAAAACAGTCAACAGCATCATCAGAAAGTCAATCACCAATTTTCAAAACTCCAACCAAGAGGTCCCAAACAAAAAGTTCATCTGTAACTCCAACAAAAACTGCAAAATCTCCCAAGACACCTGGATCTTCTGGAAAGAAAAAACTATCTGTTGAAGAAAACTTTTTTGCCGATGATCTATTTGACGATGTTTTTGATTTTTCATCTTCAGAGGATGAAGATGAAGAAAAAACACTCAAAGCTGCAAAAAAGCCAAAGAGAGCTTCGACGTCAAGTGCTTCACCAAGACTTGGAGGAAAAGAAGAAACTAGAAAAGAAAGCATTTTAAATTATTTAGAGGGATTGAAGTCGTCATATGTAGATACGCAACATTCATGTGCTAGCTCGCTAGCTAAAATGTTTTCTGAGCAACATGATGATCTTGGAATATTTCTTCGTGCGTAAGTAATATTTTGTAGAATATTGTTACCATTTAGAAATGGTACAATAATTTAAATTAGTCACTCTCTTGTGAAAAAGGTGGTTGACACGCTGTGTTTAGTGATCGACTTTGAGAAACAAAAATTACTGTCTCTGACAGCATCACAAATTATTGGTATCTTGATGAAAGACCCCTTGAATGCAGAGTATATCACCGAAAATTCATTTAAAATATTACACGAAATTATTAAGCAACACTATGTTCTCAAATGGCAACAAGTTTCAAATTTGGATTCAATCAAACGAACAAAACGCACTCGAATTGCAGCCCTCAAAGCAGGTTCTCCAAGCAAAGCTCAAAAACAACAATATGAAGAAGAGGATGAGAATATGCAAGGTTTTGAAAAGACTACCATCTCATTGGCTCTTGCAGCTATGGTTAACATTGTAAATTACGAACATAATTGCTTTGAACTCAAATATCATCAAGCTTCCAACAAGGAAGAATTTTTGGAAAAGAATAGACCTAATTTATTGTTTATCAAGACAAATAGCGTGGAAACTATTGAACGACTTGTACCATGCTTGCTAGCCCTATTAGAAAAGGATAGGGATGATGCTCTTGTCTATGACATGTGTAATTGCATCAAAATGCTAGAAAAGAATGGCATTGTCACCAAATACTCGTCAGACGCAAGCAAAAACGCAGAGTCATGGAATTATTTCCTTCCTGCCCTGATTCGAATATTGAATTGTCTCACACCTATTAGTAAGTGTTTTTTAATATCATTGTTTCATGATAACATTGCAAATAGATAAGCCTCTTTTGAGTGAGTTAAAAGACGGGCACCCAGTGGTAGAATGTGCACTCGTGACTTTGCGATTTCTCACAAATATTAGCAATGGAAACGAACAAGTATGTCAAAGAATTGCTGAAGAAAATGGCTTGTCAGGAATTTGTGCTGTATTGGCCTCAAGCTATACTCAACATTTTGATGTCATTACTATGTGTTTGGCTTTGTTAGCGAACATGACAGATAAAAGCTGGAATAATAGAGAGCTCGTCAGAAACTTTAGTAAGTATGAAAACGTTATTGATACATTTATCAATAATTATTTCCACTTTGAACATGATAGAACTCGAATTTAGAGGTAAAACTAAAAAATTATTGAACTTTTTAATAGAATTATTTGTGGAATATTACTCAAAACAAGAGTACAACGACGACAATAACACTGAAAATTGCATCACCATATCTGATCAGGACTCTCAAAATACTACAGCTGCAGAGATTGTAGAAAAAGTCAACACTGAAAAAAAAGAAAAGGAAAATCAAGGAGCATCAGCGAGGAGTAACTTGAAGCGAACAGAAGACAATATTATAACTTCATATTTGGCAATATTATTGGGTTGTCTTTGTAAAGAGCATGAGGCCAATAAGGAGCATATTATGAAGGAACTTCCTGAAAAATCATTTATTTCTTTAATTATTGCACTTAAGGCATTTGTGCTTTATCAATCGAACGCATCACTGTTGACCCAAGACACCCTGGATTCCGTCACCAAAATTTTGAAGGAGTTGGGGGACAAGAACAATTCACAAACTTCAGACCAAAGTGTTGAATAAATGGTTTCTCCTCTTAATGCACAGAAGTTGCATTGATTAGAGATGCTGTCACGTTTTTATTAAAAACGTATGGGTTCGAGACAATAAGGATGTGAAGTAATTACCAAGAGAAGGAACATTTGATGGACAACTTCGACTAATTGATCTTTGAAAGCTTGTCATCATATCTTTGAAAAAATCATACAAAGCAGCAACAGCTTTATTTCGTTTACACGCTGTAATTTTCTAACAAAATGAATCGAGCTTCCGTACAATTCAAACTCTCCAAATGTTTCGCTTGCTTCGAGGTCAGACAGAATTTTGGATTTTCCTGTCTACTTTCTCTAATTTGTGCAATAATAACAGAGAATAATGAAGTACGAATGAGATCGGAACTGTTGGCTTTCAAAGATGTAACTAATTGTTCCAAATCAGCTACTTTACACAGACTCTCAATTGCTTCCTGTCGAACATCTGCATTTTCATCTTCAAGCATATCTTTGAGATATCGAACCACAGTCTTGTTGGCCTTATCTGAAATAATTCCCAATACTTGAGCAACTGCTTTCCTCAAAAACATGTCTCTCTCAGTGGCAAGTGCTGACAATCGATGAATCATATCCTTATCTCCTTTCTTTGCTAATTTTCCAAGTACTTTGACACATTGAAATTTGAAAAGATGTGAATATTTCGAGGGACATACGTCCATCAAGTGCAACAATTTGTGAATGTACTTGTCACAGAATTTTTCATCTCGATAAATTGGGAAAATATTTTCAAGAGCCAACACTGCTCGTGCTTTCAATTTCCACAATTCCTTTTCTTGCATGTGATTATCCTTTTCAATTTCTAAATGTTTTGAAATAATTTCAATCATGAAAAGATCATCTTTGGGTGCTACATTTCCCATTGCAACGAAAATTTCACCCAACATGAAAGCATTCGAACTGTTCGAGTCCAATAATTCCAAAAGAATGTTACAAGCTTGATTGTTATCAGAATGTGCAAAAACAACGCCAATCACATAAATGGCAGTATTAATTTCCATGGACTTGTCTTCATTCATGATATTCTTCAAAAGATCTTCCTTAATCTTTTCAAAAACAAATGAAATAATTTCCTCATCGTGATGATTAATAAACGAAGCCATAGTGAGAACTGCATATTTTCGAACATCCAAATTCACAGTCACAGCAAGTGTGAACAGTGTGTCAATGAGATCGAGCATGAGTTTTTTAAAGGTTGGCTCTTTTTGTAAATGTTCAGAGAGTGATTTGAGTGAAGAGGATAATCGTTTGTCCTTCTTGGATTGAGACGTGTTATGAATACTATTGAGATATTCTCTTCCAAGAAGTAGAACTTGTAATAATTCCATAATTTTCTGAGCGAGTTCAACAAATCCTAATTCATATTCTTCGTATTCTTCTTTGAGAGATTTATCAGGTCTGTATGCAATATGATCTTTGAGTAATTTCATGGCTACTGTTAAAATTGGAATGTCTCTCTTTTCACACATCATTTTCAAAGAGTCAACAACCACAGCAAGTGTATCTGCTGATTTTTCTTTTGAAAGAATTTGGACAAGCAATTTGATACTTTGCATGTCACCAACATTAGATATTCTTCCTAGAGCAGCTATTAAACCGTGTCGAATTAACTTATTTTGAGCTTGTTTGATGTTTGAACGAATTTGTGACAGAATCATTTCATCTGCCTTCACACAAATATTGACCAAACTATCAATCATCTTGTCCATATATCTTCCTTCTTTGATCGTTTCTGAGAGTAAAATTTCCATAAATTTGTTAATGAATTTAGAGTCTCCCTTCTTGGAAAGTAAGGAAAGAACATAACAAGCTCTCACTTGCACTTCAATGGGAGGTTTTGTGATCAGAGCCCATAACTTTTTAGTAATTCTAGGATCATCCTTCTCAGCAATCGCCAGCAATACAACCACCGATTGTTCTCCAATTTTCCATTGCTTATCTGAGAGAGATTCAATGAGACGTTTTACCACTCTATATTTAAACTCCTTTTCGTCCTTCATTTGTTGGAAAATGTCGAGTAAGCTCGAAGCTGCTTGCTTGGTCTTGTCCTTATTCTTTGTTAAAACTTTTAACAAATAACCAACCACATTGGTAAGATCATTTTCATAGAGAGCCACACGTTTGGTGGTCATTTCTCGTAGAAGAGGAGAATCATGAATGAGACCTTCCATAATCATGGTTTTGAGCTTCTTTTGTGTGGTAATATTCTTCTCAATTTCACTGTATTGATCTCGTTCTTCAATTGGTCTTTCACTTCGAATCATTTGAAGTAACAAGTTATCAATGGCTGAACTCTTTTTGAAATTTTCATACAAGAAGGTCATAAATTCTGAAAAATCATTCGATGACATGGATCCAGCACACAATAAAAAGGTCTCTCTGTACCACGGGTCAACAATTAATTTTTTGGTTTCCGATGAAAAGACAATGGGTGATCCTTCTTTCCTTCGACCAAAAAGACCTTTCTTTTGTTCTCGAATGGTAGACACTCGTTTTGGATCACTCCATACTTTGGCAACTAGATATTCTTGGAAAGAGAGATGAGCAAAGGAGTAGTGACTTCCCAAACGAATAATGAGAGGAAAGTGACCATCGTCAATATCGGATTGGAAGACTTTCCACGTTTCGTACACATTTTTAGAAGAATCCATAATGCTGACATTACTTCCTAGATTTCCTGTCAGTCCACTTTCCTCATTGTTCACAATATCATGAAGATGTTTTTCAATAAAAGCTGATGTGAAATATCGTTTGGTGTGTTCATGAAGAATACTTGCGACTGCATAGAGCATTTCGAAAATGTCTCTTCGTTCTTGTTTTGTGGTTTGAGGTCTCACCTTATCAATGTATACAGAAATCATGGTTTCACATGCATGTTCATATAGTACACTTCGAATATCTGGTAAATCCTTGTTTTGTTTAAACTCTTGAATCATTAAACTGAGTAAAAGTGGAATTTTGGCAAGTTCCTTATACTTTTGAAGAGCTTGGAAAAATCGTGGATCTTTGATGCCTCTTCTCATGGCAATTTGTTTTTGTGCATTTTGACTCAATGGTTTAATTCGAGCCAATTTGAAGCTTTCAAAGAGAACATTTGCTTCTTCCTGTTCAAAACCACTCACTCGACTGGTCGTGATAATTCCTCCCAATTCTCTAAAATTCATTTTACAAATGAGCTTTTCGAGTTTGGATCTGTGATCACCGCCTTCGTCCAAACCATCTAACAAGAGTAACAATCTTCCACATTGCCAAACATTTAACAAAAATCGTTCAACATTACTTGGATATTTGAGACCCTTGTTGAATGTATCAGCCGATGCTCGAATGCACTTGATCTTGAAAGGAATGCTGTCATCATCAAAGGAAATATTCGCGAGAGGTACCAACAAGGGAATTAAATCATTGGCATTCGAGTCAGAGGAGTTTTTAGCTGCTTTCTGAGCTGCCTTGTAACAGAGTAGTTTCATCATGCAAGTTTTACCACTTGCTGCACTTCCTAGAATGAGATACTTGAGAGGTCTTTCAGTGGCAGTACTTAGGAAATCGACTGCATCTTCATAGTATCTGTTTTTGGTTCCTGGTTTCTCTGTCTTGTTCTTCTTGATTGGATCTTCATCTGCAGCTTCAGATTCTGTTTTTAACAAATCATTCCATTCGTTGCTTTCAATGAGTTCGAGAGGAGCCATGTGTTGGTCAATTTGTAATGGTTCTTGTGAAATTGGATCAATAAACACCTTGTCACAGTTCAAAATGGTCTCCAAATATCGACCTTGAGCTTTCATGAAAGACTCTGTGTCCATCAATGTGTCATCAATATTCACTTCGGTTTCATCTCCCACTTCATACGCAGTAAGACCAATCACATAATCAGGATTGAAAGGAAATCCAGCTTGTTTCGTCAGCTCATTGAGAGCACTAATGGACACCCAATCATAATGTTTGCTGCAAATGGCAGTTTTGAGACCTCTCAGAAAATCTGTGAGTGAAATTCCAGAATAACTGATCGAGGAAGAACCATTCTCTGGTTCTGCTGTCGTGTTATTTCCATTCAAATCTTTGACTTCTTTAGCTTTCTTTTCTAGAGTGTTCAGTTGTTGAATTAAATTAATATAGGCCTCTCTAAAATCTAACCAATTGGTTTTGTTTTCCCAACCATGTTTTTTCCAAAATTCTCTTGCCTTTTCGTTGATAATTCTTTCAACAGCAGGAGTTAGATCAGAGGATGAAGATTGTGAAGAGGTGTCGTCATCCATGTTAGGATCAAGATAATTACTATCCGAAATGGCGGGTTTCAATTTTTTCAAGAGTGTGACATTTGAAGGTGGTTGTCCATTATTCTTTTCACATTCCTCTAAAAATTGCAAAATTTCAACAGCTGTTGGTCTATCTGTAGGATCCAGAGTTAAACATGCCGCTGTGACTTCCTCCACAGTCTTGGGAGCTTTATACTTTCTACATAATTTGCAAACATATTCTGGATCTCTTTTAATTTCATGTCTAAAATCAGGAATTTGAGATTCTTCTAAAAAAGCAAACATTCTTAATATACAAACTCCAAGAGACCATATATCTGTACCTGCGTCATATTTCTTGGAGCTAAACAGCTCAGGAGACATGTATTGTAAAGTTCCAACAAAACTCTGAGCCATATTATCTTTCATTTCTTTTGTAAATCCAAAATCACTCAATTTGAGCGTCCATTCGGTATAATTTTCATGAGTGTTCAGTGTTGTTGTTGACGACGATGAGGAATTATTGGAGGATGAGGACGAGGTAGAGGACGAGGATGGTGATTTGAATAATAAATTTGCAGGTTTTAACTGTTGTTGTGGAATGGTCGAAATGGTTGTGATGATTTCAATGGCAAATCCGTATTTCCATGGAGATCATACGTCGTTTTATAAAATCATTGTGAATGGATGTGAATGGATGATTCCACGAGATGGTTTGTGCGTGTGTTTGTATGCGTGTGCGTGCGTGTGTGTACATTTGAGAGAAGAAGAAGAAGAAATACGATCGAAGGTGACGCCAAGAGAGAGTATTTTCAAATGAATCATGATGACGTTCCAAATGAAATTTGATAACTCTCTACTACTACTTACATCTCTATGAACAATATGTTGTTTGTGAATATATGCCAACACACTCACACACTGTTTGATCGTTGACAATATAAACGGAAATGGTAAGTGTTTATCAGCAGCTTCATCTCTACCTGTCGATGGTGAAGTGCATTGTTTCAAGTGTTTCTGAATAATTTCTTCTAAACTTCCCTTGTCACTGAGAGGTTTGAATGAATGAATAGAAAAAGAGATCATGTCCACACGATTTCAGAATAGGATGTGAAAACAATGATACACTACTTCTACTACAACTGTTCTACTACTACTTACCAATATTCCATTAACATGAACAATTTTAATTCCTCTCCATAAAACGCGTCCTGAGATCTCTCTTCAAAATGATCATAATAGCGTACAATGTTGGAATGTTCATGAAATTTCTTCACCAATTCGACCTCTCGTTTAATCTTTTCAAAATTGGATTCTTCGAAAACAGTGATCATTTTGATGGCATAGAGTTGATGCGTGGACTTTTCCTCGACTGTTGTTGTGCCATACATCGATTTAGGTTTCACATAAAGTTTGTGATGAATTGGTAAAATTATATAAATATTTGAAACAAAAGACCACCGTTCAAAGAGTGGTTATTGAAGTTTGTAACAAAAGGATGTTGAAAGTTTAGATGATGACGAGAATCACAATTGTTGTTGACACATGTCGATGATGATCATCCAAAATTGGAATGAAATCATAATTTCAAAGAGTTTCATCATCATCATGTTGTCAGAATTTAATTTCTTCTTATTGACAAGTACTGTTATTACTATTACATACCGAGATAAACAAGTCCTTCAGCACCACCTCCTAATTTCTTTTTAGGTGCATATCGATCCATTTGTTGTTGTTGTTGTTTCAAGGATCAATGATTTATTTTTATAGGATGATATTGAATGATATAGTAGTAATAATTGTTGTTGTTTTCGAGAGTCAAAAAGAACACAAATGATCTTTAAAATGTTTTCAAAATAAAGAAGTATAGAATTTAAATTCTATGATGAATGATTTGCGCGGAAATGAGTAACTGAAGGGATGTGTGGTTGATGATGGAAAGTGGGTGTGAGGATGATGTTGTTGTTGAGAGTGATGATTGGATATCCGGTAGAATCTGTTGTTGTTGTCTTCTACTGTTGCCGCATAGATTGTGAAGAAGAATGGAATTGACAGGTGGCAGGGTGTGGCTCTGCTCCTTTTTGTATTTTATTTTCGGGCTTGTCAGATTGCCCGTACAAACGAACCGTCGTTGATAATTGGACAACAAATTCTCAAAATGATTAGTAGTAGCAATTATTATCAATTCTAGATCGTATCACTTTTTATAGGAAGGGGTAGTTTTAATTGGTTGTTTACAAAATATTTCACAGTTTCTCGGTTCATGGCAGGCATGCGGACAGTTGTGTGAGTCAAAGGCCAAACATTCAATTATTGGTTTGCCCTACAGTGCCAGTCGTATCATGAGCAGTAGTAGCAGCTCCTCTAAAGCATTCAAGAACAAGCATCGAAAATTGTTCTGAAGAGCGAAGTGATTGGCTCAATTCTGTTTTTTGATTTTGTTCCAGTGTTGTGTTTTCGTTCAGATAGTTCAAGAGTTGTTGATAAAGAGAGATGAGCTGTTCAGTAATGGGCTCAGAGAGTTTGTTTGCTGTTTTCTCGTCTCGTAAATAGAGAGTCATCAACTCGCTTGCGTAGGAGAGTTTGGTTTTCAGATCAATGTTCATTTCTTGTCGAATGTTTTGAATTTCTTTGATAATGGTCTCGTTGGATTCTTGAGTGTCTTTGTTGATATTGTGCTTTTTGATGAACGTCATGCACGAGTCAGCTACTTGCTTCACAGTGTTGAGGATAAAGTTTTCACATGCTAATTTGAGTTGTTTCTCGAGGTCTTTTTTGGAATCAAAACTACTCACGACAAGTCGTGGTCTTGTCTGACTGAGGAGATCAAAGATTAAACTCGTGACGCTGAAACTAGCTTGTCCTTTCAAAAATCGAGAAATTCCTTCATACAGATGTGAAAAATCAAGACTGGTCTCTGTTTTGGTGAAGCTCACGTTAAAATAACTCAATTCATGCAAAAGAGTTAAAAGATGGCTAATGAGGAAAAGTGAGCCATTCATCACGTCTGTTTTCTCTGAGATTTTCTTGCTTGCGTCAATGAATGAGAGTGCGCAAGCAGAGACTGCCTCCTGGGCAAGTCCTTCAAATACTTCCACGTCCAAAACTTTGAATAGCTTGCTGAGAAGACTTAACGTCCATCCCAAAGTGGTATAATAAATTCCTTGTTGTTTTCGAGAGGTTTTCTCTGTAGCATTTCCTTCTTCTGGTGAGAATTTAAGCTTTTTTGGATAATCCAAATCCTCAGGTGTAGGTTGATATTTGGTGACTTCATTGGCAATGAAAAATGAAGTACGATAAATTAACCGTTCTTGAATGTCTTGCACCATCAAATGCACAACTGCTTCAAAATAGGGCACAGTTTTTTTCGTTTTGATGCCTTCTTGTAGAATGTCATTTCTCAGCACCTCAATCAGTAAACATAAAGTATCAATTCGATTTTCCTTAATCACCATTTCTCGAACAGTGTCGTATAAAATGTTTGTGACTGTGCTCATGAAATTGGAAAATCTGTTTGAGAGCCTTCGCTCATCTTTGCAATTTGGGAAAAAGTGATAGAACAAATGTGTTTCTTGCGAGCAAATCTGAATCATGTACTCGCAAGCGGATCGAGTAAAATCAATTTTTTCTTGTTTGTCTTCTGTTTTCATGATATTACTTTTCAAAAACGTGACATGCTTTGCAACAGTCATGTACAATAAAATACCTCTTTGATTCAGATATGCTTCGAAACAGTCCATCAAAAATACAGAAGATTCTCGTCTTGAGCCTCGCAACTCTAATTCATTAATTAAGGGCCGTAGATTTTCTATGGATACTTTGAAATCAATAAAAAGAAGCGAAAATTCTTGAAGCTCATCGCTTGCCGAAACAGATTTCAGCTTGGTGTACAGATTCTCAGTTGAGGTCTTAATTTTTAAAATGATATGATCTCTAACATGTGCCAATGATTTAGAAAGTAAATATTTGTGCTTGGTGAGATACGTTTTTGCCTCCTTGTAATCCAAGTTGTTGCTTAGAAAATTGATAGATTCCTCAAGCTTGCCTAAAGTTTTGATAAAAGTATCACTTCCTACGTCCAGATATCCACTCGACGAAAGTTGTTGATTCAAATAATCCATGTCATCAAAATGTTTCAGTCGATTCTCCAATTCTGCACTACACTTTTCCAACTGCTCTGTTTCCTTCAGCAATGTTTCACAATCGTGATGTAATCGACTTGTTTTTGAGCAAACCAAGTTGTACTGTTCCTGTAAATCATCGGAGATGGCCAATGTGTTGTTGCTCTTTACAATAAGAGAATGACTCAGCTCTTGGTAATGTTTTAATTTTGATAAATAATTTTCATAGGGATAATCAATCTGTTCGTCATCATCATCATGTTCCAGAAAATCTCCATCCCACATAATTAATCCTACTCCTTCAATATGATCGTTTCTATCAGCACTTTTAGTTTCATCATCGGAAATATCGATATCCTCGGTGCCATGAGTTGTATCTTCTCTTGAGTTTCTAACAATTTCCAACAATCTTTCCTCGTTTTCTAACAGAACTGTGCTCTTTTCCCATTCGTCAATAATACTCAAAATGGCTGAAGATTGAGCTTGACTCGAAGAAGACATTTTTTTGGTTATCAAAGGGTTGTTTTTCTTGTTGTGTGATGATCAGGACGATCAACAATTTTATTATTTACATTTTACAATTCATTGTTGGTTTCCTAGAGAACTCAATCGGAAATAATTATAAAAGCATCACTCACTGAAAAAGAGACCTATCGATGACGCAGCAATGCAAAATAATATAAAAGCATATGTTTTTTGTTGGGTGGATTCTAGATTTTTCTTGTTCTCTTCTGGATTATTTCCTTTGGTGTACAGTCGGCTCAGTTTTGTGTCTACAAGTGGTCCGAACAGAGGTCTCATGATGGCGATTGGCTGATGATGATTATTTGAATTTTTTGTTAGAAAGCGCAGTTAAAAGTTTATTATGGCGTTGATTGATCAAAGAAGATGACAGAGCAGCATGGTGTAGATGATAAATAAATGATTGCAGGAATGGCGAAATGTACAATTTTCTAAACAACAAAGGTTAGGTGGTCATATTCACAGGGAAGTAACTATTACGAGTGTGCACTGAATGATGGTATTGTTACACATATTGTGGCTTCATTCAAGCGTTAATACTGCAAGAGCTGATGATTCTCAGTTCATCAGCGATAAAGTTCCAAAGGGAAGTTTGGGCTGAGGACTCTTCATGGCAGCAGAAGTATCTGTGGTGGTGGTTGGTGGAAGAGGCTTCTTCTCCATCGTCATGAACAAGGAGTTGTTGTTACAAAGTGGTCTGTTTTCATCTTGTTGCATTCCATAAAGACCTGTCGTAAATGTAGTTGTTAAGGATGATGAAAGGTTATTGAAAACTCCATCGTTGAAACCTAGAGGATATTTGGAAGAGGAGGCACTAGGACTACTCGCAAAGTAAGTCGAGGTGGTGCCGTTAGAAAGCTTTGGAGAGGAGGTACAAGATCGTTTGAGGATTCTTGCATGATGTTGTTTGTGTTTGGTGCTGAGTGGAGAAGGAGCATAGCCAGTTGTGTTTGTTGTTGTTGTTGTTGTAGTAGTAGTAGTTGGGGTAGGAGAATTCACGACACGATCCGTATTGGTGAGTGAAGATTCCGTTGTGGTACTGTTGTTGTTGTTTGTTGGTGGTGAAGAAGGCTTAGAGTTTACAACAGCAGCATCGGGTGGTGAGGATGGTTTGGAAAGAAGTACAGTAGAAGCTGCAGCATTGTTTGTATCAATGCTTTTTGGGGATGCGGAGAGTGGAGTGGTGTTCATTGTGGTTGCAACATGAGTCGTTGGAACGGTGGCGGAAGCAGAATGCATTCTCATCATCATCATTTCTGAGTGAGTTGCCTTCATGCCGCTGCCTACAACAGTAACGTTACGAACATCATCGCTCGACTTGTTGTTGTTGTTGGATACATTCTTCTTAGAGTAGGGAGTCGGATGGCTGAGTTGATAAGGTCTAAACTCAAAAGCACCCAACGGTTTGATGTTGCTCGATGAGTTCGTGCTCGTACACAGAGCAACCGATGAGGTCGTGGGTGCTGATGAGAAGGGAGTTGAAGAGAGTTCCTTTGGCATTTCTTTTTGACTTTTCAATCAAATATGTGCAAAGAGCGGGCGTGTAACGGCTTGATTTTATTATTAGCCTTGCCAAATGAAACGAGGGTGTGGTGACGACCTGGAAATGCAGAGCCAGAAATGAGATAACGCAACGGAACGCCTTCAGCGAATTTTATTTGTCAAATTGAAGTGGGTGCGTAGAAAATTGTGTGACAGTTCTTTTTTAGAATCGATTGATCACGGAGCTGGCATGTGAAAATAATTGTAACAGGTTGACGAGTGGTTTCGAATGTTAGGCATGTCATGTCGATCTTGACATTTGTGACAGGATCTACAGCTTTTGCATGTTACAGCTTTGATTCAGTGGTTGTTTCGAAATATAACAAATAGTGTTGATCAAATACACCTGACCTGAGGTCCTGAGTCTTTTAAACTGGTGACACCTGTAGATGCTTCTTTGAATGTGAAGAGATCCGATGAACAATTCAAAAGAAGTGGTGACTTGTTTAAAATTTGGTGAACATAATTGTTGAGTAGATAACGAGTCGTCACCAAAGTTATACAATGACCAATTCATCACTGCACCTAACCGTTGAAGTCTAATTACTATATCAATCAAATTGAGAGAGGTGTCACATCATACTCAACATTTTGAATCTGTAACGAACCACATGGCTTCAGCTTTAACTGTAAACTTTTGCAAGTCTTGGGGAAGGAGATGTTTTTGATCTCTGTGAAATACAATATTCAAGCGATCTTGAGCTGCGTCGACCACTTATGATTGTATTGACGTCTGTAAACAAGGAGCAAGTGAATTTATCAATGGCAAAGGTTTTTAATTAAGGCTTCAAGTTAAAAGTACATGACAGTTGTAAATTAAAAGCCTTGTGCTTCACTTTAGAACTGTGAACAATATCCGTATCGATCTGCCAAAAACTGTACAAGCGACAATAAATTGGCAGTGGCCGTCTTTTGGCTTGTTTGGTCACTTTCTAGCTCACTTTCCTCCACAATATATGAATATTGCATGTTCTGCAATTTTTGAAGGGATTCTGTTGAAAATTGGGAAATGTTTCGCACAATAAACCACAATAGCTTGGGTTTGTGGAATTGTGACATTCGAATTTTGTAAACGTCGTTCAGTTGTGATGAATTAGATTCGACAATTTTCATGACATAGCCCAACTTTGGAATAACGTTTTCGAATGAGATAGGGCCTTGTAGTGTGTGGAAGTAATTGAGTTCTTCTCCACTAAAATGCTCAGAAATGAAAGAAGGGTTTCCACAAGACAAGATAAATAACTCTGCTGCGCTGAAAGCTTCAACGGAGTAGTTGTTTAGAGCAAACTCGAGAACCTCTAGAGCATTTTCCATGGTAGTCTGTTGTCCTATCAAATATTCACAAAGTTGGCACAGATTCTCCTCTCCTAAATAGTCAGCTGCTTCATATAAATTAAAAAGATCGTCCAATGAATATAATGTTTCTAAATCAGATGGAGCTTCGTCGCTGGATGTCGACAAAGAGGTATTTGTGGTAGAGATTGGCATATCACTCACTTCTTCAACCTTGTTGGTGTTTTCTTCTTCGTGTCCTGAAGTTTCACTATCTTCGTCATTCATGTCACTGATGTTGTCTTCCTCACATTCTTGTTCAACCTCAAAAGGACAGCTTGGCTTCTCTAAAAAGTTGTGATAAATGTAAAATGTAAAATTTTTCAACGATTTTTCGTCTGCAAAAATTTCCGAGGCATCATATTCATCCACTTGATTTTCGAATAATGTTCTGAAAAATTGAGATCTCGAAGCTATAGAGTTCAATAAAAGCATGAATTAAATCAGAGAAGGGAAAATTGTTGACCACATACCTAGAACATATTTGTGCAAGGAGAATTCCACTTTGCGTTCATCTTTGATGATATAGAGCTTGAAATCCTTCGTGTCTTCGTCTTGATAGAGAGTGTGCAGTGTGTAGCATGTGTTTTTGGGGTCAAAACGATCTAGCTTGCACTCCTTGTCGTTATCAAGTTGTGATGAGAACCAATCATCATCTTCTTCAATTTCAAGGGGAAAGTGATCAACAAGTATATCTATTGTTCTAAGATGTTTGCTATCTTTCAAATAATCGTCATATCTGTAGTGCTCATCTCGAGTCTCGCTATCAGGAAGATATCCTCTGTACACATATTCCATCCATTCAAAAATTAAATCAAATTCAAGAGGTAAGCGTATGTCTGGATATGCTTCTGAAAGATCGGCAGCCTTGAGTCCTTGCTTTCTCTTTTCAGGAGAATCAAAGTATTCGTTATACAATGAGGGGCATCGAGACTTTACAATTGGTGTGTAAATTCCAAGCTTCCTTCTGTCTGTTGAAAGAATAAAACTATCACAAAAATTGGAGTTGGCTGTCGAATTTTCCTTAATTTCATCCAAAAAGAAAGCAATATAATCTGCCATTTTACCATTATTGGCGTGTGTTTCATAGACAGCTATTGGAGTAGGATCGTCCACAGGTTCCTCAACTCCGAAACAACCCTTTAGTAACGCGTCCTCAAACTCGACAAGGTCATATTCTTTTGGAGGATGTACTGGTTTAGTGCAATACTCGAGTGGAATTACGCATTCCTCGTATTTTGGTCGGTCGTTTCGAGAATATCCATTCACATATTTAGGAGTATAGACTGTTTTAAAAACATCTTTTGAAGCATGAAAAACATCTTCCATGGTTACCGTGTCATCCGTCTTTGTTGCAATAAAGTACTCAATATGTTTGGAAATAAATTCTTTGAGCGAGAAAAAGCCCTCCATAACGGCTCCCTCGTGCTCGGATCTTACTCCAGCTCGTCTCATTAATCGGAGAATGTCAGGTACTAATGAATTACTTTCTGGAGCTTGATGGCATGGAAGTAAGCTACCATGTGTGTAATGAAGTGTCACTGTGGTTTGGTAATAACATGACCATTACTTACCTTGGTTCGAATACATGATCCACACTATGAATCATATCTTCAGCTTCGTATTCATTCTCAACATAAAAGGTCACTGAAACCATTCATTGAATTTACAACAAAGGCTTAATTAAAATAGAAACTCTTACCTCTTTCTTGTTCTACCAAAGGTTCCTTGATGATTTCCTCGTCTTCAAGATACTCTGAAGAAAGAAACTCGTGTGTCGATTCCAAACTTATAGGCACCGGATGGTTGATGTTCTTGTTAAATGAACAAATTTCAATGAACTTGGTCTGGGTCATATTATTATACCACATTGGATGGTCAAACTTTTTGAAATCTGTAATTTCTTCTGAGTCATAATCAGACGAGCAAGTAGAGTCCTGTTCCTCAATATCATCTTCAATATACTCGCTCTTGGTGGGTGGAGTCACCTGGTTTACTTTTTCATCATCATCATCTTCACTTTCATCTTCTTCTTCGCTGAATGTCATTTCTTCTGAACCATGGTCAATATCAGCACATTGAATCTTAATATCTTGTTTGACATCTTCATCTGTTCCTAAAATAAGAGCTTGCTGTTCATCGTCCATTTGAAAATAAATACACTTTCTGTCATCAATGAAAACATCAATGATCATCCGAATAAGAGGTCTACACATGATGCCAAATGTAGAAGAAGTAGTTCTATTTCTCAAGTATACAAGCTCAGTATTAATACATTTCAATAACAAGAGAGAAGTGGCTAAACGAAATCTGGAAACTTCAAAAGTTTGGTGGTCCTGAGGAGTAGTATTTCTTTCAAACATGATCATGACTTTCTCTAACAAACATGCAAATGGATTTTCAGCATTCTTCAGGTCGGGTAATGGGCTCTCGATGTATTTAGCATCTGTTTCATCTGGCAGCATTTCATCAAATAAATACGTGCAACGAATGCAGCTGTCTTGATATTTGTCGTCATCAATTACATTCTCTGTGAAAACAAACTTATTGGATTCATTATTGAAACGTATGGGAAAATTTCCTTTTGGTGTATAACTCAGTTCAGATACAACTTCAATTTGGGTGCTCTCAACTTCATTATCATCCAATTCCTCATCGTCAAGTTGTAAGGTTTCACCCTCCTGCATGAAATAAGCTTCATCAACATTAAAAGCTAGCACATCTGTTCCTGATGCTCTGTCAAACTCTTCATACAAATCTTGTTGTTCCTCGTTTTTTGTGTCTATTTGCTCTGAATTTTCATGGACGGTCTCCACCAAATTCAGTTCATTCTGCTTGGAAACTACTTTTGGTAGAACAAATTTAAGCCAATGACTCAAAACGTCACCATCGCTCATGTGAGAAGGACGATGGGTGTCTCCCAACAACAACTCCACCTGGTATTTATCGTCTGCCTTCTTGGTAACCTCATTCCTATTCTTTTCCAGTAAATCACGAATAAACTGAACTGAATGGACTTGGCATTTGATAACCATTTGCTCTAGGAGGTACAACGACACGCTTTCAATTTCCTCTCTTTGCTCGATCAGATCATTAAGTAATTCCGTGTGTGATACGGCGGAAGAGACTCCATTTTGGGAGTTCTCTTTCAACAAATCCAAGAAAACATGCTTGGCTTTCTTTACATGCCACTGTTTCAATACCTCTTCGATTGAAACTGGCTGGGGCAGAGGCTCTTCATTCAAAACAACCTCATTTTCAAATTTCATCTTCTTTCTCATAATGACATCATCGGAATCGTCATTGTTATTGGCCTCTGAATTTTCTACTCCGTTGGATGCTCTTGGAGGCTCCTTTCTCTTCTTCTCACTCGTCGACACTGATGATATCTCATCAATGGGGCAGGAGGATTCATCGTTGTGAATCATTTTTTTTCTCGTCGTTTTCTTCTTTGGTTGGGAATTTGTAAAAGTGAGGGAAGATCTCTGTCTCAATCGATTAAGCTGAACCTCGAACAAGTGTCAAAAAAACGCGTCGGTAAATGTCATCATATATTAGTTTGAGCAACCGATGAAACTCATTCAATGACATGGCAACGATGTATTCGGAAGGAATAATTGTTGTGTTACGCATAAAAAAACTGACCAAATTATTATATAATATTAATATAAAAACTGACCAATTTATTATTTCGAGTTGTGAACAAGTGTTCAGTCCTTTGAGTTCAAGAAATAATCAAGCTAACATCAAACGTCTGCTGTCATCTCGTGAGTTTCATCATCAAAAAAAATCTCTAAAGTACTCTGGTCAAGGAATCGATTGTTGTGGTGTATTTGTCTCCGAGTACACTGTTGTTTCATCATCACCAACACATAATACAACCATTGGTCATCACAGTGATACTCTTTTTGTAATATAATTATTATAATTATTATAATTCCAAATCATCATCATCATCTCTCTCGTAAATCATCCACAATCATAATTTTCAATGCGAAAAGTCAGTGAAACCAATTGGGAGGAAACCCAAACTCGTGCCTTCACAAAATGGATGAATTCTCATCTCAAAAAGAGAAGTATGAAAGTTGAGAATCTCATCACTGAAATTGGATCTGGTGTTCCTCTCTTTGTGTTGTATCAAGAGATCAGTGGTGAAAAATTAGGTAAAATGTATGAGAATCCACAAAGTAAATTTCACAAAATTGCCAATTTAAATATGGTGATTGATCGGATTAATCAAGTAGTGGAATCGATGGGAATCAAACTTCAATTCTCTGCTGAACAGATATTTAATGGAGAGAAGAGACAAGTATTGGGTTTGATTTGGACTTTGATTTTGAGATTTCAAATTAACAAATCTGCTTTGGAAGTTGGTAAGTGTTTGATTGGAAAGATTGACGCGTTTGACACGTTTGTTGGTGTGGTACTTTTGAAATAACTTATTCAAATAATGACACTTATTCTCAAATAATTACACGTATTCTCCAATCATAATGAATCATAACACTTGTATTGAACACATCACAGAACAACCAAAACCAACACCTAAAGAAGTCGAACCAGTCAAAGTTGACACCACTACAGAACAAGCAACAGTAACTGTCACACCTGTAGAACCTGTCAAACAAAATATTCCAACAAAACAACAAAAACCAACCAAAGCCAATGCTGGTGACAGTGCAAAACAAGAATTACTGAGATGGGTTCAAGAAAAATTAAAACCTTATGAAAATGAATTTGTTGTGAAAGATTTTACTCACAGTTGGCAAGATGGTAAAGCTTTAAGTGCTTTAATTAGTACTTTGAAACCAAAAGCTCTTAAATATAAGAAAATAGATTTTGTAAATACCACACCTTTGGAAATTAACACCAATGCCATTCGTATTGCTGAAGAGGAATTGGATATTCCAGAAATTATTGATCCAGAAGATATCACTGATGCACCTGAGGAACTTTCTCTCATGACTTATATTTCCTATTTCAGAGATTATGATAATCTTCATCCTGAAGCAGCTCAAGAAGTTGATGAAGAGGAAGCAGTGGTGACAGAGCCTGCAGTCACACTTGTTGAAGAACCAACTCAAATTATTGTTGAAGATATTATTCGTCCTGAGATTGATCCATCCAAATGCGTGGCAGAAGGTCCTGCCTTTGATGCCAACAACCCACCTGCTCAGGGATCAAGAACTTTTTTCACAATTACAACCTTTGATGAAGAAGGAAATCGATACATTCCAAAAAGTGTGGATGATGACGAAAATCAAGTTATTGTGAATTTATTTAGTCCACACATGTCTGAGGATGAGACCATTCCAGAACCTGACATTAAAAACAATGGAGATGGTACTTATGAAGTTTCCTTCATTGTTCCTGTCGGTGTGAAAGACATGAAAGCTCTCATTGTGATCAACGGAGGAAGTATTCAAAATTCACCTCATGATATACCAAATGCTACTGTGTTTGATCCATCTAAATCATTGATTACTGGTCCTGGAGTGGAACCTTATAATCTTTTTGTTGAAGAGCCAACTAGTTTTACGATTCAATGCAAGGATAGTAATGGAAATAATATTCCACAAAAAGGATTGAAGTTTGACATTACGCTGACGGATAGCAGTACTGGAACGAAGGCTCCTATTGATGTGACTGAAGTGACTGACAATGGAGATGGAACGTATACTGTGAACTATACACCAAAGTGTCCTGGAGGTAGTTATGAACTTTCTGTTCAAACCACCAATGAAGAGGGTGTCCTCGTTCCAGTAGGAAATTCTCCTTTTGATGTCACATTTGAACAAAAAGTGTGTCCAACCATGTGTACTGCTCGTGGCAATGGAATTTTACCTTTTGGATTGAAAACTGGAGTGTTAACCAAGTTTGATGTTGAAATTAGAGACAAGGCAGGAAATATTATTCCATTTGTTACCGATGCAGATATCACTGTTGATTTAGTATTGAATGATGAATCCATTGAACCAGAAGATTATTCAGTGAAGATTGAAAACAATCAAAATGGTACATTTACAGTTTCCTATAGACCTAAAAGAGCTGGAGTTCATTATATTCTTGTAAAATGCAACGATGAAAATATCAGTCAGAGCCCATTCAAAGTAGATGTCACAAACATTCCAAGTGCTCCAAATTCCAAACTTAAATTTGTGTCTGTGAAAAATTTACCCAATTTAGTGGAAACAGAACTCGATTTGAAAGTTTTGGACTCTTTGGGAAAGAAAGCATTGAGCAAGAATTGCAAATTAACAGCTCTCGTTGAAGATGAAGACGGTAATTTAATTCCAGCCATGATCGTACAAACCAAAGACGACAAATTTAAAGTCGTCTTTCAACCAAAAGGAAAAGCTGCTCCTCTTCAAAAGTTTAAAACTCAAATTCTTATGGATGGAGTTCCAGTTGGAGAATCAGTCACTGTGGAACACAAACCAGCACTCGCTCCAAAATTATGCAAAGTATTTGGTCCTGGCTTGAATGGAGCTGATTTATTGAACAAGGACACAGTTCCTGCCATGTTAAAAATCAAAGCTTTTAACACAGCCAATCAACCATTCATTCAAAATAATTTACAACCTGTGAAGGCATCTGCTAAAAAGTTGAAACGTCTTGCCAAGACCATTTTCAAAGAACCTGAATATTTCAAAGATTTATTGAATCCAATCTTTGATCATGAATACCAAGATGAAGTGGTCGATTCTATTGATTTAACAAAATCAGTTGATTTAGATGAAGTACGACCACAACTCGAAAAACATGTCAAGAAACAACCCTTCCACGTCATTGTGAAAAATGAAAAGGATGACACGGAAGAACCAACACTTGTTTTTAACACGGCACCCTCCGAATATACTGTATTCTATCATCCAACCAAAGCAGGACCAATTTCAATTACCATTCTTGACAAGACACCACAAGGTACTATTTCTCCACAACCTGTTGTTGCTGAATCTCCGTATCATACCTTTGTCACAGAAGGAATTGATCCATTGAAATGTCAAGTGAAAGGACCAGGTCTTCTCAAAGCTTACAAAAATCGACCAACGTACATTACCTTGTTGCCAAGAGATGTACATGATTATCCATGTGGTGTTGGTGGTCATGAATTTAGTGTCATGTTGTGTGATGAGAGTCAAACTCAACCTGTTCACACACCACTCACTATTGTGGATCTTGGAAATGGAAATTATGATGTGAAATTTAATCCACCTAAAGCAGGAAAGCATTTTATTAGTGTGAAATGTGACGGAAAAGAAATTAAGGATTCTCCAATTCCAATCTTTGTGCGAGATGATCAATATGCTCCAGATCCAAAGAATTGTCATGTTTACAAAAATCCTGAAAAGATGAAGACCACTAAACCACGTCACTTCTTTGTTCAAATGAAAGATAAGAACAATGAACCAATCAAATCTGGTGGAGATCCTCTCAAGGCAGTACTCAAAACTCATGATGGAAAATTTGTTGAAAATCTTCCAGTTTATGATCCAAATACTGGAAAATATAAGGTGGATCTAGCTCCAAAACGACCTGGAAAATATGTCGTGGTTTGTTCATTGGGTGATGAAGATGATGGAGGTGAACAAATTTCTGGATCTCCATTTAATTTGACAGTTAATCCAGGATTTGCTCCATTAAATTCTGAAATTGGAGAATGGGAGTATGATATTCACACAGCTCAAGAAAATGAAGTTGAGGATTTGATGGTGAAAGTTAAAACTCCATCTGGTAAAACTATTTATCCTGCCATTACGAAATATCCAAAACCTGTCATGCTTGAATCGGACGATGGTGAGACCAGTCAACCACAGGAAGATGAAGCTGCAGTTGATGATGAATTTTCAAAGGGTGATCGATTCAAGTTGAGTATTCAGACCAAGGATGTTGAAAAGGGGATTATTTGATCTATGCAACAATATGTGGTTATCCTGTGAGAGGATCTCCTTTCAAACAGACCTTTGACGTTAAAGTGTAATGCCAATAAATAACAAACTAGTTTACATTCATATTCTTGTTTTTTACATGTTATTTTAACTCAAACAAAGCCCAATCAACTCTTGGCTGTATCGTCTTGTTATCTTTTCCTTTTTGACAGCAAAAATGTCCTGCGAATAATTCAGTCTTGTGCTCGGTGCCATTGTCGTTGATTGTGACAGGAACGTTGACATATCCTCGAGCAACATCATTATCATCAATCACGTACCATTCATCAGATTCTTCATTGCCCAACCATTTGCCATTCTCTGAGAATACGTTGAATACTGTGATCCAACCAGAAATATATCTTGGTCCACTTCCACCTCCATGACGATTCACAATCCTATTCCACCAATCACAATCAATATTTCCCTTAGAAGTTTCCACCAACTTATCTAAAACAGGAAATAGTTTTTGTGACCACCCCATAATACATCCATCTACGTTAAACTCGAGTAATTTGTTGGCTCTTTCACGAACCTTCACCCAATCTTCAACCTCTCCTAACAAGGTGACACTTGGCAAATTGCACAAGAGATGGAATTTATAATCAAAGTAACTCTTGGTGGTAGACATGAGCATGACTGCACTCACCATTCGATCCAGTGCTGTAGTGGTGCTGAAATCATTCATTATCCAATCTCTGATCGATGAATCTTTAATGTTCTTGCTTATTTGCATGGTCATATCTTGACACAAACTCTCATAATCTGCACTGTAGAGATTGCCACTTCCATACACGATCAATTCCTTCTTTCCTTCAAACGCAACAAACATCTCGCGCAGTTCTTCAGCATGAGCATTCACGTAATTGGAGAATTGAGTACAAATACTGATCCATACATCATCGGGTCTTATTACTAAATGATGATGCAATGAATAACATTTCAAGGCACTCAAAACAAAAGCATTACTCCCAACAAACAAAAGATCTGTATCGGAACCTTGATCCCGTGGATCTACTTTTGGAAGGCTACTTGCAATCAATTCATAGTTACTTGTTTGTTTTTTGGGTAATATTTGTTTTAAACTGAATGCAGGAAGGTTTGAAACCTCATTGGCTGGAGTATTCGTCACTTGGAAAGTGATGGGCATTTCTGAACGCAGATCTTGGTCTATTTTTTTCTGTAAGTTCACTTCTGAAAGAAGCCAAAAAAGCGCTTTGTTCAAACTATCGATCATCACTCAGACCAGTATTATTATTACTGATGAGATCTAGTTGTTGAGAGAGAGATTCGTCCTTAATCACTTTCCAGATCAAAAAATCATCGCCTGATTCTGAATAATTTGTTTGTATGGTTCGATAAACATCTTCGAGTGTTGGTAATTGTTCAGGTGTCGATAATTTGCTATCGTGATTGTACCAAACTTCTCGTTCTTCACCAGTCGTGTCATGTTGGAGAATGACCTTGCCTAGAGACCACCAATGTCCTGCCACTGGCTTGCGTTCTTTGGATCGTTTCGAGAGAAATGGAAGACAGCACATCGTTGTGCCATTAGAATACTGTTGTAAATTACAGAGAAGTCCAAGAACTGCAGGGTTTGATAAATCCCAAATATCGGCAGAATGATTGCCATTTCGAAGTGAGCTCAATTTCAAACTCACTAGATTTAAATTCTTTTTTCTCAATATTGTTTCAACAACTTCGTATGAATAATTTCCAAAACTGCCAAAAAACAAAACTCTTCTCTTATGAAAATTTTTCATGGTTTTCTTTTTAATCCACGTGCTTAATCGCGATGAACCATCGATACTTCCATAATAGAGTTGTTTCTCATTTTCAAAAATTGAATCAGCAATGGTATCAAATTCTTTCGTCGATGCATGATCTTGTAATAAATTATTAATGGAATGTTTGGCACAAAATTGTCTTTTTTGTTTCTCGTGAATCAATACATTTCCAGATTTCAACAATGGTGCATAATGTTTACTCTTCAACATGGAATCTCCAAATCTTGAATCTCCGAGAGGTCTATGAATCGGAACTCTAGCTCCATCCAATATGGACGAATAATCATCACCACTCTTTTGATACATGAATCCATCTTGATGATGATCCATCGACGGCGTACTCACTGCCGGTATCACAAGAGGAGCATCCGATGAATGCGAATGAAATGTAACGGGTGAATCGGAATCTTCAGTCGTTGGTGTTTTTAGCATTTTTTTTATTTTGAAAATTTTTAAACGTTTCATCATTCCATTTGGCAATGATCGATTACAAGTTCCTTTTTCACGAGCTACGTTGCCATATCACACGTAGGTATTAAGATTTTACTCTCTCCTCTTTGGGATGATTAGATGTTCGAAAGTTTGAGTTGTGAAACATAGAGTTGAGTGGTGTCTGGACAGGATGGAATGGAACGTAAATGCTGAGAGTGGTTGTCGGTGAATTTTGGGGTTGATGGAAAACCATGTTTGATATAAGGAAGTAAGGGATAAATGGCAATCTTCTCATTCACTTGCTCTATCCAATTGGAGTACGGTAATTTGGTCAAATGTCCTTGAGTGGAATGGGAAGTTTCCAAATAATGAATAAATAGTTTGAAAGGTATGGGACTGTTGTTGTTGATAATGTGGAAAATTCGAGGTGTTGAGGAACTGCTAGAGGCAATGTCAATAATTGTGTCACAAACGTAATCAACTGGAACAAGACTCAACTTTTCATTGGTGTCTGGATATTTCTGTAGCTGAACTATGGATTGGATAAATTTTGTGAACCAATCACTTGAATTTGGGATTCCTGTTTGATGTGACCAACTGCAAAGTCCAAGTCTGTAAATTTTAAATGCCTTAAATCCTCTTTCTGCTGCTTTTTGTAAAAGTTTTTCACTCACCCATTTGGTTTGCGAGTATCCATCTGAATTCACAACTCCACTCTCTTTGAAGCTGTCTCCTATGGAATCAATCTCTGTCAAAATTGGGTTTTTGGTGAGCAATTCACCAAACACACTAATGGTTGAGACATGGTGCAGTTGTATCTCAATGGGAGATTGTGAAATAAATCTCAATAAATGTTTCACAGAATTCACGTTCGAATTCTTCAGGTGTGAATAGGATTTTGAAAATTCTACTTGTGCTGCCACGTGATAAATACTGTTGACATGATTCAATAGTAGTTCATACTTGCTTGAATCTTCAAAAGCGAATTGTTCTTTTGAAACATCTCCACACAGTACTTTAACGTTGGACAAATCTGGTTTTAACTGAAAATTTGTCAAACTCCTTACTACTCGCTCCTTGGCGTCATTGTCTGAAGCTCCTCTTACGACACAATAAATAGTACAACTAGGGAAACGATTACATAGCTTGTCCAGCAAATGGGTTCCTACAAAACCGGTAGCTCCAGTTAATAAGATGGAATGGTCTCCTTGTTTTTCTTTTTCAACGAATTGAATGGATTCATCCAATAGTAAATCATTTTCAACTTCTAAAAAGAGGTTTTGATTCTGTTGAGTGGAGAAATGGTGCATTAATTTGTTTGATGAGCCCATAGACAATACTTGGCATACAGTTGATAGTGGTTGGTGAATCAATATAGAGATTGGCGTTTGTGAGATGTTAAATAATCTTTGAACTGAAAACAAGAGCTTGACAGCTTTCTGTGAATGATTTCTCAGTTAATTATTGATCCATGCGACATGTTTGTTAACACTTACCATAGATGAGCCGCCAAGTTCAGTAAAACTTTTGTTCATATCCAAATCTTCTGTTTCTAAGATGCTCTTACATAGACTAATAAAGTTTTGTTCAATGTCATCAACTGTGAATAACACCTCATTATCATTCGCATGAGTTGAATAGCAATCTTCTATGCTTTTTGTATGTTTCTTGTAAATTTTAAATCGTGACACCTTGCCACTGGGAGTGAGTAAATTATTTTCTATGGTCCACTCGTCATCATCAAATATTACATCTCTCGGAATTTCGAAGGGTCTTACGTTATGTAGTTTTGCAATTTGATGCATTGATTTTAGAATTTGTCTCTTATCGTTACAACCATTGTGAACCGTTCGTACTATTGCTACAATATATTCACGGCTACTATCACCATAGATACAACAGTTCTCTATTTCGTCAATTTGCTCATATATGCTCTCTAGCTTGGTAGGACTCACAAACTCAGAGATTGCCAGTTTGAAAATGTTTTTTCTTTGTGAAATTATATTAACTTTTGTATGGACGTTTAGGTACAGCTAACAACATACCTTCGATCAATTATTTTGATGGAATTATTTTCAGGATTCAACTCAACAATATCTCCAGTGATATAATAACCATCATCAGTGAATGATTCATTAGACTCCTTTTCGTTGTTAAAATATCCAGGAATGGTATACGAGGTCTTTAGATTCATCACATAACAAGTTGAGTATGTTATATAGCTTTCATTTCACTTACCTTAACAACTAATTCTCCTCTTGGAAAAGGAATGTCTGTGTTGAAATATCCCATTTCTGGTACGTCAATAAGCCTAAATTTGACATCTGAATTAATAATTCCGTTTGTTGCAATTCCACCACATTCAGAGGCCCCATATCCTTCCACAACCGGTAACTGTAGCACGTTCTTGATGAATTGGAATAGTTCAGGAGACACAAATGCTCCTCCAATGCCAATCATTCTTAATCGCCGACCAAACAGTCTGCTGAACTTTTTTCCAAGGTCTTTTATCTGTTGTTCCTCTCCTTTCTGTTGAAGCTCCAATAATTCAGAGTGATACTCATTGTAAATTGAGTTGAAAATACTTGGAGGTGTCACAATTCCCGTTGGGTTACATTTCATCAAATCTTCGAACAAATAGATCCCTCTTCTGCAGTACACAACTCTTCCACCTTTCAATAAGGCTCCCCATGTAGTAACTCTATCGCTGCCAAGTGCCTGGGGACAATACGAAGCTTCGACCTCCAACAATTCATGTGAAATTTGTTTTTCAATGTCCACCCTCCAATGCTCGTTTGTGACAATACAACCTTTTGCTGTTGATGTAGAGCCTGAGGTAAATATAAGAGAATTAATTCTTTTAGAATTTTGGTCCGTCTGCTCAGACTTCTTCACACCACTCGTTGGATCGTTTGAGTATCTGTACAATTGTGAATCTTCTTTAACTATTATTGGTGTGGTTAATTGTATTCCTAACATGGTCTTTGCATTTGGATCTGTTATGCACATATTGTGGCCAGAGTCAATGATAGATGGTAAAAAGCATGTAACAATGTCAGTATCACACTCATCGCCTGATAACATTTGCGTGTCCATGGATATTAAAACAAATTTCCCTTTGCTGTCTTTCAATTTTGTAATCAGCTTGTAATATTTTTCAAACAGTTTTCCGTCACACACAATGCATTGTACAGACGCAGTACGAATGATACTTTCTAATTCATCATCAGAACGAGCGCATTGCAGGCCAATACTTATAAACCCATTCAATGCACACATCAAATCGATCATAGTGTATTCGTATCGATTTTCGTCGGTACTGATCGCTATAGATACTTGTTCCGAATTGGCAAGAATTCCAGCATTTTTCAACACCTCAATAAACCCAATAGAGCAGTGAATTATCTCGTTTCGAAACTCTTCATAAGTTTTGAATATAAAATTTCCGTCCTTATTTCGAGTTCCAACACAGGGTCGTTGTGAAAAAGTTTGAAAAATATTGTTCACAAATGTGGGAAGGTTTGGTGCGTTCAAAATATTCAATTTCATAAAGACAACATCATTGTACTCTACCACATATGGATATCCAAAAAAGTGGTCTATTTGCTTTGCCTTCTGAAACACTGCATCGTTGTCTTGAGAAATTACAGTGTCATTATTAATGTCAAACACAATAGGGGAAGAGAAATATCTCTTTTCAATTTGTTTCATCCACTTGTAACAATGTTCACATTTTGTTGCTGTCTTATCTGAGCTAGATGTACACCGATATCGTGGAGCACCTTCTCCTTTCGCTCCACTTTGAATAATAACTTCACACATGCCACACCGATCTTCCCACAAATTATTTCCAAATTTATCCGTAATTTTCCCAGAATTAAATTCAACAACTCCATTCTGTTCTGAGGAATCAAATGATGCACTATATGCCACTTGCCATGGAATGGACAAATTCTCTATTTTCTCTTTCCAATGATCCACCTTTTTCTGCAATTCTTTCAATTGTTCATTAAATTGCTGATTGAGTTCTGTAAATTTGATCATTTTAGGATTTTCCTCCAAATCCGACAAGTTGCTCTGTTGTTCCATAATAAATGTTTTATATTCTCGTATGTGTTTCATAAATTCATCCATCACGGTATGATCATTCCGGTTGATTGAAGTTTCTTCTTCTTCTTCTCGGATCAACAACAATTGTTGAATATTCTTAATTTTTCGTTCTTTTTCTTCCAAATATTCTTCTTGAGCCATTGAAAACTCATCGGCCAATAATATACTCTCCTCCATATAGATTTCTCTCGTTCTATTTCCTAATTTCAAAACTCGAACAAGATGATCAAATAAAAGTTCTCCCTCTTGTCCTTCATTTTGGATACACTGATAAAACTCTCTTAAAAATTGAAACTCATTCAATACTTGTTCGACAGGGGACGGCGAAGTGTCGATCATGACTGTGTGGTTCGATGGATTAATTTTTTTGGAAAAGATCTGTTGTTACAAAAATTATGATGACTGAACTCACAGAATTCCGAATTTAGATTTGGCATTTGATCTTGAGGAAATAAAGTCACAAATTTTGATGGAACTTCAAATAGTTCCTTACAACATGAAGACCACAAAAAGGGTAATTCATTCATTCAACTATTTGAATTCTTCTGGCTATTTGATATTGTTGGCTCATTTCTTTTCGAGTTTCTTAACTGCAAATGAGTCACCCTTCACATGTCATTCTTTTTTCATCTTTTTAAAAAAATGCTGAAACAACAACTGGCGCCCACAACAACAATTCTCTCAGTGGGAAAGCCTTGGCTGGTGTTTACAATGTTATTGGCCATCACGCTTCTCTTGTCATCGATGGTTTCCGCCCAAAACATGGGATGTTCTTCCGATAAAGATTGTCTCTCTGGATACAAGTGCGTCAAAATTTCAAAACCATCGACCATTGAAAAGTATAGCGTGTGTTTACGTTCCAAGACGATGATGATTCAACGTCTTCAATTGTTAGACATTTAAATTCTAAAGCAGACAAAATTACTGAACTGAAAGACAAGCCATTGAATGCGATTGTTTTGGAAGAGAAGGAGAGCTCAGAGTCGACTATTGTTTTGGATGAGGCCTCATCTACTCAACAAGCTTCTACAACTAGCACTGCCGCTGCTACAACATCAACCTCTCAACCATCTGTCGATAAATTCAGTGGAGTGAATAATGATGTTGGTATTGGAAGTCAAAATGCTGTTGCTGAACATGAGGAGGAACGTGACGAAGAGGAAAATGAAGACAATGATGAAAACGAGGACGATGAAAATGAGGAGGATCAAGAAGAAGATGAAGAAGATGAAGAGGAGAATGAAGATAATGAGGATGAAGAGGACGATGAGGAAGAAGAGTAACCAAATAGCTTACATCATCTCACAACAATGATACCTTGAGGTCACATCATTGAAATTCGACTCGAACTGTATTTTTAACGTAATGATTCATCATTTTTGAATGATCACTATTAGTAATTTTACCAAATAAACTAATAGAGAGCGTCACAATTAATATCAAGAACATTGATCTTTCTCTAAGATTTATTTTCACAAAAGGCCTAGTTAGTGGAATAGTTTGGGATTGGATTTGATGATGATTTGGAAGGTTGGGGTTAATCTTTGGGGACTATTGTACTACAGATACTCATCGTCCAGTTGTTGCGAAGATTTTTCTAAAAACTTTCTCGTCAAAGAGGATAAATCTTTCAACTTTTCTGATAGTTGGGAATTTGGGGTAGTGCTACTCATAACTGTTGGTTCTTTGATAGGAGGCTTTGGTGACGCTTTGGGAGAGGTTAAATTGTTCGAGATGGACAGATATTCTCGTGGAATGATTGAACTTGACTTGACATCAATATTTGCTGATGGCTGAATGGGCTGAGCTCTTTCTTTCTTTCTTCGGTTTTCAAGCATCTCTTCTTGATGCCGAATGGTTAGTAAGAGAGAAGATCGCTCCTTCTTCAGTTGTTTAAGCTCTTCTTCCTTAGCTGCAAGCTTCATTTCGTAATAGTCAAACTTTTCTTTATCTTCTTTGTGTCTGCTCTCTTGTTCTGCTTGCAACAGACGTTCATAATGTCGAAGTTTGTAAGTTAATTTTGCATTTTCACTCTTTGATTCATTGAGTTCAATTTCGAGTCGGGTGAGCTCTTCATCCTTCAATCTTATTGCATTGAATACCATATTGTTCTTTTCTCGATCAGATTGTTGTTGATAATCTGTTAATTTTGACTTTAACGTTTTGACAACAGACAGCTCGTTGGCTATGGTTTGTTCAGCTCTCACTAATGAAAGGTTCAGTTTTTCTACTTCAGAGCATTTCGTTTCAAAATCTTTTCGCACGACTTCTAATTCCTTACTTAGTTCTTCGAATTTTCGTTTCGTTTCATCTTGTTTCGTTTTTTCTACATACGTGGTTGTTATGGTTTCTCTGTAAAATAGTTATAAAAACTTACGTTGTTCTTCAATCATATTCCTGTCGTCTTTTAGCAATTTCAGATCTTGTTCATATTTTCGTTTCATAAATTCTCGTTCTCGATTCAGTCGATCAATTTCTTTCATATATTTAGTTGTATCAACTTGCTTCAGTTGTTCTTGTAAATAGTTAACCGATGCTTTCATATCCTTTTCTCGGTGCTTTGAGAGAGTCAGTTCATATTTTAACTGCTTAATTTCTTTTTCATGGTCCGCCTCATGCTGTTGAAACTCTTTTTTTGCATTTTCCAATTCAATCTCTCTCATTTTCATTTGTATTAAAAGGGCATAAACTTTGTGACGCCATTTGTTGATTAAAGAAATTTGAAGAGAATGTTTTCCTTTCCTTAACACATCTTCTTTTGAATCTTTTCCCTTGGAATTGTTATTAAATTCATTAATCTCATTGTTTTGAATTTCAATAATTTCTTCCAATGCCGCAATTCTCATTGACAAGAATTCTACAGAGTTTTCTCGTCCTCCTTGGTTTGATACACCATCGGGAATTTTACCGTCACTCTTAATTCCTTCTTCGTTCATCATGTAAGGTGACGAATATGTGTATTCAAAATTGAGCGGGTCTTTCTCTTCATCTGTATCCTTCTTAAATTTCCTATCAAAATCTTGATTTTGTAATGAGGAAAATTGTGGAGGTTTGTGCGTTGATACGGAGGGAGGCGACAGTGGAGACGTTGACGGTATTTGGGCAATCTCTTTTTGTTTAATTCGTTCTCTAAATTGCCCTATATCTCGAAGCTTTTGTTTTTCTTGTTCTATTGAAAATCCTAGCTGTTCTTTATATACATAATGATCTGGAAATTGGCCTATGGTATGATCGTTTTCATGAAATGTTGGTTGATACATCAAGTCAGCATGATGAAGAGCAGACTGTCCGATATTCTGTTTCATATAATTGGCCTCACTTCCCATCCAGCCCTGAAAGGAGTGAGGTGATATTGTTGTAGAGTTCGGAATACTTAACGGCGATTCCCGATAGTGTGGATGAATGGGCACCGACGACGAATTTGAATTTATCAATCCATTTCCTGACATGATGCTACTGCTGCTTGAAAATCCATTATGATTACTACTCTCATAGGTTGATGCTGTGTGGTTGTTGTTATTGTTGAGTTGGGTGGAGAGATGTTGTTTCATCATTATGTTTTTTAAAAAAGAAAATTTGGAACGAAAATGTAACATGCAGGCGGGAAGCGTTCGCGCCATTTCTCACAGCTCTGAATTCAAATCATTTTCGTTCCAAATTTTCATCTTTAAAAAACATAATCTAGATGCTTTAGACATTGTGCATTCCATTTATTTATTTCTTCTTCTTTCCACCTTTTGACTTTTGTTTGGAACCTCCTGCTGATTTAGTGGCAGTCGATGTTGTTGTGGTGGAGGCGCTAGAGGATGCAGCTCCCGTTGTTGATGATGAAGTCTCTTCCTTACTAGCCATTCTTGTTTGGAGATTAGGAATCAATGAAGCAATATGAATCAATAGATCTTGTTTTGTTTTCCATTGAAGTTGAGGAACATGATCTTTTTTCAATAGAACTCTCACTCTTCCAAACTCAAAAGGTTCTTGAGGGTGTCGTTTTGTTGGCTGATGTCATCGTGGAATAATGGATTTCAACAATTCCGATGCATATGAATATTAACAAAACGTGTGATGAATAATAACAAGAAATTTCAGTGAATGATGAATTGTGGATCAACATGCATTTTCAATCCAACATTAAAAATATACATTAACCATCAAGCCATGAATACATGATGATGAAAAATCATCAATTAATCCTACCTCATATTCATACGGAATTTTCAAATATTCACAAATATCAACAATCTCAGAAGCCTTCGGATTCTCCACACATTTTTCCTTTGGTATCCTTCGCCCTTCACTCAATGATTTATTCTTGTCAATATAAACTGGATATAAAATCTGAGTTCTCTTTACAGATTCGGGTGGTGGGCTTTGTTTTCTTGTTGATGATGAAGACGTTTGTTGGCTCATTTTATTGATGGTTATCAATCTCGTTGGTTACAACCTAACGATGAGTCATCGTCATCAAGAGAAAAAATATGCGATATTCTCTTCGGCAGTAGAAACGTCATCGAGTCAAAATACATAAAAATACACTTTTGAATAGTCGACGTAGTATTTTCATGTAGATATATATTATGAAAATATTCAAAGATGGACAGAAAAAATGGTCAGAATAATATTTCTATGGAACAAGATGGATTAATTTTGAGCGTTAGGGATGTAGAGGGAACTTTACAATCGGAAGAACGGAATGGCAATACGTTGATACGAAGAATTACTTTAAAATGCTCACCTTGGAAGAGTATACAAAGTACCTTTGTGAAATTGATTCTTGTCTTTGTGCTGTATTTGTTGATACATAATTTTGTAACACACGATACTACCAATAGTGAAGAGAGCATTCGACATGACAATGGCTACTTTGATTTTGTTCTAAAAAGGGTCTCACTTCTCTCTATATCGTTTATCATGCTCGTTTTTTATATTATTTATTGCCTGTTGACAAGTGTGGTTGAAGAATCAATGACCATTTTGCGAGGGAAAGGAATTCAACTCGAAAAGAAAGTTTTTTATGGCTCTAAAACTCGAATATTATTTATTCCAGTGAATGACATCAAATTTGTAGCAATCAATGAGGGATTTCATATTGATTGTGTAATTTTTTATTTTACCATTGTACTGACACGACCATATGATGGCAAGCTATTAATGTTACCGTTCGATACATGGTATCCGAGACTTCAATTGTTGAAAATAATTTATTTGAAGTCTAAAGAATTGCTAAACTCTCCAAGTACTTCAGTAATGAATACTAGAAAACCTTGACTCTTATTCAGACATTCCTATGTACAATGATTTTAACCGAATATTGAGGCATAGGTCACTGCAACCGTTTTGCCATCTTTCATCATTGAAAGAGAACCATTCTTTCAAAACGGTTCGTGTGATGTACTTAATGGTTTGGAACATACAATCCGTGTTTGCATAAATGAAACTCCCATTTTTGTCGCCTCTTCAGCACGTACTTGTGTTTAACAGCATAAACAACATGGTTCTTTTTGTTTTGCTCATGAGTTTGTTCACAAAGATTGATAACAAAAAATGATGCATTGCTTTCTGTCACACAAATCAATTCTTGAAAATTACAAATCTCTCTTATAGAGTTTTCTGTGATATTTGTAAGCAACTCATACGGTACACTTTGTTGGCTCGTTTTTTTCTTTGATTTTTGCGCAGGTTTCTCTTTTGTCCCTGATTTTGGTTTTGTTGAGCTCATTGACTCATTAGGTTCATATAAACATGCTGGCTGATAACTCAATATTGAGCTATCGTTAATCAACAATGGTTTTTGCATGCTCGTAATCAACGATCCTGCTCTCAAAATTCTCATTTCCTTGTTCAACGATTTTTCAAAATATTTACATTTATAATAATAAACAGGTTTTTCAACATCTATTAAATGATTTTTCAAAAACGCCTCGGGATGAGTTTTATCATACCGCGAGTAGATTTGTTTCCGAGCATGTATACTAAAACAAAGAAACCTCCAAATTTCATTCCGATACGAGATCATATACCATTGTTTGCAAACAAGAGCAACCGTTTGAGTAAGATCGTTGGGTTCCAGATTGAGAAAAATACACAACAGCGAAAGATCGTCAACTCGCTGCATTTTTCTGATAAAAAAGAGAGCGCCCACCTAAAGAGAAAATAAAATTATGCTCCGCTGCCGGGAATCGAACCCGGATCTCAAGGGTGAGAGCCTTGTGTCCTAACCATTAGACTACAGCGGATTACATTCAGGAGTTTAACTAACATAATAACTTCTTCCGACATTCTTTTTCAGGATAGCTTGTATCGAAACCAAAGGTTGTAGCGGGAGAGTTGTATTATTCCTTACAGGCATCCCGTCCAAACCAACAAGAGAATTCGTTTCATTCTCTGGGTAAAGGAGTAAAAGAGAGTTGCTGCCATATGTATGAACGTTCTCTGTGAATCCGCCTACCTGAACACCATGGTTCGAACTACGATGCTCGCTCGAATAGTGACATCTTGAGGAGACAAAACATCAAATTTCCCACCTTATCTATTAACATCCCGGCCAAGAACAATGCACAATACTTGGCCACACTGTGCATTCTGCGTGGGAAAAACAAAGATATTTATGTTTTCATTTCAAGAATGGATAGAAAATGAAAAGGAAAAAGGCTACAGCACTGCAGGTTCCCAAGTTGTCTCCAACCTCAGTACTGATGCAGCTCGACGATGCTTAACTTCTCAAATCGGACGGGATGAGGTGCATTCATCGTGATATGGCCGTAGCCATTCATGTTACTTAATCCACTGTTTTCACCTCCCTTCACAACCTGAGCCCCTTCGCTCAGATGTCAGTGACAGATTTATTAATACACATCTTTGGACATTTTGATTAAGATGTTAAGAACTAACACATATTGGACTTCCTGTGCATGTAAGCCACATGCTGCTGCCTCTCTTTAGTAATCCTTGAAATGAAAAAACCCGCCTGCTCTTCATCTTCCTTGCTCAATGGATGGTTCACTATTTGCGTACATTTTTTTTTGGATTAAGAAAACGATTCTCTTTGGAAAGTTTCAAAGGAGACAACTCAACCGATAAGTGATTGTGAATTCACAACTTGGTGTTATCACTCTGAATTTATTGATACAAGTCTTCATTTACAACAAGAATGCAAATAAGGCAAGTAAGACCATGATCATGACCATCATCATTCCATTATTTCTAGCAGCACTATTAATCAAATTAGAAGACTCTTCACTTGATCCAACTGAAGGATCCCACACAAAATTATTCACTCTCTCCGTAATGGACATGTAAAATCTTGCCAATGCAGCATTTGAATCGACAAAATCTCTCAAAGTACTTTCACCGTCTTGTGCTGGTTGGAACGGCATGTACTTGGTCGAAACAAATTTACCTCTTGTAATGACCGTTGGAGCACTTGTATTCCAACGAGAAATGAAATTTTGGAATGAGAAGAAGGTTTTTGGAAGACTTGCCAAATTTCCTCCTAATTGAGAAGAGACATCATCATCGAATTGAGAGACTTGTTGATCATCGGAGGAATCGTCTGGCTTTTCAGCTTCTTCACCACCAAAGATGGATCGTTGAGTAGGGGTGGATGATTTTGGTTTGTCTCTTCGAGTACCTCTGAATGCAATGACGGAACCCAAAGCAATCAATGAATCACTAGCTTCATAGTTAATATCATTAACTTCCAAAGTGAGTTTGAAAGAACTTGGATTTAACACTTGCACAACACCAGTTCTATTGACCAACTTGGGTGAAGTGAAAGTAATGACATCTGACGTGACCATAGCACCCAATTTCAGAGTACAAAAGTTTGGAATGGTTGTTGAAACCACTGCTTGATACACATATGAAGTATTAGCATCATTCAATGGTGTTCTAGTCAATGAATCGACTGTCCAAGCATATTGACCCAATCGAAACGATCTCAACACAGTATCATTTCCAGGTTGAAAACCTTCGACTCCATTCTTTTCACGATATTCCAAAATTTCATCCAAACCAAAGGAGCTTCCCACGTGAATGGCAAATTCCTTGTCGTTGTTGGAACCAGGCAAGTTCACTTTGACAATGGTTTTTCCTTTCATTCCTACCATTGGGAATTTTGCGATGGAAGCAAAGAATTCAATTTCACTCACGGCTCCGATGGCAGTGTTGTTTCTACGATCAATGCAACCAGCTTTGGTTACGAATCGAATGAGTTTACCGCTATCACTTCGATTCACTTCGATTTTACGTTTGCAAGTGGAAGAAATGAGTTTGTTGTACAGAGATGTATTCACTTGGAATGCGTTGGTGAATGAGAGGAGCAACAAGGTGCTCATCATCATCATGAGGATGGTAATACTCAAGTTTGATGCGGACATGTTGACAATAATTGTCGTAATGCAAGTTGTTTTTTTTTTTGTTATGTGTTTTGAACTTGGCATGTCAGCCAGTCGCTTTTAAAGCGTGATTTGTGTGGCAGGTGACAGACAAAGTTCTGGAGGGCGGAACTGTGGTTTTAGCCGGCAACGTTATTTTGGTTTGATTTAGGTGAAGCTTGACCTTTATGGCCTGAGCTAAAAGGAAGAGAAAGTGGAGGTTCTAATTCCTCATCCACACAAAAGCACAACATTTACAGTCAGCAATTCGAATTGGTTGAATTAATAACACAACCAGTTGCTCCAAGAAAATGATTCCTTGTCCTTTCTTCCTCAAAAACCGACTGTAGTCACTGGAGTTCATTGTTTGTGGAAAATAGAAGGACATCATTTATTTTCAACGAATAGCATCTAATTGAATACATGATGCCACAGGAAATCATCCAAACAATGAATATTATCAACGCCAATTCCAGTGTTGAGCTCCTTACTGTGATTTGTCAATTCGCAATAACAATGTGCGTTACAATTCGTGTTCCTATCTGAAAGTACTTACATTTCTTTTGCAGACATTTTAGTAAAACCAACTCCAATAGCATCCTCTTTGCCCTCAACCATTATTGCAACAATTTGATCTTTTTCCACAGACATGTCCAATTTAGCTCCTGGTGATGTCAATCCACGACACATGATGTTTGCTCCACTCAAAATAAATTTCACAGCTCCTCTATCGACTTGAAGTTGAGGCAACATTTGTGGATCTATCAATAATGTTCCAAATATTTGAATTTTTGTTTGCCGTGCGTTGTAAACATGATCAAAAATTGAATTTTCCAATCATAAAAACATACATTGATGTAATACTTTAAGATGAGGATAGAATGGACCGTCATGAATGGTGAAAAACTTTGCCTCATTATTTGAAATATAAATCTTAACTTGTCCAGGACTGTCAATTCCAAAATTTAAGTATGGAAAATATGGGTTGCATGAATTCATTGTTGAAAGGTTAGAATGATAGTATGTTCATCGGAACCAGAAACAATTCATTGTTCAATGGGAAATAATAGAATCAGGTACGAAATTCGAGTTCGCACACGGGAGCACAATTAAATCATTTCAAAAATTACATAAATATTCATGATCGTAAGATGATAATTTCCAAATCATTAATCTTCATTTCAAAAACAATAATGCTCCTCTTTTCATCACCTACCATTTTGCAACCACAAGAGGAACTTTCTTTGGAATGATATCTTCAATACTAGCTCCGAGCATTGGATATTGTTCTTCAATAGCTTTTCTAACACCTCGCTCAACGGAGCTCTTCAATTTGGTGATACTTCCAACCTCTTCCTTGGTCCACCTGATTTGAGAAGATGAGTATTGTTTTGACGTTTACATTGTCATCACTTACTTTTTGAACATTTTTTTGTTATCAGTCTACTCAAGAAGAAATGACTTTTATCATGGCATTGATAAAGGTGATCATGAATGGGCCCATTTGTGATCTACATGGTAAGCCACCCTGTGTGTTTCATGTCCAATCTTTGAATTTCATACATCAAGATGACTCGTGCACTTTCAAAATGCAAAAAAACCGCTTGACTGCTCTCTACCATCCCGAATCATCACTGCAAAACTCTTCACAAAGAAAAGGCTTTGCAAACTGTTTCTACACATGATGATCAACAAAGAATCATCATCAGATCCACCCAATCCACGCCGTTATTTTAATCTGGTCTTAGTTGGCCCCGTAGACTCGGGCAAGTCTTTGCTCGGTGGCTGTTTGATCCGATATTGTCGTGGAATTACTGAATCCGAATTGAATTCAATATGCAATCGATTCGGCTATTATTACAGAGATAGGTATTTAGCAATGTATGAGGATGAATTTGGAGGAAACACCCACCACGTTAATGTAAAAAGAAGTATTTACACTCCAAATAATCGATCGTTCACGATAATAGACACTCCTGGTCATTACCAGTTATTGGGTAATTTAATTTCTGGATTATTTCTCGGTGATGTGTGTTTGTTAGTTGTTAATCCTACTGATGGGTATTTTGAGCATGACCTTCCATGTCTTAGAAGACAAATTTTGTTATTAAGAACGATGGGTTTTAAGGAGAGTCAATTGGTGGTGTGTTTGAATCGAATGGATCAATGTTATTATTCTCAAACACGCTATGAGGAAACAACACAGGAGGTCATCAAACTGTTGAAACGGGTTGGATATCATGACGTCGATCAAATTCCGTTCATTCCTGTGAGCGCCTATAGATATGATAATTTATTGAATCATGACGACAAGGACACCACTTTGGCACCAACACGAATGGAATGGTATTCTGGAAAGAGTTTGATAGAGACCTTGGATTCATTGAATTTGAAGCATCCATCTGAAGTGAGATCATGTGAAGCGTTGAAAGATATGTCATCCTCGTCACGACAATTGAGAATGCCAATAAGGCGTGTGTATAATTTCAATGATGGAAGACGAATCTTGTGTGGAAAAGTTGTGACTGGAATGTTGCGAGTAGGAATGAAAGTAAGAATTCCTCTCAGCAATGGATCCTTTATGGAACAACAAGTGAAAAGTATTCAAGTTTTTCATGAAGAACGAGAAACTGCATTTCCCTCTGAACTTGCAGCAATTAACATTGGAAGTGGTACTCAGGATGGATATAGTGCTTCATCATTGACTTTCAAAACTTTGTCAATCCATAGAAATGATGAAATGAATAAGTTGACAAGGCAAAAAGACAGACCATGCGTGAACAGTGGTTTTATTGTTAGCGAAGCTTCTGAATCCTACGGATGTAATGGCTCTTTATTTGTGGATAGTTTTGAAGCTCAAATCAAAGTTCTGCTTTTAGATTGCAGCTATTCTTTATCAACTTCAACCACTACAAACAATGAAATAATTACTTGTGGATATGAGGCCATTGTAGATTGTGGTCTAGCTCATATAAGATGTCAATTTGAGGAATTGATTGGAGTTCTTGAAAAGGGAAATCTTTCGAAAATGATTTCTTTGGAACCACTCAACAGTCTTCAACGAGGAGATTTTGCATTTGTGAAACTAGTTCCCAAAACGCAAATGCAGGTGGAAAGCTTTTTCACATGCCCTTCACTGGGAAGAATAGTGATTCGAGCGGGTTGCCAACAGATCGTGGCAGTTGGTCGTATTACACGAGTACATCGAAGAAATTCTGACCTCTATACATTATTTGCGTTTAAATTTTCCAAATTTGTAAAAGAACATACCACCACTCATTTGAGGGATATTACTGTAAAGTGTCAACATTGATGTTTTTATTACTGAATGATGTAATTAATATTGATGTGATATTGGTTATATATACATGGAAAATGGAATGAATTTCAAATTAGGAGAAGAGGAAGTATTCACATTTCCGTCACATTCGCTTATAGGAATGCATTTTTAAATTCCTTCAAAAAGTCCTCAACACTTCTCGAGTTCTTTCCAGTTACAATTTTGAAATCGCCATGAACATTGGCAGAAACACCATTCAACTTGTAGAATTGAAACAACTTGACCATGGCCAATACCATGAACGAAGGTAACTCTGGAACTTGTTGTAATAATGAGGCATATTCAGCTTCTTCCATCTCGACCACTTTCACCTCCTTTCCAACCACTTTTGTGATCAATTGAGCTAACTCTTCATAAGAGAGTGAATCAGGACCTGTGACATTATAAGTATGAGTATAGAGAGGAGAATATTTCTCAACAGGCTCACTCAAGAAATGGGCTGCCAAGTCGGCAATATCTCTCACATCAACATGAGAAATGAAATAAGGTTCTCCACGAATACCTTTGGGTCGATAAAACACTCCTTGAGAACGAATAGTTTCAGCATCACCCAAATTGATCAAGTTCTGAATGAAAAGATTGGCTCTCAGAATGATGAATGTAATTGGATGATTGGAGTGCTTGTTGTTATGCTTGCGGATTAATTTCTGAACGACTCTCTCAGCATCATTATGAAAACGTAAAAAAGTATTGGCATCAGCATCACCAGAGGAACCCAAACCTGAAAGTCGAATCAATTGTTTCAAGCTCGAAGCACCATATTGAAGAGCCACACGAATGAATTCACTCTCAATTTGAGCTTGAGAGGGATGATCAGGAGTGAGAAGAAAGATTCTCTCAACATGTTCAAACAATGCCGAGTTGGTGACTGTCACTGAAGAGAGTTGAGTGAGATCTCCAACAACATATTCCAAATGAAAGTGAGAGCTTTGAAGAGACTCAAAGAGTTGTTTGGCTTTGTTTTCATCCCGTACAAAAAGTCGAACAGTGACAGGAGTAGTGGGAGTGGCATAATTCTGACTCAAAGATTTGACAAGTTCTTTTCCAATAGTTCCTGTTGCACCAGTAACAAGAATAACAGGTTGAGCTGGAGTGGCCATTATGAAAGAGAATTAATTTTTGTGATAAGAGAGAATTATACTTTTTTTTGTGATTGTAAGTTGTTGGATTTGCATGTTCAAGATTTTATAGTTCATTCACATGGCCACAGTTTGGGAATCAATATGCGCACGAATATTGGAAGTACGAGTGGTCCGTAATTCATGCTTGCGTTGGATCATGAATTCAAAGGGATTAGCGGAAAAACCTTCCCAGCAATTCCTGTCAAGGACAATAATTAGTCCGTTCAAATGCGCAACAATTCATCAGAAGATGATTTCAAAAACAACATGGTCGTAGAAACAAACCTCATGGAGGCAATGAAACAAACGAGCCTCAATTATTGACCTCTCATACTTATCCAGGATTTTCTCAACACCCGCAGCAGCACATTGCCAATCTCAGATTGATATTCATGCTATCACTAAAAACTGGAAGCTTCGCAAACCCACAGGAGATCCCTCGAAAGGGTTAAGACGCCAAGAATTTGATGTCATGATGGAACATCACAAAAAGAATTTGGAAGGATTGGAAGGTCAAGAAAAGGCCAAGGCTGAGTCAAAAGTTTTTAGAGAAGCTGCTGACAAGATTGGTCTCTCAGAAGCTACCAAACTCACTCACAAGTCAGCCATTAGAAATTACCTTGGTTTTTGTATTGAAAAGGGTTATTCTCCATTTGTTACCACAGCTTGTGGCTCTCAGATCAATTTAGAAACCTATGATTCATGGGTCTTGTGGTTAGTAGAACCAAAAGAGAATGGCAAAACATTCAAATACAATACGGTTAAACGTTATGTCAGTGCCTGTAGAGCTTGGTGTTGTAGACATTTCATCAAGTATGCAAGAGAAAAGAAGTCTTACGAAGCTATTCAACAAATGAAGACTGCATCGAAATTGGTGGACGTGGAGGAGGTACAAGCAGCCATCTTACCACCCATTGATATTTTTCGAATGTTGCATGGGTGTGATTGGAGCTCTGAAAAGGGGTTAAGACTAGCCAGTCGAATGCTCGTTTCATTTGTTTCAGGAGCTCGTCCTCTTTCCCTTGCTAAAATTCAATTGAAGCACTTGCAATTACAACCCAAGTTTATGAATGGTAAACTCCAATCCATGGATGTTCGAGTGAAAATTGTCCATGATAAGGTTGAAAGTGTTGCAAATAGACACCAAACATGGTTTTCTGGAAATCGAGTGGGTTTGTGTAACATCATTTTGCTCATGCAATACTTGTCAAAAAGACAAGTATTCACTCATGGAACTTTTGAAAATGCTCTCAAACATGAATTTATTCAATTCAAGAAGGAATGTTTGGATGAATACTTGTTCAGTGACATTGGAAAGGGTCTCGAACCACAACCATTAGAAAATTTTAGATATGAATTGAAATGTATTGCCAAAAATGTTGGAATTCAAGAAGAAAAGGTTTGTCCCTATTCCTTCAGAAGATCAGGAGCCACATGGTCCGTAGGTAACTCCATCATTGAGAAGGGTTCTATTACCCAAAATGATCTTGAAGTCATTATCCGATATTATGGATGGAAATTTGCTGCCAGCAATGAAATTGCACGTAAATACATGGACAAGAGATTACTCGAATTCTTTGATGGAGCCATTCAATTTATGGGTTTGCAATCCAATCGAAAATGGACAGAGGAAGATTTGGAGAGAAAATTTAGAAAAACTCCTTCAGATGAACCTGGATACAATTATCACTCGATTCGTTTAGCAATGCCAGACTATTTCAAAGAAGAAATTGCAAAATTCCATCAAATTCAATACAATGAATTGATGGGGGAGAATATTGCCAAAGCAATTGATCGATGGACTTTTGCCAAGCTCCAACAATTACAAGTTGCGACAAGTATCGATGTGAAAGTCAACTTGGTCACATTATACCGCTTGTTTCTCCATTTCAATCGAATCAAGATTCTTGACCAGTTAAAATCTCTGACATGTTTTCATGGGGATGTGAGTCATGCAGAAATGGCCATGGAGGTTACTGGAGATGATTCTACTAAGATGAAGCCACCTCAATTGACTAGTGAGGTGGTCAAGGGTACTCCTCAATTGACGAGTGAGGTGGCGGTTGTGACTCCTCCTCAATTGACGAGTGAGGTGACCAATGATACTGCACCTCCATCAGCGTGTGAGGAAAATCGAACACCAAAGGACATGACCTCTCTTTTGGAACTTTTACAATCGATTGCACAAGAATCCTCTTCGAACACGACTCGTGTTTCAGACGCTCCCAAAGAAAGTAACATCAATACACCCTCTGGTCTCTCTTTCAACTTGTTAAACCACAAAAAGGAAGAGAGATTGTTAAATTCCGAGTTACCACTCCCCAAGAACAAGCATGGTCAACATGTGAGTGCACAATTATTTTGGACCTCCTTGAAACCAGGACCTAAAATGAAAAAACCTGTACGAAAGGAAAACAAACGAAGAATGAATGAGAAGAATTGGGAAAAGATTATTCCACGTATTGCCATGGATGCTGCCACCTTGCTGAACAAATATCCACAACTGGTGGATCAAATCAAAGCAACCAAAGAGTATGGTTTGGCTCTTGACTGGTTGAGTGAGTTTGAGAGTTATGGAACGTGTCAACGCTTGGAGAGTCGATTGAGCACCTTTCCAAATTGTGGGTACATTGAACAATTTATTGTGAGCGTAATTGAGCTTACGAATGCCTCCTTCAAGATCATTACGGAAATTTGGATTCGAGAAGAGATTATATCTCCAAGTACAGATAATCCTAGAATGTATGAAATTAATAGTGGACAATTATTGGAGGCTCAAAATGTATACTCATTGAGAGATGTTAAAGGTGATGAGATTGATGAAAGTTTTATTCCAGTCTCGGCACGTACCGTTGTTCATCTTGATGCATCTCAAGTGACATTGGAAAATTATGAACATGCCTCCAAAGACATTCTCAGACAATTCATGAGGAAGAAATTAGGATCTATCAGCAACAAAATAATTAACTATCTGACAACGGGTAATCTTGTGCAAGCCTCAAAGACAATATTGGAGAGTGAGCGTGATAAATTGGAAATTGATGGAGATGCATTGAAGAAGGAGCTTGAAGAAATTGCATTGAAAAACAAAGAAGCATCACCGTTGTCTGACACTGCTAACAAAACGGCTCATGAATTGACCTTGGCAGACTACAAACAAGCAACATCGAACGGTTTGCGATCGTTTATTCGCTCTCGATTGGGATCCATTAGCAATGATGTTATCAATCATTTAGTGAAGAAGGAAATGCAACAAATTGTAGAGCAATTGTTGAAAGAGAAAAGTACACACGAGGAAATTAAGTCACAAATGATCGACTGGTCCAATGCAAACAAGGAACGCAAAAAAAAACAATCCTCCAAAAAACGTACCAAAGGTGGCAAGAAAAAGAAAGACGATATTGAAGACTGTAACGAGAATGAGGAACACAAAAAACTAAAGAGAAAACAGAATAAGGATTCTAACACCAAACAAACCAAGAAATCCAAGAAATAAAAAGTCTTGATATTGCGGAGACGCTCTTTACCAAAGCAGGTTCAGTTTTGACTACAAAACATCATCGTTGCTGGACAAGCTAACATAGCGGGTTGCCGGATGGATTTGGTCGCGCATTTGTTTTGCACAGGATGAGAGTTTGCTGTATTTTCATTCGTAAACACATTCTCCAACAAGATATGCATGACAGCCTGTCAAAGTCTGTGACACCTTCCTAAAAAGGAAATTTTGAAGATAGTGCTATCTTCGAAAAAATGTGTATTATTAATGAATTATTATTGATTTATGAATGATATAAGCAATATAAGCTTCAATTACGGGGCTTTTCTTTCTTGCCCTTCCTAGCATGGGTGGCTGCTTGGCAACTCTCAAAAAAAATAATGAAGTTTGAAGATTTTCACAACGTTGGGTGTTGTGTGTTCCGATATTTATATCATGGTGATGTCTTAACATGAATGTATGAATAATATTCATATGAATCAATTCATAACCATACATCTTGTTGATTTAGGCCATGATTATGGTTCATTTGACAATATCCATCATGATGATGATTATTATATCTTTGTCAAAGATACAATATGCTTTTGTTCATTTATGTGTGGTGAACATACAAGATGTTGTGGATGCCAATCAATTGTATTGAATGTTGAAAGAATTTTGATATGAGATTTGTTGCGGAGTTGAATCATTTACGTTGATTATTTAGAGGTTTTTTTAATTCCAACTTGAATTTTTACTGGAACGCTTGATAAGGCTCAACTAGCGACAAGGCTGGTCCAACCCTCACTATGGTAACTACAAAAAAAAACAGCGCTAACATGTTTTCAATGCTATTGTCATCTACTGCTGAAGAAGAAGAATGGGATTGGGAAGGCTTGGAATCTGTAGATCCAGAATTGACCGAAGCCTCAAAGGAAGAAGAAATTACTGAAGAAGATTTTGAGATCAAGTCCATGTTGGATTTTGTTGGATTTGGACATTTGCTAACTCTTCCCTCTGCTGATCATCCAATGATGAAACAGTTGGAAAATGTTGAGCAATCTCATCAACCAACTCCACTTTCGCTCGTTCAACCTCAGTTGCAAGCACAGGCTACTGTTGATACGCTCGTCATGCCTCCGCCAACTACAGCTTTGGACAATCATGGTTACAACTGCGACTACAATGGCATTCATCAAGGCTTTCCATCATCATTGATTCGTGTTCCTAGTAATGCGATCGGTACTACATTCACTTCATTGGTCTCCAACGAGCCTCAATTATTGACCTCTCATGCTTATCCAGGATTTTCTCAACAGCCGCAGCAGCACCTTGCCAATCTCAGTGGTGGACCACTTCAGCATCCAATCCAATCAAACAGGACTCTTTCCATGCTACACCCCTATTCAACCTTGAATGGAGTAATTCAGCCATTGGTTCAGCCTTACACTGGAAGTATGTTTGCACAAGGTAATACTTACTCAATGAGTGATCAAGAACGCAAACATCAATTGTTGTCTCTTATTGATCAAGCGACTTATGCATTGCAAGATCTTTCAAGTCTGGATGTCAGTGATGTTCGTGATCCTTTGCTTTTGAGACTGAAAAAGTTGGTAGAATTGGGTCAGCATTACATCTCCCATCTTGAAACCACCTCTCAAATTGATATTCATGCCATCACTAAAAACTGGAAGCTTCGCAAACCCACAGGAGATCCCTCGAAAGGGTCAAGACGCCAAGAATTTGATGTCATGATGGAACATCACAAAAAGAATTTGGAAGGATTGGAAGGTCAGGAAAAGGCCAAGGCTGAATCAAAAGTTTTTAGAGAAGCTGCTGACAAGATTGGACTTTCTGAAGCTACCAAACTCACTCACAAGTCAGCCATCAGAAATTACCTTGGTTTTTGTATTGAAAAGGGTTATTCTCCATTTGTTACCACAGCTTGTGGCTCTCAGATCAATTTAGAAACCTATGATTCATGGGTCTTGTGGTTAGTAGAACCAAAAGAGAATGGCAAAACATTCAAATACAATACGGTTAAACGTTATGTCAGTGCCTGTAGAGCTTGGTGTTGTAGACATTTCATCAAGTATGCAAGAGAAAAGAAGTCTTACGAAGCTATTCAACAAATGAAGACTGCATCGAAATTGGTGGACGTGGAGGAGGTACAAGCAGCCATCTTACCACCCATTGATATTTTTCGAATGTTGCATGGGTGTGATTGGAGCTCTGAAAAGGGGCTAAGACTAGCCAGTCGAATGCTCGTTTCATTTGTTTCAGGAGCTCGTCCTCTTTCCCTTGCTAAAATTCAATTGAAGCACTTGCAATTACAACCCAAGTTTATGAATGGTAAACTCCAATCCATGGATGTTCGAGTGAAAATTGTCCATGACAAGGTTGAAAGTGCTACAAATAGACACCAAACATGGTTTTCTGGAAATCGAGTGGGTTTATGTAACATCATTTTGCTCATGCAATACTTGTCAAAAAGACAAGTATTCACTCATGGAACTTTTGAAAATGCTCTCAATCATGAATTTATTCAATTCAAGAAGGAATGTTTGGATGAATACTTGTTCAGTGACATTGGAAAGGGTCTCGAACCACAACCATTAGAAAATTTTAGATATGAATTGAAATGTATTGCCAAAAATGTTGGAATTCAAGAAGAAAAGGTTTGTCCCTATTCCTTCAGAAGATCAGGAGCCACATGGTCCGTAGGTAACTCCATCATTGAGAAGGGTTCTATTACCCAAAATGATCTTGAAGTCATTATCCGATATTATGGATGGAAATTTGCTGCCAGCAATGAAATTGCACGTAAATACATGGACAAGAGATTACTCGAATTCTTTGATGGAGCCATTCAATTTATGGGTTTGCAATCCAATCGAAAATGGACAGAGGAAGATTTGGAGAGAAAATTTAGAAAAACTCCTTCAGATGAACCTGGATACAATTATCACTCGATTCGTTTAGCAATGCCAGACTATTTCAAAGAAGAAATTGCAAAATTCCATCAAATTCAATACAATGAATTGATTGGTGAGAATATTGCCAAAGCAATTGATCGATGGACTTTTGCCAAGCTCCAACAATTACAAGTTGCGACAAGTATCGATGTGAAAGTCAACTTGGTTACATTATACCGCTTGTTTCTCCATTTCAATCGAATCAAGATTCTTGATCAGTTAAAATCTCTGACATGTTTTCATGGGGATGTGAGTCATGCGGAAATGGCCATGGAGGTAATTGGAGATGATTCTAATAAGGTGAAACCACCTCAATTGACTAGTGAGGTGGTCAAGGGTACTCCTCAATTGACTAGTGAGGTGGCGGTTGTGACTCCTCCTCAATTGACGAGTGAGGTGACCAAAGATACTGCACCTCCATCAGCGTGTGAGGAAAATCGAACACCAAAGGACATGACCTCTCTTTTGGAACTTTTACAATCGATTGCACAAGAATCCTCTTCGAACACGACTCGTGTTTCAGACTCTCCCAAAGAAAGTAACATCAATACACCCTCTGGCCTCTCTTTCAACTTGTTGAACCACAAAAAGGAAGAGAGATTGTTAAATTCCGAGTTACCGCTCCCCAAGAACAAGCATGGTCAACATGTGAGTGCACAATTATTTTGGACCTCCTTGAAACCAGGACCTAAAATGAAAAAACCTGTACGAAAGGAAAACAAACGAAGAATGAATGAGAAGAATTGGGAAAAGATTATTCCACGTATTGCCATGGATGCTGCCACCTTGCTGGACAAATATCCACAACTGGTGGATCAAATCAAAGCAACCAAAGAATATGGTCTGGCTCTTGACTGGTTGAGTGAGTTTGAGAGTTATGGGATGTGTCAACGATTGGAGAGTCGATTGAGCACCTTTCCAAATTGTGGGTACATTGAACAATTTATTGTGAGCGTAATTGAGCTTACGAATGCCTCCTTCAAGATCATTACGGAAATTTGGATTCGAGAGGAGATTATTTCTCCAAGTACAGACAATCCTAGAATGTATGAAATTAACAGTGGACAATTATTGGAGGCTCAAAATGTATACTCATTGAGAGATGTTCAAGGTGACGAGATTGATGAAAGTTTTATTCAAACCACATCTCGTACCGTTGTTCATCTTGATGCATCTCAAGTGACACTTGAGAATTATGAACATGCCTCCAAAGACATTCTCAGACAATTCATGAGGAAGAAATTGGGGTCCATCAGCAACAAGGTGATTAATCACTTGAAACTATGCAACTTGATACAAGCCTCAAAGACAATATTGGAGTGTGAGCGTGATAAATTGGAAATTGATGGAGATGCATTGAAGAAGGAGCTTGCAGAAATTGCATTGAAAAACAAAGAAGCGTCATCGTTGTCTGACATTGTTAACAAAATCACAATAGAATTGACCTTGGCAGACTACAAACAAGCAACATCGAACGGTTTGCGATCGTTTATTCGCTCTCAAATAGGCTCCACCAGTAACGACATTTTGAATCATTTACTGAAGAAGGAAATGCAACAAATTGTAGAGCAATTGTTGAAAGAGAAAAGTACACACGAGGAAATTAAGTCACAAATGATCGACTGGTCCAATGCAAACAAGGAACGCAAAAAAAAACAATCTTCTTCAAAAAGGAAACAGAAAGATGATAATAACTCCAGCGAGGACGAAGAAGATAAAAAACCAAAGAGAAAACAGAAAGAAGATCCTAACACCAAACAAACCAAGAAATCCAAGAAATAAATTCTCGTGTGTGATTGTTTTTTCACAATATATTTGGGTAATACTTCAATGTTTAAAAAACTAATTAAATGAAAGTTTCCACAACTGTTTCAAGTTTGGCTGATCTTGAAAGTACAAATGCCAGCTGTCAAAGTCTGTGACACCTTCCTAAAAAGGAAATTTTAAAGATAGTGCTATCTTCTAAAAAACATGCAAAATTAATGAATTATATGTTTATGAATTGAATGATATAACAATATAAGCTTCAATTTCTTGGTTTTTCTTTTTTACCTTTGTAAAGAGCCAAAAGTGATACTCCTGCCACCTTGACAACCTTGAAACGAACTCCCGGAATATCACCGACAGCGTGACCAGAACGACCAAATCCTGAAACCAAAACTTCATCGTTTTCTTCGAGGAAGAGCAAACAACCGTCCATAGGAACGAAAGCAGTAATCTTCTTTCCGTTCTTGACCAATTGGACTCTGACAGCCTTACGAATGGCAGAGTTAGGTTGCTTGGCTTCGACACCAACCTTTTCTAAAACAATACCCTTGGCGTGAGAAGCACCTTGGAATGGGTTGGACTTGACCAATGTTCCCAAAGCAATCTTCTTGTAGTCAATATCTGCCCATCTGGAATCTCTTCTGTTGGACTTGATCTTTCTTGCGGCTTTAATACCTCTTGGTTTACCAGAACCCATTTCTATCTCTGTTGTGGGGTGGTGGTGGTGAATATTGATTTACATAATATTCGAAAGATGATTATAATAATATTGTGGTGATACATTCGATATTTAATAGTAAGTGTATTGTGTGGGGTTAAATATATATTGTGGTGAATATGTATATATATACACATTAGATAGGTTGATATTAAACAGTTTTTGAAAGTTTGTACAATTTCAACACAACAGGTCAGTCGAATGAAGGAGAGAGCGTGATACGTACATATTTGTGGCGAATTTTTTTCAAACGAAATTTTTAAAAAATAAAAAATTTTAGGTTGACCAGTATTTTACAATGGCCTGGTTTTGGGTCGTCTCCTCAAACTTTGGTGCTGGAATTGCTTGAACCAAACACTCAAACTTTGTAGGACCCACATGCACAAATACTTTGTAAAATCAATCTTGGTTTTGATCAAAAGTCTTCATCGTCAAATGCAATCACTTTCTTGGTTGGTTGTTGTAGTTTACCGACCACTACTGTAGTAGATACAGGTTGGTGAAGAGGAGCTTCCTGGAATAAGGATTGCTCTTTGGTATCGTCATCTCCAAGAATGTCTTTGAGAGGATCGTCGTTGTCGTCATCAAAATTCACAGTTGGTTTTGTCTTTTTAGTTGGAGAAGAATATAGTTGAGCAAGTTTAAATCCCATACCCAAAGTCTTGTTTGTCAATTGAGGTATTCGTTCATGCGTCGATGTATTGTTCACCACGGAAACATGAGAATCTTGAGCTGTTGGAGGGTGTGAAGATCGAGCAGTACCAGCATTCATGGCAGAACGAGTGTGGTCAATGTTTGGAATTGTCATGTTCACAACAGATCGTTCTTTCTGATGTATTAAAATCTCGTCATCATCGTCAATAATACCCTTGAGAGGGTCATCGTCTTCAATGGGCATTGTAACTTTGTGAGTGGTTGCTGCCAAGGTTTTCTCGCGATTGGTTGTTAAAGTTGTCGTACCCACCATGGTTTGAGGTGGCAATACTGATTTACCAGAGGTAGAGCTTGGAGAAGGAGTTTTGTGTAGTGAGTTGGCCATGTCTCCAACACTACTCAAAGCTGCATTGAAAAGAGGAATTGCTTGATCGCTTGGTGATTTGCTTGTCGCGGATCGCTGCTCTTGAAAAAGAGGAGGTGAATAGGACATGGGTGTGGACTGATTGGAGTTTTCATCAAATAAGGGATCATTGAACGAGTCTTTTTGAAAATGGCCAGGTGTTTGGGATAGATCATTGATTGGATCCAGAGAAGGTGCCACCATTAATTGTTTTCTCTTCTTGTTAGGCATGTCATTTTCTATTGAAGATTGTGAGGAGATCATGGGTGGTGGATGGAATTTTCGTTTGGTGGATGTTGTCGTGCTTAATAATTCTGGAGAGAGATTTTCAGTACTCGACCTCGAGTGGTTGGAGTGGTTGGATCGTGACGGCGTGGTTAATAGAGGTTGTGAAAATTCAAATTCATTCGGCAGTAGATTGGAGTCATTCGATTTTGGTGTTTCTGGTGTTTCATAGTGAGGTGGTGGAGGTCGAAAACGGTTCGTGGAATTTAAATTCGGTGGTGTCGTGCTATTGCTTGTTGCTGGTTTTTGTGGTGGTCGTAGAAATGCTTGAGGAGGAGGTACGAATTTTTCTGTGCTTGTCAAATGTTGGGGTTTGTTGGCAAGAGTTGGATTGGTTGTAGAACGAGCAGTAGTAGCAGCAGTAGTAGCAGGATAGTGATGAACAGAAACAGGTTCTTCTCTACGGTCACCAGAGGGAGGTGTCGAATCCATACTATCAATATTTGGGCCAAAGGAGTCCATGTCTTCATTGGTCACTCGAATGGCTGATGATAATGGTGTAGCTTCCACTTTTAACTTTTTGTTTGCTTCTTCAGTATCATTGGTCCAAACTTTTGCTGTATTCTTTTCTGAAATTATCAAGTGAAATTTTGCAGGCCTAGGACAATAAAGTTGAATTTTCTTCAATAAAACCACCGTTCCAACTGTGAGAATACTCGGATTTCTTTCAATGGCTTTTCTTGATATTGTTCCCTCCATTTCCATGTCAGATCCAATTTCTCCAACTACAACATGAGCTGATTCATGTGAATCATAATGTAAAATTTGTCGAACAATTACAGGTAAAAGTGGAATTTTGTCTTTTGCAGTTCCTGTTCTATTTTCTTGAATTTGTTTGAGGGATGAAAGAAATTTACTTTGTCCCTTCTCCTCTACTAGATTTCGCATTTCTTTCCAATGCTGCAATTCGGTTGTTGTTGGTTGTTTTCGATTTTTCTTATTCATCATCAATTGTTGAGTAGCTGAATTCATTGTTGGATAAAGTGATGATTGAATTCCATCATTTCCGTTGTTAGTGTGACTAAAACGTCCATTTCCTCGGCCCATAAAAGAAATTGGGCCCGGAATGTCATCACGAGGATTATTATCATAATTACGAAAGTCAGCCAATAATTTTTCTTGTTCCGATTCTTCAGCGATCATTCCGAACATTGCTTCATGATCCACTAGACAATGATCGACATTGTATCGGACGTTCGAAGTAAAGCCGTTGTCTTCATCATCTTCACGGCGGGCCATTTTTTTCGATGAATGTTCCAGATTTTTCAAGAAGCCAAGAAAGTTTTTGATTTATTACTGCCATTCATTTGTTACAGAGCCCAGTTTTCTCTTTTTGTACAAAGATGTTTGGTCATTGGTCAGACCTGAAGCATAATCCGCAGAGAATGTTGGAAATGCAGAGCCAATAGCTTGATTCAAGTTGCTCTGGTGTTCATTGAGCTCTTGGTGCATCAAAAAGCAATCCCTACTCGTTGTTTGAGGAGTTCTATGATGAGAAATTGGTGTCACAGATGCTACTCCATTAAATGGGTTTGCTGACACGTCTGACATTGGTTGCATGTAATAAAAATGTGCAGGTGGCTCGCACGAGGTCTGTTTCATTGCAATATGTGTCACAGATCGTTGTTGTGGTTGTACATTATTAGGTTGTCTGCTTTTCTCATCCTCTTTGTGTTGATTTGATAAAGCATTCACATTGTTAAAAGACTGGAATAAGTGTAATATTAAGCGATCTTGATCTTTGTTTCCCTTAGTGATTTTCAAAATTGTTTCAACGACTGCTGTGAAGCTAAGAATAATTGCAGACTTTTTCACTCTCCGAAATCCAAGTTCTCTCTGCACAATATTGCTGATGGTTTTGTGGTCGGAATGCAATACCCCAATTATTTTGCTTGTTTTTTGACTCTTTCCTTTAAAAAATGAATGGATGATATCATCAGCTGAATAATATTGCTTTCCATCATATTGATATGATGGAAGAGAATAGAATGGAGGGAGTTGTTCTTTGATCTGAAGAGGTGGTATCATGGTGGGTGCAATTTTTTGTTCTCAAATTCAAATTTATCATCGAAATATTTAACGTTTAAATAGCTTGGTTCAATGAGGTCAAGCACATTTTCAGGTTCCGGTCATTATCCTCCACGAGCACCATTCCAAATGAATTCAACCTCATCGTGGAGAGGCTTTTCGTTCATTTTTTTCGCACTTCCATCCATTCCATCACTTGGGGATTGTCTTTCATCAAGCCTTGTTGGGTCAAATAATCATAATCATGTTGTGAACGTTCAAAAGCATGAGGGAGGAGAATAGGTTATTTTATTGACGTGTGCACTACAACAATTCAGTCTTATAGTTCTTTAGAAAAAAACACTGAGCCTGGTTCGACATTTTGCTCCTCTGTTTAAATCTCAATCCAACTCCTATTGACGTCAACTCCTCATTGCAACCATGAACACTGCTTCATCTCAGCAACTCTACCAAGATGTGACCATTCTCACAAAAGATAAATATTTACTGTCTGCACGAGTATATGAACCGTCTACTACTTCGGCTCAGCACGGAAACAAGAAGACAGCCATTGTAGGAAGTGCCATTGGAGTCAAGATGAATTTTTATCATGATTTTGCATGTTTTCTTCAACATAGTAAGTACAATGGAAATTTCGGAAAATAATATTTCAATTATTTGATTTACATTCGTTGACAATATTGCAACCCTGAAATAGATGGTTATAGAGTGGTATTATTTGATTATCGAGGATGTTATGAATCCAGGAATTTACTTTACAACAAGTACAATCAACATTTACCACCTACAGATTTAATTTCATGGGGGAAATTTGATATTCCATCGGTGATTGATTATGTGGAGCAATTGGATCTTGTTGTTGGACCATTTGAAAATTCCAACAAAAATTGTGACCATAGTAACACGAAAGAATCTGGTACAGTCATGAGTGACATTGTTTTTATTGCTCATTCAATTTCTGGAAGTATGTATCGTTACAATATCAAAATGTTATATTGCCTTAATATCACAAAATTATTCCTCCTTATGACCTCACGAAAATTTTCCTGTATTGACAGAAAGTATTTGTTTCACACCAAAGAAATACCTCGAGAAAATAAGTGCCATGGTTTGTGTAGCGTCACAAAGTGGTAACTTTACACATCAAACACATATCCTTTCGAAAATGCTCTTTTTCTTTGTGTGCTATTTATTTTGTCCTGTAATGACGCCCATGGTCAATACTTTACCTATTTGGACCATGCCAAGTGATTGTGCCAAACAGTGTGCTCAGTGTGGAAGATATTCAGAGGAGGTTTTTGGAGCCTTTCCTAAAGAAACCATTGATTTACAACAATATCTGAATTGTCCAGTACTCTTTTATGCATTGAGACATGACATTTTGGGAGATGCAGCAGCTGTAAAATTTATTTTCAATTATTTCACCAATAACAACATGAAAGATTACCAACCATTACATGAGCCAACCTCAAAAATAGGGCACAGAGACTACCGAACAGTGACTGAAGTGTTGGCTGATCGATCGAACTTGTATCATTTTCTACATCACTTTATTTATTTGAATCGATCGTTGGGGAAGCGATTGGGACATTTTGGATTTTTCAAAAAACACAAAGGAATGAACAGTGGTGTTTGGCATCATTTACTGACCTTTATCGATAATGCTGTGGAAAGGAAACGACGAGATAGAGACTCTTCCATTGGAACAGCATCTCCAGACTCGTCAACAACATTCAACCACACTTCTCTCCCTCCTCTAAGGCATTCAAAGCTGTAAGAAGAACAATAATACATTTTCATTCTCCTCAACCTAAAGGATTGTCCTTAACAATGCTGTTGTGCAAGCATCAAGAAAAAATTTGAAAAAAAATAAATGACTCTCCGAAGCAAATTGTTGCAGCGAGCCTCTGCTGCATCGTCTTCGTATAATAATAAGAGCATGGCAAATATCAAAAACAACACACGTACGGCCATGACTTCCACTCGAACAATGGAAGAATCATCATCATTAAACCCAAATTCTAATAGCAGTGCTTCCATGATGGACGATGACTCGCAACAACAACAATTGGAGCATCAACAACGAAATCAGTTTTCGGAGGCCTTGAGAGTGAATGCTCCTGCAATTTATTCTATATTTGAACAAGTTTTGAAGAGAAGAGACGTGAATAATGGTAATTGGAAGAGTATGAATATCATTATTGAAGCAATTACTGAAACAATATATACCCAACAACAGCCTCTTTCACCAACAGCCTATTATGGGGCTATCCTGAAAACACTTTCTTCGGATCATAACAATGATGCAAGAAAGGTATCCTCTCTTCTTCAGTTGCTTTCAATTTTGATGGAACAGTAAGTGTTAAAAATTGAGCATTAACAATAATTTCATTGCAACAATTTTCAACTATGGTTCACTACTTATTATCACAGTATCAAATCATCTGTTGTCCTATCAAGTTTCGATTTTATTGGACAAACTCTTCTTTCAATTCATCAACACATGGACAAGTTTGAATATGTGACGATACAACTTGTGGTTGTTATTCTCCAAGTAATTTCAAAGCTCGGAACCATTCCAGAAAGTCAATCTTCAGCATTTGCCAAGAAACAAGATTTAGAGAAGTTGGCTTTTAGCTTTCTTTTCGACAGTAGAAATGCTGTGAGAGAAAAATGTCTTCACACACTCCAACAACTCCTTGAGAAAAAACAATTATTTATTTCACAAGACGAAATGGTTTCAGTTTACCTCATTGAGCAGTATCACTCTTCAAGCAAATCAAGAAATGCAGACATTTCTACTTCTGTCATTAAGGCAATTGGTTTGTTAAGTGAAAATTTAAATGAGAGAAATGTTATTATCGTACTCCAAAAGTTGCTAGATATTTTACTGAAAGGTAACTCTAGCAATCTTCCTGCAAGCATTTGTGCTGAAATTTACAGAACTATGAAGAACATTTTTGATTCTAACAAAAATTTACAAGCAAAGAGTGTTACTCAAATTATTGACATTCTGCTCGACAAACTTTGCCCAATTTTGAAGAGTGACGATTCAAAGAAGGTTGTTGCGTATATTGTAATGATGTCACACGCCCACAAATGCTTGTACAAATTAGATAAGCAACTGCTCGCTAACAGAATCCCCAAGTTTTTCCAATTAATATTTGATTCACTGTTGATTGGAAAGTCTGAGTTGGATGAAACAGTTAATGCTGCCTTCTCCAATCTTCAAAACCTAATTTTCACTTGTTTTGACCTTGAGCTGTTCAAAGATGAAAATCAAAAGCCCTCTGATATGGAAGATACAGAAGGAGAATCTCAATCTTCAATGGTTATTATTGCCAACACATTGCAAAATGGCTTAGAAAATGTTACAAGCAATAGGTATGACCTTATTGCTCAACTTTCATTAGACGCCATTCTCAAAGTTGGTCTACTAAGGTCGAAAGGTCTTAAACTCAACTCGATCAAAAATTGCATTTCTGATTTCCTATTGTTCTCAAGTGATGTATTACAAGAACTCCTCAGAAAAGAGAAGGAAAGCAAGCTTGATGCAACACCACTCGAAAAGTCTGAGCTCAGAAATGCACGAGCCGTTTTTTATCTTGAGAAGATTGTTGGCTATTGTGTTCGTGCTCTTGGTCCAGCAGAGTCATTCAAAGAAGGAGCTATTGAATTTGACGGATGGGTATTGAGCATTTTGATTAATCACAAAGTAGATTACTCGCACATTCCCAACTTGAAATCATCCAACCAAGGTAATGAACAATCCAACGAGCAACTTTCTCAAGACCTTTCAAAATTGACTGGAATCTGTGTGAACGGTCAACTGGGCTACTGGATTAATGTTTTATTGCCAATGGCAAAAACCTTTTATGACAAAAGCAAAAACTCGGAGATGGATCGACATGGAAGCAATGCATTCTTAACACTCTATGAAAAGATATGGGCTCTTCTACCTCAATTCTGTAGTTATCCTGTTGATTTAGATTCTCAATTTGCAATCATTGCTCCTTTATTGGGTGAAAAGCTTGGCTCTGATGCTACCAAAGGCATTGAATATGATATCAAGATTGCATGTTGCAACAGTTTATCTTTGGCCATTTCGACATACTCTAGCGTCTTGGATAATGATGCCAAGTTGCCTCTCAACATTTTTGGTTTGGACAAGGAAACTTGTAAGAGAGGGTTGAAGGCTGTGGCTGGATTCAATAAGCAATTTATTCCTCTCTTGTTCAATCTCTTTGTAGATCAGAACTCGCATAGCACTACCACTGATCTCCAATACTCCGTTGGAAAGGCAATCAATGCATTCTTTTCGATATGCGACAATGAAACCATTACTGAATATTTCAAATTGGTATTGAAGAAGATTTTGACCATCAACTCGGAATCTGATGAAGAAAAATTCTTTGGATTCTTCGACCTCTCTATTACCATGCTTTCATGTGCACCAAACTCATGCTTGGAACTCTATTACAAATTCCTCCTTCCTTACCTTAAAATTACTACTAGCACAACACCAAAACTTCAAAAGAAAGCCTACAAAGGTCTCAATATTCTTCTTTCCTCATGGAAGAGACACTCTGGGGAAATGAAAGCTGAAACCATTGACGAAATTCTCTCCATCTTTGAATCGATCGCTGAAATTACAATTTCTAAAAAGTTTAGAGTGAAATGTTTCAACTTGCTCGTAACCAAGTACCACGATTTGCTCATTCAAAATCCAAGATCTAACTTTGTGATTGGAGAATGTATATTTAACATTGACAATACTGAAAATCAAAAAGTGAGAGACTTGTCTATACAAACACTGAAAGCATTTATTGATCCTCTAACTGATGCAACCAAATACTCTCCACAACAGCAACAAAACAATGTTATTGATTTTATCGTGAGAAGAGTTCTACCTGGATTGTGTGGAAAGAGCAACTCAATGATTGCTTCGACCATTGATGCACTTTCTGAACTGCTACCATCATATTCAAAATATTTACAACCAATTTTGAAGGACGTGTTTGATTCAGTTACCATAGTATTACAAGACGAAAATGTAAAAGTTGTCTCGTCTCTGATGCAATTCTTCAAGAGATGTGTTGCATTATTTGATAAGGAAACGTTGAAACCATACATTTCACAATATTTAGATACTTTCTTCAAACATTCTAATGAGAAATCTGGAGGAACAAGTCTGAGAGTTCAACTAAGATTCTTAGTGACGAAACTCTTTAAAAAGTTTTCTTATGAAGAATTGAAAGAAAGGCTCGATACAAAGGAGCGACAACACTTTTTGAAAAACACCTTCAAGAACATGCAAAAACTGAAAAAGAATAAGAAGAATGTCAAAGGTCAAGACATGGAAGATGACGACAATAGTGAACAAACAGAAGAACAAGACACACAAGAAGGAAGCGACAAGAAGCCAAAGGATGAGAGCGCATTTGCCGTCAAGAGAGGAAAACTCGTGATTGAGGATCTACCTGAAGGAGCTCAAACAGATAAAACATCTGGAGATAAGGACGATGAAGGCGCTTCTCAATCAAGACCTGAAAGAACCATTGATCTCATCAAGCAATCCATTAACAATAGAGGCAGTACAACTAGTTCAAAGAACAAGAAAGAACAGCTCAATCCTGATCAACTTTTCCTTGCCAAACTCGAAAAAAGAAAACAGAAGAAGGAGAGCAAGATTATTTTCGGTGGAGGTCGAGGTGGAAAGAATTCTTCATCTGGAATGGATCCATACGCATACATTCCACTTGATCCCAAACGATTGAATAAGAGAGAAAGAAACAAGGAAAGCAACTTCCAAAAGTTTGAAAGAATTACCAAGAAGAAGAAGTAATAAAGTGCATTCGACAATTTCAATAACATGTTTGTGAGGAGAAATGTTTTGTTGACTTGCGTTCGGTGCTTCAATTTAGAGACGAACACACTGAGGGCCGAAAATTTTCGTTGTTTCGGTCTCTACTTTACAATATTCGACAAGGAGAATTTTGATTGGCAGAAAATTTTTTTGTAACGGCCAAAAATGGCCCGAATTTTTTTGGGAGGCTCTGACTCGAACTTTGGCTCGTCTTCTCTTCTCTCCAAAAATGCCTTGGATTACCGTTAGGTGGAGAGGAAACTGCACCCCCTCATAAATGACCCCTATTCTTGTTCTCCACCTTCAAAACAATATTCTAACCGAAAAAAATACAACATCATCATCACTACTCATCATCATGGCCAGAACCAAACAAACCGCAAGAAAGTCCACAGGTGGTAAAGCTCCACGTAAACAATTGGCTTCAAAGGCTGCAAGAAAGTCTGCCAAACAACCATCCACAGGAGGTTTGAAGAAGCCACACAGATACAAGCCAGGTACCGTTGCTTTGAGAGAAATCAGAAAGTATCAAAAGAGTACCGAGTTGTTGATCCGTAAATTACCTTTCCAAAGATTGGTCAGAGAAATTGCTCAAGACTACAAGTCTGATTTGAGATTCCAATCTAACGCTGTGTTGGCTCTTCAAGAAGCCTCTGAGGCCTACCTCGTCTCACTCTTTGAAGATACTAACTTGTGTGCTATTCACGCCAAGAGAGTTACGATCATGCCTAAGGATATGCAATTGGCCAGAAGAATCAGAGGAGAGAGAACATAAACAGCTCACCAACAACTGATCACCAATTTCATCCATCCGATACGCATGTAAATACGACATACATAACCTTCATCACAACTACTCTCTTGTTCCATGAATAGTGGAACATTCCTCCAATGTACAACTCCTAAGTTAGCGAATCATAAAAACAATAAAATAATAGAATTTAAAAATTTTCATGATGACTTTTTGATTTGTCAATTTGATATTTTCCTCCACCAATTACTGGTTGTTTGTCAATCTCAAACAAAGAACATGATTAGCTTCGATTGAGATTGTGTTTGGTCGAATCAGGATGCGGATTTGTCCAGAAATTGCATGAAATGTATCAACAGGTTTATTAACCATCGGAATCCAAGTTGTGATACTCATCATCCGATTGTGACTTGCCAGCAAGTACTGGTGAGCTTTCGTGTTTGGTGTTGATATTGAACACACGCCTCGATCGAGATGGCTTGGGCACTAGAGCTTCATTCGTCTCTGAATCACTCCCTTGTTGTGACTTCTTTGGATTGCTGGAGCTTCTTTTTGGCCTTGCTGCTACCTGTAGCTCTCCATTCTCACTGAGCGTTGTTGATGATGAGTTAGTATTCTCATCTTGTTGGTTGATGCTCTCTCCTTGATTCAGTTTGAACACTCTCCTACTTTTTGTTGGCTTAGATGGCGGTGCACAGGCTTCTTGCTCGTCCTCAACGCTTGCTGGTTTCACGTTGCGAGCAATAGCTTTTGGAGAGTTGTTGTCTCCCAGCTCTTCCTCCAACGAGGGTTTCTTCTTTCGCCTCCTTTTGGGTTTCTTTTCAGGTTGTTCTGTTCCACCACTACCACCATCTATCGACGTGTCTACCACAGAAGATTTCTGTATCACTTCTCGCGAATGATGATCATCTTGTGCCAACGTTGGAGAGGATCTTCCTCCAAATAGTTCATTCTTTTGTTGTTGTACCTCAAAGCTATTGTTGTGTGAAATGTTATTTGGTGCAGATAAGTGGTTGTGTACATTAAGGTTAGGGCTGATGGGAAGAACAGAGGTATTGGAAATGTTGAGAGGTTGAAGATGTGACAAATTATTGACATTCAATACTTGTTGTTGCATTTCCATATTGTTGTGTTTCATCACAGCCAACTGTCCCAAAAGATAAGAAAGAATTCCTTGACCAACCATTTCTTGCTGAATATGTTGAAGTAAATTGTTGTCTAGAGTAAATGGTTGTTGTGGTATATTGGGAGATAAATTAAGGGGTGGAAGCTGGGGAGTTTGTTGTTGAGTCGTGACTGGTAAATTGGGGGAGTTTGCATATGTATTTACATTGGAATCTTGTTGTGGAGTTAGAGATTGAGGATGATGATGTGATGAGTGGGTGTTATCTGATGGTGCATCTATTACTATTTCAGAATTTGCTCTTCTTCTCCGTTTTTCACTATTTTTGTTAGTACCACTAGAGCTATTTCCAAATAGGTCTTCTTTGAGGTCAACATTATTATTAGATGCCACATTTGCGGCCTTTGCATCATTTACAATTTTCACTGGATCTTTGGCAGCGCTTGTTCCCTTTTCTTTTTGTTTCTGCTTCTCTTGTCTCTCCTTTTCTATTTCCTGCAACTCACGTTGCATTAGAGTTTTTGCTTTCTCTTCTTGTTTTTTTTCCCATTCCTCTTCTTCTTTCTTCTTTCTGGCTTCAGCTTCGAGCTTCTCTTGCTTTTGTCTTTCTAGCTCTGCCTGATATTCACGCTGTTTTTGCTGTTTTAACAAAACCGCGTCCTGGCCTGAAACAGGCTCGGACATTTTGTTGGCCAGGCCCCTTTTCACAGGAGAGGAAACAGCACTATTAAGCGAAATATTGCTCTCCAGTTGCTGGAAATGATCATTAGAGAACTTTGATGAGGGAGATCTTTCAGGATCATTGTTTTTTTGCGAAGGAAACAAGAGGCCTTCCTCCACATCCAATTCTTTTTTCTTATTCTTATTGCTGTGTTGGTTGGACTGCATTTGGAGTTCTGAAGTTGGTGTATCATGATATTCGTTTGAGCCACCATTTTTGCTTTTGGTACTTACCTAATTGCCTTCGATACTCTTCCTGCTTTTGTTGTTTCTTATTGACATCTTCTGTACCGTACAGATCTGCCTTAAACACAGCTTTACGCGTATATCTGTTAGGTGATGAGTTGGAGCTTGGTTGGTTACTACTGGTGTGTCCAATAACGAAAGCTCCTTCAGTAATGTTGCTTCCTCCACTATGAGAATATCTAGAGCTTGAGGGATCAGAGCTAAGCCTTTCTAAATGAGAATTGGAGTCAACATAATTGTGAGGGTTGTTGTGGTATATATTGGGAGAATGTCTAGGAGAATCAGAAACGAAATTATTACGATTAAAGGAAGGTTGAGGTGGGTCTGATCGAGAAGTTAATTGATCTCGTGCGTTAGGTGAAGTTGGATAATTGTCTGTGACCAATCTGCCAAGCCCTCGTCTTCTGGGGACAGGAGGGTCATTCGAACCCATCTTGTCAAAAATATTTCCACCTTTCAGAGCAAAGTTGTAGTCTCTTCCATTGTCATTTGATTTTGGTTGAGAAGAGGGTTTGTTGTTGTGGAGATTGAGAGGTTCTAGCTGATATTGTGGTGTAATTGCGTTGCTGGCAGGAGCGCTGTTAAAACCTCCTCCTCGTGCCACTCGACGGCTATCGAATTGAGCTCCATAAATATTATATTTTTGTGACTCATGTTCAGAATCTGACTCTGGATCTTGAGTTATTTCTTGTTTGGGTTTGCGAATTAAGGGCCTGTGATGTTCCTTTTGTTGTAAAATTTGATTCTTCTGCTCTTGAGAAGTATATTTATCTGCTTCATGCTCGTAGTCAGATTCTGGATCGTTTGTAATGTCTTGCTTTTTGTTTCTTAATTGTTTTTTTTGTTCATAAATTACATCTCTTTGACTAATCATCTTAGGAGTGCTCTTCGATCTATGATTGTGTTCAGTTGTATTTTGTTTTGAAATTCCACTACTCATGCTGTTTGTTTCCAAATCGTCAAAGAGTTCGCCTTCTCCGCTCTTTTTTCTAAGCCTCATTAGTTTTTTCTTTTCATACATTTCTTCTCTCTTGTTTTTGGGCTGCGAAGAAAGCTTGTTTTGTGAAAGAGGAAAATCATCATCTCCCTGTTGTTTTGAATTATTAAGAAGCTCCATTCTTCGAGGTCGATGTCTGTTAAAGCTGTAAGATTCCTGTCCTGAAAAAAGGTCTGCTTTATCAATCTTTCCTCCAAATCTATGTGCATTTTGTTGTGATGTTGTCTGCAAACCATTTTTGTTGTACTTACAAATCTTCTCTTAAATTATTCACTCCTCCAGAGGGTTCGGGATCTTTATACAAAGCAGATTCTTCCTCTTCTGTCCACATCTCTTCTGGTTTCGTTCTCTCTCTAACAAAATAATGTTTACGAGAGTGTGTTAGAGTTTCATCCCAAATAAAACAAGTTCGTTAATAATTATTGCTTATGAATTCGCCACATTGAAACCTACGAAGTTGCTAGCGAATAATTCCGATAATGTTGGAATATTTCTTCCTTATCTCTCCGTTTTTCCTCTTCCCTTTGTTTTGCTTTCTCCAATTTTTGTTTCTCCAATTCCATTAAATAGTCTTGATCATCAAGCACTGGTACGACTCCCCGCCCCCATTTTCTCCTGGGCTTTTGAGCCATCAACTTCTTTGAGAATGCGTTTCCTTCGTCATTCCCAAACAACATTTGTATGATGATGATGATGGGTGAGGATTCCAACTGCAATTGAATTTTTTTAGTAGTGTGCCGCAAGTTTGGGTAAAATTAATTGTAGCACGAAAAACTAAAAATAATGCATTTATGGCGGGTTGGTAGGGGGTAATTTCAAGCACCCAAGTCTCTCTCAGTAGTAAAACTTTGAGCACCTAAATGTTAACCACTTGAACATGAATTCTCTTGTCCAGTGTCAATGAGGTGTCATTGGAAACGTCAATGATTGCATAGCTACCTTCTTTTCGATTCTCATTGCCACACAGTCTGGTTGGATTGATCACAAGTGTATGGTCAATCACAGTGCAACAATGAGCCACTTGGTCCGAGGGTAATATCAAAATATCAGGAGAGTCTTCAATCTTGAGAGAAGTTCTAGTTCCATGAGCAAGTGAATAATCCAAGGGTATTTCTTCTGTTGGAAGCATTCTGGGATAATAGTATCCTTGTTCGAGGACACACTTGTAAAAATGTTTCGTCTGATCCTCCACGTAGCCAAAAGTATACTCCTTTTCCTTAATATCTTTGATGACATCGATGGAAGTGACTCCAATTTTCACATTGCAAGACGAGGCAGATACAGTAAAGGTACATGGATTCGAAAGGCTCTGTATCTTGTTATCAGTCATGACATCGAGTGGAGGTTGTGGAAATACAAAGTCACTATTTACATCTTTCAATGAGGGAATTAAGATTACCTTACAGTTTGTTTCAATGGATCGTAGTCTTTCAAAAACTCTTTCCTCAAAAACGTCGTCAAACGTTTCTTCCAAAAAGGTAGAGCTCACCAAAGCATTATCGTCACTCAGGAAAGGACCAACCAATATTAACACATTTGGTTCAATTGCGTCTACAAGTGTGACAAGGTCTTTGAGTGGATTGTATAAAATATTGTGTCGAAGTGTGAAGGGTCCACAAGCAACCATAATTTTAAGTTTTGACTTTTCAGTATTTGATGTGTTATCTGTCTTTTGTGTTTCTTGTGGCTCATGAAATAGAGGAGCTCCTGTGTAGATCTTTTCAACTCTCAAAAATTGCACAGTCATGAGCCCTTTCACTGCAACGATTTGGCCAGGGAATAACGTTTGAGCTTTTGATGATTCAAGAGAGAATTTTTCAAAGTTCAATTTCACAATTTTGCAGTCAGATGTTTCTGCATTTGCTAAACCTTCCAATAAGATCGAGGAAGAATTTAACTGGTCATCTCCACCCACGGTTTCTGATAAAATTCTTCCAATATATATTTCTGGTTGATCAGAGTACTATTATCAATTTGCACAACATTGCCATATTGAGGAAAATTCAAAAAAGCTCGAGCAATCGTTCAACGTCCCATTATTACTTACATAGTTCAATGGTTTGGAAGACTCAAATCCGTAATATTCCAAAATTTTAGAGCCAACCTCTTCTAATCGATCGAGCAACACATTTGATTGTTTGTGCAATTTGTCATACATATACTTGACAGAACCAGATTTTGTAGGTTTCACAATTTTCACCTCACTCTCAATGGAAGGAAGTGCTTCAATTTCCGAATCACCAAATTCAACCAAAGTCTTTCCTTGATTTGTTCGATCCTTCCAATCAACAAGAGAATTGGCTGTTCTAGCTTGTTCCAATGAAGTCATTAATACTACTTTTTTAGAGCGATGACGATTTGGAGATGCACTTGTTGATCCATTATTACTATCGTGATATAATTGTCATCATCCATCATGGCATTGTTGTCCGATGTTGATTCATGTTGATTGAGCAAGGAAGTCGTTGCATTTCTTCCGGAGGAAACATCGGCCGTGGAGTTGGTTTTCTTCTTTGTTTGTGGTTTTGTTTTCTTGGCATCTTGAGCTGTGGAGGGTTTACTCGAAAAGAGTGATGTTAAATAGCTATTGTTTGATCGTTCAACAAAAAATTGCATTCAAATTGTGGATGTAATTTCATTTGAAAATAGTTGAATAATTTTCGAAAAAAAGCATTCAATGTTAACAATGAGCAACAACCACACATACCTGCCAATGTCGTTTGGTTTGGACATTTTTTATTTGATTTAAATTTTAAATTTTTTTTGCAACAGTTTAAATTTTGGCGCTAGCGGGCTCGCGCAGCTTTCTCTATTTCTCTTGAGACGTCCCAAGAGTTTTTTCTGCTTCTAATTTCATGAGTCTCCAGTTCTCTTCGTGTTGTGAAATAATGTCTTGTTGTTCCTTGATTTTTCGTTTCAATAATTCCACTTCTCTATCTTTTTTAAGTATTTGTTGGGAGAGGCGAGTAGCTTTGTCTGCATTCAGCGAGTATGTAAGTGAGAGAAGCTTTTTGGAGAGGTCAGTATGCATTGCAGTGCTTGTATTTACAGGTGAGACAGCAGAACTAGCGTTCATGTTTTCCGAGTCTTCTAAGGATTGAGTTTTTTGCATTAATTGATATAGTCGTTGTTGAGTAGTCATGATTGTTTTAGAAAATAAGCCTTTAAGCTGTGCATTCTCCGAACAGTCCTCCAAAACCTTTTGATATTGCAGCCATGGATGAATAAACATGGCATATAATTCAGAATAAAGTGATGTACATGCAGTCGTTGGAGTCGGTGTGTTGTTGAAAGGGGTCATTACCAAATCTCCAATCATACTCTCCCCTAAATCTTCTTCGTTTGGCATAATTACTTGACGATCTCCGTATTTTTCTGTGACCACTACATTGTTTTTTCTGGGCTGTGATCGTGTTCGTTGTGAATTATTGTTAGAGAAATTGTTGTTTGTACTTCCTCCGTTGCTAATGGTACTTCCATAGGGTGCTGTGACAGCCTCAAACATGTTCTTTTGATATCGATAGTTGCTTCTATAATGCGAAGCCATCCAATCTATTGATTCAAGTGCATTACTGTCACATGTATAATTTTTAGCTCTCTCTAACACCGAAAGTGCTTTTCTGCTACACCGAGCGGCTTTGTCATATTGTGCAGAAGCATGCAACGTTTGAGCTTGCCGTGAATATCGATGAGATTCAACTAGGGGAGATTTTGTTGGGTGTTGTACAGTTGAAGATTGCTGTGGTTTTTGAGGAGGAGTCACCATGATGGTAGTGTTGTTGTTATTTCGGGATAATTTCTCGTAATCGTTGCTTTTGTTATTATTTAATCCATTATTCGAACTAGGGGTATAATAAGTAGTATTATTTACATTCGTGTGATCCTTTCTGCTGTGATGATGTTTTCGTTCTTGATGACTGTTGGAAGTAAGTGCTGTTGTAAGAGGGGTGAGGTTCTTTTTGTGATGTGGAGTGTTTGATGATGATGATGTAACCACAGGATACGAGGAGGTTGATAGTTTAGGTGTTGATGATGCTAAACCCGATGAAGAATATCCAACTGTAATATTGTTAGTGTTGTTGAAAGAGTTCTTATCAGAAGAAATTGGTGGTTGATCCGAAGAAAAAGTACTTCCTCCATTGTTATTCTTCAAGGTTTGCATGGACATGATGTTTTTGGAAAGATCAAGCAAAGCCTAATATCAATCTCCACAGAGTTAATAAATTAAACAAAGCAACAATTTAGAAAAACGAGAGATGATTTTGGTTCACTTCCGATTATTTCTATCACTCTGTTCAAAAACACAGCAGCAATAAATTTGTTGACTATTTTTTATGAAATAAATTTAATGTTGGCAAAGCTATCAGTTACAGCAAGAAGATCACCACTCAGAATGCAGACCAAAACCTCCATACTCTCCAATCTCAAGAAGACCTAAAATATGAAAATAATATATTGTGACAAGGTTTCAATGATCAATTAATTCGATCCGTTGGAAGAACCATTCAAACTTACCTCTATTTCGCAAATGCATTTGTCTCAATTTGGATCTTTCCTCTTCTTTTTCTTGTTCCATTTTGCTTAGCATTAAAATTTCGTCGACTGGGACTTGTTTTAAGGTTGTTTCTCGTGTATCATCAACCTCTCCCATTAGAACAACGTTTTCTCCTCGCACAATGTAGAGACCAACATCTAAATCTCCATATTTATCTTCCACTACTATTCGTTCAACTGTTTTTTCAAGCGTCATATTTACAAATTGGTCGTAGCAGCGAAGAATTCCAATTAGTTTTTTACCGTCCCTCAAAACAACCATAACTTTTTCTAATCATTCCGATATTCCAAATTACAAACACATCATAGAAAATTCATGAAAAATAATAATCATTCATATCATCATGTTAAATTATTTGATTGCATCATACAGCACAATGCTCAATATAAATCAATAATAATTATGATATTTACTATCTAATTGATCCGAAAGACTAGCTGCTCCAGGAAAATAAAAATCCACTTTAGCATTTCCCTCCTCATCACTGTCATCATCAGTTGGGCTCATAGCAAACGATCTTGAAGTTGGTGTGTGGGCCGATGGAGAAGCCGAGTAAAAATGATGGCCACCCGAAGACATTTTTTTTTGAAATTCAACAACCACGAGTCAAAGTTCAGAAAGCAACTCACGTGAAAATTCGTACCAACGTTATTGTTGGGACGAATTCGTCCAGTTAATCGATTTTTTTCTAGCTTGAGTATGATCTGAGTGGGATAGAGTTGAAAGAGCGTTCTCATTTCGCTAAATATTTCAAAACAGATGAATTTCGTTTTAATAAATAAAAATATAATTTCGTAGAAAAGCAATATTGAGATAATTATTGGTGAAGGTGCTTTTTAGTGTATGGAATCCTGTGTGAACTCGTATTGAAGTACAATGATGGGAAATAAGAAGAAGAAAAAGGTTAAATTGGAGCAGAAATGTCATCTCGGAGAGCACAGCCTCGTACATCTGTTACTGAGTTGGCGAGAATTAAAATCCAATCCAATAGCCACCAAACTAGTAAATGAGTATATGAAAATATATTGAATATAATATTTCACAAATTGCAATTTGAATCCGTTCAATATATATATTCCATTTATCATTCAAATCAATGACAAATATACCATGATTGAATACAAATATACATGTCCATGTAATTTAAATTCACACACTTACCTCCACAACCTCCAATGGTCAACAATTTAATAACTCCCATCAAATAGAATCCCAAATAAAATCGATCCACACCTAAAACTCCTAAAAAGAAGGACAACAAGAATGCTGTCAATTTTGATTTTCTAGCTTCCTTTTGATAAGGTGGAGGACAGCAATATACTGTATTGTTGGTGACACTTTCAAAACATTGAGTCGAGGTAGATTGAGCCATCACGAAAAAGTAGTGTTCCGATCGAATGTTGTCTGGTTCGGAAAAGTGGTCATGAGAATGGATGATGGTACTCGTAATTAATGAAGAGTTGCTGTTGATAGTATTATTACTATACAACTGTGAGATTGGATGATCCTTTTGGAAGGACTGAAAATTCATCACTGAAGACGTCGATGATAACGAAGGAAAATCATCTAGACTAGAAGAATTTAAAAGAGTGAAAAGTTGATAAGAAAGAGAAATAATCCATACGAGTACCAATAAATGATGACATCGAATTGATCGTGGACTCCACCTCTGGTTGTGTGGTGTTGACGATATTGTGGATGCCATATTTTTTTTTGAAATGTGATGTGAGGATGACAAAGGGTTGGAGTTGTTTTAGAGGCCATCGTGATTCCAAGAGAAGACAGCATTCTATTGAAAAGAATAGCTCTTGTACAAGTTTCATGTGTATTTAGGAATACGAAATAATAATAATAATATATTATTATTATTATTTCGTATTCGCTTTCCTACGGTCCTTAAATAATTGAAATGTCATATAAAAGGTGATGGTTTGGGGTTTCTGAATCTAGAGTTTTGAAAAGTTGTTGAAACATCCTCGACTTGGAATGCTTTTGAAAGTCACAATATATTGCAAAACCCAAACATTGAACTCTAACCTGTAAAATATCTCTATAGAAATTCGTGCTTGTGGTGAATTGATTATAAGGAAATAGTTTCGACAAATCTACCATGGTTTGTTCAATTTTCTTGTATGGATAATAGCGACATCCGTACAAAAACAAAAGGTGAGGACGATCCCAATACCTTAATAAACAAAAGTCTTTTGTATATTGAACGTCAAAAAGTTCTCTATTGCTTCCAGAAATTAACGAAATTTCATTCTCTTTTTCATGACGAATTTCAGAAATTTCCATTGGTTCGTTTTGAGATGGCACAAACTCAGACGGCATTGCTGCTCCAGCATAATAAATTATTTTGGAGGTGTTGTAAACATCTTTGACATAAATCATTGAATTACTTCCTGAAAATATATCCTGAACTGATAAATAGTTCAGATCCAATGTACAAAAAACGTTGTCGCCACTAAACTTGGCTTTTGGTGTTAATTGAGAAAAATTGTTACTTCCTGCGACAGAAACAGAACCATCTTCATGCAACAACACGACATGAAAGTCTCCACATTCTAACTTGACCACTCGAGTTTTCATGGTCTGAGAACGATGTTTCCAACAGTGATATCCTTCAACCAGGTTGTTTCTTGAAAAAAACCAATTCTGGCCTGTAAAGTGGACATGATAACCATTCAACACACAAACACTAAACGAATAGCAACAACCAACATGTGTGATTTCGCAGTCTTCTCCTCTGTATGGTTTCACAGCAAGATCGTTCAAAGGATCAAACATTATTTCTGGCTTGTCACATGAAAATGTTTGTGTTTTGAACCTACTCATTCGAAAATGACTGTTGTTTCCGATACCGTAGATCAGTGACTGAGTTTTGGTTTTTGCAACAATTAATTAGGCCATTTGTACTGCTTTCAAATCGGGCTGGGAGCCATCAAAAGGCCATACCAATTTAAATTCTCCTGCAAATGGTTTGGAATCTAGCCTATCGGTATTCATAATATTTCCTTCCACGGCATATAACAATCCGATATCAGTAATCACTAATAACTTCTTGTTCGGAAATGACAGCACTTGTTGGATGGATCCTATCATTGAATCCAAACTCAATTTAAAGAGCCGTTGTGATTGTGGCTTGCTCTTGATCGTATGAAGACAAGGATGCAAAAAAGAAAGGTGGTGTCGTGAATGAATTTCTTTGAGCCATTTTTACACGTTTTTATTCTGACAAAAAGTGTGAAATTTCTTCACCAGTTTTCTGTTCAATGGTAAGCACAATACCTCGAGTGTCCTTCAATACTTCTTCATCATCACTCTCCAATAACTCAGCCACATAGGGCATCATTTCAGGAAGCATGATAATGAACTCCTTTCCAACATGTTCATAGAAAGCAGCAATACATGCAATGGCAGTTCTCTTGACAATACTGCTTTCATGTTTGGTTCTTTGTAAGACTTGGTATTGCAGAGGCTTCCATTGTTGTTGATTGACCACGCTTGCGAGAGCACCGAACGTCTTGGAAATTAATTCATAATTCTTCTCACAAACATCTTCTTGTTCGATCAATTTAGCGAGTGGTTCAATCAAGTGTTCAAATCTGTCATTGGATTGCACGAATGCCTCTCTGTCATTCAAGAAGCAAAGACTAAGACAATTCAAAATAAGATAGGCCAATTGCACACGATCCTCTGTCGATGAAATGACACAAAGTTTGGGTTGCTTTTTGGTGGTTAGTTCTTTCAATTTTCTCTTTTTTGAGTTTTGATGTGATTCATGATCGTCGTCTTCATCCTCATCGTCTTCATCATGATCGCCACTAATGGATTTCAAATCTCTAATCATATTTTGCCATAAATATCCATAATATGGAACAAATAAAAAGCTGAGCTTCATGTTGAAACTAATCATTGCCTTATAGAATGCAATTAAGCGAGCAGCATCAGGTGGAGCTAACTTGTTATCACCATAGTCTAAATAGTTCTTTGTTTCTTCGTCGTTAACAGCTTCTCGTGACCAATCAATCATTTGCCTGAGAACAGATTTCAATTGGTCTTCATTGAGTTTGAGGACTAATACCTCCAAAGAAGAGCTAATAGACTTTTCGACAGTTTCGAGGATTTTTCTGTCGAACTTTCTTCGTCTTCTCAAATCCAAAGCTTGTAAGAAAAATTCAGTGATTCTTGTGTGGAAATTCTCGACCGCTTTCACATCCATGACATTGACAATTTCATACACAACGGTCATGAGTTTGACCACTGATTCATGTCCAAAACTCACACAAGCGTCCAATGAAGAAAAAACAGGTTCCAAAATATGTCTAGTTTCGGCATTTGTTGCCAAGAAGAACAAAACATCACTTGACTTTTGAGCAATCTTCTTGTTTGAAGAGTGAATTATTCTCGTACTCAACAAAATGTTCATAATTTGTTTGAGGTATGGACTAATAAATTTCAAATGAACTCTCACAACTAGATCCAAAGCAGAGAGAGTACTGAACACCAACAGCTGATCAGAATTGGACTCATCTTCTTCTTCATTCTCCTCTTGTTCAAGAACATCCATTCCCTTCGAAAGAACTTTAGAAATATGAGAAACAAAGACTGGACAAATATTTGGCAAGAACTCTAGTGAATCAGCTCCAATTTCAAAACATAGTGTTGAAACACATAAAGCGGCTGAGGAAGTAATGGCAGAGTGAGAATTTTCCTTCAAGTGTTGAAGCACAGAAGGCATGATCTTGATGAATAATTTGGAGTTATTTCTACCAAATCTTCTAGCCATCAATTCAATGGAAATAATTGCGTATTGAACGAGGAAGTTTGAAGCTTTAGAATCTTCCAAAATCTTTTTCAACTTTCTCAATAAGGTCAAATAAATCTCTTCATCTTGTTGCAATTTGGAAATAATTCGTGAGGACTCATCCGTGAGTCTTGTATTCAAAATAAAGAGAGCCCGTTCTTGCATTGTGCTTGAGGAGCTTTCTAGCATGGACTTGATCAATGCAACAAAACTATAGGAATTGAGTAATTGTTGAGTTTTGGAATATACTTCATCAATTAGCTCAATAATGGTGGAATCCGTGGATTGATCTCTGATCTTATTCAAGGTCTCAGCAATCGTGAGTAGATAGGTTTGTGAGGTTTCCTTATCCTTCTCTTCTTCAATGATGAGCATTCTGAGGAATTCCATTGAAGAAACGTGTGTTGAAGCAAATTCCAAAATGAAAACAAGTAAGGCTTGCTTTTCCTCATCTGAATATTCTTGTGATGCATAGAAGGCATTATTGGCTGTTTGTTCATCTTTGGCAATGGAGTGAGCAATGTTTACCAATTTCACAAGAGTCACCAATTGTTTTCCAATCTTGAAATATTCCACCAGTTCATGACAGAAAGAAACAATCATTGAGCTATCTTCTTGATCACCATTCTTGACACATTGAGAAAGCATGAGCAAAACAAAGCCATAAATGTTCTTTCTGGAGGTTCCTTTGACCAAATTAGAGAAGAATGAGAGTCTCTTGTCTTTTGGAATGTATTTCATAGAGTTCACAAACACATTCACAATAAATTTGATATCCATTTTCTGTTCGACAAGTTTGGGAACAATTTGAAGGACAGTCTTTTGAATGGCATCAAAGGCAAAACTATCCTTTTCTTTCAAAGTGCCCTCAACAGCTTTCATGACTTGAAGAATTTGTTCAATAATTTGAAGTGGGAAAATTGAGGCTAATTCACCCAACACTAAAATTGCATGGTTTCTGATTTGAGAGGAATCGCTTTCAGTGAGACATTTGAGAATAAGATCAACATCAAAGGTTTTCTCAACTTTTTTGACCAAAGATTTCTTGTCCTCACCTTGATCTTCAATTTTTGCGGCAATCGAGTAGAGAACGGATAAAATCATTGTAATTGGATACTCCGTATGGGTCTTGTTGTATGAATATTCTTCTCTTAATTCTTTCAAAAGAGTGAAAAGGCGAGAAGCAAGAACTTCTCGTTTAGGAACAGATTTCATGAGCTGAATAATTTCCAAAATAAAGGTTAATCTTTCCAAATCTGACGCAGTTTCATCATTGGATGTATCCATTTCCTTAGTAGAGCTTGGAATGTATTTGAGTAAAATGTTGGCATCCATGGGCAATTGTTTGAGAGCTTGTTGATACGCTTGGGTAATTTTAACATTTGGTGATTTCAGAACCTTGGTGATTGCATCGAAAAGCATTCGTTGACTCTTCTCATCCAACACTGATAAAAGATGTGCATTCACATTGTTGACCACTTCAAGTGAAGGAATAAGATTTGATACTTGATTCGTGATGGAAATGGCGTAAAGTAACCCCTCAGTAAAGTACTTGGTTGAATTCTTACTAGTTAACAAATCCATGTTGAGCATTTTCAAAAGTTTGGACGTGAGTAGCACATCCAATCGATCCAGTGTGTGACCTTTTTCAATGGATTTCAAGTAGGAGAGAAGTACATCAAACAATGATGGCATGATTCGAGTGGATGGCAACTGTGAGAGAATATTGACAATGGAGTACTTTTCAAAGGTTGATTTGCTCAAAGAAAATGTGGCCAGCATGACATCAATTACCTCGCCTGGCAATTGTTGAATCACTTGTTGAATTTGAGAACTGTCAGCAGAGAGATCAGAACTCTTAGATTCAATAGAATGAGTGACTTTCTTGACAACATCTCTACTTAGTGGTTTGATATGCTGCTTCAAATGATGATCATAGAGTTTGGAGCCAGGAACTCTCTTAATACATGAAATCACAGCAGCACACATATCCTTAGAAAGATTGTTTTGCAAAGCAATCAGAAGAGATGGAAGTAAATATTGATAGTCAATATCATCTTCCATGAGCATGACACCCATGAGCAAGCTTCTCATTCTTGTCTTGTATGGAAGATTGTCAGGATCAGACATCCAAAAAACTGATAGAAATTCTAAAGCTTGCTTCTTCAAATGTTTTTCAATCAAGACTTTGATATGATTAGTAAATTGGTCAAAGAGTCTTGATTCAGAAATGGTGATAAAGAAGCTTGTCAAGAGCGAAGTGTAAGTAAGAGTAGCTTCTTGCTCTTTGGAAGCATTTGAGGTAAAAGTAGCTAAATGATTCATCATTTCAGAGAAATTTAACACATCTTGCTCTAAATGTTCAAGCATGGAATGTGCACAATAGAACATGAGATAGATGACTGAGAGTGATGTATCGACATGGGATTGAGAGGTTGGATGGAAAACATCATTCACTGAGATGGCAATGCCTGATCTTGAACTGAATTTCTTGACCAAGTTCAAAATAGAAGTAGCAATAACAAGTTTCGCGTCCTTGTTGCTTGCTTGTTTCATGGCGGATGCCAAAAGAAGGAGCACAGACTTGGTTCCTAAACCTTCCTTCACAGCGGTGTTTTCACATACTTTGGCAAGCTCTGGGTTTGCGGCAATATTCTTTGCAATCACATTGACAAGTTGTGTATTTGTGGAAGCAATATCCTTTTCCTTGATGGTGATTGAGGAGAGCCCAGAGAAGAGTGGATGACGAAGCTTTTGCAAAGACTTGATCACCTTCAAGTTGGTTTCCTTGAATTCAGGTGTAATGACGAGGAATCTGAAAACAAAGGTCAACATCTTTTCAATGCCTTCGTCCTTGTTGAACATGTCATCCACGAGGAGTTTCTCAGCAATTGTTGCCGATAGTGTCTTGGAGACATCATCAGATCTGTTTTCCTCAATTTGCTTCACAATGTGAGAAATCTTGTCAACAATTTGTTTAGGTTTTAAATAATCCAAAAGTTGAGGTAAACTCAACACAAAGTTCAGAATGGATGGATCTTCATCGCTCAATCGTTCTAGCAACGACTCTGTAATGAACGACTTGGTCTGCTCGTCTACAGCATTCTTTGCAATCTTTCCCAAATGTTGCAAACCCAAAATACGAACAGTTTTTTCATGATGTTGGAGTGAAAGGTAGAGAGTGGTACTAATCTCAGGAATGATTTCATGTTGAGAACCTTTGAAAATCATGGAATAAAAATCAAGAGCTTTTCCATGGCTCTCTTCATCGAGGGTTCTGAGTCCCAATTCCAATCCCTTGTCAGTCTCTCCGCTGTATTTCTTCTCAACGCACACAAGTACTTTTCGAATAATTTCTGTGAAACTCTCAGAATCGGAAATGTATAAATTCAACAAAATTGCAATGACTTTAGGGATGCATTCGGAGAAGTCAATTTGTGAAATTATCTTATCCAGGATAGACACGTCCTTAGTTTCAAAACAATATTCAATCATCGAGTTCAAAAGTCCGTTAAGAAAGTTTCCAACATTGTAAGACAATCGTAATCGATTTACAGACTCTACAAAGCCCTCAATTTCTGTCAAACGGTTCATTAGGGAGGTTCTCATCTTGGTGATGGGTTGGCTTTGGAACAGGAAAATCATACACAACATGATGCTATCAATCTCTGCTTTGCTCATGACATTAATAATGGTTTCAAAGAGAGCATCGACAACCGAAGAAGCTAATGTCACACATGAGGCAATTTGTGTAGTAATCATCAATGATCCAGCAACTAAATCAGGATCACTTGACTTCAAACCATAAAACACATAAGGCAACAGTCGCTTCAATGAAATATCTTGCAATGGTTGTCCTGAAATGTATTCAATGCATGTAACCACATAGAAATTATTAAAAGTCTTGTTATCAATTGATCTCTCAACAAATGCCTTCATTGCATCACAAATAAACATAAAAATTGAAAAGTCAGTGAAACATCTTTGCAAGAGTGTCGTTCGGCTCATCACCACACCACTACTTTGCATGGGTTCTAAAAAGTGCCATTTCGTAGGAGCAATATTCAATAATTGGACAAAACGTGAGAAGAATGTCGTTTCATGATATGGCAATATTGAAGCCATGATAGCATCCACATTATAGATATGAATTTTAAATCTTCTCACCAAATATTCAATAGCCTTGTGCGAAGGTTTAAGTAAAAAATAGGGCGATAATAACAAGAGGAATCTTTCAATTTCTTGATTCAAAATATCATTCTCCGATTGTGTTTCCATTTCTCTATTTCTATCAATGGACGATGAATGAAAAAGAGAATCTTGAAAGGGTCCGAAACGAGCATCAAGTCTCATCAATTCCTTCAATCCATCCACAGCGATGATATGAATATCCTCATTGGTTAAACGAGCAGCTTTTTCCGCAGTGAACAGAAAACTTTCCTTTCCCTTCTTTAATTTGGTGACTGCTGTCTGAGGAAAGACCGTCTGCAAGAATTGAAGTTGTCGTTTGAGTTCAGACATTTTGTGGCAATTTTTTTTTTCGATTCAAAATTTTATTGAACAATTTTGTGCAGGCGCATGATGATGAATCGTTCAAACTTCGATACTCGCTTGAAAAAGTTGAGAACGTTTGGGATGTAAAATGATTTTTAAATATTATTATTATTGAGGAGTAAACCTTTGTTCTCCAAAGAGCTTGTTTTCAAATTTATTTTAAAAAAATGAAAAGATTGATTTCTGCTTGTTACGGTCATTTGAGCTCATCAACCATGATGGGAAGGCTCGGAATTGGCCAAAGAAATTTAAGCACTGGTAGTGGATCTGCATTATTACTTTGTACAAATAAATGTAGAGGAAGGGAATTTCAAGAATTTTCATCATCATCCTCCGACTGCAACCGATTCTTCTCAATGAAGAATTCATTCACGATGGATCGAGAAATCAAGATGAGGTAAATTTTCAGATGACATGTTCATGAATTTAATTTATGGAATGTTATATTTTGATAAATCAACACCATCGGAAATTATTTCTCAACTCTTAGAGTTAAGGAAGCTCGTATGGAGGAAAACGTTGATAGAAATGTTACGATTGAAGGATGGGTGAGAACTTCGAGAATGCAAAAGAATTTATGTTTCATTGAAGTGAATGATGGCTCTTGCAACTCTAATTTACAAGTTGTTTTTGACATGACCAATACTCATCAAGGTACACCTGTCATGTAAGTGGAATATTTCATGATATTGTAAATATTGAAAACTATGGAAGTAGATCTCATGACGAGCTTGCAAAAATTCAAAATGGAGCAAGTATCAGAATTCGAGGACAGATTATTAAATCACCGGGAAAAGGTCAAAAAACTGAGCTTTCAAACATTGCAGAAATTAAAGTATTGGGAGAGTGTCCTCAAGAACAATATCCACTTCAAAAGAAAGGCCACACTGTTGAATTTTTGAGAGAAATTTCACATCTTAGAAGCAGAACGAACACGGGTGCTGCCGTTTTGCGTGTAAGAAATTCTGCCATGATGGCTATCCATGAATATTTCCAAAGTCAGGACTTTATTCAAATTCATACACCAATTTTAACTGGAAGTGATTGTGAAGGAGCTGGAGAACAATTTAAAGTAATGTCAGAACAACACAAAGATTTCTTTGGAGAAAACCAAGAAGTGTTCTTAACAGTGAGTGGACAATTAGAAGCAGAGATATTTGCGTCATCCATGTCGAGAGTATATACATTTGGACCTACATTTAGAGCTGAAGATTCCAGAACAACTAGACACCTCGCTGAATTTTGGATGGTAGAAATGGAACAGGCATTCATTGGACTGCCAGAATTGGTTCAACATTCTGAAAACATGATTAGACATGCAGTACGAAAAGTGTTAGATCAATGTGAAGAGGACATTCAATTCTTTAATAAGTGGTACAAGAATACCCTCTTTGAAGATTTGAAAAAGGTGGCTAGTAATGAAACCAAATTCGTGACCATTACATATACTGATGCTGTTGAGTTATTGCAGAAAGATGCAATTGAAAAGAATCGGGTTCAATTCAAATATCCTGTGGAATGGGGTGTCAATTTGCAAAGCGAGCATGAAGTGTACCTTTGCAAGTATTTCAACAGTCCCGTATTTGTCACCAATTATCCAAAGGTGATCAAACCATTCTATGCTCGAGTCGATGAGAACGGTAAAACTGTCTCTGCTGTTGACTTGTTGGTCCCTGATTTGGGAGAGTTAATTGGAGGATCTGTAAGAGAAGAACGATATGATATCCTACTTCAAAACATGAAAGAGAAGGGAATGACAAATCTCCAAAATTATGACTGGTATTTGGACTTGAGAAAATTTGGAACTGTGCCACATGGTGGTTTTGGTCTTGGATTTGAACGGTTAATTCTTTTCCTCACAGGAATTCCAAATATTAGAGAAACAATTCCAATTTACAGAGCTCCAGGATTTTGTAAATTTTAGAATTGTTGAAATCACGATTTAATTAAATGTCAAAATTAATCTCGATCATTGTCCAAATAATTTTGATAATTTGGATTTCTCATGTAGCTTTTTACGTCCTCGTCATACATTTCATCATTTTCGTGCTCATTTTCGCCGAATGGATCAACATGATGAATTCTTCCTCTCTTGTCTTTGGTTGTTTTTAGTGGTAGCGTTGGATCGCTGGTAACTTCCATTTCGTCCTCTCGAACAGGATTGGATGAATAATCAAATTCGTAGGGATTCACTTTGGTTCTCTTCTTCTTAATACCCTTTTTCTTGTATTTGTGTGAAGACGTTTTCTGCATGGATTCTCTTTCTCTCAATGCGACATATTGCTGAATGACAGCACGCTCCTCCTTGGAAAGACGATTATATTGCTTTTTAGAAAGACTGTCAAGATATTTTTCAATCTTGTCGTCCATAAAGTTGAATTTGGCTTCATTGGAACGAGATCTCTTCTTGCTAGAGTACACTCTGTCATAAATTTCTTGAGGAAGTGCCAATTTTTTCTTTTCAACATTTTTTTTCTGTGGCTGTGGTTTCTTTTGTGGTTTTTTAGGGGACACTTGTTTTTGTGCTGTTGTGCTCGTAGTGGCAGTGGGTTTTTGTTCTGGCTTTTCTTCCTTCTTGTATGGGTCATAGAAATTGTATTCGTCTTTGGTTTCTTGTTTCAGAGTTTCAGTATTGGACTGTTGTTGTGACGTGTCTGTTGTTGAGTCCTTAGTACTGTCCTCTACGACGGTGGTCGTGTCACTTGCCGCTGATTGTTCTTGCTGAGTCTCAGTAGATTGATCAGGTTCTTGATTTGTCTCCACTTCCACCGATTCTTCATTCTCCTTCATGAATTGTGATACATGGTCGTCCAGTACTCTGTGGAGAGTATTATGATCGTCATTGTCAAGATTTCTACGTTGCTCTTGGGATTGTTGAAAGCTGAAAGAAGAGGCGAATGAGGAATCTGTTCGAGAAAGTAGTCCTGAATACATGACAATTCCATAGGCAATACCTGCAATAATCAAAAATAAAGCTACGAGAACCAAGAAAGTGAGACATGCTCCCTTTTTACCTTTTGAAGGAGTTGTGTTTTGTGGCTTGAATTCTTTTCTCTCACTTGAAAATTGACTATTTGGTAATTCAGGGTTAAATAAATTACTACTGCCAGATGATGCAAAATAAGCATTGTTTTGAGAGTTAAAGGTATAATTACTGTGCTGTTGAGGGTGGTAGGAATGCAGATGAGTGGATGGAGAATCATTCTTTTGATAAACAGGAACATCCATCGAAGGCACGTTATTAAATGCAGAGGGATTACCAAGTGTTGCATGATGTGACAAATTTGGTACTTGATTCATTTCATGCATTGGTAAAAACTCTGGAACGTTATATCCTGATGAATAGCCTTGATGTGATGAATGAGTTTGTGGTGAGTTTCCGTTCGATGGAACAAAAAACAAGTGTGATTGTTTAGAGAAATTGTCTTGATCTTGCCCAGTAGTGCTCTTTTTAGGCTGTCTTCTGAATCGTGTCTTATTGCTCTCTTGGACAATGTTACTACTCGAAGAAAAACCACCTTGAGTGACAAATACGTTATTATTTTCTTGATCAGTATTACTCTCATTCATGTTGGTATTATCATTACTGTTATTATTGCTGCTCGAGAAAAAATCATCTCGTGATGAAGAAAGGTACGGAGAGGTACTTTCTTGTTGTTGATTAATCGCCGGAATGTAATGAATGGAATTGTTCCCTTCATCATCATCCACTTGAACTCTATTTTCAAAATTAAAAGCCTCTTCGGAAACTGGTACATAACTAATCTCAAAATTATCAGCCAATCCCGAATTCGGGTGTGTTTGATCTTGTCCTGTTGTTGATAATGGGGGTGAATAACCTTCAAGTTGATTTCGTTTCATTTTTTGTAATCAGGTCATGTATAAAAGTTTTGGACAAATTTGGAGAGACACGTGTGATTGTTCAGCCGTAGTGTCCACGAGAATAGAAATGTTGTTATCAAATGAGAAGCAGATTAATCAATGGATTAATGAAAACAGAATGAAAAAATGTACTAGTTGTTGAATTGTGAGTTTTTTTTAATAAAGAAAGATGTATGCTTTATCAGTCCCTTGCTGTTGTCGAGAGAATCAGGTAGGGTTGGAGTGTCGGCAATAAGTTGTATCACCATCAGACGGCAGGCACACTGCGATGAGAACTGTACACAGCATGCCCAATTCGAAAAGACGGTTTGACCTAATTGAAGATTTCGATGAATACAATTATCTTCACATCACCACACCAAATAAAATGACTCGTGGATTGTGGTTCGAAAAAGAATTTTTTATTTTCGAACGAGTGCTCGACACGAAGAGGCGTCTAATTCACACAAGAAATGAAAACATGTTGTACACATCAAACTCTATTTACATACATACAGGTTTAGTTGAATTCAATCTTTGGAAGCTTCAAATCTCTACCTTCAACGCTGTGGTGTTGTGATGTGGTGTAGATGAAGAAGGCACGAGTTTGCAAATGTTCCTCGTTTGGAATCACATAATATGGATTTGGTGTCATGTTGGATCCATATTTTTGTACAAGTTCTGGAGCCTTAATAATTTCACACAAAGCCAAACAACCAATTTGGGAGGATTTGAAGGTAATGGAGTTACCCCATCCTGATTGATACCTCATGTATCCAAAGCTAACACTCGCATTGGCAGCCAAGTAAACACCAGATCCATATGCAGCACCGTTTACCATTCCGGCAGTACCACTCAAGTTCAGCAAACCCTTACGCATGATCGAGTGCCAATTGCCCAATGCAGAGCCATGGAAGGCTAAAATCGAACCGTGCTTCTTCTTCAATTCTTGGAACCTGCGTTCCTTATCAGGAGTTGAGCTCATCATAATGTATTGATGTTCTGTTTTCATTTCACTAATCTGCTCCTTTGATGACAATTTCTTCAAGTGCACACGAGCACTGGCTAAAATCCAACGTAGAAGCGGATACAGCAGCGGATGTTTCTCATCACATCGATCTTTAAGTTTACCCTCGTCAACCCATTCATCCAATACCTTAACTGAAGGCACTTTCTCAAGAACTTCTCGAACTTTGGCATTATCTTCTTTTCCGTCGCTCGTTAAAAAGTTGTAGGTTGTAACCTTATCCGTTGTCTTGTCTCTGATTTTAATTTCTAAACCCATTGGGAATGGCTGGAATGGATTGAAACCTCTATTGGAGATGTATGATGAAGATGCTGCATGGCACATACTAATAAATAAATCAACAATGTCAGGTATTTTCTTAATTGCTGATTCCAAGTCGACACCCAATCCGTATTGTTCATGTGAGAAGATACAAAGTTGGTTTTCGCAACACATTGGCTTGATGCCTTCAAAAGGAAGATTGCCTCCACATATCAAGCATTTTGATGGACTGTTTTTGATTACTTGCTCGGTATAGTCTAACAAATATTCCATATAATTTTTTCCATTCTTTTTTTCCAAGGTGTCTCTGTAAAGTTCAATTGGCCAATACTTGGCAAAGAAATCTCTCTCCAAACGTTGTTGTACAGTCCTGTTTGAAGTGTGATGACGAAAAATGTTTCAAGTATAATGGTGATATTTGTGTTCACCGATCGATAAGTGTGAAGAACATTGCCAATGTCACATCACGATACGTTGTTATAAATGCAATGATGCAAAACAGTTTTGTAGGTTGTACATGTGTTAGTATTGAATCAATGATCATTCTCAACTTACCAATACAGCCCGAATTTGACTTTTCCATTGTCGATGAGTGCCTGTGGATCTCTGAGAGATGTTTCACCGCATTGGAATGCCTCGACTTGAGGTTTCGTTGTAGATTCGGTGTAGTAATTTGAAAATGTAATAGAAACACAAATCCATTTGGAAAGTGACAAACCCCAGGCCTCACTCACCAATTCCGAGATGTTCAAACGCTTTGGATCTGTGAAAAGATATACTTTGATTTGATCCATTCCTGATGCACCTCTACATCCGAGCCAACCTTTTGTTTTTCGGACTCTCTCCAAATCTTTCTCAATAGAATCAAATCTCTTTCTCTTTTCATCGTCATCGTCATCAATGAAGAGTGTATCATGGTCATCCACAGCAGAGTGAGGCTCTTCTTCATCTCCAAATACATGATCTCCATGGCCATGAGAATTTGCAGTTCCAGGAGTAGGAATTTCTTCAAGAAACTTGTCTCTCTTCTCTTTCATGAGTGAGAACACTTGAGTGAGGACATCTTCAACATTCTCTCCTCTCAATTCATGAAAATCAGAGCCAGCCATACAAGTATATTCTCCCTTCGGATATGATTTGGGAATTACTAATGATAGATGTGTTTGATAGGACTCGGAATAGTCTAGATCAACTTGACAAGTTACCACCAAGTCGCCATTTTCATCACAATTAAAAGCAAATCTTCTCACCCAAGGATCATCAATGCTAAAGTAAATATCTGCAAATGATTCCTTCCATTCATCAATTTCTCTCTTTAATTTTTTGAAAAGATCAGAAGACTCGGCCATGATCATGTGGTTATGTGCGGTGTTGTGTTGATGATGATGGAAGAGTGTGGTGTTCTCGAGATGCTGATGATGATTGGGAATTGATCCTTCTTCAATTTTTTATGATGGAAGCGAAGTTTGGTCTTTGGTTCAATTTTCAAAAATACTTTTGGGGTTCAGTGTTCCGAAAGTGTTCCTTTCGTGTGGTGTTGGCCTGGCTCTGAATTCTCAGCGAAAATTATGAAATTGTGGACCTTAGTGGAATTGTGATGAAGCGCTTGTTTAGATGAACGAATGAACACGAGGAGATCCATTAGGGTTTGTTCGTCCATTGAAAAAAATTTTCTTAATGAATTCCCAGGGGATCATGATTCCGAGGTCAGAATTCAGATCATTGAGAAGGCTTGTTTTAATACTAGTGTTGATGGGGATATTAATGATCGGATCGTGTTGTTTCTGTGCAGATCGTAATTTCTATGAAATCCTAAACGTTCCAAAAGATGCAGATTTAAGGTGAGTATGGAAAGACACTTATTTTCCCATAGTCATTGTGTGTTTTTGAATAGAGATATAAGACATGCGTATCACAAGATATTGCGAAACAGAGACAGAAGAGAGGATAGACATAGACCAACTCGACATTTTCAAGATGTTCTTCATGCGTATCAAGTTCTTTCCGATGAAAAGAAGAGAAAAATATATGACAAGTTTGGAGAACGAGGTCTTCGTGAAGGGATGAATCTACCAGTGGAGGAAGAAGAGAGTGGGGAGGTTTCTGTGAACAAGATGACATCACCTGAGAAGAATACGATTTCACAAAGCTCTTTGAATGACTATAATGGACCTACCACTTTCCAAGCACTGATGATGGTTGTGGGAATCATTGTACTTGTTGTTTTCTTCATGAAAAGATCATCTAAAAGCAAAACTTCAGTCACACCTTCAACTCCTAAAGAAGATGTGTATTGGGATAAAGTTCTTTAAGATGGAAGCAAAGATTTATCTAACCAATAAATTTAAAAAATGATGAAAAGAGCATTCTTTAATATTCCAACTCGATTCGCCAGCAACAAAGCTTCCTCCTTCCAAGCTCGTTTCACAGTCATCAGCAAGAAATTTTTCTCGCATAGCCTCTTAACTAGAAAAGAAGAGGAAGATAAACCTCTTTCCTATTCCGAACAAATAACTAAGCAAATCATCGAGCGATACAAAAATATATTAGAAATGGCAGGCGACAAGAGTGGATTGGAAAAACTACAAGAACAATTAGAATCCGAGGACAATCAAACTCATATTCAAAATATTATCCGAAATGTTAGATTGGATCTAGTCGACGAGCCATCAGAAGAAATTAAAAAAGCACAAGAAGACAAAATGGATGACAAACGTAAACAACAATTCGAAGAGAGAAAACGTGCAGAAATCGAGAGGAGAAAAAACTCAGGGAAAGAAAAGAAAGAGCCAAGTAACAAAATTGAATATAGAGTTGTTGAACGAAGTTAGTAAACTTGCTGCTTTCTTCACCACCAAAGAAATACTTCCATGTGAAAATTATTCAATTTACAAAGCAGTAGCGTACACACTAAAACGACATGCTATTTTGAAGTTGGACTTCTACGGGATGGCAATAATGCACCATTGAATTGTTGGATTGGATTTCTTGGTGATGTTGGACGAGATCTCTTCAAAGGAGTATACAAGAGCTTGTGTGCCTCATTTCTGTTAAAGAGAAATCCTGAAGCAGTCTTTCCAGAATTATTATCTCCATTATTGTTACCATCATGATTTTTGTTTGATCCTCCAAGGACAAAAAGAGGAGATCCTATGGTAGACATGTCAACCAAGAAACAACCAATTTCAAATAACTTACGGTGCTCATTGCTGGTATTATTGAGGCCTGCATTGATAGCACTACTACTTTTAAGGAGTGCAGCAACTCCGCTTGTTGACGAGTTTTGAGCGAGTGCATTAGGAGAAGTTTTGGAGACTCTAAAATCCAATAGACCACTTGTGGCTGATGAACGTAGTGGTGCTTGATTCTTGAACAGAAGGTTACCATTCCCAGGTCCAATATTTTCCTGATTATTGTCCTTGTAATTTGATGATGGAGAAACAATGCTGTGGCTCTCCAATTCGTTACTAAGGCTTGGAGAGCTTGATCTCAGCCCAGATCCACTCTGCTCATATTTTCGTTTGAGGGAATTGTACAACTCTTGAAGCTTGTTTCTCTCTCTAACCTTCTCCGAGTATTTTTCTTGAATGTTTTGAAATTCCCTTTTCGTCAATTCGTATTGCTCCTCAGTCACTTGAAGCCTCTCTGTAACGGTTTGAAGCTTTTGTTTTGTGTCATTGAGCCTCTCAGCGTACGATCTTGTAGGATGCAGAGGAGTTTTAATATTAGAACAGATGATGAACAGAGATATAGAGTATGCTTTGATTATACGTACTTTTCCATTTGAGATGCCTTGCTGAGGGTATCTTTTTGTAGGAATTCCTGATACTTGATTTCAACTTGTCTCTGATTGTCCCAGAACTTGAAAGCGTTGTGAGCTGCCTCAAGAATTACTTCAGGTGGGAGGCCACACAAACACATCTGTATTCGTTGAATGAATGATGGAGAGAGTATTAGTCAGTTTGCACGTGCATGAATTATTGTTCCGTTAATTGATGAGCACACAAAGTTTCAAACTCACCGTTTTCTCCTCAACCTGAGCCTTACTCAACTCTACTTGCCGTATATCTCGAGTAGAGAGAGGCTTTTCGCATGCAGGACAACTCATATCCTTTGAGAAGTGTTTAATGGCATCATCCTTACCTATTACAAGCATCAAGTAACTACAACAGCCTCAATCATCAACTTACAAAACACATGATTACAACTTGTAATGAAATACAATTCTTCCACTTGACGCCAACACGAGTTGCATTTCATTTTTTTCATAAGGCCGTTAAAATCGGGTACATTTTCTTTTTGAGGTGATACTACAAGGGATTTCCAATGAAGAAGATGCCATCTCGAATTTCATGATGAAATGGTCTCTGCTGGCGTCGATGTCTTTCATCATTGATCCTTCACCAAATAATTTGAGAAGGCTTTTCCACAAGTCACACAAAATATTTTTTTCATGAACCATAACGTCTTTATGTCGAATGCTGTCGTGGTTGTGCTTGCCGCTATTCTTGGTTGTTTGCTCTCGGTAGCACAGGTCAGGGTTATCCAATAGAAACAAACATACGGGGAGAGCCTTCATTAAGGAGGTGTCTCTCACTCTCGCGAAACAGTTTCTGGGAAAGTCTCTGGATACACCATGCAAGACATGGTCAGGTAGAAAGTACCGCCTCGAAAGAGGGCACGCCAAGGGTCAATGGACCCGGACTTTGGTCTCACTGGTTTCTATCTTCACTACATAGGCATGAAAACACAATGTCACTGGCATTGAACCAAATAGAGCTTACTGATCAGTGTTACTTTTTTGCAGCTATTGAGAAAATGTTCTCATCATGAATGGTGGTCATGGAAGAGGCTGGAGTCGAAGCACTGCCAGGCGAGTACACGGCCTGTGACTCGTCGTAATGGTGATGATGATGCTGATGGTTATAGGAACGGCCAGTATTATTATACTCGAGAACATGCTCCCAGAACTTGTCCATATTTGCCTTCTGTTCATCAGGTCTTTCGCTCGAGAAGTAGCATCGACATTTGAGATTTCTCATGTCTTGAGATTGAAGTAATTCTTGATCGAGAGTCATGTCTTGGTCATCTCCAAATACACAACAACATTTCTTTGAGCCTAACCCAGAAAAGTGAAGAATGGGAGTTTGTTGAAATTCATGACGATCCATTCTCTCTACAAAAAGTACCACACTATCCGTATAATTTAGAACTTGTTGAATAAATCGTGTGAAAATACCATTTTCTCCTGTAATTAAAATTCTTCCAGATAACTCGACACATAATACCACAATATCACCTTTCTGAATAGGAGGTGTGAGGTGATCCAGTGCGGAGGTAGAAGGCTGAACATTGGTGTGTTTGGAATCATTTGCTTCCAAATTAGAAGTGTTCAGCAAGACACGACTCTTCGAAGAGGACTCTTTGTTCTCATCGATGAGTTTTTTCTCATTAAGTTTGACCTGATCATCCTCTTCGGAATCATTCTTCACGAGAACAATGGCATTCTCTGAAAAATCATCATCACTTAGAGCACCACTGTCATCGTGTGCTTTCGGAAGCATGTGAGGTGAATCTGTATCAGAATTGTCACTACTATCATGTGCATGAATATCAAAGATGCTCTTCTCATTGATTGGCATGTTCACACTGTGAGGTGTCTCTACGGATGTTCTCATTGTGGGTTTCAAATGTTTAAGCCGTTCTTTCCGTCTGTTATGTTTTTACATTTGACACATGTTGAAACATATTTAACAATTATGATGGTTGTCATGCCGTTTTGCTTCGAACATGAATCAAGATGCGCTGAAATACTTACGCCAGTGACTGTAGAGCTCCATAACTATGGGACTTTTTCATGGTCGAAGCTGTATTATCTGTACTACGTCTTCTCTTCAGCGTTGCATTCAAGCTCCATAGGTCTGTGATCGTTCTCTTCACAAGAACATACTGATTCATGGATTGTATTTTCTTCTCTGGAATAATATCTTTTCCATTCATAAATTGCTCTCTACTTCTCACACAAACCAGAATGTTCGTCTGTTTTGAATGTTTCTTCTTTTCTTTGGATTTGGCAAAATACTTTGTATTGTAAAGACTATTCACTGCAGCAGAAACAGTTTCTCTTTCGTTGTCCAGGCCGAAAAACCAAACGTTTCGTTTTTGTTCAGAATCTTGTAAATCCTTAATTTCAATTTTAACTTCTGAATTCGAAAAGAGCTTCATGACAGAATTAATGGATGTGGATGACTCGAGCTTTGTGTGATGAACGGCCGCTCGCTCTAGCGCAACGTCAATGACCTCTCGGAAAAATTGTGAAAGGATAAGTTCTGTGGAGTCTGTTTGTGACTTTGTCATGATGGTCTTGTGTTGAACAATGTATGGTTTTGAGTTGATGTACAGGTTCGAAATTTCAATTTCAGCATTTTCCTTCCTTTTAATGGCGTCATAAATGTCAGTGCACTTATCAAGGCCATGAAGGACATAAAGAGTGGGAAAGCCTTCCAAAAGCTTTAGCTTGTTTTTAAAATCTTTGCTCATTTTGTTTCCTACAGTGGATAGTACTATAACTCCATCAACGTGACAAATCGGTCGTTTTGTTTGCTTATTTTGCTCCTCTTCATCAGTGTTGAAAAATTCCTCTGTATCAGTACTGTCTTCGTTAAATTTGTACATTTCAAATGATCTACTGAAAGACTCATCGCTCCTAGATAAAACATATCTATTATCTTTGGAGTCTTTTCCATTGTTGAACCCAATTAACTTTACACAAGATTTGAACCACTTGAGCACATCTCGTTTTTGGCTGTCAGTATGGGTTACAATTGTTTTGGATCCTATCAAAAATTTCATGAGATATTCTACTAAATCGTCACCCAAGTCACTTGGTTGCTCAATTTCAGATTCGTCCAGTAAAAGTAAAATATTAAGTCTCTCATACAACTTTCTCATAAATAAAAAGAAAAATAAAATACTCTCTCGTAGGGTATTGTTAGCTTCATCCTCGTACATTTGTAAACCATGAAATTGCAACGCATTTCTTGAGGACCCTTCGTTCACTTTCTTTTTGGATCCTTTCTTAATACAAATTTCCCTAATTTCATCAAAGTAGATGTTGTTAGATAACTTTATCTGCTCAGCAGATGCGTTCTCACAGGGACGGTAATTTGGGAAAAATCTATAGGTAATTGGTTCGAGAGTAAAAGTGGTATAGTCACTGAAAAGAAATAATGACTTGGTTACAGTTGCAGCCAAAATTACATCCTTATTATGAAAGTGTTCAATGTAATAGGCCTTGCAGTGAAACGGCAGTTTTTTCTTATTAGTTGTCTTTTTGTCGGTAGAAGTGGGATCTTTCTTTTGTTCTGAGGTTGGTTGGTCATCGGACTCTTCCATGACCTCAACTGATGTCTGTGTTCTGGGTATATAGTTCATAAATGAGTTTTTAGTGTTTCCAAAATATCTCGAGAATATGGAGTCGTTTTTTGAAGCGTCCTCTTTTTCAGGTTTGGAATTTGGTGAGGTTGACCAATTTACGTGACTGCCACGAGTTGACTCTGAATCATGTAAACCAACTAACAAAATGAAATAATCAGAATATGTATGAAATGGAAATCGTCCTAAACAAAATGTGTTTGGTTCCAGTTTAAATCGAATGATGTTGTTCCAGTCTGACAAACCTTCATTTGTTAAATCTACTGAATGGCATGAAGAAAAGAAAAAATGTTTGTGGCTTTTTAACCGGGCTGACGAGGAGGAAGTGGTTTTTTCTTGATTGTAAAAGTAGTAAGCAGGTGGAAATTCATACAAAGGATTGCTCTTACTCGGCAAAATTATTGGCTTGTTTTCTTTTTTCCAATGAATGTGCAATCCTTTGACTCCCCAATATATTGGCTTGTCTGTTTTGTTTTCCATACAAAAAATTCCCCATTCTCGTTCTTTTTGATCAGAAGATGTCACAGATGAGGAAGGAGTAGATTTTTGAAATGATGGTTGAATATTTTGGTTTACCGAACCAAACATGGATGATAAAAATCGACCAGAACCATGTTGCTGTTGTTGTATTGATTGTTGAGATTGCTCGTTTGATTTTAAATCTGAACTATTTGACGATTCCAATCCCTCAACCGATAAGCTTTTGACGTGATATGGATACTTGAGCGAACCTATTGTTGCTGCTGAATTTACTCTTGTATTCAAGTCTGATCCAAAAACTGGCTCTTCCGTTGGAGACACTGTGTGTTCTTTGTGTTGTTTTTTGTTTTCCGTAATGTTGTTGTTACTCATGATGAACTGTGAATTATTATATTATATATTTCTATTTTCACTAATCAATGATCGGGATTAGTAATCGGAATTGAGGTACAACACCTTGTAGACACAAAATCAGCTTTTCTAAAAACTCAACTGATGTGATGTTGGTTTTAGACCAATTTAACGCTGACTCAAAAAGCAGCCACTCCCAATAATAAAGCTTTTCGGTGAATTTTTTTTAATTTGCGAAATTTAAAAAACTAACCTGTTTGAGAGGGACTGCAGGAAGACGATAGACAAAGAATTTGAGCAAAGGGATTAATTTATTGAGCTGACCAAAGTCATATCACATTCCATCAAAAATTCAAGTAGTGAATGAAAACCAGGCTTCCAATAAAGTTTTGGGTAAAAACGTGCAAAAGCTTGTTGTATTATATTCCTGTTTCTACAATATTACATCGACAAGTCATGCGAATTTCCATAAACAGAAATAAAATGAGCAGATTGTTGAAGGCAGCAGGTGATACTCTCTTCTCGCCCTCGGTGAGCAAACCTCTGTACTCGACACACTATCCAACATCACTCTTTCAGAAATCACTAATTGTTGCTGGCTCGACTCTGATATCAGCATTCCGACCACTGAGAACCGACATGGTTGGTGCTCTCGGAGAAACCACAGGCATTCAAGCCTTGGAATATGTGAGGAATCAAATGGTTCTCTCGAAACAAGGAAACGAAATTCTCAAGGAACGTCCTAACATTGATGAGAAGGTGAATCCACAATTTTGGGAATATATTTCAACATTACCACCAGATACCTTTGGAGGAGCCTATTACAAGTTCATGTCCAGTAATGGATTTATAGCAAGTGAGAGACCTCCCGTACGTTTTGTGGATGACGAAGAACTGGCCTATATAATGTTCAGATACAGACAAACCCATGATTATTTCCATGTGTTGGCTGATTTACCTCCATCCGTCTATGCCGAAATTATTGTCAAATGGATTGAATTCTTCCAAACCCGATTACCCATGACGTTGTTGAGTGGAGCTGCAGCACCATTCACTCAACTCACTTTTGAACAACAGAAGGAATTAGCCACTGTGTTTATTCCTTGGGCTTTTGATACTGGAAGAAATTGCAACTTCCTCATGTCAGTCTATTTTGAAAAGTATTATTTGGATAAACCTGTGGAACAGGTCCGAAAAGAATTGAATTTTAAGATTGCACCAAGAAGTAATCTTGTATAATGTTATTATTCAAGAGATTCTCTCTAAATATTTGATCATGATTGCGGTCTAACTTGTCCCATACAACAACTCGATCACTTGGATAAGAGAACAGGGTGTGTACTCAAGTCTCACAATTAATAATAGAATTACTAACTGGATTCATTGAATGCCCACTGTTGTCATCATTTCACACACAACTCATCACGAAAAAATGTCTGGCACAATCAAGATCTATGTACATGAGGAGAGTACACAAACAACCAAAATTTTGCTATGGCAAACCGATAAGAATCAACAACGGCAACATCAAATACAGGCTCTAAAGTTTTGGGTAGAACATGAATTTGAATTGAAAAAACAAGGAAAAGTTTTGGTTGAGTTGCGGAATGAAAACAACAGACCCATTCATACTCTGAAAGATAAGATGGATATATTCATCGTTACAGCATCAGAGGAGACAGGTACCACCGATGAAAAAAAGAATAGCCTCGACGAGAATCAACTCAAAGCCTCATCATCATCATCAATGAGCACTCAAAGCCAAATAACCAAAACATCAGGATCCGATGCAACAAGCCATACCATGTCTTCTAGTAGCAGTAGTAGTAATAGTAGGGAGGAGAGAGGAAAAACATCATCCTCTGCACCACAGACAACCATTCTATCTCAAAAAGAATTACAAGATCTTGCTAAAAACGCAGCTCAATTCTATCAAGCCAAAAAGTACAGAGTATGTAGAGATATTATTGTCCAAATTCACTCACACGACCAAACAACAATAGCAATCCGTAGAAGCCTATAAGAAAATCAAAAAAGCCAATGTTGATGTCATGGGGTGTAACAACAATATTGCTACTGTTTATTTAACTGCCAATATGTACGACAGAGCTTTAAAGTATTTGCAAGAAATTCTGAAAACGGATTCCTTAGACTTTACTGTGCACAACAAGATTGCCAAATGTTATTTAGGAAAAAAACAATACAAGGACTGTATTCAATACTTGTTGAATACAATTAAAATTCTGGATCAAGTACAAAATGTAGCGAAAGAAGAGCAAAAAGCAGAACTGAAACAGATCATGGCAAGTGCTCAATTGGATCTTTCAAAATGCTTGCTAAACTTACACGAAAAAGATCAAGCTTTTACATTAATAGCTACGGTGCTAAAGCAAGATGAGAATAATATCGAAGCGCTTTTGGAATATGCATCCTATGTTTATAGAGAGTCAAAAGATCCATCGGATGCTCTCACTGCTTTGATTCGAGTCCTTGTTGTAGATAAAGAAAATAAGGTAGCCAAAGAATTACTTTCAGATATTGTTGCTGAGAATGGAGTACAATTACTGATTGATCACATTTCTCAAGGCCAAAACAACCTGACGCCAGCTATGGCTCCTGGTGTTGCATGGATGGCTCTTATTATTAAGGAATTTTCGTGTATTACCGAGGCAGTCGAATTGTACAAATTAGCTTTGGACTTGGCTCCTGACAATGTCTCATATTTATTGAATTTAATTCACACTTTGGAAATTGATGTACGATATGCTGATGCATTGCGTGAGGTAAAAACCTTTTGCGAGAAAAATCCAAATTTTAAAAGTGGTGATTTTTCATCACACCATTTATTGGAGGTATGTTGTGACTTATGGATACAGCGTTCAACGATCATCTTTCTCGATCCATGATAATTCCTACAAATCAGGTCCTGAATCAAATTGATCAACTCGATACGCTCAAAGATCCTTTTCAAAATACTGATAAAATAGCTCAGAAATATTACTGTGGGGAGTATGCTCAACAATACGCAGATACTTTGGAAACTACATTTATTGATGATTGTGGAGCAGTTTTTTGGAAGAAAGAAGAGACTTTTAATTTGAAAGAATTGAAAGAGACAATTGCAAAACATCGATTGAATGACAAAAACACACAACCAGATTTGGATTTTTTAGCTGTGGGCTTTACAGTGGTGAAAATTTGCTATATTTGTGGTTTTCTATCATGTATGCCTAAACTTATTCAAGCTTTAGAGAAGGAACGAATGAAGCGGGAGTTGCACAATACACAAATTAGAAACGAGCATGCCTACTTTTGCACCATTACTCAATTGCTTTCGCAATACTTGTACAAGACTCTTCCTGTTAAGGGAGTTGACAATATTGAGGAAAATCACATGTATCTTGTTGGAGAATCGCATTCACTGAGTTCTGCTTTTCAGGTCATTAATTTTAAAGGAACCAAACAATTATTGTTGACCAAGTTAGTGACAGGATGTAAATGTTTCCATTTGCGAGAAAACACCAAATTTTATCCGAAGAGAAATTATTTCAGCTGTCTAGCATCCATTCCTGAAGGTTCTAGAGTTATTTTCATGTTTGGAGAAATTGATTGCCGTGAAGGGCTGTGGGTCTCTGTTGACAGATTCAAGTACAAAAATATTGAGGAAGGTATTGCCGTCACCATCAGTTATTATATTAAGGAGTTACTGAAAGCAAAAGAAAAGTACGATTTGTATGTGCATCCAGCTCCTCCAGTGCTCGACATGACCAGAGACACCGTGAAAATGTTTAATGCTCATCTCAAGATTGAATGTGCAAAGAATGGTATTCGATATTTAGACTTTTTAGATGAATTGCTCACGAATAATGGAAAGGGTTTGAAAAAAGAATTGTTCCTAGACGGTATCCATTGCTCACCAAACATCACTAAGTATTTGGAGAAGGCATTGAACAAGTTTTGAGATGTGTCAAGCATTGCTCAAATGTCCAGACTCAACAACAACTTGTTACTTTTTTGACTAGAGTGTTATACACTCATTTACTACTTAAATGACAAGTTGTTTGTCAGCATCCAACTCGTTAATAAAATATTTGAAAGGAGGTTCGTAGGCTCTTTTCATTTGTTCGAGCAACTCTTCCTTAGGTTTGGTGAGTGTTGAAAAGTTAACTTTGGAATTTTGATCACTACCATACGAACGATAATAATGCGTATCTCCAGCCTTAAATTCCTGTTCCTCATTGAGTGAACCATTGGAATAGGATGTGATGGATCCTGTCATGAAGAAGTTTCTGATTGGTTTAAATATCCGTTGTCGAATGAAATCCTTTGCAGTTGTGTTTTTGGTAAAATAGGTAAACCAAACTGCCATAATTCCTGCAAAAGCAATTCCGCTAAGCACTGTATGTGAAATAAACCATGCATTGGCTTTGATTCTAATTCCAAAAAATAATGTCATACTTCCGTGATAGATGGCCATAATTGCCATGACAAGTGAACACAAAAGTGAAATTAATTTTCGGTGAGATTTAAAATTGTTGGTGAGCACACCTTGACAAGCTCCCTCAGCGACATGTCCATAAATATACATAATGACATATCGATCCACTAAATGTTTGAAAATGAGATATAATAAACAGCAGAATAAAATCAATGGAGAAAATAGTGAGTTGGTAATGCAAATGGCAAGAATAGACAACATGAATGGATATTCATATTCAAAGTAGAAGAGAGAAAGTTCACATGCTTTCAATTTCTGAAGAGGACTACATTTTGGTAGATATCTTGTTCCCCACAAGTAATAAATTAAATTATAAACTCTCAAAATATCTTCACAATTCTTCAAAATAGCTGTTTGAAGAACAAAGTTAAAGAAATAGGATCCAGCTCCAGGAAGAAACTTGACAAGTGTGTGATTTGTGTGATTTGTGTGATGATATTCGAAATGAAAAAACACCTACCATATTGCTGAGCATTTCTGAAATGTTACCTTGTTGTTGAACCAGATTGATAAAAGCATCAAAACTGGTTAATGAAAGCATTGGCATGATCAATGTAGAAAGTACGAGATAAATGAATAATCTGGAAATGAGTTTTCTCATGTATCTTGATTTGGATCGGAACTTGGAAAAGTCTTGAGCATACCAGATACCATAGGGAAGGAAAATGGAGAAGAGATGGAGAGCAAGCGTTGGGGTATATTGAAATATGACTGATCCGAATTCTCCAGCACTCTCTGTTAAATTCCAATTGGGAAATTGGGATGAAATAATGTTCAATTTGTTTGTCTATTCAAGCACACACTGTCACACAATAACTTGACTTACCTTTAAACTTGAATAAGGAAATGTGTACAATGGGAATTCGTGTCAAAGATTCCAATGAGGAGAACAAGGCCATCGGTGTGGTCAAGAAAATGAAAATCAAAATGACTACAAATTGCATCAAGAAGTTTCGAAGTCCATCCCAAAATCCAGTATATGTGAGCATATTTTCCCAGTTGATGTCATTGGGCTCATATGCTTGTTTAATTTGGAATGATATGGTTCTAATGGTAGAAATGTTCACAACATCTCCACTCTCATCCAAATCAGAAATAGTTGAGGCCTTAATTGGCATTTTGATGTCTCCACGCTTGTAATAATTATCAATACATGTTTGGGCATCTTTTGTGGTTTCAAAAACTATAAAACCATATTTTAAACATGGTATAATGTCATGCTCAGCTCCATATTCATCATTTTTAACACGATGATAGATTGCATCCCAATGTTGCATGTCAAGTCGTAATTCTCGTTTTCGTTTCTTCAGTGTTTCAATTTTTTTAGATCTGTCACGGTACATGTATCTCCAAAATGTTCTCTTATGAGCATGGTGAAGATCTTGCAGAAATTCGTTATGTTCTAATTGATCACAAATGTCTTGATAATCGTTTTGCATTTGAATTCTATCATACACATCTATCAAACTCAGTGAGTAACAAATGCTAAGAAAAATGCTTACCATAAATTAGTACTGCTTTCACTACATTTAACCCAGGACATAGTTCCTCTAATTATGAGTTGAATCGTATGTGTTAAATGCGTCCAATCATGAGACCAATGTTATGCTAGCTGAACCTACCTCGAACCATTTTCTCAAATTGAGGTTCACTATTAAAATCGCCTGGCAAATCTTGAACGAGCACGCTGTGCGAGCTAATGACTTCTGTTTGTATCACTTCATTCTTGGATCCATAATGTTCTGTGGTAACAATATCATGTCTCGTAAACTTGAACAAAAATAAGCCAAATATGAAAGACACTACAAAAGAGAGAAATACATGGATCAACAATAGGAATGGGCTATCCAATACAGTGGATATGGTTGTTTTTAACAATGGATAGTCACTTGGAGCTACGTTAAATCCATTGAAATCAAAATTTTTGTTTTCAATATCAGTTTCTTGAGTCAGGTGGATCGGTAGCAATACTATTGCACAAAGAGCACTAATAACTATCATGGCAGAGATGAACTCCTTCTGGAAGAGTAAGTATACAGCTACATCTCTAGAATATCTATTCAAGAGGCGTTCCATATCCTCATGGTTGTGTCTTTTAGAGACAAATGAAAGCAGCACATCAACACTAAATTTCACAAATTCTACCAAAAACTTCCATTTTTCGCGACAAAAGTCAATCATGGCTGCCTGAAAGCGTTCCATTTTAGTTTGGTAAGGCTTAGCAAAGGATGATTTTCTTTGTGGTGATTTGGATGCAGCCTGTGATAATTTTTCAGCTTGACTCAAATGTTGTATGGAAATTCTGGGACTATCTTCAACAATTGGAGACGATGACCCAAGTAAGTTGTACTCTGAAAGGCTGACTGGTGTTGCAATAGTTGTGTTTGTTTGTTCAACATCCTCTTCTACTTCATCTGCGTCATTTTCCTCATTAAAATCAAGTAAGTTTGCAAATTTGGTATCCTGTTTTTCTCTATTAATAATCGAGGACGATTCTAATAAATCTTCATCCACTGTTGGATAAATATCGCCACCTTTATCTTTGTAATTGATATAATTATTTCGAGACCTGATATTTTCTTTCACAGTTTTTAAAAGCGTTTTCTTTTCTTTCAAATTGAAGAGAGGAAGAAAAGGTCGAAACAATATGAACAATACGAGAAAAACAACTCCAACACTCAAGTTTGTTACAATAGTAAAGGCAACTCCTCCTTGGGGCATATCCACCACAATGGTTCCATTATTGGCTCCATTTGGTTCATCGTTTTGATTATGTTGATCACTTTCCAATGTACTTAGATCCACATAATGCATATGTTTCATGGTTCGAAGTGATGATAATTTGGTATTGGTTTTCACTTTTCCTGATGATGAATATATTCGGAGCGGCCATGATTGTGTGAATGACTCAGATACTTTCGCATCCTGCCTTGTTGATCGGTCCATGAACAACGAACCCTGTACAAAATTCATTGGATATTGATCTACCCTAATGAAGTTTAATATTAATCCATATAAAATTATGATTATGGCCATTCCAAGTGCAAGCTTGTTCGGAAGAGAATGTCCATAATGATGAATGAAAAGCTTGTTCATTTTTTTTAATGTTGAGATATTTGTGTTTCAGGATCGGATCTACAAAAGGATTTTCAACAACAAGATTTCCCATCTCTTTCCAAGACAATAAGAGAACACTTGCCTCATCGATCTTGATGGTCGTTGGATGTGTTTTGGTTTTGTAACAAGGCTTAAATGTTCTCGTGATAGAGTTCCAACTTCCCCTTTTTCTTCTTTCATCAAAAACAATAGAACCCAACCACGACGTGGCACTCGAACGTTGAAACGCATCTCGATTCATTACATTTCCTTTCAAACCTTCTCTCTAATATTCACCACACACTGACCATCGAATCCATCATCATTCTCAGAGTTATTGAAAAATACAAATACCAAAAAAAAACTCTTTCGTCATACACCAGCAGCAGAAGCATCAAAAATCTCTCTCTCCGATTCCAACAACAACATCATTGTTTCTTGATCAAAGATGGGCGGTTCATCCTCTAAACATAACAATTCGTCTTCTACAACAACAACTACTACTACGACTAAAAACAATAATAACTACACAACAACAAATACCACAACCAACACGTATAATACATCCTCAAATTCATCATCATCGGTAAACAAAACAACACCTTCTTCTTCCAATGCTACCACATCAACAGTGAATAGTGGAGATGAGATGGAGAAATTATATGCGCAATATGCTGCATTAGATCCAAAAGATCCAAGTAATGAGGACGACGTTGATTATATCGGAACGGAAGGCATTCTCAAGATGGCTGAAGATATTGGTATTAATCCGGAGCAACGAATTCTGTTGATTATCTTGTACAAGATCGGAGCAACCGAACAATATAAAATCAAGCATAAAGAATTCATTGATGGATTCAAACGAAATGGTTGTTATTCGATGAAGGACATTAAAAGCAAAGCACCAACCTGGGAACAACCAATCACTAATAACAATGCAGAGTTTAAAAAGTTTTATATTTGGTGCTATCAATATTCAAAGGAACCATCAGCAAAGAGCATGTCAGCAGAGATGGCATCTGCAACATGGCGTTTAATTCTTAGTGACAGATACAAAAAGATTAACGAATGGTGTGATTATGTCGAGAACACGTACAAGAGAGCAATCCAAAAAGATTCTTGGGATTTATTTATTGACTTTGTCCATAACGTTGGTGATGATCTAACGAAATATGATGCTGGTGATGCATGGCCAGTGATTGTTGACGATTGGTGTACAATGCTATTGCAAAAGAAGAATGAACAATAGCGATAGGTCATGAGATGGCCAAAAGTGATGTACATATGCTCGTAATATATTACACAAACATTGAATTATATTGTAATTTGACAAATAATTATTTGATATCATTAGAACGTATCAGTGACCTATCAGCCAAATATTTCAACTATCAATACCAGAATAGTTGGGTGTATGTCTAATTCTAATGTTGGCAATGATGATGATCGTCTAGTGGTCTCATTTGCGTCAAAACCTTCAGGTTTCATTCTTGGCCACATTTAGTGAAATCGCTCAAGTGAATTGGTATTATTGTCTTGGCAAAGGGCTTGCTCCAAATCATACTTGTCACTACAGTGAATATTACTACTCGTAGAGAAGCAAATCTCTGGCATAAATAAGTACGCTATATTTGGTCAGAAATGGGCTTGTATGAATCTGTTCTACGTAACCAGGCTCTGAAAGATCCAAATCTTCCTTCTTGCTCATAATCACTCTCAGTTCTTTTGTTAACCATGTGCTAACATTGACCATTGGTAAACGGAGTGGAGCATCCACATCTTCACTTCTTTTAGCAGTCTTGGTAATTTGTTCTTCCATTCGTCCATATAACACAGCAAATGCACTATTGCAAGTCTCTCTGAACACATTAAAATATTCTGGTGATTCAATGAGATCTGACAACTCGTACAATAGCTTTAGAACCTTGTCATTTTCTTCTTTGGTGGACTTGTTAAGGGCTGAAGAATAGCTATTTTTGTTGTCTCCAGCATTAGTGTCAGATTGTTCAGCTTCAGGAATTTGAGACAGATCAGGCAGTAATAATTCTGCAATTTTTGGGCCTGCATTGTTTGTTGTGGAGGATGGAGGAAAGTCCAATTTTTGCTCTACATTTTTCCTGACATTTTCCACCAATTCCTTAAAATCGTTTATGGCGAAAAGATGCTTGAGTGACAAGTCAGAAATATGAGCCTTAACAACAGACTCCACCAATGATATCAATGTTGGGAGACCAACATTCTGGAAATGAGCAGCGTATCCTAAGAATCGATGTTGTGTTCTTCTGTCAGAGGAAAGCGATAAGTGATTCTTGAGTCTTTCATCTTCAATTCCTTCTTCAATTTTCTTGTTCTTGTAAGTGTGTTCCATATACAAGTGTCTTCCGATCATTGATATTTGTATTGACAAGATGGTATCCATCATGCACAGAGCATAGATAGAAGAAATAACTCTTGTGAATGATTCAAGCTTGATTTTCTCCCAAAGCTTCTTTTTTCGTTCCGTTGATAAATTCTTTTGTGTCTTTAATTCTTCTACCAAAGATTGCGTTGGATAGGCTTTCTCAATTTCTTCCAACAGCTTTTTTATGTGGAATATAATTATTTTCCGTTCATGATTTACATTTTCAAAATAATAATTTCCATTGTCCAGTTAATTACATCAATTTTACACGTATTATCATCATCACAGCCAATTTATCATCATCTAAAACTACTCACCTGTGGTATTACAGATAACAAGGCTACTTTGGCAGTATTATTATTCTCGGAAAATAAATATCTCATCTGTTGTTCTCTCTTAGCTTTCTCCTTCTCTTCATCCTTCTTCTTCCGATACCAATAATAGGCAATCCCTCCACCCACGCTCACCAAACCACCAATCACACCTGCCCATAATAATTTGGTCTTGTGTTTCCGATAGAAATTTGCAATCATTTTTTTGAACAGAGAAATCTGAGAGTGGTTGATACAAACATTCGTTCAAGCATGGTAAAGGATTGATCATGATTCATTCAGCCAACCATGTACGAGTTAAACAGTTACCGAAGCGTTAAACTTTCCTGTTTACAAAAAGAAAAATATTTTGAATTATTAAAAAAAACCACAAAAATAAAGCTCACGAAATAAACCCGAAGCGCCGTCTGGCATTTCAATATGCTTCAAATGATATGAACGATTGTATCATTTGAAGCATATTGAAGTGCCAAACATTTTCATGTTCATAGAATTTTATTAAATGTTGTAACATGATATCAAGTGCACTCTCAAGGTTTCTTTTCAATTTGCAATTTGAAAGTAAAAGCTGCAGCTTGAACTTGATCAAACATAAAACACTAAAAAAAACAACTTCATCATTGTTGTGGTTGATAATATTTGTGCACACTAGTGAATCTCTAACGATGAACTCGACACCATCAAGCTCCTCAGCCTCTCCTAGTTTTGATTATTATCTCATTTTGGATTTTGAAGCTACGTGTGATGACAAAATCAAAAATTTCCGAAATGAAATTATTGAATTTCCCACATTGGCCATCAATGCCCGAACATTGCAAACAGATTTTGAATTTCATTATTATGTAAAACCAAAAGAAAATAAGATTTTGACTCAATTTTGTAAAGAATTGACTGGAATTCAACAAGAATGGGTGGATGCTGGCGTGGAGTTTGAAACAGTCATGAAATTGCACAATGAATGGATGATGGAGAATTTCATTAACAAGAATTTGAAATTTGCGTTTGTAACCTGTGGTGATTGGGATCTCAAAGTAAGTTGTTTAATGATTCAAACAGATTGATATTTAATTTCATTCTTTAACTTTCACAGACCATGATCACCAAACAATGTCGAAAAGAACAAATCAAAGTTCCTTCCTACTTCTCTTCTTGGACTAATTTAAAAAAAGTATATTCGAAATTATTCAACAAATCCATTCATGGAATGACTTGCATGTTGCAAGATTTAAAGCTGGATCTAATTGGAAGACATCATTCAGGAATTGATGATTGTAGAAACATTGGTCGTGTTGTTGTTGAATTGTTAAAACAAGGAAAACCTGTGAACATCACATCCAAGATTGAAGATTTTGAAAATGAGTGGAAAAACAAAAAGAATAAAAAGTAAATAACTGTCCTAGCATGATGTATTCTCTGTTGTGAAATCAATAAAGGTATCATGACAAGATTCATGCAAGAGGAAATCCAAGTGATACGAAATTTCCAAACCAATGGAATGGAAGAAATTTCACACTCCAGTTGCCTCTCTTGACTTCAAGTGTGTCCTCATTATAAAATACAATGGATAGCATGTTCCCTTATTTTCTTTTGAACTTAGTTCAAAATATTGTATTCTCAAATCGCCAAGCAACACACCTTCATTGGGAAGGATGGTGTTTAAAAGTTTTTGAATGCTTTCATCTGGAACTTTTCGTGGTAAATCACTTTTAGCGCCAACAATGCATACTGTTTTGTGATGTGAAAGTAAATGTGAATTCAATTGTTGTGGTTGTTTTCTCAATACTTGCACAAAATGCTTGATATATTTCACACACTCCTCAAAACTTTGTTCGTCACTCAAATCAAAAAAGAACATGACAAAATTCATGAAAAGCATTTGTTGGAACATGGTTCTATCTGTAAACCCAACATCACACAATTTAAGTACTGTGGTTGAGCCACTTGATCTTCGAAAGGACACGCAACAGGTTTGAAATTTTACAGTAGGTTGATAGTTATTGTCATTAAGAGGCCACTCACTCCTCATAAACGATCGACAATAACTTGTTTTTCCAGAATGAGGAGGTCCTAGTAGCGCAATGGAAGCAAAATCACTGTTAAAGCTTTCTCTTCCGTACTCTAATTTCTTGAAGGACTGTTCAAATCTTCGACACCAATACTTTTTGAACAAGTAACTGGACAATTCACTGTCCGTGTCAGGCCCAATAAATAAATGATAATCACTATGATTTTTAAATTCATGAAGAAATTTCCAATTAAATCCTGATCGAGAACCAATCCAATAATATCTAAAATTTCTTGAAGTCCTGTTCAATATTCCGAGATCGTGTGCAGTTAAAAATTGTAAAATATAAATTATAATTTCTGATGGAAGTTCTTGTTCCAAAACGCTCAAATTCCTATCGGAGAGCTTGAAATGATCTTGTTGTTCAACCAATTCATCCATCTCTATGGATACATGATCATCATGTTGCTTCGTCATCTTATTGGATGGAGCTAGACATTGAATACTATCCTCCAACTGAAGAGGTACAATGAAAGGATCCATAATCACACTAAATTTCATCAACTTGCTTTCTCGTTTCATTTTTTTTTGGTGATTTAAGGCTTTTCACAATAAACATCATTAATAATGAATATCCAAATTTGACTTGTTCCGAATTCTCAATAATATCTTCCAAAGATTATTCAGACTCGAGAGAATGTTACAAGATTTAAAATATTAATATTTCGTTTTACAATAACATTCTACAGGATCCAAACATCTACAAATGGATTTTTAGGAAGATCCAAGCTCGTCCTTACTTGATTCCATAATTTCTGGCACATTTGTTGTTTAGCCCTCTCCTTCCTTTGATTCATATGAAATACTAAAAACAGGCCATGAAGTCCGTGTAATGAAACATCCGCATGGCCATCCAGTACCATCTCTGATAATTTTCCCAATAACCGCTTGGATTTGTTTTTCATACGATCATGTCGTTTCATAAAACGATCCATCGTTATATGAAATAAATTTACCTTCTCCGTCTTTGTATTGCTGAAGGATGATGATGATGTTGGAGGTTCCAGCAAATAGGGAGTCTTTGAAATCAGATAAATATTATTGTCCTCGCATTGACAAATCACTCCATCATAGTTTAAAGAGACACTGATTCGAGAAATAGATCCAGGTCCGAATTCAAAGACTGTTAAGCTTGTGCATGATTTCTTAGATGCTTCGGTATTGGAACTTGGAACCCATACATTTCCTTCATAGGTTAAGAGTGCGAAGATGGATTCATAGACGACAAAATCCTTAATGGACTCTCCATCGAGTTGATTGGAATCAATCCAATGAGGTTCTACTACCGTTCGGTTGTGTGTAGGGTCACTAAGAGCAAAATGTCCAAACGACAGCAAGGAACAATCAGAGAGGAGAAAATGAGAAGAACCATAGGCAGCATGGATTTTGATAATAGTTCTATCACTCGACGAGTGTTGTGTCATGATGTATTGATTCACAAAATTTGAATCGAGAGAAAAGACGGATCCAGGAAAGTTGTTGGAATTGCCATAAATGTGTTCAATAGTTTCTCCACACATGTATACTTGTTGAGTACGTTTGAGGGAATTCCATGAGACGAGAATGGAGTTACAACCCTAATGTTTTTTTTAAAATTTTCAAATAAGGTCATGTTAATGTGTGAAATTTCAAAAGGTCATTCAAACGAGTTGAGTACAACACTTACTCCAGCTGAAACGAGAGAAATCTGTTCATGTTCTGGCAAAAACGCTGATTGCTTTCCATTGTAATGAAACAAGACAATTTTTCGTGTTACTGAGCTTCCTGATGAGTCACCCACGCCACAACATCCAACATTATTCCATCCAGATGCCACTAATAATTCATATTGTAAATCGTTTTCTGTGGTAACAATGTGAAAGAATGAATAATTACAAATCGTGTACACATTTTTCAAATGCCAAAGTTGGTTGGAAACTTGTCGTAACAATTTCAAATCATTTTCAGGAATATGAGTACAATCGGAAAGGGGAATATTCAAATCAACCTTTTGAATAGTTGGAGATTTGGTCTTGGATTGAAAAGTGCATCCACATTGTGAATAGTCGTTGTCTAATAGTTGTCGACGAAAACAATAGGATCATGTGTTAAATGAAAATGAATGAATTTGCATGAAATCCATTCGTTTCGATCAACGCATTGTAATTTCCATGTCAATCATTTGAAGAAATTTGAATAGTTGAACAACTCTTGTCACGGTTCATTAATGACATACCTCCACAAGCAAACAATGCATGTTGAACCGTAATCAACGTCTTTGAATCATCCAATCGATTGCTTTCTTGACATGATGCACCAGGAATTGATGACTTTTCATCCATCCAAATAAATAAATGTCTACTTCCACATAACACTTTCCGAATGGACTGATACGATTTAAATTCAGAATTTTTATCACTCGATAGAAATTCATTCCGACTGCTCGAACAATCCAAAATAAATGCAGGACATGATTCCAAAAATTCACGACCACTACTACTACTACTATTTGTCATGTTGCTTGTTTTCCTTTCCTGATCCACATCGTCAAAATCAACAAAATTTGGAAGTTCTTGATCATTATCGGAAGACTCAGACATTGTAATTTTAAAACTATTTTGTTGAGAAGTGTCTAGTGGTTGTTGATTCCAAACTTTGGTCCGTGTTATGTTTTTAAAACGTGTCTGATGATGTTGTCGAGAAGAGTGTTTGGATCCCATGAACGTTGATGGAAATTTTTAATGTAAAAATTAAAAACATTTCAAACATCCCTTCGCTGAACTTGGAACTGAGATATTCAGTAATTATGGTTATCCTTGATCTACAAACCCATCATGAGAGTCATTAAGGGAAGAAGAAGAAGAAGAACCTGTTCATGCACAAAAAAATGATCCAACTTGTATCCGATACAATAATTATTGGCAAACAAATAGATCTATTTAGAACATGATGATCATTGTCGTGATAAAAAACAAGTCTTCTTAATCATCCCAAGCCTCTCTTCAAAAGAATAATAATATGAAAAAACCAGTAGTACTAGAAATTGAGTCTAGTCATGATGATACTTCCTTTCCGATCATGGCTATTGGAGATTCTCTTACGAGAGGATTTTATAACAATGGAATGAATTATCATCCCTATTCTGTAGAATTACAGCGATTGCTCAATGAACCTATTGGTACTAATCAGGATCATAGCTCCATAATTATAATTGAAAATAATATACCAAAAGACGTACCGTTGAGAACATCCTACAACGTTTATCAATTCGGAGTGAATGGAGAACAAACACCTGAAATGAAAGATCGTTTGCCAAGATTTCTAAAGAAACAACTTTCACAGAAGGATGTTCAATATCATCGTCCTGATGAAACTTTTGATAACATGTATCCAAATGAAGTTCCATTGATTCCACTCCAGGATTATAGAGGTGTCATTATTATTGGAGGAACTAATGATTTTGTCTTTTCACAGAGCTCAAGTGAGCAAGTGTTCAAAAATTTGCTTGACATGTATCAAATATGCTTGAATGAAAAGAGTGTTGAATTTGTGGTTGCATGCTCAACTCCATCCTGTTATGCTGACAATATCGAACAATTTAGAGATGTTTTTTATAAGAAAAAGCTGAAACTGAATGAAAGTATTTTAAAGTTTGTGGAAGAATACAATCAAAAACAAATTCCAGGAAAGAAAATGGTGTTTGTTGATTTAATGAATGAGATTAATTGGTTTAAATGTACTCCCGAGGAGAGAAAAGAGTATTGGGCTTCTGACAATTTACATTTCTCACCCAAAGGCTCTGACAAATTGGCACAAATTCTTTTCAATGCCTTAAAGAAGGCCCTTATGTAAGAAATTTCAATAACAGAGCGAGTATTCCATCAATGTAATGCAATCTCGATGATAATATCACTGTTTGCGACATTCACAGATTTCATTTTCAGGATGCAGTTGTGTTACAAAAAAATGCCTTTCAACAAGAAATCAAAGAAACATGTTCTGCGCAAAACATGCGTTGCATCAGTGCATCCAGAAGCAAATATTCGCCTCAAAGAAGAACCAGATCAAGTGTATGGAATCGTTGTGAATGTTATCAAGCCAAGAAGTGTGATGGAATGCCAATATGATATCGATTATGGAACTTCAAAAACTTTGAAATGTGTGTTTAGAGGCCATGTTCGCAAACCAATCTATTTTCAAGTTGGAGAGGTATTGTTGTTGCATTTGAGAGATGGTGTTGAATCAAATACAGCCGATGTTTTACATCGATACAAAGAAGAGGAAATTGAGGTTTTGAAACAAATGAAACAATTACCCCTGCTACAAGGTTATGCGTTGAATTTTCATCGTACCATGCTCGCTCAACTGGAGAGACAAGAATTTTCAAAATTTATTGATTTAACTTTCTTATTTACAAGTGATGACGAAATTAGTGGTATAATAATAACACACATTTAACAAGAATAGATTTAAAATTACTTGCTATCTTCGACAATAGCCCTAACAGCCTCCGAAGATAATGAATCATCGTGAATGGCCAAAAATTCTTCTAATGGCATGGCATTGGATTTGAGATATTCCACAGCTCCTTCTTTTGCTTGACATTCTCTGCTCCTCCGTCAATCGAGTTCACATAATAGGAATGAGTTCCAGAGCATTTTGATGGTTCACTCGAGAGTGTGGTTGATCCGCACACTTTTCCATCAATAATACAGAAATTACCTGCAACTGCTTCCTTCACTTGTTCCAAATGATCTAAAAATGTCACCAATACGTCAATGCCACAATCTCTATGATATTTCAATCCAGCAATAATGGTGCTTTTTGTCACTCCATTTTCATTCAAAGTCCCGGCAGAAAATTCACCATTTTGACCAAATAAACCCTTATAAAATACAAATATACTTTGAAGAACAATATTAGAGTTTCGTTCTCGCAATCTCTTGTTCATATCAGCAATTTCCAATACAGTCTCATGTGTGAAATATGGTGATTGAGTAGCTCTATTGTTTGCTCTCCATGCATGAATGGGAATAACACCAACATAACTTCGCTCTACATATTCCTGAATGTCATGCAATCGAAGTCTCATGGTATCATAGAAATTTGCATGGACGACAATTTCACCCTTTGAGAAAAATGTAGTAATTTGATTTTCATAATGCATGCTAATGGAATGGAACTTTTGCAATAATAAACACTTTCCGCAATGGCGAGCATGCTAATAGAGACGTTATCCAAAAATATTAAAAAGCGTTGCATAATAATCATAATTGAAAAGAAATTAAATTGTTAATTTCTTACAACACACACAAAACATACCTTATCCTTTGGGGTATTGATCATTTCGAGGAACTTTTTCTTGAACCCTTGCAATAATGGATCCAAACAAATTTGTAAAGTTTCAATATTCTCATGAATGTCAAATGATAAGAGAGGATCAGTCAAGCTCATGTTTTTGTCTTGCTCTGAACTTGGAGCAGTCACTTGTGCTGATGTATGATCCAAGTTGCATCCACTCTGACATTGAATGGGTTCCACATCAGTTTGAATATCTTCAACAACCTCATTTGGATACTTCTCTGCGAAGTAAGTACTGAATGGAATCGATCGATTGTATACATACACCCACTTTGAGTAATACAAATCAGCAACCGACTTTCTATTGAAAATAATGACAGATTTTGGATAATCATCCTCGAAAGAGAGGTAGTGAGCAAGTCTCGAATCCAGGATTGAAAAATTATGTGGAATTTCCTTTCGGTCGTCTAAATCCTTATGTTGAACGACTCGAACCTCAATGCCGCAATTGTGGTGATATTTCATGAGTTTGATGTATTGCTTTTCATCATTTTCACTCATATTTGGGAGACCAACCACGAAAATTCTTTTCACAACAGCACTTGGATTTGAATCTAACAGCTTCTTATTGGCATCTGCCAAATGATACGGGTTATGAAGAATCCAATCGTCAGCCCATCGATAGAGAGCCAAATAACTGTAACGAACCGTCTTAATAATTTCAGTAAGGTTCAATTTTTGGCTTGCATAAATATCAGATCGTAGCTGAATCTTTTCTTCCTTGATTAATGTTTCAAATGTTTGCAAGTAGTAATTGGAGATTTGGAAAAATTTAAGTTTGAGCAAAGACATCAAAGATTCATGCTTTCCCATGTCTCCCAAATTCATATTTTGGATATAATCTTCATAGAGAGAAAGTAGGGAAACAATTCTTTCGAGTTCTGAATTGTAGCTATGCTTTTCATAACTTTTAGGAATAAATAAAAAGTTTCCTCCTCCTAGCTCAATGTCACCAAAGCGAGGAACTTGTACTCCATTGGTTTCCTTATGTACACGAAGTTGGAGCTGTTTTCCAAGATCACTGGTGGTGTAGAAAGGAGTGAGAGTTAGGTGGCCACTCTTGATACCATCATTACCCCATTTCATGGTGGTTAACAGGTTGACCAGTTCCTTACTGAAAATTCCTGGCCTCATACCAGTTTGTCTTTGAGAAGCACAAATCATTTGAACTGCCTTGTTGGTGGCATAGTACTTCATGTCTTTGGAAGGATGACCATCATTGACTACCTTCATCATAATTCCATTGTAGAAGGTATCCAAAACAAACAAAATGTGCTTTGCGCTGAGTCTATGGTGGAAATTCACAAATGATTGTTGAGAAATGGCTGTATTAATCAAATTGTCAGGATCAGTGTCATAAAGAGCCAAATAATTTTCAGTGTAACCATTAATATATTGCTTTGAAATAGATACTCCTGTAAAATAGATCAAGATTGCGTCATCATTTTGTAGACTGTCACTTTCAGCTAGAGAAACAAATAATTGATTGACTTTTGCCCAAGTGGCCTCCTCATTGAGAAGTAATCGAACTTCAAAGCCATAAATCTTGGTCAAAATATTGGCCAAGTTCATGGCATCGTGTACAGATGATGCAGACGACTCATGAAGAAGTCCATTGTGGTGATACTTGTCAATGGCAATAACAATTGCCCATTCACGTCTGTACGGTGTAAGCACTTCCTTTCTCTTCTTTTTCTTCTTCTCCTTTGGCATCGTCGATGATGACGGAGCACAGTTACTCACTATTGCTGGATTGAATGCATTTGAATTGGTTGTGTTATTGACGCTGCTGACCTCAACCGAGTCACAGCAAGCGTCGAATTTTCTCTTTTTTTCATTTACATCCACTAAAATGTTCGAAGTAGCATTTTCATCTAAAAATTCAAATTTCAGATCATTTGGATTGGAAACGGTAAAATTATTTGTTCTAATCTCAATGGGAACGATGCCTTTCATTTGCGTTTTTGGAGCAACAATGAAAATTGCATTTTGATTAATTTGTCTAATTTCTGCCTCTTGATCTCCCAGAAAAACTTTCACCTCTTGAAGATCAGTAATTAATCTACTATCAAAGGTACATTGAATGAATATGAAATATCCACCAGCATTGGAGCCAGATTTTGGAGAGACAACAAAGCTGCCGTTTGAAGCAACAGCAATCGTGGACGGCCGTTCTGCGCTTGAAGAAACAGATGAGCCCAGAGAAGCTGTGGAAGCAGACCTTGAAAGTGAGGACTTTTCTGGATGGCTTGAAGTAACTGGAAGTTGTGGAGAAGAAGGAGACTGTTCATCATTAGAGGCTCCATCCATTTCTTCGTCTTCTTTTCCAGTCTCATCCTCTGTAGATTTAGATGATTTTTTCTTTGACTTGGTATTCTTACCACAATTAATGGCAAATAACTTGGTAGAATCAACATAGTAAACAAGCCAATTGTCATAACAAAGTTTGTATCTGAGCTGACAATTTTTCTTATTGTTGGAAACGACACCAGCTTTGATTGGAGCATATTGGATTACGGTAGTAGCTGTCATGCATAAATACAAATCACACATAAAATAGTAAGAAACAATGTTCACAACAAATTCATAAAATGGACATACCTGGATTTTCTGGATTACTGAATACTGAGAAACCTTCTCTTAAATTCTCATTCTTTTTCTTTTTTGCTTTATCTCTAGTAAGACCCTTATCTTGCTCTTGATTGCTCATAAGGAGTGACACATCTGCTCGCCACAGATCATCACTAAAGGCAATTTCATTACGTTGAATTTTAGAGCTCAAATCTTCCAAATTGACGATTAAGCTTAACTTTTCGCTGACTTGACAAAACGCTGCTCCTTCTTTTTCCAATAGTGGGTTTCTTTGCCTCATCATGTTAATAATTGTACTCACTAGCATTCTGAATCGATCAAGAGAAACTTCGATGGAAACATTGAGAGGTGTCTTCTTTCGATTTGACACTGATTTTCCTCCAATAATTGTATCAGGTATGGTGTCATCCATGACTTTTAGAATGGGAATGAGTTGCATCAAACAGTTCGACCAAACTTGAACGCTCGTAATTCCTCCATTCACAATAACTTGCTGCACAGAATGAATTCCTTTATCTAGTGTCGAAAAGAATTGCATCGAAGGAGAAGATGCGGATGAAGTGGTTGACGTAGATGAACTTGAACTTTTTTGTTGTGCCGTGTTGGACGAAGCGGATGGATTGTTACTAGAGTTTGGCTTTGACGAGCTTTGCTTTGTGCCATTGAATGAAGGTACAAGAGTGTCGAAAGCATTCAACGAGCTGCTTACTTTGGGCTGTGGTGGTGAAGTTAGGGTTAAATTGGTCAGTTGATTAAAACTGGATGTTCTTGGCATTCCCACATTTTGCGCATTGGTTTGAGATGGCACTCCTTGTTGTTGCTGAATGGAAACATTTGGCCTGGCAGAGACCTGTTGTCCCATGCTATTTAGATAAGTTTGCAACAATTTGTTATGTTGCATGACAGTATTATGTGCATTTTGCAACAATTGATGTGTGGTGCTTGCTTGTGAATTGTTGGTTGGTGGACCACCAAATGGTGTGCTTGCTTGGGATGCATTCTGTGGAGATGCTTGATAGAGAGAGGTGTTATCAAAGAACAAGCCTGCACCAGCATCACCTCCAGCAGTCACGATATGATGATTCGAGTTCATACCACTCGGAGTATTTGTGTGGTTGTTGTTGATCACGCCGGAGTGAGAGGAGGTGGTGGCATCCTCGACTTCATCTTCATTCAGAAATTCTTCCACGTTCAAATCAAATTGATTCTCAATGGATTGCAAAGCATTCAATGCTTGATTGTATTGATTCAACTCGTCCATGCTGGTATTCAATGTAGAGGATGCTGCTGTTGCTGGAAATGCAAAAAGTCTACCAGTTGCCAATGATGATGACTGTGCCGATGATGAAGATCCCCGATGATGGTGCAAGGCATGTTGTTGTTGTTGCACAAGAGGGTTGAGAAAGGATGGCTGCTGAGGAGTGGAGGAGGATGAAGCCGAGTTGTGGTTCATCCTTTATGTCGAGTCAATGGATGTTGAGATCCAGGTCTGTGTTGTTGTTGTTATTCAGCAATAAGTGTGGAGGAGTGGTCCGTTTTTCCAATTACAAATAAAAAAGTGGCGAGCTCGGAGAGTGTACTTTAGAAAAAATAGATCTCTTTGTTGATCAAGTGCAATCCGTTGTTGATGTGGTTGGAGAGAGGAATGGAAGACGAATTGATTCTCACACAACAAGAAGAAGAGAAAGGCTCTGTTTTTTTGCTTGGGTGGTTACGTAAGCGAACCGAGCGGATGGAATTTTTTTCGGGATTTTCCAATCTGCAAAAATTCCATGGAAAATGGGTTAGCCTTGGAAACTTGGTAGACTGGTTGTGTTGATGAAAATGGAGGTTTCTTCTTTTTTGTCCCGTCTAATGAAGGATTGGATAAGAAGGATAGAAAAGAGACCATTGTGGTATCCATCTCACATCAATATAAATACAACTTTAATGTTGATCATTGGTGAGAAGTAGTTGTGACAAATATTTTAATTGTTTACAGTGTTTAATTTTCAATTTGTACCTCCTTTGATGGGTAGAAGCGACGTCTTACCATGTTATTCACACCTAGAATTCAAAACTCAAATAGCTCAAACTTCCAAAGTCATAGAACCTCTCCAGAACATCTCCTTTCTTGGTTTCATCTGCCATTCCCATTGCCACAAATAAGGGTACAAAATGTTCACTTCGTGGTACGGCTTGCTTGGCATATGGTGCCAATTTATCATATTTAAACAATGACTCTGTATTCCACTTGGCAATATTGTCTATCAAGAATTGATCAAAGTCCATTGCCCATTGTTCTGGTGTGTTCTTTCCCCAGCTTAATCGTCCTAGATTGTGCACAGTAGCTCCAGATCCAATCACCAACACCTCTTCATAGGCTAACGGAGCCAAGGCTTTTCCAATCTTGTAATGATGCTCGACAGAACTTCTCTCATCAATGGAACATTGAACCACAGGAATGTTTGCTTGTGGGAATAACGCTTTCAGAAGGACCCAAGTGCCGTGATCCAGTCCTCTTTTCAGTTCTCGACGTGTGGGAATGGACTGCTGTTGAAGCAATTGCTCAATACGAGCAGCCACTTGTGGAGCACCCTTAGCAGGATATTCAATCTCGTACCTTCATGCACACGCGTGTGTCATACATTTACGACAACAGTTGAAAAAGCATGTCCAAGTAGTAGTGTGTCGTTAGATGAATGAATTTGAACTTGTGCATGACACTTACATTTCTCTAGGAAATCCATAAAAATCATGAATGGTTTCATACGTCGAGGAGGAATCATGGAAAGTGATAGACACATGTGGATGAGCTTCCCAGTGTGCTGTAAACACCACTACAGCTTTGGGTGGTTTGTTTTTAAATTGGGAAGCCACTTTGTTGGAGAGTAATTGATTCATGGCATGATGAGGCTCAATACATAACGTTGGAGAACCATGACCAATAAACATGGCACGAATTCGTTCTCCTTGTGGTTGTGATGGTACAGAAGAGGATGATGATTGTTGGGTAGTGGTCATGGTATAATCGTTCGTAAGATAGGTATTTGTATCAATTCCGATGACGGATCGTTTGTGTTGGTGCGGTTGATGATTTCGAAATCGGGGCGTGGCTACTGAAGACGATGACAAAATGCTCACAAATACTATTATGGAGAGTAATGTATCAAGAAGAAGAAGTTTAGATGAGGATGGAATTCGAATACTGAGTCCTGGGAGGAAAGATGTTTGTTTTTTCATTGAAAGAGATGCACGAAGGAACAGTTCGGGTTATGCTTTTTAACAGAGCAAATTGGCGTGCGCACTTTGGAGACGGAATGATGGTGCAAATAAGGAAAACCTTATGGACAGCATGTATTTTCTATGAAACTACATTCGTGCACGAGAAAGAGTTCAAATTGTTGCAGATTCCAAACAATTGTCAAATGATCCAAGTTATTGCTAGGAGTTCTCAGTTTTAGCGAAATAGTCCAACCTGAATTGTTCAAAAGTTTTCTCGATCCATGGTCAATGATTCATGTTGACTACAGCCAATGCTCTCACATTGAAATTCAACGTGTAAGAGCAACTCAAATCATACCATAACTATGTGGTTCGAATGTTTGATATCTTCCCAAGTTTTTTTAACCTTACTGTTTTCCATCTCCACAACAACCGAGGTTGAAGAAATTTTTTTGAATCGAAATTCACAAAAAATTTGAACAAAAATGCCTTCACAATCATCATCGTCTTCCAAGAAGGAGTCTGGAGCAGTGATGCCTTCACAATCATCATCCACAACAACAACCACAGTGAATAAAAGAGCTGCTTTGAAGGATCGTCTCTTCCAACACATTGAAAAATTCTTCCATCTTCATCCACATCAAATTGATTCAAAACTCATTACCGAACTTTCTCAACTTTTACGCTCCGAGAATGTAGGAAAGGAAGACGTACTCCACTTTTTCCTTTCCTTGTTTGAATTGTGTATGAGAGAAGAGTCTATTCAGAAAACAACAAGCCTCGTTGTTGGACTGAAGAAAAAATCGGAACACGGTATTTTGAGTGTTCTTGATTCAACTCTCATATCCACTCTCTGTACAACCTTGTTAGCGAGTGTGGTTACATCATACGTTCAACAAGAAATTAATTTATTCTCACCTGAAGAGTTATATAAATTATTGAAACAAAAGCAGCAGCAATCAAGTAGTGATGTCTTTGAGCAACAAGTAAAAGTAAGGCTTGTTTTCATTACCGGATGCTTTCTGAGCGGTGCTGTGTTTTGCTGCCATCAACAACAAGGAAAGAAGGACCATAAATCAAGACCATTCCATCTCCGACTGATTGAGGATGTTCAACAAGATTATCGACGATTGTTGAAGAAGCTGAAGGCAGTATCGGAAAAGAAGGAACGACACGAAAATGAACAACAAATGAATACTAGCGAATCGCAGAGTACTGAAGAAGAAGCACAACAACACCAATTAGCAATTTTGAACGTTTTACTTGTTGAGGCATTTGGTGTGATTCTTAGTTGCATGAAACAACAATCCCAGAAAAAGAACTCTGTCGTTTCGAAAAAAGACTTGGAAACATTTGCGTTTGAATTGGAAACAAGCTTCTTGCCAGAAATTGTGGACAATACACCATCATTGAACGATGACGAAACCAATGGCAATGACGCTTCTGAACGAAAGAAGAAAACACTCAAGGATAGAACCGTGGTCATGGATGGAGCGTTTATTAGGAATATGCTTCAGAGTACATATACTGAGCTTTCACAGTACATGCTTCATCATTATATTCAACAATATTGCCCAACTGCTATCAATGAACGTAACATGATCATGACAGGAGGTAATTCAGCCAACTCTGAGAATGAAGCTATGAATGAAAATTCTATCCTCATGACTCGATCGTTTGTAATTGCTCTTTGCAATTATATGGCTGATTTCCGTCACTTACCTGTGCAATGTGTCATGACACAATTCCTCACAAATCTCATCGTACCCACTCTTGCCTTTGGAATGAAAAAGAAGAAAAAACAAGCAATTGACACCAGTATGGAAAGCGATCGATTTTTACTTGCAAAGGAACTCTTGGAAAGCTTCTTTACCCAATTATTCACACAAATGCAAGTACCTCCATCTCCTCTGCAACAACCAAAGAGCGGTAGCGCCAACGACATTATTGCCCAATTATCAACCCGAAAAGGGTATTGGTGGGAGGTTCAGGTATTCCAAGACGTTGTCGAATGTTTGAATAACGCCGATAAGAATGTGATGAACTATATTCTCGACGAAATTTTACCATTGGGAGAAATGGAAAACTCTGTGAATCCTTTCTTGTTAATGTGGGGTGCCTGTTTGAACGAATGCAAACAATTCTTGAAGAATGTCCCATCATTGACACCAGCTAGCCCAACAGGAAACAACACATTACTTAACTCTTTACTGATGCTTGTCGTCAAAAAACAAGAACAAAAGAAGCGTAAGCGAGCTGAATCAGGCGAGGAAAACATAAATCTAGAGACAGAATCGATCAAGAATGAACTCAAGATGAAGCAAGTTCGTGAAACTTTTTTCAATTACCAGCTATGGTTAGGATCTTGTTTGCGACCAAGAATTTTAAGTCTTACCTCTGCAAATCCTTCTCTCTCTAAATTCCTTCTCTCTAGGGAATCCGTTTTGTGCAAGGTTTCCAATACTTTAGGTAGATACACTACTGACAATGGCAAACTTTCATCATTTACAATGGAAGCAGATAAAAAGAAGAAGCGAAATATGGAAGATGATGAGGACGAGTTCACTTCTTCAAGCCGTAAAACATCCAGATCTTTGATTAGAACGTTATCTTCATGGCTAAGAGATGCTATCAAGCTCAGAGTAGGCACAATTACTCGTTCTATTTTAATGATTTTAGAGCAATACGATGAGCAAATGGAACGATTTATTGCAAAGAAAAACCAGATGGATTTAGTGCAGGACTCTCTCGCTCAAGAAGAAGAAAAGGAAGAAGAATGGCTCAATGAGGAAGCTTTGCAATTTTTGCTTTCTTGTTTCCCCACCAATGTTAGAGTTTATGACAAGAGCGAAGACTCATTTACGGCAGATGATCTTGTTGTATTGTTGAAGAAACTATTCGAAGTTGGTGCAATGATGAATTATGAAAATGATAAGCTTCTTTCATCTAAGAAAAAAGATGGTTTGGCAGAAAGGGACATTTTAATTAGACAAAAATCATATTATGGAAAGGATATCATTGACATGTCCAGTAATCTTGTGAAGGTGATCCTTAATAACTTGGCTGTCCAAGAATTCAATTGGATGAGACACCAATTCCATCCCTCAAGCAAGGAGAGCAACAATGAAAAGGCTCAACTCACAGGATCAAAGTCTTGGAGTGGAGAAATTTATGATTATGCTGTCACACTTTTTGGATTAGAAAGAGAAAAGAAGAGCAAGCAAGAGACACGAAAGAGAATTTTTGACACAGCTGATAACAATGTCACACTTTCCAAGATTCGAAACCTACTCTCCAAAATTCAGAAGGAATTGGAAAAAATCAGTATTGGAAGCTCTTCAAAAACCTGTATGGATTGGACAATACTTTCTGCATTGGCCATTTATTTGAAACAATTGGTTATTTCTAGCATGTTCGATCCGTGGGTTATTGAGTCAGAAGAGCAAGGTAAACCAATGGTTGAAGACTTGCTGAGAGTATATGAATCTCTTTCCTCACTTTCTTCAGAAGAGCTGGTCGCATTATGTCAGAAAAAGGGTGAGGACTCCATGCAAGATGAAGACACTACCCAACCAACAGAAGTTCTCACAGATTTATTGGTCGTCAACATTAATGCTGAACCAAACTTGACCCTTGCATCACGAATTGTTTTCATGACCCTTGCCAAATATTTGAACGAAGAATGCTTGGACTTACTCTTCAATTACTTGATGAATGACGGAGAAGTCGATGAAATTGATGAAGAAGATGAGAGCGACGAAGAAGAAGATGAAGAAAGTGACGACGAAGAAGAAGAAAAGGCTGATGAAAACAATGAAGAAGAACAAACACAAAATGGAGAAAATTCCACATCACAAGATGCTGAAGGTACTGCTATCATTAGAAATGATGAAGACGATGAAGAAGGAGGCATTGATCTTAACAATCCATCAGATGTCTCACGTGTTCTTGAGCTATTGAAAGCACGTAATGAAGCAAAACGAAGAAAATCAGAAGAGAAGCAACAAAAACTAAAGAGAATGGAATTTGCTATGAACATTGTTCAAGTACTGGAAGGACTTTGCATTAAGAGCGTTCCACAACCAGTATTGGTTCTTCTCTTATTCAAAGGAACTCAATACGTGTTAGATAAGTTGTGGTATCAAAATAATGAAGATGTTGTTGACCATCTCAAGAAGGCTACAGGATATGCTGTCAACACCATTTTCAACAAGGTTTTCCAACTTGTAATGATTCTCACAAAGGAATATCGTCAACAATTACTTTCGGATGCTTCCACTAGCCCATGTGCCATTGTTTTCGACAAGGACGCCAAAGAAGCATTATTCGAAACCGCAAGAATTTACGCTATTGAATTCTCTAAATACGGCAAGTACTTGTCATCGATTCAAGGAAAAGCAAAGCGAGCTGTTCTTGCCAAGAGTTTAGCTCCTACTTTGAACATGGAACAATGTGCCCATATGCTAAGTATTTATATCAGGTTAATGTATCTTCTTAGAACAGGATCCAACAAAGTTATGGAATCTACTGAATTGGATGCTGATATCGAAAAGATTTTATTTGGCTCTGAAAAATCCATGACTGATGAGGAAGATAATCTAGGAACATCCATGGAGTTGCTCATTTCTCTTGCTCAATCGGACGCCTCTATTGCTTGCGCTCTCAGTAGCAAGATTATCACTTTTGCTCTTGAAAAGATCATTTACTCAGGTGACAAAAAGTATCGAAACAAAAAATCAGGGTTAATTCTCGCTCAGCCACATCAACGAGAAATGTATGACCGAATTTTAGTGCATTTAGTGAAACCTTATCTTGCCACTTTGCTTGACAACAAATCATCTCAAGCCAACACAGTTTTACTCATGATCTTGGATGCTTATGTGAAAGACATTTGTCCAGCAATGAAAGTGAACAGAACTGTCAAGCCTAAGGCTCTCAAAAAGTGTGCCAGTGTTTTACTGAGCGTGTTGGAATATCTTTCTAACCACTCGACCAAACAAGACGATTTCACAGATGCTCAAATGAAAGAGCTCATTATTTGCTTCTACTTTGTATTTTACCACGCAGAAAAGAAGGAAAAGAAATCTGAGGAGAAATCTGTTTGGAGTCAAGCCCTTCCATTGTTTGAAGCATGGAGAAAGAGGTGGAATCTTTTGAGCGATGTTGAATTCATCCAACAAAACTTAATTGAATCGACACAAGATTTGGATAAAACAGCTATTGAACTTTTGAAACAACGAAGAGAGACATTCAAGAATGAAAGAAAAGAACGAGTCAAGCAAGAACTTTTAAAACAACAACAAGAGGAAGACAATAAGAAGAAACGAAAGAGAAATGAAAAAGCATTTTCTTCCACTTCTGGTGAGTCTAAGCAAGACGAAGCTGTGACGGAAACAAAGACCAACAAGAAAGAAAAAGTGGTACCTGAACAAAAAGAAAGCAGTCACGAAAGTTCAACCAAGAAACGAAAGACCACACCAACAGCGTTTGCTTTCAATTCTGATGAAGCTCCAGCCGAAACAATAGAAGAAATGAAAAAGAAGAGTGGTGTCATTCCACCAACATCCAAGAATGCAAACACTATGCAGACTTCAAAGAAACCACAAAAATCAGAAAAGACAGCATCCTTCATGAAAGAAACTGCCTCGAGTGCTGCAAAAAAAGCTGCCATCGCTGAAAGCAAGAAACCACAACCTTCATCAAAGAAAATCAAGAAATAAACTAATGACAATAATTTCTAAAGCATCTTTAGCTTGGGATCTTTATTGAGAGAGTACTTGCACTAGTTCTGACAATAATTCCGCTCTCTTCACAGGCTTCAGCAAGACTTTGTTTGCTCCAATATTAAGTAAGGCATTCACTTCTTCAGTCAGTGAATTCCCTGTTAAGGCTACAATAGGTGTTGTTAATTTCTTCTCGCTCCTCAGTTTCTTGATTGCTTCATTTCCTGACATTATTGGCATAATAACATCCATAATAATAAAATCGAATTCGTACATGTCACACATTTGAACAGCTTCTTGCCCATTTTCTGCCTCTTTGCAATTACCACAAAATTCTTTCAACATGTTTCTCAAGAGCTTTCGAATAATGTCGCTGTCATCCACTATTAAGCATCGTTTGCCTTTCAAAACTGTTTCAGGAGTATGTATTAGAGCTTTCGATATTTTCTCACCAATCGTCGTCGACGAGTCTGGCAATGAGGTTCCATCATGTTCATTGTTCTTCCCATCATTTGCGCATTCCTGTCCTCCAGAGGTTGAAAGGTCCTCCAGAGGTTGTATTAACTGTTTCTTAAATGGAACCTCGACGGTGAAAGTTGAGCCCTTATTCTTTTCAGAGTCAACACTAATAGAGCATCCAAGGATATCACATAACAGTTTGGAGAGTGCTAATCCAATTCCGCTTCCTGTGGCTTCAAATTGTTTGCGATGCAATCGTTTATAGAGTCTAAACATGGAAGGAATTTCAGATTTGTCAATACCAAGACCAGTATCCTTAATTTGAAAAATGACTCTTGGGCTATTATTTTCCTCAGTATATGATACTTTTAGCTCCACGCTTCCCTTTTTAGTGTATTTACATGAGTTAGTCAAAATATTAACAAGAATCTGTTGTAACTTGGTGGAATCTGTATAGAGCATGAGTGGGACATTGTCGTCAATAGAAGATTTAATTTCAAGATTTTTCTCTTGATAGATTTGCAACATTTGCATCACTTGCATTACCTTATCTCTAATGTCAAACGTTGTTTCGAATATTTTCATATGCCCGCTTTCCAACTGTTGTCAAATGAGTTAACAAAATTTAAAATAGGTAAAAAAAATGTTTACAAACCTTTGTCAAATCAATCATGTCATTGATAATCAACGAAATAAATTCTGAAGCTCCAAACAGACTCTTCACAATATAATTTCTCTCATCGCTTATGAATACATCTTTGTTTAGCATATCAACGAGGCATTGGACACCAGAAACAATTACTTGAATGGGATTTCGTAGCTCATGACTAAGGAAAGCAATAAATTTCATCTTTTCCTTCATATCTTCCTTTGTGGTTTCATCTGTTACTGTTACAGCATAAAATGTTTCATTTCCGAAAAAGAATGAACTGGCGGAGACAAGAACAGGTATCATCCTGCAAAAATCTTGGGGCTCATATTTGAAAGAGCTGGTAGGAGTGGTGAAGTGTGTGTCGATGGGACTTATAGGGTTGTTTGAAACAATATCCACCACAGGTGTTGACTCTTGAAAATCAGAAGATCGCATTATCAAGTTGTTATTTCTACATTTTGCGAGAGCTTTTCTTCGAACCCAGTTTTGGCTTGACGAATTACAAATTTCAGACCAAACTAGTCGTTGTGTGTAATTATCGGGTATTAACTCTGTGATATGTAAATCTCCATTGAATTTCAAAGGTGAACTGTTTTGTAAAATTCCAAAGAATTTTTTAGCACTTGGATTCATTGTCGTGACATGTAAGTCACTATCCAAAATTAATATACCATCACGAACAGCCTTAAATACTGCTAAAGAAACCTCAGCTGAGTTCAATAATTCATTTTCCATTTCATCAAAGAGAGGAGAGGTATCAATGGATCCTCCAGATAAAACGCTTGACGTCCCGCTGGAGGGACTAGATGTTCGTAAGGTAGGATTTTCTAACGCCAAAAGCTTGTTAGGATCTGGTGGCAATGTAAGCTCGTTTCCAGTCACCTTTGCTTCATTTCTATCACAATTATCACAGTTTGACGTTGTCGTTGTTGATGAGTTGCTGCTAATTAAGACTGCGCTTTTGCTCTTCCCAAGCATGTAAACACGTTGTGAAATTGGTGGTGGCGACTGTGGACTTGTAATTCCGCTCGAGCTAGAAGCTCTTCTAAGTGATGAAGGGTTTGTTTCTTTTTTGTGGGATGATTGCTTGCTTGTGGGAGGATGACGAGGAGTTATTTTGAGAGTGTCTTTAGCGTCTGAGGAATATTGTGAAATGGATATGTTGTCGTTGATTGATATTAACGGAAATTCATTATTTGTTGCTGAGCTTGAATGAGTAGTCATATTTGTTGCTGGAGCGCTTAATGTTATCTTTTCATCTTCCACCTCAACACTATACATTTTCATAATGTGACCTGTTTCAAGCATGAACCGTCCATGAATCACTGAATACACGCCAATACTTACCAATTGAATTACATAATGCAGACAATGGATTGATCATTTGATCAATATAATCGCCATCTCTATTACCCGCAATTAACACCCCCAGTGGATACTTTCCAAAACATATTGGAATACATATAGAGTTGAATATTTCAATATGGCCAGGGGGAAGATTATACGCAAATGATCCTTGTGTACTAATGATGGGCGTGCTCGTCATGAATGACTTGATAAACATTGCATGAGATTTTTGGGTAGGAAAGCTCAAATGATGTACATGTACAAAACGTTTGTAGTCTTCATCGTCGAGACCAAACAAACCAATCACTTTGAGCTCTCCAAACAGTCGTTGTTCTTGTTGGTCCTGTTCAGTATTCAGTGATGAGTGGATCGGCGACGATGGAGGTTCTTCCTTGAGAATGACACACAACTTACTTGATGTAATCTCTGCAATTCTCTCAGCGATTTGATTCATGAGTGTCCATTCACTAAGACGCTTTTTACCCGTCAAGACAGATATATAAGCGAGACGAGTCAATTCAAGGAAGTGTCGTTCCCACCTGCTCACCATTTCATGAATAGAGGAATACGTTCGTGGTGAGTCGGAACTGAATATAAAGGATGAACGTCCTAATGTTGAAGGTTTGCCAATACTAAGGCGTCGTATTTGAGCTCGTTGAAGCCTGTTGAATTCGTGTTGTGATGGTTGGGGTGGATCTTCTGGCAATTGCTGGTTCGAGTCTTCGGGTGGAACGAACGGAGGAAGATGTGTTGCTGTTACGCTTGGAAAATTGAAAGCTGCTGTGGATACAGGTTGTGGATCATCATTGGAAGGTTGTTGTGCTTGTTGAGGCTCTTGATGATCCATGGAGCTTGTTGAGGAAGGAGCATTGAGAATGGTAGGTCGAAACGATTCTCGTTCTCTCTCCACGCTCTCTGATATAAATTCTGATAAGGATTGTAGAGACTCTGGTTTATGATGATGATGAGGAGCCATCCATATGATTGCGTTGATTGAGTGTAATAATTTCAAATCGGAATTCACCCTTAATTCATCAATGAAAAAGGTTGTTTTTCAAGCCACTTGTGTTGTACAAAGAAGTGCAATGTCAGTAGAGAGAGCCTATTGGAGGAGCGTATTTGTGTTTGAACTCAAGGAGTGCCAACCACCGATTGAAAATTTTTAAGCGTTTTTGATGCGCCGTTGTTTTTGGTTCGATATGGCATCAACCATGGTTGGATATTTCTATTTGAGTGATGATGATTCAGAGGAGCCAAACTCTCTCTTGTGGACCTATTTGTGTTCAAAAGAAGGATCTGACTCATGTTTCTGGCAAAATGATGTTGGCATAAAAAATTGAAAGTCGCTCGTATTGACAACAATTCAAGAAAACCTATGATCTCCACTCGAAGAAGATGACTTGTTACTAGTAGTATTTGTTAAACGTTCCGAAGTTGACAATAAAATGACAGGACCACAAGCTTTCAAACATTTTTCTTTTTTTTGGTGTTGGCAGTTCATGTGAGCACAGGAAGCGATGAACAATGACGTTACTGAAGAAAACAATGCGGAATGATCAAGTTGTAAAGTGAACCATGCGTTGTCTCATCACTTTGTATGTAAAGAAGCAGATGATTTTCCCCCGATTTTGATTTCGCCGATTTCAAGTTGCAAAACTCGAATAAAGGGCTTGTTGTCGAATAACACATTGCATCAAAAATAAAAAGAAAGCCTCAACAGCTCCATTGAAAATTCCCCAAACACATCCCAACAATGTTGACAGATCGATTTATGAAACGACTTCAAGAATTATGGAATGCAGACAGTTCCATTCCTTCAACTCTGAAATCCATTCATTTCAATGCCAATGTTGGCTATGGTTATCAAGGCGATGAAAATCCAACCACAGTTCTCATCATTAAAGAAGGAACTGCTTCTGAAGCTAAAATGTATCAAGGAGAGAGTTTGGATTGGGACATTCGATGCACGAAAGAGAATTGGGAGTATTACATGAAGAATGGATTGGGTTTGACCGCATTAGCCTCAGCCTATAGTATGGGATGGATGAAATTCCTAAAAGGAGACTACTTTGCCATGATTAAGAATCCATCCATGATTGGACCATTCATTAAGAGTTTTGAATTAATGTCCCAAGTTTTTAAGGAGCAACAATAAATAACATGATTTGAGTTGTAGTACTACAATTACGGTTGTATGAATACCTTAATTCAGGTCCTGTCTCATGATAGCAATTGGATGTCAAACTCTTTTATGTCCCAATTGCTTAAAACACTCACAAGCTCCCTCATAATCTTCCAAATTCCCTTTCTTCCTGTTACATCTTTAATTTAGTTGTTGTATGGAAAGACGTGTCGTTTATTCTCTACTCTGGCCGTTCCCTATTGAATTAGAAGATCCCAAGGCGTATTGATGATTCTAATTGCTGATCATTCATTGAATATTCAAATGTCCGTTTTATTGTGTCATCTTTGATGGACTTTTTCAAATAAAAAACGCAAAAGCATTGAAAGCCTCACTCCTTGTCGCTCTGCAAGACTTCATTATAACCTCAACTCATTGAACGCTTTGCGCATTACCTCCTCCTCCATTATAATATATATTGAATCACTCTATCATTACTACAATGGCCATGATTCATGAAAATAAGAAGTCATCAGCGGAGGCTTTTCCCTCTCATTCCATACCTTCTTCCTCGTCCGAGCTGCCGTTGAAGCCTCATCATGAGCATGACCACCCGCATGAGGAATGTACCAACAAGGATTGTAAATTGGAGCATCATCATCACGCTACTTCAAAAGTACAAAGTACAAAACAACATCGGAAGAAGCATACAGGATGTCCACTTTGTTCCATCATGATTATGAATCCATTTCCAGAATCGGGCAATGTTGATGATTATGAACCAACGAAATTTGAAGAAGCCGTCAATGTGCTGACTCATGCATTACCCATCTTGTTTTTTGCTTACTTTTCTTACAAGATGTATGAACAAGATATCATTAATTCTGGACAAGAATTGTTTGTTGCAATTGTGTATTGCGTGGGAATGGTGATATTATTTGCAGTGTCATCCATGTATCATGTTGTTTGTTTAATGTATGGAAAGAATGATCCTAGAGTGGATGTTTTTCGAGCAATGGACTATTCCATGATTTATGTAGGTTTTTAAAATCGGGATCGTTTTTGACTGGATAATATTTGTATTTGAAATGATGATGTGACGCTGTGACAAATGTTTTTGATAATAACATGAATTTAGATTTTCATTGGAGCTTCCTATACACCATGGCTTGCTTTGGTGGAATTCGGAGAAGGAGGCTGGATTGGAAACGTTATGGCTATTGCAGTATGGACCATAGCAGCTTGTGGATTGATCAAATCTTTCAACAAAAAGTTTCTTGCAAGCATTGACGGTATTGTTTTACTGAACTTGATGGGATGGATTGCATTCTTTATCGTTCCACCTGCACTATTCACACATGGTAAGTAACTTGTCGTTTGTGAGATAATGTGTTGCAAACATTCATTTTCTCATAACACTTTTTCACACGGCTCAATAATAGTACCCATCGAGGCCTTTGTATTTTTATTTATTGGTGGAATCTTTTATTCTGGTGGTTGTTTCTTGCTGAAATATGGAGATGGAAGAATTCCATGCGCTCATGGTATTTGGCATTGTCTTGTGAATATGGGTGTCATGTGTCATTTCCTCGTCATGTATGAATACTTGATGAATCTCGATTCTCACTTCTTACCGGGAGTTGAAAACCCCTTAATGGTTTATCAACAAGTTGCTGCTGTATTCCAAAACACCAGAAAGTGGCACCTTCCAAAACTCAATGTCTTGTTTGGTTTTTAATCTTGACTTCAATAAACAATGCAAACAATCGAAGATGCAAGTTACAAAAAGAATTTTTCAAAATCAAAAAAAAATGCAAGGAAATGAACATTCAACCACTCAGGAATCATCACAGCAGGTAGTGGATAAAAGTACTGATACAATTACTACATCCTCTAATTCTGTAGATACTCATGTTGACAATAGCAACAATTCCGAAAATAATAAGAGAAAGGAACCACCCACTTCATCATCCGATAATAATAATAGTCAAAAGAATCATGATAAAAACAAGAGGAGAAAGGGAAACAATGGTAAAAATAATAACAACCATAGAGGAAAGAAAGAAGCTACTGAAAAAACAACTGCAAACTCGGAATGGGGAAAACCGAATCCTAACAAGGCCAAGAATGAGAATGAGGAGAAATATCAAAAGAAAAGAGTAGCCTTGTTCATTGGATATCTCGGAACCAATTACAATGGCTCACAGACATCGTATGTTTTTTCATTGTAATTTAATATTTGAAAATTAATTTTTCTCATGATTGCCACCGTTGAACACATCCATTTTCAATTTTCAAAATTCGTAATTTAATTTGATACATGATTGATACTTATCGATAATCATATGGAACATGACTACATTTATGATGGTCACAATGACATATTCATGTAGAAATTTCACAAATCCAAATGTTGTCACAGTTGAAGAAACCTTTTTCAAGGCACTGTGTAAAGCAGGCGGAGTTGCAGAACACAATAGCACAGATATGAACAAGGTACATTTTCACAGAAGCTCGCGTACCGATAAAGGAGTTCATGCAGCTTCCAATGTTCTTGAAATGAAACTTCTCTTAAAACCAGGCCTAATTGAGGAAGTGAGAAAACTTCTCCCAGATGACATTGTTTTTTATGGGTTTAAGAGAGTATCTAAATCATTCCATGCTAAGGAGCACTGCACAGCAAGAACGTACGAATACTTGTTACCGGCTTTTGCTCTTGCTAAAGACCCTCATGCTAAAGAATGGTTTAGAATGACCAACTTGGAAAAGATTACTGATTCAGACATTGAAAATCATGGTTTATTAGACATTTATAATTATGATGCTACATCTGAAGAGGTAGAAATGGCAAATCGTGTGTTGAAAAACTTTATTGGAACTCATAGCTATCATAATTATACTCAATTGACCAAGGCAAAACCTAATTCTTTCAACAGGCACATTACAAGATTTGAATGTTCGAATCCATTCGAAATTGCAGGTGTTAAGGTTGTGAAATTAACAGTATGCGGCAGCTCATTCATTTACAACCAGATTAGAAAGATGGTGGGCTTTTTTATTGGTGTCATGCGTGGCGTTTTTGATGAGAATGAATTTGACTTGACAGTCGATAAGGAAAAGACAGTGCCAGTTCCACTTGCCCCTGCCAATGGCCTCTTGTTGTGTGAGCAAGAATTTAAAAGATACAATTCGAAAGCTGGTTCTCAACTGCACGGCAATGTCTCAGCTTCTGATTATGCCAATGAAATGGAGGAATTCAAAAAGAGAATTTATTCACACATGCTCCAAGTCGAAAAGGAAGATCATGCCATTGGCAAATTTTTGCTCTATCTAAGAGGTTGGCTCTTCATTAAACCAAAAGTCAACGAGACCTCTTCATCATCAACTCCTCAGGCCAATGTAGAAATGCTCGGAGAAGAGACGGAACAAGTACTAGATGTTCCTGAAGAAGATGAATAACTTAGTTTATTAAATCGCTAAACTTTGAAAATTGCTATTGGCTTTGAATGATAATTAAACATTCAACAGCATTTGGCAATTCGCAAATGGCTAGGTTTGAATTTTCATGATTCTACACTCCAACAGTGTCGGAGCCGAGATGAAATAAATATTGAATGAAATTCACACACAAGATTAATCCCAGTCAATACTGAATGTAGTAACTCTTGGTGTATCATTCAAATTTCTCATCAACTTATCGACGGCTGGTTGTGCAGGTGGATTCTCTTGGAGTTGTGGGTCGGTGTAATAATTGGAAACAAAGTAACCAACTTGAGTGAATAATTGGTTCTTGTAGGAGACCTTGAGCAAGAGAACGGTACAATCCAACAAGTCGGCAGCAGCAATGTTTTGAATATTTGGTGGAGGAGCAGTGAGAGTGAATTTGTTGGTTCCGACCTTCACTGGACCAACACAAGCAGAATCTAAAACTTGATCACCTTGTGCGTTCTCGCTGTTGCCAACATAGACAACTTCTAATTCTAAATCGGCATTGATTTGTTCAATACAATCAACGGTAACATCCATTACAATGTTTTCAGTGAAAGGACTTGGGTTGTTCTTGATTTCAACGTTAGCAATCTTAACCTTGTTGACCATGGTGAGAAGAAGGGCTGTGAGAGTGTGTGAAAGAGAGGCTTTTTTTTATGTGGAAGAACAAAAATATTTTGAATTTTAAAATATTTTAAACTTGCTAACGGTTTCTAAAATTTGGAGGGAAATACATATATTTTGGTAGCGGGAACTGGCTAGGCGCCAAACACCACATTTTGTAGAACGGAACATGTAATTGATTCAAAAACAATGCATTCTCATCATCACCAAGCTCCACATCATCATCACAGGCGGAAAAAACATTCTTCATTGTCTTCATCCAATTCTTCTCTGTCCTTTCATCAAACTGAATTTGATTTTACGAACAATGCTGTAGCTGATGAATACGAATATCAAAACCCTTCCGATAACTATGACTTTGCATTGAGAAAGGCGAAAACGCAAGTTTCATCCTATCATGATCCAGAGAGCTCAAGAATGGATCAGGACCCAGCTCTGTATTCTCCATCTCTGTCCTACTCCTCTGTGAGCAGCGGAAGAAGTTCTTTATATTCTGACACTTCAAAACGAAAGAATGTTCTCGATGAATTATCCGAGGAAGATTTGAAAAAAAAGATGTACAAAAAGTACAAAGACAAGGGAGTTATTGGATTGTTGAAAACTCAATTAAGGTCAATGATTTATGAGGACTTGACAAAAAAAAATCACCCACTTAAGGAGGCATCCATCACAGTTTTCGGAAATAGACCAGAATTACAGAGAGCATGTGTAAGTTATTTTAAACATTTTTCAATGGTTTATTATTTGAGTTGATCTTGATTGCATTCTCTTAATATTTTAAAATTGAATGTATCAAATAACGACCGAAATAGGAACGACTGGTTCTTGATCACTTGAAAAAAAATGGCTATTCATTTACTGCCAGTGTTTTCACTTCAGAGGCTAATTTGCAGGATTTAACAAAAAATTCAGAATATGATGTTTATCATTCGATTGGAATTCGAGTTTATAACACGGATATAGTGAAAGAAAATGATATTGCTGACATTATGGATCAAGATCCCAACAATTTTCTCACAAAAACACTTTCGGAAATGTATTATAGCCCATCTTGGAAAGGTGAGAGCGCTCTAGTTAAATTTTTGACGATACTTAAACAAATTGCAAATCGAAAAACAAGGAATGAATCATGTCAAACAGAAGAGAAAGAAGAGTTTCCAATGGAAACCAAATTAAAAATGATTGACGCAGAATATGAAGCAGAAATGGAGAGTGATAAAAGGAATCAATCACAAACTCTAGAACAAAAGTATTTGGAATATCAGCGTGAATGTGAAAGGAGAGCAAACGAAGAGTTAAAAGCTCGTCTAAAAATGTTCGAAGAAACGACTATAAGCGCCATGAGATTGGAAGAGAGTGCAAAATATCGCGAACGATTGGCTAGAGAGCTTGAAGAAATGGAAAAGGCGCACATGAGAAAAATGGAGAGAGCCACCGAGAGAGAACGAGAAATTGCAGATCGTCTAGAAAAGAAAGAAAAAGAAATTGAAAAGCTGTCTTACGAGCACCGACAGAAAATGTTCAAAGAAATGGAGGAAATTCAAAGAAAAAATCAAGCCATTGCGAGAGAGCGACAATTACTTGAAATGAAGAAGGCAGAGATTGATGATAAAGCCAGAAGACTGGACGTTCTCGCATCACAAACATCAATGGACATGAAGTCAGAATTGTCGCTCATGAGGGCAAATTTAGAGAGAGAAAATATTACCAAGGTCCAGAAACTTGAAGAAGAAAAAAGAAGACTTGATTTAGAAAAAGAGAAATTGTCTGAAATGATGAAAAAACATAGCGACGCCTCTCACTTAGAGGAGACAATCAAACAGTACCAACATTCTCTCGACATTGTTAAAAGTGAATTACATGAGTCCAGAAAGCGAATACGAGATTTAGAGGAAATGAACGACCAAATGAGAATGCAACTTTCTCTAGTTAAGGAATCTAACAATGATATCAAGCCTGTCACTACAAGCATTGATGTGCCTTGTGACAGCTTAATTCAACGAGAAAATGAGGATCTTAGAAATCAACTCAAGCACAAGGAAATTGCTTTTAATTCTCTCCAAGACAAGATGTTAATGTTAGAACGCAGCGAAAAACATTTAAAAACCACTCTAGAAGAGAATGAAAGAGAAAAGAAAAAGTTGATCGAGGATTTCAAACGAGAGTTGCTGGAAGAAAAACAAAAAACAAAGAAATACTTGATGCATTGGCAAAACACTGAACGCAATGCCATGGTTGAAAAACTACAGAAAGAGAGAGTCCGAACAGAACGAATGCAACGGGATTTGGAAGAGCAATATCTTCAAAACAGAACTCTGCAACATGAAATTGATCGTTTAAGAAATTTGTTGGAATTACCTCGAGTATCTAGTGCTGACGCATCCAAGTTTGGAGACCTTTCACAACTTGGAAAACCAATTGATATTGCATACCCTAGCTCACTACGAGACGACAATATTTATGAACGATTATCACTAAATGAATACCCTCCCATCTCCATTCATGACAAACTCAAAGAAATTGACAAGATGGGAATGTCTCTCAATAGAGATTTTAATTTGGATTCTGTCACTGCTAACACTCAAAAGAATAGGCCAGAAATGAACAATAACAACACCACTGGCTTCACACCTTCCATGCTTTTGGATGATGTGTCGAGTAGTTTGGATGATTCCTTCCTGAAAACATTTGATTCCAAAACTCAGCTTAGAAATTCTGTTTTCGTTGGAGGAGGTACTATGAGTGGTGATGGCCACCGTCATCCTGCAAGTGAACAAGCTCTAATTCCTCACTCTCTTGAAAAGCAATACAACCAGAAGGGACTCTATGATACCACAGATGGAGCAAGGACAACGTTGCTAGACTCATCTCCACTTGTCTACCGGGGTGTGGATTCTGTGGATATTCAAGCGCAACGTACGACGTTGGAGGAACCTCGTAACAATACTTTATCTCTTCAGGATGTTAATTCGGAAACAGTAATGAATAGCACTTCCGTAGTGATTAAGGCAAAAGAAGTTCTATCGAATAGCACCACTAACATGGACCGAGTTCATTACAACGATCAAGAAATAAGAGCATCCAGTACAGTGATGAATAATCCAATGTCACTGCAAGGAGAGACCTACTCTGTGAACGAGGATATGAAAAGGAATGCGTCTTCAACAGATAGAACGAACTCACTTTTGGGTGAAGTGAAACCCATGAATAGTTATATGCAACAAGATCAACAGCTATCAACAAGTGAAAACGCTCGGCCGGTTATGGTTGATGGAACAAAGTCTTTGGAAGAGACAAGGACTATCAACCACGTGCAACCAGTCCATCATGAGAATTCACAACCAGTTTCTAAAACAACAAATACCAATTCAGCAACTACAGCCCAATTAAATTCAACTGCTGTTGTTGTTGATGAGAACAACAATTACCATCGAATTGAGGAACATCAAGCATCTATGAGGGAAGAAGAGCAAGACACGACCATAGAAACTTCTCATCAAGTCCCATGGAATCAAGATGCGCTCGATGAGGTTGATTCAAATACGGTTCAACATGAGGAAGAAGAACAACATATTCAGCACTCGTCAGTTGAAGCTCATCAAGCACTGGAAGAAGAAGAACTACAGGATCAGCACGTCAATGACCCCATTGTTACAAGTAACGATCAACAAGTGTACGATCATTTTGGAGTGGGCGAAGACGATGATTTATTGAATACTACTCATTCTGAAGGTTGGAAATCAGATACTTCTGGATTCAGCGCTGGAGGTTTTAATGACGATGATTTGGACATTGAAGATCAATTGTATGCTAAGAGCGAATATGACGACTTTTAATGGGATGGCATTTGACACTTGATGACAGAAACCTCGCCAATTCTCAATTCAAAGATATTGGTCATATGTGTTGGTTGTATACATGGTCAGACATCATGATGTTCATGGAGCTGATTCATCACCAGATTGAAGAGAAAGCTCCAAAGTGAAGGCTTGAAGAACAAGCCAAAAAATTTTCATTGTAAACTCTAAAACTTGGTTGATTGTAAGTTTATTAAAAAATAAAAAATTTTGTCTGAAAAAAAAAGCCATTACATCACAAACTCATCATGAAGGTCGTCGCAGCTTATTTGTTGGCAGTGCTCGGTGGAAACCAAACCCCAGGAAAGAAGGATATTGAAAAGATTTTGGGAGCAGTTGGTGCTGAAGTCGATGGAGAACAAGTTGATAAACTCTTGAAGGAATTGGAAGGCAAGAACGTTTTTGACGTTATTGCTCAAGGTAAGGAGAAGTTGGCTTCCGTCCCAACCGGAGGTGCTGCTGCTGCTACTGGTGGTGCTGCTGCTGTTGAGGAAAAGAAGGAAGAGAAGAAGGAAGAAAAGAAGAAGGAATCCGAGTCCGAGGATGATGCTGATGCTTTCGGTGGTCTCTTCTAAATCCAATTTATTTACTTCATATAAAAATAAATCCTCCTAAATATTTAAAAATTCATAAATCTCAGCAAGAGTTGTTGTTGTTGTTCGAATGACTGGGTTCTCAAGCGAAGGTCTTTCGTTGGTTGTCTTGTGATTCTTCTATTTGTTGACAAAGTTTTGGAGATAACAAAAAAGTTATCATGAACATTGCTGTGTGAAGTGTCCTAGATCCACACCCAGAAGAGTAGAGTGCAGAAGCTGATACCTCTGAGTATCCAGACATCCGAGCAGCAGTATGAAACGTTGAGAGAGGATCATATCTTGGGGGATGTGTGTTTTCATCGAATATGAGAAATGGACAGAGAGGCCGCGGCTCTCTTTCAATTCTAAGAATTATTGCATGCAATTATGGTTCGCAATTTCAATTTTATTTATCCAACCTCAAACATTTACCAAGCTTAGTGTAGTTTACTCAGTTGACCATGCCTGGGACGGAGAAGCAAAGTAGATTGCAATTGACAAAATTTCGAAAATAATAATGAGAGGATTGAGCTTGCACCAGCGAAATTACATTGTTTTTGGTAGATAATCATTTTCTGAAGCCAGCCAATTTTAAAATGACACCAAAGTTTTTATTTCTTGGCATTGTTGGGTTGTGCATTTCCAGTGTTACCTGCATTGGACTGTTGAGCATTGGGTTGAGTTCCTGCTCCAGTCGTTGTCGGCAACATACCTCCCAACATGTTAGGATTCAGTAAGAACTGAGTGCCTCCTGGCATCATCATAATTCCTTGAGAAAAGAAAGGATTGTACACAAGTGGCATACCATTTGCAATGAATGTATTTGGAGGTATGCCAAGTCTTGTCGTATTGCCTCCAACTCCTTGAAGAGTAGAAGCCAACGCAAGAGCAGAAGCATCCACAGTCGTTGAACTTCCCGTTGTTGCCGTACCAGATACAGGTAACATTCCTGTCATTTGTGATGATGGCGTGACACCCGTTGCATTGGATGGATTAGTAGCAGAAGTGGCTGGTTGCAAGTTAGGAGTGGGTTGTCTTGGTGGTTGTGTCACAGGCACTGAGGAAGGTTGACCACTGGTGGTTTTAGTACTTGGCTTGACCATTCCACTCAGAGTCGTTTTATCCACAACATATGAAAGAAATAGCTTGTCGGGAATGTCTTGATAAGCGACCTTAGTATTTTCCTTAGATTTGTTTGCCTTGTATAATTCACTGGTGATAAAAACCAAAAATCGAACATTTTGTTGAGCTTCTTGCTGTTCATTGTCACGAGGCGGTGAAGGTACGGGTACAGCAATCAAAAATTGTTTTTCATTCACAGTTTTGTAGAAACCTTCGAAACGGGGAGCTTCATCTTTGGGTTTCCACAAATAAAAGAAGGAAAGCCTGTCGAGGCACGGTTTGAGAGTATTAGGCATAGCTTGATGGGCAACTCGTTTGATATCACATGCTTTTGGCGCCTTTGTGATGAAGAGTTTGGCTTGATCTGGATAATCAGGTGTGTTGATATAACTGTTGTGAATGAGGTCGAGTGTGAAGAGAGCATTGGCATTCGGATCAATAGAAAAGGTAATGGAGTGAAGAGAAGGAGAGCCTGTACTGTGAGCACTATCAAGACCAGAACCTGTACTAGTGGCAGATGATGATGTCACCTGGGGTGGAGAAGTGGTTGGTTTGACTGGCGGTTGTGGTGGTGTGCTGCCACTTGTCGTCTGTGGTTGCTGTGGAGGAGTGGTCACATTGGAAGGAGTGGTAGTGGTTGAAGAGGACTTTTCTGGAGAGGAGGTGCTCGACGTTGTTGATGCCTGTGAAGATTGAGACGTACTTACTTTGGGAGCTATGGTAGTGGCTTTGGTTGGTGGTTTCGATGTGGTCGTTGCAGTTTTGGATGTTGCCGTGTTGGATGCTGGAGTGGTGGTACCTAGGGGAGGAGATGAAATGACAATTGTCGAGTTGTTGGGTCCTCCAGCTGTTGTTGTTGCTGTAGTAGTGGCAGTTTTGAGTGGAACCAGAGGTTGAACAGTGGTGCTTGGTGCATTTTGCTGTGAAAGATTCAATTGTAGACCTCTCAGTTCAATAAATGCAGGCTTAAATTCAACAAGTTCCTTCTTTGAAGAGGTTGTTTTTGATGACTTTTCAAGTATTAAGCGAATAATTTTTTCGTCGTTGGATGCATTTCTTGAAAGATTTGAGCCTTCAATGGTTCCATTCACAACTCGTAATTCTATTGTTTCATCTTCCATCATGTTTTCTTGCTTAGATTTGTCCTTCTTGGAGGTGCTTGTATGAACAATTTGACTATTCTCAAAGAGAGGTTTCCAATTTTTGTTAGTGGAAGGAGCAACGAAGGAGACAATTATTCCTTTCTTATGAGCCATTTCACGAGCTAGATAGCTTGCAGTTTTTCCAGAATATGGTCCGGGTAAGGTACAAGGATGGTCGACTGGAGTGGAAGAGCAAATTAGGCAATATTTGAGACATTCTTTTTCCCACTGTAAATCGGTGAGTGATGCAGCCATAGCTTCTGTCACACAGCTTTCACAGACACCTCCAGCATGAAATTTTTCTTTCAAATCTTCTAAAATGCTTGTAAATGTATTGTATTGCCGTATGAAAGGTATGACTTTAACCATAAAATCCCCAAACGGTGGATGATTTTGAAATAATACTGCTCCATATTCTGTATTGTTGTTTTTCAACTGTTCCAAATAGGGCAAAATAATTTTCTTTAGAAAATCACCAAAATATTGTCTCATTCCACCTGTTGTATCAATGAGAATGCACACTTGTTGAGGAATGTTTTTTGGAAGATAAAAATCAGCTGGCAAAGGATGAGCAAAACCAGCAGAATTACTTGTTGTTCCGTTACTACTAATAGTCCTTGATAAAACTGTGGGATGTTGTTGTTTGACAATGGTAGGACCATGTCCCAATACATGTGCAGTAATATTGGTATCAGTTAAAGCATTTCCAGTTGGTTGTATCAAGTTCAAAAGTGACGTATTTGAATTGGGTGAAGAAAGTGAATTTGCAAATGCATAGCTTGATGATGAATTGGATCTTCCACTTGTGATCGGTGGTTGCAACAAAGTAGGAGAGGAATCAGTGAGGAGTGAGAGCATGGATGTAGGTTGTTGGGACATGATGATGATGGAACGACAACGTCAATTGGGAAATACAAATATTGGGAAAGGTGTTGAAGTGGAATGACGAGTGCAATAAATAAAAGAGAGAAATCGGATCTTGTTAGAGTGGTGAGCGGTAGTAGCGATGATGAATAATTGTTGTTGTGTTGTTGGTTTCTCAGCCAAGATCAGAGTTGGGAAGTGATTGATGATTAATTTACAAGAAGAATAAACGGATACGGATCTAGTGAAGGAGGTGAAGAAGAGGTGTGTGCAATCAGATCACTGCCTCAATCGTTCAGATTGGAAAAGTCTACTCTTGTTGATGAAGAAGAATTTCTGCTGTGTGCGTTTGTTTTCTTCGGAAGGTGTGATGATCAAAAAATTGCCGTTGCAACAAATGACGATTTTGTTTTTTTTGTTTTTTATTCATGAAAATTTTTAATGTTCTTGCAAATCTTCGACAGCATGCTTTAAGATTCTTTCAGTCTGTTTTTGACTTGAGGTCACTATTGCTTACACCACCAGGTTGATTGTGTACATTTCTGACATAGATTTGAGCAAATGAGAAGAGTAAAAGTAGAATAATGATCATGGCATTTCCAATGGCAAATCGACTAATGCTATTTCCAATTTCAAGCCAACTTCCGATGTCTGAAACAAGGAAAAAGAAGTTAATAGTCATGATATCGCTGAGAGCTAATACCACAAGGAGAGCAGCAAAGTGAGGTGTTCTTGAAACTCGTAGAATGATTACAAAAATTACAGTGACAGCAAGTAGTGGAATGGCAAGTTTGAAAATCAAAATTGCAGCCATTGTGAACGGACTGAATATTGAAATAAATCGGTAGACTGAACTTAATTCAAAGCTAGCAATTGTAGCAAGATTTCCAGTTCCAAAAAATCCAACATTAAAGAGGAAAATGAAAAATATGGCCGTACTGAACTCTGTTTTTGAAAGCCATCCAGGATTGAAGGATGGATCTTTTTTTCTCTTCTGCTTTTCTTGTCTCATCCAAAATAAAAAGGTTACTAACACTCCTGCGTAGAATAACACTTCATAATTCACGCTCAACAATACAAGTGGAGTGGCAAATGAAGAAAGAATGCTTTGAGCTCTAACTTGGTAAAAGTTTGAAGATAGAAATGGAAGAAGTAATGACACAATTGATAAAATCCATGCAGCCAGTTGATTCAGGAGTGGCAACCCTTGCTTCTTTGACAGGGAAAGATCTGTGCTAACTGTGACACCACATGCGAGAAGAATTAATACAAGCTGGCCGTAGAACAATGTTTGTTGAAAAAGGCTCTGAGTTTCTTTAGGAGGCTTGATAAATCTCCATGTGATTTGACAAACACAGAACACTATTGCTCCACATATCACCAATGTAATATCATTGCCGTAGTCAGGAGGCAATAAAGTAAATAAGCTCATAATGATACATGTAGTAAGCCAACCAAACCTGTATGTGAAATTCATTTCGAGAATGGTTGGTAAAACTCCAAGAACAATAAAGCAAACTGAGAAAATATCTCTGGAATAATATCCACACACCATGACTTCGAGAACTGCAATGATCACCAATAAGGATTGTCCATCTGTATGAATTGAAAAATGTTGAGTGAGGAAAGCATAAATCAATTTCGTATGATTGAATATGTATGCAAAGAAGTAAATTGGGAAAATTATATACATGTGGTAGTGAAGTGGATCATGCTGAACAAATAAAAGCGCGCTCAAGACCACAAATAGAGCAACGGAAGCACAGGAAACAGTGAAAACATTCTTGTCACTCTTAATTTCATGGCCCAGCTTGGTATAATGACGCAAGCAAAATACAAGTAAGTAGAACATCCATCCAATGTATCCCAAGATAACTGTTGACATGAGCTGAGGCCAATCATAGGTCATAAAATAGTTAAGGCCTCTAATTCCCATATTAATCAATTGGTAAATTTCCTCTTGCGCTTTCTCAAAATCTCCACTCATAATCAGCGAGGTAATTTCTCGAGATTTCAATTCCAAATCTTGTCGTTTCATATAATGGCGAAAGAAAAGAAGGGTTTTTTCTTTTTTGACATCTTGCTTCTTCAAAAATTGTTCTGATATTTGTTTAGCATTGACGTGCAAATTAATACTTCTAAACATTTCATTTCCATTGAGATAGGAGAGAGGCAATATTCCAACATTGTTCATTGGAAATGGAATGCCCAACAAAGCGCTCATGAGAGTAGCCATGTCTGCTTGCTTAATATCTTTTCTATACTTGGGATTAATCATCCAAGCTTGTTTCACATATTTTTCTTCTGCAGCAATGGATGGAAACGAGCCATCAGAAATGATATGGCCTTTGCCTTCATAAAAGGGACGAATTCCTTTTCCCCAACAGACTAAAGGAGTTCTTGTACATTCAGGGTTTCCATCACCATGAGAACCCTTTGATGACATCCCATGATCAGCTGTGAATATGAAGGCCGTTTCATTGTCTCCGAAAAAGTTTGAAATCAAATTGTGCACTCTTTCAACACCCTCGTCCACGTATCGAATGCTGTCATAGTAACCTTTTCCCATCTTGTATGCGTGTCCACTCGTATCAATGCCCAATAAATGCAAAAATATAATTACTTTGTCTTGATTGAGCTTGTTTTGAACTGTTTCATTGTGGGATATTAATTGCTCGAACTTGTCAAAAACCCATCTGTCCAAAGTGGTCTTGTCATGCATGGCAAAGTCTTCCATTTCTGGAGGATAGTTATAGGTGTCAATATGACTTCCTTTGAACAGATGCACAACATCTGGTGAGCCAATTTGCAGCACATAATTTGTTTGATTAAAAACACTGTCGAATTCTATGGGATTTTCCTTCCATCCTGTAGTCACAGCACTCACGTCCTCATAAAATCCTGCAATCATTGCCACGTGGCAAGGTCTTGATTCAGTGGGAACTCTTGTATGAGAAATGCCAAAACTTGCTACAGTTTCCATCTTTGAACGAATAAAAGGAGCCGATGTTTCAAGATCTGAAAGTGCAGAGGTGATCTGCGAATCAATGGCACCTTCATAAATATTATAGGGAGAAGGGCCTAACTTTTTCTTTTTCTGAATAACAAATTGATGTCTGTCATCTCCAACCATTTTATCCTTGTCTCGGACTATTTCAAACAACTTATCTGCTCGTAATCCATCTCCGACAATAAAGACCAATCGTTTTGCAAACAAACTGGACCCTCCTTGGGAAGATGTTACCGTCGATAAATTAATATTGCTATCATTCAAATATCTATCAAAGCTATTCTGATCCATTCCATGTACAATCGGTGATTTAAAATAAATATCAAAGATGCTCATCATGTAAGCAAGATGAAATAATATGCCCACGACAATGACTAAAATATATTTGCTTTTATCGAAATTCACTGGGGTTGATGGTGATGATTTATGTTCAGAGCCAGATAATGATGGCTTTGATCGTACGATTGAATAGTTACTGGATGATAAAGAGAGATCATGTTCATCTGTCATGTTGTTATTATTATTATTCCGAGAAGAAGCTTCAGTTGAGGATGGATCGGATGCCACAGAAGAGTATCGTCCATGATCGTGATCAATCTTTTCGTCGTGGGAAGAGGAACTTGGAGTCATTTTTTGATTGGTTTTAGCGAAGATTCTCACGTGCAATCTTTCACAATCGTGAGAACAATGAATTCATCAACCTTGAAAAATCTCATCGACAAGGCAACGTTGAAGACCTTTCATCAAAGATGCTTTCAAATTTAAATTGTTTTTTGAATTCAAAAAAATGCAAGAACATCCTCAACCAGAAAACATTTCTACCGTCTCAGCTCCTTCATCATCCACAACTAGTTCATCTTCGGAGGCTGTTTCTTCTCGGGATAGTGCCTCTTCATCATCCATTGTTGAATCATCATCGAACAATGAGGGTCAAAAACCTGTTCATCCACAAGCTTGGCTCCAAGCCCTGTACAGTGCTGGACGAGGAGGACTTCAGCAAAAAAGTAACCGAGGAGGTTATCATCGCGGAGGGAATCGTAGAGGTAGAGGCTCAAGAGGAAGGCATCACAACAATCGGTACGAACGAGGAGGAAATGATCATGAGAAGCGGAAACGACCCAAAGATGATGACGAAGATTCGCATGAAGAGTCTGATAATGAAAAACCATCATCGGACGTAAATGAAGAAAATATACCAGAATATGTCAAGTTTTTACAAGACTACAAGAAAAATTACAAAAATCCAATTTTCTCAATGCTTTATAAAAAACCAATGGAAACACCAGAAGATATTGAAAAATATAGAGAGGAACGTAGAAAAAATTATCCAACTCGAAACAATGTCATTGAAAAGGAAAAAGAACTTGCCGAGAGGAGAAAGAAGGGAGAAATTATTATCGGAGCCTCAGAAAAAGTGAAATCTCTCCTAAAAGTAATGGGAATTGAGAAGGATAAAAAAGAGGAATCTAATCAAGATGATAGCAATGCAAAGGCAGCTCAATCATTAATTAGAAATTTATTGACTCAAGAAATTTCACAGGATAAGATCATTTTGTTACAATGTTTTAGGCATGTGGTTTATGAGCGGTTTTTTTGTAGTGAGGATGAATTGAGCGAGGAAGTGAAAGCCAAACTTGATAAATTGCAAGAGCTCACAACCACCGAAATGAAAAAGCTAGAAGAGTTTAGAAAGAAGAAGCTTGGTCTTCTCGATGAGGATTTAAATACCAATTCAATAGCGTCCTCTGTATCAAATACTACTGCACCAATTCTTGCAGAAAAAGCAACAACTCTACAAGTAGAAGATTCAATATCCGATGAAGAATTTGGAGAGTTAAGTGACGATGATCTTGTCCAAAATGATGAAGATATGGAAGATGACATTCTTGGAAATTGTGATGCCCATGAAGAGCAGAAATTAGACACAATTTTGAAGGAAATTGCAGAATAGGTTCTTGTGTGGTTTACTGATTTTGGTAAATTTTTGCACGTGAAAGAGCGTAAGAAATCGATGGTGGCAGCTTTAGAAAAAACAGGATGACCAAAAGTCAAAATTACAGCAGAAAACTGTCAAGCGTCATCCATGCATAAAAAATGTCTCGAAGTCGATCCAAATCATCACATGTTCATCACGTTGAAAATATTGAACTGATAGACGAGAGAATTCATACACAACCATTGATAATATCCACAAATCATAATAATCATGACAATAGTTTTTCTACATTTAATATTTCTCCTGCTGGACAATCTCCGTTCCGAGAGTCCAACATTCATGAGAGGAACAACACCACGAGAAATAGATCCTCATCTATAACCACACGTCGAAATCAGTCACATCATTTTGCTTCCATCATATCGGAATCCAATCACACACCACCTCTATCCACCACACCCCCTCTAGACTCTTCTTCACCTTCCTCGCAACAACATTACTTTTTAAATTCTGTTTTAAATCTACCTTCCTCGACCATGATCATGACAACAACAACGACGATGGTGGGCACACTTCCGACCAATCTTCATTGGGAGAATTTTCGAAATTTAATTCCCAATGATTGTCTACTCAACATAGCAAGTTTTTTGGACGACTCATTCACTCTTGCTTCACTACCTCATACATGTTCCATGTGGTTCCATTATCTCAATAATCAACCTTTGTTCTATTCTCAACTGTATTCGATCAAAATTCGTGAATTACGTGAATTCTATCTGAAAGATTTTGATTTACAAGTTCAGGAGAGGGTTTGCCGTCGACGTTTGAAAGCAATCATGGCCTTACAACAGCAGCAACAACAACCTCAACAACCTCAGCAACCTCAACATCCTCCCTCTCCCATTGAGTTACTCACTTCCAACCACCACAACAATAATGAAATCGTAGAACGAGAATTTCGTTCAAGCCTCACTTCTGAACACGTTCATGAAGACATGCTTGTCATGAGTGAAGGAGAATGGGAAGTTTTAAATACTCACTCATCAGCACTCTCTGAGAATGGATCCTCAACAGCCTCCATGACCTCAGCCAACTCGGCCTTTTTAGATTTGAACGCATTTCATATGGATCCAACGAATCTCATTCCTCCTTCTGTGTTTCGAAAAGTCAAATTATTGAACATGGAAAATGTATTGAATCATACCACTACTTCACCGATCATTACGAGTAGTAGTAGTAGTAGCAGTCGTAGAAATAGTCAGTATCATCATGATGAGACTCATCAAGCCTTCAACTCTAATTCTCCTTATTTCTGGTCCTCTACAAAATCGTCTTTTCCTACACAACATGTTGGTTCTTCCTCGAGCCATCATCATACTCGTCAAGCTCATCATTCATTTCATATATTCGAAAAAGACTGCTATCTCGAACTCTTACGTATGGAATATTTGGTTCGGCAGCACGGAAGGGACATTCTCAGCAAGACCAAACGAAATTCTCATAAACCTGAACGACCTGCTGTTCCATTGCCAGAACAACTCTTGTTGGAAACATTGGACGCTCGGTTACGATGGCACTTCTTTCTTGCCATGCCCATCACGTGTGCCTTATGGACATTCTTTGTATTATTAATTGCCATTAAGGGAATATTAATGAACATGGGAGCGGATTATGAAAGTGAATGGAATTGGTGTTTAGTGTTTGTACCATTCTATTTGGCCATGATCATGTTATTGATCTATTCCATCATAGATACCCGATTATCCATGAAAAAGTATTGGATCATTCATCATCAAGTGAAAGATACGAAACGAAAGCAAAAGGCGAGAATTGTATTGAAATTCCGAAAACATTTTTTTGATAATTTCATGACCTCCATTCTCAAAGTGATCATGTCTGTATTGGCATTTGTATTGGGATTGGCTTGGAATGCATATTTATCCTTACCTCATACCTCATTTGGTCAAAATGGATGGTATCTCTTTATCATCTTTGTGAGTGAAATGGTGCTCCTCATGATTTATGCTCTCTGCTGGTTTGTGATTCGACAACAAAGATATGGTTCACTCATTAGTCTTGGATGTTCCCTGTGCAATGGTATTTCACTTCTCTTACTCTGTTTTTATGTGATTTTATGTGCTGCTCTGATTACTTTAAACATGTCCAATTCTCCAGTAGTGGGCATGACTTGGGCTTTGGCAATGATTCCAATCTTTCTCGTCGAGGCATTTGTATTGATTGGGATTGCACTCATTGTTATGGTTTGGTTCAAATTGGAATGTAAGGTGGCACGTTCCAATTCTCAACGTTTTATTTATTTGATATTTCATGCAACATTGGTGGTAGGAATAGTGTTGTTAATGATGCATCATGTGAGCATGTTGCAAATTCAGGAAAATGTGACTTTTGGATTTGCGAGTTTGTTTCTTGTGCCCATTCCAATGATTGTGTTACCATTGTTGGCAATTATAGCGAATTATTTAGTGAAACAGCAACAACAAGAAAATAAGTATGATGTCATGTAAGGAGGAGATTTCTTTGAATATTCGTCACAGTAGAGCATGAGGAAAATCTTACAACAACACGAAATCTTACAACAAAATGTATACTCAGTGACAATGAATCCAATAGTTTCTACTTTTAGCGGTGTTCGTGAATAACACAGCTCTTCGTGACATACATGAGTCACTTCAGCAATGTTAAGATTCCATAATTGAATGACATTTACATTCGGAATAGGGATTAGTATGGCTATTTGAGGCCCTAGATTATCTTGACATGTTCCCTTTGCTTGACAGCTGGCAATCGGGTCCGAACGTATCGAGTTGACCAACAACTCAAAAATGTGTCGAATCGTCACTACCGCTCGCTATTTCACTTTCAACAGACTTCACACCACAACACCTCACTATCGTACAATGATCGCCCTTCACACTGTACTCACGACCACGCTGCTACTGTTCTTATTCCAACTAGCAATGTTTTCTTCTTTTTCTAACCATCCTTTCGTTTATGCAACGACTCTCAACAACTTCACTTATAAATCTCCTCCTCCCATCATGAAAATGGCTCGCGATGAGCTCCATGTATACAGATTCAAAGGACCTGATTTGTTTATGGATATTCGACCTGTCAACGCATGCAATTATGTGGATCAGTATTTTGGAAGTGGTTTTTCAGTGAATGATTCTGTATGTTACAACTTGATGAATGATCTTTGGAACTCAACGAAGAATGATCATTCCAATGATGCAAGAAATGAATTCTGGAAAGTCGCTCGCTATTACATGTGGTGGTTTCAACAATCTTCCTCTCAGCAACAACAATTTTCAAATTTCACAATGAGCATGTGGGAAGGAATTTCAGTGAACATGTCCATTCCACTGTATCAAGCATTTCAAAGCATGACTTATTGTTTGTATTGTAATCATTCAAGATATGATGATTTTCAACAATGGACCAATGAGAATTTTCCAATTTTAGCACAACTCTATGAGCAAGATTATTGTGGAAATTCTGGAATTCCCTACTTGTCACCAACTTCATTTCGAAGTGTGGCGATTGGTTGTTATTGTCCTTCGAATGGATACGTCTCGAGTGAATGTAGATTTTACAGTTTAGTATGGTATCCCATTTTCAGAACTACCCCTCTATATGCTATTGAATTATGTGGTTTTATTGTATTGATGATATTATGTGTCTTGTTGAATCTTTGGCCACGAGTTGCTGAAATTATTGAGACATTTAAAACATCCAAAGATCAGAATTGGTGTCGTCTGGTGACAACACATTCTCTCAAATTTTCCGCTGTATTCGACCATTCTCACATTATTGAGTTTGATATTGGCAATTATTGGAATGTCTCTGTATATTGCTTATATTACTGTTGCTACCATCTTTTTGAACTGTTCTGGAATTACATTGGTATTTGCAAGTATTTTTATTATTTTCACATGGTTAGATATTATTATCAAATCATTTAAGAATCGAATACGAACTCCAATACCATTCATGTAAGTGTTTCAAATAATTCTTGCTGATACTGAATATTAAGGTGTAAATGATATGAATTTTATAATTTTATTAATGCGTGAAGAGCATTGGGTCAAGCAGTTTTTGCTTTTTTCACATTATTTCTGATTGCGTTTATTGCAATGGGAGCATATTTGGATTATATTGACAACAATGGAACGCCAGATGCTGTATTTGATCAACTCATTGATGCTGTCAACACTACAGAACTCATTGTCATGTTTGTTGCATTTCTGACAGTTATTATATTAATTATTTTAGCAATCATTTTGTTGAAAATGTTGTCACGTGTGAAGAAAGTCCGAATTCTCGAATATCGATTTAGTAGATTTGTCATTTATTCAGCCATATGTTTGTCTCCCTACTCTTTACAAATTCTTCACTTCATTGCCGCATACTCTTCACCGTAAGTACCATGACACATTCAAGCTTACATTCAATTTCACATGTTCATCAACATGTTAGATCCTGGTCATGTAGATATCAATGGGCATTGACATGGCATTTATTATTTTGGTGCTTGGTGACCATCTCGGCTGGATGTATTTATGTGTTGTTCAAGAAGGATGCTTTCGACAAGACACCTTTTGGAAAATTGTGTCGAAAGATTTTCGAAATATTGATCTCTAAATGCTTCAAATCAAAAAATACTACAAGTCATATAGAGCATTCCCGAAAGGAATCAACCGTATGAACATTTGTGATTCCTATAATATATACCTTCATCAATGATGAGCGCGACTAGATCATTCAAAATTTATCTGTTCTTGTGGACATGTCGGACCAATTGCCAAATCGGTAGACCTGTTTACAGTAAATTTACAGTTTGTTTTCGATACCATTTCTCTCTGAACCTGACTCACAGGTTTCGCAAGAAAACTTGCGACGCCAAAATTTTTTTGAGTTCTGAAGATTCTTTGGGATGACGAGCCGTCAGCACTTTCACGCATCAGCGTTCGAATCGTGAATTCCCATCAAGGTTCGAACAACACCAGCACGTTTCACGCAAGAATTTTTGGTCGAGTGGTATTGTTAGAGAACAGACTTCCCAACAAGAAACTTTGCAAAACGTATAAATTCCACAACATTCTCTCCTCTCCCAATGCATTCATTATCAAAAAAACAACAACAATCAAACATAACAGCAAATGTCCAACTCCACATTCCTCATGACCATGCTTATGGTCTGCACCGTAGCGATCATGGTCATTCCAATGGCTCACAGCACTCTGTTGTCCTGTACAGGAAACTACCTCATGGATCAAAACACTGCTACTCCTTATGCGTGTACTCATCGTGCTGACTCTGCCCATGTGTTTGAGATGAGGTCGAACGGACAATTGTTCTTTGAGGGCACGATGGAAGAATTGGGATGGTACAATTTCGCCAGTAATGACAAGATCTACATGATCTATTGGCTCAATTTGACAGAGACGAATCCATTGAAGAGAACCAACACTGTCAATGATATGTAAGTATTGTTTTTTAATATTTTGATTATGTTGTAACATTACGTATTTCGAATAGTATGCAAAATACTGGAGGTGTCATTATTAGTTTCACTCTTCCAGCAACGTTGGGAAGAAGTTTTCACAGTTTTTTCAGACAACAATCCACAAGAGCTCTTGAAACTCGTCCATTGGATACTTCTGTAATCCCAGTATCAACCACCCAAACAGAAGCTTCTCAACGAGAGTTAAAGATGTCGTTGGCACCTCGTCGTGTATTCAACCTTCCTCCTAAATATAGAGAAAACTCTCAAAAGACATGGGTAGTGACTGCCTCGACTCCTGATCAATTCAAATTGAGATGTGAAGATCCTAGTGACAACAGAACTGCCGTCGTGTACTATTCGTTCAATACTCGATTGGACAAGTATTTGAGCTTTTTGAGTTTCTTTGATCCAACTGGAGTGACAAAAATTGACATGTTGGATGCCACTGGCGATGATATGAATACTTTGCATTTGGCAAACGGAGATGTGTTCCAAGCATGTTTTAGTTGTTAAATCAAAGTCATCGTTCGATGTAAATAAACAAACATGCTCAAGTTCCATGTTCTATCTTGAAAAAAAATGTTAAAAGCTTTCTTTGGTGGTCATCATGATGATCGATTTCACGTGAATCAAGAGGAATGGAACTTTATGTCTCTTCCTGATGATACTCTCATTCAAATATTTCAATATTTAGTTGGAGATTTTTCCATGCATCTTGATTCCATTGAAAATGAACATCCGATCAAAACGGGTACGAGGATTCATCATGATGATCATGTTAGTATTCCAATAACGAGAATAATTTCGGAAATGAAACGGAATGCATGTTGCTTGCAATCATTGAGCTCAAAATTTAATCGTTCTGCAGATGTTAACAGCAATTTTGGAAAATTTTGGTTTTGGATTTGTTTCAAGGAATTGGGAGTGAATATGGAACGCGATGAGGAATTGAAAAAGTTAGTCGTTGAAAAGGGAGTCAAACGGTGTATGACCATGCTTTTATATGTAGTTCAAATGAAGCGACGAAATCGCAATCGTGGCAATAGAACTGGTTCGGAACATGATGAAGAGTCATTGAGTATTATTTTGGAAGGAGGTTAGTTATTGGAGCAATTGATCATTTGAAATGTATTAATGGAATGTTGAAAAACAGACTTTACGTTGAAGAGAACACTAACCGAGTATTGGTTGTTTGGTTACTCTATCTACACTAACTATCACATTGTTCATGAAGACTTGTTTGTCAAACCAACGGTTGTGGATGGAATTAAAAGCAGGTTGACTGTTTATTTTGGTGATGCCTTGAATGGAGGAAGTTTTTATTACCATCCTAAATTTGAAAATGATGGTCAATGTATTGTACAAGTGTTAGATTATACGCGTGACACTTCTAGTATTCACAATATTTCTTCATTATTGAAATTCTGTATGGAGCAAAAGTGTTGCACTTGTTTTCCATATATAGCCGTTCTTATTGATAACAACGCCAAGTCGGAGGAAACTGAACGATCATCTTTCGATTCTAGAACTGTGGAATTAATCGAAACAGAATTGAAAAAGTATCAAATTTCCAATTACCAAATTGTCCAGGTAAACACACAAACAGGAGAGGGAACAATAGAACTATTCGAACAAGGTATAAGAATGGTGAGAAAACTCATTTACACTTTTATGTTGAAGGAAATAATTGAACATGACAAAAAGATATTAGCAAACAACGGATTCAGCACTAGCAAGTGTCTAATTTGTTAAGCTACACTTTCACAACACGTGCCCAATCTTAATGGTGTACACCACAAAGTTGTCACTTGCGTGATCCATTGTACACTAGAAATGGTTGTGTTGGTGCTGACGAAATGTGTCGCTATTCTTGATTCGAATATTCCAAGGTTAGTGGTATGGTATCATCATCGTTGCTTGGAAGGGACACTGATTCTCTCAAGTTACTCAAATCATTGTGGTTATCCATGATGGATTCAGCGACTTCTACTTGCTTGTGGTGTTTGTCATTGACTAAATACGCCTTAATCAATCCTTTTCCTTTAACATCGACCTCACGTTCCTCAAACTCTAATCCAAGATCATATACTCTCTCATAGGTTGATCTGGATATTTGAATTCTGTTTGACAGGGATGTGGATTCCATTCTGGAGAGAGTTTGTGTGAAATATTGTCCAAAAATTACAAATATTAAATGAATAATTCCAAAACAAACAATATCAAACTAGCAACTCAATGATTGTTTGTACCATATAATGGTGAAATAAAAAACCTACCTTACCGTGATGCAAAATTGACAGTGTCACCCCATAAATCATAGGCAAACTTTTTCTTTCCAATCACTCCTGCCACAATGGGTCCGCTATTGATACCAATTCTGATTCCAATATCTTCTTGATTTTCCACCTTTTTATGAGTGTTATAGTGGTGAATGACTCCAAATGTGTCAATGGCAAACCTTAACACGCGTTCAGGATGATCTGCTGTGTGATGACTTGCCATTTGTGAATTATGCAAACCTCCTACACAAAAATAGGCATCTCCAATGGTCTTTATCTTTTCAATCTCATACTTTTCGGTCAATGCATCAAATCCATTCACAATAGCGTTGAGCATGAGTACTAATTCGGATGCCTGCATTTTCGAGCTGATTCGTGTGAAACCAACCATATCGCTAAAGAAGCAGGTGACATCGTTTAACTGTTCTGCAATGAACGAATCACCTCCCGTTTTCAATCGATTGGCAACAGCCGTTGGAAGAATATTCTTCAATAAATTGTCAGCTCGATGTTTTTCTTCACAACAAGGCATTTTGCTTCTTTTCCAATGTGATGTCTTTAAAGGTGACAACCATAGAGGTTCCTATTCTGCCTTCCAAATTCACAACATAAAAAGTGAACTTGGCTGGGAATTTGGTCATATTTTTTCGTATGCAATTCACTTCAATTGATTCCACAAGTTGGTTCGTGACTGTCATATCTTCCATACTACTGCTGCTGACAGCGTCTGCTGTTTGTTTAGATTTTCCAACCAATGCGTCTACTCTTTTCTTAATCTCGGTTCTAGCTGATTCGTCGAACAGATCATAAATTGAGCTACCCAAAATATCAATCATTTTCATGCCAAACATTCTCAAGCCAGAAGCATTGAATAGTTCCATTTCTCCAGATTCTGAACAAATGATAGCACCCTCCACGCTAGAATTAAACACAATCTTCAAATTATGTATGCAATCATCGTCTCCGTTTAAGTTCTTCTTCTTTTTGGCTTTTTTCTTTGTTATCAAATCAACAGAATGATTGAGCATGTACTCTCTCAGAGTCTCATTTCTATCCATCATTTCAATTGGAATGTAATTTAGCATTAATCTTAATGTTTGAATATGATTCCAATAATTGGAAAACATGAACCAAATTCCTACAAAGCTTGAAAATGTTAATAAAATTCCAAATATTGCGGATACTGTCACAACAATGGAAGAGGGTTGTGAAGAGCTTTTCACAAATTCTCTAATAAACATGACAAACTTATTCAACAATGGAGCAGCAGTACGGAAAATAGTATAGTGCTGCATTGCAACGGAGACAGGACTCAATAGAGTGTTGTTGGCAAGGGCATCTTGTTGAAGGAGATAGGCTTTTCTTGAATCGGTTATCACTAGAGAAGAAAGTGTCACAAAATCAGACAACACTTTTTCCATACCCCTGCAATACAGCAAGTTGCTTGTGAAAGTGTACGTGATATTGTTTTTTTTCATGTAGTCTGTACAATTGTCCATACCAATAGTAATAATAGTATCAACGGCAGGATATTGTCCAATGATTGAAGATAATCCTTTGGATGCATCTCCATAAATAAGGGACGAAAACTGTTTCGTCAATTCGGCAGTTCTTCTGGATATTCTCGTGATTAAAAACTCAAAATTAGTAGTATTCCACAAATTAGTATCTCCAAAATTCACTGTTCGATTAAAGAGAGGCGGTAATGGTGAGTTGGATTTTGTAATTTCCGATGCTCCGTAATAAGTAAATGTTTCACCAATGTTAATACTTGCTCTTTCCACAGAAAGGGCCGCTTGAACGCTTAGTCTAACCTTCGACATTGTCAACGATGATGTATTCGCATTCAAATTGCTCTCCGTGAACATTAGTGCCACACAAACTGCTACACATGACACTCCAAAAATGAATAGCGGTAATATAATATATTTTGCACTTGCTTTGTTCAATGAAAATCGTTTTCTTTGATGTACGGCTCCACTTTCAGCTTTCTTGCTCAATGTTTGGAATATCTTGCCAACAACATCCTTTTGAATTTGATTTCCAAAGATTCGTGATACCTTTCTCAGATATTTCAGCTCATAATAAATGTAAATAAAGAATAGGATGCTTATTAGAACAAAGAAGCTGAGTATTGTTGCAAGATAGATGACAAACTCATTCATGGAGTTATTAATGACGCTAAATGACCGATCTAAATATGCCTTGCAAAAGCTTTCATAGGCAGCGGCTGTATTCTCACGATTAATCCAAAGAAACATAAAATTATAGTCTTTGTAAAAAATATTTAAGTTAGAAAATTGTGTTCACCATGTTTGAACTATCACATACCAGTTAATGGATTGAAATAACTATGTGCAGCAACACGATTTAAAAGTGTCTGTGTCCTTTGAAAGGTGTTATTACCTGTCTCAATACTTAATAGAGTAGAAAGAGGGTAGTTGGTGATCACATTTTGGGTAGCTGTAATTAATGCATTGGTTATTTCATAAATAGATGCATTCTTAGAAGAATAGGATCCTGTATATACATTCTTTTTGTATGGGTCTTCGTTGGGAAAGTATAACGTATATTTGTTTTCGGAATATTCAGAGTAGACATCATTACTGAACGTATTGGCTTGAGCTACAGCTATCAGTCTGTTGAAAAAATCAATACTTCTTGTCAACTGAGTAATATGATCTGTAATGTAAAATAACTTGGTTACAGTTGGAAATCCATCATTAGTCGATGGCCACGAATAGCCGAATAAATAAAAAACATTCACCCAGTTTTGAGTAGCTCTGATATTTCGTATTGTAGACATTGGTATCGTTCCAGGAAAACACACCTAATTTAGAGGAGGATAATGATACAAAACCAATGTTGCTATATAGCAAAATACTTACCTGTTCAACGTATGGAACTTGTGACATGACAGCTTGAGAGTAGTAAACACTTAAGGCAATAGATGCTATCATGATACCAAAAGCGAGAGCAAAATAAACGACCAAAATGATACTAAATAATTTGTGGTCTCTCGAATTGAATAACGCTTGACGGAATATATTTTCTTTCTTCATCTGTGGATTATCAAAAGCGCTTTCCAACTCAAAGCCATCATCCTTAGCTTCAGCTCCAATTTCTGTAAAGCTTTCATCCAATGGAATAGCTGAGGATATTTCATACTTGCTATAGTATTCAGAAGAAGCAGCTGGTGCCACTCGATTACCTTTTTTAGAACTAGAATTGAGCCCTCCCTTTCGTTTCTTTGTTTCATCGTCTTCAATAGAATTGGCTTCTGCGAAGAGTTGTTGGGCGAGCTCTTTGTTGAATTCAAAGTTCTCTAAAAAGTTTGCATTCAATCTGATGATTGTTTGTTACTTGGATAGTTAAAAAGTAGGTTTGAAAGAGTGCTCTTACATTCACTTTTTAAAGCATAGATTGACCGGATAATATTTTCGAGAGTGTCAAAATTAATATGCTCATTGGCACATTCTTTCCAAAAGTCACGGTGCAGTGCTAAAAGAGCTGCCTGATTTTTTTCCAATGATTCAATTTGAGAACTTGCTTCAAACAGAGCATTGTTGGATTGTGACATCGATTCTACTTCTTTCATTCGTTCTTGAATGAAGAGCTTGTTAAATATGTTTGGATGTTGCTTGAGAGCACGTCGCAATAAACTTTGAGCAAATATAGAACAATTTGATTCTCCTTGCCATTTAACTTGAACTATGTATGGTGTAAATGATTATTAATACGGTCATTATTAACAAACCATTCAATTCATACTTACTAATCAATGCTGAGATTACAAGCAATGAAATGTCATTAAATGCTTTCTGATGTGCAAGGCCCTTAATAAACGCCAAAGATAGATCGGAATCAGCATAATCGCTTCCTCTGACATTTCTCTCTCCGCTCTTTAAAGATAATTTTAAGAATATGTAAAGTGATGAAATTGCTTTTGATTCCTCCAAGTCGTTGTACAGTGAAGTAGCAGACTTTTCAACTCCAAATAACAAGTGCTTTTCAAATAGATCAAGATCTGTCTGAGATGTTACTACCGAGTTCATCAAATAGTCTCTCATTTTCTTTGCATGAAATCTTAGATAAAGCTCCATAAAACATGTTCCTGCAACGAACATGGTCATGATCAGACCCAATGTCATGCCTGTATATCCTCCACCCATGTCATTAAATGCTGGCAAATCAGAGTCTATATTTGCTGCTGAGGAGATTAAGGAACCAATACTTGCTCCAACTCTACCGCAACATGCCCCAAAGTACAATGAATTGTCATATCTTCTCAAAAAAGGAATAAAGTAGAAAAAGATGCCACATGATACAACACTTGTGATCACATTGAAAGCAGCAGAGGCGTATGAGAATTGTTTTGGAATTACAAAAGATACCACTAATTGCAACATGGAAAGTTCTCCTACAAGCATTACTACCAACGAGTTATCTCTTATCAAAGGTACCTTGCTGAGAGGGTTAGAATTGGTTAAAATTAGTTCAGAAAGAGGAAATAGAATCAATAAGGAGAGTACAGCAACTGCACTGATCGCCATCATGATTGCATTATTTGACTCTGTGCATGCATTGCCAGGAAATCGGTTCAACGGAGCCATTTGGCTCACAGTACTTGATCCAGCAGAAGTAATTGTGACCGTGATCAAACTATTCACGTCACAATCGAAAAATCCCAGTAAAATGAACAGAATTGTCAAAGAAAATGTTCTCAAGAAAAAGCTGATAAACCTGAGAGCTTCTTTCAATTTCTTGAAATACTTGCTAGGCTTCATGGTAAATCTCAGTGCAAGACCAAACAGAACCACATTCAAGAGAATGAAGAAGGCCACAATACAAGCCAACACTACATTTGCTTTGTATGGAATCATGTCCAAAAGAAATGTGGTGGGAAAGTTCAACACTTGGAACACATACGCACCGTATTGACCCCATTGATAATCACGAATGGTTGGTGTCATCATTTGTGTCCAAATCAAATGAGCATACATGAATAAATAAACAATGTACAACTTCCAACCCTTTTTAACTTGTCTATCTTCCAAAGAAACAATCATCTTCGTGACCATATCAACAGTATGAGCAGCCATGGAATAGCCATCTGAGCTACTGGTGTTTGTTGCTGTGTTGTGGGCACTTTCAGAAAGATAGATGGAGCCAGTATTGCCGTTTTGTTGGGCTTGTTGTTGGGCTAATTGAAGTTGGGAATTGACACTAACTGGTATTCCTTCCACGGAAGAGGATGCACTTGTATCTTCTCTAAAAGAAGTGGTCGTCATATTTGGTTTTGAGCACTGTCGTTTGATTTTGTTGTATTTTGAAATTTTTCTGAAATGATGTACTTGTACTTGGGTTGGACATGTTATCAACTACAACATCACATAATGTTAAGCCGAAATCTAAAACCATAAGAATCTGGATACAGAAGGATTACTACCTGACATAGATTGTGCGGTAACCATGGCTTTGGTTCATAGACATGTTGTAATATGCTTGGTATCTTGTATTTATCAAACATCCGTAATAAGAAGCTTTCAATACTTGTTGAAAGACATCAAAACACATTGAGTCTATACAACAAATTAAACTTTGAAATCGGCGCCGACGGTTCATAAGTGTACATATAATTGGTAATGTACGCTTTGGTACTTGTTATTATTCGGGTCGTGTATTTCTAAATCTTGCAACATTTGGATGAGCTATAGTGAGTGATGTTATCGTTCGTTTTTCCGCACGAAATAAATTACCCGTTGGCATCTTCACGGCAATTCATCCATTTTTCTTGTGTTGTTGAATATATAATTTTCTAATGTCATTTTGAGAATTATATGCTATTGATATATATTCACATCATCATTTATAGTATAAAATTAATCTCTCCGATATTATTTTAAAAGTAACTTTCTTGAGATCGGAAAGGGCAGTTTAAAGGATTTCATTTTTTTAAATTTTTACAACAAAAATGTCTTCACACTCCTATCATGATCAAAGCCTTAATCTTGAATCATTGCAATCGTTTGTGGAGCGTGAATTTGATGAGAATGTGCTTCCTGCTCTGAAGGATTTTATTCGTATTCCTAATCAATCTCCGAATTTTGATAGTCATGTATTAACAAACGGTTATATGGAACAAGCCTTGAGTTTGATTGTGCATTGGATTGAAAAACAAAATATTCAAGGATTAAAGTTGGAAGTGATGAGAATTGAAGGAAAAACACCATTGATCTTTGTGGATATTGATTCAACCATAGAAGGTAGGTTGGATGATCATGAGGATTGATCTTTTAACAAAAGCACTTTCCGAAATGATTTTCGTTGCATTTGGTATAATAATGATGAATAGGAAAGAAAGGATGGAAATCTAATGTTCCAATTGCATTCTTGTATGGACATGCTGATAAACAACCACCTGCAGAGGGATGGGCCGAAGGTCTCTCTCCCTACATACCTGTTGTTCGAAGTCGGTTGCCTTCCGATCGTGGTCACGTTGCTGATGATTTTACATATTTATACGGAAGAGGATCTAATGATGATGGTTATGTAAGTACCACAATTCTGTGAAGATAGATGACATTTGGAATTTTCTGCATGATTCAATGAAAAACAGGCTGTATTTTCTTCCATTCTTGCTGTCAAGTCGTTGCAGGAACAAAAGATGCCTCATGGCAGAATAATCGTTTGTTGTGAATTTAGTGAGGAATCTGGTTCGTGTGATTTACCCTATTATTTATGTTATTTACTGCCTTTTGAAAAAAGTAAACACATTAGAGAGGCACTCGGAGAGGATGCACCCACAATTCCTCAAGATTACCAAGGAAAAATCGAGGGTGAAGTAGATTTAATGATTTGTCTTGATTCTGGTGTTGGAAATTACTTGCAGCCATGGGTGACACTTTCATTGAGAGGCATTCTGGTTTTAGAAATGCATGTGAGCTTAATCACTCAAGGTGTTCATTCTGGAGGGTAAGTACAACCCAAAATTATCACAATTTAATTTGTCCATATTATTGCTATGATGCTTTTCGGATAATTAGATATTCTGGATTAGTGGCTGACAGCTTTAGAGTGGCGAGAATACTTCTTTCAAGACTCGAAGATGAAAATACAGGCCAAATTAAAATTAAGGACCTCTATGGAACCTCCACATCTGAAGTGAATGAGAATGAACCTTATATTCCAAAATGGGTCCTTCAAAAATTGTCAGTATCAGCCGAGCTATTGGGAAGAGAAGGCGTTTGTGAAGCCGTACCCTTAGTAGATGACAATGTCGAGCTCATGAGTGATGACTTGTTGCAATTGTTGTTGAACAAGACATGGCGCCCAACTTTGACCATAACAGGTGCTGAAGGTTTGCCTAAATTTGCAAAAGCTGGCAATGTTTTACGTCCACGAACTAATTTAAAGCTCTCCATCCGGTTACCTCCTCATGTTTCACCTGAAATGGCTGAACAGAAAGTTATTGAAACACTCACTACAAATATTCCGTACAATGCACATGTGGAAATTAAGAACGTTCACACAGGATCTGGATGGTATTGTCAAGAGTTTAAACCCTGGTTGTTAAAATCGTTCGATGATGGTTGCAAGACATTTTTTGGCTCCCAGTATGAAACTGGTTTTCTTGCAGAAGGAGGATCTATTCCTTTTATTAAGGTCCTCAATGACTGTTACAAGAACGCACAATTTATTGTCACAGGTGTTGCTGGACCTGGTTCTAATGCCCATGGCCCTAATGAGCACCTTTGCTTGGAATACACAAAGAAGGTCATTTGTTATGTCACCAAGATATTGTCGGACCACGCTTGCACCCATGACGAATGATGATGCAATTCAATCCGGACACTCTGTCTTGACTCTCAGTTTATACTGTGGCTAGTCAGTATAGCTTTGCTGGACTACTTTGCAAAACCAAGAAAGCTTAGAATATTTAATTTCAACAAACTGGTCATCACCTGTGGATTAATTTGAACTTTGTGAGATTAAAAGAAACGGCATCAAACCCTGTATCAATAAAGGCATTCGCTTTATTGTCATCCTATCCCACTTTACCATTGAATGTGTACCATGGATTATTGGAGAGAAGTGTCACTGGACAAAATATTAACATCTGACAAAAACAGGTTATCATTGGGGTAGTGGCTCTCTCGATTTATCATTCCATTTGTTCGCCTCAGAATTGAAGTCATGAAAATGAAATGGTTGGTGATGGAATCAGAAACTGCATAGCAAAAAGTATAATATTCTCCACAATCAAAAATTATCTTTGAATACGAAGAAATGTGAATGTTTGGAGGAAGGCGAGTAATGTGATGCTGTTCGTCGCAATTTGTGGTGCCCAATTGGCCTATCACGATAGTTCCAAAATGAATACGAATTATATGAATATAATAACAATTAAGGATTAGTGTTAAATTCGTCACACATACCATAGCTGTTAGCTCCACAGACATACAATTTCATACTCTTTCCAAGGCAAATGAAAAATTGCCAACCAGCACCAATCGCTCGGACTGGTTCATTGATATCAAGTTTTACAAACATGTCTGAAGAAATATTTTTTCCACATCCCCAAATTTCTTCATTTTCAAGCTGCACAAGCGTGTGGAAACCTCCACAAACAATATTCCTAATTTGTTTACCCTTGAATGGGGTATCAATGACAGAGAATACATCTGATGTTGAGTACCCAGAAGAAAGCTGGAAATCTCCATTCGATCCACAACCTGTACATAGTGTCCATGATGATGTTGTGATCACACGTTTAGAAAAATTAAGAGCTTTTCAAAATAATTGTCAAAGAACCTACCATAGAGAATGCCATCAGTGGTTGCCAATATTGAAAATTGAGCTCCCAAAGCAATGCATTTAATTTTTTTGACATCAAAATCCACTTCTCGAAGTGTTCCATAAGAATCTACCTTTGTTCCAATCGAAAGTTGCCCGTGTGAATTCCACCCACAGCTTTTTAGCTTGCCATCTTGGAAAATTCACATAAATACATGTAAATTCACATTAGTTCAACAATTGTCGAACGTAAATATTCAATTTGAAAATGAAAAATATTTTTTGAGGTGTGAATCATCTGAGGATATAAGATTAAAATACCTACGTGCGCTGACAAAACAATGAACTGCGTTTGAATTGGTCACAAAATAATCTATCCTTGTGATCATATCACTTTCATCATGATGCACTTTGAGATATTTTTTCTCAGCATGAACATTTTCCCATCCAGACCAATAAATGTGCCCATATTCAGTCATGACATAGGTATTGATTTGTGTGCAAAATACGTCCACAATACAATCTCCCGGCTTAAGAAAAGAAGTAGTATCAATTTTGACAAATTCCGAATAATGGGACTCTGTTTTCCCCTGGATTTGACCATGTTGATTATGTCCAATGCCGAATAACCTTCCATCCCGAAGTAATAACATGGTGTGTTCTCTTCCACAAGCAATTTTCTTTACACTGGTGAGAGATACTCCCTCCGGTATTACTGTAATGGGACTCAAGGTTGTTATTTTGTCAGATGATCCTTTTTGGCAACATTGGGAGTAAACGTTGGATCCACATGAAAGTATAAAGACCATGATCTTTTGATGATGTATTGGTTTGATGATGATAAAAATTACAGTATAATGAAATAGTAAAATACAATAATATAAAGACGTGGCTGATCGAACAGGCACGATCGGAATGAATTTAGAAAAAACCAGAAATGATTTGATGAATATATCCGATCTTGTTGGATATTTTGGACGGAATGGTTGATCAACAACGTGTTGAAGATCGATCTAAAATATTATTGGAATTCAACTTGTGCCTTCTCAAAGAATAATACGACACCACACCCAAACAATGTTCTTCTCGCGACTATATTAGATGATGATGATGATAGGAACAACAATTGTCGTTTGCAAATTTTTTCTTTTTTTAGCTTTGATGAAGGTGTTTGTTTTTGTTTGAAAATGCACACGGAAATTATTTGTTACGTTTTTATCATCTATGGAAGAGGACTCTACAGTCTCTTTTGATTTAACAAATTGTTTGATCATGAACAATCATATTGGCTTGAGATGGTTGTCCCATGTGAATCACTCCCTTCAACGACATGGAAATTTCAGAATGATAATTCATGAGAGATTGCATGAAGGATTGTCCCAATGAGTCTGAATGAGTGCTACTACTTGGGTTCTTTCCTTCTTCAATGAATGGATCTAGGACTCGTAATAAACGATTGGTAATGAGTGAATCTTCTGGATATTTCTCTAAATGTTCTTGAAGAATGGTTTGAGATTGGTTGAGGTGTTCTAATACTTGATTCAGGGAGACAGGAGAAGAGTGAGAATTAAGGTTTGTGTTGTTGTTATGGCAATTTTCAAATGCTTCAAAAAGAGAGAAGGCTGTTTGGAAGTCTTTGAATCTTTGGTTGGCTTTTTGCTGTTCCAATTCATACATCCATTCTGAAAATTGAACAACAAAAGATTCATAGTTTCACATGATGAAAAGTAAAATAATAATAAATTGTTATTCTCGTTAATAATAATGATTAAAATTTCACTTACCATCTTTTTCAACAATATTTTCCTTAATGACCTCATATACTGATTTCACACAAGTCTGATATTCTTCTCCATTACTAGTTGTAGAACACTTCTCAATTTGAAATCGATCGACAGGTCTCACCACAAATTGAGATTGTGATTCTGAACAAACAGAATCGGTGAGAATTTTACAATTCAAAGCTCGACCTAATTGTGACATTTTTCTCGCATTGCTCAACACTGGTCCCACAATGGAGTACACTCTCACGTTCGAAGTTCCTAAATTTCCTGTATTGGATAATCCTGAAGAAATTCCAATCGAATATTTCAAGTGGTTTGCACTCTTTTTGTTGTTTGATTTTCCAATATTATCTAACACTTTAGAAATCTTTAAAGCACTCTCCAAAGCCACGACATTGGTCTTCTTCTTGTTAGGTCCCAAACTCTCTCCTTCGTCGGTGAATGAAAGTTGAAATTCCTCAACGCTGTGAATTTGTAAATCGGCTTTTAAGGTCTTGGCCAAAGTACTTAAACCACTAGCAATCTTTGCAAAGGTATGTGTAATTTCTGAAGCTGAGTGAGTTTTTGCAAAATCATGCAATTCAATATGCACCACACTGGTTTGTTTTTGTGAGAGTCCAAGACGAAAGAGTCCTTTGGGTCCTGCTGCATGGTCATGAAGAGAACTCTTCTTACTGGACATTCTGGATGCAGATGTTGCTCCTGCAGAGGAGGATATGGTGTCATCCTTGTTGTGTGAGGAGGAGTTATGGTCTTGCTTTTTCTGTTCATGGTTATCGGACGACGAGTGGAAATTTCTCAATTGATTGAAAACATTCTCTGGCAAGAAACTTTTGAATTCATTCAACCATTGAACCATTTCATGGAGATCTCCATAAATACTATCTACTTCCTTGAATTTACTGGAAATGAATAAGACCTTCTCCAAATCAAAGGTTTTGATTTTCATAAATTGTTTTTCTAAATATCGTAATGGATGAGTAATGATATAACCAATGACAATACTACACAAAATACCAATGATAATCACACCTGCAGCAACTCCCACGGATATGTATGTGTTCATATTCGTCGTTCGAGCAATATCTTCCTTATAGACCACTAAAAAGACATTCCATCGAATATTCTGAAAGGAATATTCCATTTTGTGAATAATATAATCAATACCTAGACTGTTCACCTCTACAGTTTGAGGCATGTCATTCAAAGAACCATACTTGTTCTTCAAATCTTGCATCAATGGTCCAGCGTTCTTGGTGGTCAATGAAAACAATGATAATCGAGATCTTCCATCGAGAGCTGTCGTGTTTATGGAACCACCAATCACCATATCATTTCGTTCGGCCACGAGTACGAATCCCTCTCCTATCAAGGAGGAGTTTTTGTAAGAATTTTTGAATATTATTAAGGGAGAGATTTGTTTTGGAGAGACCAACTACTTGTTTTTGACCTTGTGCATAGAGAGTGGGATCGAATAACTTGACTGTGTAATAAATACAAACTCCGCTGTCTTTCACGACATATGGTTCGCCGAACACGCCATCCACTCCTAATTGGTTGAAGAGTTCGAAGGATCTGGTCCAGTATGCTTGTTGAGTAATGATGAAGGGACGAGTGTCATTATTGAACACTCCAATGATACTACCATCGGTTGAGTTGGCAAACATGACAGTCACACCTTTCGTAGACAGAGTTGTATTAAGGAACAAGTGTCAAATGTCATCAAGTATTTGATTCAACCCACATACCTGTAAAGTTAAATGGTTTATATCCAAAAGTAAGGACTTCATTGGGTGGTGTACCACTTATCAAATATGTATACAACTCGAGTGGAAAGAAAATTCCAACTGCAAACGGATTATAAATATGATACCTCGAAAATAAATATTTCAATGAAGGAATTCTTCCAATAATTCCATTGTTGAAATCGTCAGCAATAGACCAAGTCAATTTCATATACGGAGACAATTCTGAATCCATAAAAGTCATTACCTTCTCACCTACTCGTGAAATTAAATCACCACTCAATGCATTCAATGCTTGAGAAGAACCAATATATGATGCTAACCAAATGAACACAGAACAAGCAATTAAAAGTATCAAAATGAGTAAAATAATGAAGAGCCGCATGGAACAACATCCAGCAAGGAGAGTAGGTTGTTTGGGCTGAACTTTTCCCGAGTTGGTCACATTGGCCACACTAGCAGCATCAGCGTCATTGAGAACTTGAGCAACCATGAGTTTGGCCTCTTCATCTAACTCGCTACAGAGTTCGTCATCTTTCTAATTATTATAATGATTGAGGTAGTAGTGAATGCATGTTATTGTTGTTGAAATTCCTCTCCCTCTCTGGAGAATATAAAACTTACAAGAGAATCTTTTGAGCATGAGGATGAAGAGGTTGTTGGAACGACTTTGGGAGCCATATGAAAAGTTTTTTTTGTATGGAATTTGCTCTCAGGTTGTTGTAATGGATACGGTTTGGTTGGAGTTGATTGTGGAAATGGATTGATGTGATGTCCAATGATGACATTCGAGGGTGGAAAACCAAGTACTAAACTGTAGATGTCTAATGACGATATTAGGCGTTTACAATGTTGATGTCGATCGATGGATTGCATCTTTGGGATCTCTTATAATAGATATTATTGGAATGGAAATTTGTTTTATAACGTTTCACTTACTGTTAGGAACAGGCGTCCAAGCAGATTCATATTCTGTTTGTTTTGTATCAAGTTTAAAAGCAATGAAACCAGTGAACATTTGGCGTCATACGTTGTGCTCAATTTCAATCATGAGAAAATGATTCATGAAATCTCTGGGTCATGAATTAATGAACTCTTCACTCGCTGATGAGAATTCTCTTATTTGGATCGTCCTGTTCTCCACGTCGAATCCTCTTGTCTACTTTCCAGTGTGGATTCATGTACTTGGGTTGAAGGACATCGACAAAATGCTGTCTCCACATTCGACAAAAAGCATCCAATTTGTTCAAATAGTCTTCATCATTGGCTGATTGTTGCTTCATGGCCTTAATAACTCCTTCGCCATGAGAAACGAACATGGTCTTGTCGTTCACTTGAACCGTTAAAACCATTTCTAACTGTTCCTTTGGTATTGGATTTTCTGAATCTTCTTCTTCATTCAAAACGTTTTGAGTGTTGATGGTTTGTCTGGCATCATCGCCAACTGCAGAAACGCATTCTTTCCAAGATTTTAGGAATTTTCTCAATTCCTTCTCCAAATCTTGAACACGATTGCTTGGAAGTATGTCACGACATTTAAGGAGAGCATTGGCTGCTTTTTTAGCAGCTGCATAATGCAAATTCTTGGTCATTCCCACACCTCCCAGTGGCGAATTGAATTGCTCTGATATTTGTTTTCTCAACTTGAATGCTTCTGTTTCATACTCTTCGTGGCAATGAGCACATAAAAGACAAATGTCATGGCTAGAGTGAGATCTTACAAACTCGGGCATATTTTTTCTATATTCAAAGCTCACAATGTGGTGTCTAGTGAGGTCCTTGTCAATTCCACACGCAACACAAATATTATCAATTTTCGACATGTAGAATGCATCGTCCGTGTGCCCATATCCTTTTGGTTTAAACACGAGTTTGATACTGTTTTCATTAATTTGTTCAGCAAGTCCTCTCTTAAGATACCAATTAAATTTTCTCTGTTCGATTTTTGCGAGCAACACCATATCATCAGAATATAAATTTAAATCATCATAATTGTTTCTCTTTAAAGTTGCATGTCCGTGACGCTTTTTCTTCTTTGCCCAAGATTTTCTCTCTTCTTCAATTTCCTCGTAATCCACCTGTTCATCACTACTCTCATCAAAATTATCCTCAAATGGCTCCTTGTCCTCATCATCGTCATACAAGACCGAATAATCTACAGTACCCTTCCTAATCGCTTCATCAATTTCCGCATCATTTTGGGCGATCATTTCCTCCAGAGTCAATGCTCGGGTAGGTATTTCCGACGACGGCGAAGAGTTTGGAAATGAAATCATTTTTTTTGATTTTGTGTTGCGCTCGAATGATTTTGCAATTTGAAATTGCACTGTTGGGTGACATTGATATCTTCTTACGTTGCTGGAATCATAGGAAAAGACTGAGCTTACTGTCTAATCAAATCAAAGTTATAATATCAAAAAATAATGACAACTCGTGCAGCTCGATTTGTTCCATCAACACACTCTACCCTCTGTGTGCGTTCAAGGGGTTGGAATAATGTCAAAAATATTTCATCGTCAAGTTCAATATTTTCATTTAAAAACACTAATACCGTGATGATGATGATCGTGAATGCGAATACCAGTTATTCCGATAGAGAATCACTGAATGGAAGAAATTTTCATTCTCATCAAGGACCATTGAAATTTCAATTCGGAGAAAATTTTTTGAACGATCTACTTGCGAAATTTCGAGAGAAACAACTTGCTACATATTTGAAAGATGTCGAAGAGGAATTTCACAAAATTTCAAAACACCTTGTAGCCGAGGTTGAAAAATTTAATGAAAATCCAGAACAGAAAATTTCAAATGAATTACTGGCCTCCATTTTCACATTAATTCAAAAGTGTCTTGCGATCATTCCCCACGAAAGCACCACTACTGCCAATATCGTCATGAATCCCTTTCGTATCAGCCCAAAATTCTTTTTTTCCAACACTTTAGGAATGAAAATTCTCGATATTTGTAAGCAAGCTCAGTTATTGGCTGTGAAAGGAGTTTTACATGAATGGTTTCATTTGAATGAGTTGAAAAAATTTGTAAGACCAACAGATTTAAGGTGGAAAGAACATTTTTTCATTGTTCCTATCCATGAAATGGACGACGCGTATTATCTCTTCTTGTGTCTTGTACATTTACTTTCAAATGCTGCCTATGCAAATCAAAAACCATTTTTCCCTCATAATCGATATAGTCTCATTGCAAGCGCCTACTTTTATTACATGACATTGTATGATAGTTCTAATAAGAGGCCAATTTCTCAGTATGAGCACATTGTGCAATTGGCTCAAGATTACAGGAATATGAAGAAATTATATCTTGAACAAGATAAAAACAACAACGAAGATGATTTTGATTGGTTTGTTGATTTGGAAACAAATTTACCAATTCATTTAGGAGCTTTTATTAGAGCTCTAGAAATTGTGGCACAAAGAATGGACTTAGATGAAGAGGCATCAGAAGATTTGAGCGAAGAGTTATGGAAAGCACTTGTCAGATTAGATTCTGAATGTTTGGAATTGAATCCTAAAAATCCATATATTTTGTATTTGAAGATTGTTTGTTATAGATGTTGGATTGTACAACAAACAGATTCAGGATTGGCTTTAGAACATATATTTAAAGCGATAGAGTTGTGTGAGCAAGCACTTGAGGTTATGAACAGCGCCAAAACTCATTATTTACCAAAATTGGAAAAGTTGATGCTTGAAAAAACAACTCTTGCAGCTCCAGAAGAAAAACGAATTAATAACCTCAAATTTACACCGTTTCTTTTCTTAAAATCTTCACTTTTATGGCATGCAACGGAGGAGTTGCCTTCCGACCAAGGTTATTTGTACGCCACACAAGCTCTCGATTGCATTACACAAGTTGAAAGTTTTTCACGAGTACCTGTGTATCATGGCATACATCTTTACCAGAAAGCTTTTTGCTATTATGCATGCAACCAATTTGAACAAGTCATTCATTTGGCAAACGTTTTTTCTAACGAATTTAAGGATCTAATTGAGGAACAATCATTGATCATTGATGTGATTTTATTGGCAGCAAACAGCATACTTGCTTTAGGACATGCGGAACGTTGTATGGAAAAACTTGAAGAGTATTTGGTTGAGTATAACCATCATCCCATGTTGAGATTTGAAAAGCTAGTGTCAAAAATACCTTGCCAAATCCAAGAACGACTTACGAGAGATTGTGAACAATCTTGAGGAATTATTGGATGAAATGAAGCAATATTTGGAAACAAACCCATCTCTGTATTGGACAGGAGTTCCATTAATTGAGACACAAATCAAAAATCTGAATGATATCATTCATGATCCCAACGTTGAGGAGTGATTTGGAACAATGTTTGGACATAGCTTTGTGTCGATTTGTGACCATCTGCCTGTGGTCGATCAATTTGAACAACTATTCAGTTCTTCGTTATTGACATCACGAAATATTGGAAATGCGTGAATGTTGTCAATGAACATCATGAACCAGTTCAATGGTATTTTTAGGAATGTCAAATTTATTTAAATAGAAAGAGCAAACAAGTGTTTCCTTCATTCGAACAACAAAAAAAACAACAAAATGCAAATATTTGTCAAGACATTAACTGGTAAAACCATCACGTTGGAAGTTGAGTCCAACGATACCATTGAGAACGTGAAGAGTAAAATTGCAGACAAGGAAGGCATTCCAGCCGATCAACAACGATTGATTTTTGCTGGAAAACAATTAGAAGATGGAAGAACCTTGTCTGATTATAGTGTTCAAAAGGATTCCACTCTACATTTGGTCTTGAGATTGAGAGGAGGTTCCTTGTAATCTCTATGGTCAGGTCAGCTCTATAAATTTTTGTAAATAAACGCCTGTCGTGCGCATCTTGAGTTCAATTGTTTACAATAAAATTCATTCATCATTTAAAAAAAATGTTTAATTTTCACAAATATGCCCTGACAACCACTCCTTCCTCCATGGTGGAATCCACCAATGGTGATCATCATCATCATAATTGTTATCAACAACTCAATGCAGCCTTTGGTGATATGTTTCTCATTCTCAAAACAGAATTTCGGAATAATCAATGGATGAGTCTAGTCCAACGTGTGAACATTTATGCGCTTCACAAACATGCCTATAAATTATATGATGAGAGGAATAAACCTACAAATCCTCCATTGTTGAGCAGTACGAGTGGATGGGTGCCTGTCTCGTATTTGACAACCATTACACCAGATCCATTGAAATGTATGCCCAATAAATCACTGGATTTGAGTCGAGCACTGGTTGACAATGAAGAAGAAATTGAACAAGCTGAAAATTATCAGAAAGAACATGGAATTCGAATGGATAATTATGAAACCTATTGTAGAGATGTTTATGAATTTGAATGTTTTGAAAATGATGGGAAAAGAATGGTCAAGCGATCGCCTCATCAATGTCATGTTCATTGTTTGGAAGCGAGTAAATTTGATGAATTTAATATTACTTTGGAAGAATTTGAAAGAAATTCCGAGGAATGGAAGAAGAAAGCAAGAGAACAGTATCCTGAAGCAAGAGATTTGTTTTTTGTGAAAAATTCAAAACATCCTGGATATTTGCACGGACTTGTGAAAAGTGCATACATTTCAGAGACCATTGTGAATGCATTGAATGCTTTCAGTGATCGTCCTTGTTTGGGATTTCGAAGAAAAATCACACACAACGATTTTGAGAATAGACATCGATTTTACACGTTTGCTCAACTTTATGAACGAGTGATGCGGTTTGGTGTTGGAATGTTCAACAATTATGACAATGAAAAATTGATCAAACAACCAAGACCTTTTTCAGAGGAGGAAGGAAGAGGATTTGTTGGAATATGCTCTGGCAATAGACCTGATTTCTTTGTTGCTGATTGGGCCTGTCTCACTCAAAGTTTTGTATCCATAGCTTTACCAAAGGCCAAAGTGGATTGTTTATCTGAGGACATTGTGAATATGGAGAGCGTGGACGTGATGAAGAGCGCATGTCACGAAATTATTTCGATTGTCAATAATTCTCAGATTCCTCTCATTGTTTGTAGTAGAGAGCTGAGTGTGAAATTTTTGAAACTCATCAAGAATGGTTTGCTTCCGTCAGTGCAAGCAATCATTCAAATGGATGATTTTCTGATAGAAGATGGTTTTGATTCGGCTGCATATTGGAAGGCATATCAAGACCATTCTTTAGAAGATTATCTGCAAATGCTGAGATTGAATTATCAGACGAATTTAAAGGAACTGACCAAAAAATTCACAACTTTCAAACAAGACACAACAACACCATACTATTATCTCATGAAAAGTCGATATCCAGACTCCAATTGGAACATGCACGTATCAATTGAAGATTTGTGTGATTGGAATTTGAAAGATGAAGACTTTGTTCTCTTAAATTATATTTCAGAAAATGATTTTAATTTGGATTGCAAAGCAAGAATACTTGCCAAAGAATTGTCCATTGAGTTGAAAGATATGATCTCAATAGAACTCTCAACATTCAACGAATATCCTTCCTTCTCTGACTCACTTCGATTCAATGTAAGGACCAATAAGAATGTCAATGATCTTTGCACCATCATCTATACGTCAGGGTCGACATCCGCGGAGCCCAAAGGAGCAGTTCTCTCTGATAAACACTACAATGAGAACGTCACCATGTCAATTTTTCATTATCATCCTCTAGTATTCATTTCCTATGCTCCACTTTCACACATGACCGATCGAGTGAATACTACAGCTTGCATGATCAACGGTGGAAGAACTGGATTCTATTGTGGAGACATGGATCGAGTATTTGAAGATTACCAATCCGTTCAACCAGTAACAGACTCGAATACTCCCAGATTTTATAATATACTTTACAGTGAATATCAGAGATTACGAAATCAGCTTGGAGAAGGTCCAATATCACAAGAACAAGAATCTATTTATCAACAGATTAGAAACATGTTAGGAGGAAGAATTAAATCGCTAGTCACAGGCGGAGCTTCAACTTCTCCCCAAGTCATACAATTTCTGAAAGATTGTTTTAAATGTCCCGTTTTTAATGGGTACTCTTCAACAGAGTGTGGATTTATTGGATCTCTAGGAGTGAATGGAGTGGATTATTTGAATGAAAAAATCCAAGAAGAAAATAAGAAGCTTCCTCGGCATGTCATGCTATTGGATGGAGTAGAAATTAAACTTGAAAGCGTACCAGAGCTAGGATATTTTATCACCGATCAACCACATGCCAGAGGCGAAATTTGTGTGAAAAGTGGCACCATTATTAAGAATTATTACAGAGATAGTGAAAAAACTAAAACGGCCTTTGATTCTGAAAATTATTTTCAAACAGGTGACATTGGAGAAATTGATAAGGAGAAACTAAGTTTGAGAGTGATCGATCGAAAGAAGAATATTTTCAAATTAAGGTATGTTCTATGATTTTGAATAGAAACATGGTTGATCATCCACCAAATCTAGTCAAGGAGAATTTGTAGCTCCAGAAAACTTGGAAAATTTATTCATTTCCAAATCCATGTTTGTCGACCAAATATTTTTATATGGCAACTCTGAAAAATCATTTCTTGTGGCAGTTGTAGTTCCTAAAAATTTACACCTATTGAAAGAAATGGCTATGAACAGACTACATGAAACAAATTCCAGTGTTGACGTGCTTGATCTTTCAAGAAATGGCGTCATGTATCACATTATTCAAGATGATATCAATAAGGTCGCGAGAGAAGCAAAAATAGAGTCCTATGAAATTCCCAAAGCTTTCATTATTGAATTGGAAAAGTTTACACCTGAAAATGGAAAAATGACAGCATCAGACAAGTTATGCCGACCAGCTCTTGTGAAATTTTACAAACAAGCTTTGGAAGAATTATACTTACAATTTGAAAGGGCGGATTTCTCGAATATGAATAACATATCGACCAAAGAAGAGCTCCAACAATTCTTACACGAACTATTTAAGAGTGGCGGTATTGTGGACTCCTTAAGCTCCATTCGTCTTTCAAACATACTCTCCCAAAAATTTAATGTCAACATTCGAGCAGATAGAATTTTACAAGAATGCAAGAGTCACGAGAATCCTGCTTCTAAACTTATGGAATTAATTGAAAAATACAGAAATAATGAAGACGGTGAACAAATATTTACATCATTGCAAGAGATTGAACAAGAAATTGATACACTTGTTAAAGCAATACCTAAAATCTCGAACGAGCAATATTGGGATTTGACACAACCCGAATGTATCTTGCTCACTGGTGCCACAGGTTTTATTGGAGTTGGCATTTGGTGTGAACAATTATTAGAAAACAACATCTCGAGTATCTATTGCATTGTTAGAGGACGTAGTGTTGAAGAGGAAAAACACAGAGTTTTTGAAAATATTCGACATTATTGTTATCATTTGCAAGCAGAACCATTGGAAACCTTAAAACAGCAATTTGAAAAGCGAGTACATTTATTACTTGGTGACATTTCTTTAGCAAATTTTGGACTTGATGACACGACTTATGAAACATTATCCAGAAAAGTGGATTCTATCATTCATTGCGCTGCTACTGTGAATTTTGTAATGAATTATTCTCAATTGAAACCAACAAATGTCCATAGTGTCGTGGAATGTCTCAAGCTTTGTACACGAGAAAAGATCAAACCTCTACATTTTGTCTCTACCATTAGTGTCATCCCTTCCTCAATACTTGATCAACACAAGGAACATGAAACACTGGTTCCAGAAGATTTCATTCCATTAAGCTTTAACGTTTTTAATGAGCTATCTGAAGGTTATCCTCAATCGAAATATATTGCTGAGCATGTTTTGAATCACGTCATTCAAGAAAAGAACTTTCGATGGATCAAAATTTATCGACCAGGTTTGGTGGTTGGTCATTCGATGAACGGTTTTTGTAATGTTCGAGAATGGATTTGTCGATTGACGTGTGGATTTGTTCATTTGGAAGCCATTCCGTACGAGTATTCAGAAGGAGGCATACAAGTGATACCTGTTGATACTTGTGCAAAATGTATTGTTAAAATTGCAAATAATGGAAGGAATAGTCGTGATCATTATGAAAGATTTATCATTTAACAAATCTAAATTTGGAAAAGAAAAAATTGGAAAGAAACATGAAGACTATGACCAAAGTATTATTAGAAAAGAAGAAATTCAAATTGAAATTGCTGAGCTATAAGGACTGGCTAGATTTACTGAACTCGGAAATGAATCATTCAAACAAGTACTCGCACATGACCAATCACAATTCAATATTTGGTATTGTACACATGTTTCGTTATGAACACTTACAATTATCGATTGGATCGGATCTTGAGGAGAATGTGAGCACTGAACACACGACCAAATGTCTTTCAGAAATTTCTCATCATTTGAATATTCCAATGTTACACACATATTGAATGATGAAATTCTATTGGAACAAGAAATTGAATGGCTCATAAGGAGTGGAAACATTCCAAATCCACAGCAGCAATGATTGGGAATAGATTTTAAAAGAACCATTTATGGACATGGAAAAACCAATGACAAAAAAATGTTGTTTCGTGATACGATGGAATCGAGTGCAATGGTTGGTGTATTGCTTCTGATCGGAATCAGTACACTCCTTATACTTGGAGAAAATCAAGTGATCAAGGCTTCACCAAATAAAAGATCTCTTGATGATTTGGTGTTTCCGAAGGATTTTAGATTTGGTGTTGCTACGGCAGCCTATCAGATTGTATGTATCATGTTTTGATGATGCATTCATTGGTAGAGAGGGATAAACGAAATTTAAATAATTATAATAACTAACCGTTATTATAATCGCCACTACTAATTGATTTTGAAATTATTATTTTTTTTATTTAATAATTATTATTATTATTTCTATTCGGAATAGGAAGGTGCATACAATGAAGATGGAAGAGGAATGAGTATTTGGGACATTTGGAGTCACATTCCTGGAAAAATTTATATGAATCAAACTGGTGACGTTGCTGACGATCACTATCACAAAGTGAGAGAAGATGTTGAGATGATGAAGTCTTTGAGAGTGAAAAACTATAGAATGAGTATCAGCTGGTCACGAGTCATTCCAACAGGTCTCATTAAAGACGGTATCAATCAAAAAGGAATTGATCACTATGACAGGGAAATTAACATGTTGGTGAATGCTGGTATTAATGTTGCCGTCACACTGTAAGTTTTCTCGACAAAATTGATCGAATATCATGTTGCTCAATTCAAATAGTTACCATTGGGATTTGCCTCAACATTTACAAGGTTAGTATTAGCAACAAAACACCGAGATGACAGAAACTATTTTCAAAAAATTGTTCTCAATTCTACAAAACAGATTTGTATGGAGGATGGCTTAATTCCAATGAGGTTGTCGAGGCCTTTAGAGATTATGCTGATTTATGTTTTGCAAAATTTGGAGATCGTGTCAAGGATTGGATCACTTTCAACGAACCATTTGTGACATCTGTACAAGGTTATGGCAATGAAGGAATGGCTCCGGGAAGTACCAACTCTTCCACAGTAAGTACTTTTACATCTGCCATATTTCATGTATGCATGAATTTCTCGTTTCTTGGAAATTGTTAATTTTTGATGTTCAATAATTATTTGCATATTAATAACGAAAAAAGGCCCTTATTTGGCAACCCATTCTCAATTGTTATCACATGCTGTTGCTGTCAAAGTATACCGTGACAAGTATCAAAAACATCAAAATGGAAGAATTGGTATTACATTGAATTCCAACTTTTATTATCCATTAACTAACACTCAAGCAGACTATGTTGCATGTGAGAGAGCTCTTTTGTTCGGATTTGGTTGGTTTGCTGATCCAGTGTTCTTTGGAGACTATCCCCAAGTGATGAAAGACTTTGTTGAAGGAGGAAGATTGCCTCAATTCACACCTGAACAAAAGAAGTTATTGAAAGGATCTGTTGACTTTATTGGCCTTAATCACTACACGAGTAACTATATTGGAAATAGAGACACTCCACTGCCTCCAGTTTATCAAAGAACTTTCAACGATGATCAGAGAACCATTGGTTCAAGGTGAGTGATTTGAGAATCATGATGTTAATTTCTAATGGTTGAATGAATATTCATGATCAATAATTTTACAAAAACTAATTTTTCAAAGCTACAAGAATGGAGTACCTATTGGACCACAAGCAGATTCTGATTGGCTCTATGTCTATGCTCCTGGAATTCGTTCCATTTTGAACTGGATTCAACACAGATATCAACCCAAGATGATTTACGTGACTGAAAATGGAGTGGATGTTCCAAACGAAAGTGACATGCCCATTCAACAAGCATTGAATGATACTTTCAGACAAAATTACATTCATGATTATTTGGCTGAGGTTTCTAAGGCAGTCATGCAAGATGGTGTCAATGTGAAAGCTTATTATGGTAAGTAATTTTTGTCTCAACGAATACGGTTTGTATCAATGATGAATACACGCCGTATTTTGCTACAGTTTGGAGTCTCATGGATAATTTTGAATGGGCCAATGGATATAGATGTCGTTTTGGTATTGTGTATGTCGATTATAAGAGTTCCAACCTCGATCGTCACATTAAGAACTCGGCCAAATACTACAGTCAAGTCATCAAACCTTATCAATAATAATAAGGCCGTGACATTTTTACATCAAAACCAAGAAGTCAACACTCTTTCATATGAACTACTAAACTAAATTGCTCACACCAAGAATATGAATAAAGAGCGTCATAATGATAATAATTAAATAATTTTGTTGTAATTGGGCTACTATCGCAGTTGACAAAAATGTCCTCACACCCATTTACGCAGTTTGGATTTTGGAATTAAATTCACCACAAAAAATTTCATTGAAATGAATCCCTATGCCAATCCGTATGATGGGACGACGACGGGATCCATCGCTTCGAGTTTCCCATCATCATCATCAACAACATCCAACCATATCCGTTTTGCTCCAACTAACAGCTCAAATGTCAATAACAACAGCTCAAATGTCGAACTCGAAGATTTATCGGATATGATGATTACTTCTAATGGCGCTGGTGGCCATAGTGCTGCTTTGAACAACACTTGGAATGGAAACACTCCATCAACCTACAACAATAATATTACTCAAAAAGTCGTTGATGATGTCATTCTATTTGATGATAAGAATGAGAAATTTCACGAGCAAGGAATATCGGATCATCGGTCATCATCCAATAATAATAATCCTAACAATTTGAAAAGCAAAATTAAAAACAAGTTGAAGAGATCCAAGAAGAATGGAAAAATTAGATTTGAGGATGAAGTGGGCGGTGGTGTTGATGATGAGGACGATGGAAATGATTCATTAAGTGAGGAAGAAGAATCCTCTCATCATTCAAAATATGCCAATGGTGGTAGTGGTGCTCTGAATTCTACTAGAACATCACCTGCTATTCATTATACTCAAAAACACTCTCCACTCATGATATCCTCTGCCGATTCCGAACCGCAAACAAAGACATTACCAACACAAAAACAAGATCAATATGGAAAAGGCTTTACTGAGGTGATGCTTCCACCTCTTTCTCAGCCACAACAACAAAGTGATCCATCAATACAAGTGAAGGAAGAACATCCAATTCAAAAGAATGCATCATCATCATCATCAAATGAACCTGTAGAAGATCCCAATTCAATTTCTGCCAAACTCATGAAAGGAGATACACCTCATTGGCTCTTTGTTTTTGCATTTGTAATTCCAACCATTATTATTTGTTCAATTCTCGGAGGAGTTCAATTAGGATTGTGTGGATATTTTTTCGAAGTCATTGACAATGACCCAACATTTAAGAGTGATCCCAATGCTCTCACATGGGAACATAATTGCACACTTTTGGATACGAGTTATAATTGTGCGGAAAGAGGAAAATATCTAGATAGAGGTCTTCATTGCTATTTTAAAGTACAATTTTTATCGTTGAAAAATTCATCAACTTTTCCGCAATATATTAATTTGACAAGCAATTTACCTTATAATATGGCTGAAACAGGCTTGTATTATCCAATGAAAGAAGGTGACATTGTAAAATGTTACACAAACAAACAAGAAGATCAAGTCAACATATTGGTTGCCATTTCTCCACTCTTTGAAACGTATTACATGGTTGGAGGAATATTAGGAGTTTTTGGAGCAATTTCTCTTGTTGCAGCCATTTGCGTCATACCCACCGCGTGTGTCAGGCCTAAAAACAGAATTTACTGAGAGCAGTAAACACCAAATCTCTGATGAACTCGTTGCCTCAAAAATTATTGGAACCATGAGCGCTCGATAATATTGTGACATTATTTATTATTTTTGAATAACACTCTCCACAATATTTGCAATGATACAATAAATAATTGCGGCAACACCAAATAATATGCAAATTACAGCCAAAATGTTTGAGCTGATGATAGATCTGGTGTATGGAGTTTTCTCAGTGCCAAACTGTTTGCGAGCTTTGTACTTTGACACCAGAAACAATGTTGGAGGTATCACGAACGTAATGAGGAACCCAAATAATCCAACATATTTCAAAACTGATGAATGAAATGCAAATTATTGGTCAAAGAAAATATTGATGACAATTCAACTCGCAACTACTTACTGAATTCTAAATTGGAAACAAATAATGCTCCAATAATTGGTGGAACAGCAGCAACCAAACGGAACACAACTTGAATCTTTCGGCTGTCCATCCATTTGGTTCCTGTGAAAAATGCAGCGTGAATATTATTACCAAGAGTAATGGCATTCTGAAAATGGAATCAAATTATTCATTTTTGATTACACATAATTATTACGAATGAATTCTCAATTCCACAACACACTTACCAATGGAAAGGCTGACAAAACGTCTATGGCAGGAAATAGAATGATCACATAGACAATTAATTCGGCCCAAATAGGTGTACTCATTCCAAATGGTTTTCCTCCTCTGTAATATCCAAAATTTAGAGAACATGTTCCCAAAATATTATCTCCATAGTACACAGCAAGAACAATACCCAAAATTGTGTAGAATAAATATGTTGTGACAAAAGTTGAGGTAAAAATTGCAGGTAAATGCTTCTTATTTCTCACTGGTTCACACTATTTGAAAATTATTTTCACAGAAAAAATTTGAAAAGCCATTTGATTAATATACATAACTCAGTCATCAAGTAAATGTTAAATAATTGCAACCTACCAAACCAGGGACTGAATGGTGCAAAATTTGAGAATAAATGCAAATAGGTAACAAAATATAGATTCCTTGTCCTCTTGCTAGATATGTCTCGGACACGTACGGAGGATGTCTCTCCATGGCTGTATGTGGATTTGAAGGATAGCGCGAATAAGGATCTACAAACATGGAAATAAATGCCACTCCAATCATGAGTGCTAAAGCCACATATCTAAAGATGGTGAGAATAATTTCTGGAGTGAGAATATATTTCACCAATCACACCAAGACAATGAAGGTACATGTATATCACAAAAATTATTTGAAAATTTAAATACAAATAAAACGAATGAATAAAATATATATATGGATAGCTCAACAACGACAACATGAAACAAATTTCGCTTCAACTTACGAACTGGTTTTTGTTCAGTCAAATTCAAGCATGTCATTGGTACTACTACCAGAGCATAGAGGCCAACATAAATTTTGTACAAGGCATCACAAGTTGATGAAGTGTCTGAATACACATTGCAAGTAAACCATCCATTAATTGGTAAAGGAACGTGTGAAGCCATTGACTCTGCAAAAACTGTAGAATAACTCCACAGAGAGCCATACAAGTAACAACACAATGCAATTTCATAAATGACCTTTCCAATTCTTCCCAAAAACAATCGACTCAACTCATTCATTTCATATCTCCGTTGTGGAAATTCGAAAAGCTCACTTGTAGCTGTGTGATCTTCAATGATGACTCTATTGTCAGTATCAACAGAAGCAGTAACTACAGCTGTTTCGTTACCATCCTCACTTGATGGTTCATGGTGAAGCAATGATGATTTTTCTTCCAATTTTTGTTTTTCTTGTTCTTTCATGAAGGCATTCGCTCGACACAACGTTTCCAAAATCCAATTCAAAACCAATGCTGCAAAAATAGTGACAATAAAGAGAAAAATAGGTCCAATTAAAACACCACCCTGTTGAAAACCATTTGGAACGCCTGATTTTTTTAAATGTGTTTGAATTCACATGTGATTTGAAAATATTTGAAAAAGTAATATTCAGAGTACAATATTTCCCAAATGAGAAATTCAAAATGCACCATGGTGAAAACGAGTTCCGTAGGAGTTCCTTGATTATCATCCAGCAAATACTATGGAATGAACCTACCTAGCACACCAACTCCTAAAATATAATTGACGCAAAAACAATAGGCAACAAAAGATCCATAAGTATGAGCCTCTGATGATTTCTTTTTCCGTTGTTTCATGGGAGCATCTACGTAATTGATGTGTTGATGCTCGTGATGCATTTCTGCAATTCCGACAACGTCTTGCTGATGATTGGCTTCATCCGTCGTTCCATAATCATCATCATGGGTACCCATCGACATTTTTTCTTCTTTCGTTTTGAGAGCATCGGAGCACTTGGTTTCGGAGATGAAACTGTAACATATTTATTGGCATGTGATGATCAATGGTTAGAGAGCTAGATTGTTGAAAAAGTTATTTAACAGCAAGTTTCTTTTGTTTTTCGACTGCTGCCTTCTTCTTGTTGTCAGAGAATGGATTGACTCCATCCTTGGAAACGTATCCAATGAAGAGTGGATACAAATCAGACTTGGCATCAGGGAATGGATGGCTTGGATTATCGAGGAAAGCCTTGGTAGCATCTTGTTTACCACCGGCGTACTTCATAATTGCTGAAACACCTCCAGGATGAGTCTTTAGGAAGGGAGAAACGTCATAAACACGAGTGGCAATAACAATCCAACAATCCTTCTCAGTGTTGTGCTTGGCGATTTCTTCTGGAGTAATGTATCTGGCGTGTTCCTCTTCCTTCAAAGTACCAACAATCATGTCCTCAATTTCAACAAAGGCTCTCTCGGGATGTTGAATACCATAGAATCCGGCAGTAGCATCACCACCAGCATTACGGGCAATAACATCACCACCAGGATGAGAGGGTGCAAACTTGGTCAAATCATACACCTTGTTATCAATAATAACCCATAAATCATCCATCGAGTTGTGTTCGGCAACTTCCTTACGAGTAATTCCAGCTCTATTGGAGTGCACAATTTCATCGGTTTCATTGGTTGGTGTTTCATCAGAATTTCCAGTGAAGAAAACAAAGTAAATGATGACCAGAGTGAGTCCAACACTCAGACCCAGTCCAAGAGGCGAAGTGAGAAATTCAACAAGGGACATATTCCTCAATGATGATGATGATGAATTTTTTTGTAGAGATTTGAAGAGAAGGCAAGGTTCCTAGGAGCAGAGAATCGCGTCTGTATTTTACATAGTTATCGTCGGTAGTAAATGAAGCTTATTGAATGCATATTGTGCATAAGTAGTGTCTCCTTATTGCGGTCTGTTATTTCGAAGGTGATTCAAGCTTGTTTCCGCAGGTACAGCCGACGGTAAAACTCGAGATAAAAAATACTGTCGGGAGTTACTGACGAAAAGAATCCACCAAGACACAAAATACAGCCGGAAGAAGCATCATGTTAAATATTCTAATAATGGAGGTTTAATGAACGAAATAACGACGGAAATACTGTTGAAATAACCTACCACAACACCTGTGGCTGTTACTATCGACGATAATGATAGAAATCTTCTTATTTTATTTTAATTCAATTTGAAATTTTTTTGGTTCAATATTTGATTTAAAATTGTTATTGCAAATGCATTTTAAATTTTATTGGCATCATAATTTACAACTCAACAACGTTGGCAGGGTTGACAGGTCTTGAGCGTCTCATTTTCGCTGATGATGATTTACGTAAATGCTCTTGATACAATTTATATTCCTCAGAATTGATGTCATACACATCTTCGTCGTTTTCAAAGTCAAAAAGGTTGTCTGAATTTTTGCTTTTTGAGACTCCAGATCTTCTACGAAGTTTCGCCTTCTTTTTTGCGTTCACAAATATTTGACTTATATGTTTCCTGCATATCTTTATCAACTAAAAACGATTGTTGTGAAATTTAGTCAAACAAATAACAAACACAACTTACTATTTCATCTACCTGGGATTTATCACAATCTGAAAGAATACTATAGTTTGGAAGACTTGAACAAAATGTTTTAACATGAGTAACCACTGTGTCTGAAAGTTGAAGCTTTTGCTCTTGTGTTTGGGGATTAGAACAGATCTGAAGAATTAAAATTTATAGGAACAACATTACAACTTACTTGGGAGAGAAATGAATGAAATTTCAATTTACAACATTGTTTGATGCTTCATGGAAAGAAATGATCACCAAGAAATATTGACAAGAAACAAACCTTGCGTTGTTCTGAGTTAAGAATTGCTTGCTTTCTTGAAAAAGTGTTATATTTAATGATGGAGCTATATAAGAAATGTTTTTTCGATTACGTTTCTTCTTGATACCCCTTACAGTGTCAGTTGGCATTATGATTGGTTTTTTTTTGTTTTGATTTTTGAAAATATTTAAACGGGTCAACTTTGAAACTATTGGAGAGAAGTTTTTGTAAGCGAGTTCAGATCGAGCGCGCACAGGAAGCGTTTTCTTTACAAAAAAAAATATCATGCTTCAGAACAAGGCCGAATCCAAATTCTTTGACATGGTTTCCTTGAGAATGTGCCACAAGTGCAATGTACATGATTTGGAATTGTATATCCATAATTCGGCAAAGTGTAAAACCTTGAATCCCTCTATCAAATGCACTTGTTTTTCATGCGGCACAACTTACTTCACTTGTCCTTTTTGCAAAGATTGCTTCTCCGACTCTCATGCATCCAATTTTTTAAAACACATGAAAAGATGTTCAAACAAAGATGAAGCTCAGAACCCCGTTTTCAAGTGTTGTTCCGAACAAACGACAGAGTTTGATCATTATTATTCTCATATCATCAAAAATCATTGTGGTCATTTGTGTTCGTTTTTAAAAAAACGCAAACATGAGGATAAAATGGATGACGAAAAAAACAACAAGAAAACGACAGGAGTGGTTGTTATGGAGGAAGGTTGTGATATTGGTGGTTTATTGATGAACTTAGAAGCTCTCACTGCTGACGTGCAGAATTTAGTACAAACACCATTTCCAATATTTGAATTTTTTGAGAAACTGAAACAATCTATGCCATATGTATCAAATCACTCGTGCGAGCATGAACAAGAATTTCACTTCCCTAAAGATCACCCTTTTGAAAGTTTTGAAGAATTATGTTGTTTTATGTTAATCAATCACTTTGGAATTTCTAAACAAGCATATAATTTCATGATTCAAATGCTGAAATCAACATTTAAAGACCGTCCTGAGTTGATGAAATTATTTGTGAGCTATGATACCTTGAAAGCAAGAGGAAATAATTTGAATCCCCAAAAACCCATGCAGTTCAATGATAATTTCATCCTTTACTCTGTACAAGATACTATTCGAAACATGTTAATGGATCCGTATTTGGTCAACCAATTATGTCTCAACCGAGAAAAGCATCAACAACAGTTTGCAACCAAGCAACCATTTCAATCTAAAATATTCAACAAAATTTTGGAGAAGTGTCAAAGTGATATATTCCCTCTTGTGATGCTGATATATGTGGACGATTTTGTAAAATTCAGAACAAAGTCAACATCAACATGTGGAGTGTACTCAAGTTTGTTGAATTTCAATAGCGACTTCATGAGAAAACTTGAATCTATAAGCTTACTTGGGTTCTCAAAAACTCACTGCGATTTTTGGACAATGACAAGCCATTTGATGAAAGAAATTAATCACCTTGATGGGGAGATAATTGAAATAGAAGATCCCTCTACAGGTGAGTCTAGAAAATTTCAGATTGTTGTTGCAGGGTTTTTATGGGACACAGTCGAGAAGATGTATTCCTTGCAACTCATGAAAGAAGAATGTAGCCGTTGTGAAGGAATTTATGATAATCAACATAAAACACCAGATTGTTTATTTGGAGCGTCTACGATAGAAGATCCAAAGTATGTCACGCATTTCGAGAAAAGAAATATATTTGAAGCAAACACTGTTATTAATAGCATCGATTTAAGATCAAATGACAGAACAAAGGACAAGGGTTTTAAACCCTTAATATGGGAAGAAATGCAATTCAAAGATTTGAAATTATCTAAAGCGAAAATAACGCAAAAATTACGAGAATTACCTGTTCTGCATATCATAGATAATCCTTTTTTAAAATATCCTAATACTGTGGATGCATTTCACAAAGCCTTAATTGATTTTTTCCATTTAGAGATCCAAGGAACTTTTCGAACCCAATTTAAAAGAACAATGAAAGCAATTCATTACTCAACAATCATGGACGATTTTTTGGATGTTTGTGAGAGAGAAAGGTTGCCGAATGGCAAAAGGATTACAATGTACAGTGATATTGACAAACTATCCGGAACAGAGATGCTTGAATTTATAGCAATAAGCGCTCCAATTTGGTACAAATTTCTATTCCTAAATACCAAATATTCAGATAATACTTTGGAGAAGAGACAAAAACTATATGAGTGTTGGATTTTACATTTGCAGTATTTTGTTCGATTGTTGCGGTTTGACCATACAGACCACGACTTAAAAGAAGCCGAGAAACTCTATGTAGCGTGGCGAGTTGCATATAGAAACTGTTTTGGATCCGAAAAGTGTAAATTTCCAAACTTTCATGCAGGCTGTCATATATTTGAGGATGTCGATGATATTGGTCATGTTACTTGGTTTTGGACTCTCCTCTATGAGTTAAAACATTCCACGTACAAGCAATTCAATGACAAAAGTAACAAAAAACAGCTTGAAAAAAGGGCTTCTGAACGAGAAATGGTCATGAAAGCTCTTTTTACAAAATATCCTCAATGCAGAAAATTGATACCAAGAGCAAAAGAACCAGAATTCAAGCTTGAAAAAGACATTTTTGTCCTATTTGAAACGGATCAAGGAGAAATGAACATTGCGTTCGTTAAACAAGTAACTGATAAGGTAGTTCTTAGTTCCTTGATCTTTGAAGTGAAACACATGGATAACGTTTCCTATATGTATCACCTCAAATGCATTCCACAACTAATGCTATCAGCAATAGATATCAGCAAAGTCAAGTCTAAATGTAGCTGTATTTGCTATTCATTGCCATCTGGGTTAAAGTGGCAATTGAATCAATTTGCATTTTGTTATAATTTTTGTAAATAAATATTAATTTTCTAAATATTTCAAAAATCAACAAGTCTTATTCAACAAAGTATCGATGAAAATAATTCGTGGTACTTTCATCCGAACCAATCCGAAGGTATTGTCCGTCGTTGTTATCATAATTAATTTCAATCATTATTTTGTCAATATTATTCTCCGTCCATATCTTGCCAGTGGTATTTCATCCGACAGTATTGGTCGAGCAGTAAAATATGTCATATATTCGTCGGTCAGTATTTTCCTCATTTACTTTTCCGACGGTATTTTGATGACCAGTATTATGCACATGTAATTGCCCTGTTGTATTATGTCGTCCTTGATGCCATGGTTAATATCCATCAGTATTTTAACCAGGGATATTCTCCATCCGTATTCGTCCAGCAGTATTTTAATCGACGGTATTTTTCGATGGTAGATAAACGTCTTATTTTTGACCGCACTTATTTTCTGATTACTCATGCGGTATACCTGCTTCCTTCTGCTCCTAGGTTGGTCGATAGATCGAACGGAGAAAATTTTCGCACTCCTCTCTCATAAATTATACTTTTGAAGTAAATTTCAGAGATTTACAAGTGTAATAAACTAATTGACTTCAAATCCCTTAAATTTACTTCAAAAGTATAATTTCTCACAACCCTTCGTGTCAAGGAGTGGAAGGAGGGTCTTGAATTACTTCTTCTTTAATCTTTGCAATTCAGGTAAGGTCAGAGTTGGCTGTTGCGTAATGGTAGTTTGACTCGTGTTCTGAGGTGTGTTTGTTTCCGTCATGGATGAATTTTCAAAGTTATTCCTAGTCGTCGCTGACGTGGATAGTGTTGTTTGTTGCTGTTGTTTTTGGGCTATCCTTTCTTTTGCCATTGTAGTTTCAGTATTTTGAAAAAACTTTCCCCTCACTCTTCCATCTTGATAGACTTTTTTGTAAATATTATAGGCATCATCACTAATGTAATGAAGTGGAGTGGTGGGCTCCTGTCCAACTTCGGAACGTAAACATTTTACATAGGTTGAAAATAATTTAAAAGATACAAGTGGATTAAATGTTGCCCACGTTCCAGCATAGAATTCTTCCAAACGAATATCGCACCGATGAGGACGAATAAATTCAAGAGTTCTACTTTCTCGGATTTTCTGTAATTTTTCTTCTTGTTTACTTTTCTTGGGAGGTGATGGGGTGGATATTTGTTGCTCCGATGATGACATTTTTTTCAATTTTTAATTAAAGTTTTGTGGATTCAATCAATATTTTCACACCATTCTATCAAGCAGGAATTATTAGAAAATGAATGTGAAATTCAGCATAAATTAATAGAAAATTAATGGTTTAATTATTTATACTAAATCTATTGAAACAACCTTGCATATTTACAGAGTATTAAAAAAAAAGGGTATTGACATTTTTCACACCTTAATTTCTCTTGCTATAATAAGCATAATCTGAAATGAGATTTTCATGCATACCTGGTTGAGAAGGTACCTTTCCCTTACGGCTTCTCAACACCAAATACACAATGACTGCAATCACAGCTACTACCAATACCACTGCCAACAATGATCCAATAACAATTCCAGCAATTGCTCCATCCGAAATAATAACAGGCAAGTCCGTGCTATAGACACATGAATCTGTTGATACTTGTTCAAACATCTCAGTTGGATAGGTCAATAACAAGGCATATGGTTGACTCACACCTGTCATGATTGATGTAATATAAACTGCAACACTCACATAAACAGAAGAATTGCTGTCTGAATTGGAGACTTCTGGCAATTGTTCCACAACAATTCTTTCGACATTATTCGTTGTGTCCAATTTGTTTCCATAATTACCAGCAATGACTGTAAGTTGTGAAGGTTTTGAATTGTCATTTCCACTACTGCTACTACTGCTCACATAGGTATTAACAAATAAATTCAAATCACTGATTAATTGAGGTGTGACAGCAACACTTCCAGGATAATCATACCAAGCAAGTGTAGCCTTAAAGAATGGAGAAGTTTTCACAGTTTGAGTACTCTTTCTCTTAAAACATAATCGAAGAGATTCACCAGTATTGGAGAAGGATTTTTCATTAATACTCATACTTAATGGAGTGCCATCTTGATTGTTCAATAAACTTCCCAAAAAAACTCGACCGAAACCTTCGTAAGAGTTTGGAGTTCCCAACTGGGAGAGTTTTCGTCGTTGAGTTTCATCGGTAGAGTATGCAACTGAACCTGACATGGGAATGGAACTATGAACGAGAGCAGCTTTCAATAATGGACCACTTGGAGTGATAATACTCTTCTTGTTTTGGAAAAACTCTCTTAATAATGCAACGGCTCCAGCAGTCAATGGAGTTGCCATCGAAGTTCCTGTAAATGTGAATATTTCAATGATCAATATGAGTAGTAGTATGAAATACGTGGTTGTTCATTCAGAGATTTTGATTTTTTCCAAAGATTGAAAGTTAGAAATAAATTTTCAAAACATGTGAACAATAATGGTCACACAAAGATGACACACATTCAACACCATTCAAATACATACCTTGATTGGTCATGAGGGCTGCTGAATTAGCTTGAACTGGACCAATAGTACTGCACTGATTTGTGCTAGTAGAACCATCCGAATGGCCAGAAACAACATTGTAACCAATTCCAGTGACGTCAGGTTTGATTCTGTCACCAACAGCTGGACCTCTCGAGCTAAAGTAAGCCAAATTGTTCTCATTGTAAATACTTGGATTGTTGGTATACTTGCTTTTCACTTCACTTGGACAGCAGTAACCTCGAACTTTTTTTTCCCAAATTTAGAAATTCATTGTTTCAAATTTAATTTTGAGTTGAATCATTGGTAAATTTGAATATTCATCTCGATCGACACCTCACAATACTTACCAATATCTTGCTTCTCTCCAACATAGGAACAACATTCCGCAGTAGTAGAGAATGGCAATCCGGCATTTTGAATTTTGTTTTTATAATCTTCATAATAAACTGAATCTTGGAATGCAGCATTTGAAGTCATACTGGCACCTACAGAGACTGAATTCTTTGCAACTGCAGGAGATCCAACATTTCCTTTCGAAGAAATTGCTCCAGAATTACCCTTACATAAAAGTCAGCAATCAATTTCAAATTCAAAAATTCCTTACCTGTGCAAAAAGAATGATACTATCTTGATTCTTCCATAATGCTTGATCCACATCTTGACATTGAGCGTTATACTTGTTGAAAACAGAGCAACAAGTGTCACTTCCAAACAATGCTCGACAAGTGTCATCACTCACTCTCTGTCCAGCTCTATAACCACTCACTGAAACTCTCCAAATACAATCCTTACAATCATAACTACATGAAAAGTAAGCTTCAGCACTTGCTCCCCATGAATTTGAGAAAATTCTTGCTCCGGTGTCATACGCAGGTTTGAAAATGTCAGTTTGATACGATGAAGGTATTAATAATTGTGGATTTCCAGTTTTTTGTAAATCTGTAAAATAGAGTCTGGCATTGGGAGCTATTCCATGATACTCATTGATTGGATTGACACTTGAATCATACGTCATATTTTGAATACTGCCACACACAGAACCGGCGACGTGAGTTCCGTGACCATCCACTCCGTCGTGACCATCCGAAGTGTAAGTGGTCCAACCGGAATAAACACTCACAGTATCATATTTCACAATTTTGCGATGATCAAAATTGAGAGTATTGGTTCTCACGGTTGGATTCAAAGCATCTCTAAATAAACAATTATCCCAATCAATGCCTGTATCTGAAACTCCGACAATTTGTCCATTTCCTAAAATTCCCATTTCATAAAAAGGAACGGCAGACATTCCTACACTTGGAGAAGGACCATAACCTTGCATTATGACACTTGATTTCTTATTAAACAATTGATAAACATGTCTTCTCTCAATGAAATGTACATGAGGATGATTTTTCAAAATTTCACCCACTTGTTGAGCAATGAGAGGAGAGAAACTCATTTCAAGTTTGTTCTGATCAGTGACATGAATTTGAGAAAGCATCTTCTTGTTGTTGTTGTTCGAAGGAAATAATTGAGAGAATTTCAAATTCAATTCAGAAGCAATGAGTTTGGCCTCTTCAAGTTCCTTGTTCACACGTACAGCATCTAGAGAAGGAAGAATGGTAATAATAACTGGCACAAACAAGTTGTCATGGTCGACGTCTTCATCAGTATTATTAATATTATTGTTGTCTGAGACACGAGTAGTACTAGTAGTAGTACTCTCCGAGTTCTTGACATGATTTTCCAAATTCATTTGTTCGAGAGCTAATTGTTGAATTTTTGGAAAATTCAAATCACTCTTGAATCTTGGTTCATATTCAGCAATCCATTCAATGGGTTTGTCATCCAACATGTTGTTCAATGCACTCGTATGAGTAATGATTTCTGAAGTTTTCATGACCACAGAAAACACATCACCATAACCCAAAGGTTTTCCAGATTGGATGACCGATTGAACAAATTCATGTTGTTGTTGTGAATGTGTTGCTTGATGTTTCAATTTGATAATAAATTGACTACGAGGTTCATCGAGTTGTTTCACAATCATGGTTTCGGAATCCATATTTTCATCTCTCTTCATGGAAGAAGGAGGAGAGACAATGGAAGAAATCATTTCTCTTCGATTCATGAGAGTTTGTAATTGATTCAAGTTGTTCATTAAATTGTTTTCATGATTGAGTTGGAAGGAACGAGTGGTTTGTTCGTGGGAGGAACGAGCATTCTCTTCGTGAATGAGAGAGACGAAAGGAATGGATCTGGGTGAGGATGATGCGTTGGCAAGTGACAGGGTGAGAACCGCTAGAAGCATCATCACGGCCAAGAAGATACTTTTCACGAGGCGTGAGCTCGTGAGGGTCCATGTTGATGACCCATGTTGATGCTTCCACACCGGAGTTGCTTGTTCCATAGGAGTGTGAAGTACGTTTTTTTTTGCTATTCATCCAGAATTGACAGGATTCGATGTTCCCACTTTTATTTGACAAATTCAATATAGAAGGTATTTCGAGGGAGTGAGAAACCAAGTACAAGAGACTTTGGAAAGAATAAATGTCTGCGTTACTTGGTTTCTTCATTACAGATTCGAAATGAAATGGAAATGATAAAGTGTGTGGGAAAGATCAATGAGAGTTGCATGACTCGAATCGTTGAACTTCAATGAAACACAGAGAAACATTGTGTTGAACTTGTTGAACCATCCTTCTCACAGTTTTGTTCAAGCAATATTTAAATTGTTGTATCTGTTTTTTTTAATCGATGTTTGAACATTTCTAAACTAAAGTATGTCCCTTAGATCATTCCATTTCACAACATCATAAGTTTTTTAAGGGTATGAAATGGAGTGTTAGGACAGCCACAACAATTTTTTTTGGCGCCATATAAATCGTTGCATTTCACAAAAGAATACCACAACAGCCAAACATCTTCCTGATTGGGTGACGAATAATTTTGGCCAGCGCCAATGTTTTTTACAGTCCATTTATGAAACAGTTTGCACCACTCGGTGAGATTGTTAAGGTTGCCTTGGGTAATATACACAATCAAAAGAATCGTTTGAGATGGAAAATGAAATACTTAAGCGATACAGAGAATACAGCAAGTGTATGGAATTAGTCGCAGCATTCAAATTGGCAAATCAAGGAGAACAGTTATACCAAGGAAGATTAATTCCTAACTACGCCAAAGTGTTAATGGATGGCATGAATGAGGCCCCACGTACTCCTGAAATTTCTAAAATCAATGAATGCAAAAATTTGACAAAGGATTGGTGGGAATTGGTGCAGCGATATGATGAAAGATATCAGTTACAACCTGAAACAAAAAGGCAAAGGTATTCCGAACGTTTCCAAAGATTTAAGGACTTGATCGATCCCATTGACCACTTGAAGGGGAATAGTGAGAACTCAAAATAAATCGGTTCATTGAATTCATTCCCTGTCTGAGGAGTACAACCATTAATGAATGTTTTTCCAATAAAGAAGATTTAAATGTGGATCCATGATTGACAGGGTTTGTTGTTTTGAACGCAAAGTAAAAATTTCCACTGGGCAGTGGGAATCGAACCCACGGCCTCCTGCACCCAAAGCAGGAATCATACCACTAGACCATGCTCCCTTTTGTTTATTTTTAATCTTATTTTTAAACGATTGTTGCAATGAGAAATGGTTGCCGGTCTATTCTGCAAATTGGAACGGACATCAAAACGTCGTTCTCAAGAGACCATCACGTATCTTTCGTGATTATCACTGACAATCCTCAAATGGTATGCTACTATCCAATAATTTCACTGACTTGACCAACGCACGACTTGGATATCAAAAAAAAATAGTTTCAATATGAAATCCTCTTTCAAGACTTTGATTGTGCTGCTGTTGTGCACAATTGCCATGTTGTGCATGTACACCTCTTTGGTGCAAGCAGAACATGACAGTGCAGAAGAAACTGCCATCAACACTCTATTCTTTGTGACCTTCATCAAGAACAAGAAGGGAAAGAAAAAGAAGGGAAAGAGTGTTGTGGCCGCTGCAACTACATTGTACGGATTCAACCAACCTATGATCGATTTGTTGAAAAAACTTAGAAAGAAACATAAGAAGAGAAAAAAGGGTAAGGCTTTAGCTATCATGAACAAGTTGGTCAAGAAGGATCCATTGTTGAAGAAGGGACGATTGGTAGCTTCCAAGATTGTGAAATGTGTTCGTTCCATCAAATTGAAAAACAAGACCTGTAAAAGAGCAAGCAAGAAGAAGAAGCATTTTGGAAAGTGTAAAAAACAAATAGCTAAATTGAGAAAGCAATTGCAAAAAGCTAAAAAGGTATTGAAAAAGATTGCAAGAAAGGTCAAGAAGAGCGCCAAGAAGAAGAATTCTCCTTACCGTAAACTGTTGAAGAATTTAATGAAATTACAATGTAATTCCAAATAAATTCAAATCCAATCGCATTCATTGTTCTTGCGTCATGATATATCCACCCTTCATCAGTTCTCAGTTATCTGATTCACTGAGGCATGTTCTGTAGCAAGCTTGAAACGGTCAAGAGTCGTAAAAGTCTCTCAAAAAAACACCAATTCATATCTCTTATTCAATATATCTATTCTCAACGCACATCTACTATTCAAATCAAAGGTCAGCACTTCCAAAACATCCGTTGCAAACATGGCTCGATCAAAGGATGGTATACATAAATTCAGTGAAGTGTCCAATACCAAGTGATGGGGAAAGGTCAAATTGTTGTTTACACCTTTTAAATCTTCTATTGAGGTGAAATTTGATGAACAAGACATGGAATTATAAACTAGAGTGTGTGTGACATATGTAACAGTTAGCTCATAGATTCCATAATTATCATCGTACGATGTTTCATAATAGTCAGCCTTGACTTGGAGATGTCGTCCCTGATCGATAAATTTTGCACAAATCATGGGTGAACCATCTGTTCCATAGCTTTTGAATGATAATTCCTTGTAAAGCAGAAATTGAGAGAAACGTTTCCATTGAATGGAGTATGGATGTTCTTGATGATCACATTCGAGTTTTTTAGCAATAGCAACATAGAATTTCTCGGCATACACAAAACCTTCATCTTCCCTATAACTAACCTCGTGACATGCCATTTTGAGTTCCAATAACACAAAGTCAGAATAGTGAGAGGGGTTGGCCAAAGTAATACCTTCTTGTTGAGCAGCCCTTGTAACATTAAATGCATACGCAGACAATAATGGACGATCTGAATTGAAACTTTCAAAAGGGACGACTTGTAGAGGTGCATATAAGTAAAGCTTGTGTTTTTGAGCTTGCTCATTGCTGGTAAATCCACATACACACATGTTGTCGACACAAACATACACAATTTGTCGAACATGATCGATAAATAGGACAATATCGAGTGTTTGTGAGTCCCAATCTCCGACTGTAAATGAAAACTGAGAGGGAGATCGATAGATCTGGTTCTCCAATTTCAACGGTTTCAAATAATTGTTCACATCTTCCACATAATCTACATTTCCGCTCAAATAGTCACAAATTAAATACTTTTTCAAATATAATATTCCTCCAGCTGCAAATAATAAATAAACTGAGTAAACGTAGCATTCTTTCTTTCCATTGATATTGAACTTGTTCTTGTATCGTTTTTGAAATTGAGGATGATACACCATTTCTATTTTCATGACAGAAATTGACCTTTCATTAAACACGGATATGGGTGTCGTAAGAAGGCTCTTCTGTGTCATTGTACATGTAATGTCCAAGCGTAGTTTTGTGTCAACTCGAAAAGTATGAGCCATTAAATAATGGCAAATCGAAAAACTACAGTCATTTCTCAATGCAAATTTCCAACGGGTAAGAGGAAAAGATTTCACGTTTGTTTGAGTATGTTGAGTGGTTTTTACCAGTCTCGAATTTTCGTTCGAAAATTTCAAGGCTTTGTATGGATATCTAATCATTGGAATGAGTTCACAAACGGAATTAATAGTCAGATATTTTCTACAAGTGTTCTGCTTCTTCTTCTTCTTCCTGTCCGATTTGGAGAGCAATTGAGAAAACGCAGCTAACTCATCGTTTTTCAATAGGACCGATTTAATTTCATCAAAATGTAAAAATACTTCATCGTCCAATGCATAATAATGATTCCATTGCTTTTTCAATCCCATCGTTTGGGCCATACAATTTAAATACACAATTTTGAGAAGAGATTTGCGGAATGATTCATCATTGGTCCTTTCATGATGATGGTTCTGTTCTCTCGAGCCACAATCATCATCAAGACTCGGATCAAAAAACAATTCATACCATTCTCTACACACCAAACTACAACTTCCAAACAGTGTTGTCATATCCAAATTTGCAAATATTAATAACACCATGTACGGGTTGTTTAATACAAGATGCCAGAGTACAGGTTTTCGTTTACGCATTTTTTTGTAAATGACCAATAAATGCATTTTTAAATTTGCCTTAGAAAATATGCTTTTCGTTGATTCGGCGCTTGTGGTGTCTGTGAAGCTTGTTTTTTTATTTTTCATCCACAAAAATGTTTTCCACAACCAATGCGCAAGGAACTACGAGTAACCAGGTTCTTCTCTTCCGCAACGATTGTTCTAAAACGAAAATACTTTTATTTGATTTTTATCAGGAGAAACTTGATCTCAAAATGATGATGAGTGATCCATTTTGCAATTCCGATATGAATTTATTTTCCAAATTAACGATCAAGATGAGATGGGGAAAGAAAAGATATACAAAAGGATTTTCTGGAAAGTTTGAACATGTGGGTACTTTGGGCAAGGGAATCATGTCTATGGTTCCGATGGATGTCAAAATATCCTACCATCACAACTGTATTTTAGTTGCCAACTTCCACAATGCTTGTATTCATGTATTTGAGCTGAAATCTAAACAATTGAAATACTCGGTTTCAACTCCAGCACGTTTCCCAACCAGTATCTGTATAGAAGAAAATTATAATGACAATGTCAATATCATGATGGACGCTATTCTAATGTTCTGTCATCAAAACCATTGTCTGTACAAGTATGATTTGGAAAAATACTTGTTGAAGGATAATAGAGGATTAGCTATTTGGAAATCTACAGATATTGCACGAACCATGTCTGTAACAATGAGACCAAACTCAAAACAAATATTTTGTGTCGATATGGATGCTCGATCGGTAAAGATTTTGGATTCTCGTAGTGGTATAACCATTCATTGTATTTCTTTGGAGCAAAGTTCATCTCCATTCAGTTTGGCATTTGTGAATGATTTTCAATTTGTGTTAAGTACCGATATTAACTTGAAAATTTTCAAAATGAGTGTAAGTCATGAATGGAAGTGTGTTAAAACGTTGGGAAAGAAAGGAGACAACAGAGGAGAGTTTGATTGTGCACAGTCCATCATTTTTGACAAGAAGTCACAATTTTTGATTGTCAATGATCGTACTAACTTTAGAATTCAAATCGTGACACTAGAAGGAGAGTGTTTGGCCTCTTTTGGCTCATTTTCAATGATCATGATTGATGGAAGATCAGGAATTTAAACATGCACTTGGAATGTGTCTATGTGAGCTCACAGGCATGCTCTATATTTGTGATTTGGGTTTGAGAAGAATAACGGTTTACCAATAATCACAAGTATCATGCTTGCATGTTGTAATCCCAATCATTGTAATCGTGGTCATGATTCGTGCTGGTGTGTGTACTAGAACAAGCGAAGGTTCCTTATTTCAACTCCGGTTTGCTTATTTCTGGGATTTCACAGCTGTGAGACAAAACCTTATTCGAAAAAAACTCACCACCAAGACGACCATGTATCCGAGTCGTATTGTGATGCTTACTTTGGTAGTACTGGTACTTATGATTAGTGGAGCTCACCTTTGTGAGTCAGAACCAATAACGGCCTTGAAAACAGTGCATCCTTATTCACCCAACATGAATGTATCGCAAGGAGAGATTTATGCACTCTACTATGTTCAGTTTCTACAGCTTTTCAAAATGAATCCATTCAATGCACGTCCTTCTCCTGTAGGACCACCTGTGACGAAAGGAGATCAAATTCTCGCTCAGCAACAAAGTGATATCGATTACAAGAATCAAATTTTCTATACCACAACTTTTAACAGAACCAGTAACCGTGTGGAATTATTGGGACTGAGTTTACAAAGTGGATTAATCGTTCGAAGAATAGACATGTTGGTAGATGCGAGAACTCCTTTGGTTGGACTTGGACAACTCGTCATTGTCGATCAAAATACAGGAGGCGTTTTCGTCGTGGGTACAACTCGGCAACTCCAAACACAAAACAAAATCGTGTTGTTGAAGGTCTCTCCTGATTTTTCCCAAATTGTGAAATTAACTGAAATGACAGCTTTTTTAGCATCCGCAGGTAAGTCTTGAAGAGTCTTCAATGTGGTTGAATATGAATTGCAAATGATTTAGGAGCGAATGGTTTTGATCCAGTGAATCATATATTGTGGCTTGATTTGTATCCAACAAGATCCTCCCCAATCGATTACTTGTATGCCTTTGATGGGACCACTGGTCAATTGTGGACACAAGTCGAGAATAGATATCACATGCAAACAATGGAATTCGATCCAATGACAGGTCTCATGATTGGTCTTGGGCTTGTGAATGCTGCAAATAATACCTACACTCGAGCTTTGGTGACATTGGATAGTGTTCGTTTTCAATTACTAACAGGTGCAGTGATTGAGGGAAATTATTTCATGATACAAGCTCCATTAGGACCCATCAATGTTGTGAGCAGAAAAATGTATTGTATGATGCAAGTGAATGGAGCGACTATTAATGATCCCTATGATTTGTTAACCATTGATTTGAATCATGGAAGGATTTTGCACAAGGTTACCTTGACTCCAGATGTGCCTATTCCTTGGCAAATGCAAGTTTTTAACAAAAGATGGGAATAAAATGCTTTGGATTGCTTTGTCTTCACAATATTATTATTACCACTCTTTGCACATCACAGCAACGTTACATAAATATCGAGAATTTGGTGAACATGTTTGAGCAAGTAATTGCTTCTTAAATAACTCCTCTGACTTGGCATGATATCTTGGCTTCCAAAAGAAGAAGCCAGTGTAAGCAGTCGAGCAAAGTTGATATTGTTGAGAATGACTGTTGTTGGCATATTCGTTAGAGGAGTGATATATAGATGAGATGTCAGAAATGGCATTGATAATTAAATCTCTATCGAGAGAATTGGACATTAGAAATCGGTAGGAATGAGGACCTGAGGTCACATGAGCAATGATCTGAATGGAGGAAGCTGTAGCACTTAAACACTCAATGTTGATCGTGGGAGGATGGGGAAAGGAGGAAAGGAATCGCTTTGAAAAAGCAATGGGGACTACTTTACCGTCTTGAATGGTCCATAGTGTGTTACTCTCTGTGAGTTTGTGTATTTTCAATGAGAGCGTTTGAAAATGAAGCAAACATTGGTTGCAATTGAAAATTCGAATAAAGACATGAATTCAATCTTAATGACAGTCTTCAAAATACTTACTCTTTAAAATGTAAATTTTGTAATATTCACATGCAATGTCGACAATGGGATCGGATGGAGTGTCCACATTTTTGCAATGCGTCAAGCCATAACTACAACTTGCAGAGACGCCAAGTTCATTTGAAAAATTACAACCTGTGACATAGAGTTTACCATCTTTGGTGAGAGCTGCAATATTGTGATCTCCACAACATGTTTTTACAAAAAATTCATTGGAAGGTGATGGTATTCTCTTAAAGGTTCGTTGTTGTTTGACACTTTTCGGTAGACCAATATCCCCAAAATCATTACATCCAATTCCCAGTAAGTGTCCTCTGTTGGTAACAGCAACAATGGTAAAAGCAGCCGAGCTTAAAAACGTTACATATTCATTCTCCTCCAGTGCCTGCTCCAACGAAGTAAGCCAAATCAAATCTCGATTCAAACCAATATTGTGTGCATCGTGTGCGGAATGAATCATTTTCCCTGTATGAATATTGACAGCATGTGAGCCACCCACAATGAGGGATTCGGTAAAATTAGAAACCGAAGAAAACAGACACACCATACTACACAGTTCAGGTACGACCACAGTTTCTCCATTCGGGAGTGAATGATATTTCGTTGCACTGGGATAACTTGCTGAATGAATGACTTTGTGTTCAGAGTCAATAGGATTTTGTTCATATAATCGATCGACCAATAAGGCTGTATGATTGTAACCTGCAGCAGCTTGATAGACTCGTAAATTGAATGCATTTCCAACGTTGGAGGCAACATCAAAGATATTGGATGATGATTTTACCAAATTAGTCCTAGGACTGGCATTAGGACTGCTACTCGTTGCAGGTTGCTGTTCCGATACATGTAAATCATCTTTTTTGACATTATGAGAATAGCATTTAAAATCATCAGTAATGACATAATTATTGGTTGTACAGTTACGAGAACAGGCACTGATTATTCGTCGTTGTGGTGAAATACTTTTCATCATTCGTGCCAAATCATTCAACACAAATTTATCGGAACAGTATATCAATGGAATTCGATCATCTCGAATGGAATAGACTGGATCCGTGTTATTGAACTCGAGATGAGAAACTAGAGGAGGAGAAATTTCCATTGGTAATGACATTACTTGTGATGAGTAAGTGGATGATGATTGTTGTTGCTGTTGTTGATCGGATGATTGTGGTGCGCGTGCCTGACAAGTTTCCAAATTGCCAATAGAAGACGCACTACCAGAATTGGGTTGGAGCATTTTTTTGAACGTTGGAGTAGTTTCAAAAACTCCAAGTCTCTTTGACTTCCTCACTGTACTCACCAAATATTTCAATAAATAGTGTTTTATTATTTTGCGTTTGTATTGCAAGACGATTTGTTTTGTACATTAATTCAAGAACTCTTTCCCTCGACAGAAATCCAACAACGCACTTCTCCTCTTAAAGTTGGGGTGGAAACACCTCATTGATTCCAATTGGCATCAAAAAGTTGTAAAACCTTAATAAATACTTCTCACATAGATATGAGCACAATATATACAACGTCAGCAAAGTGATACCCAAG